AGGAACGGGCCCTCCGGGGGTGTAGCGGCGGGGGCGGGGGCAGGGGAGAGCGCTGGGGCGCGGGGGTGGAAGGAGCAGCCCAGGGGACGGAAGGGAGGAGGAGCAGGTCGGCATGATCTGTTCCTCTTTTTTTTTGATGCCGTGCTGTGGTCACGTGACCCGGTCCCGAACGGGGAGGGGGCACGGGGGGGTGGTCCCTGTACTGCGGTGGGGATGCGTAGGGGCGTGGGTGGCCCACGCGCGCCTGGGCTCGGGGCCAGGGGGGGGGGCGACGCGGTGCAGGGAAGGGCGGGACGACAGTAGATCTCCGTGCAGACCAAGTGTGTGCACCACCCTCCATATATATATATGTCCGCCCACGACCACCGGGATGCCACCATATAGATTTTCGCCTGGGGACCCCCTCTCTCCCGGCGGGACGGCGCCGTCGACCGACCAGCGTGGGCGGGCAGGTTAGTATCAAGCAGGGAGGTTGGTCGGAACGCGCAGGGGGGGCAGGTAGGATCGAGCAGAGGATGGCGGATGGGGTGGTGTGGGTTGGGTGGTCGAGGTGGTGGGCGGAACGCATCATGGACATTGAACGATGACGGGGGGAGGCAGGTGTACTGGTGTACTGCCATTAAAGCAGCGATGACATGGCGACGAAGTCTTTTGTCACGGGAACAGTCATTGTCTCGACATGCTCGATGTTGACGAGATGGGCAATCATAGTGGTGGGCTTGGCTATATCCTGTGGCCCGGTTCAATGATGAGTAATTTGGAGCCGTTTCATATCATACAGTATAATTGCGATCGGGCCAGAGACCGACTGATGGCTCCGTTCCTTCAGGAACAGCGGGTGCGAGCGGCCGACGTGGTCGCGTGCCAGGAGCCATGGGAGAACAGATTCAAAGATAACACGCATGATTTTAATAAAGATATCCACCACATGCTGTACTCAGAGAAAGGCGAGTATTGAACGCGCGTCTATCTCTTTATATATAAGCCCATACACGCAGGCAGCTGGGAACACAGGCCGGTAAGCCTGGACTATTAATAGCTGTGTATTAACTACAAATATAACAGAGTGGCCCGGGCGCTCTTTATTTATTATGTATATAATAAGAAGCACTCGGGTATTCTTTAACTGCTGAACAAGCAGTTGCGACTTTATCAGCACGCCGAACACACTGTTCTTATGGAATTTAATCTTCATCAACTGGCGTGAGGGACCCCGGGGGTCAGTCAAAATATTAATTAAATTGACTGACAGGCATCGGCTAGAGATCCTTAATAAGCTGGACATAATTATCTACTTTGAGAAGGGCCTATTAATATTATCTTTATTTTATAAGACCTTGCAGAGAGAGTGATCACCTGGGAGAGGATAGATAATACTAATAGTAACTTAGATTACTGGCTGCTTTGTACAGAGTTAGATCTCTTTATCAAAGCGGCGGAACTAATCAGGCAGAGAAACTGGAAAAAGATAGATATAAGCAAGATATTTTTATTGATTAAAACCCAACTGGGCGCCCCACACGCCAATCTTAATTTAATGATTGATATTAAACGCGTCACGGATCATCTAGTTATTATAATTTACAAGGCCATCGACGCGATTATCCCCTGGACACAAATATGTGTCTATTCTAATTCGAATCTAACACCGGAGTGCGTCGAAGCAATAAAGAAGACTTAATAACTGCGCAGACTCTGCTGCAGAGACCGCACACGCGATTCTAGACTGCGCGAAGTATATAAGGAATAATATAAACAGGCGCGCAATATAAAAACCCGCCTAATTTATAAAATCCTGCAGTAGATATATTGCTAATATATACAAGAAGCAATCAAGAATAACTGCAGCCTCTGGTGTATCTCGCGCTGGGTAAGAAGCCGCGGCCAATGCGTCAGCTAATATACTCTTATATTATATCACAACAGGCGGGAAGCTAATATCCCGGATAAAAAGACAGAGATCTATCAGAATATCTTCTTTTCTTCTCGTCTCTCTGCTGATCTCTCTGATATTAATTAATAATTATCCAGCCCAGCTATACAAGCTCCGGGCCGATATTAAGTTTCCCAAGATTATTCTAATCAAGATAAAAGAGACTATTCTACGCGCTTCTGCTGATAAGATCCCTGGCGCGGACAGTATTTCGAACTGCGTGCTATATTATCTTCTATCGGCAATCAAATCCTATATTACCCCTCTTTTTAATATTATTATATAGATCAGTTATAATCTTTGATATTTTCAGAAGTTGATTACTGCTGCTCTCAGAAACTCCAGTAAGAAGAACTATAAGAAGTCTAGGATATACCACCCGATAACTCTATTGAGCATACTGGGCAAGATATTAATGTCTATAATTATTTATTATATCATATATACAGCGAAACAGTATAGTCTTCTGCCAAAGCAATATCTTGATAAGCACAGAGATAAAATATCTAGTGATTATATATTATATATTATTATCAACCGGAATTGTCAAGCATAATGCTAGGGCAACTCGATGAATATACTGTTTCTGAATATATCAGGCGTGTATAATAGTATCTCCCACCGGCGGCTGCTGTTTAATCCTCGCAAGTAAGAGCTAGGATGGCTTATGCCCTGAATCAGAAGTTTTCTCCGCAGACAGAAAACCCAGATACGCCTACCCGAACTGATTATAGACTGAATATCTATTCTTATAAAGATCTCCCAGGGCTTTCTGCTCTTATCTAGTCTTTATCTACTCTATAATACATCTCTGATTAAGATATATATCTAGTGCACTCTTTAAGTAGAGATATACAGCTGGGTTGATAACAGCAGTATACTGACGGAGTCTGTTACTGAAGAGAGCACTGTACAGTCTTTAAGCAGGATCGACTCTCATGCGAGAAAGTGGGTCTAATAGTATGGATCGGTATTTACACCAGCGAAGTATCAATTGATACACTTTCCTAATTCCAACCCGACACGGGGGCAACCGGTCAACCGTTCTTTTATTCTAGCGGACGAAGAGATCACAGTGGAGCCAATTAAGTCGGCTAAATATCTTGATATTTAGCTCAACTCACGCCTTGACTTTAAGGAGCACCAGAAAAGAATAGTAGCAAAGACAGAGACTAGTCTTGAAGCGCTCCAATGTAGAGTCCCCTACCGCCCAACGGACCGTCGCCCCCCTCGGGCACCACCTGAAAACTTCAAAATCGCGTATATTCATAAAATTACGATTTTATTACATTTTTTCGTTGTTTTTTGATAAAATAATCAAAAATTCAGTTGGGCCAATCTGTTTAACAATCACATGTAATTAATAAGACAAAATAAATATGAATATCCTAATAATACTGCAAGTCAGGGTTCTTGATAGCATTCTGCAAGGGGTCACCAATCCGCGGCAACCCTGGAGGTAGGAATACAGCTTTATATTACCTAATTAAGTTATTAAACTGTAAAGCACTTGCTACAGGGATCGGAGGCTTGTAGACACCCTGGCTTGGTGGTGAGAAGGGGCCATACGGCCCCCCAACGGCCTCATTCTCCCACTGCGTCATATTGGCCATGGCCCATTGAAACGGCCGCCGCGCAGGCGTTGCAGGCGGTTGAAACGGCGTCATTGTTGCAGGCGTTGCAGGCGTTGCAGGCGGTTAAAACAGCGTCATTGCCTGCGCAGGTGTAGGCATATATGAATCGAAATGTGATATAGAAGGCAGAGGCGTTGAAGCAGTTGAAGAAGACCTCTTAACTTCAAATTGAGGTGTTTGAGCCACTGTTTTACCTCTAGATATCCAAATCTCGAGAGGAGGCTTTGACTGCGATTCCTGGCTCTCCTTATCTTCTTGTTTTTTCTTGCGTATAGCGTCTCAATCCTTGCGCAGTCTCTTCTTGATGGCCTTCTCTGCCCGGCGTTGAATCAGGCGTTGCAGATCGGGCAGGCGTTGAAGACAAAGAAAACAGCGACAAGATGCGCAGCCTTTCATCAAATTCAGGCTCTGATTCATCATTTAAGGCCTCGATATTTCCTATTTAGATATTTAGAATATGTTATTTGAATATATTAGTCATAGAATATAGCATACCTGACCTCCGACCGGCCATTTTGAGGTTAAAAACGCGTCAAATTGGTTGAAAATGATGCTTCTCGAGGCGTTCCGTGGAACGCGTAAAAATGGCAGTTTTGTTGTGGTGCCCGAGGGGGGCGACGGTCCGTTGGGCGGTAGGGGACTCTATCTCAGGGTCAACCTGGGGCACGTCACTGGCGATCACGCACAGCCGGGAGACACTCGGTCAAAGCATGCAGCAGCCAGGGAACGGCGCATAAGGGACTGGGCAGAGTCAAATTATGACTTTATGTGAGGCAGTGGGGCCTCGGGGCAAGATAAACCTTCAATTTTGATATATATAAGGGCTAGTGGCGAGGGGTCTGAGGATAAACACCATGTTTCGGGGCGATATATATAACAAGGGAAAGCCTCATCTCTGGAGTCGAGAGAACACCTGCACAGCGAGCTGTAGTGGGCCGGCTATATCAGGTTAATGAATTCTACTACAACTACTACTTGACCAACACGACTTTGCCCTTCTTCCACGCCGACTGAATGACTTCGACAACACTGTGGAGGGCTGCTTCTGTTCCCTGGGCTTGATATTTACTAAAGTAAGTATCAGACTGATATGATGCAACTAGGTTTACGGATGGAAGGTTGTTCCATCTCCGGCTTACTAAGGATGGAACATAGTTGTTCCGCCTCCGGCTGAGTAAGCGCACAATCTGGCAAACCCTTAAAAAGGATCTGCCAGTGGCCACTAGATAGAAATCGCTAAGCACTCAGAACATCAATATTACGACACTAAGGAGTACTTGTCCTATCTATTACTAGCGTCCTGCACCTGCGCCTTAGGCCGTGTACAAGTGAAGCGTCCGGAAGCCCCTACACCCCTGAGGATCCACTTCAGGAGCTAAAGTTTGGGTTTACGCTTGGCCCGTTTGAGACTCCGATGATGGATATGACAGACATTTGTATACTAAGGTTATGAAAAGCATATAATGACTCGCATAATATATACATGGGCGCAATGTCAAGGATAGAAGATCCGGTTACTGATGAAATGTTTACATGGTACCTTCCTAAAATACCAAGTACTAAGCGCAAATATGACATAACATCACGTATCATGACTCACAGGACAACCCGACTTTTATTTTCCAAGTCCCCAGCTTTTTTCTATCTGTCCCCAGTTTCATTTGCAGACAGTTACCAGAACCTTGTGCCTCATCTCCTTTCCTCCGTTTAAGTGCTTCTCTCTCTCAAAATGGGTACTAGGCTGCAACCTGCGGTTAAGCGAGCGGCAGAAAGCGACGACGAGCTGGAAATCCAGCAAAGGAAAATCAACAATGGCCTACGCGTGGCCAAAAAGCGCCTGAAAGCACACGGATCTTTTGACACCCACTATTAGACCAGGGCGGCAGAAGTCGAAACCATACTTCTGCAACATACTGAGATTGACCGGAAGATATTCTTAAGAGATTCTGTGAGGCCAGAAGCGGACTGGCAAAAGACTGAGAAAGCAAAGGCTCTCTTCGAGCAGATAAAAGCGCAAAAGACTTCAAAGAACATGTGTGAAAGACATAAAAAGGAGCTGGATCCCCAGTATTTGAATCGCAAGACAAGCCTGGGCAGGCGTCTTCGATCTAGCTGGATGAAGCTGTTCATCACAAGCAAGATGGGCCTATATATCAAGAACACAGGTGCTGGGGAGAGAGACTCAAGTGATCAGTCTGGATTCCGGGAACATATAATCAAAATCTACGGTAGTAATCGGCCGGAGGACCGGGGTTTGTGATGCCCTATCATGGGCCAATATTTCGACAGAAAAGCTATGACAGCAGCACATCTGTTCGCATACATGCATGGACAAGACACAATGGATGCGATTTTCGGGCCCACAAAGACACTCATTGGTTATGAGCCCGGCTTTGCTGGTTTATTGAATCACTTGAAATCCTGCATTCCGAGGGGCCTGTATCGGCTTGACATCCTATACAGACCGTCCGACCTCTTCCACCTGCACGCCCGACCCTTGGTTCATTCCTGCGAATACTACCGGCCAGTATATTCCCAGCGATCGACCTCAAGTTGTTGGAACGCCCTAGCCATGGAGCCCAAGCTAGCAACAAGAAGACCAATCCTGAACCCTGGTATCAGGATGAATAAGTTTAAAATCGATAAGTTGACTGAGGAGAACGCTCAATATTGGTTCTATACAATAAAGCAGCAACTGTACTTGCAATTCGCCTGGCAGGCAATCAAATTCTATAACAAGACCCCCAGAGTGACCCTGGATAAGCTCATTATATCAGACATCAAATAGCAAAAGATCAACATGAAAGCCAGGGCGATGATCCGAATAAGACTTAATAAAAGCATGGTCTTGGCTACCAAGGAATTCAAGTATGCCGGAGAGATATGGCGACGTCTACAGAAGATCTATATAAGATCCTCCGAGGCCTTGAAAGCATGGCAACTGTTAAAGTTAGCCAATTAAAGAAAGAATCCTAATCATACTGGAAAGAAGACATTCCTTGAAGCCAAGAAACTGCATCAACAATTAATTAATATCTGTGAAGAAAAAGCACTGGATCTTGACAATCTCTTTGCCATATAGTATCTCAACGGCCTACCGGATGAGTATGCCAACTTTAGGGATATAATAATCAGTTCGAATGTTCCCCTAACCCCCGATCATCTCATGAATCGTATAGACAATTATAATAACATGGCGAAGAATATCAGCAAAGAGAAGGGATCCAGGGCATCCGACTTCAAAAAGAAGAGTATAACCTGCTTCAATTGTGAAAAGAAAAATTATATAGCAAGGGATTGCCGCCAAAAAAAGAAAGATCAACGTTCTGATGACTCAGAAGATAAAGCCAAAGAGAAGAAGAAACACCCCGGCAAAAGACAACCTGCCAAGCACAAGGGGCGATCCGCCGATCACCGACCCGAAGAAGGATCGGATTAGAATCACAATGATAAGAATACTTGCAGAGTGATTACCCAATCCTTCAGAATAGCATACCATCGCGTGAAGAAGATCAACACCTCCTCTAGCAACCATGACGTCGAAATAAGGTTGGTAGAGAACATTGATATAGAGATTGACGACCGCGACCGGTCTGACCAATAGTGTTTCGACAGTGGAGCAACCTGTCACACAACAGGGCGGAGAGAATTCTTCGTCTCTTTGGTCTTCTGTGGGTTGGCTAGCAAGGCCGTGGGATATCTCACAGCATTGAGATATGTTGTTTTTCTCATTCTCTTGCCTTTCGCAACCACTTTGCCATTTTTCAAGAGCTGATAACCGTGTTTGGATCCTCGTGACTCATATTCATCCATGTGAAGTGCCTCTAGAGAGAGGAGGTTGCCCACCAGGCCTGGGACGTATGCAACGCCCCCTAGCCTCGCTGTGGAGCCATTCGGGAGCTTGAATTTGACCACTCCACGGCCTTCGATTGGCAATTCGTGACCGCTGGCCACCGTGAGGGTCCCTCTCCACGTAGGGTCCAAGGAAACGAATATTTCTCTTCGCCCCGTTGTGTGGCAGGTTGCTCCACTGTCGAGACACCATTGGTCAGACTGGTCGGTGTCGCTAAACTCTATATTAACGTCCTCTGCTAATCTTATTTCGACATTATGATTGCTAGAGAAGATGTTGATCTTCTCCACGCGATGGCATACTATTCTGGAGGATTGGGTAATCACTCTGCAAGCATTCTCATCATCGTGATTCTAATCTAATCCTTCTTCGGGTCGGTGATCGGCGGATCGCCCCTTGTGCTTGACAGATCATCTTTTACCGGGGCATTTCTTCTTCTCTTTGACTTTATCTTCTGAGCCATCAGAATATTGATCTTTCTTCTTTTGGCGGCAATCCCTTGCTATATAACCTTTCTTTTCACAATTAAAGCAGATCATACTCTTCTTTTTGAAGTCGGATGCCCTGGATCCCTTCTCTTTGCTGACATTCTTCGCCATATTATTATAATCATCTATACGATTCATGAGATGATCGGGGGTTAGGGGAACATTCGAACTGATCACCATATCCCTAAAGTTGGCATACTTATCCGGTAGACCGTTAAGATACCACATGGCAAAGAGATCATCAAGATCCAGTGCTTTTTCTCCACAGATATCAACTAACTGTTGATGCAGTTCCTTGACTTCAAGAAATATCTTCTTCTCAGTATGATTGGGATTCTTTCTCTAATTGGCTAGCTTCAGCAGTTGCCGTGATTTCAAGACCTCAGAGAATCTTATATAGATCTTCTGTAGATATTGCCACATCTCTCCGGTATACTTGAAGTTCTTAATAGCCAAGACCTTGCTTTTATCCAGTCCTATCTAGATCATCACCCTGGCCTTCATATTAATCTTTTGCTATTCAATATCAGATACAATAAGACCATCCAAGATCCCTCTAGGGGTCTCATTATAGAATTCAATGACTTGCCAGGCAAATTGCAAGTACAGTTGCTGCTCCATTGTATAGACTATAGAACCAATATCGAGCATTCTCCTCAGTCAACTTATCGATTTTAAACTTATCCACCCTGATACCAGAATCCAGGATTGGTCTTCTTGTCGCTAGCTTGGGTTCCATAGCTAGGGCGTTCCAACAACTTGAGATCAATCGCTGGGAATATACTGGCCGGTAGTATTCGCAGAAATAATCCAAGGGTCGGGCGTGCAGGTGGAAGAGGTCGGACGGTCTGTATAGGATGTCAAGCCGATACAGGCCCCTCGGAATGCAGGATTTCAAGTGATTCAATAAACCAGCAAAGCCGGGCTCATAACCAATGAAGTGGATTCTCAGGGATGTAGGGGCTTCCGGACGCTTCACTTGTACATGGCCTAAGGCGCAGGTGCAGGTCGCTAGTAAAAGATAGGAGAAGTACTTCTTAGAGTCGTGATATTGATATTCTGAGTGCTTAACGATTTCTATCTAGTGGCCACTGGCAGATCCTTTTTGAGAGCTTGCCAGAATGTGCGCTTACTCAGCCGGAGGTGGAACAACATTTCATCCGTAAACCTAGCTGCATCATATCAGTTTTGATATGATCTGATATGATGCCATTGGTTACCACGGGTGGAACATAGTTGTTCCATCCCCGGCTGAGTAAGCGACATACTGGCAACCCCTGAAAGGATCTGAAATATACTGAGTTTTTTTTATCAAACTTCATCCGATATCATCACAGCCTACTACTGTGCTGATACTAATTTATAACGATCATAGTTTACGATGTTAAGAAAATCTAGAAAGGCCACAATATCCCATCCAAAGGTAATATTTGTAATGTGTATAGAATCCAAACAACTCGCTCAAACCATCCCACAGAAGGAGAAATTCACCGGCCCAGCCAGTTCATTCACTATCTAGCCCAAGACATCAGACGTACAGTATTCCGTCCGTCAATTCATCCTCCGTCTCAACATAGGAGAGAGTCAAGGAATGTAGCCCATACCGTGTCCATGTCCATCATATGCAAAGCCAATACCATAACATAACCATCGCATGCAAACAAGTCAAGGTCAAAAGGAAAAACAAAGGAGAGGTCAGTGAGTGACTGTGGTCAGATATATGCAACCGTGCTCATGCTCGTGCTCATGCAATCAAATCAAGTCAAATAATATCAAACGAAACCAAACGACAGCATGCGGGGATAAAAAACCAGATCAGATCTCTCGGTCTGTTACTGTACACACCATATCCATCACTTCGTCCTAAGAAAGGAATCAGACTCAAGTCGGATCAGACAGGGAACTTCACCCCCGTCCGCTCCGTCACTCGAGGCTGGGACAAAGCCCGGGGCAAGGCCCGGGCCTTGGGATCCTGGTTGAACCGCAGCCGGTCCCTCTTCAGGTTGAACAGCCGCACCATGCAGCTCATCGCCTGCTCGTCGCTCAACTGCATGGCCGGCAGGGCACCTCCGGCGCTAGCCTCCAGAGGCAGCTCGCGCACACATGCGGACACCATCCAGCGCGCCAGTACCTCCACATCCCGCGCGTTGCTCCAGCACGGGAACATCGACAGGATCTGGATGGCGCGGGTGAACTCGCGGTGGCTCGGGGTGCGTGGGTCCGTCAGGTACAGCCGGGGACCCTGGACGCGCTGCTCCGTCAGCTTGCGGTCCAGCAGCCGGAGACATTCGCGAGGCGTTGGGTTGCGGAAGACGATCTCCTCCTGGAACAGAGCCGCCAGACGAGGCCGGTTGGCGAGCAGCTGGTCCATCTCTTGGGCGGGTCCGGCCAGGATCACCACCATCTCTGGCGCGTATCGCGGCAGTAAGTAGACGAGCTCGTCCACGGCCTGGGTGGCCGACTCGTTCTCCATCAGTCGGTGCGCGTCCTCCACGAACAGCACCTTGCCCCGTCCGCAGTCGAGCTGCGAGCGTGACCGCACGGAGGTCGGGTAGGCTTGTGGCGCCAGCAGGTCGGCCACCGAGCAGGGGACGAGGGCTCCGTCAGTCAGCGCACCCATCTTGTAGTAGAGGGTGCCGAGCTGGCGGGCGACGGTCTTCTTGCCGGTTCCTGGCAGGGTCAGCTGGGTCGAATGTGTGTGTTCATCAGGGAGAGCTTACCTGGTGCGCCTTTGAAGATAAAGGCAGAGGGCATGCGCTGCCCCGGATCCAACCCCTGCATCCAGGCGGCTTTCATCTCATTGTGATAGCGCTTCAGGATGGAGATGATGTCGTCCGGCACGATCGAGTGCCGCAACTCCTCGCGGAAGACCAGCGCGGTGGTCCCTCCGACCAACTCGGGGTTGAAGTCGCGGCCCTCGAGTAGTCGCTCGACTGGGGGGGCACTGGGCACCCCCGTCGTACGCGAGCGACGCTCAAAGTGGTAGATGGCCGCCGCCAGCAGGTGGTCGAGGGCGCGGGCATTGTCGAAGTCGCGGCGCATGCGGGCGTTGTCGAGGGTGTCCATCGCCGCCTGGAAGGCCTCCGGGGTGGCGTCCAGCTCCTGCTCGTCCAGCTTGCTCTGGAACAGCTCCTCCATGTGCTCGCGGGTCAGGGCCGCGAATCGCACCAGCTGCGTCTCGAAGACGCGCGCCCTGGGGCCCGCCCGATACAGGAACTGGCTGATGCTGTCGTGGGTGCCCACCAGGATGGTGCACTGGTCGTCGCGGGGTGCCGCCAGCCTGTCGAGCACCGTGTCCGGCACGGTTGGGCGCTCCTGGCGGTCGCTATCCACGTCCACGACCAGGACATGTCCGGCAGTCGAGTCGATGGTGGCGTGCAGCTGCTCTTCCGACAGATCGCACAGCGCCGACAGTGGTTTGGCGCGAACTGGGCACGTCAGCATCGTCATCGTGTTAGGGTTACGGCAGGCATCAGACTTACCCTCCCCACCGCTCAACAAGCCCAAATCCACCAGGATCTGGGCGTACATCCGGATGGCGGTGGCCTTGCCCGTGCCCGGCGGCCCGGCAAAGATGCGGTTGATGCGCAGGGGCAGACGACGCTGGTTGCGGATCTCGCGATGGTAATTCTCCTCGGCCGTGTCGAACACCTCGGCCACCGACGCCTTGACGGCGTCCTGTCCGATCAACTGCTGCATGGCCGCCCAGGCCTGGCTCTCGGATCGGATCTCGCCCGGGCTGGGGCCCAGCACGTCATCCTTGGAGAAGAAGAAGTAGTCGACCTCGTCCATGCCGCCGTCCTGCTGGTCTGTCAGGCACAGCGCCTGGCGCTGGGCGATGCTCTTGACCATCTCGCGCACGGCGTGGGCGTTGGCGAAGCCCTTGAAGCCCTTGGAGCCCTTGGCGGCGCGACCCCGGACCAGCCGGCGGGCCGCAGCCTGCATGTAGGGGCCCTCGAGCCCCCCCTCGACCTGCATGCGCCCGTTGTAGTCGGTGATGATGCGGCGCGCGAGCAGCTGCACCAGCTGCGGCCGGTCGAAATCGTTGAAGCGCAGCGAGCTGCAGATCCGCTGCTGCAGCTGGGGGTTCTCGCGCAGGAAGAGCGTGACCTCGTCGACCTCGCCGGTGAAGACGACGATGATGCGGCCGGTGTGGCGCTCCATGACCTGGCGGATGTCGTCGAGGGCCTGCTCGACGGCGGGAGTCTGGGGGGTCTCCAGCAGGGGATGGGGATGGTCGACGATGAGCACCCCGGCCGTCTGCAGGGCGCCCTGAGGGTCATCGGTCATGCCGCGCAGCAACTGCTGCACCCCGTCGGGGCCCCGGCTGACCAGGTCGGCCCCCGTGGTCTCGCACACCGTGTGTGCGTCGCAGATGCCCATCGCGTACAGCAGCTTGGCGTAGATGCGCGCGACGGTCGTCTTGCCCGTGCCCGCCTGCCCCAGGAAGGCGATGTTGTACCACTCGCCCTTGGGGTCGCGTCCATGGCGTCGGCAGATCTGCACCCAGGTCTGCACCCCGTGCAGCTGCCGCTTGACGTTGTCGTGGCCCACCAGCCCGTCCAGCTCGCTGATCGCCTCCTCGCGCGCCGTCTCGCGGCTCTGGTGGTCCCGCTCGGCCAGCTCCTCGGGCGTGGGCTGCGGCGGGGTGACCTGGCGAGGGATCTCGGGTTCAGGCTGAGGCTGGGACTGGGGCTGGGGTTCGGGCTGAATATGAACCTCAGGCTCAGGCTCGGGCTCGGGCTCGGGCTGTCGTTCGGCCTCTCGTTGCGATGACGGTCGCGACGAGGGCTGGGTCTGTGTCTGTGGTTGAGGTTGGGTCTGTGCCATGACGGGCGATGGCACTGTCTGAGCCGGCGTCGGGGCCGGCGTCTGTGTGGAGATCGACTGCTGAGGCCGTTTGGACCACAGCGAGAAGGGGAAGAAGGGGAAACGCGCCGTGGTGGACGGTCGCGTCATGGAGCAGTCCATGCTGCGCAGAGGGTGGAACAGTCGTGAGAGGAGGGGCCCGACGATGGGGAGCATGAAGGGGTGAAGGAGAAGAGTCTTGAGCATTCAAGAAACGGTCCGAGATTCGAGGTGTGGGTGGATGGATGTATGTATGTATGTGCTGGAAATTCTCCTGGCCGGGACCCCCCCCCTCCCCCGTTATATATACCAGCTATCTAGCTCCCAGCTGGGCAGCAGGCTCAGAAATGAAGCAGTGGCCGACGAACTCTGTCTGGGACGGACTGCCTATGACGGGGCGACAGACACGCCGGTGGGTGCTGGCCATGGCTGGTCGCTTCCCGGTTTGGTCGAAAGTGAAGCCATTCACCGCCACTTGGGCAGCCCAACCGAGGCCCTAACAGAGGGAGGGTCCGGACAGCCTCTCCCCGTGCTCGGGGGCTCTTCCCCGTGGATGCCGTGGGCAGGCGATGGCGATGGCACGCTCCAAGTGTCACGAATCGACCATGCTGAAACAACAGACCTGAAACCGTGAGACCGAGGGGGGGAGAGGGGCCAGAGGGGCCAGAGGGCCAGAGTGAGGGCATCTCCCCGGCCGGGCCGCATTAGGCTGCCGATGGCTGCCGATGGCTGCTGATCTGGCGCATCGCCAGCCAATCAGTCGACGTCCGATCAGGCATCGCATCACCAGCTGGCCCCTCGCCTCGTCCACCACCTTCCCTGGAACATTCATATGATCGATCCTCGCCTGCTGTCCGCTCGATTACTAACGGCTAACTATAGCACCGTCTGTGATCGACTCGTCGTCATCCAGTCGGCCTTCCCCTGCTGCTTTGGAGGAGCCTGAGTGATGCGAGAAGCACGCGACAACCGTAGCAGAGCTGCCCCGCCTCTTCTCTTCTCTGCTCTCTGGAGGGGAGGGTGTTGGAGAGAGAGAGAGAGAGACGAGCGATCAGGCATCCAGGCTACTGCGACAGCGCAGTCTTCTGGCTGGTGGCTGGGAACTTGGACTGAATTGACACGTCAGGATGGAGCAACACACTAACTGAAGCACTTTCTCTCTCTCTCTCTCTCTCGCCTCAGACAGTACTGAAGACGACCTCGATCGATCCTCTCCCTTCCTCCGTCTCCTCGTCCGCCTCGCGCCTTTCCGATGCAGGCCGCATTGTCGAATGAGATACTGTGACGGAGGTGGGTAGTCCAGTGCGACTCTACCATTCCTGTATTATATCCCAGAGTAGGGCAGGCAATACCAGGCACCAGGATAAGAGGGCGGTAATCACCAAGGCATAATATGAATCGTCAAGCGGAGCTGGCATGACTGGCGGACACATGAATCGCATGCGAAGCCTTGTCCGATTGTTGACACACAGCAATAGAACTGAATTGATGGCATTACAGTACAAATGATTCATTCCATCCACCAGCATCACAATTCTATTGTCGCTGTCTCCGCCACTGCTCCTCTCCTCTGCCTCCTCCCGCGACAGCCGCCCTCCTCCGCCCTGCCCTCCCTCATCCATCTCCATCCGACAACAATCCCCACGGTCGCATCCCCCCAGAAACCCCTTCTCTCCTGCGACAACCCCCTATTCACTGCCTCCAGGGACCCCCAATATGACAGCCCCCAACGAGGGGATCCTCTTCCCACCTGGAAGCCCCACATCCGTGCCGTCCGTGCTCGAGTCGCCCGGCTTATCTTGGAGACCCCGCGACAGGTGATCTGCTACGGAGTAGTGCGTCGTTCTCTCATCGTGAGGGGCTTGCGGGAGAGAATAGGGTATCCTCCACAGATAACTCGGCACGGAAATATAATTGGCACGTGGGCTTATGTGATTTGCAAAGAGAATAGATTGCAAGGGAGGCGCTACAGCCATGATATTCTTATATCTTTTGATTATAATAGAATTGGCTATCTGCAGCGTAACATCTCACTCCCGATTCTATGGAGTAAAGCTCTTATACTCGAGAGACCGATGTGATGAGTCCCCGCGGCAGGCCGCCAATCGGCATTGATATCCCTGCAAGGGGATGGAATGAGACTTCCGCCTTTGCAGGAACAGGTAATGTGAGACGGTGGCGCGCGCCGAAGTGATCCATCGATTGTCGACGCGTCCGTCGGTCAATCCAGCAGGTTCAGGGTCAAACAGATCAAGATGAGACGTTCAAAGCGGACAACGGACAACGGACAACGGACAAACGGGTATAATTTTCATAGGTTAGGTAGATAGTTCACTCGCACTCGTTCAAGCGAGAGCAAAGTACCCAGCAAGCAATGCAACAGCCAAAACAAGAAGCCTCTCGCTCGGCAAAGGAGAAGTGAGATTTTGGAACGAGTTGAGTGTTTCGTGCCCGAACGTGTCGGGTAAGCAGTCATCAATCATGTATAAATCATCATATCAAGGCCGTCGTTCAGTGACGGTCCAGCGTCGCTTCTGACCGACTTCGCGCTCTTTGTTGGAGAGCGCGCTGCCCCAAAGGCCGCGTTGGGATTGAGTTCGTTGGGGGAGCTGTATCGCCGATGTATCTTCTGGTTTGGGCTCAGTTTTGACAAGCGGTGCCGGTGCCGGTGTCGGTGCAGGTGCAGCAGGCCACTCGAAGTTCGGTACGATTTCGTCCGCCGAGCCATCGACTGCGATCGAGCCCCAAAGGCCGGCTGATCTGGGCGTCACGGCCGTGGCGGGCCGGTCTGTGTTCCATGGCTGGGTGCCTGCGCCAGAGGTCGAAGAAGGGCCGATGATGAATAGCCCTTGTGACAGAGCAGGAAGAGCCGCCACGCGATTCCGCCAGGGGGAGACGGACGGAGACTGGATGTTGGAAGGAGACTGAACGGCTGACGACCTTCCCCCGGTCCGCAGATGCTCCGTCGAAGCGATTAGCTTCAGGCTGTAGTTTTCCAGGTGAGGCGACTCGTCTGTCGATCGCTTCGGCCTGACAGGTCCGCCGACGGGACCACTTTCTGTTACGGCTGAAGGGACGCTATCCTGTCGCGTGGCTAGGGTGAGCGATGCCGTGTTTATGTTGACCAGTGCGGGCTGCCCCGATATAGCCCCGATCAATGCATTGCAGCCTGCGCCATGAGTGATCACAATCAGAATCGTTTCCGTTGCGTCGTCCTCGGTGCGCGGAATGGAGTCCTCGGAGCCATCCACCATCTGCGAGTGTCGTCGGGGCCGACCGGTCGGGACCGACGGGTCGTGGTCCTGGTACCACGAAATCATGCGATCCAGCCCGGTGCGGAACCGAGTGTGCATCGTGCTCCATTCCTCGCCGTGCTCGCCGCCATCGCCCCAGTTTTGCTCCCCCTGCATGCTATCCCACTGGAAATCGATCTTCACGCAGGCGTCGCGGGCGTGCGTGACATACCCGGCGGGGATGGGACCCGACGGAGAGATGGCGTAGCTCGGGGTCGGGGGCATGTAAGCGCCGTCGGGGATGGGGAGGAGGCTGGTATTGATCTTGCGGAGCATTCTTCGACCTCGGGTGGTTTCCACCGCGCTCATCGTGTCGCAGCTGCCTGCACGGGTCCTCCCCTGAGTTTGGTTCATAGCCGGCGTAGGCGCAGGCTGGTCGTTCGCGGGCGAGACCGGTGTGGACGCACTTCCACTTCCCCAGCCACCGGGGAAATAGCCGGTCGCGGGCCTAGGCACGGTATCTGCCTGAGGAACGAAGCCGTGTTCGCGACGAAGCAGTTCCAGTTTGGCAGCAGCAACCATGCGCTCCGACTTGGGAGGAGGAATGATTTCGTCGAAGTAGTCCGGACACAGCCATTCTCCGAGAAAGGCGTCCACGCGTAACAGACATCGATGGTCGCCAGGTGAGAACACGGATCCCGGGGATGAAGAGGGCTCGGAGCTGGGCTGGACAAGAGTCGAGGGCTGGCTGAACTCGGGTTCAGGCGAATTTTGGCAGATCCCGGAGCTCACTGCGATGGCCGTCTGCAGGCACCGGGTGAAGGGTGACGTGTGGACGATGATCCTGCGCTTGGGCTTGGGTTTGGGCGTTTGCAGACGGTCGCATTGTTTCGGATCGGATGGCGCGTGTGTGTTCGAGTCTTCGCGGTCGTCTAGGGATTGCACGAGATCGATGATGCGCGCGCCCAGCGCCCGGGACTGTAGCCAACCGCCGTAGGTGAGAGGGGGGTCGTATGGTGTGGGGGAGGTCAGGTGCCAGTTCTTGTCTGCAGCGTCCAGGCGAGCGCCATGCCTGGTGGAATCTGGTCAGTAAGGGGGGAACCACGGAGAAAGAGGGGTGCAGCAGGCAGTACCTGGCGATAATGATGGCGGCTGGGGGGTTCCCCATAGCAGTCGGTCGGGGAGGCTCCCAAGAGACGCAACGGTGTGAAGAAGGCTGGTGGGGAGGGAGGAGGAGAGGCCGGGGAATTCAAGGCGAGGTAGAGGTAGAGGTGCAGGTGCAGGTGCAGGTGCAGGTGAAGGCGATGATGGTAGGCGTGGAAGATTCCTAACCCGACCGACCAGCTGGCGGTGGACGATGGAGGGGAAGCTCTTTATTGTCTCGCAGACCCGGCGGGGTAGAGGGTGATGAGGGGGCTGAGGGCCACCAGCATGATGATGCGGGGAGGAAACGAGGGTTCCAGGGCAGAAGGACCGGGTCACATTGTCTTGAGACGGACGATGAAGGACGAGAGCGACTCGATCGATGGCGTTTCGTTGTCTTCGTTTGTTCTTTTTGCTTTTTGTGTTTTTTTTTTTTTTTTCTTTCTTCGGCGCAGGTTTGGCTGGCATGTGATTGTCGTTAGGTAAGCACCCGGGCGGTGAGGCTTCTTGCTGGCAGAATACAGTCAGCTGATCCTCCGGCCCGGCTTCCGTGCCGATCCTCGGCGGTTTCCGCGTTCTGCAGGCGCGTCATGGCACCTGGCACGGGTGGCGAGTATCTTTGAGATGAATATGAAGAGAAAAGAGGGGGATACAAGGCGGATCAGATCGCTTGATAGGTAACGGTTATTCTTTTATGTCTGTCGTGCTTGGTGGTGCTATCTGGTGCCTAACGCCCGTGTTTCGCTGCCGTTTGAACTTTGAAGAAGTGGCCTTCGTTCATTCTATGATCCTACTGGCCACCACGGCAGGTCTGTAAGAATCAACCCAGTTTTGCCCGAAAACCGGCTGCCAATCAGCATGTTCTGGTAAATTGGATGTGGGGCTCTCAGTCAATGACGGCGCCTTACTCCTGAGGAGTTCTCCGTATCAACCGGTAAATATTTAGTAGATAGTGTTGGAAGTCTGAAGAAGAATAATGAATGGTGTGGTGGTTTCTTCTAGTACGTCGATAGAGCGGGTATGAACGGAACCGGGGGGGCTGGTTCGAACCTAACCGAGTACCAAGCAAAATTACGGCACGCCTCGCGGGGCCCATCTGATTAGATAATTTCATCATCTAATCTGATCATTAGCGTCGTCGTTGAAAATCCCGCATGGAGGAAATAATACTACACAGTAGATAGATAATACTGTATATATCAAGGGTGGGGGGGTTACCACTGTGAAGTTAACTATGCGCTACTATTAATCAAACGAGGGGAAATTCTTCGTCATAATTGGTTTTAGCGGGTTGTGTTTCTACACATGCATTTTCATTCTTCGGGCAACGCGGGCCGGTACCTGAAAAGTGAGGTTGAAAGAGGGAAAGATAGATGTACTGATGATAATAAATCGATCAATTGCGAGCATATATTTATCACTGCAGACAGCAAGCAACTCAGGGTCTTCATCATAAAAATATCTACGGATCTTCTTTTTGCTTCAGGGCATCCCACTCACCGCACCGCGTTGGCGCGCCTTTCCAGCACCTGCGCTGCTATCTTCCGCAAGTCCACCTTCCGCACCTTCCCACTCCCAGTCACCGGAACCGTCCGGTCGATGCCTTCCTCCCCAAAAACAAATATGTGCTGAGGCGCCTTGTGTCGACCCAGAGTCTCGCGCGTCCAATCGCGCAACTCGTCCACCGAGGGTTGCTTGTCCTCATATCCGGGTGCCATTTCAATGAACGCCCCCACCACCTCACCATACTTCTGGTCGGGGATGCCGACTACAGACGCAATCTTGATCGCTGGATGAGCCGCCAGGCGCTCCTCAATTTCTAATGGATAGATGTTTTCGCCGCCTGCGTTCGGTGAAGAAGAATGACGTGTTAGTTTATATGATCACATCGCTCTATTACCGAAGATACAGAGGAGTAAATTGGGAGCAGGGTCCAATACTCACCGCGGATGATAATATCTTTGAATCGCCCAGTAATCGAGCAGTAACCCTCCGGTGTGAAAATCGCCTCGTCGCCTGTATTCAACCACGTGGTGCCGTTGGCGTCAGTGTGCATTGTTTCAGCCGTTTTCTCAGGATTGTTCCAGTAGCCCTTGGTTAGTTGGTAGCCCGCAATGCAGAGTTCCCCCCGCTCCCCAACGGGGACAATCTGGCCCTTGGCGTTGATGATCTTGGCTTGGGCGTGGGGCATGAGCTTGCCCACAGTCGTGAGGCGCGTTTCTATGCTATCGGATGTGAGGGCATTGAAGCAGGTGGGTGATGCTTCAGTTAGACCTGGATGGAGTTAGACTGTGGCCTGGGTCTGCGGTACGCCCGAGCGCTTACCGTAGCTGCTCGTATACTGAGTCATGTTCAATTCTTCGAACAGGCGTTTCATCAAGGGACGAGGAACGGGTGCTCCGGCAATGATCCCCGTGCGGAGATTGCTTGTGTCGAAGTTGGGCGGCTTGGGAAGACTCAGGATCGCTTCGAACATGGTAGGTACGCCATGGAGGGCAGTGCACTTCTCGTCCGAGATTGCGTGGAGAACAGCCTTGGGATCGAATGTTTCGCTGGGGAAAACGATCTTCGACCCGTGTGTTACGACGGCGAGCATTCCCAACACCAGCCCGAAGCAATGGAACAACGGCGGAGGGCAGCATAAGATATCAAAGGAGGTCAGGTCCATGCGATCGCCAATAAACCGGGAGTTGTTGACCAGGTTGCTAGAGAGTTGAGTGTCTTGTTAGCTCATCTGCCTCATTCTAACAGTGGAGGCAACGGATATGGGGTGAGCATACTGATGGGTTAGCATGGCAGCCTTCGGGCTCCCCGTCGAACCGCTGGTGAATTGAAGGTTGCACACATCTCCTGGGCGCAATTCGGACTCGCGATCTAGTAGCGCGGAGCTAGGGAGCGAAAGCCCACGGTGAATCACGCTGTTGTAGTTGCTAAAGCCCTGTTGTTCTCCCCGCACGATGATGATCTCTTCGAGGGCAGCCGATCTGCCACTCTGCTTGGGCCGTGGGCCTAGCTTTCCCAGAACTTCCTCCAGTGAGTGGCGGCCAATGTGCGGGGTTAAGAATAGGAGTCGGCAATCTAAAGAGAGTCAGACAAGTGATTAGAACTCATTCTTCCAGGCACGGTGCCGCGAGATTCACTAACCAGTATGGTCCAGGGCGTAGTACAGTTCTGAGGGAGTGTAAGTGTTGTTCAAGACAACAAGGATAGCTCCGACCCGGGCAGCTGCGAAGAAAACAGAAATATATTGCTCGCAATTGCCAGTCATAATGCCTATGCGATCCCCTTTCTGGATGCCCATCGCCAACAGGCCACGGGCAAGCCGGTCGGCCTCATTATTCAGATGGGCATAGGTCCATCGGGCTCCGGTCCAGGGGAACACCAGGCACTCGTAGTCGCCATACTGCAAGCTTTGGAGAGTCAGGAGCTCGCCCAGAGTTATATCAAGCAATTCCGGCTGCGTCGGACCGTAGACTACCGACAGCTGTTGAGGTTTCTGGGGCGCTTGGAAATGGGAGAGAGTCTGCTGTAGACGCCTGACGGTGGCCATTTTGCAGGGTCGGGAATTATTGGGGGGGGGGGAAAGAAGATTTTGGACTTTGGGGCGCAGGATCTTATCAGATAGGGGAATCAGCGCCTATATCTTAGACTGATACTTGGTATTGTTACACTGTCTGACAGTCTGTATTAATTAGAAGAACCCACCTACTTGCGACTCCGGCCCTCCAGGGCTCCAATCGCTACTCGGTTGCGAGAGAAGTCATTCTTGGCCCTGTCTAGTTTCGGCGCTTGGTACCCGATGGGGCAGTTCGATTCTGAGGCGGGCTGGATGGATCCTATCAGATGTACCCACCGTCCCACACGGGCCCCGTGAAATTTATCAATCTTTTCGAGTCCTGGTATTTCTGCAAGAATCATGATACCCGTGTTTAACATACTGATATGACTATAATATATGGCGTTGGTAGCACTCCATATACAGTACCGGGAGACCCATGACGCAAAGCTTGGCTTGCCACACCAAGGCCACAAAAAGTTCCCCGGGGCTAAATACGCCGGATATTTACAACGTAGATACTCAACGCATACTCCGAATTCCCCCGATAAACATCCAAATCCTCCCACAAACGCCTCCCAACCAGCAGGAGAACCCACCGCCGCAGTACAGCAAGGGTCGGGAGTTATGTGGTTACCGCAGGGGTTCGGAATCGTGAGGTTGTTCATATGATGATGCGGTTTTTGATGGCTGGCGGTCGGGGCCCTTTGGGCGACGGATATATACTATATAGGCGGGCACTCCAGGGACCCTACAGTCGCTCTTACCGCTTTCCGCATTGGGCGAGCTCAGTCAATACAGATAGCATAGTTTCACTTGTCAGGCAGTTGTATCGCCTGCGCGTTGCCTATAACACCTGCGTTAATCACAAAGGGGTGGTGTTGACTGCGAGGGCTACGTGGGCGGCTACTATACAAGATATGACATGAAATTATAGATAAATTACACTGAAATATTTATACAATCAATCTATTCCTTTCAGGGAATTCTGCCACATGCTGCCGCCCCTCACCGCCGGGCTGTAGAGTCCGGGTGTGAGGATCCGGCACGTGATGCAACACGTGACCCAATTACATAAGATGACTGCGTGATCATGGCCGTTTGTTGCTGTTGTTGTACATTATTACCCCACCAGTTTGCTTCGTAGTTGGTCTTCTTCTCTTTGTTCCCCAGACTTAACTGTTTTCGTGAAAAATACTGAGTTTTCAATCTCTTATCAAACTTCATCCGATACCATCACATAGGGTCCCTGGAGTACCCGCCTATATATACTATATATATATCGAGATCAACCCGCGATTTCGCCTAGCCTCTCCGTGTGAGGAAAACGCGTAGAGCGAGTCGAAAGAGACCCGCATTGATTAAGTTGATTGATTGATTGATGATATTGCATTATACCCGAGTGCAGCACTCCGAGAGACTCTTTCCGGGTCGCCGAGAGCAAAGGAACTCAGGGGGGATGAGTCATCCAGTCCTTCATGTCGGTAATGACATGAAGCGCAAGATATATATATGTGCCGATCAACAGCCTATGTACAGGTATTTTTACAATGGTGCGTAGAGGCGGATATTGCCCTTTTTCCATGTCTTCGTGGTAGAAAGTGACAAGTCAAGCCTTCCAGCGGAACCGCCGAGGGAACCTTTTCAGGGAAGGGGGACATTCAAATGATTCGGGAAACAGAAAGCAAAACTATCACGAAACATCACCGCAGGTGAACGGACTCCGGACGTTACCCGTGGCGTAGTTGTTGCGGATATCCTGGACGGTGGAGTACATTCCACCCACGAGCACGATGAGACCGAAAATGAAGACAAACAGGTTCGTCAGGCTGACCAGGAGGTTCTCCCGCGAATACCACGGCCCCTTGCGAATGAGGATATACCACATGACGGGAGGGAGGTAGAACGAGAAGCCAGAGGTGAAGAGGGCCGACGCAATCGAGAGGAGGTCGTCGAAGAACGGGATGGCTTCGGCGATGACCCAGGAGAGGATGGTCAGGACGGTGATCAGCAGCAACCAGGTGATCCAGCCCTTGGGCGTGTTGATGTACCGGGTCACGCTGTTGGCATAGATCCGGCCGTGGATCAGTCGACCGGCCACGATGGTGCAGATGGCCCCCGAGATGAAAATAACCGGCAGGGCGATGCCGAAGGCCACCTTGCCAACGAGCACTCCGGCTGATTCCAGGGCAGGAGAGTCGACTGATTGGCCCACGAAGGCATAGATGGTCGCGCCGGTGACGGTGTAGATGACGATCTGGAGGATGCCCAGGGCCCAGATGGACTTGGTGAAGTCCTTCGGGGTGTGCATCTCATCCATGAAGGAAAAGAGACAGCTGGCAAACGTATACGCGAACACGATGTTGCTGATGGCGATGAAGGCGTCCGTGAAGCTGGGATTGTCTTGCGGCAACGCGGACCAGTCCACCGCGGCGAGGCCCCCCGGGGCCTCCTGGCCCCGGATGCCGGTCGCGATGATGGTGATGCCAATCGCTGCCAGAATCGATGCGAAGTCCAGATAGCCGAGCCAGGCCATGTCGGCGAACGAGGACGGGATGGACAGCAGCAGCAGGATGATGGCCGAGACCACGCTGAAGATAACAGAACAGATGCCGCTGCCGGAGATGTAGCGCAGGGCGATGGTGCCGGTCAAGCAGTTAGAGCCGGTGAGGAAGATGAGTTGCAGGATTAACATGAAGGTGAACAGCTCGTTGCCCCAGGGGCCCATTAACAAGGCCCCGGCATCCCCATAATGGCGGACGGCCGGGAAGGCGAGCTTGACCTGCCCAATCACGTACGAGGTGTAGATGGCAATCAGGCCGATACCCACGCAGCAGATGACCCCCGCGACCATGCCAAGGGTTGCAAATGCGGAGGGGATCGAGAGGGAGCCCAGTCCGATGGCCTCCACAATAAGCATGACCGTGAGCCCCTTCCAGCCGAGACGGTGATACTTGGCCTCGCCGGCCTCGATGATCTGCTGCTCGCCATCCCCCATGGCATCGGGGCCCTTGATGTCGGGAAACCAGGCGCTGTTCGGGGGAGCAGCCGACTTGGGATTGCTGCCATGGTCATGGTCTTGGCCGGCTTGGCCGGCATCTACAGAGGGAAAGCTCATGATGAGAGGCTGGGAGGCTGAGAGGAGCCGGTCAGAGAAGAGCGTTCGGGCAAGGCAAAGAGAAGAAAGCACCACATAAATCGCTCGGCTGGAGCAGCAGAAGTCAGTCAATCCAGTCGACCTGATCCGCGCGCGCGCTTGGTTTGCCTCCAACCTGATATTTCTGCGTTGAATACCGCAAGCGGGAGGATTTGCCGCGAAATCCTGTGACCCCCCGCCGGGCCCGCCCGCCAGCCCTGCCGCGCCTCCTATTGACCGGAAACCCGCCCCGCCGCAGCAAAGGCCAATGGGAGGACAGCGGGAAAGACGGGTGTTTCCCGCTTTCAGCCCCGCCGGCGGCTGTTTCTTTCGGGAAACGCGAGAAAAATCTGTTGAGTGGAGGTATGACTCCAAGTGTGAGGACTGCTGATTGGAAATTCAGACAGACATCCAGGATGTCTCGCTACAGGTCCTGTAGCTAGCCCATCAATCCCGGTTGTTTCCCCTCACAACACCGCCAACGAGAGTGGGTGGCCTGATCGAAGAGATGGCTATGGCCTGATTCCGGGTGGGATCTCTAACTCCCGGTTAGCAGGTTTGAAAGGGCCTGCAGGAGAAGGTGGAGCAGAAAGTAGGATAGTTTAAGCAGACGATATAAAAAAAAATACTTGGACCCTTTCACTGATGGGTGCTGTATTGCAAGAATTAGCGCCCGAGGGGTGTAGATGCGCAATTAGGCGCCCGGACAGGGCATCATGCCGCATGAGGATGGGGTCGCCTACTACCCCCTCGTGGCTACAGTGAGCCTGGGCGCTCCTATCATGTTGGACGTGTACGAGAAAAGCGGGAACGGTGAAGAAAATGGGAATGCCTCTCCCCGCGATATCGCATCTTGCAGGAGAGACGCAGTCTGCTCTCGTTACATCGAAAAGCATCTATACGGATTTGCTGCATGGGATCGCAGACACGGCCAAGGACAAGGGGCTCGGGCCCAAATCTATCTGTAACTGGGACTTGTTGAGGGAGCGCGATCGATATGACTGCGGGTGGCTGGTCGGTAGATGCGACGATTTCCGACGCCCCCAAAGACAACTTTCCGCCGGCATCGAACTATACGATCAGTAGACCCAAGGGATCATGTTCCATCTCTTCCGCACAGACTTCTCACCGAATTGTCGCACGTATTATTGTCTGGTATTCGCAGCGGTGACACCCAGGTTGACAACAATAAATATAAGAACAGATAATATTATCTCGCTCAAGATCTAATTCTGCGGTGCGGTCAGAAAGATTAGAAAGAGATATATTATATACCTCGCTGTATAGTGCGGACACACAACTCTGCGGAAGACAGAATAAGTTAGAAGAGTATATTTCTTTAATAAGAAGAGAAAATGATAACAGTCATACTGAATATCTGATACGATCAAGAAGATAGGAATGCAGACAAGTATACGGAGTTAGAGAGCTCTTGTAATCTTGTCATCGTCAAGCTCTAGTTTATAAGACAGCAGCGCCCCTAGAATACGATCAGTAAGATTCTCCGTGTTAATCATACCAGCTCGGATGTACCTGATCTCTCAATCCACAGTGCAACAGATACTGCTAGATAGAGTGCAAGGCCTATAATCCAGTAAACAAACCATATTCTGGACGAGGGCTTGAAGAAGATATTGCACTCATACAGCCGCCTTGCACCCTGAATAAGCATAAATATCCAGCATGAAAACATCTGATAAACTGATATCGACTTCTGCAAGTGCTCCAGGCTTATTCTTGTTGCGACAGTCTGGAAACACGGTCCCATGATACAAGAGTTGCATGGCCCAGAAGATCGACGCCAACACAGAGGCAATATAGAAGTGCGTGAAGTAGCTGTGAGGAACTCTTAAGGAGGCAACAAAGTCGAGAGCGCGTGCTGCCGGGGTTTGGTTGAGAAGGCCGCCGGGGGCGATGGGGATTCCGAGCCGGTTGTGGAGATTGCACGAGCGCCATAAGAGATAAAGCGTGAGTGCAGTGAGGTTGGCAGGAGGTTAATAGATAATATCTAGAATATCCTTGATTTTAGTTCTGTCGGCTGAATGTAGTGTTATCAATTCCCGTCTGCCTCGGCTTCTGAAGGTTAACATGTCCATACCGTACAAGATGTCAAAAGGAAGAAAGAAGGCTCGAAGGGTGTCGACAGCGTCCATATGTATGGAGGACAGCGTCGTATTCACCCAGCTGGTGAAGAGCTCCATGACGCGGGTCCGCCACCGATGCGGAGAACTCCATAGGGGTCTGCAGCGGAGGCGAGAATAGCAATAACAGGTTTCGCCTCTGGCTGTTGACTACGTGTCCGGAGGAGTCTGGTTGAGAGGGGGTGGGGAAGATAGTGGGAGAAAGCAAGAATTGCGATAAGCAGTGCTGTCAGGTGTGCTCGGAGCATACAGACTGGACAGTAAGGTAGTATGGCGGCCGTACGACGGCGACAGAAACTCTGGTTGCAGAGCTTCGCTCTGCAATGTCTGTACGTAAAAAGGGCGGAAAAAGTGGATAGTTAGCAAATACCGATAGTCATCGGTTGCCGGAGTGGTCTCACGTGATAGTACTTTGATTGGTAATTATATAGCTTTGACCTGCCTGTAAAACGCCCATGATCACGTAATCATTATATGTAATTAAATCACGTGCCAGATACTCACAACCTTGGTCGTCTAGTCCCCGAGTATCTATAGGGGTGGGAAAGTTGAAGTTCACTGTTGACCGGAACTACCTTCCTACCACTCCAGCCCGCCCGCACCTTGATATATATATATTTTTCTACATTAAGTTACGCAACGACTCCCCCTCTTGTTTTAAAAAATATACTATAATTTCAAGTAGTTGTAAAGTAGTTTACAGTTACTTAAGATGTTAATTTAATCTTGATTTTGAAGCTGTCTGCGTCGCTCAATTAAATCCAGTTCCCGTGCTTCATTTTCAAGCTCCTGTTTTCAAATATCCTCTTCCTGCTTTCTAATTTCTGCTTCTAGTTCTCTTAATTCAAGCTCCTGGCGCCTCTGCTCTAGGCTTAAAACATTACTTGAAGCAGTACACCGTAGACCTGCAGATATAACAGTTCTAAGTATATAGTAAGTATTTGTCAGCTAGTTGGTAGGTAATTGATAACTACTTACCTAGTTTCTTCAGATTATGAAGATGCTCGTGATATGAATCTGATAGAAGGGGCTCTAGACTAGCCTCTTACTATACTAGAACCAGCAGAACGCTGATATTTTCGATTTAAATCTTTAGATTTAGTTAGTCAAGTAGTTAGCAACCACTTGATAAGTACTTAAAACGTACCTCGTTGTATATGGCGGTGGTAAAAGACTTCCATATTGGCTGTACAATATGAATAATGGACATTCAAATCATGAAATCCTTACCACTGTATAATATCCTCCTTATCAAGCTTAGCAGAACTAGTAAGCATTTATTAAGTATTTATCAAGTAGTTAACAACTATTTGTAAGGTACTTACTTCTTTACTGCCTCAATCATACTTAGAAACTTTCCTGAGGAGTAGGACTTTTGATGTGACTGTTGGACTGAATTTGTATGTTTTTATAATTAAGTCCAAATATATGGCTCAATATTAGAACAAGCCTGAACTAATCCTGTTTTAATAATTGGGCTTTTCTTCTGTCTAGCCCAATTCCGGATATTCTCACTTTCATTCTCTATTTAAGTAGTTAGCAGATAACTGACAAGTAATTATAAAGTACTTACCCTCAAGTAGATTAATGTACTTGTCATAGTCCTCTTTACTTTTGCAGTTAAGAAGACTTATTATCCGGCTCCAAACCCCTTCACCTTAAGATCTTGTTCCAAGGACTTTTAAAATTATTCGGTGAAAATAGATTTGGCAAAAAATAACTAAATGCGACAGCTGCCATTCTATACTATAATAGTCAGGATCAATTTCCCGGAGATATTGACCAAGACCTAAGTAGTTAGTAAGTAGTTAGTAAGTAGCTATTATACCTGTATATTGCTTAGGATCCATGTCTAAAATAATCCCCTTGACACCAGTACCATGAATGGACTGAAACTGGAATTGTTTTCCAGTAATCTTTGCACAAAGTGACAAAGATTAAATATTCTTTGAAAAAGTAAATAATAACCTTCAGTTGTGTCCTGGGAGGTTAAAACACGAAAAAGTGTAATTACTTAAAAGATAGTTAGCAAGTACTTGTAAATCAGTTGAGAACTTTTAAACTTACTTTTGCACTGCTCTGGTAAAAAAGTTGCAAAAAGAACCTCATTAACTGTCTTTGATCGTAGTCTTTTAAAAGACATATCAATTTCAAATGATGAAAGTGTTGATAGTAGTTTAATTGATTCTTCAAACCTATATAAAACCATAGTACCCTGTACATCATGGTAATATTCTTGAATATATTCCTAAGTGTTATGGGGTTCTCGTACGAACCCTCCAAATCCCAAAGGCTTGGCAATGCCTGCGCGAATGCTTTGTTTGGCATGCTGCGACCAAACAAACAATCAAACAAAGCAAGGGATAGCGCCGTACGAGAAGAGATAAAAAGACATAACTTGGACACTCTTGTTTTCTCTTCTCTTCTTCTTTATTGATTCCTTCTGTATCAACAGTCAATCATTGGATTAGCTTAATTCAATCATTCCCCTAACACTAAGTACTTAGTAAGCATTTGGCAAGTAGTTATAAAGTAGTTACTAGGTACTTTGCTTACTTTGATAAATGGATCTGTAATTTGCAGGTAGATAATTCCATCAATCTTTTGTCCTTTTGGATATGCAAGTAGACGCTGTTTATAAAGAATTATTGAGATACGATCCTTATTACAAAGACTAGCATGCATTTCAGCAAAAGTAGAAACTTGATACTCCCTGCAGAAATCTTCAAGCTGTGGATTTCGTAGAAACTGGGCTTTTGTAAGACCGCAACCTAGGGGAGTTGTTGCCACTGAGCCAAAAGACTACTAACATTACCCGCAGTTACCTGCGGACCCCTAGAATCCCATATATATACTCAGGTACACCCGGGAGGAGGCGGGTTTCACCCTTGTAAGTATGCATATCCCGCGGATATCATCCCTTACAGCTTTTAACTAATTAGTAAGTACTTGAGGAGCAGTTGATAAGTACTTACCTGTTGTCATTGCAGGATCATTAATGCAAGTAATGATTTGTTTTACAGGGCTTCCTGATACTGGTGTCACTACCTATACTCTTTGTCCTTTGATTATTTCAGCAACCAAGGTAAAACCACGCTAGACCTAACCTGGAGGCCGGATTGAACAACAATGTTCCGTGAGGCTACTGTGTACTGTGATAACATGTACTGTGTACAGTAATCTATAGAAACATCTAGTCTAGTAAGAGTGGCAAATTGTCCTTGAAAATCACGGGACGGTTGTACTAAGTAATAGTATAAAGGCGTTGCATATCCCATGCCCTTCTTTTGTAAAGAGATTAGAAAATAAGAGACTGGAGTAGATAACAAATATAGTATTCTCCTTTTAAAAATCAAATCTTATGATTGAAACACGCCCAGTAATTAACCCAAGGGCAAGCATAGTATTCTTGATAGCAAAACACCGAAAAGGACGATGGTCAGTAGGAAGCCACAGGGCCCTTCCACCTCGTAGAGAGACCCAAGAATCCGCGACAGATATAGAATAACTGGTAGTGGATTGGTTTACCACCGATTCGACCGTGCCGACGTGGCCGGTCAGCGTGCGCTGCTCGACGCCCGTGGCCGTGTCCCAGAGCTTGATCGTCTGGTCCCCCGAGGCCGACGCCAGCGTGCGGCCGTCCGGTGAGAAGGCCACCGAGTAGACCGTGCTGGAATGCCCTTCAAATGTCTGGAGATTTGAGCTCCAGGAATCTTCCACTGCTGTTCCAACTGCCAGTTGATCTTTAACTTTGCTGACGAATATCTGCTTGATAATACTTTTGCTCGGTGCAAATACAAGACCAGCGCGGTAGATCTGTAGTGGAGCAATTGCTGCTATGTAGTTATTTTGACGAATAAACCTTTCCGCATCATATAAAAAATCAGATAAGTCAGAGCCAAGTTGCGCCTAGATAATATTTAGCCGGTCTTCTAAGCAGCGAATCATAAACTTATACATACTCTTGACTTTAATGTATCTATTAATCCTACCGCTTCCGAAATTCCTCCTATCAGAGCTAGTACCTCCATCCAGTGAAGAAAGTGGTCCTGGAGAAAAGGAAGAACATCACAATTTATAATATGATCTTTGCTCTGTTCAACATGATGAACCCAGTAGCGACAGGCGTATTGTATATCAGCAGTAAGATAATCTTCGATAATCTCGGTTTTGATATCCTCTTGCTGCATTCCGTAACTTTGCAGCTCGCATATATTCTCTTTGAGCCGGGTTTTCATAAGCCGAAGACAATGTGAAGCGATTCTACTATGTGTATCTTGCTCAGGAACATAAAATGGGCACTTTTTGTCCAGGAGGTAGTCTCGAAATGACAAGTGTAGAATCCGGACTGGTGCTTCAAAATCCACTGGTATACTGAGAACAGAGTGGAATCCGTCCAAGCGATTATTGATATCATCAAGTGGAAACTCAATGAGCAGGGAGAGAGCATCAAGGGACAAAGGTGAAGCTAGAAGAATAATTGTCCCAATTATATGTTGGAACTCTTTCTTCAGCTGATGTGTCTCTTCCTCATTAGCTCCAGCAAGAAGCTGGCTTAGGATAGGCGTGTATGTTCGCGCCATTTCGTCTTCCGAAGATGCACTCGCACTGTTGAGAATCTTTTCAAGCCGTTGTTCTGGACGCCATTTTCTCTCTCCGACAAAGCGGCAAATCGTAGCTGCGAAGATAAATAGAGGAATAGCCATTGCCACCAGCTTTTCAATTTTCTCACTTCCGGGCCAGTCGGGTGACAGCGAGCGCTCTTTTTGTATGGCCAGAAGCTTACTTTCAAGGAAAAGACGAATATCATATTCAATCACGGACTTAGGAAGCTCTTGGAGGATCAAATCGTGGTGATCCTTATTTTTGTCAAAGCTAATGCGAACGGGGAGTTCAGGTCGGCTGGTTAGGAATACTCGAAGATGCACAGATTTGATTTCTTGCATCTTAAACAAGCAGTTAAGGATAAGTTGTTGGTCCTTATCTTCGTCACACTCGTCTAAAGCATCAATAACAATCACAATTGTTGTAGATTGGCTAGTAGACAGCTTTTGGAGTGGCTGATAAAGGAGCTTCTCAAACTGTATATCAAGAGATTTAAACACAACATTCGAATCATTCTCAATTGCATTGAACACATCGAAACCCAGTTGCCGGTGCTTGATGATTAGTTGACGTGCGAGAGTCGACACAAAGCGCTTTGCATTACCACGGTCGGCTTCGCCTCGCTTGAAAAAAAAGCTGGCACCTAAAAGCCCTTGATTTTGAAAGGATTGAGCGACAGTCCGTGCAATAGTGGATTTACCAGTCCCCGCCATGCCGTTTAGCCAGAAAATAAGTTGATCTTGCGACTGAGCCCACGTTGAAATGTGGCGAAGGAGATCTGTTCTAGTATCTGGAAGACAGTAATCCTCATGCTGATGAGTATAAGAGTCGAAAAATGCTCCTTCCGCTAATAGTAAGCTCTTAAAGCCAGAATGTTCAAGGAGTCTCTTCAAGGAATCGGCTAGTTCATCAATCTTGCGTAGGATATTCTCTGCCTCTTTGGCGCGGTTAAGATATTCGATCAATCCAATCCATTTATCTAACTTAGCCCTTTCATTCTCAACCGAAGTCTTGAGTGCGATGAGTGGTTGCTGAAGGCTATCGGTCACCGTATTGAGTACTTTTTCTCCGACACTTGCTTCCTGGAATTTGCGTATCTGGACCACGTAACACAAGATAGCTTTATAGAGTCTGATCAATGCATCTTCTACAAGATGATTATCAGAAATACTCTTTGTTTTCTCGTGGAAATTCTGCTCGATAAAGGCACCGTATGTCAGAACATCTGCCAGGTACCCCGATGATTCGAACAGGGAATTGCGGCACTGGGAGTATTTTTTTGCCAACTAGCATTTCAATTAATAAAAATATCAGCAGCGACTTTCAGAATGCCCGGTTGTATACATACTGTCAGACTAAGTAAGACAATATTCCACACACTAGCGGCATGCTGCGTCGGGTCGAGTGCAGCCACCGCACCTATAATATCTTTGAACGATAGTGCAGCATCAAGAATTTTCCGTGAAGTCTTCCGGCATGTTTTATCAGCTGTCTGATAATACTTTTCATATCCTTCTTCAGTTGTTGTGATAACCTGATCGATTAGATTCTTAAGATGTTTTTTCCCCTCACCCGGCGTGATTGAAATCTCCTTGGTTGAGAGAATATTTTGCTGGCTTTTATCAAGGTGGTTATAAGCAGTTTGCCATAAGTCTCGCGGCTGCAAAGTTTGCGTTGACTGAATGGCCTGGTCTGCAGGCTTGGGAGGGACAGGGTGGGCATCATTATTGGTGAAATGCTCTTGGGTTTCATTTTGCCTTGATTTGATTATCGGCTTCTCGCTCTCTTTCCGCCGATGGAATAGATGACTAAAATGCTTTCCGAAGGGACGTGGCATTCTGAATATTTCGAAAGATCAGCTGCTGTGTGTTGGGTGAAAGCGAAACTCCGGGAGAAGAGCAGTTCGAGAGAGGAACGCAGCCATCGTCGGTTGATACTAGCGTAGAATTCGTTGCTGAGCTGGCACAGCTGGATGGCAAGGATAATCCTTGCTTGGCTTAGCCCGTCATGGCCAGCTCTGTGGTGCACGGGGATCCCTATCTCGTCTACTCCGGCCAGAGTCACGTGCCATGGTGTTGGCGTCGGAACACAGAAACGTACCCGGGGGTCGATCTTCTTTAGATATCCGCGGGATGCATCCTTACAAGGGTGAAACCCATCTCCCCCCGGGTGTACCTGAGTATAGGGATTCTAGGGGTCCGCAGGTAACTGCGGGTAATGTTAGTCTTTTGGCTCAGTGGCAACAACTCCCCTAGGTTGATGTCTTACATCATACCGTAAGCTGAACATTTGAGATAGGAGGCGATCCTCGGCACCCGATAGAAGCAATATCCATTATGTTAAGCACTTTTATGGCTAATCGATCAGAAGACGTGGGTGTCAACCATAGACAGGATCAACGAACCACAAGTCAAGATAATTTGAACGTTCGGATAATCTTCGATTTCTCGTAGTTCGACAAAATTGGTCTTGGTGAGTTATTCGACATCGGATGTTTTGTCGGCCCGAGCCGAGGGCCAGTCATGACTAAGTGAAACCCAAGAAACGTGGCCTCCTGGCATGTATGCCCGGTAGGGGTAGTGTTGGACCATATTGCGTGATACCACGTCATCGGTCACATGACTCAACACCCTGCCGGCACCTCAAGTAGGCAGCCGCCCCTAGCTAGTTGAATCAATCAACCTTCTGCTCCCTCGTATCCTTCGTACAGGTAGGTAGGCTGTGCGGACTGGGTATGCGTGGGTGTCTTCTTCTTTCTATTGAGATGAGATGACATGTATATACTAGCTGGATGGGGTGTACATCGCCTCTACTTAACGGCATACGATCTACTCATACCGACTTGACAGACCAGGAAGACCACTCGGCTGAAAAGGTGTCCAGACACCTAAGTAGGCGTAATACTGAATGATACTGGGTTTGACACGACTACATACATACATCTCAGTCTGCTGAAATTCTCAAATCATCCAACCTAACCTATAAAGACAGTATAGTACAGGACATTGCCGTTCACGAGACAAATACAAATCAGTCCGTCCGGGTACATTGATCGACTGATCGATTGACATAAATCCAAAGAAAGACATGAACACGGTCATTAGTCATCAGTAATTCGTAACTAGTTAGCAGGGGTTGGTTATTATTTTTGTGGTTTTCTCTCTCGCTCGCCTGAATCCCACATATACATGCACGCACGAGCGCACGCACGCACGCACGTAGCTGATCATTTCACTCAGCCAGTCAGTTAGTTGCAAAAAATTAGAAGTGCTCCTTCCAGAACTTAAACCTGATGTCCTTCGTAGACGTCGACATGGCCGCATCGCGGATCTGTCTCGCCGCGGCATTCGGACCACAGAAATAGACCCCGATCTGGGTCGTCGAGTTGCCATGCAAGCCGGTCAAGTACGTCTGCTCCTGCAGGCCATCGCGCATAGCCGTGAACAGACGCTTGAAGTCGGGACGGCCGAAATTCGTCCGACTTCTCAGTTCGGTGAGGGGATCGACGTCCTGGCCGACGGAATTGAGATAGATGTTCGCGGCGGTGTCGTCGTCCAGTCGCTGGGTGAGATAGGTGTGGATGCGCAGGAACTCCGCACTGCCGTCGTAGGCGGCTTCGGAGGCGGACTGGGATTCCAGCGACGAGAGCAGGGCCTGGAACCACTCGAAGGAGGAGGTGTCCTTGCAGACCCAGATGAACTCGACGCGGCAGAGCCGGCGCGGCGGGTTTGGGCGCGAGCGCAGATGCCAGATGTTTTTGAGGATGGAGGCCCATGGCGTCACCCCGATGCCGGTGCCGATTAGCACGGCCACTTCGTTCTCGAAGACGTCTTCGGCGGGCGCGCCGTAGGGGCCGTCGACGCGGAGCGTCGGCATCTTTTGCCCGTTTTGGAGCGCCACTTCGTACATGCCTAGTGGGTCGAGGCCTTCGAGGTCTCGCGCTTGCGCGGGTCCGCAGCCCAGTGCGTCGCCGAGGGCGCGGGTGAAGTCGCCGACTTGGCGGACGTGGACGCTCACGTACGGGTCGAATGGGCATGAGGTGATAGTGAATGGGTGCCATTGGTTGCTGGAGACTTCGGTGACTTGGATGAAGAGCCATTGGCCGGCTTTGTATTTCATGCTGTCTTTGCGGAATTGGATCTCCATTGCGTCTACGCGGGGTTTGTTAGGACGAGGGGGGTTGGGGGTTGTGAGGGAGGGGGGGAGGACGGACCGTATGGATGACGGATCACTTTGGTGATCACGGTCTCGCGTCTGGCTCGAATCTCCCGGTATAGTCTTTCGCAGAGGTACAGGCCTCCACCGATCAGTTCCCATCTCCAGCCTTCGTACCCCAGGCAGTGGTTCCAGAATCGAGCCCCTGCGAATGGGGAGATCGGAAGCGCGGTGTCTCGGACAAAACAGCCCGTGGCATGGGTGTATAGCGCCAGGAAGAACGGCACAAATAGGTGGTGTGTGTACCAGAAAGTCTCGAACGACTGTTGTCGGATTCGCTGGTGCGCGGTAGTGTACATTAACATCATGCAAAGAAGCATCACATGGCCGGTAATTCCGCCAGCTTCGGTGTAGTGGATCTGCACGGCCTTGACGGGTCGGATATGGTCTTTTTCGATGTTATAGAAGCTGCCATCCTTCAGCACGGTGGCCTCTTTTTCGTGAAAGGAGACTTACTTGACGTAGTGGGCAGCTGTGTGTATGGCAGTGAAGATAACCAGGGCGTACGCCACATGTCGATGGAACCATACCGTCTCGTCCAACGGCAGCCACTTTAGTCGGGGCCTTATGGTCTTGACGACATTCCTGCACATGGGCAGCAGCAGAAGGGTCGCATCGCAACTCAGAACCAGCCCAGCGCCTCTGGAGATCCAGACTGAATATTGCAGTTCATTGAGAGTTGCAAGCTTTTGATCTGAGGCCTGTATGTACCTAGGATCTCTTAGCGGTCGTGCTGTTAGGTGTCAGGATTGTCAAACATACCACCCGACTGCAAATATAAGGATATGGAAAGCCCAGAAGAATGCATAGAACCAAATTTTCGATCCGGTAAAGTAGGAACTCCAAGGACGCATGATGAGAATAAGTAGAAAGTGTCAAAGGCATATACCACCGGCGTCTCTTTAAGCACAGAGGTAATCATCGACCAGCAATGACCAGATAGCAAAGGAGTGACGGGCAGAGTACTTGATGTGCGTACGGTCGTATGTCTTTCTCAGACGTGAAGCAGGTCGAAGTCCAACGGAGTGAAGTCGCTCGCTAGATGGCCTAGAAGCGCATAAGTAGGCTGCTTCTCCTAACTTCGAATCCTTCGCCCAGGCAAGCAGGAAGTTGGCCTGGGTAAGGCGAAGTCCGTTTGAGGGGACTCAGAACAGTTCTCGATACCCTCTTCTTCAAGCCAAATAATCGCCGTTGAAGGGGTATTCCCATGCGTCGAGTTCGCGGGTCAGATCCGTTCAGGACGCGGACAGTGCCCGATCAACGCAGAGGGCTGGGGGCCAATTGGGAGACAAGAACCAGAGCCGATCTGACCATCGTTATCTTAAGAAGGCCCAGACATCGAGGATGAATAATTCGAGGAGGAGTAGCTTGGTGTGGGGTTTTGGCCGCAGAGGTTGGCAGGCCGGCGTCAAGGTACCGGAGATACGGGTTGGTTGCAGGGAAGGCAGGGAGCGAGGAGAGGGGGGGGGGGACGGAGAACGAGGGGCGTGAGGAACAGGAATCTTGCTGCTATATTTACCCCACCCCTGCACTGCGCGGACTATTGCATCGCTAAAGTAGCCTGCATGGAGCGGATCGCCCGGTTAGACACCGCTTCCCCGTGCTTAGCGGGTGCGATAATGCCCAGGCAGCCCATTCATCGCATGATCCCGATATTCGTTCGTCGATAGAGGGGGATCCTGCCGCTCGTATTCGAAGCGCACGATCATTCGGTGAGTGTCAGTCACTGTGTGACTGACTTGTGAGTGCTCTGAAGTGGTCGCCGCCATTGGTGCGCTTCGCCAGGCAGTGATGATAGGGCTAGCTGGATAGCGAGTCAAAGAGCTCGATGTCCCCCTTTTCCCTTCTTAGATGGAATCCTGCCCGTCTTGTCAAGTCCCGGCAGCCGCCACCGACTAGACATTTGAACCATGTTGCTCCAGGGTTGAAATTGGCTGTTCGAAGCTCCGTATTCTTCCCGTCATCCACCACTCCTGTTGTATACGGCTTCAATCGGCCGTTGATTTGCTCCTGACAGGGTGGGGTCTCGGTCAATTTCGTCCTATGGGAAGCGCTATGCAAGCGCGCATCCCGTCACACACACGGTCCAAGCGTCCATCAAGGTTGACGGCGTCACTCTGGCAGATTAACATGCGCTTGCTATCTACCAAATAGAGGTTCCTGATTCTGAGGTCAGACAGCTGTAAGGTAGCTACTAGTCCTAATCAGAGACATCTCCGGGGGTCCAGGGAGGGACGGGGCCCTTGAGACTTTTCTGATAGGGAGTGGGAATCAGGAGACGATTTCCCACTCCCGAGGCAGACATAAAGTTCTTGGCCCTGCACGGTTGAGATTTTCATCACACTTTGTGAGACTCCGATTGGGGCTTTGGGCCATGCGGGTGGGAACGACTAAGTACTCCGTGGTATTCCCAGGGGGCTAGGCGCCGGACCCCCAGCCTTCCCAGTAGTAATATTACGGTCATAACTATTTCTGTGATGATGATATGACAGGTTTCAAAGGTCTTTCAGCGAATAAGCGAGATAAGCAGTTATAAAACATAGACAAGGCCCCTTGTCAGAGTAGAAATCGGCGTTCGTTGGATTTATCAGGATCTTGTAAGGGGACTGAGGCCGGCGGCTTCCTTATCTTATGTAATCGGCTCACCAAAGGATTCGGAGGTCCGGAGGTCTGAATATCCGGAGAGTGAGACTGGCGAGATCAGAGAACCGAAGAACTAAAGCAAGGACTGGAGAAGAGAGACTATCTCAGACCGTCAGACGAGCTGATGCCTTGTCTTCTCGTCACCGCCTTCTGGTCGGTACGAGGTGTGTTGATGTCCCATTATTGTTATCAGATGTTGTTGTGCTGGGTGCAGTTCATCCGGATATAGTGCGGCGTCTTGGGGGCCCTCTCACACAGGTATCAGTCCGTGTCGGCATGCTTTTATCTGATAAAGATCAGGCGTTGAGCCTGATCTTTCCGGGGCGTGCCTGGAACAACACCGGGCTAGTGGTTCCAGAGCCCTGTCGACTCCCCTCCAACCGCGTGGGATGCGGATGCTGTAAGCTATCAGTTCGATACAAGAATGCGAAAATTACGAAAGAACTGTCCCAAACCCAGGCTCTAACAGTGGTCCCTCAACAACCGACCTCCAAATTTGCCCCTATGCATAGTACGTGACGGTATACCTCTCTAGGTAAGAACGCTACTCAGAAAACTTATGTATGTACATACATCTGAATAGGAGAATGAGACTGCAGGGCAGTGTAGTTTTAAGTTCTATTCAATACTCCGGGTAAATACGACAGTCTTGTAATAATTTTGCTGTTCCTCTAAAGACTTCTCTAAAGTTAATAGCAAATCGATCGCGCGTATGTGCAACTCTAGGATTGCGGTTAGTATCTTATCACAGACAGTAGCGGCAGGGCGATAGAAGCAGCGACCGTACCTTCAATATCCAGTTCATAACTCGTGAATTGTTCCTCGTCGCGATGAACGAGAATGGGGATCCGCTGGTCCAGGAACTTCTTTCCCCGGACCCGTACTTTGATTCCGGCGGTCTTTCTCGAATCAACCCAGAGCATCTGCGAAGTGCCCGCACCCTCTGGGTTGAATTCCCGGAGACGCTTCTCTTCGTCCCTCAGCCAATCGCGGAATACCCTGATGACCCCGTCCTCGACTGTATGTGCGCTCAGAAGCAGATTTGTGCCTGGCATGACCTTCACGATATTCACGACAACGCATAGTTGAGAGAAGTCTTCAAATCCCTCCAGATTTATCGGGCGCCTGACGACCAGATTATTATTATTATTATTATGATGCATAGATTCGTCCTCATCTATTCGTGTCAGCCGGTTGGGTACAATGTCAACCGATTTGGCACCAAAGCCAACGCACCTGTTAAAGGTACCAGCCTCGCGCCATTGGATCGTTCTTCCACGGTCACCTCGGGGCGAAATCTCGAATATATCGAACCCAGTCTACCCAGCTTCTGCGCCGGGTCTGCATCTTCACGAACCGAGCTCTTCCCGTCGTATAGGTTGCTCAAGCCGTCTGTGCCGAGGTGCGTGCAAAAGACATGGGGTTCGATCAGCTTGGAGCTGGGGTGGAAGCATTCTAGGATCAGTTTGTATTCCCGCAGCGAGGCACCGATGAGGAGGCGATAGTGCAGGATCCGAAGGATGAGGGCGTGGAAGCGGTGAGAGACGGCGGCCCAAGGGAGGAGGGAGAGTGTTGAGAAGGAGGACAAAATCTGGACAAGGACCTGGGATGATGATGCTGATCAGCAAGCGGTCGCTCAAGCGTGTGTGTGGGGGGTGGGGGGAGCAGTGGCGGACTTCATTCGGGAGGGAGTAGAGGTGGAGCTTTGAACGGCGGGCGTCCATGATCTGATCAACTGCGGGCAGCACACCTCAATCTCATATCTTCGCACGATGAAACGCCTGAAGGGGATTGAGGGATCATGGACGGCAGCAATAAACCTGGAATGGGACGACAGGGGCACGACCGGTGGGGGGGGCCGCTCTGGGGAACGTGACGTGCGAGGATCGGATGTCAGATGATAACCCTGTAGAGTGTGGAGGATGAGGGGGCGATAAGGCCTCAGGCCTCAGGCCTCCCTTGCGTCCCTGACGTCAAGCCAGTCGGCCCGAGACTGGTGGCTGCTGCTGCCTGGGTGCCTGGCCGACTCGGGTAACCGCGGGGAGAAGACCCCTAGATTATCATCATCAGTAAAACAACAGGGAGGGTTTAGTATGTCTACTTAAACAGGATATCCTTGATTTCTGATCTTTGTACAAAGTCGGAATGATGCGTTTTTATGGGACCTACTGGTGGTGATGTGAACTGCTCGAGCTCCGACTTCGGGTCCCGTATCTGCCTGCCTGAGACCAACAAGGCGACGAAATTCTCCTGAAATATCTCAATCTTTCATGGATTCTTATTGTTAAGTAAACGCGACAGTAGATAGACTAGGTCAGAGCGCATCCTCGTCCCGACTTGTAGAATCCCGCAGGAAAAAAAAAAACAAAAACAACACCGCAAGAAATCTATCTTGTAATCTAAGCAGACAAATACCACTCCCTCTGGGTCAACATCCACGTCAACGTGGATGACGCAACAATCAGAGGGCTGACAAAGCGACCCTTCAGCTGCGCACTCCCGAAAGCCACCCACTCGCCAACAAAGTGCAGCAGGGCAATGCCGAAGGTCCACAGGGCGAGATCGTACACGGCAGGGGTTGTGATGTAATACGCGGCGTAGAGGCGGACGATAGAGGAGAGGAAGGTCCAAGTACCGAAGGTGCGCGCGGAGAGAGCGTTGGTGTGTGGGCGACCGTCAGCGGTCCTGCCATTGTAGAGATCCGCGGCATATGACTCGGATCGGTAGGCCTGAATACTGTTTGCTGCTGAGACGACGGAGACCTGGGGAGAAGAGGATTGATTAGCTTTTGACCGGGTGTAAACAATGGGGTAAATCTCATACCAGGAAGAGCCACTTGGGCAGCAGACCCTCGAAGGGCGGCAGATAGGAAAGAAGGGCAGCCATTGTTGCACGCGGCGTGGGAAGGAAGCTCGGGATAATGGACAGAAGCTTGGAGGGACACTTGGTTGGGGGAGGCTGATAATTGCGAGGGGAGTAGAGTAGAGGAGTAGTTACTCCGTACGGCCGATATGATCTAATCGGTTGACTGCTGCTGGCTTCATGGCCGGAACAACGGTGGTTCCGGCGCCGCCCAATGAGCGGGCGGTTTGAGGTACTAGGAGACTGTCCTATCTGTCCAGATTTTTTTTTTTTTTTTTTTTTTTTTCTCTTCAATCTCCGGCAGTGGTTGTCGGAGGGTGCCGTCATGGGCTGTACTCTGTCATGATTTCTTGCAGTCCAGTCCGCGCGACAGGGTCAATGATCTGCCGGGCCAGCCAGCTACGGAGTAAATAGTAAGGAGATATCTGATATCTAATAATGAAGCACGCGATGCCGTCGCATCCCCCCCCGCATTTGGGAAAATGCGGAGGTTCCAGCCTCCGCATCATGCAACACCAACAACAATTCTCGCTCCGTTTCCGAGCGTGATGACGTGAATCTGATTCTGCGCCCGCGTCGCACCGACGGACGGTGAGTCTCCGTCCTCCCTGTGGCACCGACGGACCGTCAATCGCCGTCCCAACCTCGGTCTTTGATTCTCCGCCGCCGCCGCCATCCACGGCATACAAAAGCGGCGGGGAGGGCGAGATATGTGAGTATTGTCTGGTTCATTCGATACTTACATCGTCAATTAAATTAGACTTACGGAGTCCCTCCTCTACCCAGTCATCCAGTCACCCAACGAGTCAATTTCTCGCTCAATTGCTCCCTCAACCGACCAATCAATCCCATCATGCCCCTCCCCGCAGAAACCGACGTGCTCGTCATCGGCGGCGGCAACGCGGGCTTCTGCGCAGCCATCTCAGCCGCCCAGTCCGGCGCCAAGCGAGTGACCATCATCGACAAATGCCCGGAAGAATGGGCGGGCGGCAACTCGTACTTCACGGCGGGCGCGATGCGCACAGTGCACGGCGGGGTATCCGACCTGCTGCCGATCGTGAACAACGTGGACGCAGCCACGGCGCAGAAGATCGACATGAAGCCGTACACGGTGGAAGACTTCACGGGGGACATGAACCGGGTGACGGGGCGACGGACAAACCGCGAGCTGTGCCGCACGCTGGTCGGGGAATCCAACTCGGCCATCAAATGGCTCGCCAGCAACGGGGTGCGGTTCCAGCTGTCGTTCAACCGGCAGGCCTACGAGGTCAACGGCCGCCTCAAGTTCTGGGGCGGCCTGGCCCTGAAGACCCAGGACGGGGGCAAGGGGCTCATCCAGGACCATCTGCAGGCGGCGCGGAAGCTGGGCATCCAGATCGTCTTCTCGACCGCCGCGCTGCGGCTGGTCACTGATCCGATCACGGGGGCCGTGGTGTCTGTTGTTGTCTCGCACCATGGCAAGGAGGAGACCGTCCGCGCCGGCGCGGTGATTCTGGCGGCGGGCGGGTTTGAGGCGAATCCGCGCATGCGCGCGCAGTTCCTGGGCCCGCACTGGGACGTGGCGCTTGTGCGCGGCACGCCGTACAACTCGGGGGATGCGTTCGAGATGGCGATCCGGGATGTGTCGGCCAAGCAGGCGGGGAACTGGTCCGGATGTCACTGCGTGGCGTGGGATGCCAACGCGCCGGCCGACACGGGAGACCGCGAGATCTCGAACGAGTTCACCAAGTCGGGCTATCCGCTGGGGATCATGATCAACCGACAGGGGAACCGGTTCGTGGACGAGGGGTCAGATCTGCGCAACTACACGTACGCGATGATCGGACGCCAGATTCTCAATCAGCCTGGTCACATGGCGTTCCAGATCTGGGACTCCAAGACTATCCCCTGGCTGCGCGCTGAGGAGTATCGCCCTGAGGTGGTGCAGCATATCAGCGCGAATTCGATCCGCGAGTTGGCGGAGAAGTGCACCGAGCATGATCTTGAGGATGCGAAGCGGTTCGAGCAGTCGGTGCTCGAGTATAACCGCGCCGTGTATGCTAGGCAGCACAAGAATCCCGGGGGGAAGTGGGATCCGGCGGTTAAGGATGGGCTCACGACGCAATCCGAGGGATCGGAGCTGGCGGTGCCCAAGTCCAATTGGGCCCTGCCTATCGATCAGGGCCCGTTCTTGGCTGTCAAGGTCACCGCGGGCATCACCTTCACGTTTGGAGGGTTGGCTGTGAGGCCCGAGACAGCGGCGGTGATCTCGTCGGCAGACCGCGAGGTGCCCGGATTGTATTGTGTGGGCGAGATGCTGGGAGGATTGTTCTATGATAACTATCCCGGCGGCAGTGGCCTGACCTCCGGGGCGGTCTTTGGACGTCGTGCTGGACGAGCGGCGGCGGCCAGGGTTTTGTCGAACCGGCAGGCACGGTTGTGATGATGTTTCTATGGGGCGAATCAACTTTGGGTGAAGATTGTATATAGGATATATCTGCATCGAGTGTATTGCACAAGCTCTTGGACTTTTATCAAATATAGTAACACCTGGTCGGTAATAGGATCTATTGTCTTGAATCGATCGCTACTGCCACGGTACACGACGCTGTATACTGCACCAATCGCATCCGCACACCATAAGATATACAACAGTAAATAAACGTCCCTGCTCACGGAATCATCCTCCATAATCAAGCCACGTGTCAGATATTCACAAGAGGCTTCTGCAGCTCCAGACTTATCACGGCGCGGTGTGACCTGCCCCAGACACCTCTGTTGAACAGAACTGTATCCCCGATGCAATCCACTCTCGATGCGATAAAGTACGAACAAACAAATAGTCATCACCACCGTCACCTCCGCATGAAGCACTGAAGTCCGTCCGTGTGGCTTGGACACTTGAACATCACCAGACAAGCTCTTGAAGAAGACACAGCATAGTCTTTCACCATGATCGGCGTTCAGGACGCTGCTCTTGCGTGTCTTCCCCTCATCCGCCAATCGAACGCGCCGGGGGGATTCTACACATTCCCGAACGCGAGGCATGATATCATGCCACCCTCCAGTATGCCTAGCCCTATGGGGATCCAACCAGGCCAAGCTCGCTCCAAAGTATCCCGGAGAGCCGCGCAACCCCCGTTCACGGGGAGCTTGGATAAAGAGGAGATTAAGATTATGCTTCTGTCAGATTATCATACCATACAGAGTAGCCAGGCAATGGGTACGTTACTGCTGGCGTTACACCGTTCTTCTCCAGCCTGTCCCGCAGGTACAGTACAACCCCCGGGTGTGCGACAGGCCGGTTTATTTCCTTCCTCACAACAAGAACGCCGTCTTCGTGATGGCGCCTCCTCATTCTTCACCTCGATTCTCCGATTCCCCAGTCAGGGGATCACATCCTTTCTTTCCATACTAGTCCGCGTGGCCTCTGATCCTCTCCCAGTCCCAACCAGCACCGGTATGCATCCCTTGATTGACCACCACCGCCGCCGGGTCTTTAAAGCCAACCCGTGGACTGAGACATCGCTTGGGGAGCGGGTGATAACTTCATGATGGGCGACTACAGGCTTAACGAGTATACCGATCTGGCCGCGCTGGCCGCTGAGCATGGCCTGGAGCTGACGCCCGATGGCTGCCACCTGCGCTGGGCGCGCACCAACCGCAAGCATCCGCGCAACTGGCACCCATGCCGCAAGTCCTACGACATCGTCGTGATATCGCTCTTGGAGTTCTTCACGTAAGTGTCTCGGCCACTGCCCGACGCCTACTGACCCCCGTCCAGCACATGTCTCAGCACCTCAGGAGTAAGCCCCTTCGCGGCCTGCGCCTGTCCCAAGTCCCCGTCTCATATTTGACAGGCTACGGCAGCCACCGCGGCCCAGAGCGAATTCCACACCGGGAAGACCTTGACGCTGTTCCTCTATGTGTCCACGTACGCCGGCATTCCTGATAGTCGAACGAGCCGAGCTAACGTCCCCCAGATACCTGTTGGGCCAAGGCCTGGGAGGCATCGTCTTCCCCCCCTATTCGGAATCATTTGGCCGCAAGAAGCTCTACATCGCCAGTGCCACGCTGTACAGCGTGTTCTGTCTCGTCATCGCCGCGGTTCCGTCCGTGGGGGCGCTCGTTGTAGGTCGCTTCATCACCGGCTTCCTCTCGGCCATCCCCACGGTGGTGATCACCGGCAGCATCGAGGATATGTTCAACTCGCAGGACCGGATCCTGGTGATGCTGATCTACGTGGCGATGGCGTGTATGGGCGTCAGCGCGGGGCCCATCATCAGCTCCTACATCGCCGTTCGATACGGATGGTGCGCACTCCAGCCCCGAGCCCAGCCGGATGCTAACCCTCGCAGGCGATGGATCTTCTATATCGGCGCCATCGTGACTATCTTTCTTGCGGGACTGCTCCTGTGCATCAAGGAGTCGCGCCCGTCCCTGATCCTGGTGCAGGAGGTGCAGACCCTGCGCAAGCTGACGGGCAACGATTCCCTGCAAGCCCAGAACCCGGACTTTATGCCGGATCTGCGCACGTTTCTCCACCTCGGGCTGCTGCGGCCGCTTCGTCTGTTCGTGACGGAGCCGATCGTGTTCATCGTCACGATGATCTTCGGGGTGTGTGTCGCCCTGGTCTATCTCTTCACCGAGGCCCTGCCGCCTGTCTACGAGACATTCGGCTTCGGCACCGAGACCGCATCCCTCCCGTTCCTGGCCATCAGCCTCGGCGTGATTCCCAACGCCATCACCCGTCTGCTCGACTACCGGATTATCCAGAAGCGTCTGAAGGAAGGCACCCCGATCGCCCCAGAGCACAAGCTAACGGGGATCTATATCGGGGCTCCCGTCCTCGCCATCGCCCTGTGGTGGTTCGCCTGGACCATCCCCCCGGCCGTGACCAATATTCACTGGTCCATCTCCGTCGTCGCCCTCTTCTTCATCGGCTACGCCCTCAATGAGATGGAGATTGTCGTGACCGCCTATATGGCCGATAGCTATCTCAGCTACGCGGCCAGCGGATTCGCCGCCCTGTCTATCATCCGATCCATCCTATCGGCCGCCTTTCCCCTCTTCGGCAGCAAGATGTTCGATGGCCTGGGCGCTAACGCCGCGGTTTCTGTTCTCGCCGGCCTGGCCACCCTGTTTTGTCTGGTTCCGCCTCTTCTTGGTCGTTATGGGGAGCGCATGCGGAAGCGCAGCAAATTCGCCAAATATAGTCTTCAGGTTTATGCTGAGAATGGGGTCGATAGTGACTTTTTGTAGTTTTCTGTCTCTCTCTCTCTCTCTCTCCTCTCTCCCTGTGCGACCCGACAGGGATCATCTGAGGCTGACCTGACTTGTTTTGATACTTGAGTCAGACGCTAAGCATTTCGCCCCTTCTAGTTACCCCAAGCGATCAACTGTTACTTAAAATAGGATAGCTTCTCCTTTCACAGTGTGAGGATCTGGCACGTGATCTGCATCCATAAGATGGTTACGTGATCATGGGCGTTTGCTGTTTGTTGTATATTACGGTATTACCCCACCAGTGCTTCGTAGTTGATCTTCTTTTTATTTTCCCCCAGACTTGACTGTTTTCGTGAAATATACCGAGGTTTTTTTTTTTTTTTTTTTTTTATCAAACTTCATCTGATACTACCATCACAGTTTGGACTTGGCGAGAGGGATTTCTGCAGCTAGCTCATGAAGACCGTGGGGCTGCAGATGCCGGGGTTGGTTGGGTTTGTTGGAGGGTTCGGGTCTGCTGCAATCAGTTGTTCTGGTAGTGTATTATACTGTATAGTCTGTACTGATACCGTGATCCACCCCATCATATGATACAGACAGAAAGGTGCTGAGAAGGTAGTAGGAAGTATATATATATATATATATATATCTATGTTTCAGGTAGCGGTCCGTTCCCCGCATTTCCTCATGTCTATCTGAAGTCATTCCGTAACCTGTAATACCGCGGCCACTTGGGGGTTGTGGAAACCATGCAAGTGCAAGCAAAGCCCTGACTGACCCACGCAACGCCCAAGATGATGCAGACAAACAATAGAACCGAGAAAAAGCCATGGGGAGAAGGAAACTACCATGCCTTCGAGGGAAACAGTAGAGAGAGAGAGAGAGAGAGGTATTTACAGTAAAAGAGGTTATGCAAAATCCAGGTCATCATCGGTCTGACCCACATATTGATACTTGGCCAGGATCTGCTCGTGGTGGACGTCGTGTGCTTGGGAATGCACCAACCCCAGCGCTTCTTGATGAAGAGTGGCGGATGGATCCGGATTAATGGGATCATCGACCATCATATGGTACTCATGAGCTGCATGATGTCGGACATCGTTGTCGAAGCTTGAAGGGTGCAAGCTGTGGGTGCCGTGAGTATAAGAATCCGACATTGCGTCGTGGGGGTGGAACTGAGGAAGTTGTTGAATATCAATGATTTGCGGGTCGAGGGGCATGCCCGTGTAGTCGGTTATTGAGTCTACTGCCCCTTGCATGACCGAGTGCGCGGTCACAAATGGGTTCTGCGTATGATGCGTGTTAAGAGTCGCGTGTTCCATCAACATAGTATCGTCAGGCGGTAAATTAGTATTGTTCTCCGTGAGATCCTCCTCCTGGATCCCTAATTCATCCTCGTCTTCGTCGTCATCTTCGGGCGTGTCTTCGTGCATGATGCCGTTAACTAGAGGCGGCTTGAGAGTCTCTTTACATTGGGGACAATCCCGGATCACTCGACTGACGGTTTCTTTGATCCTCACCCAATGGTATTTGACTGCGATGGCCGCCGTGGTTTTATTGATGCCTGCGTGTTGCAGCAGATGCATATGCCGGGCGATATCATATTGCTGCTGCGGGTCCGACACGACCTCCTTGTCCTTCAGCATTAGTTTCTCCCGATCGCCATCCGTCTCTCTCACAAGCTTGTAGTGGGTGGCGGCACTCCGAAGCCGACTCTTTTCGGCCCGATCGGCTCCCCTGGGGTATTTGGAGTGCTTGAGATAATATCGGATTTTATCGAAGCGATCTTGCGTGACGGAGTCTTTCCCGTCAGGGCCCAGATCTCGGCCGTAGATGATAGCGTCTACATACTGTCCCGGATTAGAGATAAGCCTACCACCCCCCGGCACTCTACCAATCCGCTTGAAGCCCAAAGCATCCCAAAGGCGACATGAAGCCACATTACTCTCATAGACCAAATTAAAGACGGCATATGTGTACCCCTGCTGGATGTCAGTCACTGGGATCTCGATTACATGACCCGTAAGCCTTGATTAAAGGGAAGCCACTGGGGTGAATGAAAGGAGACCGCATAAATATGCGAGAGGAGAGAAGAAGTTGCTTTGACACGCTTGCAAAGCATATTGAATACTGACCATCTTAGGGGCCCACTCGAGATAGCCTTCACCCATCAGTCGTCCTACACCTTTATTCCGAGCAGCATCTGTGACAAGAAACATGCCGTTACAGACATGACTACTACGGCCGGGATAGTTGGGTCTGATATTGAAGCTGCCAAGGCATATCTTCGACCAGCTGGCTCGGCCCCTGCCCAAAATGTGAACCTCCTGCACGCTTTTGATATCCCCTAGAAGCATGATCGCGCCGAAGTTGGAGAACCAATACGACCCGAACTGCTCTAAGGGGATAGGATCGATCATGGCATAGGTATCGCCGCCTTCGATCTCCTTGTTAAGTTGATCTGACAGGTAAGCCAGCAGGGATCGCGGCACGCTATCCGCCGATCTGAAGGGGATCAATGTGGCAACCGTGACCCGATCTCTGAGGGTCACCTGCCGCGGAATAATATCGATGGGTAGCTCCTCATCTGTAGGTATCACGGTGGCTATCAAGTCCCCATGGACAGCGGGCATGGTGATGCCGGGGGCCGGGCTGAGCCGGTCGTCACAACAAGACTATGTGTGTGTGTATTGCGTTAGTTGGCTGAACAAACGTCCATGGTGGACACTGGCATGATCAGCGCTTTCGCGCTAGACCGGATTATATCAACCGGCTCATGAAGAGGACCGATTGATTATAAGGACGGGACGGGAGATTGGGGAACGAGGAGCGAGCGAGCATGCATCCTAGCTGGAGGCCAGCCACCAAAGGGAGAAGCCCAAGCCGCCGAGGCAAAGGCACTACCACAAAAGGGCAGGTGGAAGCACTGACCTGGTTCTGACAGGATCGGGGAAAGCAGGTTTAGGGGGGGTTCTTCTTAGGAGACTCGAGAGCACTTCAAGGACCGCCGAGTATTCTCGAGTCCGGAATGATGTGAACGCAGATTGAAGAAGTCGTCGTCCCGCTGCGCCACGGCTGACTCAGCCATCCCCGCCAGCGGCATGTCACATGATAAACAGCACCCTGTGCCGAATACAGAAACCACAGTCACGTGGGGCTATCCCAGAGCCTGAGGGGCATACAGCTCCGGCGGGTTCAGAAAAAGTTGCGGAAGGGTCAGGCCGGAACCGGAATAACTCTCGGCAAGAGTCAGAAGGCGGTGGCAGAATTATCTGACCCCTATAGAGATTCTGACCCTTGCTGTCGCTGAGCTTAATCACATGATTTTTCTGACCCTACGGAGCTCTATCACATGATTTTCTGACCCTTGCGCAGCTACACCGCTTTTTTTGGCCACTCTTAAAACTTCTTACCCGCGAGATTCTTCTTAGGCCTGTATACATAGTCATACATAGATATAATTTTATATAGACTTTTTTACAGAGTTATCTAGATTTTTCAGTATAGTCTTTTTAATAAATAAAGCTTGAAATCAGACTTGAATCTGTAATATTAGTAGTACTAACTTGAAGATATATAAATATATACTAGTATACTCTACTAGTATATATGAAGTAATATTAAAGAATAAAGATTCTGCGAAAGGCTTTTGCAGAGCCTTCCTGGGATTATATCATGACAAGCTTCTAGTATTTAAGACTCTGTCTAAGACTTTACTGAAAAATCTAGATAACTCTGTAAAAAAGTCTATATAAAATTATATCTGTGTATGACTATGTATACAGGCCTAAGAAGAATCTCACAGGTAAGAAGTTTTAAGAGTGGCAAAAGAAAGCGGTGTAGCTGCGCAAGGGTCAGAAAGTCAGATTTAAGCACGTGATATAACTGATCAAGGGTCAGAAGCCTTACCCGTAAGGCATCCAACCTTCTGACCCTTCCGCCGCCGCAACTGGGACCCCGAGCCTGAGGCGATAAACAGTGTTCGGCCACAGAGATTCCGCTCAAGGCCTAGCCTAGCGTCTTGCCAAACAGGCTAGACGGATTCCCTCTCGTGGCTTAGTCCATCCTCTTCGATTCGTGTTAATCTGTAGCTTCAAGGATCGCACTAGTTCATGGTGTTGACTATTTAATTTAAATAGACGGCTCCCTGCCTGTATGGCAGGGCAGGGAGTTGCCCCTCACCTCTCCCCAATGATCCAATGATCCAACAACCAAGATCCACAGTCTTCCCTCCCATGCTGATAGCCTGATCCCGGATCCATCAGCCACAATGGAGGAACCATCAGACATTAACCTAACAAACAACCCCCCCGAACACACACAAACCACCATACCGCTTAACAACACCGGCCAGGGCCCCCTCCTCGTCCCCGGCTTCGCAGGCATCCCCATCCACTATGCCCTCCCTTCCGACGCGCGCTTCGCGCACGGGATGGTCGAATGGCGCCAGGCCCCCGCCGTCACGGCCCGCGAGATAGCCATGGTCGCCGCGATGGACAATCTCACCGATCGGGCCAATTGGCACGTGGATATATTCGATGACGAGGCGGTCGCGGACTGGAAAAGGGAGGTTTTTGGAACAACGCCCCTGATGAGCGAGAAGACGTGGGAGTGGTGTTTGAAGGAGCTGCGCGACAAGGCGGTTTACTTCCGCGAGAAGGGCCATATCCGCGTGCTTGATACGGGGTCCTGCGTGTGTAAAGCGGATTCGGAGGGTCTGAGGTCTCTGGGGGCGGTGTTTAGGTCGTCGGTTCCGGCGTTACTGAGGGAGCAGGAGGAGCAGCGGGTGCTAGATTGGCAGTCTAAGACGGTCTTGAACGTGGTCGATCCGTTGCTATTCCCGTTAGTATATGGGAGAAGCTTGGTGTTGACGGCCGGGGGGAGAGTGGACCTTCACGATGCTCTGGGATCCTACAAGGACGCAACAGTCGCGCCTCAGCATTTCGACAGACGGGTACACTCCCAGGCATTGCAGAAGAAGATCGACGAATGCCGCGATCCATGCATGGGAATCTCTCCTCACCGAGGTGACAAGTCCGAGTTCTATCGCTGGAGTTCCAACTACCAGTGTCTTCCATGCGAGGTGGAATTTATCGGGGACTCCGGCACCGAAGTGCAGATCACCTCGTACATCAACAACCTATATCCCGTCCACAAAGGGCTCTACCATGCAATCGAAAAACTCGTCTCCCTAGCGATCAAGCCCTGGAATGACTGTCTGGTCCAGGGACAGCGTGACTGGCAGAATGACTTCAATCAGGGCCAGCTGGGGCCCGTCCCGCTGCGAATCATCACGTACGGGGTGGAATGGGAGAACGAGCTCCCCGACTGGGCGCTCGCGTTCAGAGTCCCCTCAGAAGCCAGGAAACGAATGTACCGCAAAGCCCAAGAAGCGCTTCAGAGCAGCAAAGACGATAAGTCCAACAAGGGGAGAAATCAGCACCTTACGGCCCAGAAACGGCTGGCGTCGCTACGGGATGTCGCAGGGAAAGAAGACATGCAGCTGCCTCCCCCGGACTCCGACCTGTGGCGGAAAGCAAAGGAATATCTCCAACTTCCCGAGGACGGATCCAACACCCCCGTCCCAGTCCCAGATGACTGGGCAGACGGGGAAGATACACCGTGGCGGATCCTCCGACAAAAGGCGGACCGGACCATCCGCTACAAACACCCAGAGCCCGGAACCGCCTTTTCGTACGAGGAGTGGAAGAGCAACCAACACAACGACAAAGCCATCGTCGATATTGTGCGCCATCGGAACGACTGGGGTGGCTTCGGGCGGCCCTTCAAGCCGCTCACCCCGGCCCACACGCCCTACACGATCACCCTCGAAGACAGATTCCGGAAACAAGGCCTCCAGATCATCGTAAAGATAGAAAACATCGAGCTCACCCCCCAAGCACCTACCCACTCCACCGACACCTGGCAACTGGATGGCCAGCTAAACGAACACATCACCGCCGTGGCAATCTTCCCCTACGACGTCGCGAACATCACCCCTCCCCGGATCGCATTCCGACAGTACACCACCCTCCACGGCGTGTTCTACCAATACGCCGAGGAACGATACACGACCCGGGAGTTCAATATGCGTTGCCTGCCCGCCCATCGATACGGCAAGATAGCCGGGAAGGAGATCGGGGCAATAGCCGAGATTCTTGGCTTCGACCCCCTGCACCTCTCGAGTGATTACCACGGGTCGAAATCCTACCAGGGCATAGGGTCCGTCGCGACGCCACAGGGTCGACTGGTGACATTTCCTAGTACCTTGGAGCACAGGGTTGAGCCGTTCCAGCTGGTTGATGCGAGTAAGCCTGGCCACTATCGCTCGATTCAGCTGTACCTGGTTGACCCGCACTACCGCGTGTGTTCGACCCGGAATGTGCCCCCGCAGCAGCATCACTGGTGGGCGCAGGAGGTGGCGAGGGATCTTGCTACAAAGGGGTTGCCTCGGGAGTTGGTGGATGAGATCACCCAGCGAACGGGTAGCTGGCCGATGGGGATGGAGGAGGCGAGACGGCACCGAGCTGAGCTGGTCAAGGAGCATCGGTGGAATGAGGTGACTAAATTGGCGAGTATGTCTGGTCCGGGGTTTTGATACCTAATGGTCAGATGGGATGGAGTAGTAAAGCCTCACTCATTCATTGATTCCATGTGACGAGGAGCTGGGGGTCTATGTGGATGAGCATACCAGGACGGGGTTCCAGGGCGCGCGCTGAACTGGTGTCACGTGCGCACGGCCGAGGGGGGGGCAAGTATACGTGGGGCTATAAGGTGTTCGCCGGGAGAAAGATTGATACTCCTTGTGCGGTTGTGTCCGGGAAGCAGGATTGGGGGATTTATCAGGAGCCCGGGGCGCTGGAGAAGATAATGGATGGGACCGTCTGTAGGGATTTCAAGAGGATGAGACTAGTGAATAGGGTTGGGCATTGGGCGCCGCAGGAGTGTCCTGGGAAGGTGGTGGATGTGATATTGGAGTTGATGATTGGGGGGGGGGGGGGGGGGTTATAGTGGGTGGAGCGTGGTAGGTAGTAAGTAATAGTAAGATGACATGACATAACTAGTTATGATGCAGTATGTACGGGACCAATGCCACTATTGCCGGACGCCAGAAATCAGACAGCATGAGTTCATTCGGCAGATACCGGGGGATTCGACAGACTCGGGGTATAATAAGATGGAAGAAGGGGGAAAGAGGGCGGGTATCATCACATCACATCACATCACATCATGAGAAACCCAAACATCACGATCAGCAGCACCGGTACCACAGCTGTGAGGCCCAGATGGCTCAGCCGCACCGCCCCGGAGGTCGTCAACGACTTCGAGGCGAACACATACTTGAAACCGATATCCGACGAGTTGAAGCAATTTTGTGGGGTCACCTCCTCGGCCTCCCCCGGTTCGACGAAGGTGATGTCCACACACTACAGACATTGGTTAGTCTCACAACACCTTCCGAAGACTTCTGACTTCTAGAAGCAGCTTACATCGTAAAGAGCAGCACCGTGCTTGGCAGCCTCGACAATCTGGATGGTGGCGTTGTCTCCGGGGCTGGCGGTTGTGTTGGCCGGCAGGGGCACCTGCGGGAGACAGATGGTACCCGGGTACGGGTCGTTATCGGGGCCGGTGATCTCGAAGACTGAGAGCATGGGGTTGCTCATGTTCGGGGGAACGGTGCCCCATCCGATGTTGATGTAGATAAAGGCGGTCTCGTGGCCGCGGAACCAGCCCGGTTGCAGAGCGATGGCACCGCCGGTGACGGGCCATTTGGTGCGATTGCGAGAGGTGGCCATGCCGCCGCCTGGACGATCAAGTCAGTTCAGGTCGTCATCCTCAATTGGTGTCGGCCAAGAAGACATACAAGGGTAGATCCATTGCATTCCATATGGGTAGACATAGGAGCCATTCTCCCAGCCGACGCCCAGACCGTTTGTCTGTTCGACGGTACCGTTGGTGTGCAGGTTGTTCCCTCGATATCCGGGGTATGTGATGACGGAGTGGGCATTAACCAGACCCAGACAGAGCAGGGTGAGGGCGACAGTCCACCGCGATATCGACTCGTGGAAGGACCTCATCGTGAGGGAGGTACAAACACCAGGACAAGAAAGATAGAAGATCAGGAGCAGGATCTTATCCAGAGATCACCGCAAAGCCGCTAGGACAAGTAATCCAAGAATGATTATTATCAAGCCGTCTCCCGTCCACCGGAGGGCTGACTGAATCTTTTAAGGTCAGACACAGCCATGGGCGGTTCCTGCGCATCGCACGCACAGCGGGGAAAGGCGCCGGCTTGGACAAGTCACAGCGCAGCGCACGATGTGACAACGCCCGCAGGGACACCATCGAGGCCAACCGTTTGACCGTGGCGAGAGGCAGGCAGCAGGGCACGGGTTGCACCCGGCAGCAGGCGAGACGGATCGCGGGCGTGGGATTGGACGGAGGTGCAGCGGGCTGCAAGAGGCATCACCTCGGGGGGGGTTGGTAGAAGGCACATCTGGGCGGTGATTTGCGGAGAGGTGGCTGGTGGTAGCGCCGGGACGGGGACTAGAAGAGGGGATGGACGGGCGCTATGCAGGCAGGGCGCTTAGAGACCGACTGAGGGGGACGGACGGGGTGATCACGGTGTGATGGGGGCGATCATGCTGCAGAGAGAGGAGAGGAGAGGAGAGGAGAAGAGCAGTTGTGAGTAGTACAGTATCTAGAGTACAAGTACTAGGAGTAGAAGTCTTTATCCGTCGGCCAGCCCCGCCCAATCAGGACTCCCCACTTACCGCCCACGATCCACGCCCATCACGTTCGCTATCTATCTGTTTTCTATCCAATAATTCTATCCACCACCCGGTCCGCAAGGCATTGACAGGTCTCCCTTGGATAGCCGACAGCATCATAGACAGTGATACGGACACTGCGCCTAACCACAGACAATGCATGGAAGGACTGGCTCCAATCAGGGCTGGTAGTACCGCACTGGATCGAACCATGTGTGATGGTATCGGGTGAAGTTTGATCAAAAAAAAAAAAAAAACCTCAGTATAATTCACGAAAACAAACTAGTAAGTCTGGGGAAAAAAAGAGAACAAAGTCAGCTACAGAGTACCTTACGCAGTGAGGGTGGGGTTATACCGTAATAGACAACGGCAACAAACGCGGATGATCACATAACCACCTTATATAACCAGGTCACGTGTCCGATCCTCAGTCGACAGAATTAGGTTAAGACTGAGCTGGGGTGGGGATAAGTAGGGATAAGTCAGGATGAGGATAAGTCCGACAGACAGGTGTCCCGTAGCTGTACATATTGACCACTTGTTTATTTAGCTATTGGTCAGGGTATCTGGGCAGACCACCAGAGACAAGGGAGTCGCTATGCCTAACAACCATGCAATCTACAGTCCAGCAAAAGAGGCCTGCCTCTGCTGACGGCTTGTCTTGTTAACGGACAATTCATATACAATCCCATACTCCCGTATAATACACCCATACCCATTGCCATCCCTAATATATACCACACCGAACGCCATAACGCTATGCCATCACGCGGGAATCTCAACCGGAGTCGCTGGAGTGGCCACCTGGGGGGCCACGGGGGCCCCCTCTGCAGCCTCGGCCTCGGCCGGCGAGTTTTTATCCCGCGGCGGCCAGTTCGGGGCCGGGTAGCTCAGCAGCTTGCATATATCCTGTTGCGGTCAGCGCATCCACACCGCAGTACGTGCACATTATTTGAAAATACTTACCCTCCTCCGCCGCCGGAAATCATCATACAGCTTCTTCCAGATCTCCCGATCTTTGCACCCGCTCTCGTGCGGCGTCCCCGGCTTGACCTTGCACTTGGGGAGCATATCGGCAATCAGCTCCTGCGGCCACATGACCCAAGGCTTCGGCAGCGGCCAGTCTGAGAAATGCACCAGCTTGGCCTCCGCAAGCGCCTTTTCAGGATCCCACTCCTCATACTCATTCCCCAGAAACGCCCGGTGCTCGTCCCGCCGGAACTCCCCCGACACCAGCCCGTACTGCCGATGCGGCAACACCATTGCCGTGTCCCCGTACCGCTCGTTCATCAGCTCCATATCGTACTTGTACCGTGAGCTCACATTTGCTTCGACCTGGCCGTACTCGATCGCCCGCGCCGAGTCCATCAGCGCGTACCATTCCTTGAATGACGGTTCCAGCACAATCAGCAGTGACGAGAGCTGTTTTTTTTCAGGCAGGTTCCAGTATGCCCGTGGCATGGCGACTTGGGTGTGGGGGAGGAAGAATAGCTCGTCCATGTTCTGCAGTACGCTCACGTCCGAGTCAATGTGAATGACCCGGTCAAACTCCGTCTCGCCAAATGCAAGCAGTTTCGAGATACTCTTGTCCCAGGACTCGTTCGGGCCTGCTCGGTTAGTTTCTGTTTCGGGTGGAAGGGTTGAGAGAAGGGTGTAAGAGAGGGCTACCTGATCCGGCTTTTACCATCTGGACGTCGATTGGGACTAGCAGGGCGTTATATTTCTCCTGCGCCATTGTCAACAGCTGGCTGTCCCGGTCGCGGGTGTCGTCCACCAGCACGTCCCAGTTCTCAGGGTAGAAGAGCACGCGTTGCGCCCGGCTGCCGAGGCGCTGCAGCGTGTCGAACACGATCAGGGCGTTGCAGAGGTATGGGCTCGAGGTGGCATACTGGCTATAGGCGTAGCGCGACCAGTCGACGCGGTCGAAGTCGATGTGCGGCAGGGGCGGCGGCGGCGGCTTCTCGCGGCGCAGGAAGAGGGTCAGGATAGTAAGGGCGAACAGGGCCAGCCACGTCCGGAGTTGCTTCAAGTGGCGGAGTTGTCGTTTGACGATGGCCCAGCACGGCTCGTCGGGGATGTCGAAGAAGTCGGCCTCGGAGGCGTCCGAGCCCCGTCGGTAGGGGAGGATGGGGGGTTTTCTGACTGCCATGGCAGATTAATTGGATGGCATCTTCACAGATGGAGAAGAGAGAGAGGGAGACATTCTCGATAATCTCAGGGATCGGATCGGGATAAGGGGATGAGTCAGCTGTGCGTGCATAGGCTGTATATAAATAGCACGCCGCCGGGAAAACACCGGGCCGCCAGTACACCGCTAACCCGGTTGGGTTAACCCCGGCAGAGCGCGCAGGCGCCAGATAACAGGCAGATGAGGTCATCTCCTCGTCTCTGCTGTTAACTACCTCAAGGCTGGAGTCCTGCTTCACTATCCTACTATATCCCTCGTATCCAGACGAGCAGGTAAGAATATAAGTACCGGGGCCTCTATAATGCCTGGAAATACAACGGGCCGAACAATAGGCCAAGAGGTCGGGATTACAATTACATCGGTTATGCTGACATGCTTCCATATATTAGAGACCTTCTGCAGTCAATTTTAATCGACAGACAGCGTTCATTCGTTTTGTAGTTGACTTTCTTCTCTCTTTTCCCCAGACTTAACTGTTTTCGTGCATCACACTGAGCTTTTGATCAGACTTCATATGGTATCATCACACAGGCGGGCGCGGGCGCGTGGGCAGTATTAGAAGTTATATAACATGATCTAGTAAAGTAATATGATCTTAAGTATAAGCCATTCTATTGCTGAGCTCGGCAGGCCGTATATAAGAATAGTGTGGTGATAGTAACAGCGGTGTGGCTGTAGCGCCCCTCAACATATACTATATATCAGTCAAATCTTAAGCCGTTATGTGCCATATCGAGCTGGCCAATGACTTTTATTTTCAGTAGGGAAGTAGTGAACTTCAAAAAGTTGTTAAGATGCTGTCGAGCAAAGACTCGAGCTTTTCATTGGTGTCTTGGTATTGCTGCCTCAGATAGTAAGGGAACTTACATCCGCTCCTTCGTCATATATATCCAATCATGACCGTGCAATTCAATAATCAGATTCTCTCTACTAATCTTATAATCTCCTGTGGGAGCCATCTTATATATTACACTTATCCTATACCTAACCTCTAGCTCTATAAACCATTACCATGAGTCCCAAAAAGCCTGCCCTGGTACCCAGCACGATTGAGATACCGTCCATAAAATCCGGGCGTATCACCCGATCGAGAAAAAAAGAACCCCCCGGTAAGTTCCAGCTTCACATGCTACTTCAGGTGTGCCGAAAGGGCCTAATATATAGCACGATAATAGGATTTCTGCTGGGTACCCCAACACCCTCCAGTCCGATATCATCTACGGCTTCTGCCGATATATCGACACCTAGTCCGGGTCCTGACTCGGTTGACGGGGACCCCCCAGCTTGGGCAGAGGTACGTCTAATCGCTCTGAAACTCCTAAATCACATATAAAAGTAGTAATGGGTGATGATTATTGGTCCGACCATAGTCCCGGCCTGAGCTATGTGATTCCCTCCCTTGGTTTCGCGCCGTGCAGGGGGGCGTCTATCACAACGGGAACTTATGTCTGGGCTTCCTTGTCGATGCGGACTGCGGAGTCCGCTCGTTTATCGATGACGAGATTGTGATTACGAGAGTGTATGTCTGGATAGTACACTTATAATTGCTTCCGAAGAGGACTATCGCTGACTATTATCGTTATTGACATAGGGGTGGAGGTTGCACCAAGGATGCCGACGGAAATCTGGTTCTTCTCAAGGACCAAGACAACGATAGCTCTGCGATTAGTAGTTTGGTGAACAGCATGGGTCTGAAAGTTCCGGTTGGGATGGTTATAGGTATGTACCATCTATTCGGCCATTTTCTTCAGCAAAGCAGCATATATATGTATCGTCTGATCATGGTAGCATGGTGACTGGCTGGCTAGCTAACTTGACTGGTACTGAAGGCGACCGCAACGCTCTTCTACGGAGAAAATTGCCGCATCGGTATAATGTCATGGCGTACTTCCGGGTGACTCATATCTGGTATGAGAGAATGGGTAAGAAAGCAGGGGCGAAAGTGCGGTTTGAGAAAGTAGACCTGTCGGATAAAAGCTGGTGGACAGTCAAGGATGCGCCGCCCCCCAGACCTATTCATGAACGTCGGTTCGATGTGCAGGCCAAAAGCTTGCAGTGTTCTGCCTGCCACCAGTGGAGTGTCCAGGTCTATAAGCAGGGATGGATGTGTCTTCACCCATCCTGCAAGAAGTTCTGGAGTATTCATAACTCACCCCCTCCACTGGACCTCACGTTCCACGCGGACTTCCTTAGGGCCCGCCTTCCACCAGACCCCGAGGTGCAACCCCACTACAGCCTTGTGCCAGACTTGCTCTCGACATTAACAGAGGATAATGGCGACGCGATTTCGAAGCGTATCGCGTGGAAAGGGATCGTGTGCCCTTGGTGCTCGAAGTGCATCTCCCGGAGGTTCTGGCAGGGCTGGAGATGCTCAGAGAAGAACAACCTTCCCACACTGTCGCCCGGGAATGAATCCCACAGGTGTCGGTTCGAGAAGATGATGAGAATGCAACCCGTTTCACTGCGGTCCGTGATCGAAGATCTAGAACTAAGTCCGATAAAGCGCGCTCTCAACTTCAGCCCGAAATTCATGACCCCCGAGATCGATGACCGCTCATTGCACCCATATCGAAAATTGGTGTATATCATACCCGGAGTGGGTAGTATCACTCATCTTGTCTCGTGCAAGTCTATCAACACGCGTATTGGTGGTCCCGATGATCTCTTCAAGCAATTGCAGCTGGCAGATCTTGGATTACAGCGCTATCCATTGCAGCAGAGTGTGGGTTCGTGCGCCGAAAGAGATCGCGCTCTTGTCTATTGCAGTTCAATGCTGACCACCTCCCTCATCTGCCTATAGTGGCAGGAACTCTCACGGCACATTTTGCCGTTAATTATGTATGCACATTCATTTCAGACAGGGCTAAAGTTCGACTGCCAGTACTAACGCTGGTAGGGGATGCCCTACAAATACGTCGTCTCGGTAGAGTCGAAAGGCTTTGACGAAGCCTGCAGTGAAATTATACGCGCGCTGGGTCGATTGACCTGGGCTACCAGCCAAGCTGTGAAGGGTACTGGAGACCGCTTTATCCCACCGAACGAGCTGCTTCTACTGGGCTACTTGGAGGGCATGAAGATTGGTGTATGCTAGGCTCGCGCCTATATCAGCTATCGGCTAGTTTACTGACCCAAATACCAGTATCACGACGACGGAGAGTCATCACTTGGTCCCACAGTTGCCACGCTTTCGCTCGGTGCCAAGTCCACGATGCTCGTCCGGATGAAGCATACATATTATCATGGCGTCAGTAAAGGGAAGAAGCTCCTACTGGAGGATCCTATTCTCCCTGGCTGCAATCAGCATGATGAGCGAAAGGCCCTCAAGGATCAGCTCGCCAACGGTAGCCTGAGCCAGGAAAAGTACGATAACCTTCGCACCGAGGTCACAAAGAAGAGCCGGGGTAGGGAGGCACCACCATGTATTAAGATGGAGCTTAACCACGGGGACCTGGTCGTCATGCATGGCGAGAGATTGCAGAAGTACTACGAGGTATGGAGGAGTCTCGAGCGACAAAAGCCGTCTTGAATTTCACAGTCTGACTTGTTTGATTCCCGCCCAGCATTCAGTCATACCCGAAAAGAATCTCCGGTTTGCGTTGACTGCTCGGTACATCAAGCCCGATCATGTCAGCCCGAAGGAGCTCAGAAAGGGTCAGTTTACCCTGGCTGCAGACCAGATTTACGATGGAAAATAGAGTGGGACGAAAGAAAGAAAATGCTGGGGAGTGTCTGACACGTGACCTGGTTACGTAAGGTGGCTATGTGCTCGGCAGTTGTTGCTGTTGTTGCTGTTTGTATATTACGGTATTACTTACCCCACCATTGATCCGTAGTTGACCGTCTTCTCTTTTTTCCCCAGCCTTAGTTGTTGTTCTCGTAAATCAGACTGAGTTTTTTTATCAACATTCGTCTGGTATCATCGCATCCACAGGCTAACCCCACGTGCCCCTCATCGCGCTGTGAGCCTGCGACCTGCGTCTCGTTAATCGAACCAGATTGTCTAGCCCAAAATATAAAATAACCTCACAAAATGAAACTAAATCTCTCGGTATACTTGGTCACAGACTCAACCCCGGCCATCCTCAAGGGGCGGGATCTCTGCGCCATCGTCGAGCAAGCCCTAAAAGGAGGCGAGTCACTCCTTCGCTGCGATTTCCCCTCGCTAACATTTATTTCGCAGGTGTAACGATCGTCCAGTATAGAGATAAGAAGAGTGACACGGGCGCCCAAATAGAGACGGCCCGAAAGTTGCATCAGATTACCAAAGCATATGGCGTGCCTTTGCTAATTAATGACCGTGTTGATATAGCTCTTGCTGTCGGGGCAGAGGGAGTCCATCTCGGCCAGGATGATATGGGTATATTTTGCACTATCCCGCGTGTTCCTCGGATTCTGACCCCTTTCAGCTATTGAGATAGCTAAAAAGCTTCTTCCTGAGAATGCTATTATTGGAGTTACTGCAGCGTCTATCGGCGAGGCCCAAAAGGCCATCGCTGCGGGTGCCAACTATCTTGGGATTGGTACAATGTTCGCCACGCCAACGTAAGTTGCAGTGCACTCGAATAGCTATTTTAAAACCATTAACAGATACTAGTAAGACAAACACCAAGTCCATCATCGGTACTGCCGGCACCCAGGCCATTCTCGATGCCATTTCCGACACAGGCTGTTCGGTTGGCACGGTCTCCATTGGCGGGATCAACACATCCAATGTCCAACGAGTCATCTATCAGTCCCGTGCTCCGCGGAAGAGTCTTGATGGCGTTGCCATCGTCAGTGCTATCATGGCCGCGGATGACCCCCAGGCAGCGGCTGCTGAGTTCGCAAGACTCGTTTCCAGCTCGCCTTCTTCTGTATGGAGTCAAGAGGCTCTTACTGTCGATACCGCGGCGCTGCTTAAGCAGGTCCCCCAGGTTATTCAGGAAGTTGTCAAAGCTCATCCTCTGGTGCACAATATGATTAACTATGTTGTAGCCAATTTTGTGGCCAATGTGGCGCTTTCCATGTGAGCCCCCCTAATTCGCTTTAGAAACCCAAGATGCTAACAGAACAGGGGCGCATCACCGATCATGTCCTTGTACGGAGACGAAGCCGTTGACCTTTGTAAATTTGACGGAGCCCTGGTAATCAACACGGGTACGCTCACGAGCGAGAGTATTCCCAACTACTTGAAAGCCCTGAAGGCGTATAATGTGCGCGGCAACCCAGTGGTGTACGACCCAGTTGGCGCTGCAGCCACCGGCATTCGTCGCGGAGCAGTCACCCAGCTTATGGCGGGAGGATACTTCGATCTTATCAAAGGAAATGAGCGAGAGATCTGTCAGGTATTTGGTAGCAGCGGGGTGACCCAGCGGGGTGTCGACAGCGGGCCAAGCAGTCTTGACAGCCACGGAAAGGCCAGAATGGCGCGTGATCTGGCCAGGCGAGAGCGTGGGTACTTCTGCTGTTACAAACAACCGTGACTAACATAAGCTAGACACCCTGGTCCTCCTAACCGGCGCCACCGATTACCTGAGTGACGGAGAGCGCGTGGTCGCCGTTGAAAACGGTCACGAATTGCTCGGTCAAGTCACTGGTGTAAGTTCATCCCGTCCACTATTTCCATGTAAAACACACACACACGCTGATAATCAATTACCACCAGACTGGCTGTGCCGTGGGCACTGTATCCGGAGGCTACTTAACCGCACACCCAAAGAACAAGTTCCTCGCCGTGTTGGCCGGTCTCTTGATGTACGAGATTGCTGCTGAGAATGCCGCGTCGAAGGACTATGTCCGTGGACCGGGCAGCTTCGTCCCGGCTTTCTTAGATGAGCTGTATGCTATCCGACAGGCTGCTTTGAAGGGTGACCATAGCTGGTTTGCTGGTCGGGCGAAGGTGCATGAGATCAATTTGTAGGTAGAGTATACCCGATGTATAGATTGATTGATTGTTGCATTATACCCGATTACAGCACTCTTGGAGACTCTTTCCGGGTCGCCGACGGCCAAAGGGCCCTGACTGCGGAACTTTTTTATACATAAAACAGACAGTGATCCTCAATATCCCCTCGATCTGCCAGTTGATTCAATCTCTTTGTACTAGTTTGTAAATCCTTATCTTATTCTGTAGCCTTTCTGTTTATAGATGCGTTCTAATGCGCAAGCCTGGCTTTGATGTGACTGATAAAGCCGTCTTTCTTGGCTTTCTTGATATTCTGCTTTGTGTAAGGGATGATATCCGCGGGATATGCATACTTACAAGGGTGAAGCCCACCTCCCCCCGGGTGTACTTGAGTATATATATGGGATTCTAGGGGTCCGCAGGTAACTGCGGGTAATGTTAGCCTTTTGGCTCGGTGGCAACAACTCCCCTAGATTGGTGTCTTACAGGGATCTAGTAATATATAAGATAATAACATTCGCCGAAGTAATCTATTAATTATCAGCGCACTTGTTGATAAATCTAGAGAATTTGAGATTAAACAGGGCCCTTAGGGCCGGACTGGGTTCTCAGGATTGGATGCTTGTATAATTGGCACAGGGATATTAGAATTATGAGATTATTATTGTAATCTTTAGTAGTTTGACAGTCGGACTCTTCGCGCCGGGCATACATATTAATTTTGCCTCGCGATTTTATCTCAGTTCTTTCTGCGAGAAAAATATATAGAATAAGTCGAAAGAGATAATTTCAACACAGATAAGGAGAAGAAGAAAAATATGTAGAGTGAGTTAAAAGAGATGATTTTAACACAGGCGAGGAGAAGGAGGAAAACGCGTTTTGGTTGGAATATGCATACTACCTCTTCGTCCCGGGTCGTAGAGATTTAGGGCAAAACATTCAGCAGCACCACCCTAGTGGTCCCTTAAACTCGAATGCGACCAGGCAACTCGATTTCCAGATGTGTCCAATATATCCAACCCCCATCACACACCCAATCGCCATACATACCCCTCCTCGCCTACAACAAGCACATACGACCATAGGGTGTGGAGAACAGGGCTTCCCGTCCGCTCAGCCGTACTTAAGCCACACGCCGGGAGGTTAGTAGTTGGGTGGGTGACCACCAGCGAATCCCTCACTGTTGTATGTTTCTTTCTCTTTTTGTTTCGAGAAGAAAGGTACCCGATCTATATAGTATAGAGTTGTTACTTGAATATAGACTTGACTTTGCTACTCAATGTAGGGAGAGTCGCTACCTCCACACCGGCCAGGCTCCTAGTCCCGCCACACCTCCCAACCCACCACATTCTGTGATAGGTAAAGGACAACTTAAAATTAAGGGTAGTTAAAAAAAAACATATCTACGGAGTACCCTGATACGAGCTATCCCATCCTCGCGATAGAATTTCTTACTTCTCCATACTGATCCCAACCGCTTACAGACTTAACTATATAGCCTACTATATCACTAATCTATACTATATATGTCTTTTCAGATAGTTTGATAATCTTAAATTAAATAGTTACTTATGAAAAAGCCCGAATATCTAGTTCTTCAGATTATAGAGAGAGATGCCGAAGACAATGGGCAGGAGGCCCTAAATCAGACTGCTTGGAGTCAACCGACGAGGAAACCATCTAAGCGGTTGGGATCAGTATGGAGAACCAGGAGATTCTATCGCGAGGATGGGATAACTAGCTCATATCAGGGTCTTGCCCTATACTGCTTTTTACTGTAGTCTAGTTGTGGAGCCACTCTAGCACAAATTGCGAGCTCAATTAGGCCAATAGAACTTGAATTGAAATGAATTGAATTGAACTGGATACCCCCATCCGCCCGATTCACAATCCAGCCACCTGCCGATAAGCCCGGTAGTCATGTATCACTCCCAGCATCGGTATACGGCTGGTGGCTGGTGGCGGTGACACTGACACTGATGTAACTCGGTACGGGAGTGGTAGTTAACTACTTGCAACCCAACATGACACATCCGATGTGAGGATACGGGACTAGTGAATCCAGTGCGTGCGCGCGCGCGACAACACTTCTCCTGTACGGAGTATTAACCAGTTAGTGGTGCGGATCTGTGATTCCGGAGGATTAGGTTCTGTATATGGCGTGTCTGAATTCTAACGTGCTGTCTGGAACTCCTGGTGTGATGGATCGAGTTTGTCAACACAGCACAGCGCATGGTGTTTATGTGTTGGTTTTTGATGTATCTCTTTTAGCAGTACTCGGTAGCATTTACCGAGTTCTTAGTAGTAGTAGTAGTAGTAGTAGTAGTAGTAGTAGTCCATAACCTACAGGTAGGTAATTTTGAATGCTCCCTACCACGAGACTTAGTTCTTTCTATTCCGGATTACTCAAGTATTTAGATACTTTTAAACTGGATAGCGGGCCATGAAATCCATACATATATCAAAACTAGCACTATGTCGTAGACAATAAAAAAAATTAAGGGAAAACACAATAATGTACGTACCACATCATATCACTCGTGTAAAGGTAATGACTGAGAAAAAAAAAACATACACAATGGAGAAGGAAATCGGGGGATGATAGGATGGGGGCTAATTGGGGATTGGGGGAGGGGGGGGGGGGGGGTGTGAATATGTAGGAGTGTAGGTTATAGTTAGGGGAAAGAGAAAGGGAAAGGGAAGTGAAAAGGGGGATGATAGTAGCAAATATAGCTCAATCCACCGCTGGCATACATACCCAGCCAGCTGATGTTACCTGCGTGTGCTATATGCTAAGTTTGGGGTCGTCAGACAGACGACGCGCGGGAATCGGTCTTGTCGGAGAGGTTGGTTTTGATTCGGGCCCTCGCCTTTTTGATCGTATCGTTTCGCAGTCCGGGTCGTTTCACTCACTTCCGAGGTACCGCACCTGTTGTTGATTCACGTTTACAGGAATCCGGCGAGGGAGCGTATCGCGAGCGCGCCGACAACGGCAATGGGGCCGGAAATCGAAAGCGGGATCGAGGGAGATCCGGCGGACGAGGAGGTGGCGGCAGCTGCGGTCTGGGTGGCGCTGGTAGTACTGGAAGAGGCTGTGGGTGGGGGAAGATGACTTGGTTAGATGATTGTTTGTTTCAAATCTTTTGGATACTCACCCGGTGCTCTGGAGCTGGAGGGAATGGTGCTAGATGATAGTGAAGATGTGTGGTGGTTGATACAGGGGCGGGAAGTAGTTCTTGTCTTTGTGACAATGGATGATGATGGTGATGATGATGGTGACAGTGATGGTGATGGCATTATTGATGATGATGATGATGATGATGATGATGATGATGATGATGATGATGATAAAATAGAATTATCCTTACTTGTCTCGACCTTGCCAACCTCAGTCACATTGAACTGCGGGGACTGGCTCAGGATTCCGGTGTTCATCGTGGTGTTGGAGATGCCATTGAATTGGTAGCCGAAACTATATGCACATGGTTAGAATCGGATCCCGACGTTATAGCCGATGGAGGAGTCGCAGAAAGCATACGCAACCGGGATCCCCGTGACTTTGTCAATGGTGTATTGGTTCGCCGAGGTCTTCACATTGGCGATGTTCTTGCTGACATTAGGCTGGCTGTTCATGTTGACCAGCATGAGAGTGAACTCGGTTGGGTCGGACCTGGTGCGAGGGCACAGTCAGCTCCATGAATAGCTCCGTGTGACCGTGTACAAGACATGGTTATGGATACTCACCCGACAGTGGTCCACTTGACGGTGTAAGGCTTGCTAAGGTCCACCTGATCATTGCTCCGGGGCTGGGTAATGGTGAGGGCTGAGGGAAGAACGTTAGCACTAACTAGAAGAAGGCATTGACATCGAGCCGTCAAGATTCGTACCTAGAGCCGAAGCAGCAAAGGCCACAATGGAGATAATGATATTAAGGAAACGCATTTTGATTGTCTAAGCTCAACAAGCGAGGGTATCACGAGAAGGAAGATGAGATTCAAAGATCCTGAAGCAGCTAACAGAGGCAAGAGCACGGCGAACGTGGTTTAAATTATCAGATATTCACTGACTGGAAGATATCTGGGGCGATGATAGACGGGGCTGGCTTGAGAGACTTTATAATCGCACCGGTTGGACATACACCGCAACGAGACACCTCATAGCAAGGGTCCATCGCGGTTGACGTCTGCCTGTTTGGGTCGCGTTTTGATCCCTTCCATCTTGCTCAATTCTCCTAGCTCCTCCTGTAGGAGAGTGATGAAAGGTAAAAAGTATCTATTTCAGGCTCGTTGGCTGCAGTGAAAGCGAGCCCAGGGTTCGGTGTCATGCGAGGGGGCTGCAGCTGATCTGTCCTGCCCGCCTCCTGCAACCTTTAATCCTGTGCTCTTCTGTGCTCTTCCCCTTCCGCAGGAGGCTCCAGGCGCTCCGATCCTGTATAAGACGCGTCTAGTGGCGGACCTTGGGAGCGCCTGCAGGGTTACAATGGGACTCCGTACCCGTAGACATTGAGCGAGAACGAGATGAGGCTCCTCGTTCTGGTACACAGAGAAACGAGGGTGCTCCTTTCTCCGGTGTTCTGACGTTCGATCTCCCTTCCTCCCAGGGAGAGACAGACTCCTGCTGCCCTGGTTTGGTTTTAATATAGGATACTTACAGTGGTCCGTACCGTAAGATTACGAACCAAAGGTTTCTCGGTGTACTACTCCGTACTCCGTATTACAGACTCCAATTCGCAGACGCGTCGAGCCGCCACTGCAAGCTACTACAGCACAAGATACGGAGTACATATATGGGCTTAATAGTGCCGATGACTAGTGATCTTGACCCGGCAACCTGTTGGCCGTCCAGATTAAAATCCCAGCCAGCACAGACCCACGATTCAGACTGTCGGAGGCGAGCAGAAGGCCGACCAATACAACAGACGGCAGTCATTCGATAAATAAGGCAAGACCGTTTCGTGAAGGCGGAAATTTATCCCCCACGCGTGTTCTCTCCTGTGGTGTGATACCAAACGGTGAGCCAGGTCAGCACCGAACCCACTAACTAGCCTTATCAAATCGAGCAACGCCACTTAACTGTCACGGTTGTTCCTTAGGAAACAGACCGAGGCTTAGATAGTACGGAGTAGCTCTATCGTACATATTATCTAGTTACACCACACCACCTATCTATGTCCCAGGCTCCAGCCAGAGCAGTCATTCGACAGGTCATATCGCGGCGGCGCCATAAAAGTCAACTATTACTTTTTAGCCTTCCGTTATAGCTTGGCCTGGGGATCTAGAGCATGGAAATCGGTCGACGCGTATACCAATACCCAACCAGACAGGTATACGGAGTATCAGAAACAGTGACGCGCCAAAGCCGGAATAATATCAGGTCAAGCTATTATTAGCCGAGAGTATGAGAGGCGGGTTAGATGAAGAGCCCACGTGCAGCACCACCGCGACTTCTTCACTTCTTTACCCTCCGAAGCACCAGTAACAGGCACGTCGTTTCTGTGCCTCTACTATTGCCAATGCGGGAGTCTGGATTCAGTTCCATGGCAACCTCTCACTCGGCTTGCGGGCAGTATGCCGACCATGTACGGAGTAGATTTGGTACTTGCCACCAGCAACCCTAAGTCGGACAACTGTATTTCATCACTAGGTCACGTGGGCTATCTAATTAGGCTGGCGGTGAGGGCGCCTGGGATCGATCCTGTCAACCGATTCCTTTGTCTGAGTCATGCATACACTCACTTCCCTCTCACTCGCTGGGGGTCACTACATCGATTCGATTCTATTCCTTTGTCTATTTAAGCCATGCATACACTCAGCCCCACCGCTTCCTCTTCCCTCTCACTCGCCAGGGGCCACTATATCTATTCTATCACCCCGTCGTCCCCAGCATTATTCGCCGCCATCTCATCAGATGATTCTCTCCGCGTGTTTGACTCAAACACCCTCAACCATGCTTCTGTAGCTGCCACAAACATCCACGAGGGCGTTACCCTATTAAAGACATATGACGCAGGCCAGCAGCTGTTATCTACCGCGGGAAGAGATGGCAAGGTAAAATTATGGGACCTGCGCGGCGGCAAGAGCTCCGCTGTTCTAGAATTAGAGACCTGTAAGCTGATCCCTCCCCCCCCCCCCCCCAAAAATAAATTACTATCTGGTAGCCCGTATTCAAGACATGGCTTTCCTTGCTTCTTACCATGTCCCGGTTGCCAGTTATAATAAACCCTACTCTTTGTATATGTGCACATTACTGGTTTTTCTTAGTGATTATTTACTAACATTATCCTGGTAACAGCACAGCAAGCCCCGGTGCTATCTATTGCTTGCTGTCCGGAAACCAACAGTATTGTGGCTGGGACTGAGCTAACTTCGTACCAGGCTACTGTCGCATTCTGGTGCGTTAGTTTCCTAACGTCTATACTGAAACGCCTAGTTTTACCGGCTGCTAACTAATAATAGGGATATCCGATCACCGGGTCAAACCCGTCTTCAATATATCGAGAGCCACAGTGACGATGTCACCGAGGTAAGGTGCTCTTGGAGCCTGAGAAGCTACCCACTAATCAGACTATAGCTTCAATATCACCCAATCCATAAAAACATTGTTCTTTCAGGGAGCACAGACGGCCTGGTCAATATCTATAATACATTAATTACTGATGAAGACGATGCACTTATGCAGGTAGTTAACCACGGCTCTGTGCATCATGCGGGGTTTCTAGACCAGGAGACTATTTACGCCTTAAGTCACGATGAAAACTTCTCGATCTACCCGGTGACCAATCCGGATGAACAGACGCAGGGGCCTGACCCGGTGCAATTCGGTGACTTAAGGCAACCTCTTGGCTGTGAATACATTACACAGCTTTTTATCAGTAACCAGGGGTCGTATATTGCCGGGGGTAATAAATTGTATGTGACGCAGTCTCTGCTTCTCCCGCCGCTGATGGGATGATCATTAATCTTCTGGGCTAATTGATATAGGGAAACCCGTCTGGACTTGGTGCCGCTTATCTCCACCCCAACATGGAGATTTGACCAGGAGAATCTGTGGCGTCTACCAGGCGCCCATGGTGAGGAGGTTGTGCGCTCGGTATATCTGGATGGGCAGGTATGTTCTTTCACAATCTAGGATCAGCGATGATCGCTGACAGTAATCAGTCCCATACTGTATTCACCTGCGGTGAAGATGGGTTCGTTCGTGCTTGGAAGCCTGAGGGAACGGGCCAGGCTGATCCCCAGAGTAAGGGTGATGTCAAGGTGCCGCGAAAGGATAAGAAGGATAAAGAAAAAGGAAGATATAAGCCTTACTGATTAATTTTAATCCAAATGAGGTACGATGTCATACATTTTTACCACAATATAATTGGCCAGCAGCGGGGAAATATCTCAGTATACTCCATACAGGGAGATTGATCGATTATTATTGTTTATTATTCATCCACGCATGGAGTGGCGGAAGGTAATCGGTCGGTTGGTCCGATGGCCAGGCAGGCCGCCGGGGTAGTAAATACAGTATAGCCACATGTCTGTCATCAGAGGTCACCTAATCAGAAAACAACAAAACACGCGCATCCGGCATCACCTCGCAATTGTGAAGGATGGAAACTTTTAACACCAAAGAGCTCGCTCACTCGCGTACACCAGTTAGCAGCACCTAACAGCCCTCATGTTTTAGGCTGATTTCAAGCCGCTGGAGGACCCCTGCGGGCCCCGTCGGATCCACGCCCGGGATCAGCAGATGGCGCTCTCTAGCATAGAGAAGGTAGCCCCGGAGACCCCCTGGTAATAAAAGTACCAACCGAGTGTGAGGACTTTGCACGTGACTCAGTTCTCTAAGGGGGTCATGAGACGGGGTTGTAACTACGGGTCTAGATGTCGTAATCCGCTCATGGCAATGATTGTTTTGGTTGCGCGTTTGATGACCTGTTGTAGATATACATGTATGTTCCTTCCACTGTAGCTCCCGGTCGAACAACACACCCAGCAGTTTGGCCGTGGGCGACGGTCGGATCGCCGTGCCATGTAGGACCGACCAACTGTCCCTTCAGGAACTTGCTCTGCTTGTATTGCCGTGGATTGATGACTGGCCGGTATATATTGAGAATATTCTCGATCCCTTGCCACTGGAGGGCGCGCCATGATGCGGATTGTCTTCAAGGATCTGGAGTTCTAATATATAAGATAATATCATATATCCTGGGATCTTTTATCTAGACTTATTCGCAAGGTCACAGCGATTAATCAAGTTGCTGTTACAGAAGGATCATCCGGTAGTAGGCCTCTTGAAGTTCTTCGTTACTAGCACATCTGAGTCTCCGATTTGTCTGAGATTTCAGGAGATTCAAGTAGATCCGAAGGTCTTTATCAAGCAGAAGCAGTGGATGACATTAAACAGTGAAAGGATACTATAACTTCCTCCTGAATCTCGGGCGGTCTAACTGTTCGGCGACTCGCAGTAGTGTACTTGCCCTAGGACATGCATCAGGGCGGGTTTCCTTCATAAAGGTTCTACTATATATATAGTAGGTGTCAATAATTTTTATTTCCAGTCTAAAAGTCCCTTCTATTTCCTAATATCTCTGTGATGGAGGAGAGAGACCATGAAGTGGTTTGATTCCTGGAGGAACGCTAAGTCTGGTTAAACAACCATTATTCCGGCCATGAAGCCAGTGAACCGATTATATCATATCGGACTATGATTCGGGGTGGCGGTATATGCAGGCATGCAGGCAGACGTCGAGGGGCACGCGTCACGCGGTTGTCCGGAAGGTGCCCGCCATACGGCAGATCGTCTTATGATGTGTATAGTATACTCCCTAGCGCTTGTAGAATATCACTCACGGCCTTTCGATGCCCGAAGGCGCCTCGGACCAGCCACGTAGAAAACAACCGGACAGGTATACAGAGAGAGTAAAGCCGCTGTAGTAAAGCGACTTACTGCAGAGAAAAGCCCTTGTATTGGGGTGTGTAGATTCGGGATGGTGGGTGGGAATAAATTTACTGAAAACTGTATATGAAAGAACCACACGTTAGATATCCCTTTACCTCGTGTACTGCTTCTGCAACAACTTCGCAATAGTCTGCAGCTGGATGTTACTGGTTCCCTCGTAGATGGCCCCGATCTTGCTATCGCGGAACATCTTCTCGGCGATGCCCTCGCGCACGAAACCCATGCCGCCCATCCATTCCACGGCCGACCCGGACACCCGGCCGGCCACCTGCGACGCATACAGCTTCGCCATCGCGGCGTCCTGCACGAAATCCTGCCCGGCTTCCTTCTTGCGCGCCGCGTTGTAGACCAGCGCGCGCGCGGCTGCGATCTCCGTGTAGGCTTGCGCCAGCTGGTGCTGCATGCCTTGGAACTCGCCGATTAGTTGGCCGAATTGCCGGCGGTCGTTCCAGACGTAGCTGGTTGGTTGGTTAGTGAGGATTTGGTGAGGGATTATGATGGCGGATTGGGGGATGGGGGTTGATTGGGGTTGTTTTTGAGACAGGGGGTTGTTCTTACTGAGCAGCGTTCTCCCAAGCTCCCAATGCCAGACCGGTCATTTGAGCAGCGATACCGATTCGGCCCTCATTGAGGACGCTGATGGCGTACTTGTATCCTTGACCTTCTTCGCCCAGCAAGTTACCCTTAGGGATCAGCACGTCGTCGAAGTTGAGCACGCAGGTGCTGCTGGCACGGATGCCCAGCTTCTTCTCCTTCTTCGCGATAGAAAGACCGGGGGTATCCTTCTCAACAATAAACGCCGTGATACCCCGATACCCCTTACTGGGGTCCAAGTTGGCAAAGACAATGAACACGCCGGCCTCCATGGAGTTAGTGATCCACATCTTCGACCCATTGATCTTGTATCCATCGCCAGTCTTCTCCGCCTTGGTCTGCAAAGCAAACGCATCTGACCCGGACGCCGGCTCCGATAGACAGAACGAGCCGACCGTGCCTGTGGCCAGCTTGGGCAGCCACGTGCGCTTCAGCTGCCCGTCGCCGTACTTCATGATCGCCGTGTTGACCAGGGTATTATGCACGTCGACGAGAACACTGACGCTGGGGTCCACGCGCGCCAGCTCCTCGATCGCCACGATCGCCGCGGTGAAGTTCATCCCCGCCCCGCCGAAATCCTCCGGGATCTCGATGCTCATCAGCCCTTGCTCGAATAGCTGCTCCACCACCGTCGGGTCCATCGTCTCCGCCTCATCCATGTCCCGCACTTTGGGCGCGATCTGTTCCGTCGCGAACTTCGATACCGACTCGGACATCAGGGACTCTGTCTCTGAGAGGAAGGTGATCGGGGTGGGCGTCAGCCCGGAGAGGTCGACGTCCCGCCGGCGGGACGTGGTGGAGAACGCATGAATGCTGTGAGGAGAGGGCATTCGTTAGCTGGGTTTCTTTACTACTGCTGTTGCTTTCTGGATATTGCGGTTGGGGGACACCGGCTAGGATGTATTATCCAGGTTGTCAACGAAGCCAGGCCTCGGTTGGATCTCTCACCTCGGGGCTGCTGCTACTCTGTGCAGTGCTTGTGGTCTTGCGATCAGGCGGGCAGAGCGCGACAAGGGCCGCAACGCGCGGGTGATGGATGCCATTATGGGGGTTGGGGGAACAAAAGCGTCAGAATCGAAGGGAATGAAGGCAAAACCCAAAGACTAGGGAAGATGAAGGTGGGGAGGAGAGAAGGGGAGAGCAATCAAGCTGGGGAAACGGGCGGAATCACGGGGGACGGGATAAGCCTCGGTTAAACGCGGCCGAGGCGATCGTCGATCAGCCAGCGTCTTCTTCTCTCCGCACGCCACCTTAATTCGAACTCTTCATTTCTTGATTTTCGGAGGACTGAGGAGGGAGTATGACTTGAACATTCCCTCGTGCCAGGGGCAATAATTTCTCTATGCTACCGATCCCAACAACGCCTATCTATTACGATTAATGATTCTTTCCGGATGAAGTCCGTTTCCAGTGCGCCTTTCACATGCCTTTTGTCAGAGTCCTGCATGGGCAGACATCAGACATACACCACCTTTTCCGGGTCGAAGGCGCTCGCCTGAGCGAAATAGTACCCTCGTTGGTTTGCCACGATGCGCTTCCCCGTCCTACTCTCCGTAAAATCGCAGTTGTAGTGCGTATGTCCGAATGCCCACAGCCGCACCTGCGGTTTGTCCCAACACGGTTCGCCCACAAGATCGGTCGCGAACCCGGACGAGATCAGACTGTTGACGTGCGCGGGATCTACCGCAGGAGGTGCAACGGTCGGACTGTGGTGCGTGAAGATCACGATCTTGTGGTGCGGATCGGTCCTGGCGATTTCGGTGACTTGGTCGTTGAGCCAGGCCCGGTCGGCTTCATGGGCTGCACAGTGTCCCTCCACCGTCCAGTCCTGGATGTAGTAGAAGTCGTTTATCCCGAAACTGACCTGTTCGCGTTCCTCCGGCGCCTCGCTGACCTGGGAGTGCAGGGTGCATCCGAGGACGGTCACGTCTGGCGTCAGCTGGTAGCGAGTCTGGTCGAGAAGGACGAATTCCCCGAGTTTGTTGTTCGGGGATCCGGGCTGGGGCTGGGCTTGTCTGAGGCTAATATCGTGAGAGAACTTGCCCAGTTTGTCTCTCACGTCCAACCAGCTGGAATGGAAGGGTTCGTGGTTTCCCAGCACGAGGAAGACAATCTGGAACTTTCGCAGCTGGGCTTCGATGAACGGGAGGAACCCATCGTCCGTGACGTTGCCGATATCGCCGAGCAGTGCTAGGTAGGGTGCTTTTGCGGGGATCTCGAACAAGTCGTATGCCTTGGGCTTTTCTAAATGCAGATCCGAGACGATCTGGAACCGTGCCATTTTTAGCGATGGGACTAGTACTGTGAGTCGGTTCGGTTCGTCAATGAGAGAGCTGGATGATGATGTTAAGCGCCCTTGGCTCGGCAATCAACCAACCCGCTACGGGATCAATCACACGGAGGAAAGTGGAGAGGGGAGGGTTATCAGACAAGATGGAGAGGGTCCCTTCCAATCTGGACTGCGCCGAGCCAGGGTGAAGCGTTTTGATGTTGATATTGTAGGCACCAGCGTCACGTGCCGATTTGTTACCGTTTGCTCGTCGTAGTAATCATCTACTTGCGTGCTACGTAATTCACGCCTAGTACGTAGGTAGTGGCGAGGGGTCTGGGGGAACCCCCATGTTTCGGGGCGATGTGTGTACTTATATATATATATATATATAGCAGGGGAAAGCCTCGTCGCTCGAGTCAAGACGAGAGGGCCGTAACTAGTGGGCCGGCTACATCAGGTCAATAAGTTTTAGTTACTACCACTACGGAGTACTCCGCACTGCTCCGTACCGACGGCCAGGCGGGCCGCCGGGGTAGGGGTATACAGTTCGGCTGGGATCAGAGTCAAAATCGTGTTCTGATCCCAGCCGAGCTGGTACTGCGAATCCGCTAACCCGTAATGGCTTGCGATAAGGTTATAATGCAGAGGACTATAATGCAGGGAAAGGCGATAGATATTATTGCGATGAACTAAGAGGTGAGTGAGTATGCAGAAAAGGAGGGCATGGTGCCCGAAGGCGGTCAATATTATTGAGGAAAGACCGACCCCTGCCTTCCTCCGGGGCAGTAAATAATACAACAGTCATGTGTTCAGGTCACGTAATCAGAAACCACGCAACGTGAAGAAATCAGAAAATAAGCATCACGGTATTTATATACCTCACTCTTATGGAATGCTTCAACACCAAAGGCCCGTTTGCTTGCGTACACCTTTACTGTGGTGATGCCAGATGAATATTGACAAAAGAAATCAGTCTAATTCATTAAAAATACATTAAAATAACCAAGTCTGGGGAAGATTGACTACAGAGCAATAGTGGCGGGGTAATACACAATAATAGCAACATGACTACCTTATGTAGCCAGAGCACGTGGCCGATCACGTGCTGGGTCCTCATAGGATCCTCGGCGTTGGGCTTACAAGGCTGGTGCGGCAAGCGGCGAAATTTATACTGCAGACACGACTCCTAGGCCAAGCACGTACCACCTAATCCTAAGCCAAGACCACCGTCGATATGTTCATTCAGCCCATGAGGCCGCCAAGGACCACGCGGCTGACCCCAGCGATTTCATTTTTCGCATAATAGCGACTCGCATCTTCGAACTCGCGTATGATCCCCGCCACCATAATCTTTCTGATCTTAGCATCTGCCTTAGAAAACATCTCCCCCAGAGCCACCGTGCACAGCGAAGGGGTAAAGACCAGCGATACAAGGCGTGTGTAACAATCTATTAGGACGTCGCACAGCGTGATGAAGGTTTTAAAATAGTCGGGCTCGAATGGTAACAGGGGCGTCAGGAGATAAGAATATTCCTCGCCCGGAAGGAGTTCCGAGGCCTCTGTGTGTGGGAAGGAGATGGTCGCAGCGCCAGCAGAGTTCCCCGCCATGGCCTTTAAGTCGGAGGGATCACTGGACTGCATGGGCAAGCCGATCTCGGTGGCCGAACTAGCTCTCCTCGCTTTCGTCCCAGCATGCGCGGCTCGTTTGAACATTTGTGGTATGCGTGCCCTGGTGAGCGTCGAAGACGACGTCCCGTCCGGGGGGTGTACCTGTTGGAAGGCCTCGAATTCGTTCAACAGGGTGTTAAGTGCTCGGAGGTATTCGACCGGGGTGGTGCTGACATCCAGGATCGGGGGGAGAGAGAGGCCGAGAAGGAGGAAGTTGATTGCACGACGGGCCAACTTGCGCGGTTCAAAATACGGCAGCCGACCGAGGTCATTGCAGGAAAAATGCACCGTGTTGAACCAGTATATCTGACTCTCGTGGGTCTTGCGCAGGTATCCCAGCGTCGAGATCCGTTTTGCCGCCATATCATGGATGTGTTGGTAAATTGCCGCCGCACTCTGCGGCCCAAAGGAGCCGCTGCCACTCGTTAATGGGGGTGGGATAGGCCCCGCCGCATTGTCATAGCTAATGCTGGACTTTGTGTCCCGGCGGGAAAGGCTGGGGGCGAACGTGGAAGAGATTATATTAGACATGGTTTTTCAGCAGGCAGGTGCCTGCCCCTTGCATTGAAATGAACCGCCTCAAGCGTTGAAGTCGCCGTGGGCGAGTCGTGGAGGGAAAGAAAGGGTGGGGGGGGGGAGGAGGCGAAAGCTCCTGATCCACCGCGTGGTCCGTCCGGTGTCCGCTACGGCGGGCCATTGCGGCCATCGGGCAAGCTGGGAGAACCCGACACGTGACTCAATCACGTAATGCGATCATGTGACTGTGGGTGTTTGTTGTTGCTACACTCCGTACTGTCGAGTTCTAGGTTATACTCTAGTTGGTTGAGGACGATAAGCGTCGTCTTCCATTGCTACGATCGGGAGACGGTTCGTTGAGGTATCCGTCATATGATGAGACACGGGACACCTAAGTTGACATACTTTTTCAGTGAACAACACCGAGTTTTCATCAAACCTCAATTGTTCACGTCACAGAAGGGAGGTGAGGGGGGGGAGGATTTCTATGTTGAGCCAATGCCTGCGTAATATGAAAGGGTGACTAGCTATCTCATGTCATGTCATGTATCTATCGACTTGACTAGGAAAGGGTACGAGATGGAAATTGAGGGGAGAGGGAAATGTGAGGAGAGATAAGAAAGAACTAAAGCTTGCCCAAAAAGCAAGTCTCATGCATGCGCGCATGCGCGCATGCATGCATGGTATGTATGCACGTATGTAGCTGACCAGGTCATGACTATCAAAAAGGGTTATGCTTTTATTTGTATTCGTGATAACCCCAGCATTAGCTTCACCCTCCCTAGCTTGGATGCCGTTGCGCAGGGCGGTTAGTAAGAATATCATGAGAGAGATGGAGATAACGATAGAGAGAGAGAGAGATCTAGTCACGCCTTCCTGCGCCGTTTGGCGGCCCCGGTGTCCTTGGCCTGGGAATCTGCCGCGTCAGATGCGCCGCGGTACTGCAGGCCGTCGTCGACGGTGCCAGCCGGGCTGGTGGATTCGCTGTCGGGGAGGGTTTCGATACGGCCAGAGTCAATGGGGAGGGGGGCGTCGCCGCCGTAGCCGGTGCCGTCAAAGTTGCTGCTGCTGCTGCTGCTGCTGTTGTTGTTGTTATAGAAGGCAGCGGTGGCGGAGTGGTTCTGGGGGTTGGCGGTGCCGAAAAGGTCACCGTCGGCGGGGATGTGGTCAAAGTCGAACAGTTCGCTGGCGTCTTTGATGGCGGGGTCGTCGTGGGAAGGGACGACGGGGTCGGCGGACGTGGTAGTGGGGATTTGGGCGGTGGCGTCGCCAAAGTCGAGGTTGGCTTTGTTGTGCTCGAGATCGGCAATATCCGTGAAGTAGTCGTTACTGAATATTTGGTCCAGGTCGAGGGGGGGGAGGGGGGAGGCTGCCGTCGGCGCAGATGCCGGGGATGGCGCCGGTGGGGCTGAGGGGCTGGAGGAGGTTGGTTAGGTTCTGCACGGATCGGTCCTGCTCGGCTTGCATCTTGACGAGGTTGTCGATCTCAGCGCGGGTGTTGGCCAGACGGCCCGAGTAGTTGTGAGGCATAGGGGGCGGTGTGGGGGTGACCAGGGCGTTGTTCGGGGGGACGGGCGCGTGGGAGCCGCCGGCGATGGTCTCGTTGGCCATCAGGCGCAGCATGTCGGCGCGCTGGTTGGGGGTCAGAGGCGAGTTGCCGCCGGACGTCTCAAGCGAGGACAGCACGTTGGGGAAGTCGGCGAACGTTGTCGGCATCCCGTTGCGCGCGTTGGTGTTCTGGATGACCGACATGATGTCGCGCTGCGGGAACTGCTGGCTCGCGGGCGTGGACTCCTTCTGCCGCGGGCTGTTGTCGAACACCTCTTCGACATGCCCCGGCTGCGACGTGCTCGTTTGCCGGCCATGTCCGCGCGACTGTGACCGGTCATACGCGCTGGTCGCGGGTGACAGCGTCGTGGCACGACTCTGGCGATCCGACCCCGGAGGTGCTTTCAGCAGCAGCGGCTGCTTCTTCATCGACCGCTGACCGCCAGGGCTGTTGAGATTGCTGAGATTAGAAGCACCTAGGGTGCTCAGCAAGTAGTCATCCCCCATGTCAACCACGTTACCTTGGTCCTGTGAGATCGCGCCGGCGAAGGAGTTGGCCAGGTTTTGCGGTCCCTCCTGTCCCTGCAGACTGCGGTTGTAGACGGTTGCCAGGAAGGTGAGGATGGCGTTGATCGAGTTCTCATGGCGCGTGTGCTGTTCCTGGAAGTTGGCGGCCTGCGCGTAGAGTTGCTCGTGCTCTCTCCGGAGCTTACTGATGGTATTGGAGATTATCTGCTGCTGCTGGCGGATGGCTTGCAGCTCGCGGTACACCCCTGTCAGCTGGTCCTTGGGCATCGAGTTGTTATTCGTGACCAGGGACAGTTGCCGGTTGCGCGCACGGTCGTCGCGCGACGGCGCCATCTCGTCCCCGTAGTCCTCGTCCTCTTCCACGTCCTCCGTCTTCACCCGCACATTCCCCTTTCCTATCTTGTTACCTTGGCCTGCCGTATTCTTGGGCTTTTGGATCAGCCACAGAAGGTCCGGATGGCCGCGCTTGAAGTAAGGGTTCGCGTATTCGCTGGGGCTCTTATTCTTCCGCTCGCTGGCCCGCATTGAATTGTCTGATAGCCCCACCTTCTTATGGAAGCCGTACATGTTCAGCTGGCGGACAAAGGAGGCGTAGTTGTTGTGTTTGAATAGTTCTGGAATAAGTGTTTTGGCAAACTCGTCCTCGTCCATCACGATAAAAGAATTTCCGTCGTCCGACCATCGGATAAGCTCCGTGTTTTTGGACTCATCCAGAAAGCTACGACCGTCAGTCATGGTTTACTACATCCACGGAGGAGCTCTCACCTGCTTAGCTTCTGTACGAATGGCGGGATCTGCTTCCTCTTGGCTTGCGAGTCCCTCTTCGCAACCATCGCACGCTGGTAAAGGTCCTCCAGGCTCTCCCCCCACCCCCCGGACTCTCCGTTCCCGTTCCCGTGGTCGGGGAAAGGCGTCTGTGTCTGTTCAAATCCACGTCCCCGACTGACCAATTGTTGCGTCGGGGTCTGCCGACGTGCCAGCTGCCCCGAGGCCGGAACGGTGGCAGCAGGGACATCTGGGCTCGATGTGTAGGCCGTAGCACTGTAAGGATTCGTATCGGGGTACGAGGGGCTGGAGGCGTTAGGGGACGGATTCTGACCCCATTGTAGGAACTGATCGTTGGAGAGTGAATTGCCGGTGTTCTGAGGATAAGTCGAGAGGGGGTTGAGTTGGGGGTGGACGACGGGGGATGTGCCCGGGGCAGGTCTCTTGCGGGTGACACCTTGAGGACTCATCACAGGCGACAGAACGACTGCGATCGATCGAGAAGGAAATAGCCTAGGGGTTGTGGCAGTCCGGGGCTCTACCTGGTTGGAAGAGTGACGCAGTTGGAGATTGAGCGAATAATGCAAAGGCGCTGTCGGTCGGGCAAATGGCGGGGTGAGCGGGAGCCTGCGCTGGCACGGGGGATGCGGGAAATGGCAGGAAAACTCGTCATCAAGGCCGGGTCGGTCTAGAATCCCCGGCGATATCGCTCGACAAAAGCAGGAAATTCTCAGCAGGAGACGGCAAGCAATGGAGCGCAGGTGTCAATGGCAGAGACGCGACGGGCGCCGCGCAGACGCTAGACGGAGAGGAGCAGGCACAAACGCGAGCGGGCGTTAGACAATCGGCGGAGGGGGGGGTCTGGTACCGGGCTGGATATGCGACAGGGACAAGCGATGTCGCCGGGTCAATCGTCGCAGCAGTACGGAGTCTTGAGGCTGGGGAGATGGAGGATGTCGGCGATGCAGAGACTTGGGGGGCCGGTGCGGTCGTGGGGGTCAGACAGAGCAGAGCGGCAGAACAAGAGGCAGGATAGAGGCAGTGAGGGGACGGAGTAGAGATAGGATAGGCGGTCCTAACGGTGGCGAGCAGAGCAAAGGGATCGTATTGCAGCGTCGCGGATGGGTGGATGGACGGACAGGCGGGCACTGGAGCAACGGGACGCGCCTGGTGGATAACGACGACGGAAAATGGTAAAAAGGCGTCCGGTCGGCCAGCAAACTTGAGATCCTTGGCGGGCGGTGATCGCCCTGACTCAGCGGGGCTCATGATGCCTGAGGCAGAAGACGTGGCTTAGTTACATAAGGTGGTCCTGTGACCGTGGGCGTTTATTTACTACTCTTGTTCCCCCAGACTTGGCGGTTTTACTTGCAAAGCGACTAAGTAAGGTACGGAGTAAGCTCTGAATGTATACGGTCATTTTGGGGGAAAGGTTTTTTTTTGGCCGGTCTGAAAGGGTTGAGCAGTGTAACATCAGCATCCCCGGGAATTGAATTTTGATCGCGGATTAATATGCAAGTCGGACTGATCCTGATCCTGTAGATAGTCCGCTCCATATCAGCAGCAATAAAATCCCACACCCTCTCCGCCGTCCCATCAGCCTGAAAGCCATCTAACACCTCCGCTGCTGCAGTTGTGGGTTCCCCCTGGTTATCGACCGAATGCAGTCTTCCAGAAACTGCAGCAGTATCCGTCCTCCCCCTGTTACTACCATCAACCGGAACCCCACCCCCTGATAAACCGCACTTGTTGCGAAAAAGACATGCCATGCCGCTCGCCACACTCCGCCGGTGGCGTCTCAATCAACGGCATGAGCAATTAGTCAACGCGATCAAAACAACATTAGTCTCTGCATCGCGCATGGTTTCCCCTCGCACCACCCCAGGCACAGCATGCACGAGTCACTTCAGGTGCGCACCGCGACACCTCTGCAAGTAACAGGATTTGTATGGAAGCGAGCTGGTTGCGCCATTTGCGCAGCGGGAAGCCCAGGTAGGGGAGGTTGGTTGTATCGATCTCGCCTTCGCAGGTGACTGCGAGGACACTGATCACGCGGCGGAGGAAGGGTGCGTTCTGCAATGGAGGGAGTAGGTTCAGTATGGATCGCAGACAGGAATGCGTGGCCGTGGCGAAGGCGAAGGGGAGGCCTTCGGTTGTATCTGCAACCAGCGATCCGGGTTAGTGATTTGTGGGGAGGGGTATGCTCTTGCTGAATGCCATCTACTAGACTGGGGGGAGTGGGAGAGTGGAGGCGATGCGTTGGTTCGACGCGGTGACTTGGGAGAGGGTGAGGGTGACCATTGTGAGAGATTGGGTATGAAGCATAAAGCATAAGGTACTAGGAGGGGGGGGATTGAAGCCTGGCATGACAGAAAGTGTCATCTTTGTCTCGTATCGCTCGATCCAGTTAGCCTGACCGAAATGGGGCAAGCGTGCTGACCCGTGCGGCGTGAGGAGAGCATCCATTCTTCTTCTGGTGGTGGGTTCAGTTGGGTATCGACTAACTACGGAGTAGTATCGTACTGTTGAGATCACCGCAACCAGGCAATCATCAGGCGGGTGGACATTTGGGCTGGCCTGCACTGGTCGTACAAATAGTCGGTAGACCCAATTCCATGCAGAGTGTCCATTGCATCGGCCAATTACACCAATTACATAACCGTGGTGTCAGGCCGTGATAAAGAGATCCTCTTCTGCCTGCCCTTTCACTTTCACATGACGTAGCCATGAGAACCTCTACTTTTTTTCCCGGGGCGCCTTGTTTCCTCCACCCGCTCCAAGCTCAACCTCTCCCCCCCTCTCCTCCCCCCTCTCGACCTCCCCTCCCGCTGAGGAAATTGCTTCATCCCGCTATTCTGTTGTGCACTCTCCAGGTCCCCATCCTGGCGCTCTCTTCTCCTCTCTGACCCCTCCTTCCCCCTTTGGCCTGTTTGGTCTCTCGCTCGCGGTCTCCTCCCCCATCTCTGCCACCATGACAATCTACATTGCTTCACTGTAAGCTTGAGCCGGCCAGCCGCACAAGCTTCATGACATGTCCCCACTTGACTGACTATTGTGACCCAGATTCCTGCCCAATACGGTCAATTTCCATGCCAACCCCGCACAAGCTGATCCCTCCGAGGGGTCAAGTCCTCAACCATCCAACCCCCCCACAGACAGCGCGGCTGCCCCGTCCCAAAACGCGGCCCTGAGTCTGTTTGAAAGGAATAACGGAGGACCGAAGACAGGCCTCACCCCCGGCGCTACAACCGAACACGAACGGATTTTTATCGCAGACGTCGCCAAGGCGGAGCAAGAACACTCGGGATACCCGTTTCCCAGCTCAGAGAGCGATGCAAACCCCTTGACGGAAAGCGAGGCCCATTCGCCTAAATGGGGCTCGACGCTTTCTCTGAACCAGCCTCGGCCACGGTCGGCATTTCCTGCATCGCCCTCTATCCTCAGTCACCAGGAGTTGGCGACTCCAGGGACACAACCGTCGCATGAAAAGGCGAAGCCGGACCCAAAGCCGCGAACCTCGTATATCCCCAATCACCGCGGAAGCCACAGCCGTAAAAGCTCCTTTTCCTACGCAGACTGGACCATCGAGACGGCAGAACAAGGCAACGGAGGCCTGCGCAATGCGGTGCGATCGGCCACGGATGCGGGGCAGCTGGAGGACAAGGTCTGGGTGGGTACACTGGGGATGCCCACCGATGCGCTACCCGCACACACCAAGGAAGCCATCGCTGGGAAGCTCGAAGAGGAGTATGGGTCCTTAACTGTCTATGTCAGCGATGGCGACTTCGATGGCCATTACACACACTTTTGCAAGACGATTCTTTGGCCGGTGTTCCATTACCAGATCCCAGACAACCCCAAAAGTAAGGCGTACGAGGATCATTCGTGGATTTATTATGTCAAGACCAACCAAGCGTTCGCCGAGCGCATTGCCCGAAACTGGAAGCGCGGGGATTCCATCTGGGTGCAGGACTATCACCTGCTGCTCGTCCCGGCCATGCTGCGCAAGATGCTCCCCGATGCACAGATCGGTTTCTTCCTACATATTGCCTTCCCCTCCTCGGAGGTGTTCCGCTGCCTGGCTCCCCGCAAGGAGCTTCTCGAGGGAATGCTGGGCGCAAATCTAGTAGGCTTCCAGACCGATGAGTACTGCCGTCATTTTCTTCAGACGTGTAGCCGTATCCTCTGTGTGGAAGCTACCAACGAAGGGCTTCAGCTGGAGGATCGCTTTGTTAACGTGGGCAAATTCTCGATCGGGATTGACCCGACATCGTGGGATCAACGGCGTCGTGCCGCAGATGTGGAACGATGGATCAAAACCATTTCGGAGCGCTACGAAGGAAAACGGCTCATTGTGTCGCGCGATAAGATCGACCAAGTGCGCGGAATCCGGCAGAAGCTCCTTAGTTACGAGCTCTTCCTCAACACCTATCCCGAATGGCGCGATCAGGTACATCTCTCTTTGTTTCCCTTTAATCTTTGCCCATGTCAGCGTACTGATCTTGGTTGGCCCAGGTTGTGTTGATACAAGTTGCGACCAGCACCACGGAGCAGCCTGAGCTGGAGGCGACAATTTCCGACATTGCGATGCGGATCAACTCGACATACTCTACGCTAGCCCACCAGCCATTAGTCTTCCTAAAACAGGACTTGGCCTTCCCCCAGTACCTCGCCCTGATTTCCGTCGCGGACGCTCTGATCATCACCAGCTTACGTGAGGGCATGAATCTGACCAGCCATGAGTTTGTTTACTGTCAGGACGGCAAATGGGGCACCAAGAAATACGGGTCTCTTATATTGAGTGAGTTCACCGGCAGCGTGTCTGTATTTGGCGAACACGCATTGCTAGTTAACCCCTGGGACTACCGCCAATGTGCGGAAGCGATCCATACTGCTTTAACAAGGGACGAGAAGGAACGCCGGGAGGTATGGATACAGCTACACCGAGCGGTGCTGCAGAATTCCACCTATAATTGGGTCAAGTCCTTCAATGAAACCTTGACCCGAGTGTGGAATGAGCAGTCATCGCGAGAGAGCATGGCCGTCCCCCGACTTCAGGTGAATAAGCTGGAGGAGGTGTACCGCCGGTCGTCGCGCCGGCTAATTATCGTGGACTACGAAGGTACCCTGGCCTCCTGGGGTTCGCCGAAGAGCATCATTGTTACCACGCCGCAGCGCGCAATCACCACACTGGCCGAACTGACTGAGGATCCGCGGAATGTGGTCTACGTGATGAGCGCAAGGATGCCCGAGGAGATGGAGCGGCTGTTTCGCCTGGTCTCCGGCCTGGGTCTTATTGCAGAGAACGGCTGTTTTGTGCGCGAGCCACACTCGGAGACGTGGCTGAAGCTGACCGACAAGGCGCAGATAGACGCGTGGAAGGCGGCGGTGCTCCATATTCTTGAATACTATCAAGAACGCGCGGAGGGGAGCTGGGTTGAACAGCGACACTGCTCGCTCATGTTCCATTATGAGGCGGCGGACGACCAGGCGGCAGCCTCACGGCTGGCGTCAGAGTGCGCAGGCCACATCAACGATGCCTGCATGAACCAAGGAGTACATGCGGTCCCTGTAGAGCGCGCACTGATCGTGGAACCCGCGGCTATCAACAAGGCGTCGGCTGCGGAAGTGGTGTGGCGATCGTGTCTTAAGCAAAGCCAGCGGGATGAGAGCGTCCAGCGCCCAGATTTCCTGCTGGCGATTGGTGACGGCCGAGATGACGAGTCGGTGTTCCGATGGGCTAACAAGCTGGCGAACGCGCGCGCGGTCGGCTATGCTATGACGGTCACCCTCGGTTCTCGCAGCACGGAGGCGAAGGCGACCCTGACTCAAGGAGTGACAGGTAAGAATAAGAAGACTTCTTCCTCGAGGTGACTTGGTCTGGCACAATAAATGCTAACGGGAGCGTAATCGTAGGCGTTCTTTCGTGTCTGGAACGACTGGCAGCGTCTCAAAGCGGACCACACAGCGGCGCGTGAGTCTTACGACCGTGGCTTATTGACTGATGGATGAATGGATGGATGGGGTGATTGATTGACGAGTACACGACTGGAATCATGAAGGGCGCATGTATACATTGATACACGAGCATGGAGAGAATGGAGATACAAGACATAAGCATGAAGTGGCATGACAAATCTTCTTAGGATTCATACGCACTTCATGGCGCCGTCTCTCGATGACCTGACAAATACGTTCGTTCTCTCGAGGGTCAGTCCGGAGACGGTGCTGCAGGAGGTGCCCAAGGCGATAAACGACCGACTTGTCCCGACAACGACGGGCCCACCACGAAATCCACACGAAGCCGTAGTAATTGTAAAAGCCGACGGGTTCGAGTAAGTTTAATGACATTTCTGAATCCGCAAGACGCATCTTATCCAGCGTCTGCAGCGAGCCATCTGTGTCGCGCTCTGTCACTGTTCCATTTCGAGCTGTCGCATAGACCAAGCGCGGGTCAACGCAGACGCCTGTATCGCAACTTCCCTCCTTTTCCCAGCATAGGGATCTGGGATGTCCACAGATTTATCCAACAGCGATGGGGTAGTCGTCGACCGGATCTTCGCCTCCTACTCCAGTCTGATACAAGTTTTCCTGGCTAGCGCGCCTCTTATATCCTTCCAACCGTCTCTCCTGCGGCCTCTACTGGCGCAGAATCCGGCAGGGAATCCGGACGCATACTATATACACGGGTGAGCGATAAGACAGTCCTCAGATTCAAAGACCATCTTACCAGGATGCTGAGCTTCCGTGCGTTACGCGAGACCAGGACTTATCCCGGCCATCCCCACAGATAAAGAACGTCAGTCGCCCGGTTATCCTTGATGTCCCCATTCATGTCCGAGGCAGGCCCAGTAGAAAACATCGCACCTGACTCGTCCCTCGTAGTATATCTTCACCTTTCCAAGTCTTGCGTCATACGTGTTGAGTCACAAGGGGGGTTGGTTGCTCTCGTCTTCCTGGCAGGACGGACTGTATGTAACCTCATGATGCGTGATGCTTGTATAGTACACTGAGGAATCAAGAGGATGTTAGATTCAAGTTAGTCGGAGATCCAAAGCAGAATAAAGTAATAGAGACAGGAGAAGTTGGCTGTGTGGGGAAGAAACAGCTGGAATCACACGAAGAAAGCAAAACGTATCATTAGGTGTAGATTATAGATCAAAGGCAAGAAACTCCCCAAACTTGGTTCCTAGTTTTATTTTTCTTTTTATCCTGCCGAAAACTGTTTGGTTTTGTGCCACTCTGTCAACCAGGTTAGGAAGCTGGCTGGGTGGTCCGGATGGATGTTAGTAGTTCCTATGAATGCCTTACCGGTGGTAAAAGATAAATATCATGATATTGTGCCGCAAAAAAAAGTATGAAGGGTTGTGAATACAGTCATACAGTCAAAGCAAGGTGGTCAAGTACTGTGAGGGTGTGAGAGATATAATCCTTACTGGATTGAATTTTATTCCTTGAAATTAATTACTTCGCACCCCTTTCCTTTCCTTTCTTACTGGCAATGAAATAAACTAGCTGCAGAAATGGCATGATGGATGAAGCAATATAGTAGTAGTATTATATGCGATAGGAGTCGCGGCCAAAACAACGCAACGGACAATTAAAGCATTCTAATTTCCCCTCTACCGAGTCAATCCTTAGCAATGGTAAGTTGGATATTTCTTCCATCGTCCCAGCCACAGCGAGACATGCACCCCTCAATCAACATTCCACCTTCTTGGGTATCCAGACACCCTTTATAGTCGAGTGGTTTTGATTGACAGGTACGCAAAATCACCTTTCGAACGGTACTTCCCCAAGCCTTAGGGAAGACCAACCCATGCTAAACTGCTATGATAGAGCCTTCATCCGTTCCCGAGTCATCAGGGTCTTCCTCCATCCAACCAATCCCCAGAGCGTCGATAACATTTGCGACTTTTTCAAGTCTATACCCACTGTCAACATAGACAGCGCCCATAATGGCTTTCATCATGTTGGCTACGGCTTCCTCTATGGCCTTCTTGGACATGGGAACCCGGTCCTTGGGTATAAATCTATCCAGCTCCTTGGTGAATCCCACCCACCACAAGTTCGAGTCGCCGGCCTCTTCGAGGATCACATATTCCGTTAACCCTGCGCGAAAAATAATTAGTTATATACTCGACTAATACAGGAGGTATATATGCCGCGCAGGTAGGGGTAAACTTACCAGCACCCTCATTGTTATGAAATCCATCCTGACTAAGTATCATCTTCAGGGCAGAGTGCCCGAGATGAGCGAGATCCTGACTCCCATTAATAAGATATCTCCCATGCACTACCATCGCGGGTAGGAGTGCACGGGCCAATAGACCACGGTCTTTGAATTTGTATCTTATAATTTGCTCGATCAAGGGCGTTGCCGCCGCCGGACTGCGAAGCACGTTAGGGGGTGTCATGGTCCGATGGACAGGGGCTGTGGCTGAAGTGTTTATAATATCAACAAGAATAATAAGAGTAGAAGAACTGGGAAGGAAAATCGTGAGAGGTTTGAATAGGATTCTGGGATCTGAACGGCCACAAGAAAAGGAAAGGAAGGATAGAAAGGGAAGGGGAAAAAAAAGGGAGTGAGCCGGTCATGATGGTGCCTTCTATACCTAGTAACGCAGCCGGGTATGTCGTATACATTATTTCAAACGATTGCTCATCGACTTATGTCACTTTGACAGCTCGCCGCATCACTCAACCGTAGATTAGCGGTTAAGGACAAACTTGATGTAGGAAGGGAAACAATGCTGCCGAGATTTTCTGAATATACGCGGTAGCTGCTTAGCTTATATGCATATGCCTCGAGGCACTGCCGCGAAGACTAGGGATGTATATCTGTTTGTTTGAGTTGAAGTTCCAGTCCTTCGAAATCGCCACACACACCTAGGCATGGCGAGCGATATCACCAGTACTAGATGGCATAAGACATTCGTAAGTAATGATTATGATACTTCATACACGCGTGCCGCGTCTGTTATGTCAATATGACATGAATCGGCAAGCGGGCCTGAGTGATCTTGTAGCGTTCCGATGGCGTAAACCCACCCAGCGGAGGCAGATGGGCGATTTCACAAGGTTTCTTGGTACCTAGGGTTGAGGCTAAGGATGGAGCAAGAACTACTATCGATCCATCTACTTCCTTGCGATGAAGGAAGGGTTGTGCCTGACGACCTTGCCTAGTTTGGCAAAGTCCCCCCCCCTCTCTCTGCAGCGGGACGGAGACCAGACCCGCAACCTAAATCTAATCACCTGCTCTGTGTCAACGTTCCAACGTTGAGTCATGAGCAGAATGAACTAGAAATTCCTTGCCTTGCATGACACCAAGGAGAGAATCAGGTGCCCGCCACAAAGTTCAAGCACATTTCCTCGGTTACTACGGAGTTATCATGTAACAGATCAAAAAAAAAAAAAAAAAAAAACCACTCGACTAAAAAGGTGTCCAGCCAGACACCTATCTTACTACCTTGATAGGTATGATACTGAATGATATACATGGCTACTTGCCAGGGCAGTGAGAGGCGATGGCCTGGTTTTGGCCTCCTGCCGCAAGAACTCGTGGACACCACCTATAACTTAACTATTCCCCCCTTTCTGTAGCTAGAGAGAGGTGATGCTAACTAGGCTACGTACAGAAGGAAGAGGCGAACCCAGTCACCTGACCGGAGGGCTGCAGGGCTGCTGGTTGGCTTCGCTCTACACGCCTCTGGGCGACCTTGCCGGCCCCAGCACTTACGGAAAACAGATGTTCAAGGATGAGGCAGACGATTCACTGCCAAGGTATATTTCCTTCTAGAATGATTATAAAAAAGATTGTAGTAATACAGCCAAATCCTCAGAGATGTTTGCCCATAAGCAGAGACGTCAACGCCTCGCGGGTGCCATCTGAACTCCATGAACTCCGTGTGCTCCTGTGAGACTTCCCAAATTGACTGCGCCGTCCTTTACGCGCCGATTTCAAACCACTCAAGATTCGTTTCCGTCGTCCTGGCTTTTCGAGCAGGTCTATCGTCCACGCCAAGGTCAACAAGGACTCCCAGCTCCATTGGACTTTCCCAGCATCGGCGGCCGATGCGTCTACCTTAAAGAACCCCTCGCTAACAGCCAGCTGCAATGCCCTGCCCGTCGCATCGCGTAGTGGACGCGCCAAGGCTGGGTTGCACGCTAGAAGTCTGGCGAGAAGTCTCATCCGGAAGACCGTGGGGCGGCTCGATGCCTTCGAAGCCGACAGAGTCGGGGTCGAAATCAACCATAGAATCAAATGGAAATGCCGATAGATCTCCTCCGTCGAGAACGTCAAAGGCGAGCCCATCTTCAAGGACTGAAGAATCTGAGCCAGCGGGTGAATCAACGTTGAATAGGCGGTGGAAGTCGTCGTCAGAAAGAGGAGCTGCAACATCATCGGCAGCATGAGACTCAGCGTTTGACCCGAGGTCAAACAGGGAGAGGGCGCTTCCTTCTCCTTCCAGTCCAACGACTGACACTGCAGGTCGCACAACACCGCTGCAGGATGTTGTGTCAGGTCGGAGGACTCAGCCAGAGTGGAAGGCCTGAGGGTTGGGGAGTAATCGGTAAGAGATGGAGTCGGAAAGGGGATTCGTTCGAGGGGGATTTCATCACGTTCCTGTTTGAACAGAATCGGGGTGAGAGTGGGAGAGGCCGTGGCGGGAGAACCGGGCTTGGGAGTGTTTCCACGAGAGCTCCGGACCTCAGCGGATAGTTGAGCGATTTGTTGGTTCAGACGATTGTTCTCGGCTTCCATCTGGGTCAACCGCTGGAGGAGAAATTGGTTTTGTTGCTCCATCTGAATCTTCTCGTTCTCTAGCTTCTCCATTTCGAGCCTCTTGCGCTCGCGGGAGGTTTGCGCTGCTGCACGGTTGCGAAGTACACGTTCGATGCGACGTTGCTCCTTCTCATCCTCCGTTTTGGCCCGTTTCCTTTACATCTTTTGGTCAGCGCCATCTGGCTGTGTCGGACCATGACATAGAACATACCTTGGTGGCAGGTTGGTCTTGGGAACCGGCAACTCCTGGCCCCAGGACTTTCTCTTCTTCACAGGCCTCTTCTCATCGGATTTGCCATCGTCCGTCTTCATAGATGGGTCCTCTAATGAAGTGTCGGCCGGGGAGACTGTGAGCAAGGCAAGCTCCGGTGCCGGCGTACTGGCAAGGGAGTCAACTGGAGAGAATTCGCGTTCCATTTTTGCGAGCGTGATAGGATTGATGTTGGGAAGACAATCAAAACTAATCAACCAAGCAAGAGTCTATCTCCAGAGTGATGGAAGGGAAATAATGACAGGTGCGGTGCTGGTGGGGGACACAGCCGGTTCTGGAAGGGGCTCAATGGCGTTGGGTTGCCCGCGTCACAGCAACAGAGGCCACGGTGTCATAACGGTCAAAGCCGGAGGAGGGCCAGACTCTGGGTGATGTTTGGGTCGGGGGGGGGGGGGGGGGAGAGAAAGGACAAGTGTCCTCAAAAGGCCGGAGGACAATAAAAAGACGGGGAAAGGATGGGTGGATGGTGAGCTCCTGGTCTGTACGCCGTACCATGAGGAGGGGGTGAATGGCTCTTTAAAAGGCCAGCGTGGTCAGTTCAGGGCGGCCCCCTTTCAGCAAGGGGGCGGAGTCATCGTCGTCAGCCAAGTATTGAGACGGCCTGGTAACAATACCGGCTGATTACGTGGAATCCGCCCTTCCTGGGGCCCTGGAGGCTCTTGGGGCCACCAGGAATCCGACTCCTGGTAAAAACCGGTATCCGGACACCTGAAACCTACCGACAGCCCGTGGCTACTGTGGGTACCACCGATCCAAAGGAATTAAGGAGACCTCCCCTGTCTGGCCCCTTCACGCCGCCACGGTCCAAACTTCAGGCGTCTCACTCATCCATGGGTATCTCGATTGGATAGTTGAGGTCCTTTACTTGCGACACTCGTAACTGAAGTGGAACCAAACTAAGCCCCCCTCCCTATAGCCTGCCTCTCTCTTCCTTTCCGTCCGTTCCCGCCCCCCCGCCCCTTTTCCCCTTCTCATGTCTCAATAATAATAGTAACAGCGCTGTCCTGTCTATCTATCTGTACGGAGTACTCCGTACATCTATGCCATGCAGCATTATTTTTATCACTGAGTCTTAAGTTCATATCCGCTCAGCCTTCTTGAGCTTGAAGAACTGATACACAGCAGTAGGGACTCCACAGTACCTACAGCCTAACAGGCGTCATGCATATCTGCACCCCTATCTAGAGATACGGAGTACTATTCTCTCTCTTGTCTTTGTACGTGTTAGCAGCCTACTTAGGTCTAGACTTTCAAGAGTCATGTTAGAGTTCCTTATTGTACACCACTTTTAGAGCTAAATGGGAGTAAATTCTCCGACCTTCATCCAATTGATGATTTTCCATGATCCCTCGCCACTGAATATGGGGGTGTGCTTCGCAATTCTCATGGATCCAGGAATCATATTTGCGTGATTATTATTATTATAATTATTATAATTATTATAATTATTATCATTATTATCATGACTCCGTATCTTCAAGGTATCTCCATATCGCGCGGGTGGTCATCTTTCTCCACCGTGGCGCCATCCTTTCAACTTTAGCCGTCGGAACTCCCGGCCTTGCGATTGCGAATCTTTCTTATTGGGGTCTGGAACTATCCATAGAGGAGTACCCGCACTGTGTGGGAGGAATGTACTAGAATCCACCTGCCTTAACTACTCCGTACCTTCTCCGTAGTCCGTACGGAGTACAGACTACAACTATCTACGAAGTATGTACTACGGACTATGAAGACTTCAATCCTACTACTCCGGAGTTAGTTTATCTAGTTGACTATCTCTCCTTCTCATATTAATACTATTATTGATTGGAAGTTGATAAACGGCCACCCTCCCCCTTCCCCCCCCCCATATCGCCGTTTGGGATCTCGGGCAGCCTCACCGCCCACCTGATTAGGAGGGTGCCGGCAATACAACCCGCAAGGCCTTGGCACCTGGGGCAGGTCAGACCACTTCAGCGTCGTTTGATTAATTATTACCTCTTTTTGTGGTATAAGCAAAATTATAAATGTCGTCAACCGCGCGCATTCTGATGATCTGAACTCTCGATTGATCTTTATAACTTTACGGACCAATCGGATCGCTTCAATCCATAACCATGACCAGCAAAATAACGGGTATGTTACAGGGTAAGAAGGAACGATATCAACAATGGCCTCATGATGCCATCATGGAAGGACAGTAACGCAATTGCAAGGTGATTCCGATCGCAATGGAGATGCCGTGCAGTACTACACCATCTTATTGGTCGCCGGAGCTGGGCTCCTTCTCCGACAATCACCATCCACGCACTACTGGCCATCTAGAGGCTTTACATAGAATATTAACTAACTGGCTAGTGCTTACGAGAACTAGTAGGGCAATTTATCTCCGGTTGTACGGGCTTGGGGGGGGCATAAATACAGCCAGCATCTTTCTTTACGGCATGACTGCTATAATCAGTTCATCGGTGCTATCTAGTTGGTTCATAAGGTCGAGATTAGAAAACGTATATACATGCAGTAGCACAGATCAAGAAACGCAAGGGGGAGGTCATGGCCATAACATCGTATACCTTCGGTCCACCTCGCGGATGAACGAAGCCATTATTCTATGTCGTCAAGTTCGTCACTGCCCAAAGATCCGACGAAGGCTCTTTCCAAAAACTTCCTCCATATCCGATTCTTGGGCTTCTTCTTCTTCTTATCCTTCTTGCTCTTCTTCTTCCTGTTCTTCTTTTCAATGTCCAGGTCTTCCTCGTCACCCTCGATGGTTTCCGAGGCGTCACCATCAAGTGCGGCGTCCACCTCTTCAACCCAATTGTCAGTTTTACCCAACCGGTTCTTGGAGATCTGCTTAGCCAGCTTGAAGAAGCTGCGCACTGTGAGATCGTCCATGTTGTAAAACTTGGCGTCTTTGGTATCGTATTCAATCTCATACTTGAAAGCATCGTGCTTCAGGTCGCGGGCTTCGTCGCTTTCAGCGGAGTCGGCCTGAGCCAGCATTTCATGTTGTTTGGCCACCTTGGCATTGATCTCGGTGAGGTTAGCATAGTACTGGGTGTAACCGAGCCAGGTGAGCGCCTGGTTTGAGTATGCTGGTCCTGGAGGGGCAGAAGCCGAGGGAGGTTCCGGGATGTTAAAGTTGGGTTGCTTCTTCTTGTTCTTTCCTTTCTTCTCGCTCGACGGCTCATTCTCAGCACGTTTCTTGAAACTCGGGCTTGGAACATCATTCGTGGAATCGCTCCAGGTTGCCGTGGCTTCCAAGCCAGTAATGTTGTATTCAACCACCCGCAGAGTCGGGAAGAAGTTCGGTACAACACTAGGCGACACCAACGACACGCTGTATCGCTCGGCCCATGGACCACCAATCTTTTTGAGGAATCGCTTCTTCTTGGGCTTCGCACCTTTCGCACTTTTCATGTTCATATCCTCGTCGACCCATTCGTCCGCGAACAAGATGTCCCTCGATACACCCTTAGGCGGAGTCGGTAGGCTAGACCAGTCTTCCCGAAGACTGGAGAGATAGTCGAAGCGAGACTGAACAGAAATATCGCCATCCTCGTTATACAGATCGTTCTCCTCGAGCACGTCGGAAAATGCAGATGCACTGTCGCCAGCAATCTTCACCTTATGGCTATCCTGGAGCATGAAATGGTCGATGTTCATATGCCCATATGCACTACCGACCACAACATCCCGGAATCGATTGACAAACAGCGTATATTTCTGCCAGCAAGTCTCGTCCCAGCTTCGCTTGGAGCCTGACCTCGCCGGGGGGACATGCCCTATGATGATGGCTTTTAGATTACGCGCCCGCAGCAACTCCAACTGGACACGCAGCCACTCTATATGCTCATAGCCCGGCTCTGATTTTGCCGCACATCCATCGACTGCCGAATTGGAATCGAAGAAGTAAAGCGTGTTCAAGCTGATAACGGCCAGCGTATCGGGGATCACCTCAGACACAAACCATCCACCCTCCACAAAGCTATGGAGTTGGTGCTCTGGTATGAATTTGTGCCAAACCTCTTTGTACTGCTTCGTCCACCGGTTCGGGCCGTCCTTAAAGATATTGTGCGGCATAATGTCGTTATTTCCGAACGTCGGAACCACTGGGATCGAAACTCCGGAGGCGCCCTTCTTCACTTGGAAGGTATCGATGAATTTATCCGCAATGAACTCGTTCAAGGTAATTATCTCATTAGCCGTGCGAGGGTTCTTCTCGTCGTTGTCATGGCGGGCAGAGTCGCCAGTCCAAATAACGAAGTCGATTTTGTCTTTGAGGTTGTCTTCGATCCAGCGAAATGTTGCGTTGATGAGAGAATAGGGCGAGTCGCATTCCGTGCCTTCCGCGCCAAAGTACCCGGCTGAGCCATCACCTCTATGACACGCCCTCTCGTTCGTTGTCCCGGGTTCATAGTAAGGGTCTGGATGGAGATCTATGTAGATAAGAGATAAGATCAGCGTGGTCCTGACCCCCTGAATGCGCGCAGACTGAGGTGGCGAGGGATACCTGTTATGTGCAGAAAGCGCCCCGAAAGCGCGCGTGAGAACGAAGCCCCGATCTCTGATGGTTCGGATTGACCGGCACTCTGATGACTGTCACCCAGCGGCTGTTGCTCAAGAACGGGGAAGGCAGCCCCGGGAGTCCCGAGCAGGAAGACGGCCGAGAGTAGCTGGATAGGAAGCATCGGGAAAGCTGTGAGCAGAGACAAAGCCCCGACGATGGGGGAGACCAAAATCAAATTTGGCCAGCCGAGCCAGATAACCAGCACGCGGGAAAGCACGCGACCAAAAGGACGGAACACAGCAAGGCGAGGCCGAGGATAGCAGAAGATACGGTGCGATATCGGTGGGAGGCCTTCGATGAGATGGAGATGGAGATGGAGATTTTGTTTGGGGGATCGTCAACGTCACTGCCGCGCCTAATCGGGAATAACGCCAGGTAGCCTTGCGGGGCCCACTTGCAATTATTCTTAGCTTGGAGCGGAAAAACCGGCACGGAAGTGGTCGACGGGGTTTTGGCTGGCATTTAAATGTTGGCTGGTCTGGCACGTATTGCTGGGCATCTGACTCTTTTGGGGGGGGGAAGGGGGGGGGGGGGGGGGGGTCAATCAGATGTCTACATAGATACCAGAAGCGCAAGCGCACAGCGCGGCCGGTGACCCAGTCATGGGCTAATAATGTAAGGTACTGACTAGCAGCCTGTACCGTCGTCTGGACAGCCCACGTGCCGCCGCCCGACAATTGGGTTGAGCCTTGAGGAGCAGGACGGCCTTAGTCAGCCGCGTCCAGCCGTTGATAAACTCTCCACCGCCTGACCTCCGCGATCATCGATGGCCTTCACCATGTTGACGGGGTGACACCATCCCGCCGTCCATGGATTCGGATCAGTAAACCAAGATGGATGGGAAAAAAAATTAAAAAAAAAAGTGTGGATGTCGATGGATGATTCAATAGACTGACATCTATTACACTAAAGCTACCTATCGTCCAAACATAACCGAAGACCCGTAGAAGAAGGATCCCAACTCTCCAGAATCATGATAGCCGCCTTTTCAATCCCTGGAAAATAAAAAAAAGAACCCCAGAACTCCAATGAATTCACACAAAGCCATCGCCCCCCCACCACCATACAGACCCAAGATTCCCGGGGCAGACCGGCCCAGCAATGAAACACAAGCAAAGGAGAACGCAATATACATGAACATCCCATCTAGACCGCCGCCTCGACCGCCTGCTGGGCAGCCTCGTCGTTGGCCTCGTCGCCGGCCTCCTCCTCCGCCCAGGAGCCCCAGAGGGCACGCTTGCCACGGATCTTGAGGGGGCCGCCCACGGTCTCCGCCCGCTGCTCAACTTGGACAGCGTCCTTGGTGGCCAGCACGAGGACCTCGAAGAACATCTTGGTGGCATCCGCCTTGGACGCCTTCTTCTCCGGGAGCAGATCCTGGAACTTCACGCTCTTCTTCTGTTCCGCGGCGGATTCTCCGAGGCAGTCCCGGAGGATGTGGACCGCGTGCTTCGTCCCGATCGAGACCGGGCCGCTGTCGGGAACAACCGTCTCGTCCATGTCCTCCAAAGGTTGGCCTTCATCATCGCTCAGGCGCAGGGCGTGGTCTTCCTCATCGCCGGGAAACTCGATATCCGAGCGCTGGTGGAGGGTAGTGTCAAGTCCGACCCCTTCATCGATCGGCAGAATGGTTTCTTCTTCGCCCAGTTCCAGAGCGGGCGCGGTGGCCTCTTCGACGTCCATGTCGGCAATGCCACTGTCGCGCTTGCGCTTGAGTTCACCGGCCTTCCGGACAGTGTCGAATGAGAGCAAATCACGCAGTTCCGGAGCCCAGCCACGTCCTCGACCGCCTCCCAGCACGCTGGATACAAAGTCGCCGTTTTTCTGCATGTTCATAAGGGTCAACAGCACAGGATCCCGGGGAAGCCATGATGAGGGCCTCAGGATCCCAGAGAGGTCCAGATGCTGGTCTTTGAAGACCTTTTGCGTATAGTCAACTTGGTCGTCAAGATCCATGGTGATCACCTTGCGGCGCTTGGTACGTTGGGTCTGTTGGGCGGCAAGTGTATCGGCTTCCTCGGCCTCTTCGTCTTCCTGTTCCAGATGGGCCTCCTCTTCGGAGTCATAAAGCCCCTTGAGCTGATCCTCCGACATGTCGGTAAGAACGCTTTCGCGCTCAAGTCTGTCGTCGGCTTCGGCGTCGGCGTCGACTTCGGCACCGGCATCGGCATCAGCGTCGGGGGCAATTGTGTCGTCACCACCAAGATCCATAGCGTCATCATTCAGGAGAAGGTTGTCGTGTGGGCCGTCGTCGCCGAGATCCATCCTGTCCAGGGGCGCATCGTCTTCGCCAAGGTCAAGTTGCAGGTTATCGACGTCGTTGAACTTGCCGCCATCGCTAAAGAGATCCTCCTCCACGGGGCGGGGAGCAGGGGCATCTCGACCCACTTCCATACTGAAATCATGGCCGAGGGGCGTCTCATCTTCTCCCAAATCAAGGTCGACCAGGGTGTGATCCTCGAGGCGCGCGGGTTCCTGCGAGGCCGAGCGCCGCAGGCCGGTGTCCGGGAGAAGTTGAGTTCCGAATTCCATCGAGGACCCGGGCCGTTTGCCCTCCGGTTCCAGGTTAAGCGATTGCGGCAAAAGTAGCGAGGAGTCCAGGTTCATAAACAGGTCTGACTCAGTCAAGACATCGGGCAGCGTGATGCCACCTGGGGCAACGACCGTGGTCGTCAAGTCATTGTTGTTCGTAAGGCGAAAAGCCTACAAGTAATCATGTCAGCGATGGACGGCGCACACAAAGTCTTGGGGATAGTTACCATTTTGATCTTCATCAGCGCCTCGTTGCAGTCATCCAGCAGATAGCGCGCCTTGCGGCTGTAGATGCGAACCACACCCAGAAGCAGTTGGCCGCTCAGTCGCAACGCCATGGGTGCTTGTCCCTGATCGACGATAGCGCTGACGCTGCCTTCGATATCCGATTGCAGGATATGCGACTTGGAGAGCTTGCGCTCGAGGTTGGCCGACAGCCAGACGCGAGCCAGCGGCCCGGTCTTGGACAGCAAGGTCTCGGAGTAGAACATGGCGAGGTGATTAAGATCAAATCCAAAAGATGATGTAGAAGTAACTCAGTCCAAGAAGGAAGAGACGGGTTGACAACAACGCACCCAATGCGGTGGCTGTTGGTGGTGGTGGTGGTGGTGGCAGTCCCTGGCAACCAACGCTCGATGACGCGCCGGTAATATCCAGACAACAAAAGGATCAGCGACTGGTACGCCCCCCGACGGGCCTGTGGGAAGGCGAGTCCACACAGGCGAAGCGGTCAGAACACGGGTAGATTGGAGTGGCGGATCGCGTCGGTCGCGATCCAAAAATTAATACCAATAACAGATGGTTGGAGGGGAAACAGAAGACCAAAAAGGGATAGATAGAGAAGAGGGATGGAGGGGGGGGGAGAAAGATGGGAGGTTAAGGGGAGGGGGGGTTGGTTAGATGTGGGTGGAGGGAGGGAAACAAGACGGAGAGGGAAGAGGGAGAGAGTCGCGTCGACGACCAGCCACCGGGATTATTGACTAAAAGTTCAAGACGCTACGGAGTGCCTTAGCATGGAGTAACATGTATTATTACAGGATATTACACGATACAATGCCAGCTTCCTCTAAATTTATCAGAAGAGGCAAAAAGAACAGTAGATTCATCTTTCAAGAAGAATAAAGCCACAACATTGAAATTTTCGCTGTAGAAGGTATGATATAGTAAGAACTGTGTTATATCAATTAGAAAGAATTATTAAAAATTCTGTCCTTGTGGTGGAAGGTATTAAGAAGTTGCTTGGGGGAGTTAGTCAACTAGTTAGTTAGTATTGAATCCTTAATAAGCAGTAACTACTAGTTGTAAAATACTTTTAGATACATTGTCCGTCCACCCGGCACTTGGTTGGGCAGGCGGGAGGGGAGAGAAGCGACTCTGCGTCGGTTGCCCCGCGGCCATCAATAATCTACTGTGTAATCGAATCACCTGACTGGCACCTTCCCATTGTGGTTTAACCTTACCGTCTCAGGCAGTAAGGCCGTGAGCTAGTATGCTTCCGTTGGCGGTGAGGGTGCGGGCTTCCCTTTTATCAATCTCCTAAGGTACTCTGTGTTGATTACTGCTACTCCGTAAGGTACTTATTCGGTAACTACGTACTAGTATGTATTATTATTAATGTTCCATAGTTAACTAATCCTTTTTATATATACTGGCAGTGTCTTGAGTCCTGACTGAATATATAACACGGTCATCCCGCCTGATACCCCCTGTACATTATCATCATATTGGCCAAAACACTTGTCATAGTAATATCATATTCTTCCCTGCGTATCACAGAGGGCTCATATATATTTAGATATCTCTCTTAAGGCGCGACTCTCCATCCTAAACTCCGGAACAATCTGATTGGAAGACCGCGGTCTTTATGCGAGTAGACCAATCAGAGGTCTGGGATCTATACGAGGTGCAAAGGTGAGTCGGTCATGTTTGCTATCTGACCCTCCGCAACAGGATGGAACCTGGCGAGGGCGACACGCACTACCGAACGTAAACACCATACTCGCTTCACACCATATATAGTGATCCGGTTCGTTACGACTCCCGAAACAGGAGGGGTGCAGATTCCCGCGTTGTTGCGCGGTGAGACCAGCGTGCCTTCAGACAGCGAACTGGGCTACTCGCGCGGTGTTGCAGCGATCATCTTGGGCAATGGGTATGATGATTCCGACATCCAAATGCTGCGAAAAGCAGCAAAAGACATCAAGCCAATGCCTTGGCTGCAAGCCGATGGGTCGAAGCCGACTCCGCCACTTGGGCCTGAGTATGGGAAGGCGTTGGTGGAGAGGATTAAGAGCACGGTCAAGGAGTTGCAGGAGAAGGGGGCGATGGATGAGGATGCTGCCGTCTATTATTAATTCGGATCATGTGGGCGACCGAAAGAGAATCAATCGTGTGTAACTGCCAATCCCAAGGTTGTCAACGAGGACGTGTTCGCATAGCAGAGGCAAGATCGGACACCAGGGAGGCATGGTAGACAGATGAAGACAGGGTTCTCCGCAGGGGGAGTGGAGGAGGAGAAGGGCCCCGGGGGAGTAAAAAGCAAGACATTCTTCCACATTCCTGATACCATAGTCCAGACCCGTGGCGTCGGTTGATTACTCGCGCCCGAACCACCCGCCCGCCGTTCCAACCCGTCACATGGTCTGCCATATCGTTGGTGCCCACTCAGGGTAAGGAAGGAAGGGGGATCAGAGTTTCTACTGGACAGCCATCCATGACCCAATCACGACCTACCTCGACGGCTGTCCGGAGCGGGCAATTCTACCATATAATTTGATTTTGGATAACTGTATAGTGAACTCGTTTATAACTGGCAGGTAGTGCACTTTAGTGTCGGATAGGATAGGATAGAATAGAATAGAAGAAGCCCTAAGATATAGGCTTTATTCTAGAGAATACAGATAATGCAGGCAGGGACAGTATCAACTGCTCCAGCTTATATTACTAAGATTTATATCAGTCAAAACAGCAAAACCCCAGCCATATCCCGCTGAGTTCTTCTCTTCCCAGCTATCCCAAAGAGTCATCTCAAGTAAGAAAGTCTAGTCTGTCAGTCTGTCTGATAACAGTTTATATACTTTTCACCAATATCCCAACGACCAAGTCAGTGCTTCAAGCATATCATTATAGTCCCATAAGTCTGAAAAAAGATGCGGGCGGATTTATCCAGTTATCAAAAATTATCAAATAGACAACTATTCACTGCTCCCCTTCTCAAACTTATTATCACTATCACTGCCCATCTGGTCCAGCATGCGGTCAATCTCATCGCCCGCCTGCGCTTCCAGACCAATCGACTGCCCGCGGAATCCGTATACCGGGCGCCCATAATCCGCGCGGACATGTAAATCCCGACTGCACGGCACGCGGGCATCCGATCCGCGCGAGTCGCTGCTGCTCTGGAAGGGCAGGTGACGCTGCGAGGGCTGTGAGGAGTGGTAGCCCGAGTGCCTGTGGCCCGGGCTGAACATGAAAAGCAGCGTCTCGATGGCGTCCTGCTCCATCGCGCTGCTACCATTATACGGCGTCGGCGTCGGCGTGGAGGTGTTCTGGCTGGACGGCCGCAGCGGGGGCGTCCCCGGGACGAGCACAGTACTACTCCGGGGTCTGCTGACCTCCCGACTATTACTCCTCAAATAATGATCATACGCAGTGCAGCTGCTACTCAACATGCCAGGCTCGAGAATTCATTCACCTTTCAATTTGCATTCCCCTGTGGTGTGAGAAAATAATCTGGCCCGAATCCAATTCTCAGGATGCGACGTCACAGCCCGGGCATTTCCACGGATGGAGAGGATGAGTTAGAACCCGACCATGATTCTGCCACAAAAGGCGTGGGATGGGCTTTTGTCTTTCACCTGCCATGGATCAGCAAGGTCAATACTATCATGCTCAAGCATCGCCAGTTGTTTTAGCCCAGCGCTTTGAGCCGCAGAAGGGTCGTCGGAAATTCCTAATTAACCGGGTAAATTCCCGGCGGGCGCGGGGAGTGTAGATAGTGGGAAGGCGGGGGATCCGGGCTAGAAATTAACAAGAATCACTATTTAAGCATGACAATATCCCCAGAGTCCAGAACTTACCCGGTAAAAGGAATGGGAATCGGGAATATCCTGTCATAGCTAGGTAGCCACTGGGCCTGGCACGCATCCACACGTCAATTGCCTGCTGTTGGTCTGATCTTGCCGAGCAGCAGGCTGGCGGAGCTCAAGGGATAAATCCATTCCTCAGCGTGACATCATTTGATTTTATTTCTCTCCAGCGCGCGCTCACTTTTCCTTGCTCTTCCGAATTCCCATCTCATAAGTCCGTTCTTCTCTCGAGATACTGCACCCTTTACTACCTCCTCTTTCTCTCTTCTGCGTGCAGCCATTGCCTCCATACGTCACACTCTACCCCGCCGTCGCCATGTCGCAAGCCCCGCTATACATCGGCTTCGACCTCTCCACCCAACAACTCAAGGGTCTGGTCGTCAACTCCGACCTCAAGGTCGTCTACGTCTCCAAATTCGACTTCGATGCCGATTCCCGCGGCTTCCCCATCAAAAAAGGCGTCATCACCAACGAGGCTGAACATGAGGTCTTTGCCCCCGTCGCCATGTGGCTACAGGCCCTGGACGGCGTCCTCGACGGTCTACGCAAGCAGGGGCTGGACTTTCGCCAGATCAAGGGCATCAGCGGTGCCGGACAGCAGCATGGCAGTGTATACTGGGGGGAGAATGCGGAGGTTCTGTTGAAAAGCTTGGATTCAAGCAAGTCGCTAGAGGAGCAGCTGGACGGGGCATTCTCACATCCGTTTAGTCCCAACTGGCAGGACTCGAGTACGCAGGCGGAGTGTGATCAATTTGATGAATTCCTAGGCAGCCAGGAGGAGTTAGCTTTAGCCACGGGGAGCAAGGCGCACCATGTGAGTAGCTGCGACCGTCTGTGAAGGTTGGATTGGGCTAATGCTCGGCAGAGATTCACAGGTCCTCAGATCCTGCGGTTCCAGCACAAGTACCCTGATGTTTACAACAAGACACTACGGATCTCGCTGGTGTCTTCGTTCCTGGCGTCCCTGTTCCTCGGACGGATTGCGCCCTTCGATATCTCCGATGTCTGCGGGATGAACCTCTGGAATATCAAGATGGGCGCCTACGATGACAAGCTCCTCCAGCTCTGCGCGGGTCCCTCCGGGACCGAGGACCTGAAACGCAAGCTAGGCCCTGTCTTCGAGGACGGAGGCATCCATCTCGGCCCGATTGATCGATATTACGTCGAGCGCTACGGCTTCAGTCCCGACTGTACCATCATCCCCGCGACAGGCGATAACCCCGCCACCATCCTGGCGCTGCCGCTGCGAGCCTCCGACGCCATGGTCTCGCTGGGGACCTCAACCACCTTTCTCATGTCTACGCCCAGCTACAAGCCCGACCCGGCGACGCACTTCTTCAACCATCCCACGACCCCGGGGCTGTACATGTTCATGCTGTGCTACAAGAACGGCGGGCTTGCCCGCGAGCAGATCCGCGACGCCATCAACAAGAAACTCGGCGAGGAGCCCTTATTCCCCTGGGCGAACTTCGACCAGGTCACCCTGGACACTCCGCCGCTAGGCCAGAAATCCGACGCTGACCCGATGAAGATGGGTCTGTTCTTCCCGCGACCGGAGATCGTACCGAACCTACGCGCCGGACAATGGCGCTTCAACTACCATCCGGCCGATAACAGTCTGCGTCTGACGACTGAGGGCTGGAACGAGCCCCTCGATGAAGCCCGCGCCATTGTTGAGAGCCAGATGCTATCGCTGCGGTTGCGGTCTCAAGGTCTCACGCAAAGCCCTGGAAAGGGCATTCCCGCGCAGCCGCGCCGGGTGTATTTAGTTGGCGGCGGGTCGAAGAACAAAGCCATCGCCGAGGTGGCCGGGGAGATTCTGGGCGGCAGCGAGGGCGTGTATCAGCTCGAGATCGGTGACAATGCCTGCGCACTGGGAGCGGCGTATAAGGCGGTTTGGGCGATGGAGCGGACGCCCGGACAGACGTTTGAGGATCTCATTGGGAAGCGGTGGCATGAGGAGGAGTTTGTTAAAAAGATCGCGGTTGGGTATCAGAAGGGGGTGTTCGAGCGGTACGGGCAGGCTGTGGAGGGGTTCAAGAAGATGGAACTAGAGGTATTGCGGCAGGAGGGAAAGATCAAGGCGTGAGAGATCGGGGTAGAAGCTAGACAGGATAACGCAAGATAGGATTCTTGGATATTTGGCTGTTCTGTGTGGAGTAGATAAGTAACTAGATGAACTGCTTTTGATATAAGAATTGAGAAGTGCGGAGTACGGAGTACTCACTCACGTTCCTTCCTGCCTGAGGGCGACCTCCCGAAAAACTGCCGCCTCCCGCCGCCTCCGCATTCTCCGGACTCGTTTTCATTAAGCAATCATCGATCGGTAATTAGGAATCGGCACCCATGCTGCTTCTATGTCCGTAATACTCGGGTCTGCCCCGCGCTTCTTGCCAGCACGGCTGGCTACTTTCGGACGCCGTCATGCTCAGGCAAACCTGAGCCCGTTGGTTCGACAGCTCCCCATACGAAGAACAGTCGCAACACACGGCAGCACAGCAGCCAGATACAGTCCCTTGGCCTATACATTGCTAACAAGGACCCCGGAAGCAATTGTGAGAATTGACTTCATGCCCATGGGCGATGCGCTGGCTAATTGTCTGAGAGACTCCAGATGACGTGCTTTCGAGCTTGCCTCCTATCCCAGGGTCCCTGACACCCGCAGACTACGTTCCCGTCCTTTTCGTCACGCCCGCCTTTGCCAGTTGGATTGATACCTCGTCGCACGGGTTTCTTGAACAATGGATCAATCGCTTTTATCCCAACACCTCGAAATGTGAACACACCAGGCCTGTAGACGCTATTGTTGCGGTGGTGGATAGACTGCCCGATCATCGCGTGAACACCGAGGAAGCTATCGACGGGGTGTGCACACCAGAGTCCGAGGGGATTTCACTTCTACTGGTGAATGCAGACAATGTACGGGGGAAAGCCGCTGCACCTCGTCGGATTCGGAGTATGGAAGCTGCGGAGTCAAGTCTGGTCTTTGTAATTCAGAACGGCGACACGCGCTTATTTAGCAAATCACCGACGCACGAGATTGGGCTACGACTTGCAAACACAATATTTGTCAACGGCAACGAGAACACCCTGTTTGGGACACGCTGGGTCTACACGCCTTCGCACGGTTATGCTTTGGATCAATCAGTCAACCTGTCAAGCTGTGTCGTCACATCGAATGCGAGTGCAGTCAGTGACTCATTTAATCTTCCGCTGTACCCTGTTGGCCAACGAAGGAGAGTTATATCGAGCATGGGGAACATCCTCCGTCAGCTAGCGAAGCATACGGACAGCCAATCATCTGCTCCGATGCCAGCTTCGTCCGAGCTAGAGAAAGAGCTCCCGCGCTATATTGCGGAACATGGCATCGTTGATCAGAGAGTCTCCGTCTGGGCTTTAATCGAGGATAGCGAGGACGGTTTCCAAATGGACGCAAACACCAACACCCAAAAAAGCCTCGTCAGCTCGATTCGGAAAGGAGGCGCACTCCACCGGGTCATGAGTGGTGGAGGGGGATGGGGCAAGAAACAAGGTCTCTTGTCATTGGATCCTGAAACGACTTTCTTAGAAGCAGATGGGAGATGCGGACTGTTGGGCCTAGATGATGTCTTCAATAATGCGCATTCACCACCAGATGCCCCGCCGCCGCCGCCGCCACCGCCGTCCTTTGACATGCCATACTTTGGGGACGATCTGTCGGCCTTGTCCCAAGCAGCAAGGCCGGGCGATTATGTCCAGTTTTTTGTCTCTTTAGAACCCGATCATGTCCCAGCGCGTGAGCATGAAGATGGGAGCATATCATTTCACTTTGGCGTTGTTTCTGATGCCGAGACCGTTGTACAAAGCACCGATTCCACGAAGAAGGACTTGGTAGTCGCGTCCAACTACTTCGGGGCGCTATCGGAGAGAGCTATCACCTACTTGCAACCGATGAGTGGAGCGGAGTCTGCCGAAGTGGTGCAAGAGTCGAGTGCCAAGTTCGATATCCCCGGATGTCGGGTGGAAGTGGTAATGAAATGATCCCAGTTCAAGGATCTGAAATGCGTATATGTATAGGTACGATTTTTTTGTCTGAACAGCATGTCAATCAAATGTCGTCGTAGTAAATTTAAAACATCGCGAGGATCGAGATAAGAGGTTGATGGGATGCTGATTTACTCTACACTACTCCGTGATTAGCGTCGGCTCATCGCGGAAGCGAATTAGACCTGGTAAAGGATGGTCTGGTAGATATTTATCATGTCCAAATCTAAAGAAAGCCGACTATGAATGTCGAAAGTACACACAAAATACGGACAAAAAAAAAACAACACATGGATATATGTACACTTCGCTGGATATAATCACTCGCTTTTCGGGTTGGCTCTCTGGGCCAGCAGGTTCAAGGCGCTACCGGCCAGGACGAAGGCGCACTGGTCGGGACTGAGGGTGTGCTTGACCGGGATATCAAGGGACTCGCCGGAGCGTTTGGTGACGCGGAGCTGGATTGAGCCCTGGCCGCCGGCCTGCAACACGTCGTACAGACCGTGGGTGGCGACGACGTCGCAGGCGTCGATGCGGTCGTAGTCGGCCGGGTTGGCAAAGGTCAAGGGCACGACACCCTGCTTCTTCAGGTTGGTCTCGTGGATGCGGGCGAAGCTCTTGGCCACGATAACGCGACCGCCCAGGTAGCGGGGCTGCAGGGCGGCGTGCTCGCGCGCGCTACCCTCGCCGTAATTCTCCTCCGCCACGACCAGCCACTCCGCGCCCTGGGCCTTCCACTGCGCGGCCAGGTCGGGGATGGAGTACTGCTTGCCGGCCTCGTCGTAGGCCACGTTCGTCTCGCCGGTGGCGGCGTTCACGGCCCCAATCAGCGTGTTGGCGGAGATATTGGGCAAGTGGCCCTTGTACTTCAGCCACGGGCCGGCGGCGGAGATAGTGTCCGTCGTGCACTGACCCTTGACCTTGTACAGCACCTTGAGACCCGACAAGTCGCCCTTGGGAAACGGGGCGAAGGGCTCTAGCAGGGCGAGGCGATCTGATGTGGGGGAGACAATCACGTCGCAGGACGCGTCCGGGACCGCGGCGGTGGGCTGGAAAGATGGGTTGCCGTCGGCAAACCCAGCGCTGGGGAGCGAGTAGCCCGTGGGGGGCTGGAACCGGAACTCCTCGCCGCTGGGCGTTTTGAGGCTGTCGGTCATGGGGTTGAAGGTAGTGCTGCCCGAGTAGACCATCGCCGTGACCAACTCCGGGGAGGCCAGGAAGTTCATGGTTCTCCGGTTGCCGTCGTTCCGACCAGGGAAGTTCCGGTTGTACGAGGTGAGAATGGCGTTGTCCTCGCCCTTGGGGATGCCATCGGTGCGATTCCACTGACCGATGCACGGACCGCAGGCGTTGGCCAGCACGGTGCCGCCCGCTTGGGAGAAGGTCGACAGAGTCTGATCACGGTCCAGCGTGGCCCGGATCTGCTCGCTGCCGGGGGTGATGAAGAAGTCGGACTTGGGCTCGAGTCCGGCGGCGGACGCCTGCTTGACCAGGTTCTCCGCACGGGTCATATCCTCGTAGGAGCTGTTTGTGCAGCTGCCGATCAAGCCGGCACCGAGAGACTCCGGCCATCCCTTCTCGCGAACGGTGTCGGCAAAGGAAGACAAAGGCACGGAGAAGTCAGGGGTAAAGGGGCCGTTGATATGCGGCTCCAGTGTGGACAGGTCAATGGTGATCAGCTGGTCGTACTCGGCAGCCTTGTCAGCCTGGAGAAGGTTACGGGGCCCGGAAGCAGCAATCTTGGACGCGGCCTGGGCAACATCCGCCCGGTGAGTCGCCTTCAGGTAGGGAACCATGCTGGGGGAGAAGGGGAATACCGAAGTGGTTGCGCCCACCTCAGCTCCCATGTTGCAAATGGTGGCCATACCGGTGCAGCTTAGGGTTTCCAAGCCCGGTCCGTGATACTCGATGATGAATCCGGTTCCACCGCGGACGGTGAGCTTGCCAGCCAGGTGAAGAATAATATCTTTGGGAGCAGCCCATCCATTCAGCCTGCCCTCCAGACGCACGCCCAGCACGCGGGGCGCCTTGAGTTCCCAGGGGGCATCAACCAGCGCGTCAACAGCGTCCGCACCTCCCACACCAATGGCAATGGCACCCAGACCACCCGCATTCGGGGTGTGACTGTCGGTTCCCAGCATCATCAGACCAGGAGCAGCGTAGTTCTCCAGCACGCTCTGGTGGATGATTCCAGCGCCTGGGGGCCAGAATTCAATGCCATAGCGTTTCGCAGCACTCTCCAGGAAGTCAAACACCTCGCTGTTGCCCTTGATAGACGCAGGCAGATCAGTGTCCGCTCCGCGCTCGCCCACAATCATATGGTCGCAGTGGATACTGGCAGGCACGGCTGTCGAGGGCAGGCCGCAGGACATGAACTGTAACAACGCCATCTGGGCTGACGCATCCTGCATGGCCACGCGGTCCGGCTTCAGCTTGAGGTTGGCCTTGCCGCGAATATCTCGTCCATTGTCGGTACCGGTCAACAGGGACTCCTCGGGGTTGTCCAAGTGGGCGTAGAGAATCTTCTCCGCCAGGGTCAGGTTTCGCGACGGCCCAAGAACTCGGCGAACGTTTTCAAGGTTCTGTACGATCTTCTGGTAGGGAGGTAGACGGGAGGATGAGGGTGACGCCTCAGTGGCCAGGCCACGGCGACTGAGTAGTCTCTGCGGGGAGAGGCATTTCGGAGCCAACTAGAATAATGGGGAAGTGGAGGTCAGCCATCCATCTGACTCCTCGCTGTGCCATCCAGGCGGCGGGAGACTAAGGGAGGAGGGGGGGGTTTGGGGGAATGGGAGGGCGCAACTTACCCTCTGAGAGGCGGTGGCCCGTTGCCAAACAAGTTGCCTCACCATCGTCTTACTGATTGCTAGGATGAATTGCGGAGGAAGCAACATCCAGGGTCACGCCGAACAGCGTTTTCTTCTCCCCTTCTTAGTCGCACTTTTTTACCTGCCCCGTGATTGGGCCGTCGCCACCGCCGATGCCGGGTTGTCGATCTGGGCCCGTAGATCGGACCCGACCCCGACACCGGCTGGCGCGCACCTGCAAACGGAAGGCGGCGGGGCAGGCGGTCAGTATTTACGGCAGATACAAAAATTGCAAAAACGTCAAATGATCCTTCATTACTCCGTTATCAACCTTTCAGTTCAAAATCCCTACGCCTGAACTCTAACCCTCACCGGCATAATTACCTCTATCTACTAAGATTGCACTAGCCCCAGATCTCTAGTTAGTGATCACGGGAGCTGAGTTATCCCATCTGTCGCTCTCCACTGCGTCGACCAGCCACCGCGCCACACTGATGCGACTCGTGCTGGCCATCATCGGCACCCCTTTGCCATCCTCCGGCCACACCCTGATAGGCATTGCCCCCGTATCCACGAGTCGAGAAGGCCGCACAAAGACATAGTCAACCCCGCTGCTCCGCACCTCCCTCTCCGTGTCGTTGTGATCATCGTACTGGTAGGACATGTTGGACTTGGCCATGAGCAGACGCAGCAGGCAGTGCATGTTAGCCCATGAGTCGCCCACCCCAAATGCCTGCAGGATGACTGTTTTGCGCACTCCAAACTCCTTCATCGCAGCCACCACGTTGGCGTTGCAGTCGGTCATCAGCCGCGGCGGGGAAATCGGAGCCGCAAACGGACTGTCGTTCGCCCTGGGGGCGTTCAAGGTCACGATCACGGCGTCGGGCACGTCGGCCTTGAAGGCAACTCGTACATCGTCGAGCTGGGTTGGCGTGCCTGGTCAGGTTAGCGGGCCGGTCGTCTTTCCCCTAACATGCAGGGGTTATGCGAATATACACCTTGGATAATCTTCAGGCCGGCGGCTTGGATATCGCTCAGCGCATCGGGGTTGCGGGCTAGGGTGGTAACTTGGTATCCTAGAGGATATTAGCTGGTGTAAGAACCCTTCGTAGAGTGTAGTATTAGAGCTTACCTCGGCTAAGCAGCTCGTCGATGACGAACTTGCCGCATCGTCCAGTTCCGCCAATCACGAGAACGCGCATGTTAACTTCCAATCAATTCTCAATTCCATGGGTGTAAGAAATGGATTGTGCAGTATTATCCAGGCGGTTCTCAACTCCTACCGCGTTTACAGGCAGGCCTATATAGTTAGTATCTGCTTCGGAGCAGACCTCGGATCCGACCGGACAAGCCCTCTCTCCTCCGGTCCGGAGAGTTGGGCTTGGAGGAGTCTACTCCGTACTCCGTACCACAGACCGGTACTCCGTACGGAGTAGATAATTTCTCCATCGGCTAATACCTAGAGGATACAGAGTAATCCTTTAGCGCAACAGGAGCGGGATTCCGCGGCCAGCCGATGCGGGTAGCGCCGGACATATCGACATTCCGCGGCGGAAGAGTTCCGTCCGGGGACCCTAAGTACGGAGTAGTCACCCCCTACTGCGTACCCCGCAGTTTCCCCAGGCACCGACTTATCCATTCCGGGATTCCCGCGGCAAGCATTATTCCATTCCTATAAAACATCCCCGCCGTGGCTCATCCGCCCGAGACCTCCAAGACTGAGAACCATTCCATTACACATCATGCCTGTAACCAATTTCAAACACACCGATCCGTACTCTTACCAGACTGGATTTGACTCCTATCATGAGTGAGTGATTGGTGATTGGGCCTGACACCTCTGGAGAACCTTGTTTATACTGACCGACCGACTCATCCAGGTCAGAGGCCGTCGAGGGAGCTCTTCCCGTAGGACAAAACTCGCCTCAGAAGGCCCCTTATGGACTCTACACCGAGAAGCTTTCCGGCACCGCGTTTACAGCCCCCAGGCATGAAAACAGACAAACCTGGGTGTACCGCATCCTTCCGGCGGCCGCTCATGAGAATTTCCAGGCCGAGGATACCGATTCCTACCACACCACCATGACCACCGAAACACACAAGCTGCACCATATCCCCAATCAGCTCCGATGGGACCCATTTGACCTGGACGAGACCGTGGACTGGGTCCATGGCATGCACCTTGTTGCCGGCTCGGGGGATCCCACGCTCAAACAGGGCCTGGGAATCCTCCTGTATGCGGTGGGGAAAGACATGGGAAAGGAAGCTTTCTATTCGGCCGACGGGGACTTCCTGATTGTGCCCCAGCATGGCGTGCTGGATATTCAAACCGAGTTGGGTCGACTCCTGGTTCGCCCGAACGAGATCTGCGTGATTCCTCGTGGTGTGAGGTGAGAACCATCCGACATTTGGATACTCAAGAGTCTATCCTAACAGGCCCAGATACCGTGTCACTCTCCCTAATGGACCAGTGAGAGGATACATCTGCGAGCTCTACCAGGGCCACTACCAGCTCCCTGAGCTCGGCCCGATCGGATCCAACGGCCTCGCCAACGCGCGAGACTTCCAAGCCCCGGTGGCCGCCTTTGACGACGAGGAGGAGCCGTCGGAGTATCGCCTGTACAGTAAATTCAACAATACCCTCTTCTCCGCCCGCCAGGCCCACACCCCTTTCGATATTGTTGCCTGGCACGGGAACTACTACCCCTACAAGTACGACCTGGGCCGCTTCAACACGGTCGGGTCGATCTCCTTCGACCACCCCGATCCCTCCATCTTCACCGTTCTGACCGGTCCCTCCGACCACACAGGCACTGCAATTGCCGACTTTGTCATCTTTCCGCCCCGCTGGCTGGTGGCGGAGGGCACCTTTCGTCCCCCGTGGTACCACCGCAACACCATGTCCGAGTTCATGGGGTTGATCAGCGGAGATTACGACGCGAAGACGGGCGGAGGATTCCAGCCGGCCGGCGCCAGTCTGCACAATGTTATGAGCGCCCACGGGCCAGACATGAATGCATTCGAGGGGGCTAGTAATGCGGAACTGAAGCCGCAGAAGATCGGCGAGGGAAGCATGGCTTTCATGTTCGAGAGGTCAGTCTTCCACTCCCCAGGATTTGAGCATACAGGACCTAACACACCACCCAGCTGCCTTATGGTCGGAGTATCCGAATGGGGCCTGAAGAGCTGCCAGAAGGTGCAAGAAAAGTACAACGCGCACAGCTGGCAACCTCTGAAGAGACATTTCAAGAACCCTAACAAGCCATCTGCTTAATTAAGCATCCAGCCTTGGAGCGCCCTGTATCAATCCCCTGCCCTATTCAAACACTGTTGTAGCCAACGAGTTTCGTAAATTGAACATCCGTTGATTATTTCCTCAACACTCTCCTCACTCTTGCTATCCAGAAATCCAGTTGGCCCGAGACCTTGACCCGAAGGCACTTAATTTCCTTGCCAGGCCTCGTATGGCCGCCCGCGTGGCCAACGCAGTTGACACCTCCCGACGCAGTCACCATTACTAGTACGGGGCAACACGAGCAACGCAGGTTTCCAATTGGCCAGTATAGTACCTGAAAATGGTGTTTTAAAATCGACCGGTATGGACTGGTATCTGTCTTGGTATTAATAATAAAAGAACAATGATCTTGTTTAATGATTCCGAATGCTTTTATTCCTTTCCCATGCTTTTGCGACGTGGTTGCAGCCTTGCTTTCATCAATAACAGAAATAGTAAAAGATGATATCGTATATACAGATGGTCACCCCCCACACATGCAGATGGTCACATCTACCGGATCTTGTAGACGCAGGGCTTGAGAACGGCAGCCTCTTCCTCGGCGGACATTCCCTTGTCGGCGAGAGACCGGTCGATAAACCTCTTCTTGCCCGGACCAGAGCTGGCAGGGGCAGTAGAGACATGCTTGCCCTTGGAAGGGGCGCCATGCTTAACAAATTCCATCCTCACGAACATCTTGTTGGACTTGTCAACCGACTCGGGCTTCAGGGAGAAGCCTCGCGTCCGGAACACCTCAACAAATGCGGAGATATCCGTCTCGTCGTTGTTGCTGGTCGGACGAGCGTCTTCAGCGAAGACTTCAGCGTCCTCCGCGTCCGACCCTTCCTCCTCGCCCGACTGAATCTTCTTGAGCTTCTTCCTCTCGGACTTGGTGAGCTCTTGCGGCTTCTTTGCGCCGATCTGAGCCTTCTTGCGGGTCACCTTGCCAAACCGACTCTTGACCTCACTGACCCAGCACTCGCCCTTGCCGTCACTTCGCAGGACGCGCCATGCCTCCTCCACGAACGACACCCAGTTGGTGCCCATCAGACTGAGACAAAAGACGGCAACGTCGACGGAGCCATCAGCCAACGGGAGATTGGAGATGTCTGCCTTGGTTATGGGAGAGTCTTTCGGGGCGTGCAGGTCGTAGCTGAGAAGCTTCAGGTTCAGCTTTTTCGCGGACGGCTGGAGCGCACGGGCGAGTTGGGCATCACCACAGCCGAGATCAGCGACGGTGCACAATCCATTGGGTCGGCGAGGGAGCGCGAAGGCAGGGCCCCGCTTGTTGTCGGGCTTGTTCCCCCTCCGGGGAGCGACCGCTCCCCTACCCCGGAACGCTTTGATATAGCCGTCGACGGGGTTGGAAGGCCAGGACTCCTTAACCTGGCGAGCGAATCCAGCATGATACTCATCGAACAGTTCGGGGTTAGCGGAGAACAGCTCCAGGGCCTTGGCGGAGGGTGTCGTGTACAGGGTCTCGTTCAGATGGCGGAAACGGGACGAGATCAACTTCTGCCGCATGGCCTGCTGGAGAGGGGTGAGAATGGCCTCAGTTTTCGGGGGTGCAACAGGCAAGGCATCAGCGGTTGACGCTCCGTTGGACGCGCCTTCGCCGTCCTGTGGTTGTTCTTGTTGCTGCTCCTGTTTCTTGTTCTTGTTCTTCCTCTGGCGCTTGCTGACGGGCTTTTCTCCTTCCTCTGGTTTCTCTTCGGGCTGCTGTTTTAGCTCCTGATCCTGCTGCTCGTCCCTCTTGTCCGCGGGGCCCTGAGCATCTGCATTCTTGGGCTTCTGGTCCTTCTTCTGCTTCCTGTCACCCTTCTGGCCCTTCGGAGCGGGCTTCAGGCCCTCGATATGGCGACGGTACATCTCGTCGACATTCGACTTGGTCACACGGTCATCACGCTTGCGCTTCATAGATCTCGAGTCGGATTGGGGGGTTCCATTGGCTCCAGTGGCCCCAGATTGGTTTTGCTTGGAGGCATCGGCCTGAGGCCTCAGAGCGGCGGTCTCGAGCGACCAACCTGGAACGGCGAACATGATCGGTCTCTGGAAAAAAGCGAGTTCTGTAAGAGTTGATTGATACCGGTGGATAATCCAATTCAGATCAACCCTTCCAGAGTAAAATTCAATACCTTTGCAGCCTGGAAATTCGGTCTAGACGGTGGAGAAAAATACCGAAATTTTCCAGCAGTAAAAGGCGGAGGAAGTCCGCGGGCAGTTTTTCTGCCGTTTCTCTAAAGGCGGTCAGGGGGCTTTTTCTTGAGTTTGGCGTCCTGCTTCAAGTTACCTTTCTGTTTTGGGAATAGTAGATAATCATCTAGCGTCATCGTCGAGCATTCCGAAACCCACGCGCATTTCGGAATAGACAGTCCGGAATGCCCCGGTGCTTCTCCTCAGCGGTACAGCTGACACATGCTTGTACGGACCAATTCATTGATCAATCGATCAACTGTAAGATTGTCACTATTAAGTAAAAGCCATCCAAATGCTCCATATACGACTAAATACATGATGGCGTCGTGACGCTGTTGGCATGCGCAACGCAAATCGGGATATCAGAAACCATTTAATCCGGACGATCCAAAACATCCAACGAAGATGGCCCAATGCCAACAACAGTACAATGTCAACAACAATGGAGAAACAAGCCGCCTTGAGAGAATTGAATTGGAACAACGATCTATCACATAGCTGCAGTGCTCCGCCTCTTGGTGAGCACGTCAATCACTCGGGTGTAAAATTTCGAGGCTTGTTGGCGAACAAAAGTAATGTCCACTGTCAGGTACTCGGGAAGTATGTCAACCAGATCGCGGTCTCTATTTTCGTCCAAGAGGGGAATATATTGAAACTCGGCAGATTCAAAGTTGGCCGAGGATACATGAGGGACAACTAGCTTGAAATGGAGTGCTGCCACATGTTAGAAGCCATCACCGAAGGGGTCGCGATATACGGGGGGGAGCTTACTTCCGTTGCTACCCGTTTGGATACAGTCGTACAGGTTATCCGACTGTCGCTTCTTGACGTCGCGAATGATTAGACCAGTAAGGTCAGTGTAGAGATCTTCCTTCAGCTGCGCAAATTGGGCTGCTTGCGCGGCCTCTGCAGTTACTGCAGCATTCGCACGGTTAAGACCACTCTTGATCGCACTTCCGGGCACCTTGGCTGCCGCGCTTTCGAGACTGGCGGTGGCGGTAGCGTTACGGGCCGCTGCAAGTTTTGTTTGCAATGCCTTAACCTCCACCTGTGCTGAAGAGAGCTGGCCGGTCGTCTCCTCGGCTTGTGACTTTAATTTGGTCACTTCCGCATCCCGCTCTTTCAACTGTTTTTGTAGCGACCGGCTTTGCTGGCCAAGCGCTCTCTGCGCCTCTAACTCTGCCTTCAACGAGGCGATCACGGTATTCGAAGCTAAAAGCATTCAGTAACCATGGCCTTTGAAAAGCGCACAAGGGAGATGCACATACCAGTTGCCATCAAATCGAATTGTTTCCGTAGCTTTTCCATGTTTGTATTTGCTTCGACAACCCCTATTTCTCTGAGATTCCTGTATCGATTCTCCAGGGTATCACATTTCTTCGTTAGTTCCCCGATTCGACGTCGGAGCTCGGGCTCTATATTGGCCTTGTCCTCAGCGCCACTGAGCCTTGATTTCAACGGAGAACTATGTACTGGTTTCTGCGGTTGTCCACGTTTTGCCGGTGATCGTGGTATTGACGGGGGCTGAGTATCCTGAAGCATGGTTTCGTCCACAACATCTTGTGCAGCGGGTTCATCTTCTTGTGTGTCCATCTCCTCAGCTCTCCGTTTTTGTTTCTTGGGCTGTGCTGATTGCTCCTCGGGGGCTTCAGTTGATTTACGTCGTCGGTTGGTCGAGGGAGTGTATTCGAATTCGCTATCCGCCTGCAGAGAATTTTCTCTGTTGACTTTTCTCCGACCTCGTGTAACTGCAGGTTTCGATTTGGTTGGCTTTGGAGCACTCTGTGGCCATTCTAGTTCATTATTCGAAACTAGAACGTTTTCTTGTTCCTGGGCATCAGTCTCATGCTCTGACTCTTTGGTCTCATCTTGCTCTTCCGCGACGTCTTGGGACGCCTGGACTGAGTTTCTGCTACCCTTCGGTCTGCCCCTCCTCCCGCCTCTCTTTGCTGCAGGCGCATCGGATAATTCTGGGGGCGCGGTAGCTGGATCCTGTGTTGATGAGATCAGGGGCTTCATTTCGGCTGATTTGGATCGCGGTCTTCCTCTTTGCTTCTTAGCAGGGCGTTTATTATCGCGTGTGGAGGCCTTTCCGGAGCCATTGGCTTGCATCATGTCCTCATCGTTAGACTCGGTGGCAGCAGAGAGCGCGGTGGCGGCCTTTCTTTTTGGCATGGTATAGATTGCTGTATATGATATATATAACGCGTCGAAGATATTTCACGGCAGATGGATATAAGGCCGATGTTGTATGTACACGGTTAACGCATCCAAGTTCGGAGCGCGCGACCGCAACGACCGCAACACAACAATACTGTGGCGCCGGGGCATGTGACACTCTGGTCAGCCACATCTCCGACCGGCCCGCGCCACATCCACTCTCCCGCCGATGGCCGAACGTTAATTACAGAACTTGATTGGATCAATCAGTTATCGAATACTACCACAAAAGTCCATTCCCCAAAAGTTGTACGTGTCTATTCTATTTGATTTACATTAATGTACAAGATATATATCCATCTGGTCCGACGCTTCACCAGACCTTGTTTGTCTCTAGAGTCGCAACCGGCATGCGAAGGAACATATTCATCAACAAAGCCGCGGCAACACTAACATTCAGACTGTCCACTCTAGCCGGATCAGCCTTGACCCCCAACGCGGAGCTGATCCGCGCCCCCGGCAAACTGATGATCGCATCTGCCTGTCTCCGGAGATGCCCACTTAACCCGGTGTTTTCATTACCCAGCATCAGGACCGTCGGGGCCTGTGCGAGGGGTGTCCCCTCACCGTTACTGTAAAGCGTGACGGGATCGATGAGCTTCGGATTCGGACCCGGAGCATCGGCCGCCAGGAACCGCCAGCCGTTGGCTTTAGATTGCTGAATGAACGCCACTTCATTTCTGGTGTGCAGGAGCGGCATGTTTTCTGCGGCGCCGGCCGCCGTTTTTGTCGAGACGGCCGACAGCCGCGCGGAGTTTCGGCCCGCGAAGACGATCGCGTCGATGCCTAGGTAGTAGGCTGAGCGGATGATGGCGCCCATGTTGCCTGTGTCGACGACCCCGTCCAAAAGGACTACCACCGGGTACCGCGCTTGGAGGGCGTTGTTGATTGTAACGCGTGGGCTGGTGCCGTTTACTAGGGCTTCTTCTTTGGATTGCAGCCCGAGCTCGACGTTGAAGTAGGGTTCTTCAGCTGAGGGAACGGCTTGGAGGTTTAGGACTGGCCGTTGCGGCAGTGGGGATGCCTCCAGCACACAGCCGTTGTGGGGGCGGCCCGCGCTCATCTTGTCCAGTATACGGTCCCATTCTCCGAAGGCCATTTTGACGGGGACGTTCTTTGCGAGAGCGAGCTTGCGGATTCCTACTTTGGCATCGTTGAGCTCCTCGTCCATGTTCTGGTATATGTATAATTTGTATAGCTGGCGGCGCTCGCAGCGCAGTGCGGCTTCGATGGCGGATGTGCCACAAACAAATTGCGATGCTGGTGTGGTGTATGGGATCTCACTGGGGGGCAGCACGTTCTTCTTCACCCGTTCGGGGATTTTGTCGGTGATGCGATGGGCATTTCGCTCCTGGCGCTTGGGAGTGCGGCCACCAAAGTCGCGGTCCTGGGTAGAGGACTCCCTCGACCTAGAGGGGCGGTCCTGTGTATAGGACGACCCACGCGAATTATTATCCGTTCTCTCTGATGAAAACCTGGGCCGCTGGGGTGATTGCAGCTCGCGGGGCAATGCTTGGAATTTCCCTAGTTTAATGAACGCATCCTCGTCGAACTCGGTCTTAGGTTTGTATGACCTGCGGGGGTCTCTGTCGTCAGATCTCCGCGGTCTGGAGTCTCTGTCCCTCTTGTTAGAGAAATCGCGGCCACTGCCTCCGTCATCAAACTCAGACTTGGATTTCCACGGCTTGCGCGCGTCCTTGTCTTCAAACCTTTGCGGCTTCAAGTCCCTGTCTCTCCCGCGAGAGAACGCATTTGGCTTGCGTGTGTCCTTCTCCTCGAACCTTTCTAGCTTGGAGTCACGATCTCCCCTGCGAGAGAAGCCGTCCGACTTGCGGCCATCAAGACCAGCGGATCCCCTTGTAAACTTGCCCTTATTCTCATCAAACTCGGACTTAGACTTCCATGGCTTGCGGGAGTCCCTCTCATCCAGCCTTTGCGGCCGAGAGTCGCTGTCCCTGTCCCTGTCCCTACTGCGAGAGTAATCCTCTACTCCACGGGATTTGCGAATGCCACGATTGATGGCGGAGTTAAGGGAGGCATGTCTGGCGGGACTGAAGCGCGTAGCGGCGGTGATGGATGTTCGCAGGGGTGACCAGAAGGGATTGCGGGGGTAGAGAGACAACATTGAGATGTGGGATCTGGGAGAAGCACGAGAAGCAGATATTCCCAGCCACAGATTAATACATATTCCGTTGTGGTGCTTGAAGGAAAACAACAGGAAAAGATAGGGCGGTGACAGGATTTTCCTCACCGCCCGGGAGCTGCCGATCGATAAGACCTACGGAGTACTATCTATCTATCTACTTAGCCCAGGTTGCGAATACCAAGACTTGAGACACGAATTCGATAGTACTAGTATACTGTGGATAGATTTTCACCCTCTTCCTATCTACAGCCCACGTCCACGTCCTTGAGTTGAGATGTCCGGATTATTATCCTCGCTCAAGGCGTTGACAGCCTAGCAGCACCCTCGCATTTGGTCCCTGCACCCGCCTCATCGAATCTATATACATAGTGGGCTGAGGGGGCTGGGTTGGCATGGAGGATTGATTAGTACATGGGATATTTTCAACATTTACATACGAGAAGCAATAGTTTTAGATAAGTTATTATAAAAGATATTCAGTTGCCACATTGTCAGTTGGTCCGACCCGAAGAGGGTTAGATAGAGGGAATCGGCGGATGATCGGAAGACTAGACAACAATAACTGTTGCATGCGAACAGATTCGGATTATCTGCAGAGAAAGGATAGGATTTCATATGCAAAAGCGGAGGCGTCCGGTGTCTAGACTCTACGGAGTACGGGGTACAAAGTAGAGCATTTATTACCAATCAGAGGCTGCGCAGATGACGCAATCGGGCCCCGGCCGATCGGCGCCGCAGGCAAAAGCAGCCGCCCGCGGAATGCGAGGATAAATGCGTACGGCCGACACGATTATTCAAACTTTCCCAATAATATTATTACTTATCTGCGTCACAACCTTTGCCCCAGGAAACCATCATGGCGGCCCCTTCAGAGATGGCCCGCTCGGCTCCACGAGCTTTTAAAGCTGCGCACCTGTTCAGCCAGCGCGGGCGCCCTTTAACTGGAAGTCGCAGAATCCCAGTCACATCAGTGCAAAATGCTTCCCCGGCAAGCTACAGAGCCCTGCACCAATCCCTGCTGCGGAAGTCGCATCCCACCCCTATACAGAAAAGCTCTCTCGCAAAAGACCCATTATCTTCAAACCCTGCCATGGCGTTCCCCTGCCTGGACGCGCAGGATGCAAAGTCCGCCCAACTCTCTGCTCGATCACTCCAGTCCGGTCCCGAGCCTTCCTATACGACTGGCCACCACGAACTGTTCCACGGTGAACAGCCACTTCTACTTGATTGGGGTGGCGTACTACCGGAATTCGATATCGCATATGAATCATGGGGTCGGCTAAATCCCGACAAGAGCAATGCTATTCTACTACATACCGGGCTATCCGCCTCCAGCCACGCTCACAGTACGACGGCCAATCCTAAGCCTGGCTGGTGGGAGAAGTTCATCGGGCCTGGGAAGCCTCTAAACACCGACAAATACTTCATCATCTGTACTAACGTCATTGGAGGATGCTATGGCAGTACGGGGCCGTCATCATTCGACCCTTCGGATGGGAAGAGATACGCTACCCGGTTCCCTATTCTTACTATAGATGACATGGTGCGGGCACAGTTTCGTCTTCTTGATTCCCTGGGCATAAAGAAGCTCTACGCCTCCGTTGGATCCAGTATGGGTGGCATGCAGAGTCTTGCTGCGGGCGTTCTCTTCCCGGAGCGAATTGGCAAGATTGTTAGTATCAGCGGCTGTGCGCGAAGCCATCCCTACAGTATCGCCATGCGACACACTCAGCGGCAGGTACTGATGATGGACCCGAAATGGGCCCGGGGGTTCTATTATGACTCGATCCCCCCTCACTCGGGCATGAAACTCGCTCGAGAAATCGCGACGGTCACATACCGAAGCGGACCAGAATGGGAGATGCGGTTCGGACGACGGCGTGCTGACCCTCGCAAGCAGCCTGCCCTCTGCCCCGATTTCCTGATTGAAACCTACCTCGACCATGCGGGTGAGAAGTTCTGCTTGGAATATGACCCAAACAGTCTTCTTTATGTCTCAAAGGCGATGGATCTGTTTGATCTAGGCCACGCACACCAAACCGAGACAAAGAAACGGAGAGCCGAGTACAAGGCCGAAATTGCCGAAGGCGTTCACCAGAGTGACATCACCTGCAGCCTAACTCTGCCGGAGAAACCCTACGAGGAGCAACCGTCGGCTGAGGAACAGGCCATGGACGCAGCCGCGAGACCAGATGCGCCACCGCAGGATCTTGTGGCTGGTCTGGCACCACTCAAGAATCACCCTGTGCTTGTGATGGGCGTTGCCAGTGACATTCTCTTTCCCGCTTGGCAGCAGCGGGAAATCGCCCAGACTCTCCGGGCCGCCGGAAACAACAGTGTTGAACACATCGAACTCGGCGAGGATATCTCTATGTTTGGACACGACACGTTCCTCTTGGATCTCAAGAACATTGGAGGTGCTGTGGAGACGTTTCTGCGGTAAACCAGTAGCGATCATGACTTGCAATTAGCGTGCTGTACGGGGTAATTCTGGGGGACGATGGAATAGACATGGTTGTGCGTGGCCTGTAGACTAGCAACAATAATCTGTTCGCGCTGTACTTATAAAGGTAGTACTGTGCTATTATCGACGGCCGTAGTCGCGGGGCCAGTCACTCCGGGGAGGCAGATACGCTGCTTGCGTACTTTCTCCGGCCGGTCACGTGGGGCGTCCCCGCGGATGGAGGCTAGCCGGGTTTCCTCCGATTGCGGCGCCCTTTAAACGGATGTTTTTCTTCAAGCCAGCAGAACAGAACCTCTGCATCCCCTTCTAACGGACATTCACCATGGCTGCTGCTGCTAGGACTCTTCGCATAGGTCAATTGATTCCTTCTTAATAGCATCATGCCCACCTTGCCTGACTAGCCACTGACATATCTTGTCTCCTGTAGGTCTCATTCCCGGTGACGGCATCGGACGAGAGGTCATCCCGGTGAGTCAACGAGCGAACCGCACTCTGTTGAAGGGGAGAATCTAACAAGACCGCCACCACAGGCCGGCCGACGGGTGCTGGAGTCCCTCCCATCGTCCTTGAATCTGAAGTTCAGCTTCGTTGATCTGGATGCCGGTTTCGACACTTTCAACCGGACTGGTAGCGCGCTGCCGGACAAGACTGTCGACACCCTCAAGAAGGAGTGCGATGGTGCTCTGTTCGGAGCTGTCAGGTAAGAGGGATACGGTCCACTCGAACATACTTGGCTTTGTCCACTGACTGGTTTCTCCTAGCTCCCCCAGCACCAAGGTCGCTGGCTACTCCTCTCCCATCGTTGCCCTCCGCAAGAAGCTGGACCTCTACGCCAACGTCCGCCCGGTCAAGACTACCGCCGGCAGCAGCAACGGCAACCCCATCGACCTAGTCATCGTCCGCGAGAACACTGAAGATCTTTATGTGAAGGAGGAACAGACCAAGGACACCCCCAACGGCAAGGTTGCGGAGGCTATTAAGCGCATTTCCGAGAGTGCCTCATCTCGCATTTCCACCATCGCTGGCGAGATCGCCCTGAGACGCCAGAAGATTCGGGATGTGGCCCCTGCTGCCGGTCTCCGTACCAAGCCTATGGTGACCATCACCCACAAGTCCAACGTTCTTTCGCAGACCGATGGTCTGTTCCGTGAGACCGCCCGCAAGGCCCTCGCTGCCTCTCGTTTCTCCTCTGTGGAGGTCGAGGAGCAGATCGTCGACTCCATGGTCTACAAGCTCTTCCGTCAGCCCGAGTACTACGACGTCATTGTTGCTCCCAACCTGTACGGTGACATTCTATCCGACGGTGCTGCCGCCCTGGTTGGCAGTCTGGGCCTGGTGCCCAGCGCCAACGTCGGTGATGGCTTTGCTATCGGTGAACCCTGCCACGGCAGTGCCCCTGACATTGAGGGTAAGGGCATCGCCAACCCCATTGCTACCCTGCGTAGTGTGGCTCTGATGCTGGAGTTCTTGGGCGAGGAGAACGCTGCCGCTAAGATCTATACTGCCGTCGATGCTAATCTCGACGAGGGCAAGTATCTTTCTCCCGACATGGGTGGCAAGGCTACCACCCAGCAGGTCTTGGATGATGTGCTGAAGAGGCTGTAAAATGATGATTAAAAGTATGTATGTATAGTGTGCAGATAGGAGTAGACTCCGCAGGGAGTACAATAATATAGAAAATCTGTCACGGACCTGGCCTTAGGTGCGCTTCTAAAGTAGGTCCGCTGTCATGTCCGCTAAATAATTGGCAAAAGACTAGAGCTCTGACCCACCAGACATCCCTTCTATGCCACAGAGGCCACTTCCTCACACCTTCAGCTATTTGGCGAATACGGCTAAAGCATGCGTGTGGGAATAAATCGATCGATCGGTCGACCAGTTGATGGTTGCAGTTGAATGATCCCAAGGTTCACACTCTTCCGACAGGATCTGGACAAAGCTAACAGACACGAGAAGATTAAACATCTTTGGCAAACGGACACCTCTCCAAAAAGACCGATCAAGAGCGGCGCTGCCGGCCATTCCGACCACCGCCATCCTTTTCCTCCGCAATCTTTGCCTTCCTTCTTCCCGTCCGGTTCACCAGATGATCGATTACACAGCCCTTGTCCCACCCGGCAGACGACTGCCCGGTAATCGCCCGACATCGCGGACATGATTTCCCATGACGTATAAAAAGCTGGTGCAGCGAATATTTCAGATGGTCTGGAATGCGCACCTCTAGATGCCGGTAGGCCGTGATCTCCTTCGCCTTGTCTGGGGGCACCCAGTTCAGCCATTTGCATATGCGGAAGATGTGCGTGTCAACCGCGAAGCAAGGCCGTTGCAGACAGAAGAGAAGAACGCACCCTGCCGTCTTGGGACCGATGCCCGGATATTTTACTAGCTCTGCCATCGCATCATCCGTCGGGAGACCGTGGAGGTGGTTTAGGGAAAGGAAGTTCTGATCCGCACATGCGATCTCATACTGTTTGCCACTCTCGGGCTTAGTGAGCAGGTTCGCCGGCACATCTTGGCTGCCTTTGACTAACATTTCCCGGCGCTCCTGGTTTTCCGCGTAGACCATGTCGAGGATGCCCTTGATCTTTTTGCTTTTAACATCCGCCAACCCACCTCGCTTGATGGCTTCGAAGACATCTTTAAGTGATGCCTTACGGACGGCATCCCAGTTCACGCTTCCCTTACCGATTCCTTCCGTCAGGATGCCAAATCTCTGCACGAGGCCGTTAAATGCCAGAGCAGAGTTAGTCCCCGTTGTTGCCCCGCTGAGCAAGGTTCGGATGAGGGCATCAAGGACCGAGGGCACCTCGCCGCAGCCCGTGACTGTAAGCGATGGCTCCGGGATAGTGGCGGGTGGTATAACATCCCCATGCACGGTGGAGAGCAAGCGGTTGACCTCTTTGCACTCTTCCGGAGTGGGATGGACCCAGTCAGGAAACGGGGTGACGCCAGGCGTGAGGCCATATTGGTTGGTCTTCTTGGACTTTTTCCCGGTCTCTGCAGCCTTTAGTTAGATCGAGTTTCTTCCTTAACTAAATGTTGGAACTTACTGTCAAGGCGGTTTATTCCCTCTTTCTTAATGGCGGATTCTGACTTGTCTGTCTTCTTGAGTGGGGTCTTTCTGTCACTACTAGTTGGGGATAGAGGAATGACTGAGCCCAAATTATGAGGGAGCGGCGACGCAGGGGACCCCGGGTACATATCAGCCGGGGTAAATACACGCCGAGTGGCCGTGGTAGCATTTGTTTTTTGCTTCTTGAGGCTCTGACCCGCAGATGCATTGATATGCACTCTCTTTATCGGTTTTGGCGAAGATTCAGCCTCCGGGGTCTGGAACGTCAGAGACGGGCTGGGCTGCGTTTCAGCTGCCAGCAGAGCAGCTTCTCGCGCAGCTGCAGATCGCGTCATGCGTGCCATGGCAAAATATTGAATAATAGGTTGTGGAGAACGATGAATAATTGCAGGCGCACGGATTCGAGTAGTACTGTTACCCCGATGTATCTAGCTAGGCCTATAAACCTGGAATGTTCGGATGACAAGCATGGCTGGGGCAGATGCGGATCTGCATGAAATGGTGACTTAGTACCTGCTTCTAATAATAAATAAGGGCCTTTAGATCATTGCGATCGAGAGTTGTCATGCTTAAGTCACGGGCCAAGCTCTGCAAGTGGCTGGCGTCATATGACCGGAGGGAGTCGGCCAGGAGTGAAGATACGTCACTTCCTCAGAGTAGAAGAAGGTAGATACCTAAAAAGATCCAGAAAGGTGGCAAAAGTTTCCTCCAGTCATGGAATAATCATTCATGACTAGCGATGGTTACGGATGCCGATGTCCATGCAATCCATGACCTCGGGGGGCTCCCCCTTCCGAATGGGGCACGCGCTCACACTTCAGTCGCACTAATTGGGTCTTGCGTAGCGATGGTGTTGCCGTGGGCATCTACAGCTTAACACTGTTAGTAGCTATCTGGAATGAATCATTACTAGTGAGCCCCGGGGGGGGGGGGGGGTGATGCACCAGGCACACAAGGTAAGTTCCTGATGAAACCTGGTATCATTCAACCAAAACCATCAAGTCTGGGGGAAAAGAGAAGAAGGCTGACTAGTACTGTTAGTCCGTTAAAGCGCGATGGCCGGAGTAATCGGTATCGATATACAGTCACATGACATCATTACATAATTGGATCACGTGGCAGGTCCTTGTCAGTAGATCCACTACCATCACAGCTAGGTTATTGGTAAAAGACTGGAATTCTGAAATATAGTGGCCCAGAACGCGCATCCCCTCTATACCGGGTGAACAGGTCTTCACACCGCACAACAGGCAACAATAGCAAGGCAAGCAGGCAAAACGGGGAGAATTTAGACATTGAAAGAAGGCTATCAAAGTGGTATAGAATCTAAACGACAAGCTCGCTTCAACGCCTCATATTTGTAGGATTGCCAATGACAAAAAAGTCCTCCGAGATGAACCCAGCGGAATCCATACGGAAAACGCCATTCTGGCCCTCGACTTCCAAAAGGATAAAGCCTTCCTGAGTGAAGATCTGGCGGATGGACTGGAATACCGCCCAGAGAGCCATGTTCAACGCCTTCGCAGGCGTCTTGAAAAGGCTCACCTTTGAGGCCACCTGGGCTTGTTGCTGCATGGGACTGATCGCGTCCGGGGATATCACCAAGCGACGCGAGAAGGCAATTTGATGAGGCAGGGCGTCAAACTCAAACGGCTTGCGAAAGGGGACGATACTGCGCACCGTGAACCGAATAGATGCCTGGCCCTTAGTACTGACGGCCTTGACGGTGCGGACCAGTCGGGCAGTCTTGACAAGCATTACCGTACCCATGGCGCTCATTGCCACGCAGACACCACCAAACAAGCTTTTCTGCCACATCGGGATCTCGATAACTGGGTCGCGAAAGACCGCATTGGAGTTAAACACGGAGTAGGCAAAGCAGAACGCCGCGATACCGTAGGCCCCGATCACGTAGCTGCGATGCGACGGCGCTGCAAATAACACTAGCTCACCCTCCTGGGCGACCTTCCGTTCCAACCTGCCGAATCCTTCCGGCCGTCTTCCTGCAAACTTCAGGGTATCTTCAGGCTGCCGCGGAGGACTGGCCTGCTTGACCTTGCCAGCAGCTTTTGTGCGAGAGGCGCTAGAGGAGAAATACCTCCATGCTGGACTAGATGACTCGAAAACATATGACCGCAAGCTCCGAGGGCACTGCTGCAAGCATGCCCTGGGGGCAAAGGACCTGGCAAACATTGTAGGTACCTAGAAATCATATCCGCGATGGTTGGTTAGTATGGCGGGAAAGAAAAGCATGGCACCACACCAACAAGTCGCGGGGCTTGATACCCTCATGGCGCGCCGTAGCCCACCCTGACAGACTGAACGAAGAACGGGAGGGATGGCTTACCAGGAGAGAGACGGGGGCCAGGTAATTAATGACTTCTTGTACGCGCAGGAGATCAAGCCGGGTGCCGGTTGTTCTCCGCGGCAGAAAAATGTTCCCGTCCGGGCCGCCGGTGAAGCTCCCCAACATCAACCTCAACCTCCTCCGACCTGGCTCTTCCGATCGCGACGCATTCCCCCGGCTTGGATGTCCTGCACCGTGTAATTAAATATCAAGCCGATTCTCCGGGTCCCTCGAATCTCTTGTGAATCCGCGCGACCCCCCCCCTCCTTTCCCTGGTGGTAGGTTCTGGTTCGATCCGCTCGAGATCCTCATCCGCTAAATCAAGTCCAGCAGCGATCCCGACAATAGCATACCCTGGTCGGAGAAGATATATACCCCCCTTGTTTACCACCAGACATATCCCCGGAATACCATGGCCTCTAGCCTGTCTATGCGCCGGCTTCCGGTCGCGCTTGCCCGCTGCCAACCCCGAGTCATCAGCACTTCCAAGCGTTAGTTTCCCGTCACTAAGAGAAGAGATGGACATCCAGACACCCCCAATGCTAAACCATCCTTTCTATTGCCAGGCCTGAACTCCACCTCCGCCCCTCAGACTCAAAACCCCGCCTACCCCTTATACCCATCCGTCACCCAACTCCTGCACGAAAAGGGCATCCCCGAGTCTGAGATCTCTAAGATCCCCGCCTCCGGCCCTAAGGGCCGTCTCCTGAAGGGCGATGTGCTCGCATACCTGGGTACCATCCCCGCTGACTACCCGTCCACGCAAGCCGCGCGCATCAGCAAGCTCGCGCACCTTGATCTCAGTAACATCAAGATTATGGCTCCGGTCCAGCCCGCGGAGCCTGTTGCCGCCGCGGTTGAGAAGCCGATCGCCCGCCCCCCACCGACTACCTCCGTCACCATCTCCATCTCCCTGGCCGCCGTGCTCTCCGTTCAGAAGAAGATCCAAGACACGCTGGGTGTGACAGTGCCGCTATTAACGTTCCTGGCGCGCGCGACGGACCTAGCCAACGATAACCTGCCCCGGTTGGCCCATGAGACCCGCTCGGCGGATGAGCTGTTCGATGAGATACTGGGTGCTCAGCCGGTTAATACTTCACGGGGAGAGTATACCCCGGAGTTGAATGCTGTGGAGGCGCCTGTCCGTGCCGTGCAGGGGAGGCAGAGGAAGGAGGATATTATTGATATTCTGAGCGGGAATGTGGCCAAGAAGGCGGTTACTACTGTGTCGGAGTCGGCAGAGACGGCGGCGAATGTGTTCAGCTTGACGGTCCCTGTTACGGAGGAAGTTCGGGCGAAGATTTTCTTAGACCGTGTTAAGACCCTGTTGACCGTTGAGCCTGGTCGGCTGGTCCTTTAATTTTATAAGTTTTGCTGATTGCCGCGGAAGTGCCGATGGGAGGAGAGGAAGGGTAAAAGCTTCGCCCGGGCTAATGCGCTTTTCTAGTAGCTAATGTGATTGCAGTTCCCTATACTAACCGGCGTACAATAGACATGGACTACTTACTCATATGGTCCATTAAAGTAGGAGCAGCCCTTTTTTGTACTGTAGCTTATAAACAACAATTCGGCTATCACTATGTATACTGCCGGTGCATGGCCATGCTGGACTTGGGTGGTCTTCATCTAGTTAGCTTCTACTATTGTTGACTACTACCGGCCCTACGCCAGTTCCCATGACTCCCTGCGCTAGTGGCCTACTTGAGCCTACCCTAGGATTTCACGATCGCTGGGCGATGTGCTTAATGGCACCATCTCCACCCTCGACTAGTCAAGAGCTACATTGTAGGCGACAAATCCCGCCCCGGGAACAAAAGGGAAGAAGGTTGACAACAGCAGGGTGATAACATAACAGCGGCGGCCACTAACTAGTTAACAGGACCTGACAAGCCCCAACGCGGACGTTGCTGACCGATCCCGATGAGGGTTTGGCCCCATTGCTGCCTTGTTGCTGCCTGATCTGGCGTCTATATACGGGGTAGATTCCCAGGCATCACATTCGATGATTTTTCTTGCTCTCCATTTATCACGTAGTATTCTTCTTGGTCGGATGCGATATAACTAATGTCAACTTGCGGTCCATCGCTCCTGCATGCAATGCCTTATTACCTAATCCGATCAGCATCGGCACGCCATACTCACTCACTGGCCATTCTTCATGACGACATTCGTCCCGTCCACCATCTCTTCAACAACTATCTTACCGCCAGTCGGAACATCTACACACATTCGCTTATTAAGAACATACCAAGAGATTGCCTCTTCTTCACTTTTACAGCAGGTTATCTTTACTTTCGCGATCGACCCGAGCCGGAATGGCCGATAGACAGTACGACGTACCGGGCGACGACTTGAGCAGATATGGCGGTGCCACCTCTCAAATCCCCAAGCTCGAGATGGACGACGACCTGCAGCGTGTCCCGGGTCCAGAGCAGGTTGCCACTCCGCAACGACAGGTTGCCTCATATGCCTGGTACAACCCCCGCGGATGGCCGCTGCGCACGAGGTTGATCGTTGCAGCTGTGATCATCGTCGTTGTCATCGGTGTCGTCGTCGGTGCGGTGGAGGGGACAAAGAAGGCACCGTATCCGGATTACCTGAAGCTGAACTACAAGTTGGTAGATACGTATTCGGGAAGCTCGTTTTTCAACCGCTTTGACTACTACTCTGGAGAGGATCCGACCGACGGGTTCGTGCAGTATGTCAACCGGTCGACGGCAACGTCGCTGAACTTGACCTATGCCACCAGTGACTCCGTTGTCATCAAGGTGGACACCGTAAGCAAGAATGCGACGAACGGTCGGCAGTCTGTGCGGTTGGAGTCGAAGACCAGTTATGATAGCGGTCTCTTCATCTTTGATATCATCCACACACCGTATGCGTGTGGTCTTTGGCCGGCGTTGTGGTTGACGGACACATATAACTGGCCGGTGAATGGCGAGATTGATGTTGTGGAGACAAATAACTTGGCGACCGAGGGAAATGCCGTCACTCTACACACCACAGAAGGTTGCAAGATGGATGTTAAGCGGAAGGAGACCGGGACTCCGGAATATGTAACCTGCGGCAATGAGACGCATGGCAATGCTGGATGTGGCGTTCGAGGCACACCCAGCACATACGGACCGGAGATGAATAAGAATGGCGGTGGTGTAAGTCCAGCTTCCAGCCATCAAAAAATATAATCCACAAACGCTAGTGTTAATACGCGATAGGTCTACGCGTTGGAGCTGCGGGATGCTGGCATCCGAGCATGGTTCTTCTCACGCGACTCCATCCCCAGCGATATTGATTCGAGCGGCGCACCCGATCCATCAACCTGGGGAACCGCGCTCGCCGACTTCCCCAATACTCACTGCGACATCTCGTCCCACTTCAAGAATCAAAGTATCATCACAAATATTGATCTGTGTGGACAGCTGGGTGCCAGCCACCAGTTCTATACCGAGCAATACCATTGTCCCAAAACATGCGAGAGTTTCGTTCGCAGCAATCCCGGTAACTTCACGCAGGCATACTGGGAGTTTAGAAGCTTTAAAGTATACCAGGCTAGTTAGATAGCGACGTTTGTATAGAGCCTTAGCCGCATTATAGCGATTGCTGATCATGATAGTCATGATAGTGTTTAGTGATGCAACCGATAGATTGAAATTGCCAGTATTTGCTTTGCAAGATAGCTAGTTGGATTTGATCATGATTATATATTTTGCTTCGATCCAGGCACTGCATCTATCTGTGTATGGAGTGCTGGTGTCAGATCCTAGATGAGATAAAACTTGGTAATTATCGCTTGACCAGGATCATCCCTGTCTTACATAATTAGTAGTCATTAGTTAACTAACTAAACTAGTTAAGGGGCCCCCTGACAGTTCACTAGGTGGCCATTGTTGGTGCAGACTGCAGAGGTGCATGACGCATGCAAGGGAGCGGTCTGTGCGTCGGCGGCAGCCATAAGCTTAAATCCATCTTGCATTGTTTTGAATTTCCAACAACCTACAAGATAATTGGAAGAAGTGGGGAGAGAGGGGGGGGGGGTATTATTGATTGAAGAAGAAGGAGAAGAAGAAAAACTATATACATGATATGATCTATGATCGAATCAAGTCACTTGGACGTCGTAACCCGTAATGAGGACCGTCTAGCAGCTGATGGGTATGTAGGGTATGCATGCATGCAAGAATTCAAAGACAATCGCGCAGCATGAAATCAAGAGCAGATGGGGCAGGCAATGCGACAAACGCTTAAACAGGAACACCGCCGGTGCCGAACAGCTCCATCTTGATGCGATCGGCACTCACACCTTCCGCGGTCAGCTTGGCCTTCACATCCAGCATGAACGGCGTGGGCCCGCAGACGTAGTACTGCGCGGAGGCATCGTCAAGGAACAGGTCGGACTTGGGGTCCAGCTTGCTCAGGTCCAGGCGGCCGGCGAAGTCGTAGTCCTCGCCCTGCTTGTCCTCAGGTGCCGGGTGGGAGGTGAAGAAAGTGGCGTGCAGGTTGGGCAGGTTGCTGGCCAGCTCGCGGATCTGGGGCCGGAAGGCGCGGGCAGCGGAGGTGCGCGCCCCGTGCACGAAGGAGATCTGGCGCTGGGTCTGGGCGGCCGGGGTCTCGAGCAGGGTGTTCAGGATGGAGGTGAGTGGGGTCAGACCCACCCCGGCTGCCAAGAGGACGATGGGGCTGGAGCTCTGCCTCTCCGCGTCGGACAGGAAGAAGTCGCCAAAGGGGTGCGAGACCTTGACGGTGTCGCCTACCTGCTTGGTGTCGTGCAGGAGGTTCGATACGTAGCCGGGGTGCGCCTTGGCGTCGCCCTCACCGGACAGACCGGCCTCCCTCTTCACGGAGATCCGGTAGAACTGCGAGCTGGGCTTGTCGCTCAGGGAGTACTGGCGGACCTGGGGGTGGCCGAGCTCGGGCACGAGGATCTGCACGGAGATGTACTGGCCGGGGAGGAACAGGGGGAGGGCCTTGCCGTCGACAGGCTCCAGGTAGAAGGAGGTGATCTCCGAGGACTCGGGGATCTTCCTGGCGATGCGGAATTCGCGGAAGTCGGTCCAGCCCTCGGCCGCCTGGTAGAGAGCGGCTTCGCGGCCGATCATGATATCGGCGAGCTGCCCGTAGGCGGCAGCCCATGCGTCCTGGATAGCGGGGGTGAAGGCATCGCCGAGCACCTCACCCATGGCCCCGAGCAGAAACTTGCCGACGATGGGGTAGTGCTCGGGCTGGACGTAGAGGGAGGCATGCTTGTGGCAGATAAGCTCGACGGCGCCCCCGAGAGCGGCGAGGTTGTCAATGTTGGCGGCGTAGGCGAAGACGGCGCCGGCGAGGGCGCGGGGCTGGTGGCCGTTGACCTGGTTGGGGGTGTTGAAGATGGCGTTGAGCTCGGGGTGGGCGGTTAGCAGGTTCTTGTAGAAGATGGCTGTGACGGCGTTGCCGTGTTCCTTGATGACGGGCACGGTGGCCTTGATGATGTCCGTTTGCTCCTGAGTAAGAGCCATGTTGTTTTGGTTTGTTGATTGGTATGGAGAAGGAAGACAGTCTTCTGCTGCACGGGAAGAGAAGGAGGGGGGGTGGGTGGGAGGATGGTGAATTACATGAGAGGGAGTGTTCGAGTCAAGTCGCGAGTATTTATACGGCCAGGGGCGACTTGAATGAATTTGCGCGGTGGACTCGGGTGGACGGCATGCCGCGGTAAAGAAGAACATTCGGGCTAAGAATTTTTAGGGCAGACATGGTTGGATGGTGAATGCAGGCCAGCATCTCCGCGGAGGGCGGATGTCGTCTTCGTGGGCTGTTGGTTATTATTATTATTATTATTAGGCGGGTGCCTGTGCGTGTCCTGAGATAGTAATGAACTAGTTATGAACGCCTGCTTAGTTGGTAGTCCCCCGCGAGAGTCTGATCGCAGTATCTCAACCTGACTGGTACCGTCCGTGCAATGCTCCTCCATGATCACCGGTAGGAGAGTAATGATGGCGATGGCGATGGCAAGAAATGGATGTACTCCGTATACTCCGGAGATCTGACCGTTGCAGTGGGGCCTCGCTAACCGGGTTATTAGTCACACTGATTCTTGCTGATCAGCCCACCGAATCCCGACCGGAAATTTTAGGAGCCGCCGCCGAGACTCGGCCATGGGGTGATTTACTGGTACTGTCTACTGCTCGATAGGGACTAGTCGTGTTATTCTCACTCGCGACGAACTACTCCTCCGCGGGGACTCGACCACTCAGGACCGCGCCGTTGGTCACGATGGCACGATGCTCTCGGGGAACTATCCGGCAAGGAAGGCTTGTCTCTTAGTCTTTATCCTTGTCTGATGGGGAGAAAATGTAAGACTCCATACAAACCCTGTCGCTCGTGCATTGTTCCTCCTCCCCACTGGAGATGATTCTGGTACGACGGTGTTTGAGATGATACGATGATACTACTTACTACCTTACCTAGTACGCGACATGAGGTGGTGTTTACCCGGCTGGCTGGCTGACTGCCGCTAGATACTATACCGTACGGTATGGTTAGCCATGGTCTCTCAGTCAACATCCCGCCGACACATGTAGTACCACCCGGGGAGAATAAGACGGGAATTAACGCCTCCCAGAGATATACCGTAGTAAGTACTTAGTAGGTAAAGGTAACTATCATCTGCTGCAGCTACAGTTCTCGCCTACTGAGCAATCAGGAACCCCTGGACCTTGTGTGAATTTCGCTTATTCTACCTGTTCTCTGGGGTTTCCTGCTAGGATGTTCCTAGACTTTCAGATAGCCTCAACTCAGTTGTTTCGGCCATATTCCATGGGCCAGAAGTTATGTCATGTCAGCTTTGCACCCAAGGCCACGGGGTACTCCGTGGTCTCGATGATGTCGGGGAAGGACAGCCCATTGGCCCGCCGCACCGCATCCAAAATGTCCATCACCTCAAGACTCTCCTTCCAGGGTAGACCGGCACTCTCCGTGCGTCCGTCTCGGATGCATCGCGCTACCTCGTCCGCTTCGAAGCACAGTCCATGCGCACCTCCGGGGATGGAAAACGAAAACTCCTCTGCGTCCCCGACCTGGCCGAATGCCTGTTCACGCGTGATCAAGCGGTACCTGGAAGGACACCACGGCACCCCGAAGACCTGGATCTCCCCGCGATCCCCCTGGATCCGAACCACCGGGGTCTGGCCATCAGGGTCGGCGGTCGCACGGAGACTGGCGCTGGCCACCGCCAGCACCGATGAGGGGCCAGATGGCCCCTCGGGAAAGGTCAGGACGATCGTGGTTGATTCGTCCACGTCGGCAGTGACCAGGGGGCTCATGGTGGACGAGATCGCACTCGGCTTCCGGTCTTTGAGAAGATGCAGTGCCTGGAACACCCAATGGATGGGGTAGACTCCCACTAGTTCACACGCAGTATCAGTACCGTGGGAAGACAGAGCCTCGTGTGGAGGAGAGGGCCATACAGTCCATCAGAGCCCCGCCAGCCAATTCCTTCTTGGTCAAATAGCTGTGCTTCAGTTCCTGGAGCGCGTCTGTGCCAATGGCATTGTCCGCGAAGACCCGGAGGACGGGCCCGATTGCGCCATCCTGGATCTGCTGGCGGATCTGAATCGCGATAGGCAGGAACCGCGTCCACATGCCTTCCATCAGGAAGCGTCCTCCTTCGCGAGCTGCGCTGACGAGCTCTCGCGTCTGACCCGCATTGATGGTGAAGGCCTTCTCGCACAAGACATGCTTGCCCGCGCGCAGGGCGAGCATGGCATTCTGGTAATGGTGCGAATGCGGCGAGGCGACGTAGACAACGTCCACACTGGGGTCGGCCACCAGGGCCTCATAGCTCCCGTAGGCGGCGCAGGGGGCGGGAGCTTCGATCTTGTCGATGAAGCGGCGAGCGGTCTCGTCGGAGCGGGAGGAGGCGACGGCCACCAGGGCATGCGACACGTCGGTCACCTCGCGCGTGGCGGGGTCGAACAGCAGATCTCGCGCAAATTCTGGGGAGGCCAGTTAGCCCGGCAGATCAGTCACAGCCGCGCAGAGGGGATTCGCACTTTCCGCGATCGTGCCGGTGGCTATTGGCCGCAGTCAGGGTTAGCTCAGCTCGGGCAGGGCTCCAGCCGCCTTGCATGCAATGCGCATACCTAGAATGCCCCAGCGGAGGCAGAACGGCGATTCGTGATGGGACCCCATCGTGACGGCCTCTGGGGGTGTGGAGTATGGGGGTTCCCTTCCCAGGATAAGTACCTAGTAGGCAGAGTGTCTGGGCGACGGGGACGTGAAGTTGTGGGATTATACGACGTGCAATGCCAGGGTTCCTGGTCGGCGCCCGGACAGCCCGCACTCGGAGGGATCCATTCGGGGGACTATATACCGTCCGTCTGCACTCGCATTGACTATACGAAGCCGGTCAAAGACAGAGACTAGCTGCACGGCCACGTCGGGCCTCGTCCGGGTTCCGGGGAAGGAATGCAATTGGCGTGATGATCGGATAAGAGTCGAGGCATGTCGGCGCGCCTTGCCTAGTACTATGTGAGGGACTGACTCTCTTACATATTCCCTTACTCGCTATCTAGTATCAGGCGGTGCTGCAAGCTAGCTGCATTAATACCTGATTCCCAGTCCACGGGCCCAATCCAATGCCTCTGAAGCACGGCCCTCGTCACTGATCTTCGCTGCGTCCCACAAGAACGGAGACGCTTATTTCCTTGCTTTGGCGGGGGGAGAAAGGGGGAAGGGGGTGTTGGAGACTTGTAGTATGCATACTGTTAGATTCACGTGCCTGCGCGTCTAGAATCAACACCTGGCCGGCCGCGTAAGTACATAACTAGGTATCTAAATACTGGTAGTAGTAACATGATATGATGTAGCCCTGCTACTTACTGGCTGACCACATCTTCTCTCACCCAATGCCCACTCTTCCCCCCCCTCTTCTCCAACAGCTTCACCCCCCAATAACCATCCCCTTATCGACCGCCTTCAACATGTCGTACACCGTCAACGCCGCCCCCATAGTAGCAGTCATGGCTTCCATCTCCACCCCGGTCCTGCCCTGACAACTAACCGTAGCCACGACGCGCATTGCACCATACCTGACCTTCCCTTCCTCCACATCGCCAACGCTGTCCACATCCGCTGGCTTGACCAGCTTAACGTCAACCTCCACCCCCGTGATCCCAATCCCGGGATGACACAACGGCACCAAATCCGGTGTCTTCTTCGCGGCCATGATCCCGGCAATGCGGGAAACACTGAACACGTCGCCCTTGCGCGTGCCGCGCCCCTCGCGGAGGACTTCCCACGGTCGGGGGTTGGAGAACTCCACTAGACAGGTGGCGGTGGCGAGGCGATTCGTGATTGCCTTCTCGGAGATTTGGGTCATGTGAACATTCTGGGAGGCGTTGAGGTGCGGAAGGGAGGGGTCGGGGGTAGTGGGGAGGGACAGGGATCGTTTGTCGCTGGGCTGTGTGGGTTTGTGGTTCGTGTGGTAGTAGTTCATGCGAGTCAGGGTTGGCCCATGGCTGGCGAGGAGGTGGAATGGGATTCTAGGCCGTGGGACTTTGGCAGGGGATACTGCTGCTGGATGGATATTATAGGGGATATTTTGATTATCTATAACGCTTATATCAGCATGATTCTAGAACAGATATTCACATCCATATAGCTAGACACGGACGGGAGCCGATGGAGTCTAGTCACAGCAGCCATCCCAGTCATTAAATACAAGTCATAACATCATCCGTCATAGTGTCGCCGTCAAATCCAGGGTTCGCGCCTACCCACCAATAAGTATCATCGGCCTGTTCTTCATGCTCTTCAGCTCGCTCATGCCAGCATGCTTGGCCTTCTTTCGCTTCACGGCCACCCCGATAACCTCGAGCAGTTCCTGTTCTCTAGGAGGGAGTTGGCCGCCCTCGTCATAGATCCGCGCCGCAGTCTGCGCGGCCTCCAATAACTTGGAGTCCTGTGTGGCGCTCCCCTCAACCAGATCCCTGGTGTTGTCCCTCCGGATAATATCCCGCAGCGAGACTTCCGCATTCCCAAACAAACACACTTTCAAATTCCCATCACACGTAATCCGCAGCCGGTTACATGTCCCACAAAAGTTATGCGTCATGCTAGTAATGAAACCAATCTGACCCTTGAACCCTGGAACCTGGTAGGTCTTGCTTGTGTTATTCCTGTGGTCGGTCACTTTCTGTAGTGCCGGATACTTTTTCTGGATTGCAGTCAACATCTCCTGATACGAGACCATCTTGTCCTGATTCCATTTGTTCCCATCGAAAGGCATATACTCAATAAACCGCACCTCGATGGGACTATCTCGCCCCATCTCGATAAACGGGATGATCTCCTGGTCGTTGATCCCGCGCATCACCACACAGTTGATCTTCAACTTGATCCCACCACCGGCCTTGTTGATCTCCAGGATGCGGTCGATGCTGCGCATCACTGCATCGAAGCCCTTCCGCCTCGTCATGATCTGGAACTGAAATGGATCCAACGTGTCCAGGCTCAGGTTTATCCCCGTCAGTCCAGCCTCCACCATAGCGTCCAGTTTGCGGTGCAACGAGATGCCGTTTGTCGTCAGGCAGAGCTCACGCAGTCCGTTGCGACGCAGCGCACCGATTGAGTGCATCAGTGGGACAATATCCTTGCGAACTGTCGGTTCACCACCAGTAAGACGAATCTTGGTGACACCCTGCGACACAAAGAGTGACGACAGGTAGACAATCTCGGCGGACGTAAGGAGGCGTGCGGGAGGTGAGAGTTGGATGCCTTCCTCGGGCATGCAGTAGAGGCAGCGCAGGTTGCAGCGTTCGGTCACGCTAATTCGAAGGTAGTCATGTTGGCGGTTGAAGGTGTCGGTGAGGAACTCGGAGAAGGGCTTTGCGGTCTTGAGGGCGGACCATTGTGGCGATAGGGAGGGTGAGGTCTCCGAGGGTCGCTCGGGTTGTGTTGCTGCGACCGTGGAGTGTGTGTTATGCGCCCGCGTACGACGGATGGCGAGGCCTGTCTGAGTGAGGACTCGGCGGGTGGGCCGTGAGGATGGCAGCAACGGCGAAAGTGCCCGCCCGCGCAGCAAGAGTTCGGCCATGCTGGCTGGATTCTGGTCAACGCAGGCAAAAACCAGGCAAACGCATCGTTGGGTGGTGGATAGGCATCGGTAAGTGTGGGAGGAAGGGATGGTGGTGTGTCAGCCAAGGTGCGATAACTAGTTAGGACTTGCTATCATTGTACGGAGTACTCCGTAATGATAACAGAATAATTGATTCATCAAATCATCCAGACGGTGGCGCGCCAACAGCCGTTCACTCACGTGACCGTGCCATGTGACATTGTGCGTGACTCGGGCACGCCAAGGCTCTGCCTCAGTAGGACCCAAGTTTCGCTGGCTGAGGCAGGCTCCGGAACGACTTGGGCTCTGTCCGGCGAACGCCTCAAATCCTGGTCTCCCGCACCAACAGGTGAACACTTGCCGATGGATGTTTGGCCCATTTTTGAGTTGGTCCGATACACATCACTCCCGATGCGTGTATCAGAATCAAGGGTCCCTGCAACTCTGTTTGAGCCTTGCCGTACGGAGTACTCCGTAGTCAACCACTCCGGCATACTATACCAACTCCCGTATCCGGATGCCCGGGTGTTCAAGGTAGGGTCTCGGGTACTTGCGACAAATTATTACCGTCATCAGAAAGTCCCCTCTTTGCTTCCAAGTCAGAATCTTCCCAGTCTATGATGACCTTCTGGGGCTCCATGCTTGACTCCGGCCCGTGAAGGCCGAGCTACGTTGATGTCTTTGGAAACCAACTAACATGCTATCTATGTATGAACCGAACATCAGCTCGGGGGCACGGTCAGTCTCTCTGTCCCGGACACCTTTCCACCCGCGCAACGAAACCATGATTGTCGATAGTGCTGCTGGTAAAATCTCGGGACATGTAGCAGTGCAATCCGGCTATCTGGACTGGTTACAGTGCCGCTGAGCTGTATCTAGATTATGCCACCACATCCAATCAGACTCTGGCGGTTCGCACGTTCAACTCCTGTGAAACGGGATAGCGTCGCACCGGGTGGAAAGCAGATCTTCTGTTGCCGACTAGTAGGCCTTCGACGGCATCTCCAGAATATTCCAGTGCCCTGGATTTTGGTTAAAACGCGGAATGACCTCATCCATATGGCGGGAAATTCGCCCACCGGTAATCCGATGGCACTGATAGTCTGATACAAGCCTTGGTGGCTGATTGCTAGGGCACGGGGTGGCTCATTCTTGGGTTCTGGTGGAGCAGAACCCGAAATGATCTTCGAGGGATTACCAAACAGGAAAGAATCAGGGCCATGATTAACCCGGGGTATGGAGCATGAAACGGCCTCTAAAACGCCTAGTTTTGATTCTGCTGCCTCGTAGGTCCCCGAGGGTAAGTCTGCGCGAGCTTTCTGTTATCTTCACGAGTAGATATCGAACTCATGCAGGGTATATAACTCACCTCATCCCCCCAGCTTGTTGTATCGTCGCCAGCTCAATCAAGTCTTCCACTCGTTGAATCAGTACTATTTCCAAAAACTATTTCCAACTCATCAAGATGAAGTTCACTTCCTCCTCTGTTGTGGCCGCCGCCACCTTCTTCTCCGCTGCGAATGCGGCTGGCCTTTCCCTTCCGGACATCCCTCAGAGCTGCTTGCAGATTCCTCAGGTCCTTGGGAACAAGCCTCTCCAGCTCATGCACTACTTCAACACGGAAGTGTGTGACAAGAATTGCACCGCCACTATCAACCAGCACAACCAGTACCTCCAGGAGCAGGTTGTCCCCCAGATCACCAAGGATCTGGATGCAAAGCTGGGCATTTCTACCAGCCAGGAGGAGTCGTTTTCGCAGTTCCGGACTCAGCTTACCTCGGCCGTCACCAAGGACTGCCAGACCGAGGGCAACAAGCCCCTTTGCAACGACCTCCAGGGGCTTTTCCAGTATGGCGCCTGTGTGTTCAAGGCTACCCAGCCGATCATCATGAACCACATTGGCCAGATCTCGAGCTCCATCAACATCACCGAGGCGGGCTGCAACAAGATCAAGGAGCTTGATTCGGACCAGACTGTCTGGCAGAAGACCTTGCCCGGATACATTGACAAGTTCGAGCAGCTGTGCGCGAGCGAGAAATAGAGGTAAGGTTACCTGCCTTGCAGATGGGTGTGAACCATGCTAACTTGGGCTTGAAAAGGGTCCAGGTGATCTCCAGTCTGACGATGGAAGCTTCGATAGCGCGTGGACGTTATCCGAAGATGTGATTTGAAACATTATGCTTTTATTTTATGTTTTTTTTTTCTGTTTATGCTGCGCATTTACAAGCATCTGAGATGCTGTCGTCACTCCTTTGGAACCTGTCTTTGAGATCTGCCGCTAGAGAATGTCTTCGAGTACCTGCCATCAGTCAGTGATCCTTAGATAGGGACCCGAATAATGAGACATTTTTTACCATAAGCGCTGTGCCTGCACAAGCAATCCTTCCCCGATCCAAACCCTGACCCCACATTCTGGTCCATAGGCACAAGATGGCTAGTTGACACACCATGTACCTCGTAGCAGTATCTTCATTTTATTCTTTCGTGAATGTATATCCAGCACAGACCAAGCAGAGACCCAGCATCAAGCCCCCGCCCGCCCCATCCGACGACCAATCGGCACCCACCGTCCCTTGGAACCAAGAAAACTGCCCGCCCGGTACTATTATTATTGATCTCCCAGTTCCCCCATGAAATGATCGAGCATCACTCACAAGGTCACTCACCATGGCCGCCCCAGACAGTCTCGTTTTCCCAGAATCAGACCGGGTCTTCCTAGAACCTCATCTCCCACCAGCCGACCACTCCCACCATGCAACCACGGACCCCAGACTCCCCTTCACTACCCTCACATTCGCTACCTCCCTGGACTCATCCCTAGCGCTCTCCCCCGGCACCCGGACCGTGCTCTCCGGACCGCAGTCCAAAGCCATGACCCATTATCTACGCTCCCGGCACGATGCCATCCTGGTGGGCGTAGGCACCGCCGTGGCCGACAACCCAGGCCTAAACTGCCGATTGGCAGGGGTTGGCGGATACGGCGCCGAGGGCCTGACCGGTCAACCCCGACCCATCATCATCGACCCGTCCGCGCGATGGGACTTCACGGAAGAGTCGAAGATCTTCGAGCTGGCACGGAATGGACGCGGGCGGGCACCGTTTATCGTCACTGCCGCGGAGACGGTTCCTTCTCCGGTCCAGAAGGAGGTGCTTGAGCGGCATGGGGGGAAGTTCATTGCTCTGCCGGTCGGGACGGAGGATGGGGGGCACCGGATTGATTGGACGGCGCTGCTGGACTGTCTTGCGAGGGAAGGCTTGGAAAGCGTGATGATTGAGGGTGGGGGGTCGGTCATTAATTCTTTGCTTGAGCCGACGGGCCAGGCCTTGGTTGATTCGGTGATTGTCACGATCGCGCCGACGTGGTTGGGGCGCGGGGGCGTGGTGGTGTCGCCGCGGAGGAGGGTCGAGGATGGGGTTGTGGTGCCGGCATCGCGGTTGACGGGCGTCAAGTGGTATCCCTTTGGGGAGGATGTGGTTCTTTGTGGGAGGATCAAGGGGGAATAGGGCAGGTCAAGGTGGTGTTTGAGAGGAGATCTTGTAGGGAGTAGGGAGTAGGGAGTAGCCGCTCTGGAGTCGCACGAAGACAACTTTGAAGAGTGCGGCTCAACGTTGCTGCATCTCTTTACGAAAATGCGCATGTTCCAACAGGCCATCGGCGCGTTGCAAAACGAGGACAAACCGAATATCGCCAAAGCCTTGCCCAGGCACGTCTACTGAAGACTTTAAAGAAAGAGTTTGATTAATTCTTAGCTGTAGTTCCTGCTCGGTTTCTAGATATTATATACAGAATAGAAAGAATTCTCAGCAATAAGAGATTTGATTGAAGCGAGAAGAATAAAAAACTTTTTTTTTTCAATCAGACACACTTAGGATAATTTGAATTTCAAAGGGTTTTGTAGCTTTTCGCAATGTACTACTGTAGTACTACTACTAACTAATTAGCACTTCACTTGCTTGCTGTTGCAGCCACACAAAACACATGACCCCGCAGTCACGTGTAGCTGACCGCAACAGCCTCGCTTTCCTCCGCGTCGGAAACATCCGCAAACCGCGATGATTTATTATTCTTCGGAACCAACCGGTCAACTAACTGCCCCCCCCTTATCTTTCTGGCATTTTCTCGGAGTTTAGAATCCCGTTGGACTCGCTTCGCCGTTGTCGTCGCATCCATCAAGGTTTCCCTACTGAGGTCGTTGTGCACATGTAATGTCCATTGAAGTCGACTGGGGCACCGCGACCTCGGGTCCGGACAGAGAAGCACTGGCCGAGCGCATCCGCTCCTTCATCCATGACAAATTCCAACAAGTGGCTCTGCCGCGCTTCATCCGATCCGTTCAGGTTCATTCGTTCGACTTTGGCACCACCCCGCCGGATCTCGAGATCAAGGACTTCTGCGAACCGTTCGCCGACTTCTATGAGGAGGATGAGGATGATGATACCTCCGTCTCCGGACACAGTGCGCAGTGGCATGGGTCTCATTCGGACCTTGACGAGTCCCCTTTCCGGGACGAGAGCCCTCTGAATCAACCTCTCCGTGATCCTTTCAATGACCGGGCACATCCCGCCACTGTGCGGCCTCCGATTACTCTCGGAGATCATCTCAACCCGCATTTCCTGCCTCGCACCGGCACCCCAGGTATCCCCGGGGGGACATCGACCCTGGGCTACCACCTGATGTCTCTTGGTGGTCTTTCTGGGACGCAGACTCCCCTCACGGCAGTCGCAGGTGGAACCCCGTTCGCAAGTGGGTGGAGCGATTCAAGAATGATGGGGCCTGGGGGCAGGGGCCGTCCGCCTGCTCCAGCCTTCGCCGCGGCGCACCAATCACGCCCGGAGGCCGACATTGATGACAGCAATCCCACTTCGCGTCCGTCAACATCCAGCATGCCCCCGTCTCATCTGTCCGGGTCAAACAAGAGCGAGGGGGGTGCGGCAGGCAGTATTGATCATGGCTCGCATCCAGAGGACAAAGACCTCGATGACCCCACCTCGGGTGAGCCGTTGCGGTTCCCTCGGATGAGGGAGCGGAGGCCCGAAGATTTCCAAATCCTGTGCCATGTCAAGTATGCGGGCGACGTGCATCTGTCATTGACCGCAGAGATTCTGCTGGACTATCCTATGCCAAGCTTCATGGGACTGCCGCTGAAACTAAATGTTACCGGGATCACCTTCGACGGGGTGGCCGTGGTCGCGTACATCCGCAATCGAGTCCACTTCTGCTTCTTGTCTTCAGAGGACGCGGACGCGTTGGTTGGGTCCGATCAACAGGATGTAGGGGGCCAGACCGAATATTCACGGCCAGGCGCGGATAGTACGGCCTCTGCAAAGCGACAGGGTGGTTTGTTACAGGAGATCCGGGTTGAGAGTGAAATCGGTCGCAAGGAGGATGGGAAGCAGGCCCTCAAGAATGTCGGCAAGGTGGAACGGTTTGTTCTTGCCCAGGTGCGGCGGATCTTCGAGGAGGAGTTTATCTATCCAAGCTTCTGGACATTCCTTGTCTAACGATTCAGGATGGACTTTTCGGAATCAAGACATTCTCTCTCTCTCTCTCTCTCTCCCCATGACATATTGGAAATGTACTTTGTTTCACCATAGCACATTTGATCTGAATTTCGTGCATGTATATCCCTTATCTTAGCGCAAGCTGTATCTATCTTGGTATTATCTTCAGCAGCAATGACATCAAGCAGAGGCAAGGCTGGCTACTTGTCGCTTGTCGTCCTTTACCAGAATTAGCTTCTGCGTACATTTTCGTGGTAGTACAGCCCCTTGCTCTAACATGGCCAAGCACACTAATTGGAGTCTTTGAAATGGCAACGAGAGGCTTGGGTCCCCGATAAGAAACCAAGGCAACATTGGGTGTAATACTAGTAGAGCCTGTAGCAGGAATGGTTGAAGGTTTCCGCAGAGAACACATTGATATTTTAACTTCGATCTCTTTCAAAAAAAAATTTCTCTCTTGTCTTCCCCCCCCCCTTTTCCACTCCATATATATCGACAATCAGGGCTTAAATCATATTGTAGCCATATATACTAGTTTGGATGAATCTCACCGTCTTCGTTCTGCCTCCCGCTCCGTCCCCATCAAAACTTTTGCCCTCTCCTATATCAGACTGCAGGCTGTATAATGATCTTTAAAGACGGATACTACTTTAGTAACTAGAAAGTTCTAACTAACTAGTCGGTTCTACTTTATGGGAAAGCCATCGGGTCTAAACCCATTTCGAATAAATTCGAGGTCAACTGAATTAAATTGAATTGCTGGTTATATGTGCTTATTTGTATGTGCAAGTAGATAGTAGTAGATAGGGAAATTCTATGATAAAAGTGACATTGTTTTAATGGAAATCGTCCACCTATTGGTGAAGGAACTGGTTCACAACCTCTGTGAATGCGGTGGCATTCTCAAGCATAGGCAGGTGGCCTGCTTTGGGAATAAGCTTCAGTTCGGCATCACCCTTAAGATCCGCAGCCATCTGCTGCATCGTCTTGGGCAGCACGCCATCGCTCTCTCCCGCGATGAAGAGCCCCGGTACTGTTGCTTGGGCCATCCGCTCCCGCACGTCGTAGGCACAGAGCGCCTGCATGCTCTTACGGAATCCCTCACGGCTGTTGGTCCGCACGAGTTCCTTCGCCTTGGCCGGCAGATGGGGTTGCGTCTCGTACGACTCGGGCACGAACCACCGACGCACAGTCACCTCGGCCAGCTGCTCACCGACGATAGTCTCTTGAGTTGTGGACGACACAGCGCCTTCGTTGTCGGCCATCTCGGCCCGGTCGTTCCAGGCCTTCCGGTTCGACTCCGGGCTGGAACTGTTGGTATCACAGGAGATGAACCGCGTGACGCGGTCGGGATATAGGAGTGAGGTATTCAGCACGGTCACTCCACCCAAACTGACCCCGATCAATGTCGCCTTGGGGATCCTCAGGGCATCCAAAAGCGCGATGATATCGGACGCGAGCACGTCAATGGTGATGGGTGTGTTGCCACATTTCTGCAGCCGGCCGCGCTTGGAGTAGCGAAGAATGCGGAAGTTCTGGTTCCTCGGGTCGGAGAGGAATTGGTCCACGAAATCATCCCAGATGGTGTAGTCCACCAGAATGGAGTTGCTAAGCACAATAACGGGACTGTGGGGGTCGGTGCTTCCTTCCAGTCGGTAAGGGAGGTCCACGCCGTCGGGAGTGGTGACAAAGGACTCGACAGCCGGGCGGGTGGGGGAGGGGAACGTCCGGGTACGACCGTCAATCGATGCCCAGGGCCCGGCGACGTCGTTGGATGCGAGGGAGGAGAGCTCGCGAGGCGCGGGGCCAAAGGTGTAAGCCCACTGGTAGACGCGGCGCTGATGCTGCGCCACCACGTCCTTCACGATGCGGTTGCGCCACGGGGTGTCCATGGCGGCTTTGTGCTCGGGACCTCCCAATCCGTTCTGGGCGCGGTATTCGTACAACGCCAGGTACTCGCGAGGGGCCTGGGGGTCGATGGCGGCCGTGACGAAGCGGCGGGAGGAACGCCAACCCGGTACGCGGGACAGCATGGGGAGATGTTCTTCGGTGTACCACCGGTTGAAGTCCTCCTCCTGGGCGGCGTCGGCGGAGAGGGTGATGGAGACAGCAATCAGGACGGAGCCGGCGGCCTCAGAGTCGGGGATGTTCTCGAGGGGGGTGTAGTCGGAGGCCTTTTGTTCGCCGAGAAAGTCATACAGGCGGCGATCGACAGCAATTTGAGCCATGGTGGCCTTTTCGCGCGGGGTCTTGATTCCGTCGCCCCGAAGGGCTAGGTAGGTCTCGCGGGTCAACTCGGCCATGTCGGTGATATCATACAGGGCCACCCACTCGGGCTCCTTCCCATCCGTGGCGCGATACCGAAAGCCATTGGTGCAGAACGGCAGACGGAGGCGCAGAGGGCCATGTTCGGTGTTGTACCAGTCGTGGAATTGGGCGTCCGGGAGGGACGGACGCGGCTGCATCGTCACGTAAAGCAGGCCGGGGGTCGCCATTTTGACAGGACAGATTGTTGAAGGAAGGAGAACGTGAGTATGATTGTGGTTGAGTTGTACCAAGACAACAATACAAAGGTGAGCGAGGGGGAGGGGGAGGGCAGAAGGCGGGGTATCCCGCGTCCATGAACGCAAGCAAAGTATTATGTATGATGTATTCGAATGCCGCCGCCCCCGCGTCTGGCTCCTCACTGCCGACCCGAGAGCCGAAGGGCGGCGGGTAAGGACTATGGAAGATCGGGTATTCCTTTACGTCGGCGATCGTCACGGGGAAGCTACTCCTAGATGGGACACCGCCCACAACCCTCTGGCAAACCCTGGTATTATTATTATTATTATGATTATAATTATGATTATTCGTACTCTATATAATGTTTAGCTACTAGTGTATTTGGTCAAATGACTAAACCGAAATTCAAAGAGAGAAAGAGAATCACGATATGTATCAGGCCTGTAGTATACAAAAACTATGTACCGAACCATTTGATCTCTATTGAAACACGGATACCACTCCCGACCAGCTTCCCCGGCTCCGTTCATCCCAGTACCCATCCTTCCCGGCTTTCAACCGCCATGCGACCTCGCCTTCACTCCCCTCCTCCACCCGCGCAAACCACCGCGGCACCCACGACTCGCCCGCAGCTTCCATATCGCGCCGCCGCGCCCGCTGCCCCTCCTCCAGCTGAACCTTGACTTCCTCCGCGCGGTCGACATCCCCGTCCTCGAGCGCGCGCTGGTCCGGTCGGAGCCGCGAGTCCGTACCGGGGAGCTTGCCGTCCTCGATCGAAGTGACCTCGTTGAGGGTGGCCGCGAAGGTCGTCAAGCCGTAGTGTTTAGGCGCGTTGGATACGACGGCGCCCGCGGTCCAGGCTGCGGTGCCGGTGAGGGCACCGTTCTCGGTGAGCTGAAGGGAGGTGGTCCAGGTGCCCGCGAGACCGAGGGGAAGATCGCGGCCGGAGCCGTCAACAGCCTTGGTAGTGACGTCCTCGCTGCGGCCAGAGAACATGCCGCCGGCCTTGAATGTGGTGATGGTGCGGTGGCCAGTGGTCTCGTTGAGGACAGCCATCTCGCCGACGGGTTCGACGTACTTCTCGCCGGCGATGATGTTGCGGAGGAAAGAGGTGGCAGGGGCCCAGCTGAAGTGCTCGCCGGTCGAGTGTAGCGTCACGCGCATCTTTCCCTCGGTGATGATCTCAGCGGACTTGCCCCAGAATTTCTGCGTCGGCATGGGCGACTGCGTCAGGCTCCAGTCCTTGCTGTCGGCCTGATAGGCCAGCTGGACGGGGCGATGTGAGACCTTCTCCGCGACAAAGCGGAATCCGAGATCCTCGCGGACGAGCTCGTAGGTCTCGCCCAGCATGGGGTTGAAAGGCTTCCTGATCGCACGCTCGCGCACCCTGTTGCTGGACAGAGAGGACAGCGCGAATGCAGTCACGTACATGATACGCTCTCCAGCGTCGGAAGTGCTGGCAGCACGGTCGAGGATGGCGGAATATTCCATGACTTCGGCGGCGCGCTGCAGCAAGGAGAGCGGTTCGTTAGAAGACACTGGCATGGAGATCTGCGACAGGTCCTTGCCAACATTTTTGCGCAAAAATCCGATTAGGCTGGGAGGCATGACCGTCGGGGCGGTGATGTTGGTACGACGGGATACGGCACTAAGAGGAAGCGGCGAGAGCGACTTAGGTCGCGCTGGGAACAGCGGCGAGAATTGATCATGCGCACCGCTAGCCAGCATTTCGGGGGCTTCATCTTCACTGTTCGAGAGCGCATCGTCGATCACTGGTTCGGGTTCCTTCACATCCGCTTCCGCAATGGAGTCGGCCGCCTCGTCATCGCTATCACCCTTGATCGTGAGGATACCGTCGTCAACCGCGTCAAAGAATTCCTGGGACACATCCGACTCGAAGCTGCGGCGCGACTGCACGGCCGTACCGGGGGGGTGTCGGCGCTGCTTGCTCTCTGAGATCAAGGTCGAGAACTCACTGACAGCCTGGTCCAAGTCACGCAGCACGGCCATCAGATGTTCGTGAATCTCCTCCATCTGGTCCAAACGCCCGGATACGCTGGCTGGCTTTCGATCACCCGCGAGAGATGCCGTATCAAAGGATCCAGGCACAGCCAGCTGCGAGGACATCGAAGCCATAGTAGTAGTGCGCTTGATGCTGGGTTGTGTTGCAGTGCTGTTCTTGCGCTTCCAGAACGAGGGTTTGGTATCGCTAGAATCCTCACTGCCCACGCTCAAGTCCGTTGGCGTCCGATGTGGGCTACGAGAACGACCGCGCGGCCGGTCAGCGCCGTTACCGCTCAAGTATTTTGGGTCGGTATCCTTCGCGAGGCGCCGAATGGCATCGCGCGACCCGGAAACCTTGCTCACGAGGCCCTCAACCTGCTCCCATTCGCGCCTCTCTGCGGGGTTCGTGATGACGGACTGCGAGGGCACACGTAGGAGAGGCTCGGGTTGCAGATGATCATCAGCAGGGGTCTTAGAGGAGGCAGCCCGCTCCAGAGCCCGCTTCCACGAGACAAACTCTGTATCGTTGTTGGCCCGGAGATGCCACACTTCAGTGCCCGAGTCGATAGATATTTCCCGCGACTTCTCGTTACATGCGACCGCAGCCAGGGACAGAGGGATGGACCCGCGAAGGGCAGACGAATTGCGATCATGGTAGTAGGACAGAGTCGAAGAGGTGTAGTCAAGTGAGAAGAATCGGCGTGCCCAGCCCTGATGCCGCTTCCTCCGGCGCTTATGCAGTATTCCCGTGTGGGTTTTCGCAGCGTCAGAGTCGCTGATTAGAGGAGGTGGCTGAGCCATGCTGTTACCGCGTCGACGGGCTGCCAGGGGTTTCCCAGTATCCGCAGCGTCGGCGCCCTGGGCAGGTTGACTGGACGCATGAGGGACGGGGACCGACTGCGGTGGTAGGGCGCACGGATAGGTAAGCAGAGCGAGGGTGACGGTCTTGGAGATCTGCTTGGAGAAAGTGTTGTCAAATACAAGAGCGTAGTTCCCACCACCGTTGGCGGGCACGTCGTAGGTGCCGCGGACGATGCGTTCGGCCTCACATTTGCCGATCCACTGAATCTGCTTGAGGCCGATAGCCGTCAATTTCTCAATTATGGAGGCATTCGGTCGTCCGGTGGTGGCGGCGGGCAGGCTCTCGATGGAGTCGGTGCTCTGGGACTCGGTGGCTGGGAGATTGGTGTTGGAGCCGAGGACGGCGGAATGGCCGGGATGCTTGAAGATGCCGAAGTTGATGGACTTTTTATGTGGTTGAATGCTCCATGAGATGGTGTGAGCAGATTTGACAGGTACCCAGCGAACAAAGTAGGACTAGGAATGAGCGTAGGGTCAGTGTCGGGGTGTCATGACAGCTATAGCGACATCCCTTACCTTGCTGTGGATCTCCAACTCCTCCATGGCCGCCATGATTACGCGAGGGGGCAGTCGACCAGAGAGCGGGGGAAAGGCACAATCGAAGGTAGACCACGGGTGCTAACGCAGAGGATCAAAAGCGAGAGTGAGAGCGAGAAAGCGAGATGGGATGAGGAGCAACAATGATGGTCTGAAAGAGATCGATCGGGGGGGGAGGGAGATCAGGCTGAGGCTCGGCAGGCGCAGCCCCAAAAGGAGGGAGGGATCAGCACACACCAGTCGGGCTGACCATCGGCCGTGGAAGCGAGCGAATTGGGGGACACCAGGATCAGGGGAGATTCAATGAGCGACTCATGCAATGGCTTAGCGAATGACAGTCACACAGGAGGCGAAAAGGAACATGGAGGTTGTGGCTGTGGTTGTAGTTGCTGTGATTGTTGTTGTGGTTTAAGGATGCGGGGAGGAAGAGGACAGGCAACGCCGAGTCGCCGACAGGGGAGACGGAAAGTCGGAGACATCACATGAAGGACCCGGCGTCGGAGGGATCGACCGCCTCCCGGGTTGATGTCCGGACCCTTACGTTTCCCGTTTCACATGGGGATCCCATGGTCCACATTATGGGTCCGAATGCCTTCAAAATAATGAGAAAAAACTACAACTCCGTTTTATCGCTAGGAACATCGGATTCAGACTCAACTCCGGTAGCATCACGGTCCCAGTATATGTCACGTGTTGGGTCATGTGATCCCTTGCCCTTCTGCCGAGGCGCATCACTCTCAGATACGGAGGTTTGCTGCCTCTAACTATTGTAATATTTGAGCCTTCATTATTAGAATGATAGTGGAGGCGAAAAGAGCATGAGACGGTAGTTTGGAGGAGAATGGAAAAAAAGAAGTGAAGCCTTAGCCGAGAGTCGAACTCAGGATCCCCGCATTATAGTTACTGGTCGTATCGATTAGTAAGCAGAGGAGGAGGAAGAAGAAGCAGCAGCAGCAGCAGCAGCACCATATGGGATCCCCATTTGAGGGAATCCATCCTTGGCTGATCACGGGGATCTGAGACGACTGATATTGATCTCTGTGGAACCTGCAAGCTCGCATCAATAGATCCCCTCATATGACTCTACCAAGGGGAGAGATGGTAGGATCAGTTGCATGAGTTTTATGTGAAGAACTGCGAGCACCTGTGGACCCTCTGAAGCGGATGAACGGATGAACGGATGCGATGGTAGTACTCCCCAGTTAAACTGACTTCGATGTCCACGTCTGCTGCTTTATGCCTTTCCTCCGGTCATCTGCTCAGACCCCTGCAACTGACCTGTCTGCAACTCAGCACGGACAACAGGAAGTGCACCGAGGATGATGCCACATGTATCTACTCCGTATCTACCTATGAATACATGTCTGTCATGCCACTACTGCCAAGCCTTCACATGCATGTACTGCAGACGCGTAGCCCGCCGTCCGTATTCTGTTTGCATCACGCGTGGATACCCTAGATTGGAGCTAGTATACAGCCAGCTCTCAAAAATCGATGTTTCACGTCTATCGAAGGCCGTCTAATACTATTGAAGCTGTTTCTAAGCCACTTCAACAACCTTCTTCTGGATTCCAATGGTGGTGTTAATTGCAGTAGTCAAGTCGGAACAGCAGCATGTTAACCAGCTTCTGTGGTTTGCTTGCCACCCAGCCAGTGGCCCACATATTGTGTACACTGGACAGTGTTCTGGTCGCCTGGATGGAGCACTGTCCAAGAAGAGTAGTACTTCCCCATTGCCGGGGACGCCTGGACCGGGAGGCAGTTGATCCGCCCGAGCCGAGGTCCAAGGCCCGCCCGGGGATCTGCAGATCCCTTGCTGCTGCAGACCGTCGCAGCTCTTCTTCTCCCGCTTCTTCTCTCTTCTTCTTTCCCTTCATCTTAAAGGTATGAGCTTTATCCTTTTTACCTCCCAATATCTCCGGCTTTCTGCTTTCACCTAGTTAGATCGTTTACCTCCTCCTCCTCCCTCTTCCTCTTACCGTATCTCTCGGGGGATCCCCTAGCCTCCCCACCTTATCTCCCCCGCTCTTGCGCCCGTCCCCGCCATCGTCATGTCCGCATCTCCCTCCGCCGCAAAGCCGATCCCGGAGGACGTTAAAGTCCCAGAGGTCCAGGCTATCAACCAGACCGTTGCGCAGCTTCGCTCCCTCGCTGCTGGAGCTGCCGGTGGTGTGTGTGCTGTTGTCGTTGGACACCCGTTTGACCTGGTTAAGGTGCGAATGCAGACCGCGCAGAAGGGTGTCTACTCGGGCGCAATAGATGTTGTGAAGCGGACAGTCGCCCGCGAGGGTCTCGTGCGTGGACTTTATGCTGGTGTTTCCGCTCCCCTGGTGGGAGTCACGCCGATGTGTAAGCTTCCTGCCCGTTACCTCCTCTACAACTACTAACATGGGGATTGTTTGTGCCTTAGTTGCCGTGAGCTTTTGGGTATGCACTATGTGAGACGGTCGAATCACTTCCCTGGGCTAACAGTCAATCAGGGATACGATGTGGGAAAAACGCTAGTGGGCAAAATGTCCACCGTTCGCGTGGAGAATAACATCCCCCAATACACTATCGGCCAGATCTCGGCTGCTGGGTTCTTTTCGGCCATTCCCATGACATTGATCACAGCCCCATTTGAGCGCGTAAAGGTGCTCCTGCAGATCCAAGGACAGAACCCACCGCCGCCGGGACAGAAGCCGAAATACTCTGGCGGGCTGGACGTTGTGCGGCAGTTATACCAGGAGGGAGGCATCCGCAGTGTTTTTCGGGGCAGCGCAATGACCCTGGCTCGTGACGGTCCCGGATCGGCTGCTTACTTTGCCGCATACGAATATATTAAGCGCACCTTGACCCCCAAGGATGAGAATGGCAACGTCACTGGTGGACTGTCCATGCCGGCTGTCCTGGCTGCCGGTGGAGCCGCCGGTATTGCCATGTGGATTCCTGTTTTCCCTGTCGACACCATCAAATCGCGCCTGCAAAGTGCGCCTGGTCGTCCCACAATCGGCGGCACCATCCGTACTGTCTATGCCAGCGGTGGCTTCAAGGCCTTTTTCCCTGGATTCGGACCCGCCTTGGCTCGAGCGGTTCCTGCCAATGCTGCTACTTTGTATGTCTGCCTTCTAATACTTATAGGCCTAATTGCTAATGTGCGCATAGTGCGGGTGTTGAGCTGGCCCACCAATTCATGACGAAGTTCTTCGATTAAGCACCTGCAATGTACAGCGTTGTCTGGTGTGGGACGTATATCTACGGATATACATTAGATTGAGCATTAAGTGGCCCTTGTTTTTCCTGTGAGCATTTTCCAAGCCTGGATATCCTCTGTTTTGAACTTAGACTAGACGTTCTGGTTGTCTGCACTGGTGCTAGCAATACACATCATATAAAGCATTCTCTTCACCAGAAATACTATTGACAGTTATTTTCATACCACACGTAATCTAAAATTGTCGCCAAGTAGGGGACAGCCGGGAAAAATGAGGGTTCAAATAACAATTGCCTTGCTTAAAGCAAGTTACAAACACAGCTTGGCAACATTGAAAGCGGTCTCGCGCATCAACTTTGATTTCAGACTTGCGGGGAGCTGTCTGACTGTATGGTCTCATATCCCTGGCCTAATCTCCGACTCATAATCTTAACATCCAAGTCAGTACTACCGTAGTAGTGGAGCCATTTATGGCTATCCGAGGGACTTAGTAGTGCCCAAGTATATGCCCCATCTGTGACTTTTGTATTCCGTAGTGTGTAAGTTCTAGGTAGGATGTATCTAGCTCATCATGGCTAAAGGTTCTATAACCATAGTCCATAGCGAGAGCTATTATTCCGTTCCGAGTCTCTGATCACAATGAGCAAATACTAACCGCGCTGAGCTGAATTTCGATAATAGAATTCAAGATCACTTCCGGTAAGTGAATAATACTACCATATTTCTAGTCCCATCAATAACTGCATTGCCCAAGGTACTTGTTCAGCCCCACGCATGACTATACACTGGCTCCGGCTCAGCGACATGGTTACTCGTGATCCCAACCAACCTTGAGCCGGGCCTCGCTGGAAATCATGGTCTTGATATTTTTCGGGTTCTGCGAACCTACAACGCCATTTGACGTTCTTGGAGTGCAAGGGAGCTATATCTGGTATCCTTGGACATGGAATTTCTACCAAGTAGCACCCTTGATGATGATTATGACGGTAGCCAGAAATCACCTTAAGCACACCGCTGAGAGTTAAAGCACCACCATAAGAGAAATACTCCCGATTTCTTACTGGCTGTTGAAGGAGTAAGACTCTACCTATCCAGATGGGATCTAGATTGATCTTGTCATATTTCCTCGTAGTAGTACGGAGTACGGAGTACTGCATCGCCAACCGGCCCGGGCAAACCTGCATTACCAGCGGCCGTGGGTCTCCTCATTGGACGCGGGCCACGCCAGACCGACTCAGCCGCATTGGTGCCTGCGACCGTAGGTTGCCGCCTGATGGCTTGGCAAGACTTCCCCCCCCCCGTTTATTTGTTCTGCCTCTCTCCTCGTCATCACCATCATCATCCAACTGTTCGTCTTTCCCTTATTTCATCAATTTTATCATTCGATTACCACTTCTTACCGACTGTTCACACCTTGGTGTGACTACTACTGAATATCATGGCGATCTCTTCCCTCGTCCGTCGAGGTGCGGAGGCTGTCGCGGACTTCACCTCCAAGCAGCCTGCCCCGAACCAGCCCACCATCCACTTTGCTGGATGGCTGTCGGCTCTTTTTGTCTTCACGGCCTTGGCCTTTATTGCCATTGTCTTCTCGGTAAGCCGTCCGCGCAATTACTGTTAACACTGCTGATGCCGTGGTAGGTCGAGTATACCTACGGCATGCTGGTCCCGACCCTCGCCGCGATTGAGGACTCCAACCCCGATATCTATGTCCGGATTGACACCGATTTCGACCCCAACAAGCCCGTCGATGCGGAGGAGCCCGAGACCGAACAGGTGCGCCCGAACCCGGTCACCCACAAACTGCGTACGACTATTCTGCACCTCCGGAACCGTGCCGGCTTTCTGTCTCGCTTCCGGGGCCTGAGCATGCTTCTGACCTACGGCTTCGCTCAAGGCCTGGTCTTCATGTTTATGCCCTTCTCTATCGATGCCTTTCTTCCTCAGTTCCTTGTCAGCATGGTTAGCGCCGTCCTCCTGGCCAACCTGCAGCTAGCGTGGGTCCACATTGTCATTTCTGAACCTTCCCCGAAGCGCTTTTACCAGCGGATTCCCGGGTTTGCCGCCTGGAAGAAGATTGCTCCTGTCGTTGCTTTTGAGCACGCCGTCACAGGTGCGGCATACTACATTCCTTTGTTCCTGATCAGTGTCTGCAACGGCTTCAAGGGCATGGAGAACCCTGCCGAGGGTGGCTCTCCCACCACAACGATCGGAAGCGCTATTGGACTGGTGTCCCTGCCAGCCCTTCTTTCCTTTGTTGCATCGGTCCCTGCCCGAGCGATCTTCATCCGCGTGGCTGCATCCATGCTTCCGGAGGAGGACGAGTCTATTGTGCCTTTTGACCGGTCCTTCGGCGGCAAAGTCTCGCCCGCCATCTTGGGAGGCAGCGGCAAGGTGAGCATCGTGGATGCTTGGAAGACGTTCGACCGGCCGGCCCTGATGCGCTTTGTCAAGGCTATTGGCAAGGGCTTTGCTTTGGAGGTTGCCGTGGTTGTGCTGTTTGGCTCGTTGTTGGCTCTCCAGATCTGGGCCGGCGCGGTGACCTATGGGTTTGGAAACGCCTAAATCTGTCTTGACTAGCTCCGACACGTTGCCCGCCTGGATTATCGGCATGATGCCAATCCTGTAATCCTGTTCATAAATATATCTGCCTGAATATAAGCTCTTCATAGTCGCCTGTCTGCGTTGTGGTTTTGCGGTGGCATGAAGGATCCCCGGACACTTGAGAGCTGCCTAAACTTGATATAGTCTACCTAACTCTACTCCTAACTAAAGTCGGTTTTCTGTTCTGATAGGTACTGCTGGGTTGGAGTGTAGTCGTCACCGCGTCACTACGTCAATAGACACCGCGGTAGAGGACGTAAGCTTCCCCCATGATCAGAGCACCCGCACTCGTTAAGCTGGGGGATAACTTCCACGGGCTATTATTGCACCTCTCCCATTCAAGCACGCACGGCTGTTTCAAACTTGAATTCAAGGTCCTCATCGCACCCGGGTGTTGGTTGGGCTGTGGTGTGCTTGGTACACGCCATGTGTCACGTGATCATAGCAGGTCGAAACCCCGCGCGCACTGTCCCCTAACCCCTCATCTCCTCTCGCCTCTCAAAAGGGCAATTTGACTGGGGCATGCGAGTCCTTAATATTGTGTGAAGCATCTAGCTGAGTATTCTTGTTAAACCCAGCCTGGCATCATATTCTGCCGGCAGAAAGCAAACATGACATCAGATCTGGCCATCGAGAGGGCGTCGGGAGCCCCCCAGACTCGGAAACCCGAACATCAATGCCGCCTTCTGCTGCCGTTTCCCCGCATTCCCTAATCGGGGCTGGCGTCGGCTGCGCAGCCCGGCGCATCTCCCGATCGGCCACTATCGCGTTAACTTTTCCCTCCGTTCTTCCCCAGGGAATTACCATGTTCCGCCAATTGTCCCAAGCTACCTCAAGATTCTCCTGGCCTTCCCGGGCTTCCTCCCTGACCACCTTCATCCCAACTGCCACAATCACCTCGTCCCCTCCCCTCAAAATGAAGCATCATCTTATGGTTGGCACCTGGACCCCTCCAGGCCGCATCTACACTGTCGCCTTTGACGATGAGGCCCTGACCTTGGACCTGGTCAAGAAGACCGACATTCCCGAGGCCGAACCTATCTCATGGATGACCTTCTCGGTAGGCTTTTGTGTGCAATGCCAGTACCTGATCCTCGCTCACTCTTAGTAGCACGACAAGAAAGCCATCTATGGCGCCGCCATGAAGAAGTGGAACAGCTTTGCTGTCCACAGTCCCACTGAGATTGTACACCAAGCCTCACACCCAGTAGCTGGTCACGGTGAGCCTCCCATCACCACTGCCTTCGTCCGGAACTAATGGATCCAGAACTGGCCCCTAGTGCGGACACCAACACCCGTGCCATCTTTGTGCTCGCCGCCCGCAAGCCCCCCTACAATGTCTACGGAAACCCGTTTTACAAGTACGCCGGCTTCGGCAACGTCTTCTCCGTCGGGGAGGACGGTTCTCTGCACAAGAACATCCAGAACTACGAGTACGAGCCCAACACCGGTATCCATGGCATGGTGTTCGATCCCACAGAGACCTACCTCTACTCGGCCGACCTGCAGGCAAACAAGATCTGGACACACAAGAAGGACTCGGAGACAGGCGAGCTTACCCTCCTCGACTGCATCGAGGCCCCATCGCCAGACGATCACCCCCGCTGGGTTGAGATGCACCCCAGCGGCAAGTACTTGTACGCGTTGATGGAGGCGGGCAACCGTCTCGCAGTCTACGTCATCGACGAGCGGACCCACAAGCCAGTATTCACTCACATCACATACCCATTGCTCCCTGGTGGTAAGTCAATCGTGGTCGTACGTAGGCACATGGGCTAACAGTTGGACCAGGTCTCCCCCCGCGCAACAAATACCGCGGCGACGTGACCTTCACCACCCGCAGCGGCGAGTACCTGTTCGCCACAACGCGGAGCAACCACTTCGACGTTAGCGGTTACATCACGGCGTTCAAGCTGGGACCAAATGGTAACATCGAGCGTCAGCTGTTCATCCACCCGACCTCCACGAGCGGTGGTCACTCGAACGCGGTCAGCCCATGTGACTTCAGTGACGAGTGGTTGGCGCTGTGCGATGACCAGCTGGGCTTTGTGGAGATCTACCGGTTCCGCGACGAGAATCTGGCCCGGGTGGCCCGGGTGGATATTCCAGAGAAGGGATTTGGCATGAACGCGATCTGGTATGATTAATGATACAATGTGTGCATAGAGATGAGACAAAATTATATCCCTGAGCTGTTCATTCACTCCTTTTGAAGTATATATGTCTGGTCCACATCACGGAACCTTTTCCAGCTGCCACATCTTTCAATGCCTCTGTGCATGCAGTGTATCCGCATTGGATTCTCGCAGGGTACTCAATAAGGAGACATGACACCACGACAACTTTCTGACAGTGAAACAATTCATCCAATTAACTGATACGGAGCCGTATATCATCACGTGGTCGGAAAAAACTCCGGAGCGGTGTCGGATACGTCGTCAGCTGGAACAAGGTAGTTATTCTATGAGCATCTCGAAAACATCGTCATATCAAATCCGAAAGCCCGGCAGCGATGGCTGTTACAGATCACCCTGCTAAGATACGTGTGAAGGGACTTGGAATGTCACCTTTGTGTTCTCTTGTCTTGGCCCCTTCGAGAACTACACACCCCTCAGCTCCTCCACGATCTTCTCCGTCCCCCACCCCTCCCGCAACCCCCTCACGATCAGTTGCTGCTCACTCTCCGGCGCCATCCCGCTCGGTGCGGGCGGTCTTCTATCCAAGTCCGTGGGGAACGGATACCCGTCCGCAACGGCACAGACAAAGTCATCCAGCTCCCTGCTCAACCCACCATCCTTCCGATACCGCTCACAGACCTCCCCCCAGCACCTCTCCACCACCGGCACGGTATCAACCACCTCCATGGTCTTTCCCAACGCGCACCCGATCTGCAACAGATTGGCCTTCCTCTGCAACCCACCCTCATCACTCATGACATTCGCCCCGGCCGCATGGAACACGGCGGGATTGAAAAACACCCCGTCACCCAACTCCAGCGGCAACGCCACATAATTCTCCTGGAAGAACGCGCGGAACTCGCTCCTCCGCCAGGCCAGGTACCCGGGCTGGTAGGTCTGGCTGAAGGGAAGGAAGCGGGTCGGTCCGCTCTCCAGTGGCATGTCACTGTGGGCGACGGCGCCCTGCAGGGTGAGATACTGGCTGGCGAGCTGGATACTGCGGGGGAAGGCGGCGCAGCGGTCGAGTTCCTGGAAGCCGAGATGGTAGTCGCGGTGGCTTTCTTGCGCGGCGCCGCCGGGGCGGACGATGTTGACCTGGGCGGTGACGCGATAGGCGGGGCCGAGCCAGGATTCGCTCACGAGGCGGAGCCACGGGTTGGAGTAGTAGGTGATGAAGGAGGACGGGTCGACTAGGGCGTGTTTGCCGAAGGAGTTCCAGATACGGTCGTTTTTGCCGCTCGCGGCGAAGTGGTCGCCCTTGGGGCCGAGTGGGGATTGGCGTTCCTGGTCGATGATCTGTTGGAAGGCTGCGTTGGTGGCTGCTAGGGTGTCGGCGTAGGTGGCTGGGTGGTACATGCCCTTTAGGACGAAGATGCCGGGGCCGGATTCAAGGATGTGATGCCATTCTGATTGGAGGCGAGGTGTGAGCGAGGGGTCGAGATGGTTGAGGGCGGTGGCTTCGTAGATGGGGATGTTCCTCTCGACGGTGGAGGCAAGCTGGTAGGTGGCCGGGCTGGTGGTCTGACAGCAGATTTGCTTGAAGTCTTCCAGGTCGGGTGAATCGATGTGGAAGAGCCGGTTTGGGACGGCCGTTCGTTGTGTGGTGGAGCCCATGGTGGTTGAGTGGTGAATGCTCTGCAGCGTGTAGTGTGTAGTGTTTCAAGAAGCTGTTGGCTGTCTCTGGAGGGGTCCTGAGGGGAGAGTTGCTGTAGAAATACTCCAGGCGGAGGGAGAATTCCGAACTCACCTGGATACAGCTGTGTGGGGTTGTACTCCGTATGCTCCCTGCATACCTGTGAGGGATGCCTGCATTGTCGATCTGGCTTCACGTGGGGATCGGAAATTAAATCCCGACTCGCCCCAGGTAGGCAGACTACTGGTAGGAACGCCGCAGTACCTGTGGCTACCTACTTGTGGCTAACCCATGTGTGTGAGGGAGATTAAAATCGGAGACATGCATCAACATTACCCTGTACGGCACTTGCTTTTTGCTCAATACATGACAGAACATCTAACCCATAACTCATAGTAAAAGAAAATGCCACTGACTTCGGCTAAAAAGACATCATCAAAAGTCGCCCGCCCAAAATACCATCAAACGCCGCACGTAATCAAAAGGACTAGTTCACAAGAAGAGATTCAAAACCAGAAAGCTGTTCTACAGCTGCTGGATGATCTTCTCGACGCTCTCCAGGAGAATATCAGCTACAGCATGTTAGTACTGCCACGTTATCAATTTGGGAAAGTGGGGGCAAGGTTTGCTTACCATGGTGCTTCTGGAAGATCAACATGGGCCTCAGGCGAATAGCGCTCGCGCCGCTTCCTCCAATGTTGACACCGACGCCCTTAGCCTTACCCAGGAACTCGTCGCGCTTGGGGGTGTCCCAGGCAATGAAGGTTCCCTGGCCCTTACCACGGAGGTTCTGGATGTGGCCGGGGTACTGCTTCGCAAGACGCTCCAGGCCGGCAAAGAGGTAGTCACCCGTAGCAGCAGTGTTCTCAACCAGGTTCAGACGCTCGATCTCCTCGATAATGCCGCGGAAGATGAGGGCGCGAGCCGGGTCACCCATCCAAGTGTTGAACTGACGGTAAGGCTTGTTGGGCCGGAGCGCAGGGTTGCCGAAGTAGTAACCGGCAGTCTGGGCCTTCTTGGAGAAAGTCACCATGTCGGGAGGAGTCTCGAGGTTCCAGTGGTCATGAGCCCAGAACTTGCCAGTAGCACCCACACCAGTCTGCACCTCATCCACAATGAACAGAACATTGTTGCGCTTGGTGATCTCCCGGAGACCACGGAAGAAGGCGGGGGAGGCATGGTTGTCTCCACCCTCTGACTGGATGGGCTCGACCACGACTGCAGCGACGGGGTTGTGCCACTCCTTGATCAGGCGCTCGGTCTCCTGCAGGCAACGCTGCTCCTCCTGGGCATTCTCCTGGACGTGTTCCTCCAGGGGGTACTTCAGGGTGGGGAAAGGAGCCTGGGGCCAGTCAAAGGCAGGGATGTCAAGCTTGTGGATGGGCTTGCTGCGAGTGGTGGACAGACTGCCAAAGAGACGACCGTGGAAGGCGGACTTGAAAGACATGATAGACAGCTGGGGCGATCCGGGAGACTGGTTGTTCATAGTGGACTCCAGTTCCTGCTCAGTGAACTCGGTCTCGGGACCACCACGCTCGCGCTGGCGGTAGTACATGAAGGCAGCCTTGTAGGCAGTCTCGTTAGCATCAGAGCCAGCCATGGCGGTGAACACCTGGTCAAGACCCTTGGGGGCGGCCTTCAAGATTCCCGTGTTCAGGATCTCAGCCCAGTCGTGAGACGGGAAGTTGCCCAGGGCCGGTCTGTTGATCAGGGCGGTGATCATCTCGGGAGACTCGGCCACCTTGCGGAGGTGGGGGTTGTTGTAGCCCACAGGGATAGAGGCAATCTGGGCATAGCTAGAGCCGACCAATGTTAGATACCGCAAAGCCCATGAGGGGGATATCGAAAGCTTACACATCCAGGAGCACGTTTCCATCCAGGTCGGCAATGCTGGGACGAAGTTAGTCATGGTTCGACGAACATTCCCTGCGAGGTGCGGGGGCGGGGAGATGCATTGTAACTGACTAGTTGCCTGTCGACTTGTAGTAGTCGGTCAGCATGTTCAAGCTGCGAACATCAAAGACCTTGTCCAACTTCTCAGCGGCGGCCTTGTTGTTGGGGCCGGGGATGGCGGTGGCCAGTTTGGGCGCAGACGGCTCATTGGGGAAGTACGGCTTCTCCGCAGCGCGCAGGTGCGGCGTGGTGGTGAGGGTGCGGACGGCGGACAGGCGCGTCGCCGGACGCAGTCTGAGGCTGGAGCGGAAGAGGGCTGCCATTGTGAGGGATGCGAGGAGGGGAGAGGAGGGGAATTGGAATAAAGACCGAGGGAGAAGAGCAGGAGGTACCGAAACTCGGTCGGGGAGGCCTTATTATATATGAGGAAGAGGGAGCTTCTGGCCGCGGCGGGAGCTGCCCCGCACCCCTGCTATCGTCGGCGTTCTGCACCAATCAGCAGCCGCACTGCCACCGCCCTCGGCGATAATTAGGTCATAATACCAATGGATAATTCCGGATGATAATGGAAACCAACCAGCCCAATCAAAGGGATGATCCCCCAGGAGTGAGGTCTCTCGGCCTGTGGCACGTAGACTATCTATCTACTTAGTACTGGCTCCCTATCCAGCAGTACTCGTAATTCTCCGTGGTCGATGTCAGGCTTGCAGTTGCTCGTCCCTGAGCTTATCAGTTAAATAGTGGTCCAGGCGGCGATAAGGAGCCCCCGATGTAGTACTAGATTGGTTAGGTAGGCAAGATGCAGTAGGCAAGGTACCATCGGAGTACCAGTAGTGTGTATGGAGTAGATACTACTACTACTACCCAGTAGGCTAGTACGGTATACTCCGTACCCTGCAGGACCGCTCGGCAGTTGACGGGAATCGGAGGGGAATCGACAGGTCTTGCTGTTGCTCCAGGTGATAGATAGCCAACACCTTCGCGGCCTGAACCCAAAGGCTGCCAGGATCTCGTTGCTCGGTCTTTTTTCCCAGAAAGAAAAAGAGCATCCGATGAGTACTACGCAGAGGAAAGGAGGACGAAAAGACGACCTGGATTATGGTAAGAGGACAGACTCCAATTCGGCCGAGTGACACAAGGGGAATAATCTAAGCATCATAAATCCACGCAATGAAGAATGAGTATTGGAACGCGCCTGCAGGCCCACGCTCCCAGCTAATCCAAAAATGACTCGAAATATCTAGGTCTCACGCTATCACAGTGCCTCGCTCACCCTTGCTGCAAGCGTCAAAAGACTGGGCAACTAGTGGGCCTCGCCCGAAAGTTTGAAAGAAAGTTGATGCAGCCTCTACACCACGAGCTGCACCAGGTGATGATCAACGCATTCCATGGTGGGCTATAGTGATACATATCTAGACCTTCCCGCATGGCTTGAAGATGGCCGCTTATGCGGTCTTCCGCCACTGGGAGTAGATACCAATCAAACTGCTGATCGTACCCGCAATACCCACGATGCCGTCGTCGAGCGACGCAAGTCCGAGGGCGGAAACTGGGACAGTCAAGTCGCACAGGTCGGAAAAGAGCTGAAGGCGCGCAACAGAGTATTCCCTAGGACGGCCTGTGTTAGCAAATCGATCCTGTGCCGGCACCCCAGGTCATCCGATCACATACTTTTTAAGCTTTTTGGCCTCTACCACATCTTCGCCCTTCTGGGAGTCCAGGGTCTTCTCCTTTTCTTTCAATCGGAACAGCGTGTACACGCCCGCCACAGCACTACAGGCCAGTCCGGCCATCCAGGACCGATAGGCAGACTCTTGCAGTCTCTTGGCAGCAGCGAGTTTGCGTACACCAATGGCGTCCACGACGGTGATGGTGTCGAGGGTCAGGTAACCGGCGTAGCCGAGCTGGCGGCCAACAGCAAGGTAGCGGATAACAGGGTCAACCAGACTTTTGTTACTGGAGGCAAGCGCCGCAGCCTTCAGGTGCTCCACGAACTTTCCAACCCTGAGGATCTTTCGGGTGGTTCCAAACTGCTTCTTGATGGCATTATAAGGGTCGATGGCAGCCTGGGGGCGGTTGGTGCGGTAGAGGTACCAGGCGTAGAAGCGGGAGAAGTATTGCAGGGTGCGGAGGATTTTATCGCGACCGACTAGGGATCATGAGCATTTCCTCGGTTAGCATGAGGACCAACACAGGTGTCCCTTCGCGAGGCAACAAATGGAATAGCACGTACCTGTTGTTGCGACAAAGCGCAAGTAGTGCGCCAGAGCAGGGTGGTAAACCAAGGCGTCCGCAACCATGTTGGCGATATCTGCGTCACAAGAGCGGGAGATGGCGGTTCGTCGGTCGGAGGAACAAAGCGTCTCTGGGAGCGAAGTGGGGAGAGTGAAAGGGAAGATGACAGGCCAGCTGGCAGGGGAGAAAGGGGAGTGAGTATGCTTAATGTAAATGTAATGATGTATAGATACAGTATAGTCAAACTCCACAGAGGGTCGAAGGGAGAGAAGACGGGGAAGCGGAGGAGGGAGAAGAGGGAGCTGCGATCCGGTCTGGGGGGTATCGGTAAATGAACACCAACGACGGTGATCGACCGTGGTTGGGGCGCCATGGGACCTCGGCTGCTCCGACCATCCGACCTCGCTCTGCCCCGTGCCGGCGCTGTCACAGGTCTTTGTCACCGCCTTCCCCTTCCTGTCTCTGTGATATGAACTGCCAGAACAACCCAATGTGGAGGCGGTCAGCTGCTGATGGGATCAGGCATGCTCCAGGCTTCATTTGGATGCTCGTTGTATGGAGTACCTTACTGTTTGTGTATATTATACTACTCCGTGCCTTAGACACGTCGGGATCTCAGAACGTACAGGCGCGGAGGGGTCAGAGAGGGGGAATCTCGACTGCTCGACTAGGTAATTATCCGGGCGGGAAGACCAACGCTCTCTCTCCTAGTAGTTGGGAAGGTCATCTTATATGACAGCCAGTATCCTGCAGAAATTCCTTCTCAAACCATGGAGTAGAGAGACCTCTTGTTGCACCTTCAGGGAGACCTCAACCGGGTACTGGGGTTATTTCTTGCCTCAGGCCGTGGTGATTAGTTAAATCCCCAGGTATGATGACTAAGGCCTGAGGGCCATTTTCATTGGTGGAAAATTCCCAACCGCGGGCCTGCCTGTTTGGGGAACGTGTTTGGGGCGCGGCCTGGTAAGCACACGGAGGAATGTCTACCGACCAACGTCATCGCCCAGACGCATCTCCTGTATGAGTTACAGCAGGTTGCAGACCTGGCTACCTAACTACGACTACTTTCAACAACATGGCTGTTCACAACAGCCGGAATATCAAGGTTCGGGACAGAGGGCCTTGGCCCATCCAATCTTTGAAGCAGACTGCCGCCACCATGCCTGGTTATATACAAGTCCTGATCTGAGGAATTAATGTCTTGAGCCTTTCACATCAACATCCCACGCGTGCCCCACTGAGGGGTCCAGCTGGCGGGGTACTACCGGTCCTGGCCAGAGTGCCAGACTTCAGAATGCAGCACTTAGTAACTGGAGAAAGGCACCCGCAGCCAGTCACGGCTGAGAGCGCCCCTCTATCCGTATCTGGGGGCTTCTCAACCCCCACCGGAGTCTCCTACCGGCCTGCTCAAGTTCCTCCTATTTCTATCTCTGCTCCCCCTCTTCACTCTCTCTCTCTTCTCCTCCCCTCTCTATCCCTATACCCCTCCGCTTCTCGTCCCATCTCTCAACTTTTCCTCTACTCTTATTTGCTCCAGGCATCCTTTGACAATGTCTCTCGGTAAGAAGGTTACCCTGAACTCCGGTGCTGAGATCCCGTAAGTCTTCTTCTTCCTCCCTCCCCAGCGCAGACGTTCACTCATCTCAATTAGCCAACTGGGATTCGGTACCTGGCAGTCCGCACCTGGCCAGGTCGGCGATGCTGTCTACGAGGCTCTGAAGGCTGGATATCGTCACTTGGTAGGTTCTATCCGGCCCAAATAGATGCAGATTGACTAACTGGACTAGGATTTGGCTACGATGTAGGTCTCCACCGTCTCTTCCAGGCACAGGCTAATCCTTCAAAGCTACGAGAACCAGCGCGAGGTTGCGGAAGGTATTAAGAAAGCCTACAAGGATGTTCCGGGCCTCAAGCGTGAGGACCTCTTTATCGTAAGGGCAACCAGTTTGCGCTTGTTATCGGTATGCTAACTGCCATTAGACATCTAAGCTGTGGAACTCGTATGTTTAGCAACCCCGAAGTGAGCGCTAGTCTGACACCCACCAGCCAGCATGACCCTGCTGTTGTCGAGAAGTCCCTGGACGAGTGCCTTGCCGAGCTCGAGCTCGAATACCTTGATGTGCGTCTATTAAGCTGCCCTATGTCTTCACGGCTAATCAGTAATAGCTCTACCTCGTCCACTGGCCCGTCGCCTTCACCACCGGATCCGAATATTTCCCTCTCGTTCAGAACAGCTCTGTTGAGGGTGGCGATGTCGTGATCAATGATAGCGTCTCTATTGTCGACACCTGGAAGGCCATGACCAAGCTCCCCAAGAGCAAGGCTCGCACTGTCGGTGTCTCCAACCACATGGTCCAACACGTAAGTCAGCTGCCCTGGCAGACCTACCGATGCTTATTCGCGTAGCTCGAGGCTATCATCAACGCTACCGGTGCCGTTCCCGCCGTCAACCAGATTGAGCGCCACCCCGTCCTGCAGAGCACCGAGCTCATCGAGTACTGCCAAAAGAAGGGAATCCACATCACTGCCTACTCGGTATGTCCACCCTTTGTTATCATAGTCTGAAAGCTAATGTGACAGGCCTTCGGTAACAACGGCTTCGGCGTCCCTCTGTTGGTCACCCGCCCTGAGGTCAAGGAGGTCGCCGAGGAGGCCTCCAAGAGACTTGGCACCACAGTCACCCCCGCTCAGGTCGTCCTAGCCTGGTCCCAGGTCGGTGGCCACAGTGTCATTCCCAAGTCGGTGACGCCTTCCCGCATCCAGGAGAACTTCAAGGAGGTGGAGCTCACACCAGAGGAGGTTGCTAAGGTGTCTGAGCTGGGCAAGGATCGCAGACGGTACAACACGCCGTATGTCGCCAACAAGCCCCGCTGGGATATCAACATCTTTGGTGAGGAGGAGGAGAAGCCTGCCTCACACCAGGTTGTTGTTTAGTGTGGTTATTGTTACGAATGATGTATAATGGTGGTATATAGACTGTTAAAATGAGGACGTCTGATCAATAACTCCAGTCAACCCGTTGATTCTATTTTTAGGCAGTCTGCAAACGGACCTGCCAATAGTGTTTCAATTTTTCCCAGGTGCCAGGAATATGTTTAATTGTGCGTCATCACTGCTCTATTATGCTAAGAACTGATCCACACCAAGGAACACCCACGCTCCTACTATAAAGTCGAGCCAGCAAACTAATAGGGAAGACATCTTGGCGCAGTGCCAGAGCAAGATCTGTACCATAATCAGTACCAAAACTACTACCTGGCAATCTTCGGAGGCATGGAAAAATGTGCGGAGAGTATAGGGCACTTTCATGGTCAACAGGTGCAACCCCAGATATTACTCGTGTAGACTTTCACAACCCAGCCCTTACAGTTGAGAACTCCAGCACTTTTAAGCCGTTATCCATCGCTCTGTACCCCATACACAGCCAAATTCTGCATACATATAGTAGTCTAGGAAAGCCACCATTCTAAGTTGGATGATTGTCAGTTTATATATGTCCACCCACCTGCCACGCCTTCATGCTGTTAATGGAGGGCTGTAATAGGCGGGTCTAGGTACCAGAAAGTATTGATATGAACTTGTATGGAACTTTTCAACCCCTCACACAGCGCCCAGTATAATGAGCTCACCGCCTTGACAACTGAATATATATTCTCTGCGCAGACCCACTAAGTAGGTGGATAGTAAGTAATTATCGATTAATCTAGTACCTTATTCCTCCAGTTTCAACTTTCTCTCGAAGTGACGTAAATACTCTCGCAATTTTCTCATATTGCTATCCTCCTTGGTTATCCATCGAAATCCTACACGGCCATTACTGTCACCAAGCCACGCCTATGCCGACGAACTACCGGGGCCCTTATTCTTAGCTTGTTAGGCAGTTGCTCAAGAATCGGCCTCATCATTGTCATAAACTAAGATCTATTAATCTCCTAGCATGTTTTTATTTGACTGGAGGCATCATTACGGCTTCTCTATCGACCTTCTTTGTGATGTTGCGCGTGTTTACGTTGTTTGCTAAATGCCGAGGGAAAACCGGTTCGGCCGGGGCCAAACCACATCGGGATGGGTTCCAGTCGCGGTATCGACCCTGGGCGGAGAAACGAATCATGAAACACGATGACGAGCCTTGTCTGAGTTTACTTCAACTACGGAGCTTTCATCTCTGCATTCTCCCCTGCTTTCTCACTCCTCTCTCCCTCTTTTCGGTCGCGACACCTCATGTCCATCCCCTCGTTCCCATCTTATGGGGAAACCCCTTTCCAGCTTGTGCGCTGTGCCTGAACGATGCCCAACTCTGTGTTGCCTACATGGCCCTACAGTGACGGAAGAAGAGAAAAGGGTCAAAGCATGTCGGCATTTGCTGTCCGCTGAAGAAGAAACAACATGTAAGATGAAAAATATGACAAAAATCCACAACCCCGCTAACACGAGTCCCCGCATCGTTTAGATGTCGGTCTTGAACGAAGTCAGACGCGCCTTGATTGCCTCCTCCGATTCATCCGTATCCAGCTGCCGCAGAATACCACTCCCAACGTCATAAATCAACCCGTGAATCTGAAGCCCCCGCTCGTGTATAGCATCCAACACTACATTTTTCTGCTTTAGTAGCTTGACTCCCTCCAGCACGTTTAATTCAACCAATTTGAGATTGGCCTGGTCGGGTGACAGTGAGTTCAACAGAGCTAGGTTTTGCTCGCGCAGCTGGCGCAGGGGTAGCAGCCACGGATCCAGGATGCCTAGCTGCTTATTGCCCAGGGCAGCGGCAACGCCACCGCAACTGGTATGGCCGGAGAGGACGATATGTTTAACGCGCAAGTGACGGACGGCATACTCTATCACAGCGGAGGAACTCAAGTCTCCGGCATGGATGATATTAGCGATGTTGCGGTGGACGAAGACATCTCCGGGCTTTAGGCCGAGGAGGGTTGTTTCAGGGCATCGGGAGTCTGAGCACCCGATCCAGAGGATGTCCGGGTGCTGGCCATTCGCAAGCATGGGGAACAGGGAGGGATCCTCCTTGGAAATCTGGGCCGCCCAATCCCTGTTCTGATGCAGAGCAGAGGTGAATCGGTCTGAAGAGGCAATGTTAGCACATGCTCGAGGTTCAGCGGTCGAAAAGCGAGCGGCTTGGTGGGATAGGCCAGCCGCAGGACGGGCACGCCGAAGACAAAAATGCTGGCTCGAGAGCCTTGCTGCAGTCCGGTTCCAGCGGGCAGGAGTCGCACTCGGCGAAACAGTCTTGTGGAAATCATGAGGGAAGAAGGGGCTATGGGAAAAGGGTGTCTGCCCCCGACGTCGGGAAGGGGGAAATGAGTCAATTGCCAAGGGGGTACAAAGAACGGGAGACCAGGGCCAGATCCCGCGGTCACGATCCGTCTGTGGTACAAAATCCGGGAGGATATCTATGAGGTGAAGCCACGGGAATACAGGAAGTGCGAGACCGAAAGCCACCTGGTTGACGACAGTGACAGCAGAAAGGCGTTGAGGGAGGAAAGGTCGATTCTGTGGGCCGCCGCCGCTTCGCAAGTCTATCCAGAAACGCCAAGAAGGGGCACGAGTGTTGAGGCTGTTGAGAACGTGCTCACGTACCTGTGGTGTTGGCCATGGTATATGATGAGTATCGTGCTCGGGGGATTCCGCGACCAGATTTCGAGCGGAAAGTCGCCTCTTAGGTCTTGGGGTTCAATATTTTCTGCGCTGGAAAGGAATGCTGCTGATCTTCATCCCCAACGCTTGGGGGCGCTCCGAACCCTGCAAACCCTGCAAACACAGATCACGTGAGCCAATGACAAGCGGGGAGATGTCATCGTTGAATGCCGAAGCTTCGGCATTCAACGGCAGACTTTGTTCCTGAGTGACAGACAGCGTACCCCGTAGGAGCGTAACAATCCCGTATGCCAGGCAAGGCATGTGCCACCGCATGTGATAGGTTGTGCACCATCACGAGTAAATTCTACAGATATACTGATGGCCTCGAAGCTGAGTCGTTGTCTTTACACGTGATCTCAACTTGCCGGAGCTGTCATTCGGCTAGTCACGTGGTTACGGTACAAGTCGTCTCCAGATCTGGAATATTGATATCAGCCTCAGGCAAAAAGTTCTTCAGAGCCATCCGCCGGATAGTTATGGGTTTGTCGATCTCGCGCCCACGTCATTGACGGACAGGAAATGGGCCGGCCACTGATACCACTAGTAGTGGTCATGTCATTGTCATTAATGCCAAGGAATCCAGACTGACAGCAGCAGGCCCGACATGGGATACTAACTACGGAGCTGCAGGGCTAGTATATATATCCATCTACTAGTACTGCCGGCTCAAAGCAGATTTCTGACAGGATGGATGTATGTATCAATCAGGCTAGCAGCCATCTGTAGCTGTGCACTAGTAGCCACATGGCAATCTGCAAGGTAGATCGGATCGGAAAGAAGGTTGATCGGATCGGAAGGAAGTGGACACTGACTAGATACTAGTGGGCATGCAGCGCCAGATCCTAGTGGGGAAGGTGGTGCCATGGCTTTATGTCTATCTACCATGCTACGCGAGAAGAGAAAGGGTTATCAAAGACTCATTGGAACAAATCAATTCACCGGGCCCTCATGAAGGGGGCGGTTTTGAAATAAAAAAAAAATAACATCGCTGAAATCCGAGAAATGTTGAAACTATGTACATCAATCAATGCTTTCAATGCTCAATTCTTCAGTGCTTTCATGCCGTGAGGGGGCCACGCCCGCTTACAACTTGCCCTTGTTGTAGCGCTCGAAGGACGAGACGGGGGGAGCGGAGTTGGGGTTGGGGTGGTGCTTCTTCAGGGCCATGGTGACGTTGTACTCGAGGTCGAGCTGGGCCTTGGGGTCCTTAGTCTGGGGCTTGAACTCGACAACGAGGTCGTCCTTGACGGCGAAAACGGAGTCGATGTCGAGATGAGGGTCGTCACTGGGGTAGATCTGGTTGATGACGGTGGCGTAGTCGGGGTGGGTGATCATGAGGTGGATATGGGCGGGACGCATGGGGGAGCGGTCCATGATGTTCAGGAGGACACCGGCGGGACCGTCGGTGGGCAGAGAGTAAGGGGTCGGGTGGTAGCAGTACCAGTGGAACTCGCCCTTCTCGTTGGAGCGGAACTTGCCGCGGAGGTTGTTCTCGGACTGGTTGTCGTCCTGGAAGTCATACTGGCCGTTGGCCGACGCCTGCCAGATGTCGAGCACGGCACCGGCGATCGGGGCGCCGGTCTCCATATCCTTGAGGACACCGTGCATCAGGGTGACCTTGCCGTTGGGGTTGGGGTCCTGGATGATGCTGTCGCCAAGCTCACGGAAGGGGGCGTTGGGAGACCAGAAGGGGCCGAGGATGACGTTGGAGGTGGGGGAAAGTCCCTGCTCGGTGACAATCTTGTTGGCGATCTCGTCGACAAGGCTGGAGAAGCCGAGTTAGCACTGATTTGTCTTCTTGCGCGGAGGGTGTTTCGTTGGGAGGACTTACGATTCCAGACCGATGACATCGCAGATACGGTGACCCTCGTTACGGACGGGAGTGCTGATCTTGCCGATGGAGTTGACGAACTCAACACCCATCATCCACTCGGCGGAGGTGAGCTCGACCTCGCGGGCGAAGTCATGGATGTGACGGATCAGAGCGCCCAGGACCACGCGAGCGCGCTCGGGGGTCTTGGGTCCCATGGCGTTGACGACATAGGGAGTGAAGTTGGGGTCGAAGCGGGGGTTGGTCGACATGGTGGATGGAGGTTGTGGTTGTATGGGGGGAAGCAGGGAGTTGGAGTCTGGATGAGGAGAGAGGAGAGGAGAGAGAATGGAGGATGGTGAGTGGAAGAGTCGAGCAGAGCGGCCGACTCGAAGGTCTATATAGACGGTCGCGACGGGGCGTGGCAATGGCTGGGGATAGTGAGGGCGCAGGCCGGCGACGGCAAATCATTCGGCTACCCGTGCGTGTGGGGGCGCCGCAACGGGGGAAAGAACCGTCGCCACATGCCGAATGGTTGGATGGCCTGATGGCCGGCCAGAGCGCTGCCCGGATCTGGCTGGTTGAACAGCCGAGTGGCGGCAGCTCCGTCTACTGAGCTAGCCGGATCGACTGGGGTCACCTGGGCCTTCCATCTAATGGCATCTGGCCCAAACCAAATCCGAGAAAAGTCAAACGCTGGTCTTCTCCGCGTCGCTCCGCGTCGCTCCGCAAATCGCAGGCGATCTGATTATGCGCAGGGGGGCGCGGGGGAAAGCAGGGGAAGCAACCGGGGGCCGGGGATGCTCTTACCCGCGGCTAAGACCTCTTCTCTACTGTTCTCTGCCTTCCCCGGGATTCCCTCGCCGCCCACGTGCCGGGCCCCTCTGTCTTCCCGCCCGGCAAGGTTCGCCCGCCTCCATTGCCGCCACCCTGACCGGCGGATTTAGAAGGGCCCGGATTGGCCAGACGAGAGCCGTCACTCTAGATGCTCACGTGAGTCCTTTCGACCCTGGGCCATCCCAACTAATACGAGGGCTTAAGGTTAGGCTTTTTTGCCGCGGCGTCAAAATATCCCCGGCAGGGAGAAAGTGGCACTGGAACTGATTTTGAGTTGAATTCTATGAAATGGGTCTAGTTATGGAAATGGAACTTTCCCACCGTCCACTCTGTTGTTGAATAGAGACCACCAACCAACCAACTCGCCCTCCTAAGTCAACTACTATCACCTACCTACTCCTACCCATCCCTAAGAATTACGTAGCCAGAATAGCATCCAGCCAGCCTCCCGCCGGCCACTCCTCCATCCCATCACGAGAGATTAACATCCTGGAAAACACTCACGTCCCAGATTCCCGTCATATCAAACGGAAACCCATCCATCGTCCCAAATGTCCCCGAAATACTCATCATGTCGTCCACGATATCATTATTAGTCTGCGTCTCGGGCAGCGATATCGCCGCCGGATTGACAAGCTGATTATCCGGCTGCATGAAGGTGTGGTCCGTGGTTGCGTTGCTATTGGGGTTGTTGTTTCTAGGGAGTCGGTTGAGGAGGCGCTCGCAGTGATCGAGGCACATGTCGGCCACATCCCAGTCTTCTTCCTCGCGTACGCGGTGGAGAATCGACCGAAAGGTTTCAACGTTCGTGAGGCAGGAGCGGGCGACTTCCGGGTCGGTGGTTTCAAGGGCGCATCGGACGAGGAGGGTGGCGGTTGTGGTGAGGTGGAAGGCGCTATCTTTCAGGGGGGTTAGTCCAGTATTTTGTTGGGGTTGGGTTGGGTGTCTCGGGGAAGGGAGGTGGTGCGTACAGGGAAGCCAGAATTCCTGGAAGTTTTCTTTCTGTAGGGAGGAGATAAATTGCACGATCTCTTCTGCAGATTGTCGGCATTCGGTTTGGAAGTAGCGGCGAGCTTCAGGGTTATCTCCCTCGGTATTATTGACTTTCTAGAAGGGAGTTAGGACGATTATACGGAATGAATAGTCTGGCGAATGGTACCCACGTTCAGCTCTACGCGGCTGACAAGCATCTTCACGGCCAGGAAGCCTAGTTGCAGACTGCTTGTCCCCGCGATACGCTCCTCAGAAGAGCTTAGAGGGGGGGTTTGTAGCCAGTTAGGGAGGGAGTCCTCCCATGCATCAAGATCGGTTCGGATCTGCCGCACCTTCTTCGTGATTTCGCGGTGGGCTTGGTATTGGAGACCGTAGACGAGTGGCAGCAACTCTCCTAGGATTTCGGTGAGCCGGCACAGCGCGATGTGGCAGTGAGTAGCGCGGATGCGCTCGGGGGTGCGAGAGGCCTGAGGTATCAGTACATCAACGGTGGGAAGAGGGACATCGTATTGATTTTTGGCGATCTGAGGAGGCACGCCATGGCCAAAGCTCCCCCTGTTCGCTGTCAGCCGCTGAAAGGTTGGATGTAAATAATGAGGATGCGCTCACCAGCGATCATGTATCACAACGGCCCACCATAGTCTTATGCGATGATTCTTTTCGGCCCGGGATAATTTCCAGTGGCTGGGATCCCGGTTTAAGCCCAGACAATGTGCAAGGGAAATCATCCGACCGCAGCTGATGGCATTTCCAGTCATAGAAAATATCGGACGACCGGTCAGGTCAATGAGAGCCGCACTGATTGTTGAAAGACCCGGGGCGGAGAACTCCTCGTGTAGAGCGGCTACAGTCATGTTGACCGCGTACCGGGGATCTGGCTTTGGATGACAAGCCAGTTTGGGTGTGTGTTTCCAGTAGACCAGCGACATTGAGTAAACCTGGCAGAGGAGAGAGGCCGGCGGGTCTCCTGGAGACTTGGAAAGAAAGGCATCCCAGAAGCTTTCCCCATCAAAGATAGGGAATGCTGCATTGAATCTGTTGATAAATCTGATACCTAAAGTTAGTGCTCTAGCCTAGATCCTAAAACCACGGGAGGCGTACAGTCTGACTAGGTCGTGCTTGAAAGGTCCGAGAATCTGTTCCAGGATTTCCTTCTGATTCTCCCCGGGAGGAACGCCAACGCGCATGCCTTGCCTCCGTCGGGAGACTGTTGTGTAGAGGATTGGTTTCTGTGGGTCGCTTGAATAGACATTATATGGTTGATTTTTCGGCTCCACAGATCTGTTGGTTCCCTCAGGTGGTATATACCGCTCAATCACCTGGGCATCCTCGGCCACGACAGGTCCGACTATGAGAACTGATTCATTGTGGGGATCTTCGATTCCTTGGCTTCTGGACTCGCTTCTCCGACGGTCTATCGCTGAGTCCGAATGGGCCCCGCTGGAAGCCTGTCGTCGGCTGGTATTGGAAGGGGAATCGAGGTCTGGGGAGCGCTTGCGCTTCTGACCTAACAATGAAACACGCGTGTGGTCTGGCGCCCATGATTTAGAGTCCCCGTTGTTCATGAGATGGTCATGACTGGGCTCCTCTTGGTAATAACAATCCGCGCCTTGGACCCGACAAAGGAGACACGATTGTCCAGGAATGTCTACTGTACATCGAGATTTGCGTTTCCTACACAAATCGCAGGCCCTAACCTTGTGTGACCGGTATGGTCTGGCTCCAGCATTGAATCCTGGAGAAGCAAGCTTCTGCGAGGAACCGCTTGGAACTGCAGGCGGTGACATGATGAGCCCCCAATGGGATTATCGCTGACTCCAGACAGGCTGCAATAGGCGGCGATTAATGACCTGGCTAGGCTAGGCCATAGACTTCCGCTGACACCAGGCTAGATAAGAGCAGACAAGGTGCGGGATAAGTAGATCCGGCCAGTGGAACTGGTGCGCCTAGGCCAGCACAGTCATCTGCTGATAATCGGGAATTCGCGTCAGACTGGGCTAGATGATTAGACTTGGAGATGGGAGGGGCGTTGGACCAGGAAATGCGGATCATGGGGCAGTGTTGAGTAGCATATCGTTGCAGCGGAGTATGGATCAGGCAACAAAGGCCTCAATCACCTTACTCGGAGGCCGACCTCCTTGCATTTCTGGAAAGATGAAAATAGTAATGCGGAGTATTAAAAAACTTGAATCATAATTCTTATCAGGACTGCAGGTTACGTTGGTGGATCAAAGTGGGGGGGCTGAGTCATCCAGGACGACCAACCACGTGCGGCGATGGGCTGGAGCTGCAGCTGTGGGTGCCTGAGAGAAATGGCATTACTGCACGTGTAAGAAGTACCTTGTATGTGTTTCCCCACTAGGCATTATTCTAGCGGTATTCTCCAACAGCACGTGGTGTGATATGTCAGAAATTTGCCAAAGACCGTTCTCACGTTTGCGGGGAGGAAGGAATCCGATCTCGCAGACTGGCAGTCAAGGGAGGCGGTCGAGACAAAGTCACATGACATACTGTACCTTTTCACGTGACATTATGGTGACCAGGGTTGGTTTGTACCCGTCGGTATCACGCGATATTTCCCCAGCTTCCGTTGTTCACGCCCGCCAGAGTGTACGGAGTAGAACACTTTTCGTCTATCATGCCCGACTCTCTTTCAACTGTGCTCTACCTTGATACAATCCCCGCATATATCCTCTCTCCCCCTCCCTTCCTCCCTCCCTCCCTCCCCCCCCCACCCCTCTCTGTCTCTCTCTCTCTCTCTCTCTCTCTCTCTTACCTTGTCATCTCTCCACCGCCGACTCGAACCCCACACAGAACGTATGACCTTCGAGCGCAAAAATGATGCCGCATCTGGACCAAGAAGGCAAAGCAGCCGACAACCGAGCGCGCAAGAAGCGGGGTCCATGGCGTGATCTGCTGATTGGCGAGACACGGGCGGATAAGCCAGTCCGCCCCTCCTTGGGCCGCGTGCCACCAGCCGAGAGCCGACGGTTGAAGTATGGAGTACTCGGTGCACTCCTCCGGATTCCCCTCCCTATATAGAGGGCATCGATGTCCCTCTCGGCCGGAACAGAGACCCAAATCGCTCAGTCGTCTCCTTTATCCATTGACTGCGAGACAACATGGCTCCGAAACGCCCCAACTTCCTCGTCGTGGTTGCGGATGACCTTGGCTTCTCGGACATCGGCTGCTATGGCGGGGAAATTCGCACCCCCAATCTAAACCGCCTGGCTCAGCAGGGCGTCCGGTTTACGGATTTTCATGCCGCTGCTGCATGCTCGTGAGTGGACTCCTGCGCGAAGCTCTCATGTGTTCTTGATATTGATTCCCGTCTTCCTCTTCTGGCAGGCCCACTCGAGCCATGATTATGACTGGAACGGACCATCACATCGCCGGTCTGGGAAACCTCGTCGAATGGACCAACATTTCCGGCCAGAACGGCCCTAAGGGCTCGCAGATGAGTACTGCCCCACAGCGCGGCATGCCTGGCTACGAGGGTTACCTGAATGAGCGCGTCGCCACACTCCCCGAGGTCCTCCGCGACGCGGGCTATCACACCCTCATGTCCGGGAAATGGCATCTCGGGCTCACGCCGGAACGCGCCCCCTCTCAACGTGGCTTTGATCGCTCTCTCGCCCACCTCCCCGCTTGCTCCAACCACTACGCCTACGAGCCTCAGCTACAGGACGCTGACGAAACTCCCACCTTCCTTGAGGCGAGCTACATCGCCCTGCACATGGAAGACGATCAGTACGTCAAGAAACTCCCGGAGGGGTGGTACTCGTCGGATGGATACGGGGATAAGATGCGTCAGTATATCCAGGAATGGCACGATCGGAGCGATGACCGTCCGTTCTTCGCGTATTTGCCTTTCACGGCCCCGCATTGGCCCCTCCAGGCCCCTCGCGAGTACATCGACCAATACCGTGGCGTGTATGATGATGGCCCGGAGGCCCTCCGTCAGAAGCGTCTCGAACGGCTGAAGGCCCTCGGGATGATCCGCGACGATGTTGAGGCGCATCCCGTCGACGCGGAGGAAGTCAAGCCCTGGGAGGAGTTCACGGCTGAGGAGAAGAAGTTGTCCTGCACGGCCATGGAAGTCTTCGCGGGAATGGTGGAGTGCATTGATGCCAACGTTGGCAAGGTTGTCGATTATCTGACTGAGATCGACGAGTTGGATAACACCTTTGTTTGCTTCATGTCTGACAATGGCGCCGAGGGGGCGGCCTATGAGGCTTACCCCATGGTGCAGAGCGGGGTCATGCCTCATCTCCAGAAATACTACGACAACTCACTTGAGAACCTCGGCAACTACAACTCCTTCATCTGGTATGGCCCGCGGTGGGCGCAGGCCGCCACTGCACCGTCCAGGCTGTACAAGGCCTTCACGACAGAGGGCGGAGTGCGCGTGCCTTTCCTTGCACGGTTCCCGTCCAGTGTCACGGCGGGGGATCATGTCCGCAATGGCGGGATCACGGACCAGTTTGCGACAGTGATGGACCTGGCGCCGTCGATTCTTGACATGGCGGGCGTGACGCACCCGGCACCGACGTATCAGGGGCGGGAGATTGTACATATGCGCGGCAAATCGTTCTACCCCTGGGTTGCGGGCGAGAATGCGCGGATCCATGACAAAGATTTTGTCCAGGGGTGGGAGACGTGCGGGCGGGCGGCACTGCGGTTTGGGGACTGGAAGATTGTGTATATCCCGAAGCCGAAGGGGCCGGAGCGGTGGCAGCTGTATAACCTGGTGGAGGACCCGGGAGAGATCCATGATCTGGCGGATCAGCAACCGGATCGGCTGGCGCAGCTGCTGAAGCTCTGGGACCAATATGTGATCGAGACCGGGGTGATCCCTTTGAACCCGGATCTCGGCAATTTCTTGGAGGCGACGGAGGCGCAGATGCCGGAGAATGCGTGGATGGAGTATGACTATTGGAAGAAGGGGGCGAGGGATGAGCCCGAGAAGTTCATGAGAAAGCCCCCCCGGTTTCAGCGGGTGGTGAAGCAGTTTTAGCTGGCTGGCTGGCGAACTCGATCCAATCCAATTCATGTCTCATTCATTAGTCTTGGTGAGCCTGCCCTGTTACGGTAGCTATGTAGGTATTTGCTATCTATCCTCATTAGAGGACTCGGTAAACTCAACAACTCCCCATAAAAACGATACTTGGGTTTTGTAGGACCTATCGATCAAGTCTCCCATCATTCTATTCTCGACTCCTCTCTCCGACAATCTTCAGCCGTAGGTAGGGAAAAACAAGAAGCAAGCGGCAGGCGGTGAGGGTCTCACTATCTCACTGATTCGACCCCCGCAGAGGATCCTCCTACTCTGGTGCGCCCAGTACGATCTCCGCTCCAAGCTTCAACTAGATACTACTAATAACAGGATGTGGTAACGGTATCTATCTGTTGTCCGATGCGGGACAGGGTTTGGATTACCGGATCCATCGAAACACGGCGGGGCGGACCCCGCGGACGCTAGACCGCATCGGGCCAATGAATCCGGGCGTCTTATCGGACGTGTCTTATCTGCGCATCGCTACTCGAGACTAGTACTCCGTACTTACTATCTACTGCTTGCTGGACTTGTTCAGACTCGTTGGACTCGCTCTCGTTACCTCCAGTCGCTTATTTAAAGCTTGCATACATCTCCTCCCTCCTACCCCGATTGTTATACACACTTGCTGGTTGCATCACTTTTCTCAAGTCTCTCCCCATAGACCCTCCTCTCTTGTCATACCCCTACCTACATCTCCGGTTTATTTCTCGCCCTCGCGTTACACATACATACATACCCGCCACCCCGCCCATCATAACCTTAACATTGGACGCTCCCTCCCCGCGCCCACCCGAAGATTGGCACAATACAGGACTCCCTCCCTCCCTCCCTTCCCCTTTATCCCTTCATCCCACTTCCCTTATCACAATGGTTCTCGAGCGCCTCCAGCAATTGAGCCACCAGGTGAAGGCTACTTCGCCTCCGCCCCATCCCTTGGATCCCCTCTCCACTGTTGAAATCGACACGGCCGTCGCTCTGATCCGCAAGGAATATGGCAAGGTCAACTTCAATGCAGTCACCCTCTACGAGCCTCGCAAAGCGGAGATGATGGCCTGGCTGGCCGATCCCCAGAAGGCCCCTTGCCCGGCACGCGCCGCCGATATTGTTGCCATTGCGCCAGGCGGCAAGATCTACGACGGGATCGTCGATTTGGACCAGAAGAAGATCGTCAAATGGGAACACACTCCTGGGGTACAGCCTCTCATCACCATGGAGGATCTGCAGGAGGTCGAATCAATTGTCCGCAAGGACCCGAAGGTGATCGAGCAATGCGCGATTATTGGTATCCCGCAGGAAGATATGCACAAGGTCTACTGTGATCGTAAGCCCTCCCTTCCGGTGTGCTTGTCTTTTTTTGTGCAAAGCCTGACTTGAGTGCAGCTTGGACGATCGGCTACGATGAGCGCTTCGGTACGGACGTCCGTCTGCAGCAGGCTCTTATGTATTACCGCCCTCACATTGATGACTCCCAATACACCTATCCTCTGGATTTCTGTCCCATATTCAACGCCGAAACAAAGCAGGTGATTCATATCGACGTTCCCACGGTCCGCAGGCCCATCAGCAAGGCTCCTCCAAACAACTACCATTCCGACGCCATTGAGAAGGAGGGTGGCTACCGGACAGACCTGAAGCCCATCTACATTACTCAGCCGGAGGGCGTTTCCTTCAATATCAATGGCCGCAGCATCGATTGGCAGAAGTGGAACATCCATGTTGGGTTCAACTACCGCGAGGGTATTGTCCTGAACAACATCACCTTCAATGACCATGGCAATGTCCGTCCTGTCTTCTACCGTCTGTCCTTGGCGGAGATGGTGGTTCCCTATGGAAACCCCGAGCACCCCCACCAGCGCAAGCATGCGTTCGACCTGGGCGAATACGGCGCTGGATACATGACCAACAGCCTGTCTCTTGGCTGCGATTGCAAGGGTGCCATTCACTACATGGACGCTGCGTTTGTCAACCGCGCAGGAGCCAGCACGATAGTGAAGAACGCTATCTGCATCCACGAGGAGGATGCAGGCATTCTTTTCAAGCACACTGACTTCCGTGACGAGTCGGTCATCGTGACCCGTGCGCGGAAGCTGGTCATTTCTCAGATCTTCACGGCCGCCAACTATGAGTACTGTGTGTACTGGATCTTCCACCAGGACGGCACCATCCAGCTGGACATCAAACTGACCGGTATCCTGAACACCTATGCGATGAACCCGGGCGAGGACACCAAGGGTTGGGGCACCGAAGTCTACCCCGGTGTGAACGCACACAATCACCAGCACTTATTCTGTCTGCGTGTGGACGCCAACATTGACGGACCCAACAACACCATCTTCCAGGTTGACGCGACCCGCGGCCCGGGTGAGGTGGGAAGTGCCGAGAACAAGTATGGGAACGCCTTCTACGCCAAGAAGACCAAGTACAGCACGCCGTTAGAAGCGATGGCGGATTACGACGGCAACACCAGCCGGACCTGGGACATTGCCAACACCAACAAGCTTCATCCTTACAGCAAGAGGCCTGTGTCCTACAAACTAGTCAGCCGCGAAGTTCCCCCCTTGCTTCCCAAGGCGGGTGGATTGGTTTGGAAGCGAGCAGGATTTGCTAGACATGCCGTGCATGTCACCCAATGTGAGTATACTCCCATCATATTGCGGACGTAAATATCCTGACTGATCTGGTCCTATCTAGATGCCGATGACCAGATCCACCCTGCTGGTCGCCACGTACCACAGACATCGGGCGAGCCATCCCAAGGTCTACCGGCATGGATCGAAGCCGCGGGTGCGGACAGCTCGATCGACAACACCGACGTCGTGCTATGGCACACCTTCGGGCTAACGCACTTCCCAGCCCCTGAAGATTACCCCATCATGCCTGCCGAGCCGATGACATTGCTTCTTCGCCCTAGACACTTCTTCACTCGGAACCCAGCCCTGGATGTTCCTCCTAGCTTTTCCCAGACGCCATCCCAGCTGGCGGCCAGTGCGGGCTCCTGCTCCTCTTGTAAGAAGAGTGATGGATGCAGCGTGCAGGTTTAAGATTTCGGGTTACATGTGGTTTACTTCGGCGTTGCAGACCATCGAGAATGGTCCTTCCTTTTGTGGATATTATATCATGTTGATTAGCTTTGAATACACCTTTATTTTTTCGATCACTGTTAAAGATCCCACATATTGATCTACGTAAGACCGAACTAGCGATCTGAATTATTAGTTGCGCTTACATCCCGGTCTCGCTGCACCCGAGAGTCGGTTTCTGAACGAAAACACCACGATGACTAGTTAGTACTACCCCTGGACAACCAACCCATCGCTTTTCCCACTTGTCTCCGTCCCGACCGGTTGGTAGACAAGATAGACAGTCTGGTCCCAAGACGAACCTTCAACTTTCGTAACGCCCAATTCAAACTCTCATTACGAATCCCCAGTATAAGCATAATACTGGTCAAGTCTTGGCTCAATCGACCATGAAGACGCGCCAATGCAAGGCTCCGAAACGCGCCGTGTGTGTTAACGGCCGAAGTTACCGAAACGCGCCGAAGCGAGACAACTCGGCAGGTATGTACAGCCTGTTGCCAGTGGAAGGAGCGTTCAACGTCCAGCTGCACCCGCCTGGCGGGTCCGATGTGCATTTCCAATAAAGGCAGGAGGGGGGAGGGGAAGAGGAAGGGGGTCCCTTATCAACAGGGCATTCTCCAGATATCACAGCACGTCAAGGGCAAGCAAATTCACAATGTCAATGCCAATACTGGCTTCTCCGTCAGTCTTACAAACCACAACAGCTGCCTTCACGGGCACGACCCATCATCGGTCACCAAAAGAACGCTCCGACCTGGATCAATACAATCCCAAGTGGCCGACGGGATTCCACAACGCCAGCATCAAGCAGTGGGTGCACGACTACTACAGCACCATCGACAACAAGGATGCGCCCCCGTATGCCGCGGTCGACTTTTACGCTGAAGACGCAAAGATCCAGCTGGGCAGGCGGCATTTGGACCGAGCGAGTGAGTAAACCCGCGACTGACTTTCTCTGAATCTCAGGAGGGATGCGTTAAGCTAGCTGACGTCCCCAGCTTTACTCCAGATGAGCGCCTCCTCGTGGGATCAGGTTGAGTCCCGACGACATAACCCCCGGCAGGCCTACCCTCTGGGAGACGATGCCTACTTGGTTGAGGGTGATGCCACGTACGTGTATAAGAATGGGGAGACCAAGTCGTTCGAGTGGTGTGGAAAGATGCACCTGGTGAAGGTGTATGGGAGATGGGTGATGGATTCTTATAAGACGTATTTTGCGACGGGATACTGAGAAAGCTTCGGTTGACTTTTCTGGTTTTGCCGGCGGCAACCGGCTTCTCAGGGGTGAGAACCCATCCGAGATAGCCAGAGATATAGATACACTCACCGGGTCCATCTGTTTGGACGGGAGCCTATTCTTCAGTTTGTGCAGAGAGGCAACGCTGTACGGAGGATGTTGTACAAAGCACTCCGTACCAAGTCTCTCTGTAGAGAGATTGTTCCGTAGAAGAGGCGTGTAGATAGTCGCGGTGATCCGCGGGTTTCCGCGGGATGGACGAGTGGATCGGACGGCACTACTACTAGTACATAGTAGTAAGTCGCGCATCCGGCAAGACGGCAAAACGATGCATCCCACCCATCCCCCAACCAGGCCGAGTATTTACCGGGCACTTACTCCGCATCTAGACGAGGTCGGGTTAGGGTCAAGCGTCAAGCGTCAAGCGTCAACATACTATCCGTGGGGATCCTTGCTGCGGTGATTTCCGTCATTTCTCGCCCTCCTCATCCGACTCCAGCCACGCGACCACCTCGGCAACCGGCCCGATGAGACGGCGGACACGGCGCAGTGTCGTCCACCTGATCTTCTTCGTCGGGATTCTGTGTCTCATCCTCTTCCTTAACCGACCGTCGCCACCCAGCCGGTCCTTCGCCTGGACCACCGTCTCGTATGAGACCACCGCTACCCGCCTGCCCGAGGCCCGGGGCGAATGTCCCGGTCTGGCAGAGACCGACAAACCCGTCCTGATCGTGTCGCGGGTTGCCGCGGATGACTCCAGCTGGCTCGCGCCGCTGGCGGAGCGGTATCACCTCTGCGTATACACGGCGGACGCACCGCGCGACCCGCGGTCGAAGCAGCTGCAGGTGCCGGCCAACCGGGGCCATGAGGCGATGGGCTACCTGACCTTCCTGATTGACAACTATTCCCATCTCCCCGCGGCGGGGATGGTCTTCGTGCACGGCTCGCGCTGGGCATGGCACAACGATGCCCCGGACTACGACAACGCGGCGCTGCTGGCCGCGCTGAACATCACCACCGCCCTAGCACCCTGGGGGTACCACAATCTCCGGTGCGACTGGAGCGTCAGCACCTGCTCCCCGAAGACGCCCGCCCAAGGCAGCCTGGAGCTGTCGATGCAGTCTGTTCTGGAGCCGTGGAGCGCGCGGACGGCGTCGGACGTGGCTCTGCCGGGCGCGCTGGCCTCCCTCTTCGGCGGTGATCTCGAGAGCAGCCGCGTGCTGCTGGGTCGGAACGACGCGGTGCGGGCGCAATGCTGCGCGCAGTTCGTGATCAGCCGCGAGAGCGTTCGACAGCACACGCGGGACGAGTACGTCGCGTTGCGGCAGTGGCTGCTGGATGGGAGGGACGAGAGCCTCTCGCCCAACCGCCGAGCGGCGCCACGGGATGACCGCGTTGCGGGCCGCATCTTGTCTTATGTGTGGCACATCTTGTTCATCCAGCGCCGGAACCTTTATCCGGAGGGGCTGGGCGGGAGTATCGACCTGGAGCGACTGAATTCGATTGCGTGTCCCCGAGCGGAAGACTGCTACTGTCGCCTGTATGGACGGTGCGATCTCTCGCCGTGCAGCGACGGGACTTGCTATGGGCAGTACCAGCTGCCTCGGGATTTCAAGGTTCCGGAGTGGGTGACTCAGGGGAAGGCATGAAGGGCTACCGTAGCAGATGGTGACGGGATAGACTTTTGTTTCTTTGGCGAGGATGAAGCCTGGCAAGGACACCCAGTCATCAAGGCATCAAGGCATCAAAGCAACGTCTTCAGGCATCAAGTGCTCGGGCGATGCTCTCAGGCACCAAATTGTCCAGCGTATTTTGTAATGCATTTACTTGTTTCCTCCAGAGGATCAAGCTAACAGCTTCTATTCTATCTAAATATTCTTCTTCTTCTACATCTACCACCTTACTTACTTCTAGTTATCTTCTACTTTCGACTTTTAGCATGTTGTTTTAGTTACCGTTTTGAGAGCCCACTAATCAGCGGCCTCTATTCCGGCCCTGCCCGTCGACCACTGACGCACCCCATCAAATCTTCGCCACAAGTCTTGGAATCCTGCCCAATAAGTAGTCACATAAACAGCTTGGTTTCAAGACAATAAGCATTGTTGTCATCTAAGAGCTGCACGGGGCATGTTTACGCGTCCCTCTTGCTTTGTCATTTGTATGCGACACACAAATGAAGAGTCGCTGACTACACCGTATAACAGCCGGAGGTACTCGGTACTCCGTACAGATAGCGGAATGGGTGAACACGCCTATATAGCAATCCAGGCCGGCCAACGGGACAGTCATTCTCCATATATATCTATCTATGTCATAATGGAATAGTGGGATGGTGGACGTTGCCAATGATGCAAGTGCGTATGTAAGTATAGTACATATGTACTCCATACGCACGTTGCGGATCAACCCGGAACCAGACATGGGAAGGAGTTCGCAACCCGACCATTAACTATTAAATAGTTAACTAGTTATGCGGAGTCACTCAGGCAGCCAAACCACCAGCACCCACCAGGTCCAGGTCCAGGTGATGCTGACACTGACAGCCTGATTTGGGGGTAATCATAATCCCCTGACCACTGACTGACCAGACTGACCACTGAGAGAGGGAGGGGGGCTAGTCCCGTCGGGGTCACGTTATCGCCAGTATCTGTCACGGGACCCACAATCCCAATGTTGTGGCGGGGTTGGACCCGGCCCCCCCCCCCCCCCCACGGGGAACTCTCTTTTGCAGTTTGCAGTTTGCTCCTTTCATGCGATGATGACATGCGACATGCGACATGCGACATGCGACATGCCGAGCATTCCTGTCAAGCTGTCAATACGTCACCTACATCTGATGCCGACGGGTTCCATCCCCCTTAGCGCTCATTCAGCGGCGTAGGGGAGGTAAGACCCGGATCGCTTCACTTACCTCGAGACCAAACCGAAAGTCCGAACGGAATGTGATGGGCGCGACCCCCCTCCTCCCCGCCGTCCCGAACCGAAACGAACCATACTGGGTTGCTCGAGGCATGGCGTTCTACGACGAAAAGGGAACGTCAGAGATATATCTCGTGGGCAGAGGAGGCTGGCTCAGGATGATTTCTCGCCAAGGTCGGGGCGGATGGTAGCTCTCAGTCAAGTGGCGGGTTTGAGGTTCAGAAACATATCTTGGTTGGGTTACAGTGTTGTTTTACGCTAGGTGACGAACAAGGGGGGCGGTATAGAAGCATACATACTAGAGGGAGGAGAATGCTGGGTAGGCTGTCGGTCATGAGGATGGGCTGTGAGGGCTGGTCCTAGCAGATCAGATGAGCGGTCGCGAAGCATACTATCTATGGTAATAAAAACACTGCCCTATCATGGATTGAGTAGGCTTAATGCAGTCGCGCGGCAATAGAGCGATATATGATAGAGCAAAGGCTGAGGAAAATGGGGTCGCGACGGGCGAAAGGGGGTGAATATACGTGGGATTCAAGGTAGCAGAGCCCCTCTGATGGATAATCCATGATTCCTTTCGATATAGGCTAATAGGGTGAAGGACGATTGGAAAGGGGGGGGGGGGGGTGTCTGGGAGGATTTCGCGGTTTACTACATCTTATCTTAAAGTGTAAATGGCGGGCTCATCTCTGGATGTTCGAACACCTGCGCCGCAGGCCACAACAGGCCAGCCGTCTCAGGTTAATTGATTACTAGTAGTAGTACTATTGAGAAGATAGGAAGAAAAAGAAAAGAAAGAAGTGATATAAAACGCCGACCTGACACCAAGGAGATCCAGAAGTTGGTAATAACACCGAAGGCGCTGTTGCAATCGACGAGTCAACCGTACAACAATGCAGTGTGGCACGGTCGTAGAAACTCAAGTCCGGCTGGACTTGTTTTAGTGAGTTCCGCGGCGCTTCCGGCGACGGAGACTGAGGGCCTTTCGAAGGGAAGCGAAGGGCTTGGGCGGTGGGGCGTTGTAGAAAGGGTCGTTTTTGAAATCCTCGTCGGTGAATTTCTGCTGAGACAGTTAGCGACACGTAGGGACATGGTGGACGACAGCTGAGACTGACCTGACCGGGACAACGCATAAAGTTCCCATACTCGTTCATCATGTTGGTTCCCTCCTCGTATTCGTACGTACGGCCTTCCAGGTCCGTGTGACCTGGAGGATAGAAGGCCACCCCATCGAGAGGACGGTGACTATCCATGCAGTCGCTAATTTTATCCATCGGAGTGGCCTTCAAGGCTTCTGCGGTGGAGTCTTTGAGCGCCTCGACCGGGCTCTGCTTGGTATCGTAATTCCTCTCAGGGTACACCGCATCGTAAGGCCCTTCGTGGTGGTACTGGAGGATACTGGCGCTGTCCAGACGATCGATCACGTCGGGGTTGACCAGCAACGAGTGACGAGAATACCTCGTCGGCTGCGAGGAGGTCGACGGGCTGCCGCGGCGGTGGTGCCGCGAGCGGTGGCGAGAGGGAGGGCTCTCCTTCCTCCCTTGTGGCGGCTCGACGGGATGATGTTCGGGGGAGCCGGGGTAGTAGACGGACGGGAACGATGTCGAGCGCTGGCGGTTCAGCGTCCGATGGCTTGTGGAGGGAGAGAGGTAGCACTGGTATGGGTTGAAACTGTTCATTTCCAGCTCCGTATTCACGGGGCTGTACCGGTGGGGGAAAGAGGCGGCCGAGTAGGCCGGAAGAACGGCGGAGGCCATCGCAAAGAGGCGAAAGGCGAAGAGAAGCCGACGGAGGATGGTGGGAGGGAGAAGAAGACAGACGATGGCCTGGAAGGGATCCGAAGAAGGCCTGATGGCGGGTATATATAGGGATGGCGATGTCTACCCTATAAATGTATGTAGGCACCTAATAGTAGGAGATACTAGTGACTGCGGTATGCAGCCCGTAACTCAAAACAGTGGTGGGGCTGGCAGCGGTGAGGTAAGGTGCGGATGGATGGATGGATGGATGAGTACTGTGTACACGCCTGGAGGACACGCAGGGAGTGGATTTGATAGATTTGAGGGGAATTTGGCAGATTTGGGGACAATGGGAGAAAAGTGGAAGATCGATCGCAGGGGGAGGGGAGGCAGCGGAAGAAGTAGTAGAAGTAGAAGAAGGAGGAGAGCAAGACGGCCGAAGAAAGAAAAGGAAAGGAATGGCAGGGCAGGAAAAGTCAGTTTTCATAGTCGATAGTCAGAGTCAAGTCATTAGGGAGTCATGGTACATCCATTGTTAGTCATCTACGGAGCGCATGCACGCACACACGCTGTCAACCAAGGGACGGGGCTGAGTGTGAGCCGTGACATGATGAGTTGCGCATGATGGATCCCACAGTTTGTACACTATAGTATCTACACACTGTGAGGATCATCCGGGGGTCACCTTATCGATAAGGATAGCGCCGGAAGGCCAGGAAGACTAGACCCGTTCGGTTACATCGGATCCTCCTCGATGATGAAATCGATGGGATCGAGGAAATTGTCAAACAGGATGCGGGAGGGGTTCGCGCCCAGGGCTACTAGTACTGTGACGCGGAAGGCTCCGTCTCTCAGGCACCCTCCAGGTCTAGGCTTCAGGACCACTCCAGATGAACGGGAAGGGCTTCCCCCCCCCTGGTCGATGCGAGTGGAACCTGAGTGGCAACCCTTGCCATCATGATTGTCGCGGTGTCGTCACACGGGGTGGGTGTGTGCAAACTGCGACGAGCCGTTTTACCGACCGGCTGACTAAATCGCAGTCTTGACATCATCATCATCATCCTCCTCGACATAAGCCGCCCACCCGAATGGAAGGACTGCTACTTCTTGCCTGCATTCTCAGTTCACTGGTATGCATGATCATTACATCATATCTATCAGTATCGACAGACTGTCAGAATTCAGAAAAGATGGCTGGCTGCCGGGCCCAATCTTAAGCTTATCGCTAGTACTTTGATGGCTGGATTTCTCCCGGCCAGTCTAGTCCGGAAACGAGTCTTGGTATGCGACTAGAAGCACAGTAGAAGCACGCGCCAGCCATATCTGTCTGCGCTACCAGGGCTTGCATGGTACGTACATTCCCTCCTACGGCTGAGCAAATCAGTATCATCACCCATCAGCCGCATCACATGTTCATTCGCGACTCACTGCACGGGTGGTTACACAGGATCTACTATGTAGACGATTCAACGAACCCTCAGGAACCAGGGACGCGATCTGACGATTCTTTACTTTTGCTCCGCGGGACCTGACACCCACCCACCCATGGCTTGCGTCTTCTGTCAACCACTGCGAGGTGACATTATCCGCGGTCTTCCATTGCTTCATGCCTGTCTCACATGAGGATAGCCGTGTCTAGACTTCCAAGACCCGGTTGTCAAAAATGGTGGGAGGGGCTAGATCCATGATCCACAAACTCATTTGGTGTTTTTCCGTCCCGCCAGTTACTTGTCACTTTGTCGGCCACATTCTACCTCCCTACCTGTTCACAGTGAGTTCACCAAAGTAATCTTTTCATGAAGATGTATTGTAGATAATCCTCTGGCTCTGATTACTATTACCTGAAAGTTTGAGAAAACTTCTATCTAGCGACAAGCTCCGTACCTAGGTATACAGCACCTCCCAAATAGTATACTGTCGACTGCATTGTTGCTTTGTTCCAGGGCGCATACCGGCAAATACCTTTGTTCCACCAGATTGCAAGGGTTTTGAGAAACTCGAATTCCGCAGGTATCAAGCGCCTTTGGCTTCCCAATCTATGAAACTGATTTTCTTTTTTTTTTTTTTTTTTTGCGAGGGTAGGATCTCGCCGAAGCTATTATAGATACGACTTTCTCCGCTGATTCCTAGGAATTCCCCTTATCCCCTTGTTATACTTCTCGATCTGGGTGCGCGGGATGCGCTACAGTAGGGAAAAGCCTATGGGACATGAGAGATCAAGGCAAGCTCCGCATACTATCGACCACGACAGAAAAATATAAATAAGTCGCGGGCCATCATGCAGTGATGCTTTTTTATTTCCAAGTCAGATCTCTCCGCTAGCCAACTGATTTCTATATTCCCACAACACACTACTCAGACCTAACCATGCCTGGTATCATAGGAGTAGCTGGCTTGTGGTACAAACGGCTCAAAGAACTCTATGAAGACGATGGGTTCACGGTTGACATGGGCACCGACCTTTTGAGTGACAGACTGCTTTATGATTGCATTATAGTGCGGTCTTACATACGGGGCCCATTCCTTTGTTTTATTGTTGCTGCTTCTCGGGAATGGGATGCCCATGATTACGTATCCTGCATAAAAGCCAAGTGGAATGAGATGCGACCTGACTGGGATCTCACGTATCCCTTGTTCGGAGGATACATAAACCGCACAAGCGGGAAGATCTACTTCCATGTGTGTGTAAAAGCCAGGGATCGAGAGGGATTTAGAGTAGTACGGCTATTTGCTAATGGATCTGAGAACCGCATGTACTTCGAGGAAAGTGAGTGGCCAGAGACCATTCAGTTGTGGCTGCGGACCATCGGAGACAGGGCCTATCGAGAGGGAGGAGGGTTCGACCCACGGTTTATCGAAGAACTTGAAGGTGATGATGACGAGATTGAAACTATAGTCGACGAGACTGAAACTGTTAGTGATGAAACTGAGGAGTTATGACTGGTTGGCGAGACTGAGAGTCTAGTCGATGAGGCTGAAGTTATGGACGTAGACAGCGAAGACTGATGCTGGTTGAGGAGGCTCAAGCTCAAGCTGATGTAACAGATCAAAAAGACCTGTCCAGACACCCAGATAGGTGTGATACTGAATGAGACTGAAGTTATAGCTGACGCGATTGAAGCTGTACATTAGCTTTTTGAATACGTAAAGAAGCACCACAGACACTATTAGTCTCACCTTGTTTTTCAGTTGGAACGGTTTTGCAGTGTAGTGTAGAATGTGAGATCCATAGAAGCCCACCCTGTACTTCATACGGAGGACTTCAGGGAGTAACAGTACTAACTAGCACATGCACGCAGGGATGTTGAATTAAGACCATAGGCAGTACCCGCGTTATACCGGTATTATTGAGGACCGGGGGTCGTGTCGGGGTGCCTGGGCCGCGCGATGTGCGTAATACCAATACCGCAAAATACCACCGTTATCCGCGACCAACGATCAACCCCAAACACGCCTGACCTTGATGTCGCTTCTACAACCCCACGACCCCAAATGGCTTTGGTACAGTACTCCGAATCAGAATCAGAATCGGAGCCGGAGTTCCAACAACCGCCGACTAAAAGACCCCGCCAGACCATCCACAACCAATCTTCCTCGCTCCCGCCCCTGCCAGCAGCTTTCCACGACCTTTACGCCTCAAGCACTCGCGTCAGCGTACGAGATGACCCCAGTCTCCACGGGGGCCGGAAAAGAGTCATCCCCCACGTCGAGGGGAACTGGCCGACCCACATCTATCTGGAATGTAGGTGGCATCTGTCTTCAGCCCAACCCAGCTGACATCCATGGACAGGGTATCCATTCAAAGAAGAGCTGTCCACTCTAAGCGACGCGATAGCGCAGATTGAGGGAAGCCTTGATGGCCATGGGACAGAGCTGCATAGCTTGCTGCACAGTGATCTGGGCGCACGGCTTCCACTCCACATCAGTCTTTCCAGGCCCGTTGTGCTGAGAACCGAGCACAGACAGCAGTTCCTGGAGGGGTTCGAGGCCGCGATGAAAAAGTCGAACATCGCAGGGTGAGTGTTTCCCTTCTTACTTTACCTTAATAGCTGAGACGAGGATGTTAACCCATGTCGAAACAGCTTCGAGGTCACACCCAAAAGTTTAGACTGTGTTTCCAATTATGAGAAGACCAGATGGTTTTATGTCCTGCGCGCGGAAAGACCGGAGGACGATAATCTGAACCGTCTTCTCAGCCTCTCGAATCGCTGTCTTGCTCGCTTTGAGCAGCCCCTTCTGTATGAATCGCCGCAGGATGCGATCGCCTCGCTCATGGCCCAAGGCACTGCTACGCGGCGGCCAGGTGTGACTCGTGTGGGTGAACAGGCCGTGGGCAATTATTCCCACTGTTTTCACATATCGCTAGCATGGAGCTTGACAGATCCTTCACCCCAGGAGAAGGAGCAGATCGCAAAAATGGATCTGCGCAAGGTACATGGTCTCAAGCTTCGCTTTGATTGCGTCAAGGTGAAGATTGGGAACAATATTTCAAGCATACCACTTTTCAGTGGCGGCGTGTGATAGGGACATCACCTGCGGAAGCTGTAGATATACTATCCAACCTGTAGAGTCTCCGACAAATTCTTTCCAGCAGCCCATCAGTCTCAAGGGCTGCTGGGTTGACTACGAGGCTATCACGTGATATAAACACGTGATCTGACCGCTGACTGCTTTCTACGGCGGACGGCCGACACCTGCGTGTTTCTGAAGCAAGGGAACCTGCGTCGGGTACAGAAAGGGAACTCTCTCGGGACCGGAGCTTATCTGGATGTTCTTCAATGGGCCCGGCGGTTCTCCGTCCTGGTAAAGATTGATCCCTGCCAAGAAGTCACCCCCTCTTCAGCTGGCCGCCAGGATTCCACCGACCGACGATCCTTCTGCAGGCGTGGAAAAGGACGGATTCAACTTGAACTCCGACGGTCGGTGGGAGGGTGTGCGAGGGCAAGGAGCGTGGGTGACGCAGCTTGACAGCCGCCAAGCACGGATTGCGTCGTCGTCGCGGCGGGCAGGAAAGGTCTGGAAGAGTCACGGCGGGAGAGTCCGTAGGTACGAAGTGACAGTGATGATCGATAGATAACTATACTACTATAGCCTGTACGGAGTAGATAAAAATCGGATTGCATTGCCCGCGAGGCCATTGGTCTCGTGAGCTAAGAACCGGCAGGGTCTGCTAATCATTATTAGGGTATGGATCAACTCCAGGGCCGAAATCGTCAGCGCATGTCGGCCTCGCCTCAGCCGGGCCTTTGGACGGGAGCTGGCAAGGTCGTCAGGCTCCATGGCTCCATGGCTCCCTCTCTTCTCCCCTACTCCTCTCTGCTCCTGCTACGACTTCTGCCACTGTTACTAGTATTGCGACTGCACCATGGAGCTACTGCTTTCTCGACTCGCACCATAACGAATTCACCACGGCGCCGCCTCTAGGCGCGACAAGACAAGGATGCTGACGCAGCCCCTGCGGTGCAGGGCCCATCCTCCGCCATCACGGCCGGCCTGTTCGATCTGGAGTCGATCCGGCATTGTTCTTCTCCCTAGGGCCCTTCAGCTGCGCACCTACGCTTCCTCCTCCTCCACCTCCACCTCCCCCTCCCCCTCCCCCTCCTCTCCTCTGCGCCATAAGAACTCAGCTGGTCCCTCCGTCTCCCCTGCTTCCTTTCCTGTCGTTTTCTCCAATGCCCCCCTCCGTCCTCCCGCCCCTCGTCCGACTCTAATCCCGTCCATCACCACCACCTCCTCCTCCGTCACCTCCGTCACCTTGCCTCCAATGGCTACCCAAACCAGAGACCACGGTGGCCACAGTGGTCACCATCACCACCACCATCATCACGGCAATGTATACCTGACCTCCACAAATAAGTATGACGCCGGCGTGCGGATCACCCGGCTCGGCCTCGTGGCCAATCTCGCCATGGCCATTGGGAAGTTCATCGGAGGCTACGTGTTCCATTCCCAGGCTCTCATCGCCGACGCCTACCACGCCCTCACAGATCTGGTGTCCGATTTCCTGACATTAGGCACAGTCGCCTGGTCGCTGAAGCCCCCGAGCGAGCGATTTCCCAACGGGTACGGCAAGATCGAGAGCATCGGCGCGCTCGGGGTGAGCGGGCTGTTGCTCTGTGGAGGTGTGTTCATGGGTCTCAATTCCGGCCAGGTCCTGCTGGATCAGTTCTACCCCGAGGCTGCCGAGGCGTTTGCCCATGTGGGTGCTCTGGGCCATAGTCACTCCCACTCACACAGTCACGGCGTCGAGGCCCTGGGGCCGAGCATTCATGCGGCCTGGCTGGCTGCGGGGTCAATCGTAGTCAAGGAATGGCTCTACCATGCTAGTGAGTGTCTTCTTTTATTTCCTTTCAGATCTAGACAGCGGCGCTGACTGATTTTCTCTCCATAACAGCCATGAAAGTTGCGACGGAACGCAAGTCCTCCGTCTTAGCCTCTAATGCTATCCACCACCGCATCGATTCCCTCACCAGCATTGTCGCCCTCTTTACGATCGGAGGCACATACTTTTTCCAGGATGCTTCCTGGTTGGACCCGGTGGGTGGCCTCCTGATCTCGTTAATGGTCATCAAAGCTGGCTGGGGAAACACAAAGACGTCGCTGCTGGAGCTGGCGGATACCACGGTGGACGACGATATCAAGGCGTCGGTCCGGAAGACCGCGACCAAGGTGCTGGCGGGACTGGAGGCCGGGGGCGCGATCAAGGTGCGCGATGTGCAGGGCATGAAGTCGGGGCAGAACTACCTCATGGACGTCGAGATCGCCGTGCCGGGCGCATGGTCCATTGTCCAGGCTCGCCAAGTCGAGGAATCGATTCGGACTGCCGTCGGAGAAGGAGTGCGTGGCGTTAAGCGCCTCAAGATCCGGTTCATTCCCCTGGAGCACGAGGAGTTGACCTTTTCGGAGGAATTCATATCTGCGGATGTCGCATCCCAGGTGCGTCCCGAGCCGGAGGAGGATGAACATGACCACGATCATGACCATGACCATGACCATGATCATGATAACGAACCCCGCAAAAGACGTTGAGCGGGTGGGTTCTTTTTTGTTTATGATGTGCACAGGGACCAGCGCGGACAATGCCTCATTCCATAGTTCTCTCAGTCTAGCGCTCTGACTTCCCGGGATTGGATGATGTCTATGACGGATCACAGGCGATCCGTCCACGGACCAGCTGTTGAATAGAATAGAGGGTGGGAGGGAATAAATAGAAGGGATCAGTCGGTGTGTTTATATCTCTATAGCCAAGACGGCCACGGAACCGGCCAAATTCAGGCACAGATTTTCCGTAATCTTTCTTCTGCTTCCTCCTTCATCCTGTCATATTATCGAACGCCCCCGAGCCTTTGTCGGGCATTTCAACAAGGGTCAGAAAATATGACGCCCGCTTCCCAGAGCAGATGGCAACAGGGTCTATCGATAGGTATACGACACCCAACCCCCCTCCAAGGCGTAGACTACGTACGTACAAACCACGGTTGCGTACTAACTACAGCTACGGTATGTTACTTAGTGATGCTCCAGCGCCACTGGCCACCGTTCGATCGGAGGTTCCCTCGACGTCCCACAGAGTGTAGATCAAAGAGTAGGTAGGTGATCTCTCCACCGTCGTCTCCGCTCCGTTCACTCTGCGCCTGCCCGCCCCCCCAATCCGTAGTATCCACTACGCATATCCACGCTCTCACGAGCACCCACCAGAGTGCCCGCCGAGATGACCTTCCCAGCGTAGAATTGACCCTGTCTCTCTCTCTCTGTATATGCCCGACAAATGCGACCACGCCCTTTGTCCTCACCGTCCTCGCTAGAACCCGATCCAGTCCATTTGTTACGCCCAGTGGTAGACATTGGCCCTGGTAAAGCGCGGACGGCGCTGGGTGGCACTGTGGGACGTTGCTGCTGTGTGTTGTATCTCTGTTTGCGTTTCTCTCTTCTTGTCTGGGGTTGGTGGGGAGTGGCGTGTTTTGAAAGGTGGCGCGATGATTGCGTGGCTGGTTGACTGGATCTTGGAGCGGTGTTTCTGGGTCTGGGGAGAAGGGGGGGGCTCGTGGTACACTGTAGATGGGAGGTGGGTGGAAAGGTGGACGGGTGGGTGCTTGGTTGAGTAGTCGGTTGGTTTGAGGGTGGAGGTACAGTGCTTGGATAGCGACAGTGCAGACGAGCAAACGGGGGTTAGTGTTGTTGGGGTTCGTTGATGTTGAAAGATTGGGTGGGGTGTGCAGTTGAGGCAGGCCAGGCCGCATTCCGAACTTGGTTTGGGCCCGATTAGATCACGTGTTCAGTTGGCACTAGGTACTCACCGCCCCGGGTATCCGCTCCGGCGTTCATCCTTGCAGATCGCATCCTCTACTCCGTACAATAATCAACAAGGAGAGGGTAATAAAGAGATCGATGTTGGAGCGTGCGCACAACAGTGCAACTAGCTCACAGACTACTCTACTGGGATACTTCCTTGCCAACCAAGCATGGATTTGATCGATGGAATCCTACTTTTACCAGGAAAGGAAAGTCTACACATCCTACAAAGCACAACCAGAATCAAATGTATGACGCCCGGCCTCAGTATCATTATTGGGCCAAGCTAGAATTGATAACGCCATCTATATGCGATGAAGAGACGCTCAGGGAATCAGCCGTCAAAAAAAAAAGAAAAGAAAACAAGATGCAAGTACCGATACCACTACCAGGTTGGTATCAAGGATACCTCGGCAAGAAGAGCAAAAAACAGAACAAACGGGAGGGAAAGGTATCATAAGCTAAAAAAGGCATCAGTTGCTCGAACGGAACGCTTGACGAGCCCGGCGCTTGAGCTCAGCAAACATCGCCTCCTGCGACTGCTTCGTACGGCCAACAGCCTCAGTGTTCTCCACAGCACGTCTCATCAGGAAGCCCATGCATTCCTTGACGGTACCCCACGTCAACAGCTTGTACACGTTAGGCGACTCCTGGGCGGCGGACGAATCGGCGCTCTTGAAGCCCTGAAGAAGCTCACAGCTGACTTCATCGGCCATGCCTTGGAGCTGGGCGTAGCTGAGATCGACCCCTTGCGACTCGGCGCGAGCAGCCTGGTCGAGACGGATGGCGTGGGCCTTGCGGACGGAGTCCCGGTTGTGGGTGGCGATGATGACGTTGACAGGGGGGAGTTCGGTCTTGTGCTCGACCGAGGCAGACTGCAGCATGGCGTTGTAGCGGCGGGTCAACAGGGCTTCGACGACGCCGTCATAGCACGCGTCGGTCTCTTCCTTCTCAGTCCAGATGAGGTGGCGGGGTTCGGTCTTGAGGTACGCACCGCGCACCAGCTTCACACCGAGGGTGTAGCCGTCCTGGCGGGCGATTTCCAGGTGCTTGGCAATGGTGGCGGGCGTAGAGCGGAGGTAGGCCTGGTAGGTGTTGTAGAAGATGGCGCGGCCGGGGGTCTGACCGTTGCAGTACTTCTGATACTTCAGGGCCCACCTCTCAATGCCGGGCTGCACGGCCTGCTCTTCGGCGTCGACGAGCAGGCGCGAGTTGCGCGAGATGGCCAGGTCGCAGACCTGCTTGATGGCGGCATCCATGAACTCCGAGGGGGCGGCCTGCTGCTGCAGGTAGTGGAGGACCTGAGTACCCATACCGGTGAACCTGGTGTTGTGTTAGTGGGAGGGAGATCGGGAGCAGGGAAAGATGGATGACATACTTCAGAGCAACGAAGTCGCCTTCCTGCGCCATGTCCACGGTCTGGAGGGTTCCATCCAGCCATGTCTGGATCTCGGCGCGCGCGGCCTCCTCGTCGAGCGGGTCGACATTGCCCTCGCCAACAAGAACCTCACGGGCGTAACCCAGTAGAACACCTCGGTATCCCAGCTGCTTGATATCTCGGATGGAGCGCTGCACCTCGAGCTTGTTCTCCCCGGCGTTAAACTGGCGGTACAGAGTGTGCTTGACCAGGGCGTTGAGGAGAGGGTTCTTGGCCACGTCCAACAGGGCGGTCTTGGGGTGGGCGAGGGTGGAGAGGGCGAAGATACAGGGCTTCAGCAGCAGGTTGGAGGACGACACAGACAGGATCACCAACGACCGCAAGACGGAGGCGAGAGGGAGCTTGGCCAGCGGGGATCCCGAGGCGTCCTTGGTGGAAGGGGGGGTCTGCTGGAGGAGGGTCTTGGTGGCGGTCGATGCGACCACGGACGACTTTGCGTTGCTGGTCCGGCTGACGTATCTGGCGGACGCATATGAGGAGGGGACGCCTGATAGCGCCCGCATCGGACGGCGGGCAGCCTTCATGGTGGGGGATAGTGATACGAGAAGGTGTAGAAGGATAGATAGTTAAAAGATGATCGGTGTAGAGACCGGAGAAGGAGAGGGGAGTCTTCACGTAGTTGTGACAGGGATAAGAATTGGAGTTTGAGGAAAGAAGAGGAAGATTTGGAGGAGAGGCATTACGGGTGTATGTATACTGAAGAGGGAGGGACGGGGAAAGAGACGGTTCAGTAGCCGGTGGAAACCGGGCGGGGACATAACCTGGAAAGCCGGTCGGCAGCTTCTGAACAATAATGTCCAGTAGTTACGGAGTTACTACTATCTAATCTACCCCGTACTGTGCAGCCAGCCAAAGCCAAGGGAGTCCCGGGGCTGCAGGTGGCGCATCCATTGTTGGCACCTGACCAAGACCAACAACCTACAACGTACAAACAAGTACTAACTACAGAGTAGGTATCAAGGAGATCGCCACTTGATCCCCCGCCACGGTACGCGTTGCTCGAGCTAGGTACTAGATAAACAGATGCCAGGCAACTGGGACTGCGGCGACGAGAGAGAGCTGGTCACAGGGACACCCAAAACCATGTATGGAACAAAAATCCAAAAATCCAAAAATCCAAAACCCAAAATCCAACGTCCAATGCGCTGTCGCTGATAGCAGATGGCAACCGGCTGGCGGGCCGGTGGGTCCAACCGGCGCCGGTGCACTACCGCTTGACCGGCCCGGTGATCTTGGGGTCAAACTTCTCCAACCAGGCTGGAATACCATTGGCTGCCGGGCGGATAAGGCTACTACTATCTATCATCACTCAGTGGATAGATAGGTACTTAATAGTATATCGGCTATGTAGATGATTTTTCATTTGCAATAGAGGATATCGGAGACAACCCTTGAGTGAGCTACTTACCCTGTACTATGTACGGAGTAGCAAGAATTGCCACTGAAATGCAAGAAAACCTCACCAGGGCAGGGGCCAAGAAGGAGTGACGAAAGAATGAACGCGCTGGAGAAACAGGACCTGATCCCGCACGTGACACGTCAGGTACAGCGTAATTGCCTAATAATTGCCACCACCGCAGGGCGTCCCAAGTTCCCAGCCAATAATGCAGTGTGGGGAAGGATCTAAGATGCCGATAGAGTGCTTGGGGATAGCCAGCCAATGACCGGATGGTTTATTTTTCTTTAGAGTTTCTTTACGATGGTGCTGCTGCCTTGCTCATGCCCTATTTAGAGTCTAGGTTTGAAGGTAGTAGATATATAGTACATACGATGATAAATAGTACATAGCACTAGCATCATCGGCTAAGAGGACATGCATCGGGATTTCAATCCAATTGGACATCCAGGTAGACAGGGATGCTAATTCGACCCGGTCCGGTGCAAGATGACTATACAAGGCTCGGCGTCGACGTGAGCGCTGCCGCTGCCACTGCCATTTGCGCTCTCATCATTGCCTGAGGGCCAGACGCTCACATGCAAGCTGTCCGACTGCGAATGTTCGTGTGCAAGGGTAGTGCATAACGCAGCTACACGTCGCCCTTGTAGGCGATCGCCACATTCAAGAACCACAAGGCCTGCCTTGAGACCGAACGAAAGCGATATGATATGGTAGTAGAAGATGTCCTCCTGCCGGTCTAAGGCAACCGCCAAGGGAACATGATTGACCGGCGGGACTAGTGCGAGCTTAGGCTCATACATCCGGACACTGCGTGTGGTGGTCCCATCTGCGAAGGATTCGGCAGATATATAGGGGGGGTTGGATATTATCACATTAACAGGCGGCGGGGTGTCGACGGAGGGCTTGGAGAGATCCTGTAGGATGTTCTCCACGTGAAAAGGGTCAGCCTTTGAACCGCTAAGGACATTGCCCTGTCTGAAGGTGATATCCGCCATCGCGCGGGCAGACAGCGAGCCTTGTTTAACGTTGTGCATCAGATTCCTTTCCGACAAGTTAAGGGCCGTGGTACTGATATCGATACCGACGATGGAGATTTCCGGTACATGCGGAGAAAGAAGGGCATGTAAGAGCAGAGGTATGCAGCCTGTGCCGGTACAAAGATCTATGATACGTAAAGGAGTTGGGGCTGGGGCTGGGGCTGGGGCTGCATGATCCCCAGACCGAGAATGTCGTTCAAATTTGAGGATATCGCGCGATATCAAGCTGGCAGCATGTACGGTAAACGTCTCCGTCTCGGGTCTTGGGATAAGAACGCCTTTCTTGCACATGATATCCAGATCCCCAAAAGGCTGATCGCCAAGGATGTATTGGAGAGGTTTGCCTCGGGATCGTGCTCGACACATTGACCTAAGTAAACCCCGCCACCCATAAAGAGCATGTTTGGACGTAGTAGAGGATCTTTTTGTGGAGCTCGATTGAGCTACAGTCACAGCTCGCTCCTTCAGCCAGCGCAGCTCATTTTTGGCGGAGTGGATTGTGCGACACTCCTGTAAAAGTAGGGGAAGCAGAGGGTCATGTCGATATGCATCCAGGATCATCCGGGTCGGTATTCGTGGCATCGCTGGCTCTGGTCGGGAAGCATTCGCTTCCTTGCTAGCGGGGGGGTGGCTTGAGCCGCGAAAACAGACACATATGCTACTCTGATGGTGTTGCAGCAAGCGGAATCTTGGATGTAGAAGCATTCGCGTATTTTGGGTTATCCAGTACTAGGATCACGTGGTACATACACGTGACAGTCTGTTTACCATCGGAGAAACACTGCCACCGATTCCGTCGATCACACGCGCTTATATTTAGATGTCCGTGGCCCGTGGTGCGCAAAGTCGTCGCGGACTCGCTCGTATCATAATGCATTTATCTCATTGGGGTTGCCATCCCGTACCTAGGTGGTGGTTTATACACATGACTCCGCTGGGCTATCTAGATCACCGCTGCAATCGGCTCCAAACACCGGCTCATTTGTATGATATTGAACTTGCATCCAGGGATATCCTCAAAAACTAAAAACAATGTACCCATCCATATGAAAACAGAGAAGAAAGATATCGGAAGTGCTCCAGCTATCCTTTATGAAGTGTTATCCGTCGTCAGATTGCCCTCTTCGCACCAATCCTTGATCGGCTGTCCAGACATTAGCACCATACCCCGAACGAGAAAACACAGGTAGGGACTTACTAAGCAGCTCAGGCGGTAGCACCAGGAGCAATTAGACTTCGGATATTTGTAAAAGTCGATGATAAGGAGAATGAAGCCGACGAGCACCGCCACCAAGGCGCCTACACGGACCAGCCACCACGCCCACCACAGTGGCTTCCGACCCCGGAAGAAGTTCATCGGGTTCATCTTGTTCTCTGCACCAGCCGCGTTGCGAGTCCGTCGCCCTTTGAAGAAGTCGACCAGGTTGGGGCTCGAAGACACCTTCTGGGTGTCCTCCGCGGTAGCCCCTCCGGCGCCGCCGCTCATGGCCACGTAGGGGTTGCGCGCAAGCCCAATCCGCTCGCGAAACGCGTTGGGCGACCGCAAAAGGCACAGGCCAAGTGCGAGCCCCATGATGAAGCCTCCAATATGGGCAAAGTTATCCAACCCAGGGAGAAGGCCCAACACGAAGGAGACGGCTATACCCAATATCATGATTATCAGCTCCACCCAAGGCGCGGGGCGCTCTTTCCACGTATACAACAGGTCCAAGATGAAGAGCGCAAGGACGCCAAATAGCGCACCAGAACAACCGCATGACGCTTCACCCTGAGCGGCGTAGTTGCCCCCAAGAACAAAACCCCAGATACCACTGGCGACATAGACCAAAAAGTATCGCCACCAGCCGATCATCCGTTCCATATCCACCCCCATGCTCAGCTGCACGGCCAGGTTGAAGCCGATGTGAATGATCCCCGTGTGGATGAACATGGGGATAATGAACCGAAACCATTGGTTGGGCTCGGGCCGGTCGTCCAGAGACCCGTGGGGATGAGGATTCGGGACGCCGTTGAAACCACACAGTTCCGACAGCGTACAGTGAGATTCTGTTGTAGTGGAGTTCGGGCAAGGAAATAGAATCGTTTCGTTCAAATTCTGAACTCCGGGAACATTCTTCATACACGGGGTGTACCGCGACCCCATGTAGATCTGCACATATGGCGAAGGACCGATCATCACATTGAACGAGGGTTTCGTCTCAATCACAGAACCTGTGAGCTGGGCTACGGAGCCAGTTAGAAAAGTCCCGGTGGACAGCCGCAGCTCCGCTAAACATACCGTTCCTTACCAGCTCCACGATAAACACGATGATCTGGACCAGGGTAAATGTGTACGTCACCCATGGGACCTTTTTCTGAAAGAATCCCTTCCTCTTTGCTTTCTGACGGGCTGCCAGGGCGACCGGTGGCTCTATCGGGTCGGGGGAGGGCGAATACTGCGTGGGTTGGTGCATCCAATTCGGCGGCGGCGGTCCAATGGTGTACTGGTTGCTCTTCAGGGGAATATTTTCCGCGTAGTGATTGTTGTCGTCCAATCTCCCTCCAGCTGCATATGCACTCTGGTCGGAACCCAGAGATTGTTGACTGTAGTGGAGATGGGGGTCGGATGTGGTGGGCTCATATGGATGTGTGTTGAAGTCGGGGTGGCCGGAGGCTGGGAGGTTATGATCGTGAGGATTGGCTTGATCGTAGGAAGGCGGGTTGCTGCTATATCCGCCGTTGTAGTAATTGTTGGCTGCCATATTGAATGGCCAGCCAGGCTGACTTGGGGGGTGGGAGGGGGACGCGAGGGCGGTTGATTGCCGATCGGTGTAGGAAGGGTATGCAATTGCCCGACAAAGTCTGGCCGATGCGATGGATGAGGTTGAAGGAGGACGGCTGACAGGGGTGGCCGGAGCTGGGGGTGACGGCACGTTTGGCGATGGCGGGCGACCAGAGCCAGAACAAGAACCAGACTATAGTAAGACGAATGTAAGAATGTACCTGGTACCCCTGAACTGTAAACAGGCGCAATCACGGCCCCCAACAATTGACAAAGAAAGAAACCGACACCAGGGCGATGCAACCAAACGAGGGGAGAGTGGGCGTAAGAGAGCAATCCCCAAGAGCAGGCAGGCAGGCAGGCAGGCACGGGCAAGCAAACACGCAGGGCTGGGGTGGGAGATGTTTAGTTAGTGGATGGGGAAGAAGGCGCAAGAAGAAGTTTAGGCAGGCGGTTTTTCGGTCTTGGCGGGCGACTATTTTTGGGCGCCGATCGGGGGACCGCGTCATCAGCCACGGTTGACCCTTACTGTACGTACTCACTTTGACACGCACTGCCTCGTTATCCCACCGGTGTGACAGTGCGGAAAACTGCGGAGTATTATCAGGTACTCTGTATGTAGGGAATATGATATGAATATAAGACAGATAATATATGTACACGTCCCAAAACGTAAAAGAATGCCTAGAAATTCTCCCGCAGCGGCAGATCTCTCGAGCTCGACCCGACCCAGATCGTGAAATCCCCCTCCGGCATCACCCAATTCTGCTGCCGCACGCTCCAGTAGCTCAGATCCTTCCGACTCAGACTCATCGACACCGTCTGCTCCTCCCCAACGCCCAGCGCCACCTTGCTGAAGTTCCGCAGCACTCGCACCGGGAAGTCGATCTTCTCCGGCATCCGCTCGAGCTTCACCTTCCTCGGGCTCCGGGCCCCCTGGTGCACCTCCACCCAGTCCCCGTCCTCTGTCACCTCGTCCGGGAACGATACATAGGCCTGCACGACCGTCTGCCCCTCCCGCGATCCCGTGTTGCGGACCTGCACCTCCACCTGGGCCATCTCCTCATACAGGGACGGGTTGCCCCCGAGCCCGCCGCCCGCCTCCGACGGGGTCTGCACTTGATTGTACCCCTTCGGATAGTGCGTGTAGTTCGCCGCCTCCGTGCCCTGCAAGGACGGGAGGTAGGGGTATATGTACTTGGACACCACCTGGAATCCCGCCGGGAAGAAGACAGATTCGTTTCGTGGCGGCTCCGAGTCGTATTCCGGTGGGTAGACCGTCTGCCCCGGCCGCGGCGCCGGCAGTTGCGACTTCGGCTGTAACGCGTTGACCCGCAGGTCCGCCAGCTCAAAGGTCGTGTACGACAACCCAAATCCAAATTCAAACCGCGGCGTGATGTTGTGGCGGTCGAAGTATCGGTGGTCAATATACAACCCATCGCTGAAGTCTACCTGCGGCACAGGCGCATTGGGCTCATAGAGGACTTGTGCTGCCGGCCCGTAATCCGCAAGACTCTTCCCGACAGTATACGGCAGCCGGCCGCTGGCATCGACCTCCCCGAACAGCACGTCCATCAGCGCGTTGCCGCTCTCCTGTCCGGGCAGGTGAGCGAACAGCACCGCCTCGACGCCGGGAATATCAATCCAGGACTCAACCACCACCGGGCCCACGGCGTGCACGACCACCACGGTCGGCCCGCCACAGCTGCTGGCGACTGTCTGGATGAGAGAATCGCCACCCTTCTGCAGAAACAAATGGTTGCGGTCGCCGTGAATGCCGCCGGCAGATATGAACCCCTCACCCGAATCGGCGTTCGCAAAGACTAAACACAGGTTTTTGTCGGCCGCGTCGGCCGGCATGACCGCGTTCCGCAGATACGGGTGCACTTCGACCTCCGATGCCCAGGCCGACTGCAACGCTTCGATCGGGCTGACTAGATATGGCATTTCCACCGTTCCGCTGCCCCAGCCCATGGCCAGGGTGCCCTGGTTGCACCCGCGGTCCGGGCATGCGTTAGGTCCCTGAGCCGGTCCGGCATCGTCGCCATACACACCCACCCGATAGACACCAGAGGAAACACTGGGCCGACGGGACAGCGGAAGCGTGTTCTTGTCGTTCTTCACCAAAACGATGCCCTCCGCGGCCACCCTGCGGGCAATGATCCCGTGTGCATCCGCTCCTTCACCTTGTGCGTTAATGAATCGGTTCACGATTCCGTAGGCTTCATCGTCGGGAGATCCTTGATGGAGCCATCCAACTTGGTCGTTGGTCCATGAGGAGAAGTTGGGGCCGCCATCACCCTCGGGAGGGGGCCGTTCCCAGTAATCCTGGCCAAGATGGTACCAGGCCGCCACAATGCGGGTCACCATGTCGTTCAATCGCTCCATCGGCACCGAAGTGTTGAGGACCGCCCGAGTTAACTCGGCTCCCCACAAGGACCTCCCATCCGCCCAAAGGAGGCCATCACCTGGCATGCTCATGTCTAGACCCCCAAGGGCACTGTTAATACCGGACCGCTGCGCCAGCCAGTCGGACTGTACAAATCCTTGGAAGCCCAGCTCATCTTTCAGGATGCCGTTCAACAGTTTGCTATTCTCACACGCATGGCTGTTGTTCACCATCTGGTACGCACACATGACGCTGGCGACATCAGCGCGAATACTCTCAGCGAATGGCCACACAAAGACCTCGTGAAGCGCGCGATCTCCAACATTGGATGACATTGCTGATGCGATCCCCCACTCCAGAGGTTGACGGAAGTGCTCCTGTTCATTCAACACGAAATGCTTGGCTGTAGCCATGACTCCGCGACTTTGGATGCCACGGATAGTCTCCGCAGCGGCAACGCCCTGCAGCACCGGGTCGGAGCCAAACCCCTCCCAGTTGCGGCCGCCCGCGGGCATCATGCCAATAGCGCCCATCGAAGGGCCCAGTAGAACGTTCACGCCCTTTAGCCGGGCTTCCTCTCCCATTGCTTCCCCACGCTGTCGGATCAACTCCCGATTCCAGGTCGCTCCTGTCGTTATACCCGCGGGGAATGCCGAAATGAGGTCAGCGTAGCGCAAGCCGAGTGGACCGTCTTGTAGACATAGCGAAGGAAACTTGACGAATTCCGCGGGGCCTGGGCTGTCAGCAACCAACCCCAATCATCATCTTCATGTGACGTACCTGTATTTCCCACACATAGCCCCATCTGCCACCCAATGCCCGTGGTGACATTAATCTTCTCGATGAGGGTCATATCCCGGACCATCATCTCCGCCTTCCGATAGTCCTCCGCCCAATTCTCTAGGGCGCCACCTTTAGGCGTCGGGAACCATGACTCCGACGGGGTCATATCCTACCCCAACAGAAATCAGTATCCAGGACTTGAACGATTCAGGAACCACCTACCATGCGATCCGGATCCCCTGACCACGCTCGATTCAAAAACCCCCACACCATCAGCCCCAGCGCGACGAAAATGACGACCAGTGTCCACCACAACCAGCGTGAATAGTAATAAGCCCGCCATCCCGTGCGGGGTGTATGTCTTCGGAACGAGGAGGTTCTCCGACGATGCCCCTTCTTCTTCACGACGTAGTCCTCGTCCTCGCTATCGTCGGTGAGCTCATACTGCCGCGCAGCGGACAGCAGCTCCTGCTCGGCCTCGGTGATACTGTCGAGGTAGGCCTCGACGTCAGTGGAGCGCCGGTCGGGGGCGGGCGCGTAGGCGGTAGCCTGAGAGGGGTTCCTGGCGTGGTCTACACGGCGCAGCTTGACATTGGAGTCATCGGATTCGTTGAGATCAGGTTCGGAGAGGTCGGAGAGAGTGAGGGTGTCAGAGTAGCGGCGGTCATTGTGGACCTCTTCGGGGATAGACTCGTGCAAGGGGGTGTAGCGTTGATGCTGGGAAGATTTGCGGCCGGAGGCCTGGAATGGAAGCGGCATGGTGCCCAACAACCTAGCAGGAGGTGGTCATGGAGGCTGCAGCCTTGGAGGACAGGAGAGACCGATCACAAGCGAAAGACAGGAAGAATGGAAGAAAGCTGGAAGAAAGGGGAGCCTGGGGGGGGATAGAGAAGATGTGGAGAAGCAGTGGCATGGACTGGGTGGAGGCCTCTGCCAATCAGCGATCACAGCGCCCGGGGCTTACGCCATGCGGGCCGATCGCGATCTGGACTTCTTGTTGATGCAGGATCATTAAGAGGACGCTACGGAGTACTTCGAGGAGTAGAGTATCCAGAGTCACTAGAGACACTGGAGTCATTACAGTGTGTCTAGCATACATTAGGGCGATGAATCTGAGTGTCCAGTGCTAGATATGTGTTCTGGGAAATCCCGAGGAAATTCTGATCCTCCTGATGATACATGTCGGGTTAGTTGAGTCACAAGATGAAGAAGCCCGTGTTTCAAAACCAGGAACCTAAGGTACAATCTGGATTGCTAGGTATCATGCTTTGTGGGAAATATTGAGGAGGTGCCACAAAATCCGATGCTGAAGATCTTCTCCGCTCAAGATTCAAGGGTTGCACAGTGATAAAGAGATATGCAGCACATGTCATCAGAAAGTTGGTGATTCGCCCATCAAGTCTGCTTGCACTGCCTGTGCATATCTGGAAGCAATGAACCAGAGTACATTCACATATACCAGAAGCTAAGGACGCAATCCTTGATAACATCCGTTTAGACCGATCATCTTTACTCCGTACATCCCTAGGCATTTACACCTCAACATGGCTCATGGAGTGGATACACTCTTCGGTGGTTTTACGTAGGCCAGAAGCTGGTGCCAGAGACAAAATAAGCCATGGCGTTCGGCAAGTTCCAGCTTCTTTTTTATACCATCTCGTTCCCCCCTACAATATCCTGGCACCGGATCTTCTCTTTACGTAGACCTCAAGTATACCGCACGTATAATCATCACCGACTCCGCATTCTTCAAGCCAATTTTTCCCACCACGAGGTCTCTTCAAGTGAATCACTCAGAATGCCGACCTTCTACGAAGTCCCTCCCCCTCATGTCCCAGAATTCTGGACCACGATTCCCAAAATAACCTTCCCAGTTGGAGCATGGCTGTGGGTACTCAGCTATATTCTCCTCGCCCGTGAGACATTCCGGAGCAAATCATACGGCATGCCGATTTTTGCCATGGCCAACAACTTCGCCTGGGAGATCATATATGGCTTCTTCTACCAGGATCTGTTGTCAAAGCAGATCGTGAGCACTATATGGGCGATTGTCGATGCCATCATGGCATACGGAACGGTCAAGTACGGCAGAAATGAGTGGAAGCACACCCCTATCGTGGAGAGGAATCTAGGGAAGATTATCATTGCATTCCTTGCATGGTGTCTCTGGGGCCATTGGGCTTTCATGAACTGGTACCTCAACTATAACATTGCGCACAAGAAGGGCAAGTTTTATCTTGGAGTAGAGGGACCAGACCAGACGGAGCTGAAGTGGTGGTCGGGAGAGATCGCTCAGATGACGCTTTCTGTCACCAGTCTGATGCAGTTGATTATGAGGCAGCATACCGGGGGCGTTACCTGGGCTATTTGGTGAGCAATAACTTCTTGAATTTGCCACGCGCAGAGGCTAATATCTGGGAAAGGGCGACAAGATTTATAGGATCCTCCATTCAGCCGCATGGCCATCTCACACTGGCATGGTATTTTTGGCCAGAGGCACATGCGTATTATATGAGCCCTCCTGCCGTGTTTATGTGGGTCACGTCAATGATGTGCGATGCAATATATCCATTCGTTTTTTATCGGATCAGGCAGACAGAGAGACAATTGCCCAATGGACGAAGGGTTCCTGGGAATACCATCCAAAAGAAGGATGATTAGACTGCACATGTTGCTCGGGCTTGCTGCGGAGGCTTTCAGCCATGATGCCAAATTGTATAGCTGGGCGCTGACTGGGTGTTATTAGAAGGCAACTGCAATTGTAGGTAGAAATAAACAAGCTGATAGAGTGGAATATAACAGACAAGACGATAAGTTGGATGGCATGAATTTATTGCCGACGTTATGTTTGGTAGGGGTGGCACGGAATATTAACCAGAATGCGAAGCATGCAGGAAAGGCCCCCGTGGGCTACCAAGATAGCACGTGACCACGCGGCCCCAGAACGCGTTCGTTCCGCGACGAGAACTTATCCTCTCTCTGTCCATGTGAACTACTTTGCAGTCGGTCGGTCGCCACCTATCCCCCAAGCCCAACACTCCCTTCGCTTCTCCAACAGGGGAGACCATCAAAATGGGCAACGAAGAACTTTCCGAGTTTGAAAAGCAGCGTCTAGCGAACATCGCCGAACGCGATGCGCTCCTTAAAAAGCTCACCATGGACGCTCAGTCCTCTGGGCTTTTTCCGCCGAAGATGCCGAAGCCCGCTGCGAAAGATCAATCGCGATCGAAAAAGAAAAAGACACCCGTGAAGAAAATCAAAGAGGAAGATCTGCAGCCGCGCCGTACCTCCTCCCGGTTGAGGGGCATCGCGGCAGAGAGCGAGGTCGCGAAACGCAAGCTGGAGGAAGAGACCGAGGCACAGCAGGCGGCGGAGAGATTGAAGCGTGTCCGCAAGTCCGATGACTTTGCCTTCAATGAGATGGTGGTATATGGACAGAAGTTGTCGGGAGAGAGTCTGATTGGAGTGGATGTGGTTACCAAAGGCGTGGCGATGCCGTATCAGCGGACGTTTGGAGATGATGATATCCAAAAGACGGCAGATAAAGATCTGAAAGCACTGCGGAAGGAAATGAGCGAATTGAAGCTCTGGGAAGCATGGGAACCTAATAGTTTGTTTGCCGACTCAATCCCTAGTATTCTGAAGGCCTTCTCACCGATATGTCCCAGGAATCAAAGTCACCCCCGAACGAGTCTACACAATGACCTTTCACCCAACAGAAACCAAACCCCTTATATTCGCCGGCGACAAACTAGGTAATCTCGGTATTCTAGACGCCTCGCAAGAGAGACCGATCCCCATCAAATCCGAAACCGACGAAGATGAAGACGACGAGGACCCGGACCCGATCCTCACTACCGTCAAACCACATACTCGCACCATCAGCTCCATGTACATACATCCCTCCAAACCCACCTCTCTGTATACAGCCAGCTACGACAGCTCCATCCGCGAAATGGATCTCGAAAAATCTACCAGCGTCGAGAAATATGCCCCAGAATCCACCTCGGACGACGTCCCAATCTCCGGAATCGACATGGCCCTCGACGACCCCAACGTTCTCTACTGGACAACCCTATACGGCGAATTCGGACGTTACGACACGCGCGCTCCTCGCTCGAAACCGAACTCCGTCACAACATGGCAACTCTCCGAGAAGAAGATCGGCGGTTTCTCTCTCTACCCCACGCAGTCACATTATTTTGCGACGGCCAGTCTAGACCGCTCGATGCGGTTGTGGGATCTCCGGATGCTGGAACGCAAGAAGGCGGACGTTGTACCTGTTGGAGAACATTACAGTCGGCTCTCCGTTTCGCATGCGGCTTTTAACAGTGCGGGGCAGATTGCAACATCATCATATGATGATACGCTCAAAATCTATGATCTGAAAGCCAAGGGGGTTGTATCGTGGGATGCTGGCCATACACTTTCTGAGGATGAGTTACGTCCGGACACGGTTGTGCGACACAACTGCCAGACGGGTAGATGGGTTACTATGTATGTGTCTCCATTTCTCCTTCCTTTTCTCTGACTGCATGGCAGATGCTAATTATAATGACAGCCTACGTCCCCAGTGGCAACAGAACCCGCAGTCTTGTATCCAGCGGTTTTGCATTGGAAATATGAATCGCTTTGTCGATGTGTATAGCGGCTCTGGGGACCAGCTTGCCCAGCTCGGTGGGGATGGTATCACAGCTGTGCCGGCTGTTGCTGTGTTCCATCGCAGCAAGAACTGGGTTGCGGGTGGAACGGCCAGTGGGAAGATCTGTCTGTGGATGTGATGGGAATACAAAGTTATAGCTTGAGGCTGAAACTATGTAGGCGCTTTGTCGATGAACCTGGAAATAATGCCCAGATACTTGTACAATAGATGGTGATTGAACTCATCTACAACTGCATTGACCTCAGTCGAGCAAAGTAGTACCGTACACGATACCTACCGCAATAGTATATATAGTACATGTGCATGTCACTGGACCCACCCTACAGGCTCCGGCGAACTGCAGGAGCTTCGGGCGCAGTTCCGTGGTCCACCGCGGGGAAAATCCCGGCTCGAGGCGGTGCCTCTTGATAATAGCAGCTAAGTAGATCTTGGCGCGTGTACGAAATCCCTCCAAGAACCATGATTCATCCCTGATTCACTCACCCCCTTGCCTCCGATACCATATCCACCATGGCCCAATCCTCCCACCGGGACGATTTCTTCCAGACCACGTTCGTCATGCTACCGTCCCGTTGCTGCCTGCATGCTCGTCACGTTACTAATGCATTCCCCTCGCCTCCAGAGCCGCCCTCGACGATCAGAAGCGCAAGATCGCCAAATCGCAGAACACTAATGGCGCTCCCATCCGGCTCCAGAGCAAAATCCTCGCCGTTGCAGCCGATCCCCTGAGTGCAGGGTCTGTCTTTGTGGCTCAGAGTGGTGGCACAGTCAGGAAGGTCATACTCGAAGTAGGTGCACGGTATCCCTGGATACCATACGGGAGCCTAGACTAAGCCGATCCCCGGTTCTTCCGTATTTGTGTATAGACAGGTGAAACTGCGGCCGTATTCAAAGGCCCAACTGCACCTATCACGAGTCTCTGTTTCAGCCCCGATGGTCGCTTGCTGTTCGCCGGATGCTGGGATAAGACGGTATGGAGCTGGGACGTTGCATCGCAAGCACCGCAACGGCGGTATGAGGGACATACCGACTTCGTAAGATCGGTTGCCAGCGTGAAATTCGATGGCCAGGATGTCCTCGTCACTGGAGGCGCCGACGCGCAGATTCTCGCCTTCAACATCGCGACCGGCCAACGACTTTGCACATTGAAGGGACATGCCAAGGGGATTCAGGACCTGGCTCTCGACCCCCTTTCTCTTGGATCGGATGGTCCGGACCTGGTGGTATTCAGTGCTGGCAGTGACCGGGAGATTCGCCAATTCGACCTATCAAAGGGTACGCAAGACCTGACGGGAACCGACGCACTTCTAGCCCACGAGACCAACGTTCACAAGATATTCTTCGATGGCGATGGCGATCTATGGACCGCCTCGGCCGACAAGACTTCAAAGTGTCTCGTGAGAGAGGATGACTGGAAACCAAACCTGACGTTGATTCACCCCGATTACGTGCGGGATGTGGTGGTTCACGAACAGGGCGGCTGGGTGATCACTGCGTGTCGGGATGAGGAGGTTCGGGTCTGGAACCGTTCTGTGCGTGCATACTTTCTCCCCGCATAATCAGTGACTGAGTGTCTGGCTAACAATTTTCTCTTTACAGACGGGGAAGCTTCACCATACATTCTCCGGTCATTTCGAAGAGGTTACCGGGCTTGTACTGCAAGGGTCGACCGTGGTTAGCGTTGGCATTGATGCCACTATTCGCCAATGGTCTTTGAAACCCGACGACCTTGAAAGCGCCATAGCCAAGGCCAAGGCAACCACGACAGAGGAGGAGGAAGAGCAACCCAACTCAGGGTCGATGCTGACCGAGGAAGAGGAACGTGCATTGGCAGAGCTGATGGGAGAGGATTGAGGCAGTTATGTCTCAAGAATCGGGTTCATATGTGAATATTAAAAGATAATGCTTGTCCAGTTGCATCCTACCTATTGTGGGGAAATGCCCAAATAATAATACACTCGCATAGTGGTGAAAAGCAGCAATCTTACCCACTTTGTGACGATCCTCATGAAAGTCTGCAGTCAAACCAAACAGTTCTCCAATTAATTGGAACCTTTGGGGTGATATCAAGCAGTAGTCACTACGCATGTTCAGGTGGTTGCCTTCTTGAATAATCGGTCCAGACGGCACATAGTGTCATCCAGTTTCATTGAAGGCAGCAGATTGTCAGATTTCAAATATCCAGGATTTCACGCAGCCCTATATTGTAGCATATTAACCCCCTCAATCCCAGCGAAGAGACCTTCCTGATCTCCCTCTTCTTATGGCCATCATCGGTCATCCCTCTTGGACACTTTACTGATCTTACTGTTGATCCGTGCAACACATCAGTCAATATGAAGGCTCATTTGATCAGCATCTTGGCTCTCTTTGTTCTGTTTGTGACTGTCGGTCACACTTTCCCCCAGCCTGAAGATGGCCTGGCTGCTTTCCAGGGACGGGATGCAAGTTTGACCGTTACTAATGAGCGCGACCTTCCTTTTACCTCTGCTGAACCTACCTTGGTTAATCCTTCCACTGACGGATTTGACACTGATGGATCTGATGCCGATGAATCCGACGCTGATGAGTCTGACACTGACAGCTCCGACACCAATGTCTCCGACACCAACGGCCCTACCCGCGATCTCGCCTTCCAGGACGACGCAAGCTCGAACACCACCCTCCCCCTGGACGACGACAACCTCAGCTCTCCAGAAGTTCACGGTCTGGGCATCAACACGGCACAGGACCTTTGTGAAGGCGTAAGTTTCCAATCTCGCCATCCCCACATGCCCATCAATGTGACCTTGAAGCTAACCATAGTTTATGATGTGTAGTACTGCAAGACCGACAGCCAGAATTGCAATGGATATTGTGGCCATGACCGTCATCGTACCAAGAAGTGCGGCAAGAAGAAACCTGTAAGTTGTCATGTCATGTATCTTTGAACTCCTGCCGCTGTTCGATTTGTTGTGGAATGGAAAGATGGTTGACTTGTCCGGTGGTGTAGTGTCGTCGTAACAGGGGCATGTGCAAGTTTGAGCTCAGAGGAAAGGAAGCTGAATGTATCTGAGGGGTTGATGTTTGCTGGGCCGCTGGGCCTATAGTCGGGACCGAGAAGGGTCAGCGCGGTTATGTATGGATGGTCTGAGGCACGTGTTGGATATGGGGATGAACGATGAAAAGGATGGGCTTGAGGATGTTGGATCTTTGTTGATTGGATAGTGTTTCTATTTTACCTAGTTAGCAGGCAGAAGATCTGGGTGGGGTTCTGGACCACTGTACACGGCGTGGTTTGGGTTCCACACAGGATATCTCTTATTTCTCTTTAGGTGCAGTAAGTTCGACCATACGGACCAGAGAAGGAAGGATAACGCAAACACACAGGACCCCGATAAATTTCGCCACAGAGAAGTCTTCCTGAAGCGCTCCGGATAGATACAACTTTCACCTCCAGGTCTTACATATAGACCTGCTACTACGTACACTGCCAATACCACTCATTCATCTCGGTGCAGGTATACCCCGATACGCAGGTAGTTACCCCGGTCCATCCCTCGCCACCACACTGCGCATAGGGCGCGGCAACAGCCGTCGACGTGGCTGTAGCCGTTGCGGTCGTACTTACCCCGACCGTGGAGATGGTAGTACTCGTAGTCTTGCTGGCAGAAGCAGTCCCCGTAGCACTCACTGCGCTCGTACTTGCCCCCGAGGAACCGGGCGTATACTCCTCCAACAACTCGAGATAATAATCATAGGCAGTACCATCAGTCGGCTCCAACGAAAAGATATAATCCCCCCACCACGGCCCTGCGCTCCACCACATGCCCCCGAGCCAGACGTCGCTACTGTCTTCCATCGCATCCAGCATCCCCGTCACAGCCTCCTGACACACGTCGTTCGCGCCGCCGGCAAACTCGCCCAGCACGGCCAATTTCCCGTTCTCGCGGAGCCAGGTCGTCGCGGTAGAGATGCGCTCTGCCCCGATGGTCGAGCTCACGCAGGTGGAACTGGTCCCGGATCCGTCCGAGTCGAGGTACTGGTGCATCTCATAGATGAGCTTGTTGGATGGGTCGGTCAAGTTGGCGAGATCGGTGTTGGTCGTGCTCCAGGTCCAGGCGCCGCTGTAGCTGTTGCCTTCCGCGAAGATGTATTGGGTTGTGGCGCCGGTGGCGCGGATGGCGGTGATGGCTGCTTGGTTCAGGGAGAGGACGAGGCTCTGGGTCATGTCGTGGTACTCGTTGTCTGTCCGGTAGATGGGGAGTTAGTTTGGGAAGGGCTCTGGAGAAGGGAGAAGGGGAGGAAGTACTGGTATCGAAGATAACACGGTCATTGGTGGTAAATTCACTGGCGACGGTTGTCCAGAATGCAGCAAAGTCGGACGTAGAGGTGATAATGTTGCCATAGCTGGGGTGGTGGGGGGGTTAGCTCGAAGTGTGACTTGAAGTGTGTTGCAAGACCTGGATAGAGAGAAGAGGGGCTTACTATCTTCCGAAGTTATGAGGGTCTACCACCGCATAGGCGCCTAGATCGGTGATTGTTTCCACCGTCTGCCAGAATCAAAACATGTCCAATGCACATGAAATGGAGGCAACCGCACCGCTTTCAGATCCGCCATGTAGGTTGCATCGGCCGCCCCCGTCAAATTGGTTGGCACCAGCCGCTCCATCAGGAACGGCACGCGGAAAATGTTCATTCCCGCATTGTATAGAGTCGTGATGCCCGCTGTATCAGGCCAGATGTAGTCGGTACCGAGGACGCCGGGGATGTTGGTCTGGCCGAATTCCGCTCCAGACTCATTGCTTCCGAACCCTGCAGGATCAGGGTCAGTATGACTCAAGGAGGTGAGAGAACGAGGGGAGGGGGGGAAGCATACATAGGAAGGAAGACGAGCGTTTGGCTCGGGAAAGGGCCCACGCCTGAGAGAGGAGAAGGGGCAGCAGGAAGAGCTTCATCTTGGGAGATGGGGGTGAACTCTGCTAAGATCCATGGTGCAGACAGACACTGGGTACAGCAGTCAATTTATATACCATGTATCGACTACCTAGCAGTGACAGTGATGTTGATTCCGATGTCGAGAAGAGCAAGAAGAGTCGGACGGCCTCTCGGTCCGCCCTCCGTCGGATCTGCAGGCCCAAATCATCCCAAACACCAAAAAAGGAACGGAGAGAGGACCAATTCGTCACGGCTGTCATACAACGGGAGGTCCGCTCCTTTGCCGATCTGTAAAGGTCCGGATCGTCGGGTTTGATGGGCAACGGTCGTGCAGGCCGCAGGCTGCAGCCAACTGCCGGGCTGCATTGGATGCGGAGAACATCCCGTCCACCCATGTGGCTCTGGCATGAGGACCCTCGCCTTGGACGGATTTGTGTCAGCATTAGGTCTAATCATTTTAGACAGGAATTAAAGGGTTATACACGTGGAGCCCATCGGATTGAAAGATGCACGGCTGACAACCAAGTATATAGCTTCCGAATGTGATATTGATCTGGATATACTGACACTCTAACAGGTGATTCCACTAGGTTTCTACCGCTGAGTATTATACTATTCATAGTAGTGGGACAAATCTCTGCAGAACCAAGCACCGATCAAATCAGATCATATTGCTCCTAACTAAGCAGCGCTCGTTTGCTGACTACTTCTGGCTATTCCTAATCCCGGCTACATCACTCCTCACATCACTCCTCACATCACTCCTCACATCACTCCTCACATCACTCCTCACATCACTCCTGCCTATTGCTCCTCCTTGTTTCCCCCTCTCCACTGCACCCCCCCATTGCCTCCCATTCCATCTACTACCGGCTCATTGTTGCTCATTCCCTTACAGACACTGCGAGTAATAGGAATTCTCATACGTGCAGGTATATCCGCTGACACAAGTCGTCGGTCCCGACCAGCTATCACCACCGCATTGTCCATATGCCTGAGCCACCGAGGTCGAAGTCGAACTGCCCGCGCTCGTCGTTGAAGTGGTCTTCAAGGTGGTCGAGGTGGCCTTGGAAGTGGTTGAGGTGGTCTTGGCCGTGGTTGAGCTGGAGCCGGAGCCGGAGCCGGAGCCAGACGATCCACTCGAATAGGTCGATCCAATGGGCCCGAACTTGATGTTGGAGAATGTAACATACGAGTTCGCGTCATCAGCTTCCACAGTAGCCGGGACCCCAGAATCAGTGCTGCAAGTACCACGTGCCACACCAGGGGAGGTGGCCGATTTGTTGGTCGGGTAGTCACTATCCAGCCACAGCATATCGGCGTCATGGTCATCCCACAAGCTCAAGACCAAAACCATTCCCTCCGACATGGCCGCACTCATCCCCGCCATTCCTCCGTGCACATCAAACACGTTCTCATCTCCGAAGAGCGTCTTTTGTGCATCACACCACGATGACGTGATCGAGTTTCCGCTCGCGCTCGAATACGCCGAGGCGCCATTGGCAATCACCACGCCGTTCTGCACGTACAGCCGCCGGATTTCGGAGAGCGTGCCCGTCGAGGTTCCATCGTCGGTGATGAACTGCGTCACCACAGTGAAGGTGCTGTCCGTGTCCACGGTCAGTCCCGGGCCGTAGAAGCTAGTGTTACCCAGGCGGTACGGGTTGAAGTCGCAGCCATCTGGATCGCATGTGCCGCTGTACCGGTCTCCGGTGGCGCTGTACGTACCACCACAGTTGTCGCCTTCACACATGGTCTGCCCGGGGGTGTTGCAGGGGTGCACGGTGAATGCGTTGGAGATGCTGTTCGCCTCCCAGACGTCCATTTCCGCACAGCACGATCCGTGGTTGCCTACTCCGCTGTTGACGTCGTTGGTGTCCGGCACCCAGCCCTCGACATTGGCTTCACCGTCAATAAACTTCAAGTCTCGGGGACACTGAGAGTCGCAGTACCCTGTGCCATATTTGGCGCCTGCCTTGTTGGTGGAGTTCTCGGAGGTGCCGCCGTCGGCGTCCATAGCGACGAAATACAGTGCACCGTTGAGACCGCAGGGGAGGTTGGAGACGTCCACGTCAAAGGTGAACTCTTGGTTGAGAAGCTTGAAGATCTCGTAGGTGCTGTCATCATTCATCAGGTAAAGACGAGAGCCGATGTTTTTGCTCGAGGAGGTGGTGACGAAGTTCAGCCGCAAGGCGTCGTCGTCCGTGGTCACACCGTAGGTCGCCTCGTAGGTGGCTCCCTCGAGGGCGCAGTTCGCGGCGCAGGTCACGTCGTCGGGACAGATCGTGGCATCCCAAGTGTTACCAGTGTAGCAGTTGGTATAGCCCGATGTCTCGTGCACCCAGCGCCAGTTGGCGTCGATGACCACCTCGCCGTCGTTGGTGGTGCAGCTGCCGCTGCTGGTGCAAGTCTGCCAGGTCAGGGACGGGTGCGTCTCGGTCTGGTAGGTCCCGACCTGCTGTGCATGGCTGGTGGCGATGATGCAGGCGAGCAGGGCTGCTCGGTACAGGTGGAAAGAAGACATTGTCAGACTGATGTCCTAGACTTCTGGAGGAATTGAGTTGATTGAGATGTGCTGCGGTGATGATGAGAGGATGGAGAGAAGGCGTTTATATATATTTTTCACCATAGTATATCTGTTGGACAGCCCGATGCTGGCCAGATGAGCAACGGTCGTACGGACCGCATCCCGATGATGGCTCGTGTTGTTGATAAACCGAGTAACCTGCAGACTGGAAGCGATCTCAAGAAGCGTGATGGAAGGGGTCACTTCCTTGACAAAAGTGGCAACCCGCCGGCTAGTGTGTGGCACGGAGGTTGGATGGAGATGTGACCGTTGCCCATCCGGCAAGGTGGGCTAGTATGTCCGTTCCCTGATCAGGGATCGTACAGGAGGACCCTTGCATGCAATAAGCCGACTTCCCATGTGACGAACCCTATCTCGCAGCCCTAATCTAATCAATCACCATCCCCGCCTTAGTCAGCACCGTCAATCCTCGCCCGCGACCGGTGGATGACAGAAATCTGCACCGTGTCAGGACTCGGGAACTTGAACCACCGCCGATTGCTTCCGCGTCCTTGATTCAACATCAATCCCCCCAATCCAGCCCCCCCGTCTCCAAAATGAGCTATATCCTCACCCTCTCCTGCCCGGACCGCCCGGGCATCGTCCACTCCGTGACGGCCTACCTGGTGCAGCACACCCTCAACATCATCGACAGCAGTCAGTACGGCGACCCCACCAGCCAGCGTTTCTTCATGCGCGTCCACTTCAAGGACGAATCCTCCCCCTCGAAGTCCCTCGCCGACCTGCGCGCCGCCTTTGAACCCACCGCCCAATCCCTGTCCATGGACTTTCAGCTCGTTTCCGCAACCACCAAGCCGCGCGTGCTGCTCATGGTCTCCAAGATCGGCCACTGCCTCAATGACCTTCTCTTCCGCGCGTCCACCGGTCAGCTCCCCATTGACATCCCGCTGATCGTGTCCAACCACCCGGACTTCTCCACTCTGGCCGCGACCTACAACATCCCCTTCGTACACCTCCCCGTGACGGCCGATACCAAGCCCCAGCAGGAGGGCCGCATCCTCGAGCTCATCCGCGAGCACGATGTCGAGCTGGTCGTCCTGGCCCGGTACATGCAGGTTCTCTCGCCGACGCTGTGCGAGGCCATGTCTGGAAAGATCATCAACATCCACCACAGTTTCCTGCCGAGTTTCAAGGGCGCCAAGCCCTACCACCAGGCGTTCGACCGCGGTGTCAAGATCGTCGGTGCGACGGCGCACTTCGTCACCAGCGACCTGGACGAGGGCCCGATTATCGAGCAGAATGTCGTCCGTGTCAGCCACGGCATGAGCCCCAAGGAGTTGACGCACGCGGGATCAAACGTGGAGAGCAATGTGCTGGCTACCGCGGTCAAGTACTTCGCGGAGCGGAGAGTGCTGCTCAACGGACACAAGACCGTTGTTTTCAACTAGTTTGTCTGTCTTGGTTAGTGGTATATAGGGAGAGGTAGGGAGTATAATGGTCTGGCGCGCGTGGGGTGACATGGTAACCAGCAGATCCACTTCAAGGGGTGGGTAATCCTGATGTATAGCTCTCAGATGGGGTCATAAGCATGTTGATGGGATAGCCGATGGGAAGGGCGCAGGCTATATAGAAGAGAACCGGATCTCCGGCGGTGCGCTTAGGCGCGGAGTAAGCAATCTCGGAGAGATTGGAGCAACAATGAACTTTCTACCAATCAGTTTATCTTGTACGGGGTACCTACCAAATGATACTATCCTGTCCGGGCTATGGAGTACAGTGAAAACGTAGCTTCATGACCGATTGCTGGGTAAGCTGTTGCAGCGCATGTTCCATGCAACGACAGACTGGCAGTCAATGCGTATGATGTCCCGGTCGGGGCAATCTTTCCACACCAATGCGAGTGCGGTTCCAGGGATGCCTATGTCAGGAAATCAATTCGACAAAACCAGCATGGTATCATTTGCGGATTGTCCGACCGGCGATAAAGTAGATTCAATTGCGCTCTGACAGCCATAGACAGCCAAAAGGGGAGGCGTTCATGTGAACGATCGATCTGGACCACTTATCAGCGACATGCAAACCATGCAAACGGCCGCGACCGCCCCGGGACGGGCCCGAAAATGGCAGAAAAAAAAAAAAGTCTGTCCGCCGGCGGCAGCCAATATTGTAAGCCAGAAAGCTCACGGCGCAGTATTTTTCCTCCGCCAGGGAAGTTTCACGACCCAGCTTTCCAACTTCGATTTTATTTTCACCCAGACAAAGCCGATCTCACGATGGTCGGGGTAAAGCGCTCAGTGGACGCAGGTGACGACCGCAAGGGAAAGCGGACGAAGACGAAGACCCCGGTTTCTGCGCCGACGAAGAAGTCCAAGTCGGCCCCCGTGAAGACGTCCAAGCCCGAGTCGAAGAAGGCCGAGAAGACCGGAAAGTCGGACAAGAAGGCCTCGAAGAAGAAGGCGCAAAAGGAGGAGTCTGAAGACGACGACGATGAGGACGACTTTGACTTGGATGATGTTGACGATTCGGAGATTGATGCCCTGGACAACGACGAGGATGATGATGTTGATATGAATGATATCGAGGAGGATGCTGGCTCGGATGAAGACAGTAAGGAGGAGACCAAGAAGTCCCAACCCGCCAAGTCCGCCGATGTGGATGCTCAGAGTATGATTGATCTCTGTTGGAAATTGCTCTGGAAATTTGCGGCTAACATCTTTCACTTGCGCAGATAAGTCCACCTCCCGCGAATCGCATGCGAAGCAAAAGGCTCTCCTGCAAGAGCGCAGGGCTGCCAGGCCCAACGCCGACACGATCGCTCGCTCGAAGAAGCTGTGGGAGCAGCTGCGTCGCAAGTCACACGTTCCTCTCGAGGAAAGGAAGAAGCTCATCAAGGAGCTGTTTGAAATCATTACTGGACGGGTCAAGGACTTCGTTTTCAAGCACGACTCGGTCCGTGTCATTCAGACGGCCTTGAAGTACGCCAACCTGGAGCAACGGAAATTGATCGCAACGGAACTTAAGGGCAGCTACAAGGAACTTGCGCAGAGCCGATATGCCAAGTTCCTTGTCGGAAAGTTGATCGTTCACGGAGATGCTGAGGTCCGTGACTTGATTGTTCCGGAGTTTTACGGACACGCCAAGCGACTCATCCGTCACCCTGAAGGATCCTGGATCCTCGATGATATCTACCGGTCGGTGGCAACGAAGGAACAAAAGGCGAACCTCCTCCGCGAGTGGTATGGTCCGGAATTCGTCATCTTCAAGGACGAGAGGGAAGGTCCTCCGTCGGCAGACCTTTCGAAAATCCTTGAGGAGCACCCGGAGAAGAGGGGCCCCATTATGCATTTCCTCCACGAACTCATCAACCAGCTGGTGCAGAAGAAGACGTCAGGTTTCACGATGCTACACGATGCTATGCTGCAGTACTACCTTAACACAAAGCCGGGCAGCTCTGAGGCCAATGAGTTTATCGAGTTGCTGAAGGGTGACGAGGAGGGAGATCTGGTCAAGAACTTGGCTTTCACCAAGTCTGGCGCGCGGGTGATGGCTCTGAGCCTGGCATATTCGAATGCTAAGGACCGGAAGCTCCTCACTCGTTTCTACAAGGACACCATCAAGATGATGGCAGGTGATGCTCACGGACATATGGTTCTCTTGGCCGCCTACGAAGTTATCGACGATACCAAGCTCACCGCCAAGATGGTCTTCCCAGAACTACTGAACCAGGCCATGGACGCAGAGTCCCGGAACGACGAGCTCCTTTATCAAGTGACCGACCTGACAGCACGTATACCGATACTGCAGCCCTTCGCTGGAGATCGGGCCAAATGGCTTCTACCCGAAGGGGATTTGGAGTTGTTGAAGGAGATCCGCGAGATCCGCAAAGAGACATCGAAGAAGGAGCCCGAGATCCGACGACAGGAGCTGGTCAAGGCTGCTTCTCCCGCGGTGCTTGAGTTCATTGCCGCGCGTGCAGAGCCCCTCCTCGAGTCGAGCTTTGGGTGTCAGTTCCTTGCCGAGGTACTGTTCAACGCCGACGGTGACAAGAGCGCTGCCCTGGCTGCTGTGGCGGAGGCCGCCAAGACCAAAATCGATACCCCAGAATCTCCTTTCGTAGGCCGGTTGCTGAAGTCTCTGGTCCAGGGTGGACCGTTCAACCCGGCTGAGAAGAAGGTCGAGAAGGTCGAGCCAGCGCTCGACTTCCACGGCCTCTTGTACGAGCAAATTAAGGAAGAGACCATGTCGTGGGCGACGGGATCGAATGTGTTCGTGGTTGTGGCCCTAGCGGAGTCGGATGACTTCGAGAAGAAGGGCGAGCTGCTGAAGACGCTGAAGAAGGGCAAGAAGGCCCTAGAGAAGGCCTCCTCGGAGACAGGAAAGGATGGCAAGAAGAGCAGCCCGGTCGCCAGCGGTGCGAAGCTGCTACTCGAGAAGATCCGGTAGAAGCGATTCATTTTCATTTTTACATACAATAGCACAGGATAGGTGGCATTGTAATATTAGCTGGTTCAGTACAAAAGTATTCTTGGGATCAGTTGTTCTTTTTTTTTTTTTCTTTGGGGATACTTTTTATCTGTGGTGTAGTCACCCGATCTTGTCATCTGGTTGATCGGGTAAATACTCCGCCTTATTCGTATTTGTTCTTTCCCATGTCTGAAGTTCTATATAGATACGAGCTACTCTGTATTCATTGCTGGATCCTCACCGACTGCAGTATGGACATTGTTCGCTGTGAGCATACTGTTTAGAAGCTAGCATAACTAAGATGCACAGAACTGACTAAGCACCACAACCTGACATAACTAAGCCAACTATCCAACTAGTTAACCAACTAACCAACCTTGGTAATAAATACGCCAATCGCCTTACTAACCCCAGACGGACGAGTGACCAGGTTGGCCGCAATAGTCGATAGACTGCCGACCCATCATCTATCCATCCATACTACCTAGCTTCCTCTTCCTCTTCCTCTTCCTTACTACTCACCAATCCCTCCTACCTCTTCCAATCCACCAAAACCGCCAAGATGCGTCTCCCAATCCTCTCCGCCGTCCTCACTCTCGCCCTCACAACGCTCACCTCCGCCGCGGAGCTCGGCATCGAAGTCACCAACCCCGTGGAATGCACCCGCCAGACCAAGAACGGAGACACCGTGCAGATGCACTACCGGGGAACTTTGGCCTCGGATGGATCGGAGTTCGACGCCAGTTACAAGCGCGGTACGCCGCTGAAGTTTAAGCTGGGAACCGGACGGGTGATTAAGGGGTGAGTTGTTTCACTTTAGTCTAGACTAGACCTGAAGAGGGGGGGGTTTGAAATGAAAATAGATTGCTGATTGTTGCGCGTTTCCGTATACAGATGGGACCAGGGCCTGCTTGACATGTGCATTGGGGAGAAGCGTACGTTGACGATCCCTCCTGAGCTGGGGTATGGGGACCGGGGCGTGGGGCCGATTCCTGGGGGTGCGACGTTGGTCTTTGAGACGGAGTTGGTGGGCATTGATGGGGTGGATAAGGATGAGTTGTAAATGAATAGGACAAAGCATCATGGGATAGAGAATTGAATGGGTGTGCTTGGTTGGATGAATATACGAGGATGATGTCCCCATGGACACTGGGTGGATGGATGGATGGATGGGTGCGTGCGCGCCTCATGCTTGAAATGAATTACATTTCTTATCTATTTATATTATCTGATTGGTCAGGTATATACTATCTCTAAGGGTATCATGTAAGTAGGTTACATTGGCTGGCAGTCAGCAGTGGCAAAGCCGCCAGACCAAGAATGAAAAGCCGGGAAGATATCAATCCATCGCATCCAACTTATTCTCGGTTACCTCGTCGTCGTTCTCCGAAACGAGGATTCCGACGAGACATTCGCCCAGAATGGCATCCCAGTTCACCCACGGATGGATTTCGAAGAAGAGTTGCCCCGAGTCTTTTCCCGCGCCACGAAGCAGCTCGCCCTTCCCACCGGGGTGGAAAGGGAGGTATGGCGTTATGTTGTAGACCTTCCCCTGATATGATGTCCACGCATCGGTGCCCTTCCGACCGTTCTGTGCCTTCAGCATGGAGGGTGTGACCCGGACCAACGTCGGGGGTAGGTTGGCGCCCCGCAGATTGTTGTTGGGATTGGAGGTGAGCGCGGCCCAGTCCAGCGGCGAGTATCCCGGTTCCAGGACGGCTCTTTTGGCTGATTTTGACGGCTTGGCGATGACCTTTGTTGGTGCGAGGCTGTTGTTGGTCGGACGGTTGTTGGGCGGAACACGCAAGGATGCTGCAGCGGAGGGTGGCGGGCGTAGCGAGCTGGATGTATTGGGGCGCGGGGGGTATCGGCCTGATGTCAGTGGCGAAAGGGAAGAGGCCGCTTGAGGTTGCGGATTCTGGGATGCTATCGGACGCAATCGAGGTGGGGCAGGGGGAGGCATGAGCGAGGAGGTTGTAGCTGATGCAGTAGGTTGTTGAGGGACAGGGGGCGGTGGCATGAGAACGTTGTCCCCCATCTTTGTCTGGACTGGGGGCTGAGATGGTGATCTTATCGATCCATTCTGCGCCTCGTGGTCGGGTTGGGACTTCTCTGAGGGGCTTGATCGGTCCGCGGCGTTGTCTAGTTGGAAGGAGGGTACTTCGAGCACAGGCGCCTTTGATGCGGATGCCTTGGGAGTTGTCTGGGACTCATTTTCAGGGTCGTGCTCCTCTTCGAGCGGATTGACGGAGCCGCTGGCTTTTGAGTCTTCCGTGAGCTGAGGCGTAGGGGGCTTCGTGGGGTGTGACTTCGGTGGTGGCTCTGGTGTAGATGGCTCAGGAGCCCAATTAGCGGGAGGGTAACGGTAGAGCAGGAAGCATGCTGTGGCAATAAGCGTGGCGACCCCTACCCAGCCCATCCTGGACACGTCTAGTAACTCGAGAGGAAGATGAGGAATGAGTAGGATGTTTGAACCCGCGAAGCCCAAATCCGCGGAAAACATGGCGCACGTGATGAAAGATTGCTGTTCGGCTTAGTAATATTTATACATGCATGCATTGAATAACGGTGTACCAATCATAGTCTTCCTATTTAGGACCACTCACTGCGGCACCGTATGGCCACTGTCCACTCCACACGTGAATAGAGAAAAGGCGCGGAGTGCGACTTGTCTGCTTTAGTGCGGATGATGACAAAATATCATAAGCTTCATCTCCTCTTGCGAGCCCCAGAAAGCAACAACATACTGTATATCATGGGGCTGCTGTTCAGCTTTCAAATTCGTCATGTGGCCGGACATCAGTGAATAATCTCCCATCATTAAATACCTTTACAGCCTTGCAGTCATAACACTAGGTGCTTGTTTAACCTCTTGTATGTATAGTATCTATCCAAGCAGCCTGCGCCTTGAAGAAACAGCAGTCTATCTGGCAAACGGGAATCTGCAGGCTTTAGCTCAGCCAAGCTTTGTGGGGCCCCCACTGCCCGCCCCGAACGCATGTTTAATAAAGCCACAATCCAATTGACCGGCTCACTGATGCTGCCATGCCCTCGGGATCGCACTTCTTCCTCATGATTGACAGACATCAGTCTGAAGTACCGAGAAATTACCTGTCCTACTGTAGAGTTCCCGAGCGCACTAGCAAATGTAAATTATAAGATGTGACTTGGGCGTGTTCGCCTTGCCCGAATCATTTAGATAGTATATGAAAATAGCCATTACATAGATTAACACTATTATCGAATCTCAAAAGAGTGAGAGATAGCTTTATTGTTCATTCTATCGGCAAATGCCTGACCGATCGGCCCGATATTGTGGAAATCTCCGCGGATGCATGGAAAGTAACACCCATACCAATAGAACCGAGGAATGACGGATAAAAGCTCAGTGGTACGGTCTGGAAGGCGCAGCGCCTTGCTAATCGTACAGTTGCGGGGTAGCATGAAGACACCAGAAAGAATACGCCCGAAGTGATTAACAGTACAGAAGTTATGCCGAAACACGACTTGAGTCTTGTGGTTGCGAAGCTTCGATGACGCGGGACAAATGGCAGCCAACCATTGACTATCATGGGAAAACAAGCCTTACATGAATCCAGACGAACCGAAAGCGGAAGGACTGAATACAGTAGTACTAGTTAGCAGAGTGAAATAGTCAAGCTCCTTGTTCATTTAGTGGTAGAGGGCGGGAGTTTAATTCCCTCCGTGGTCCCTTCCGTAAACGACTCGCCAGCTATGATTCACAGTGGATCACGATTACTTATGCGTGCAGTGAGCAAAGCTTTTCTGGCCCTTGATTAAAATAATAGTTCCGAAGCCTTGAGCGATAATTTTATATTTTCCCCAGTATGTGGTATGTGAATAAATGTTATCAGGCGTTAGCCAGACCATGGGCATGGCAGGAATCGGTCTGATCGTGATTAAAACGGAGAACCAAGCTTAGCCCTGGTACGAGAGGCGAGAACTTCTCAAGTCACTCAACCCATGGAACTCTCTCGTCTGTCTTCAATACAATGCGTAGCCCAGTGGTTTCTCGACGACTTTCCCGAACGAAGAGGCGAAGAGGCCGATATCGCTGTCGAGGCCGGCCGGCGAGCGGGGCTGTGGGGCAGGGCCGGACCGCAGCATGCCTCCGACCTATCCGCCAATTAGATGGGCGATATGGTACCATTCGTTAGACTTGACGAATAATTGCAGATTGAGTAAGTAGCATGGCGAAAGCTTGTATCTTCCCGAGGGCATTCTAAGTCAAGTCCCAGTACGGAGAAGCATTACACACAAAGGATGGCTAACGAACGCTCGTGTGATATTAATGTAAAAGCTATTGCATGGCTCACCTACTTTTCCCTGGAGAGAAACCCATCAAAATTATCGCTCCAGTGATAGAAAGAGGCATGCATGGTACAGGCTATGGTTGAGGAGTATGTATTGGAGTGGTATGCATCATATCATACGACATCGGCATATAGCTACCTGTACCTAATAATCACCCATGCAGATTACACCCTGTACTGCAACCTATGTGTTTTGAGTTTCTTATGAAAGGTAGATTTTATGAATGCAGCCTTTATGGACTCAGTTCTAGAAATGCTAGCGAACAGGATGTACGGACAAGTCTGGGTACTGCGCGGAAGACTTTAGACTCCTCAAAACACCCAGTCTTCGGTGGCCTTGGGGATAGGTTGCATTTCCAGAGACTTGGAACCAAGACAACAGACTCAATACAACGTATTCATTGACTTTGATATAAAGGAGACTTAGCAAGGCGTTATTGCTGCATTCGGCCTGGGTGTGTGATTCTGCATCACCTACGCTTGAATTGCTGTGTGGGGAACTGACAGATATTGTGTTTTCGAATAACAGTGGCTTACACTGGTAACGAGGGCTGCATATTTATGGGTCAGAAACTAGTGTGAACGCCATATAGGTCATAGACATTGGTTAAGGGGGGTCTGGGCTGCAACCAAAAAGTCATGGGAAGCAGAGAAGACCTGTTTGCAACCTTCTTCCAGTAGAGAACATGATATCAATCCCCAGTCAAGACCCTAATCTGTGATGCCGTACTAATCCATGATGCAATAACGGGGCCACGTACTGGGTAGAATGTGAGCTCATTGGACCTCAAGTGGTACAACCCACGGAAGTAGAATACGGTACACTTGTTTCCTCGTAGACTAAGGTTATATCTCATCCACTGGGCCTAGGACCACCGAGATCTGCTTCCCGGAAAGCTTGTGAGAAAGAGCGGAAGTCCGAAAGCAGAGATGGCTAGACTAATCTAGTCTCTCTGGTAAAATATAAACAGGTTGAGGAAGCTCGCATTCGATGGAGGAATTAGACCCTTGAAACGCGCAAGTGTGAGTGGGACAACAAGCAAAACAGAATGCAGCTTTTTGCGAGACAGAACGGCCGGTCTGTGCTGGCTCTGGCAGCTGTAGCAGCCCTTGCAATCAGCAGTCAATCATGTGCAGTTCATCTCCCCGAGAAGGCATATTCGCAGCTGCTCGAAGTCCAGTCATCTTTTCTCTCCATATTCTCTCAGCAAAAACCGTTCAATCCCCAGATTCCTCTTCCTGATAATCATCGAGACCCAGAAGACCATGAAGCCGGCGGACACAAGGACAGCTTCAAGCACTACTGCAAAAGCGCATTCGCCCACAAAATCCACAGAGAGATGCCGCACGTGAAGCTGCACGATGTGATGTATATTCCGGGAAAATCAACCCTTGAACTTCTCTGGTATCATGAGACTTGCGGCGAGGCGTACGAAACAGAGCAGTTCATCGCGACCGATACCTGCCGTCTCAACATGACTGTTCCTACTTCGGAAAAAAGCAACATAACGATGGAGGCCTGGTTCCCACGAAACTACAAGGGCAGGTTTTTGAGCACGGGAAATGGTGGACTTGGTGGCTGTACGTCCATTCCTGATCTAGTTATCAATATTTCTTTTTTTCTATTTTGTTTTGGCGGCCTGCTCCTACCTTGACGAAAAGACATTGCACTAACCGTCTGACAGGCATCCAATATGGCGACATGGCACTGGCCACCAACCTCGGCTTTGCAACAGTCGGAGCAAACAACGGACACGATGGAATCCGAGGAACATCATTCCTGGGCAATGATGAGACTCTTAAGGACTTCGTCCATCGATCCGTGCACATGGGGGTCGTTATTGGCAAGAAGCTGACCAACATGTTCTACCCCGAGGGATACGATAAATCATACTACCTGGGCTGTTCCACAGGGGGTCGTCAAGGCTGGAAAGCCCTGCATGCACACCCCACCGACTTTGATGGTATCGTGGCCGGGGCTCCAGCATTCAACTTCGTCAACCTCATCGCGTTCGTCGGCCATTTTGGCCCGCTCACCGGGAAGCCAGGCGAGGACAAGTACCTGCCTCAGGAAAAGTGGGAGTTGGTGCAAGCGGAGGTCATGCGACAGTGCGATGGAATCGATGGCGTCGAAGACGGCGTCATCGAGAACCCCGATCTATGCAATCCCGTCTTCACTGAACTGATCTGTCCCTCGGGCTCCTCGTCATCAGATAACGACTGTCTGACCGGGCCACAAGCCGTAACTGCCCGCAAGGTGTTCGAGCCGCTTTACGGAGAGGAAGGGAAACTCCTTTACCCTCGCCTCAACCCGGGCGCAATCGACACCACGAGCGCGACCTTATTTTCCGGTGATCTCATGTACCTGTCAACCGATTGGTTCCAGAACGTCGTCTACAACTCCACCGACTGGGACCCAGACGATCTGAACACCACAGACATGGCACTTGCGCTGAAGCAGGATCCTTTCGGAATCGAGACCTGGGATGCCAACCTGGCCCAATTCCGCGACCAGGGCCGGAAGATCCTCCACTACCACGGCACTCAGGACGAGCTCATCAGCTCCGATAGCTCGAAGCTCTTCTACGAGCGGGTGGCGGAGCAAATGAACGCGTCTCCGCAGGACCTCGACGAATTCTACCGTTTCTTCCCGATCAGCGGTATGGGTCACTGCCTGGGAGGAAGCGGTCCGCACTATATCGGCAATCAGTTGGACAATTACTACAAAGACGATGCGGAAAACAACGTGCTTATGAAGCTGGTCCGGTGGGTCGAGGATGGGATCGCCCCGGAATATATCCGGGGGGCCAATATTTCCTCGACGCCTGGCAAGAAGACCTTCACCCGCAAGCACTGCAAGTGGCCCATGAAGACTGTTTACAAGGGGCCCGACTTCACCGATGAGAATTCGTGGGGCTGTGAGGAGTGAAGCTGGATCCAATTGTGAACCTCAAGCGGAAGCGGAGTGATCCTGCTCGGTGGAGCAGCGCAGCACTTGGCTTGCGAGTATTAGCTAGAAGGACTTTAACCTGGCCAAGCCGGTGGGTTGTTGACTGCTTGTAGGGTGTTTTATTAACCCATTCAACATGGGTGGTGGATGCCTCGAGTAACTATCTTGATATGATAATGCGAGAATAATACACATAATGAGACATAATCTAGCAACTCGTTGACCAGATAGGGCTATCTGTCGTAGAACACATTCCTTCTCGCAGTACCTTTGACAGAAGTCAGAGGGAAGTCAGGGACCAACACGAAAGACCACACCGCGCGTGGTCGATTATATAAGAAAGCGCTCAACAGCTGGATGTGACTTAAAAAATTGAACTCAACCCTTTCATTGGTGCAGGCAGTACCTCAGGTAGTACCTCGTAATCAACTACGAAACTCACTACACAAGCGGGATTGAAATTGTAGAAAACCAGTTGGAGGTATGTATGTAGTATTACATGATCATGCATCATTCAACTTTTCGGGCAGATAATGTCTATATATATATATATGTACAAAGAACAAAAAGGCATGTAAGCCGGCAACGATTTTAAGCCCATTTACCAAGCAAGGCCATCAAACAAGCACCCAGACATAACAGTCCAAACGCAGCCAAAACAATGTGTATGGGTGCTTTTCGCATCGACGTGCTGAACATGAACTCATGAGCCATGAGCTCGACCAAAGCGGTATAGATGAGGATACCCGCGGAGATCGAGTCGAAGACGCCGCTGACGATCAACGTCGTGGCACCATCGGTCGCATAGGTATTACGAACGCCCAGACCGATGGCGATGGCGATGGGTGTGGAAAGACCGAACCCGAGACCCAAGAAGTACGGCGTCCATCGCTTGGAGTGAGGCCAAGGGACCGTAGCCAGACGGGATCCCAGACCCAGACCTTCGAAGGTCTGATGGAAGATCAGAACAACATATAGTGTGACAAACCCGGTGCCGGTCACCGCCAAGGTCAAGCCAACGAAGACGGAATGGAAAATAATTCCGAACTCCAGGATAAAGATAGAAGTCAACTGAGCCATGTACTCCTCCAGGTCGGAATGCTTGTTGCCGAGTTCGACATCATGATGTTCGCGGGAATGGCCCAAGTGATCCTCTCCGGGCATATGGCCCTTAATATCGACTGATTCAGCAGGGGAGGGCGAGACGACACGCTCCATCACCACATGCTGGTGTTCGTGATCCTCCGAATCGTGAGCATGGCCGTGGCCAAACCGAGCATACCGCATGACCATCAGCTCGACGAAGAACAAGACTACGATGGTCATGAGCACGATACCCTCCACCCATGAATATTCTGTGATCGGGCCCGTCAGGCAGGAGTCGTTCAAGGCCTCTTCAGCGGGTGCCAGCAGGTGAATAAAGGCCGTGGCAATAATAACGCCGGAACCAAAGTACTTCGCGACGAAGAAGGCGCATTTCGCGAATTTGGAGTCTCCGAAACTCCGCGCCATGACGGGGAAGAGGGCCCCAAAGGTCGAGCCGATCAGGATGACAAAGACGGACGAGATCCGCAGGCCCATGTGGCCGTTGTAGCCATTGCCAGTTTCACAGGTGTCCCTGGCGACCAGGGTGTGAAGCGGCTCCATTATGACCTCGACTCCGCTCTAGAATCGATCCTGGTATGTCCGATCCTCCGCAATCTGTCGACCGATTACAGTTTCGGGCCGGTGCTCAAAATAGGCCGGAGGGCCCGCTTGAAGGAAGGAGGGAGCGACGAAGGGGTATTCTGACAGATCGACGACCCAATGGCGAGGAGCGAGAGGTGTGACAGGGTGAAAATGGGCGACGCGAGGGGCACGTGGAGGTGGATGGAAGAATGTCGGCGGCAAGAGACGGTTGGGAAGGATGCCTGCTGTAGTCTGCAAGGTACTCGTCTCTTTAACTTGCGATTTCCTGTTGTGCGCGGGGTCGATGGGTGTGAGACGAGACGGGCGTCCTCAAGGTCCTTAAAGCCGGTCGTGTCAACGCCAAAGTAGGAGCTAAAATAGAGAGGCCGCCGGAGGATGAGGACCTTGGTGGCTCGGCGTGGTGGGGGGTGTCTGTCGCGAGAACGATGGGGGACAAATCTGATTACCAACCACCCAGTACTACTTCAAAAAGACAACCTCCTGGGAGAAGAAAAGCAAAAGAGAAAGAAACCAGTCTAGGAGCCACCAGGGGACAGAAAAAAGGCAGACGCCTGGTCGATGATGGCCTACATGGCGTCCGACAAAGATTTCGAATCCGTTCTCGGTAAGGCGCGGATGGGGACCTTGGGGGAAAGCGGACGCCATCACGTCAAAGTCTCAAAGAGTTTTCGGGTACCTTGAGGACCTTGCGGACGGCCTTCCTCTCGACGTTTGAACCCCCCCCCCCCCCACTCGACTACTTATTTCCCGAGGCCATTATTCGCTGAGCGGCTCTCACGTGCCAGCCTCCTCAGCGGATCATCGTTGATCCCGGGGTTTTCCATATCGTCGGCCTGGCATTGGATGCAAGTCTCCGGGTAAGGCGGCGGCGGGGACGGAAATACCAGCCCGCTCTGGAACAGAGGGTCAAAGAAACCTCCAGCCTCTATCTATAGATACAATCATTGATGTGGTTTCAGGTGTATATACTCCGAGCATGTAAAGGCCGCACAAGAGGCACATGTGTAGTCATCGGAGTGTACCGCATCATCACCGTAGAAACCGTTGTTACTGTTGCACAGCGCCAAGAAGCAAGGTGACATGCCGGATTGTCATGGTCAAGTTCCAAAGAACTACTCCATAGCCTGCGCCTAAATGACAGCATCTGTGGCACCCTTGTGTGCAATAAAGCGGGCCAAGGCCTATAGTTTTAGATGACTTGCAGACGATAACCAGAAAATGCTATGTATATGTGTCTTTGCCTGCCTTCCCTTTTCCCTTGGCATGACAACAACAACATCAGCATGCAAATATGGCTTGTTAAACCAGCTAGGTTTTATATAAATCTGATTATGATGTCAATATTTTGTAATTGTCACACCAAGAAGCATCATTGGTCTAGTGGTAGAATTCATCGTTGCCATCGATGAGGCCCGTGTTCGATTCACGGATGATGCATTAAAATTCCTTTCCTTTTTTTGCCGTCCTTTTCTTCTCCCTCCACCCCCGTTCTTGCCCAGGTTAGTTAGTTATTGCTAGACTATTTACAGCTGTGGCTATTTTTGATATCTGACTTAAGCCACCCAAAAAGTCAGAAACGTCTGTACACTGTACACTGTAGACTTTACGAAGTACCGACCATGCCAACACCCATCCAGCCAGATTCTCAACCCAAAACACCCGACCAGTCTTCCTTCCTCATCCACTCCTCCAAACCAGTCATGGGACACTCAATGCCGGCCTAGGCAATCAGCGACCGACTCCCCCTCAAAACCCAAGACCTAGAATACGGAAATACTCACATCACGAATATCCTGTGCCATCAACAACCCCTCATCGCCACCATCATAGCCCGGATCCGTCGAATAGGAAAACATATCACCCACCTCGCGACCAAACTCACGATCGGGCGTTCTGTTCATCAGCTCGGGCAGGGTAATCTGTCGATAGTGGGCGGAGACGGAATTTACTTCGCCCCATACGCGCATGTAGTCCACCCAGCTGCAGGTCGAACCACAGGCCATGTACCTCTTTCCGGGCTTCATTTTCGAAACTGCATAGACAAATGTCCCTAAATCAGCATTGACGTCGAGGTGAGGGACTGGTATATCGGGTGCGGTCGTGAAGGCTGTCTCGAAGGTAGGTTTGCCCTCACCCGTCAGTTTCTGCAATATGTATGATATGTCTGTCAGCCATCATATGTACCTAGAGATTAGATCCCTAATATCAGATCCCGCACACCATCATGTAAACAAAATCACAGCCTGAGTATATCCCGAGCACCGAAAATACAAAGAAATCTCACCTTACAAAGATACGCCCCCGGAATCAACCGATAGCTCAACATAAAGTACCCCGTCTGGACACAGGACATCTTCCCCGCCAAAACGGGATACTTCTGTTCGACATAGCCCGGAAAAACCTCCGCTTTAGCATCGAAATGGTACAGCTCCCGAAATCCCCCCCGACTGCAGTGCCGCGCATGGCTGAGGGTCGAGACAATAAACCCGTTCTGGTCAAGCGAGTCGACCGTGTGCGCGGCAGCGTCCGCGATGTTCTTCCCCTGTTGGAGTTCCACTTCGTAGGCATATCTTCGGCAGGAGAGGCCCGAATCGGTGGCCTTTTGTCGAGAGTCCGGGTGGAAGAAGGGCTCCCAGTAGTTGGTGACGCTGAAGATGTGGGTTGCGCCGTGGAAGGCGGGGATGAGGGTATTGATGTCATTGAGGTCTGCGGGGATGATTTCGACGCCTTGGGAGGATAGGCGCTGGGCTGTCGGGGAAGACGGGTTGCGGGTGAGGCCGCGGACGTGGTAGACTGGGTCTTGCAGGAAACGCTGCGCTACAGAGTTGCCTTGGTTTCCCGTGATGCCTATAATGCATATGATCTTGGTGCGAGCCATGTTTCAGAGCCGTCGCTGTCGTGGTGTCTTTACGAGGATATCTGTTGTGGAGGAAAGGAATGGAATAGAGGGAGGGGATGAGACGACTATCTACCCCGCTTCTCCACGCCGTTGACGATCACCTGCCTACAGTACTCCGTACCTTACCTATCTTCTCGGTAAAGATACGGCGTCCTTCTAGTCCGCTCAACAAGCTTGAAGGAGCATGATCTGACCACCAAGTATAAAGGATATCCCCAGTGTCGCGAAACTCATCTGCTTCATCCCCAAAGAGCGTACTCCACGGCGCATTGCCACTGACAAGAGATCACCGAGTAAGGGGCAAGCCGATTGGAATCTAGATAGAACGACCATGATGCTTATAACTTCATTGGGATGACCACGCATGGTAGATAGTATATATATAAATACATGCCTCTCGTTGGAGCGACATCGTTTTTATAATGGTAGTATTGTTTAGTCCTAAATAAGGGGCACGTGCACATATTAGATGATTCAAGGCTGTCTGGTCGAGGTATAACCTCCCCAGCACCAAAACGGGAAGGGTTTTAGGCTCTCTTGCTATTCCTTACTTTTGTCTATACAGGCTCTTTGCGCGTTGTACCTTCCTTCCCGGACCAAGCCTCCATTTTCTGACAGCATTGGCCATCATTGTTTGCCAGAGAGTTGAGTCTTGTCTTTATTTTGCACAGGATCCACTGAGATCAAGTCACAAGTGGCATTTTCCGATTTAGATCTGACTGATGTTGTATGAGCTTGTGTATTGCTATCGGAGTATGTAGCATCACGCCAATCTGGCTTCAGGGCACCCCTTTAGTAGAGTAGTTTTGTTTGACAATGCAGTGTTGGCTGATGGTAGGAGCCTAACCCAGGATACGGACCAGGGCTGACTTGAAGGATCAGAATCCCGGCAGGCGCGAAAAGTCGCGCCATCGACAAAGTAGAATGGCGACGGAAAAAACATTGGGAGGGAAAATAAGCTGACCGCCCGGTGCTGCGGTGAATCGAACCCGGGATGAACTGTCTCCCATAAATGTGTTGTATAAGTGTTCAAAAAAATGAGGAAGAAAAAGTGATGGGACCAACTTTACTGCCACATCATGCCGGGAGGTATGCGCACACACCAACACCCCTGGTTCCCTAGTGTTCCCTACACACACTTAGGGTGAAGTAGCTTAGCTATGTGGCACGACTAGTAAAGAGGTCACATTACCTATTAGTTAGCTATAAAAATAGACTAGTATACTGCGTAGTTCTGCCTGCTAACTAAGCCCGGAACCCGCGGGGCGCGGCGAGACAAAGGACAAGCCAAATACACTCTCACATATAAGCTGGGTCTGAACCTGATCATGTTACCGTATATCTATCATTGTTGGTATTTTTATTCCGCAAAATGACCTCCAATTACCCACTTGACGCGTTTTGGGGTCTCCCCACCTCCAATGCCAAGTCAGTATACTACTACTATGGACCATTGGATCAAGTACAAACTAACGCCGGAAAAGCTTCTGTGAGGAGGTATATATAGACCATTGCCAACATGGGATATAGAAGACGACGAAGCTAATCGCCGTCCGGATAGGATTATTTGGTGACTAGATACGTTGCCGAGTTCATCAACACGCTGACCAATCTCACCTATGGTCAGGATGTCATGGGGAGAAGATCTTCTCGGGCGGATATAATGTTAACAAAGCCTTTAGTCCTCTACGCGATTTATGGGATCCGCAGCTTGCAGCGGAAACCCAACGCCAAGGCCTTCCGGACCGTCCCATACTGGGGCTTGATGGGAGTCGGCATATGCTCCGGTATATATCACATGAGCCTGAAATACCATACCCAGATGAGTAAGTGACAGGGGCAGTCGTGCCTCCGATCAGGAAAAGCTTCCCCGGGCTAACTGTTGTGCACAATCAGTGGATGATCTTTCGATGCTATTTACCACAACGCCGGTTCTACACCGTGTGTTGACGGTTAATGCTAGTGGCACCACCTCGACCATCCTGGCTGTACTCCTGGGCTCTGGTTTGATGGGACTCATATCCGTTCATGTGGCGACGGACGAGTTAATTCTGCATGCGGCGGCCTTCGTGGTCAGCATCACCGTCATCGGGATCCGCACCATGCAGCTCATAGCCACTCGGACACCGGCGGGTTCGGCTGCGCGGAGCCAGATTTGGGGAATGGTGAGATTCGGAGCAGGTAAGACATCTGTCTTCCTGGGGCTTATGATTGACTGACTTCGGGCGCAGTCATATTCAATGTGGGATACGCTGTCTGGTTAGTTGATGGATGGGTCTGCGACCTGCTGAGAAGCTCGCGAGAGGCTATTGGTCTTCCATGGGCATTCCTATTGGAGCTCCACGGGTGGTAGGTTGATTTTCATCTCAACACTTTGTCCAATAGTCGAACTGATTGTGAAATGGGAAAGGTGGCATATCTGCACCGGCGTGGGTGCATACATCTTCATCGCGGTGATAGACCATCTCGCATCTGGGGAGGATCACGAGGATATTGAAGGGTCATTTGCTTGGCCTGCACCCTGGGCTTCTCGATCGATTTTTGCCGGACGGAGGCCAGCGGCAGGTGGTGCAGCAGGGAAGAAGTCCGAGTGAAGAACAGTCCAGGAAAAGACCGGGAAGGCAAGGAACAGACCAGACTGTGTGTGGGGCATGGTCAGGTGCGCACCGTGTTATGAATTTCGTATCCATCTGTATAATAAATGAATCAGGAATTACTCAGGGAAAAAAGGGTCAGTCATTATTTTATAAAACAGTATATCTCCACGCCCCTTAGAGAATGCCCTTTTAGGAAATACCTAGGAATTGCCATGTAATTTATCCACGGGGCACCGCCTCAACCATGTAATATACCAGAAACGGCGAATAATTACCTAGAAGACCCAGGGTATCAGACCAGTGACTGCCTCTCTATAGCAGCCTTGCTAGATTACAGCCAGAAGTCTCGTCGTCAGCTGCCTACTAGTCTGTCCAGGCTCTGTTCTAGTCGAGTGGTTTTGTTTTGCATCTACAAAAGTCCTTGATTTATGATGACTGTTAGAGAACCAGACAGGGGGGTTCGTGAATTTATTGGTATGGACGGCGGATAGGCAGGAGGGCATAATAACGGCAAGTTAATCTCATTGGGTCTTTTAGCATGGCGATGAGGTAGGGTAGTGTACTATATACTGAGGGCGGAGCTTGGGGTGCCTTCCTAATTAGGAAGAGACACTTCCGTCCTGGAAGATCCCACCCAGAGTCACAAACACGAAGTGAAATGGAATACCTGACTGGCTGAAAGCTTTTTATCTCTTGGCTTGGACTAGCATTTCAAGTAGAGAGTGAATAGTAGACTATTCTGTAAAACAGTGTAGTCGCATGAGGATAGGGGACAGGCAGTCCAATATTAATCATGCTCCTTTATATATCACCATTTGACCAGGCTTCCAGTGTAATACTTCCTCTGCACAAGCCCTAAATGCCCCAGGCCTCCAGGCCATCAATTCAACCCCCTCTATGCCATAGTCCAGACGGAGTTACCCCATCTTAACCCCGCGCCTGCTCCACCGTCCAACTCTGATGAGGTCATACACTTCCATCCATAAAACACGTTCCCCGTATCCACAATCAAATGAGATGCCCCCACAAAGCAAAAAAAAAAAGCGTCTTCCGGCCCCCCAAATAATCCTCGTCACAGGAGCCAACAAAGGCCTCGGCCTATCCATCATCCAAGTCGTCGCGCAGCGCGAGTCCCCAACTCCACGCAACACCTGCATCCTCTGCAGTCGGGACATCGACGCGGGACAGAAAGCAGCTCAGGAACTGAGAGCCCAGGGGTGTCAGCTAAGATCGATGTGGTTGAGCTAGATGTGACGGGGGACGAGCAGATTGCTGCGGCGGTTAAGTACGTGGAGGAGACTTATGGGAGACTTGATGGTACGTTTGCACTTTACACCTTACACCTATTTACCTACCTTACCACCCCTTCCATCCAGGACCCCTTCGAAAGAGGTACTATCAATTCCACCCGACCGACCATACTGTTATTTACTACAAGCTAAGCAGTCTTCCCAGTCCTAATCAACAACGCCGGCACGCTCATCACGCCCCCCAACACCACCACCACTACCACCTTCCCCAACCTCCCCACAACCCGACAATCCTACAACGCCATCCTAAACCTGCACATCACATCCATCGCCCTAACCACCCTATCCTTCACAGCCCTACTACACCAATCCCCCTCCCCAAAAGTGATCAACATCTCCTCCGACATCGCCAGCATGCAAAATGTCCTAACGGCAACCACCAACGCGCCCCGCCATCCGCCCTACGCCGCAAGCAAGATCGGAATGAATGGGTTGACGGTCCATATGCAGGTGAGCGAGGATGATCGCGTCAGAGAGGAGGGCGCGATGAAGCCACGCATTCGATTCTATGCGGTGGCACCGGGGCCGTTAAAGACGGGGTTTAATGGGTTTAGCGGGCCGAGGGCGCCGGAGGAGGGGGCGGAGGTGGTGGTTCGGTTGGTGAGGGATGAAGGGGTGTTTGAGGGGGGGATGAGGGTAGTGCCGTGGTAGGTACTATTAGATAGGCTGGGGTGGATGGGGTGGTGTTGTGGAACGTACAAAGCAGATAAGAGTGTAGGATTCTCGAAGAGGAATCTGCGGTTGTTTTGAATGAAGAGACATTTTTGTCGGAATCTTTTGTAGAGGGGGCTGAACACGCGAGACCGGAGAAATGGTCGCCATTATTAGGTATCTGATGTCTATCGATATATTAGTTAAGCTGTAACCGACGAAACGAACATCCTCGATTTCCATAATGCATAAATGGAACTCTGAACCCTTTGTACTGAGCATAATTAATAAAGATGCGGACACGAATAATGTTCCCATAGTCTCATGCAAGCATCATAATCATATTCCTCATGAAAAATACACTAGGCGTGAATTAAAACCACCTACTACAAACAAACCCCCAACCGCCTCAAATTCCCAAGCTGGCACAACTGAAAGCGGGCGAAACCGATCCCGAATAATCGGCAATGATGGCCTCAACAGCGGCATACAGCCCAGGACCGAGCAAAAACAAGCCACATGCCATCACGAACACATGAATAAGGGTCATCATGGATCGGAAGGCCCCGTCAAACAGCTTCCCGTTATACAGATGCCAATATGCAACGGCAAAGAAGATGAACCCGAAAAACGAGTCGAACGCGGCGCTAAGCAACGAGAGGAAGTCACCCATGCTGGGGACGACCTCCGAGAAGATAAATCCGAGAACCCAGATCCCCACCATCACGACACCCCACACGCCCCACCCGATGAAGGTGTTACTGTGCACGTGTCGCGACTTTCCCAGGAGCTGCCAGTAGATGAACTTGGCGGTGACATTGGCGTAGATGACTCCGATGATGAGGGTGGGGACGATGACGAAGCCGAAGGAGGCCTTCTTGTACGCGACGACACCCAGACTACCGAAGGCGGGGGCCGTGGCATATTGTCCGACGTAATGGAAGCCAATGGCCGGAGGCACGATGAAGAGGATGGTGGAGATGGCGACGAGAACGGCGAGGGATTTGGGGAAGTCCTGCGGGTGTTCCATCTCGGAGATGAAGGTCGGGAAGAGGATCTGGGGGACCCAGAGGAAGGTGATATTGAGTACGGCGTTCATGCAGTTTACCCAGGTGGTGCCAGGAAGGGGGAAAGCGTAGGTGTGCACGAGGCCATCGGTCGGGTAGTCGCCGTTGTAGCCGTAGAGCGGAGCTTTTTCAATGCCCGCGAAAATGAGGAAGAGGAGAATTGCGATACCCATACAGGCCGCTGATACTGGTTAGCAGGATTTGGTGAGATTGGAGAAAGTGTCTTACAGGAAAAGATCGACATGAAGGAGATATGCTGGAGAGTGCGCGGTGCGGAGAGCACGATGCCCATGATCATAACAATGGCGGAGAATGCAACTGTGCATAATGAGTGATCGGACAGGGTGTCGAGCACTTTAGCGCCGGTCAGGATGTGGAAGCCGATCAGGAGGATGTTGTTTGCCAGCAACATGAACCCGGAAAAGATATAGGCCACTTTGCTCTTGCCGAAGATATAGTATCCGAAGTCGCCTGTGCTGATCAGTATGGAAACCGCGTGGTTATTTCCAAGAGAGGGAAGCAGATGGCTTACAGATATCCCTGATTTGCGGGTTCTTCATGATGTATTTGTGCATGGTAATGGAGGTAATCCAGAAAAGGATACCAGACAAAACCATCGTGATAATACCAGGGACCCAACCCAACACCCTGGATACGACGCCGTCCAGTCAGTCATGGGAGCGGGGAGGGAGGCGCGAGAGAGGGGGCGCGACTTACGAGAGCGACCATGATTGCGCCATGATGGCCAGGCAGACTTGATCCCCCGCGAGCAACCAAGCCGCCTTTTGCCAGGTCATTGTTCGGAGTTTGATGTCATGTTGGTGATCTGGACGGGCGGGAAAGCCTGCTGGTTAGTTGAGGCCCCGAGAATCATCATTATTATCCCTGTTCCACGGACCTTCGGTCATCAGCGCATTCAAGACCTCGGTAGAACTGGCGTCGGTCCCCAGCTCGTTAACCTGGGCCGGGTCATGGGGCCGTTTTTCATCATCAAACAGTTGTGACGCCATGGCGAGGGAAGTTTCTGATGGCAGGTGGGATCAAAGGCGCGAAGATCGGCGGGCCCTGCAGATACTTTAATAGTGTGCGGCGCGCAGAGCTTTGTATGATGAAAAATGAAGCACCATGTGGTGGTGCTGCAGGTAAGCGCAGGTGGTACACTGGTTGGGGCGGCCTGATTGGTGCAGCGATGGCGTGATAAGGCCGGGGATGGCGAGGAGGGCCAGAAGGGTTAGTGCCATTCACATCTGCTGCTGCTGCTGCAGTCGCATCGCCCCCACGCTCTTGAACTGGCAGGGGTTGTGTGGCTGTAAGTGGCCGGCCCGCGCCATCTGCCTGGTTAAGGTTAAGATCCCATCCTGCGCCCTTGGTTCGGTCTCTCGTCGCCACCAACCTCCCCGATGGTGCAATGGCCCGTCCATGGCCCCCCTGTCCCTCATACATGAGAAAACTTCAAGGTCTAGGCCGACCGATCAAGCCAATGTGCTTGCCATCCTTTCCCCGACGACAGTGTGAACGGATTTTCCCGATTGGTTTCAGTACAATCCCTACTAGTAGTAGATACTGTATACTTATTCACTAGGATATATCTAGTACTCCGTATCAGAATTGAGTTTGGCCCTTGCGGGCCCACTCTGTTGACATCTCCAGCCCCCACATGCCATACAGCAGAACCACATGGCAAAATCGACGATTTGCCACTTGGTATCTAGATATATTGCATCTGGCTCACCCTTGCTGGAGCTGGAGCCTTTTCTAGCCCCGTTCTAGTGGATTGATAGTAGAGTGCTTCTAGCTAGTGATTATCTGGCAGATTTTTTCTACTCAGCCGGAGATGAAACAACTATATTCCACTCTTAGTAAGCCGGAGGTGGAACAACCATGTTCCACTCGTAGTAACCAGTTGCATCATTTTAAGGGATGATATCCGCGGGATATGCATACTTACAAGGGTGAAGCCCACCTCCTTCCGGGTGTACTTGAGTATATATATGGGATTCTAGGGGTCCGCAGGTAACTGCGGGTACTAATGTTAGCCTTTTGGCGCAGTGGCAACAAGTCCCCTAGGTTGCTGTCTTACAGAAACCTAATCTTTGATTCACTCCTGAATTCACAGATATTATATCAACTCTAGAATGATGAGGCAAAGAAGATCTGATTCTACGATACTGCTGCGCAAGCAGCTGGGCTATATAGACGTAGAATCGGGCAGAAACAAGGCATACATGAAGTCATGTATGAAGTCATATATGAGGTGATTCAGGTGATCGTCAGGGGTACGTCAACCAAAGGGCTAAATCCTATTCCGCCATCATGCTAAGCCCTCGTTCCAATCAATATATTATTACCCTGAGACCATCCCAGATTGAAAGATCCAGAACTAACGGCATACCGTCTTGCCCCCCGTTTCAATTTTCCGACCGCTTGAAGAGGAAATCGTGAAGTTCCGGCAAGATGGTGGTCGCGTCGAAGGTCGTGTTGAGAACGCAACGGGATTGGAGGCTTTGGCTCTACATGATCAAGGGGTCAGCAGAGGCCAAAAAGGTCTGGAAATACTTCGACCCGGACCAGGAGGAGCCGGAGCCACAGGAACCGCCGCCCCTGGGACTCTCCGAAATCGGCTGCAGTTCATGGGAGGAGGTCAAGGAACGAGGGATGGAGGGAGTGTGGGATAGGGCTGAAGCCCTGTATTCCAGGACCTCTCGGGCATTCGAGAATACGACAAAGGCGATAGGGGAGGTCCATGCTCTGATCCTGAAGACAGTGACAATTGAAAACATGAGACCTGTCTTGGACGCGGAGAGCAAGAATGGTATATTAAGAAACCTCCGGAGCCACTTCCACTCGCAAGAGATTATCAGGCGTGAAGATATCAAAAGGCGCTTCCGCAAGCTCTATACACCCAGCGAACCCAAGATGGAGGTGGATGCTTGGGTGAAGGAATGGCAGGATGTTGTCTCAGAGGGAAGATTCCTGAAGATGCCTTGTTTCGAAGAGGAGCCGGCTCTGGGGGACTTCCTCCGGGCAGCATGGAGGTATTCGAATATATGGGCTGAGGCGGAGTTGGCACGTATGTTGAGGGGGGATAAGATGGACCTACAGGAAGAGTTACTCATGTTTCAAGAGTATATGAAGCTGTTTGCTGCCCGGCCAGACAACTCACACAACTCACACAAACCATACAAGCCACGCAAGCCACGCAAGCCAAAGAAGTCTGCTATCACTATATAGCAGCAAGCAAATAGACTACCTACCTACCTGCCATCAATCTGGAAATTTCTATTGTCTCGTCTATTGCGTAGAATTAGTCCCAAATCACCAACTTCCCGCTACCTCTGGTGCTGACCAGTTTCGAACCATATACAGAACCGCCCCGGTAGTGAATAGGTCGAGGGGCGGTGGAGTATCCATGTATTGATTGGAACAAGGGCTTGGCCTGATGATGGCCTAGGATTTAGCCGTTCCATTGACTTGACCTCGGCCCGATTGACTATCCCTCGGCTATTGCTGTATGACTTTATATATGTCTTATTTCTGCCTGATTCTATGTCTATATAGCCCAACTGCTTGCGCAGCAGTATTATAGAATTATATTTTTATTATCTTATCTTACTAGCTGCTATCTAGATTATCATGATCAATAATCATAAGCCTAGTTTATTATAATATTTGATAATTTGATTCTCTTTTACAATTACACTGCTATTAAAATTTAAAATTTTCATTAAATTATTAAATCTATTTATGATTAACTAAATCTTGACTAATTATTACTCTTTTTCTAATCAAATAATTATAAGACTATTATAAGGGGTTGCTTGTATGAGATAGTGTGAAGAAGATATATCTATCGCGAAGTCAAGGTATGTATAGATCGCGTTATGTTTGCCTTGTTTCTGCCTGATTTTACAGCTATATAGGTTGCCTGAAGTTCCTGCATTATTGCCTAGATTACTGACAGGGATACAAGGTGTGCAGGACTGTACAGGTATGTATGTGAGGAACAGGGACAGGGATCAACACAATCTATTATTGTTTAACAGCTACTGGCCACATCTGTCGGCGCCGTTGGATTTTCTTTGGAGTCCATCTTTCTCAATCATTATCGGAGAGGTTGAATATCTGCGCTCCTGACAGTGGGCAGCAGACATACCCAGAAACTGCAATATTCTAGGTATCTCTCCAGGAGCACCGCCGATCCTGAATACAACCGTCAACTGGTCAGTAACTGCAAGCAGCTTTCTCCTCCCCCCTTCCGCAGCATAGATCAAACAGCGTTTCGTACACAGACTATCTATTGGAAAAAGCTATGATTCTGCCCGGGTGGTGTTGCAGCCGATGCCGTGACGAAAAGAATGGCCGTTAGTGGCCATTAGCGCCCGCGTGTTAGCCCTGTAATTGACGGGGATGCTGGAACGTGCCGAAGGCAGGGGTCACCGGGGGGCATCGCTTAAACCAAGTCCCATTTGGTGCTCTCTGTACATAGCCGACTACATGCCGCTTCCCTGGGAGATATGAAGGAATATATCTGCTGGAATGGTCTCCTTCCCCTTTATCGGTGACGCATCTCTCTGGGAGCTGACCGAAAAGCCCTCATGTTACTCATCAGTCTTCTGGCGGCCTCCTGCCTGGCTTCAAGTCTGCATGCGTTGCCAGGATCAATCCTGGTTGAATCCAATACCAACCATCTCCGGTTCACAAGCAATGGCACCTTCCAACTGACCGTTTTTGAGGATCTGCATTACGGAGAAGGTAAGTCCCATTTTCGGACATCCCCCAGGTAGACATATACTGAGAAATTCCCCAGCGGAGGACACCGACTGGGGACCAGAACAGGATGTCGAAAGCAGGGGTGTGATGAACACCGTCCTCGACAATGAAAGTCCCCAGTTGGTCATTCTAAACGGTGACCTGATTACCGGAGAAGACACATATCTATCCAATGCCACCGACTACGTGGATGAGATCGTGGTTCCTCTCATAGAACGCAATCTCCCATGGGCCTCTACCTACGGCAACCACGACAGCGACTATAACCTGTCGCGGAATGCGATCCTGGCTCGAGAACTGTCTTACCCGAATAGCTTGACGAAGAGCATGGTGCCTGGAAAGCTTGCAGGCGTGTCGAACTACTATCTACCGGTGTATCCATCCGATTCCTCGAAGAGCACCCCGGCTTTGATCATGTGGTTCTTCGACAGTCGCGGAGGAAATTATTACCAGGAATTGAAAGACGGGAATGAAGTACCGCAGCCTTGCTGGGTCGATGAATCGGTCAGTAGAATTCCACGAACGGACCCCTATATCACCTCCTGGATCTGCCGTTAACCACCAATCAGGTCGTCACATGGTTCACCAAAACCAATGCCAACTTGGCCAAGCAATACGACACAATTATACCCTCCATCGCCTTCTTCCACATCCCGGTAAATGCCATGCTTGCGTTCCAGAACCAAGGTGTCAGCGTCCACGAAGAGCCGGGCATCAATGCTGATGATCCGTTAGATCAGCAGGGCTCAGCCAGCGGACAAGGGGATGTCTCCGGAACGGTATTCAGCTACTCGGGCCAAGACATCCCATTTATGGAAGCTCTGCTCAACACTAAAGGCCTGATGGCAACTTTCAGCGGTCACGACCATGGTGATGACTGGTACGTACCCCCCTTTCCTGTCTTTCGGGCAGAGAAGGGCTAAAATATGGTAAATTAGGTGCTTCAAATGGGACTCCAAACTCCCCGGAATGAACCTCACCGGAAACGGCCTGAATCTGTGTTTTGGACGCCATAGTGGTTATGGGGGGTACGGGTCCTGGACTCGGGGGGCGAGACAGATCTTGTTGAATGAGAAAACCCTCGGTGAGCAGGTGTCCACCTGGGTGCGCTTGGAAGATGGGTCCGTTTCGGGCACAGTCACTCTTAACGCGACGTATGGGGAGGATTGGTATCCGGCTGTGCCTACAACGTATACCTGAGTCAATAAGAGATGGGGAAAGTGGTATAGCATCTGTCAATCTGCTAGAATATCGTGTTCTGTCTGCCTTGAAATCATATAACACCCATAAAAACTCCTCCAGCTTCGCACCACATTCTTGAGCCTGATCCTTCAATTCACATGGCATTTTACCAAACATACAACGTGCACCCCACAGCCCAAATTCCTGAAACGACCGACACTATCAGTCCGACCAAGGATCATACCCCGTATCGGGATGAGGCCATCCACAATCCACTGCAATATCCTCCCAGCGCAAGATCTCCGACTCCGAGTCACCATCACTATCAAGTATATTGAGAGGACTCCGCAACCCCACCCCATTTCCCATCTCCTTCGCGTTCCTCGCCCTACCATTCCCTCCCTTCCGTCTCCCCGAACTCTGCCGTTCGCGCTCAACCCTATGTTCCTCTCGGGCGCGATCCGCCCACAGCTTCAGCAATTCGGGATTCCTCAAACACCAAATAACCAGATCGCGGGTAGCAAAAGCATCCTCGAGGGCATCATGCCCCTGACTACCAGATTGAATGTCATAGTCAAGCAGCTCCTTAACCAGAGTCTTCAGACCCCAGACACGCTTCAACGGCTGCGTCGCCAAAAGCGTAAGAAACACAATCTCCGCCGTGAAAATCGCCGAATCAACCACGCGCACATGTATCATACCCAGAACACTAAGATCACTATTCAACGAATGCCCAATGAGAACAGTCTCATCATCCACGAAGGCCCACAGCGCCTGACGCGCTTCCTCCCACCCGCGAAACGCCTCCCCTCTCATCAGCGCGGTGGCCATCGACTCGGCGGTGATCCCACTCACGGCGGTTTTCCAGTCGGTAACGGGCAAGCTAGGCTTCACGTACCGATTGATCAAGACGTCGCCGGTGAGAAAATCGACGGCGCTGAGGAAGGCAAGTTCGCGGCGGTTCTGCGATACCTGTACCATCTCGCAGTCTATGACGACTGCCTTTCGTTTGTCTGGGGCTTGGGGGAGGAAGGGCGGGGCGTGGCGGAAGGCGTTCCGGGGGATGATGCTTTTTTGGACCGGACGGTGGCCCGATATGGTATTGGTGGACATGGTGTAGCCTTGGGATTTGAGACGGGCGAGGGGGTGGCACCGGGCTAGGAGGTAGCGGAAGATGAGATTCTGTTCGGGGGTGTCGAGGAGTGTGTATGTGTGATGTGTGGTTTGTGGGTGGTTGAATATAGGGTTTGTTATTGTTGTTGTTGGTGCTGAGTTATGTTAGTATGTGGGTGTGAAGGGTTGGAAGGGTAAGAGTGTACCTGGTATCAGATTGTTTGATTCTCCCATCGCAGTGCTCTGGTAGGAGAGAGGTAGAACGATAGGCAGAGCCGGGGGGCTCGCTGCTACCACCACCGGTTGCTTAGGGCCGGGGCCATTGGAAGCCACGACAGGTTTCTTCGGAGGGCTGCCGTTGGTCGTACTCGTTGGTTTATGAATGACCTGGTGCTGCGCCAGTGAGTGCGAGTCCTTAAACACCCTTTTGCACTTCTCGCAGGTAATCCCATGTCCAAGAGATAACTGGTGGTCCTTCAAGGCTGCGGCCGTCTTAAATTTACTTTTCTGGCATGCCGGGCATGAATGTGTCCCTGCCCCCGCAGAGGCTGATTGCTTGGAGACTTGTTTCTGGGTCATTCTCCGACGATGGATAGTGACATGAATAGATATGCTGTGAGATTACCACAAAGGCATTAGATTCTGGGGGAAGAGGAAGTTAGACCACGAAAGAGGGTGCCTTACGGATATATGTACCCCTCCTTTCCCATCATCAGGCGCCATTTTATGGCAGCGCGCGCCGCATAAGCGCCAGGAGCATGCGTGTAGGGGAAACCCCTGTCCTTGCCCAATCAAATCAGACCACGCATCTGGTGTACTGTCCTCGATGAGGGAATTCACTGGATGATTAGTCTTCTCGTTTTATCGAATCAATCAATTCGATATCAATTGTTTTCTTAGTAGCGCGACTACCCGGAACCGACCGTTGGCGCTAACCTAGGGCTCGATGTGGGAATGTATTCAGCTGGAGGAACCAGATCACCTGTAGGATGAGGAAACTCCACATAGCTTTTTAATATCATGGATCTCGCACGTATCCATCCGGGATAATCAAAGATTCTTATCTCATAGTAATTCATCCTGCGTACATGGGTAGAAAGTAGGAGAGGCCTGTACTCTGAGTAATGCGTCAGTCAATACTTCTTACTCGTGTCAAAAATCAAAGGTGATAATCTCTAGACGCGACGTTTTCGATATACTGCCCCTTTGGAAGGGCATCACCTTCAACACGACCACTTTCTTGGTGTGTGTTAGAATAACCAGGTTCACTCGAAACCAGGATTCTACCCTCTGATATAGCGCACATCAAAGCTGTAACTACTACTTACTCCCTTTTATTGAGTAACAGCCATATCACACTGGTCAGATGTCCATATGTAGTAACAGCTGACAGTCGCTGCACAAGTTCGTCTCAAGGAGGCGTTACTGGTATGTTTTGGAGTGAAAGTCTGGAGAGTTCTTGACCTTTGCGCTCGCTATAACCAGTATGGAACTGACTAGTTGGTTTCGGGATGATACATAACTGGACAGTGAAACGATTCCACTCATCTGGAGACTGTTTGCAAGGCGTGAAGAAGGAAGGTGGCAACAGCAGATTCCTTGATGGGTGCGTACTCGTGGCGACTTCCCTCAATCAATATTCCTATTCACTGGAAGAAAACGTAGGTAGTTAGTCACTTTACCTTCGTGTTTCGGCGATGGCTCTGTTCCCCCCCAACTAGTAAGAATGCTACATGGTAGCCCAAAGAGGTAAAACAGGTTAAATTGTAAGAATTTTTATTTAATTTGGAGTACTGGCCTATCGGAATAGAAAGCTAGAGACTGATATGTGACCGTATTGAACAGATAGTACACTATTCTATTTAGGTGGAAAGTCCAGACCATATCATGCATTCCTAGGTCAAATCTAATCCAAGCTTGATCCCAAGATCTGCACTTCTGGACCCTTGACTTCAGTGACATTTCTAAACACCCCTGCCAGTCATCAGCCCCTATTCTGTCATTTGACTCCACGGCTAACCTTTTCATTGGGTAGTATACTATAGCCAGCCCTTGAGATGACAATCCTCGGAATTACTACGGCCAGTGTGAATTTTAAAGAGGGTGAATTTCAAAGAGGGAATACCTCTTCTCCAATACACAACTACCGTTTCTATGGACATGTGTTTATTATACTGTGGTACATACGTCCGTATTCCTGTGGCGTCAACTAGTAGGATGTTCTAGTAAGTAAACACTGAGGCAAAAGAATACACCCCGCCTACTACGTCTCCTTCGGATATCGACATATCCAATGTGACAGCTTGCTCCTCTTCTATATACCCAATCTTTAATCGACCACAGCCATGGTGAAATCAATCATCAGTGTGCAGTACAGCATTCATACCCATCCCAATAGAATAATTTTACTGTCAACTGCATCCAAACATACCACTATGCACCCAATCTCTTTCCACCATACACCTACCCTCCAACCAATCCCTAACCCTATTTCTTCCACCCTCCAGAAACAAACAGCAAACAAGCCAAAAGCTCACCAAAAAGTTAAATCTAAGGTTAGGGTTAAGCTATCACAAGGTCGTGCACTTCTAACCCTATTCGGCCGATGATAAACCCAGACTCAATCGAAATCGAATCATAAGTCCTATAACAGCGCCCCTCCCCCCCCCCTGCTGCTCCGGTCTTCATTTTGCTACAGCCGCTGTACCACCATATAAAGCTTATCACGAGATACCTTACTTGTGGTAGATAATATTGCCTATTATATCTAACAGAATAATACCTAGGTAAAGTAAGTGGTACATAGTACGTACCGTCAAGAAGACTATTGCAAGTACAGCATCAAGAATCCATTGCTTACTATCCATTGATATTACACCCATAACACAACCCCATCCACCCTATGCACCTTTCCCATGCCAGCAGCAGCAGCACACCCAACCCAACTCTACCTACCTAACCCAAGCTCAACACACCACCATCTTCTCCGTACGCTACCTACCCATTTAGTAAATTAGTACATAATCCCCCTCTCCTCATCCCCGCCCCCACCCCTCCCCCCGCTTAACCTGCAGTATCTTTTCCCGCCCGGCACGCACCCCAGCCGACAAAACACGCCTCTCTCGATTTTAATAGGCCCCCCCTCATTCTCACCCCGAGTAAAGAAAGGCCCGGCCGGGAGGAGAGGAGAAGGGGAGCGAGCTCCGCTACAAGTCTACTAGGTGCGACGAGGGACGGGTGTGGCGGTCGTGTATGTTACCGTTTTTGTGGCCGTGCGGTACCGTATCGTTTCTGTCTTCCCGTCCTGTCGGGGGTGAGGTGGTATTACGAAATGACGGGGTTACAGGGTGCCCGGGGTGTACAGTGATAACTTACCTGGTTTCTTTGTTTTATCGTATGGGTTTGGGAACATGGGGTTGGCTACCTAGATAGGTATATGCTTTGACTGATAATGGATCGAGATGGGTATAAGCGTGGGATTCTTGGTAAGAGATATGTTTACCGAGGGGGATGTGCGTATAATGGCTTTCTATCTCGTCGGCTGCAGCATATAGTGCTCCGTACTACAACATGACAGACATCGGGATAACCCGGACACTGGCAGCATCGAATCGGGAAACCGGGATTGCACTCGACCGGACTCGGGTGTTTCGTTCGGTCCTTACAACCGTACTTAAGACACTTCACTGCAGCCAGACGTCATCCAGCATGTGTCTTCACATCCATAAATTTTCCTTAATCTTAATCTTGCTGAATAACACCCATATGATTGGATCCGAGGGTCAATTCCCTGCTGATTGTGCTCGGTACCATTGGCCGAGAACCCGAGTCAAAGAAGAAAAAGAAATTACCTCGTGTAGAGTTTCCCGCGCGACCGCACCCGGCATGTCAATGTCGTCACGACTCGCTACCAAAGTTTTTTTTTTTACTGAGAACGGATGGCCATGCCAATGGCGAATAGGTAGTGAATGGATAGAGAAAAAAGGATAACCTGCAACGCGGCAGGGCAGTTGATTGAAAACCAAAAAAAGTCTAAAAAAAATCGATCCAATCCATCTAACCAACCCAGTGGAAGAGACATCATTGGTAATGTGTGTGGGAAATGTAAGAAACAGGATTTGTTTGACGCTGCATTTCATTGCATTGCATGTGCATGTGCATCCTCCGCAGGGGAAAAGAAAACAGCCAAAAGGAAAATGAAAAGCCCAGTCTAAAACATAATATTCAAAACAAAATCAGTCGGCTCTCTGGCTTTTTTTTTGGTCCAGGAGCGACGATGGATATCAGTAGTCCAAACCCGTAAGCCGTAACATGCGATGAGAGTGTCTAACATCGATCAAGATGTAAACAAAGAAATGGGGAAATTGGGAGGTGAAGAAGGAAAGAAGACACGCCGCGAAAGTCGAGCATTTACTCGATGGCCGAGGCGCTGTCGCCGTGGAGAACGGGGTTGACCTTAGGGTTCCACTTGAACTTGAAGTCCTGGCCGAGCTCCTTGCGGACGGCGGTCTTGACAGCCTCGAGCACGTTGGGGAAGACACCGAAGTTGGCCGGGTTGTTGTCGTCGTTGTCGCCGCCCTGGAACACACCGGTGCGCACCAGACAGGTGTTCCAGCCGTACATGTTACCACCGCAGATGTCGGAGGCCGGGTTGTCACCAACCATGTAGACGTTCTTGGGCAGGCGGCTCTCGTTGTGGAGCTGCTCCATCCAGGACTTGAGCACCTCATCGGCGTAGGTGTAGGTGGCACGTTCGGGCTTGCCGTAGACGACACGCTCCAGGTCGACACCGGTGAGGGCCTTGTACTGAGCCTCGATGGAGATACGGAAAGCACCCTGGGTCAGACGGGGAGGTCCGCGGTGGTCTGTGGGCATGATCAAGTCACCCTGGGAGAAGTAGACGGGGATACGGGTGGCCACGGGGTCCTTGGCACGGGTCAGAAGCTTGCCGTCCTCAGCCAGAAGCAGATCGAGGATGAGCTGCATGTCCGTCTGGTAATCGCGGGAGTCGGCAAAGACCAGGATGGCGTCGAACTTGATCTTGGAGAAGTCGCGAGGCTTGGCCTGGGCGCGGTCCTCCTCACTGAGGGTGGCCCAGGGGGAGACAGTGGGGTCCCAGGCGAGGATGTCCTTGGGGTGAACGACGTTCTTGAAGCCGTAGTTCTCGGCGACCTCGCGGATCTTCTGGCCCTCACCACCAAGCACAAGGACGGTCTCGTAGTACTCCGCCAACGCCTGCATTGGGGTGTGAGACTGGATGAACTGGTCGGTGGAGATGGGGCAGTCGAGGACTTCGGTCAGCTGCTGGCAGCGCGCCTCCTCGGTCTTACCACCACCGTTGGTCAGGAGGATGTAAGGGATCTTGATGCCGAGCTCGTTGTCACCGTTGAGCATCTTCAGGGCCTCCTTGGCCTGAGGGATGGCGTGGTTGCCGTGGGCCAGGACACCGTCAATGTCGAAGGCGAAGGCCATGTTCTTGGCGGCAGCGACCTTCTCCTTGGACATATCCTGGACCTGAGAGGCCAGGATGTCGCGGGAGACATCCGCGGTGACAACGGACGACAGACGGGAAACCCGGGGGGATCTGGGGATGGGGAGAGAGGTGCCGAAGGAGTTGCGGGAGGCACGACGGTCCCGAGAGGAGGGAGCGAAGCTCAGGTTGTGCATGTACTGAGCGGCATCACTGATGGCGCTGCGGGTGGCGGGGATCTCGACCGTGTTGCCGCTCTCGTTGGGGATGGGCAGAGAACCGGCGGCGCTGCCACGCTCCCGGGGGGAGAGAGTGCCGGTGGCAGGGGCACCATCGACGGCGAGGTCAGCGTCTTCGAAGCGAGGCATGGTGGTGATAGGGGTGAAAGAGGATGGCTTGGTCCGGTATAGAGGTTGGTATAAGTAGAAGGGAGGGATCGAGTGGATGATATCACTCTAGGGCAGGACAACCAGGCAAGGACGGCGTCAACTGCAGAATTGTCTCCGGAGAGAGTTGGAAAAAGGATGGATGAGGATGGAAGAATAGTTGAGGATGTCAGGAAAAAAGTTGAGACAACCGTGGGCAAAGCTGGACACATATATAACAAGCTTTCTTCACAGACAGTGGCGGTAAGTTCCAGCGGACGAGAGGACTCCAGCGTGTTTACCCTGCGTGCAGCCATTCGGAGCAGCCACTTCAGCCATTCAGTCACCGGGCTCCACCAGAAGGGGGGGGGGGGGAGGGGCGTATCATCATCCCTAGGAATTATCGTCATCGGTATTCGTACAAAGTAGTGCGTACTGGGTAAGTTAGAAATGTAGGAATTGTGTGGACTCTTTCAACCTGGAGAGAGACTGAGACTGGGACTGAGACTCTCCTGCGGCGGAGACCAGAGGGAGCCAACAATGGCAGGCCCGTGGATCCCCGTAATCTTACCGACCCTTACCGCTGGACCCTGGCTGGTGGTCATTTACCGTCACTGGTGTATCAGTCGGTACCGGTATGTACCACGTACCATATCCATACCACCCATACCACCCCCATGCTACTATGTACCTAGTAAGGTACCTTCTCCCCCGTCCATTGAGGCATTTCCATCCCTACCGCAGCCGCTTTACCCTACCCAAGTCCGTACATGGTCGCAGCTGGGATGCACACCTCCATGCCGACCAGCATCGTGGCTGCAGATGGGAGCCTGAACTGCCCACCCCTCAGCGGGGCGGGAGGCCTGGTGAGGAGTGGCATCACCGCCAGTGGCAGGGCTGATTGGACCAGCCCGAAATTGGTTCGCAGGACGAACCGCCGAGGAGAGCAACTGGAGCGCTGGTGAGTGGACAGGAGGAGGGCCGATGGGGCGGCCCTCCCATGGACCAGCCAGAGATCGCTGGAGCCGATGACGATCGAGCGGGCGCCGGCGGGTCAAACGCTCGCGCCGTTTCGAACCAGTGCCGGCTGTGATGTCATCGAGTAGATATCGAATTCTCGACTGCTGTTACGGACGGGGTACTAAGGTACAGTACTAGTACGTGTACTAGTCCGTTTGGGCAGGTGGGGGGCGCCCCATTGGCAATTGCAGGGCACATGCCGTCATCTCAGGAGCTGCGAGACCCGAGCTTGAGCTTGAGATGGCATGTAGCGATAGATTGGGAATGGGGAGGACCACCAACACCACCCAAGATGGGGGAAATAATGGGGGGGAAGGGGAGAGGGGGGGACAGTTCGGGGATAGGGTACGGAATAACGGATAGAAAGAAGAGGGCAGCAACGCCCAAAAAAGCCAAAAAATCAGGGCGCGGCTATAGCATCACTCACAGTACCCCTCAACACCCCTCCACCCCACTTGCTGTGTGCCTCCCAGTCCAACTCCCCCCTCCCGGCCACACCGGGAGTCAGTCTGGTCTGCCCGACCTCTTCTATCTATTTGTACTCATACTTCTTCTTCTTCTTCTTCTTCTTCTTCTACTTCTTCTTCTTCTACTCCCTTCCTTCATCTCTATTTCATTATACCCAAACAAACTTCTCCTCCTTCCCTCCCTCCATCCCTCTCTTTGATTCCAATCACAATCATGTCTAACGGAAAGACCTTCACTCTCAGCAACGGCGTCAAGATCCCCGGCGTGGGTTTCGGCACCTTCGCCAGCGAGGGCGCCAAGGGTGAGACCTACCAGGCCGTCACCGCCGCCCTGAACACCGGCTACCGTCACCTCGACTGTGCCTGGTTCTACCTCAACGAGGACGAGGTCGGTGACGCTGTCCGCGACTTCCTCAAGGCCAACCCCACCATCAAGCGCGAGGACCTCTTCATCACCACCAAGGTCTGGAACCACCTGCACCGTCCCGAGGACCTGGTCTGGTCCGTCGAGAACTCCCTCCAGAAGCTCCAGCTCGACTACATCGATCTCTACCTCATCCACTGGCCCATTGCCGCCGAGAAGGAGACCCAGGAAAAGCCCAAGATCGGCGCCGATGGCAAGGTATGTGTATCCCTTCGCAGTGTGAACCACTCCCACTAACCCCCCGATCTAGTATGTGATCCTCAAGGACCTCACCGAGAACCCGGAGCCCACCTGGCGCGCACTGGAGAAGGTCTACAAGGAGGGCAAGGTCAAGGCGATCGGCGTGTCCAACTGGACCATCGAGGGGCTGGAGAAGCTCCTCAAGTTCGCTGAGGTCAAGCCCCACGTCAACCAGATCGAGATCCACCCCTTCCTGCCCAACACCGAGCTGGTCAAGTACTGCTTCGACCACGACATCCTCCCGGAGGCGTACTCGCCGCTGGGCTCCCAGAACCAGGTCCCCACGACTGGTGAGCGCGTCAGCGAGAACGCGACCCTGAACGAGATCGCCTCCAAGGGCGGCAACACCCTGGCGCAGGTGCTCATCGCCTGGGGTCTGCGCCGCGGCTACGTCGTGCTCCCAAAGAGCTCCAACCCCGCCCGCATTGAGTCCAACTTCAAGAGCATCGAGTTGTCCGATGCGGACTTCGAAGCCGTCAACAAGGTCGCCGAGCCCCGCCACTTCCGCTTCGTCAACATGAAGGACACCTTCGGCTACGATGTGTGGCCCGAGGAGACCGCCAAGAACCTGTCTGCTTAAACAACCACACTTTTTTTGAGATTTATGCGGGTCATAAACGGAGTACATAAGCAGGTGGGGGACCTTTCGACATACCACGGTTGGGCGCTGGCGTACGTGAATGAGCTATGAGATGGAATGTGATCGATGTCGACATCCAAAAAAACCCTTCCAAGTCCTATCAAATACACATGAATAGTTACACAAAATACAATACGTATAGAAGAGCCAGCTGTATTTCACTTTCCGTATCTCCTCCCCACTACCTATGTAATATGTCTACCGACTTACCCAGATGAGTAGGTATAGTAGACAGACACCCAGGAACATACATATCAGCTAGGTAGCTAGCTAAGTCAAGACCAAAAAGACCATCCCCCGATACATAATTCCTCCCGCCAAGTCGCTCGCCAGCCACCAATACGAACATCTGAAGCACTGAGCGAACCTTCCTGCATGCATGCATGTGCTGAAAAGCCGACCGAAACAAACCAATCAATCCCGCAGCGGACTACCGCTAACCAACCGTGGACTCGGAGGACAGTCCTCCATGTGTTTGCGACTAGTCCTGCCGAATGACGTAGTGCGCTGTCAAATCGGGTCCGCAGAACTATGTATGTATCTTATGTCGTTTAACTTTGTACTGTGTAGTAGTAATCTGTACCCTGCATCCAACATGGGATACTCCTGCCTACCTGCCTGCCTGTCACACAAACAAAACAAAACAAAACAAACTGGGAAGGCAAGGAAATGAAAAAGAAGCTCTAGATCCCAATCGACCATTTGAACGACATAGGTACATCATCGGATACCCCTTCCAACCCTTCCCTCTGTATCAACAACAATAATAATAGTAACTAATAGTGACAATAACCATGACCCTGTTACACATGCTGTTACACAACCTAAGCCCAGGCACACCCCCCCCCCCCCCCCCCTACACACAGTATCCATAGATTGTATTCTGTAGTAGTGTAACAAGTCGTACTCCGTATACATAAAAAAAAAAACCACTAACCTAAACCCCCCTTAGCCCCAATTCCCAACATCGGAGAATCCCGGAAACACAGCCACCAGCTCGGTGGACTAATCCGGGCAAGCCCTAAAACACCGAGTCGCTGGATGGGGAAAGGCTCGGTCGGTGGTGGGGCGGCCGTGACTTATTTGCCCTAACCTAACCTAACCCTACGACGGGGGCTCCTGGTTGGTTAGTGGTTACGAGGGATTAAGGGGGAGGAGGTGGTTGGTTGGTTGGGTTGGTTGGCATGATTCGGATGTCTTTGCTGCTGACGCTGTTGCGTTGCTACTAGATACGCGCTGCCCCTGGATAGTGGATGGATGGATGGATGGATATCGGATGGATGGGTTTGGTTTTGGGTAAGTGACGTGACGTGGTGCGGGAATTATTCTTTCGGCTTTGGCTTCGGGTTATGGGTTTATGGTTTGGGATGTTATTATTGTTGGTTGGTGGTTATGATGATAGTGGTGCTGGTGCTGGTCCACTTGGTAATGTCGAGACTTGTAGTGTAGTGTTTGGTTACTGATTACTGGTTACTGGTTACTGGTTCAGGTTCAATGGTGGTGCCTGATGATGGAATAATGGAAAAAGTCCGAGATGGATGGATGGATGGATGCGATGCTCTTGTCTCATTGCTTGCCAGGTTTGTTCAATTTTCCGACTTCCGAGGAATAAGCATCCATCATCTTGTCTCTACTCTCTACTATCTACTTTGATTCGACCTTATCGGCGATGGGGTTCCGAGTATTGTCCGTCGGTATACCCCGTGCTGGTATAGGATGCGCGGTGATGACTCTATCGGGAAAGGGGGCTTTCGGCTTTCCTTTGGACTGAAGTTAGTTGGTTGGATCTGCGGGATTTTAGGTGATGTGATGTTGGTTGGTTATCTTTTATACTTTACCAGGGAGTGTGTATCTGGGTGGATGGCTGGGAGGGGTGTTATAGGAAAGTGGTTTGAGATAAGGATGCGCGTGTATATTTGGTGGGGTGAAAGAGTCAGGAGATGATTTGAGGGAATCGATGTGTGTGCGTACAGATCATTTACTTCTGTTTTCTGTAGAATAAAGTACTTGGTGACATATCCCTTGGAATTGAAAGTATATAGAATTCTCCAGTTAAGTACTACTACATATATGTTGCTTAGAGCACGCCATAAATATCGATTCTTACTTACTGGTGATCTCGAGGGGAAAAAAAAAATATGGCCGCGATAAGGAATTAGATTATCTTCCCGCATACCCAGTAGCCATCATATTGAACCGCCCAATAGGATCGAGCCAGTTTTTGGTTAAGTGCCAGTGTTGTTTAGGACAGGATTCGCACCATTCTTGAGAAAATGACATTGTAAAAAATAGTAAATCTATGTGTCTTCTTGACCATCCATCGTACTTGGATATCCAGACAATTTATCATTGAAATGTCTAATCTAGAGATATCTCTGAAGTACACAACATCTCTAGAACCGTCATCTCATCTCTTACCAACCTGCTTGTTATACGGAGTACATACACTGTGAAATGCCTGCTCCGTACAGAACACCGTCTTCCCCAGCGTAGAGGCCAATGTCAACTCCTCTAGACAATCAAAGCATTCTACTGAAGATTGGTCCAAGGATTCGTCCATCACAGCATTAGATCGAACCTATACAAAGTGTCATGATAGCCGACATCCTCTCAGAGCACAACACATGAAACCATATCAAATGCGCCAAAGCTCTTTATAATATCCAGTTCCCTATTTCCCACATAATCATTTTAAAAAGCTACTCCTCACAGCTACAGAGCAATGGTCTTCTGATATAACACTCATCTAGTCACAATGGCAGACAATACAAAGAGAGCGGAAATGTATTAACTATAATCGCACCAAGATTCTCTCTCCCAAGTTCAAGGACTCGGCGAGAGATATCTTCTTTGTCTCAATTGCGACTACTAGAAACTCGAGAGATGGAGAGAGGATCATAAGTGCCATTATATATTAAAATCTATTCTCAGATTAGATCATAGATGATAGTCAGAGTTTCAAAGTGTGAGTTTACTTTTTAGGTACTATATAGTTGAAGGTAAATGTTGTGTAAGTTCGCCACCAAGCTTGATTCCAATCTCAATTATCAGATAAGTCATGCATCATACCTAGTATCCTCAAGATTCGTAGAATACTTAGTCTTAGCAGTGCCATCTATCACTTCTAGCCTTCTATCCAACCAATCTCAAATAGGAAAACAATCCCTCTCCTCATCACAGGAAAGCATCTCACCCACGAGATATCGTTTATTATCCAAGTATACTAAACCAGAAAGCTCATTTCCCTCTCAGTCTCAAGGCGATCAACAGAATCATTCCATAATACTCACAATAACTTACCAGGTAATCAACTCTCTACCCTACATCCCATACAAACCTCTCTACCAGGATATTTTACCCACAGCTAGATAGATCCATCACCATATGCACAACACAGCACCCCCAAACCAATTATACAGACTTGCATGCAGACCGCGAGGAGTTCCAGCTTCACCCGCAGGCTTGGAGAGCACAGAGCATAGTACATACTATTTAGTTGGACGGGCGACGACATCAAGATCTCCCTACGTGGTCGAGACCTCCACGCTAGATCACCAATATCAGGGATGGTAACGAGGCGTTATGTAGGCCTTACATAGAGATGATGTTATATGCGGAAGATCCTTGCTTTATGCGGCTCACTGTCTCTTAAGACTCGGGAGGGGCTGGTTTAGTAGGTATGGTGACGGTACGGGATACAGGACCGTATGTGTGGTTCCTGGTATTGAAGTTTGCCTTGGGTTGTTTGTTGGCTGAGGGTGTATCCATCTAGAAGGACCACGCGTGGAGATCGACAGTGATCCGTGCGATGGAAGGGTGATCGTTGATCATCACGAGGCTTACTTCTACTCCGTGGCTGATCTATACAATCATGAAGGACAGAAAGGAAATAAGAGTAATTAAAGGGCTGTATAATCGCGCAGCGATAATCAGAATACCTAAGGTAGGTAATAGGTAGGTATGGACCATATGAAACCGTAAACACAACGCCGTCCTCTGAATCCCATCCCAAACGCCTTGATTATGTACACTGCCCGTGGCACTAACACCAGCACCAGGGCAGAAGCATGAAGCCACACTGGATCAATACTCACGGACGCGGGCGGACTTTCCGCGCGACCGGGGTCGAGCCAGCATTGACCTTCAGCAGATTCGTCTTTGCGCTACTACTGCGCAGTGATGTCTTGATGCCGCCGACAGACTTGGACGGCGTCTCCATCGCGGTCTTGGGGGACTTCGGGGTCAGCTTCTTGCGTTTTTGAACCGGGCTGTCGCTGCTTGAGGGGGATGAGGGGGAGCAGGCCATAGTCAAGTCGAGCTTGGGAGCTCCCGCACCCAGCCGACGCACGCGCCGCGTCCGAGGTGTTGCAGTAGCAGGTGCAGTAGTGGCTGCGTCGGGGCTATCCTCCCCACCAGTCTTCTGCGCCGCTTGAGCCCGCGTAGTGCGACTACTGGCTGCCTTTCTTTGCTCGGAGGTATTGTCGGACCCCTTACCTGCCAGCGCGGCGACGTCACGGGGGTCCGTCACACCATCCTCGTCGCCCTGGAATCGCACGAGCTGGGCATCGTTCCAAGACACATGCTTCTTTGCCGTCTTTGGGGGCCGCCCCGAGTCGTCTGCAGGCTTGTCGTCATCCGAGCTAGGAGTGGTCGAGGAGGGCTCTTTCTTGGATTCCTGGGACTTGCGCACCAGCCCTTGCAAGACGAACTTCGGCATCAACGCATTGCCTCGATTCAGTCGCGTGTTCCGCCGCGTCGCCAGTGCCAGCTCCTGGGCCTCTGTGCGCTGCAGGAAGATGAATTCGGTGCCCTTGGCGCGGCGCAGTGAGAGCGTATTGCGCACGGCAGCGGCGGCGGTGGCCGTCCGCATGGGGGAAGAGCGCGTGGTGCGGGGTCGGGTGCTTCGGCGAGGGCTGGAGGGCTGGGGGCTGCCATTTTCATTGTCTAGCGCTTTGGTGGGTGACTGCTGAGACTTCTGGGGCGAGGGAGAGTTGGTGTCGAGATCTTCCAGCACGCGGCGCGACTGCGGGATCGGGGACGCGACCACGGACGCAATCACGGCGGTTGTCTCTGGGTCGGTCTTCTCGGGTTCCGCATCCTGCGCGACCATCGCGGCGGCTTTGGCCTCGCGCTTGGCCTTAGCCTTGGACAGGAAGTTGCTGAGCAGCTCCGCGTCTTCTCCGTCCAATGAGCTGCGCAGGGCCGACCGGACCAGGGTCGATTCCTGCTCGGCCGTTAAATCAGCCGCGGGGTCGTTCAGGGCTTTCGCGTCTACTGTCACGGTCGGCTGTTCGACAGGGAGTAGCTCGCCGTTCAATGTAGTCTCCACTGATTCATCCTGGTCGGTCTCGTCCGGAGTCGTGGAGTCCTCAGCGCTCGCGTCCGAAATGTCCAACACTGGCTGTTCGCCGCGCTCGGGGGCTTTTATGTCTGCATCGCTGGCCAGCCCACCGGCCACTAGGGCAGGATGGCCATGTAGCAGGCGGGGATAGGCTGCGGCGGGGGCCAGTCTGGTGGGGGTGTCAGGGATCGGGCTGGATGATTCGTCTGCAGCGGCCGAGTTCTCCGCGAGGGTTTCGTCCAACGTCGACGTGGGCTCATCCTCGGCGTCGCTGACATCGTCACGAGCCCCTGGCTGTAGGCTGTCGAATTCCACCGGCTCGTCGGGGATGTCCACGAAATCGCTATATACGAGGGGTAATTTGCCTGCTATCATTAGCTGATCGGAACTCAAATTACACGGGATGGAATAGACCGGATGAATACTCACGTCTGCGACCATAGGTTTCCGACTCCCACTGCGTCTCGAGAAACGAGCGTCCACGCACACCACCGTCCACCCCATCTGTCTCCAGCGCAAAACACCTGCGCTTCGTGCCGCGAAGGAGGCCGGGATTCCGCGTGACGTTGATCTCCAATTGTAGTTCCTCGTCAATGGTGTGACGTTCCGCCCCGACCAGCTGCTGCAGGCCCTTCATGCTGTTGAACGAGGAGCGGAAGCGCTTCCAGACAGTACGCGACTTGCCGCGGGCGCGGAACGCGGTGGACGGTTTGCGTTCCCAGACGCGGGGGGCGCTTTTGGCGACTTTGACGGGGGTGAATCTGAACCGGGTATCTTCGTGGGAGAAGGTGGATCTGAGGTGTAGCGGACTGGGGGTTTGTTAGTGAGGTCGAGGTGAGGCGTCCATCCGAGGAGAACGAAGTCGTCAGGACAAAATAGGGAGGAGGCGGAGAAAAGGGGCCACCCGAGGTAGTGCTGGTCCCTCCTGGCCCCTTCACCGACCGGAGACATTCAACGGCTCGGTATGCAGACCGTCTAGACGGACAGAGGAGTGAAACTCACCATGCCGGGCGGAATGTGTCCGGAGGACAGACAAAGTCCTCCATCTTCATGGTGGAGGCGACTGGAATGTGAATCGGTCCGAGGTTGGGGGTCGAGGGGAGTGGGGAGGAGTGAGGAAATAATGCAGCTGCTAGTACTATTAGGATAGAGGATGCAGTCAGAAACAGTCGAGGGCCGGGGATATCAATGAAGAGTTGTCGCGTAATCGATGCTGAAGGATCGAGCGGCGAGGCGAGCGGGTGTTGTGCCGCCCGGGCGCCCCGTTGCCCGGCCAACCGCCCCGTTCGGGCTGAAGTATAGGACTCTCTCTAGAGATCTGAGAGTTCGAAGAAACTACGAGTACAATAGGTCAATAGTACAATAGTACCATATACGGTCGTATCAGGATGCGCAGACTATTGACCCTCCAATTCCCAGTAACATTGAAGCCGGTCGCGTCTTGCTCAGTCTTCCTTCCTGTGATTGTACATTGCCCACCAATTCAGTGTATATACCCCGGGAAAGGGCCGAACAGGGAATACCTTGCTAAAGTACTTCATGATATGGTTATAAGGGTAATAATAATTGTCCAAGTGTCATAGATACCGGCTGATACCAGCTATATTCCTGGCAGATGCTCCTATCATAGGCTCCAGGGAACGTTTCGTTCAATTTCTGTACAAGAATTCCGACGTGCTCATCAACAGTCCTTGTAGGTCTTTCAAGGCCCATAAACTTGCATCACCATGTGGCAGTTCGAGGTAACCCGGTGATGCATGGATCTAAACTTACCTACGTAGATCGCAGTGGTGTTGAAGGTTCCATACTTCAGCATATTGTTTTCGCAACTCCGCATGGAAGGGCTGTTCAGTAATTACTTATGATGAGCTTGCTTGCATGCCCCGCCCCTTTCAGACACCAAACTTTTCCCTGCCGACGGGTAGGGGGGTTATACTCGCGGAGAAAGCGCTCGAGACGGCCAACTCCACAACACCGCCAGGCCTATTGACAAAAACGACACTACGGCAAAAGTCGACCTAGAGGACATATTCTAACCAGGTTCGCTTGCATCGGGGTGAACAGGAGCTTTAGCGGAAGCTTTCTCCAGGACAATTTCGACCATGTTACCCGGCACAGCCGCACTTCTATGCAGGGACTGCTGTTGCTGCTGTTGCTGCTGTTGCTGCTGTTGCTCCTGGTCAATCCGACGCAGAGAACATCGAGCGGAGGTGGAAGGCGCGCGGTGAGGTTGGAGTGGAGACAGATGGCGGGGGATCGCGGGGGAGGGGGGGGGGGGGGTTTATACTTCCCCGAAAGCGCACGCCTGAGGCCAGCCCCGAGGCGGAAGCGGGCTTTGCGAACTGGATGGCATCCAACAGCGCGCTTTCTACTTCGGGATTATCGGCCGTCGACGCAGCTGGATCGAACGGCACACAGTGAACCCGGGCGTTATTGGCTAACTTGTACGTCGTGGTTCAAGAAAACAAACGACTTGGATAAAGGTGCGACGAAAGATATCGACGTCCAGTGACATTTGCCAGTTGGATACGGTACATGTTTCAAATTCAAAGGAGGTGTGATGAGCCGGCACCGATGAAAACGATGAATATAACAAGGCCCATGTGATGATCGCTCTTGCCCAGCAAACTCCAGATGTCGAGGACCAGCTTCTGCGTTCTGAGTTGTGCACGATCGTCGCCATCATGAATTACAGGATCAAGGGCAAGGAGTACCAGGATCCTATCACCTGTCCGGTGAGTGTCGCGACCATTGTCAGCTGATACAGCGACTGAGAACACCCGCTAACCAGCACGACACTGTGTTGTAGATTATGGTCCTGTCGTTCAAGGGCGACAGGCAGGGTCGGATTCTCCAGGCCCGCTTCGACCCTAAGAAGCGAACGCTGGTGATGCGAAAGCTCTATGGTTGATCCACATTCGAGAAGGCGGGGAAGAACGTTTCTGTGTTCCTGCGGTTCATGACGTGCAAGTTGATCGGGGAGACCACGGTCGTCTAAATGCGGGGTTTTATCATATCCAGGAACAGGAAATAGATACCGGAATAAGCAGAGCCGGAATGGAACCACTGTCCCCCAAAGCCGAGGCGGACTTCACATCTCACGCTCATAGAACATGCGCGCAGACCAGCCGTAGAAAAGTAAACACAACATGACACCCAAACTCCAACGCCATCCCACAGTAGTAGGAGTCGCTACCCAATACATTGACAGTTGAATGCATCCCCCGTTCGTTCGCCTGTCCATTCGTCCAAGCATCTAGACCAGCATCTCCTCCATATCCCGCTCATCAAACGGATCTCCGAACTCATCTACCACATCACATCACCGAATCAATTAGCCTCTTCTCTTCTCTCTTCAGTCCAACACACCCAACCCACATCCAGTCCCAGAGAAACACATACCCAGATTAAAATCCTGATCGACCACATACTCCATAGCGCGCTGATACTCCTCCTCTGCGCGTTTATTCATCCATGATGCGCCGGGCGCCTGCTGGTCTAATGGCTGCTGTTGCTGCTGCTGGGCGAGCGGAGAGTCGGTGAATGCACCGGGCCCGAAGCTTCCCTGCCCGCCGAGCGTGCTGGTCTGGGTTTGGGTCTGGGAGCCGGGCGGGGAGAGCTCCGAGCCGCCGAACGGGGGACGCACGCTGGAGAGCTTGTTGGTGGGGGTGCGCGTGCCGGGGTGGGAGTCTTCGGAGAGAGCTTGGGAGGATTCGGGGGATGAGGCCATTTGGGAGTCGCCGTCTGGGTCTGCGGGGTGGGTGGGTGGGTGGGTGTTAGCTCGTGAGGTGAGGTGAGGAGGGATCGATGTGGGAATGGGAATGGGAAGCGGGGAGAGAGGAGAGTAGAGTAGAGTAGTTAAACGGGCTGGGCTAAGCTGCGCATGGAGAGAGGGGGAAGAAAGAAGAGACAAACAGACCGGTAGCCATGGCGGTGTATCTATTTAGACTAGTCTAGATAGGTAGTCTCCGATCTTCCAGCAAGGCAGAGGGGCAAACAAACGAGGCGGACGACCAGACAGGCTGCGGTTGCGATTGCGGGTGCATGCAGAGTGGGCGGCGAGCAACAATGATGATGCGCTGCGCTGCGGGATGGCCGTGGACGAGTTGCCGCCATCCTCGTTATTAACTAAGCAGCCGTACGGCGGCAAGTCAGTTTTCCTCTTCTCGTTTCGCTTTTCTCCCCCCTCGCCTCAACCGCCTCGGTCATTCTCTCTCCTTGGTTACTATAGACCCCGACGCTTTGGTAGATCCCATTCCACGCTCGCTTTTTGGTATATACAATCCAACACCCCGACTGCGCCTCTTTCGCTGTTTACGGTCGCTCTTGAACCTATTCTATTCTATCCACTCTATCTACAATCTACATCCCACGCAGGGATCCCTTTGGCCATGAGCGCAAAGCCGTCATCTGGCCCCGACGCCTGGGAGGAGGACTGGGAGAAACAAGCTGATGTATGTGATGTTTTTGGGATCAACTGACCTGCGCTCTTGCTGCTCGACTGTGAATTATACGATCATTCCCTGCAATGCCCTCTAACAGTTTATTCCCCGTCAGACGTTCGCGGACGAACCCGCCCCGCCTCCGCCGGAGAAGAAAGTCTCGTCCAAAGTGTCTAAGGCCCAGCGCCGAGCACAGCAGGCCGAGTTTAACCGCCAACTATGGGCCGAAGCGTAAGTCTCGGATCACTGACAACTACCATGCATTACAGTTGATGTCATCTGACGATGTTCTGACGCTGTTCTGCGTAGTGAATCCCCCCAGACATTCCATTTTCTAGAATCTCGGTCCGACGTCCCGCTTAAGCAAGAATTCAAACCCACTGTCACCCTTCTCAGTCGCAATCCGCATCTGATCACCCGTCAATCGTCTTCGGTCGACGGGACCAGCGCCGGCGTGCAGCGATTGGCGTTGAATGACGATGATGACTCGGATGATGACAAGTCAGGGCAGCCCACGCCCGAAGAGCGACATGCGATTGCGCTGCGCAATCGGGAAGAGAAGCAGCGCAAGTACGAGGAGGTTCGAGAGAGGTTGTTTGGGAGTCCCTCTGCCCCGACCTCGGGCGCTTCCTCTCCCCGCAGTGCCACCCCACCGAAACAGCACGAGGGTCGCGGCAAAGGGAGAACTCGGGGAAATGGTCGGGAGAACACGAGAGAGAAAAGGGATTCGTCTGCGACGTCAGGGAAGGCCAAGCAGCTCTACGACCCGGGGTCTCCCAAACCGAACCCCATCCAAGGACAGCGCAAGGAGAAGCAGAGCGGGATCCGGAGGGATGACGATTCCGTATCCCCACACCAGCCGATCCGCAGTCCTCGAGGCCCAGATAGCAGTGGGAGAGGCGGGTTTCGATCGGGCAGCAGGGGTGCCCGGGGGGGCTAGACTACGAGAAGACAAAGCTAATCATCGCTTCGCCAGAAATGGCAGATTGCAATCGTCGTGTGTTGACAATGGGAGGCGACTCCAGGTCGCTGCCCCGGAACTCAATTTAGCATGCTAGATGGTATAACTACCGACCTACAGCCAATCAGGGAAGCCCCCTGCCAGCATTGATCGCATTGGCAAGTTGGGAGGTGTTGGGTCGGTTTTCTAGGGGAGTCAGCTGGAAGATGGTAGTGACTACAGATCACTTACCCGCATATCGCTCATAACTATCCAGATAGAGCTCATCGGAGCTGGTGGTCGCCTGGACATGCTCGTCGCTCTCAATTGCGTCTACCCAGGCACCCCAACGACTGCCGGGTTCCGGGTCTGGCCAGCCACGGTAGGGGCTGAGGACGCGGCGCAAGCGGAGGATCCACGGGGCCACCTGGATATCCACAAAGGACATACTCGCGCCCAGAAAGAACGGGCCCTGGGCGTGTGCGGCCGTGACCAGCGTGTTGAACGCATCGCGGAGCTCTTGGGCGTGGGCAATTTGTTTCTGCGTGTCTTGTTCCTGAAGGACGCGGTAGAAATTCGGAACAATATGGCGGTTGACCTGCAACCGTCAGATTGGATTAGCGACAGCAGGTCAGGGACATACGAAATCGGTCCACAGTCGGCAATGCGCCCGCAACTTGGGATCCCCGGATGGGAGCAATGGCGGGCCAACATTCAGATCCTCTAGCTGGGGAAGTGTCAGGGGGTGAGTGGTTCAGTGGAAGGTGGATGGCGTACGTATTCGAGCAATACAGAACTCTCATAGGAGCCCCAGTCGCCATGGCGCAAGGCCGGGACGAGGCCCCTGGGGTTTACCTCCAACAGAGACTGGGGCTTCTGGTACGGGTCGACTTCGATGTACTGGTACGGAATACCCTTGAGCTCCAAGGCGATCCAGACGCGCTGGACGAAGGGGCTGACGGGTGGTCAGCCCTGCACGGTGTATATAGCGGTCAAAGTTAGACATTAGAAGTGGACCTACCAGAAGCAACTGCCATACAATTTCAACTCATTTTCCTGGGCACGGAACGAAACGGTCTGGGCAGCCAGTCCGGTGGCTTTGGTGTGATATGTTTTCTGTGGCTGGCTGGGGGTAGACATGGCTCTGTTCTGTGCAAGGAAACGATCAGAACGGCAGGGAATCAGTGGTCTAGGGCGGAATGCAATAATGCAAGTGGACAATCGGCCTGACGGCACTGGCTTGCAGCGCAAGAGGGGTCTAAGGAACATGATGGGATGAGGGATGAGGGATGAGGGCGCAGAAGGGCGGGGAAGGCAGGTTCAGCACAGCAGGTGCAGCCCGCCGAGTGACGTAACACAGCCCTCGGATCGCAGCAATCAAAACAATCCCTCCCTCCCCCCCGATTAAAAATAGGTCATCTCGCGACTTACAGACAGCGACTTCTTCTTCTCCCTCGCCTCCTTCAGCATATACCGTTGCACACTATTCTTCTTCACCCGGTCACTCTCCTCCAACGTATGCCGGTGCCCGCCACTCACCCCATCATTCTTCCCATTAGCCCCATTCCCATTGACGCGCTGGATGGTAAAAAACCGCTGCCCATTCACTCCAGGATGACCCTCCGGCAGCGGTGGGTTCAGGCTGGGGGTAAGCAGTCCAAACGCCTGAGCCTGATTCTCCTGCTGGTGCTGCTGTGCATCCGCGACACTACCCTCCCCCGCACCGTCCACATCCACACCCGCACCCGACCCCAACAACAGCCCTGAAGCAGCCCCAACCCCAGCCCCAACTCCAATCCCGCCGGCCTCCACCCCAACCAACCCCATCATATCATGGCCCGGGAAATACTCCGTGATCTTGATCTTCACGTCACAGAGGTCGCGCTGCCGGGCTGTCCGTTTCCGTTTCTTCTTGTTCGGATCATTGGACTTGGGCGTTCCCGGCGGGCGCCCCTTCAGTCGACAGTCCCAGTAATGGGAGATCAGGGGCTTGCGCTTGTAGTGCTGGGTGGAGCGGTGAGAGTAGACGTTGTCGATGTGTGGGAAGTAGGTGAGGAATCTGGTTGAGGTAGTTAATTTTTTATGTCTGGTATCTCTCTCTTTATCTTCTCTACCCTTCTTTCTGGACATGGATCATAATCGTAATTAGGGGAAAGGGAAAGGGAAAGGAAACGCACTGCTCCTCACTCAACACGATCATCTCATCGACGTTGAATAGGCGATCACGCCAAAAATCCAGGTCTGGGGGGTCAACAATACTCCCGATGTCGATGTGTTGGTCGGGTCGCTTGACGAGGCTTTCGAGGTGCGGTTGTTGGTGCTGGTGCTGTTGTTGTTGATGTTGCTGCTGCTGCTGTCCGGGGTGGTGAAGGGGTGGATGAGAGAAAGGTAAGCCGTCGACGGCGCATTGTAGCCCGTGGAGGGAGTCAGAGTCGAGGCTCACATCATTGTGAGTGTGCGTGTGCGAATGGCCCTGGAGAGGGTCGATGGGGGGGTCGGGGTGTAGGGGGAGTGGGAGTGGGAGTGGGAGTGGTGATGGGCGGTGAGAGTAGACGCGTCTTCCGCGACGGAGGTGAGGGAGGCGTGCAGAAGACCGGGATCAGTAGTGTGGATAGGGATATCTGGGTCATGATGGAGGTCCATCATGAAGGGAGGCGTAGGCTGTGGAGGAGTGGATTGATGGTGTCGCTGGGGGTGGACGCTGCTTTAAAAAGTGTGGAGGGGAGAAAAGGCGGGGGTTGAGGCGGCGGTGAAGTGGTACAGGTTGCCGCTTCGGGAATGGTGGGCGGCGGGATCGGCGTTGGTTGAGGAACTGTGGATGCTAATCGTACTAGGTAGACTTGGAGTTCTACTAGCGGTAAAGATGAGATGGTGGCTACTATGCTATATTGTTGGTTACAGAGGGTAACTCTCTTGTCAGGTAATAAAAGGATACATGAAACGGGTACGAATGAAGCTATCCGCGAATAACTGACTCTGATGATGAAGAGGGAAGGTAAACAAGCTGCGTGAGGTACCAATAGCATGTCGACCAACCGGTAAGAGGAGGTGCGTTTCCCCTCCCCACCCTGGCAAAAGGCTTTGTTTGTATACGACGAGTTTGGAAGGGGACTGACTGGGGACAGATGGTATTGGGATTTATGTATTTTTGTGTCACGGAGTGTATTTGAATATCACTAAAGAAGGACCCAGACTGTGATAATGATCCATACTGAAGCTCCGCAATGCGGTAATCGAGTTCTAGAGGGGAATGAAAGGGACATATTGTAGTTTGGGCATCCAGCTCCGTGAACATGGTTTCGAAATTGTATGTGTAGAACGGAGGGTGACCTTGGACTCAGACAGTCAGATATCGCAGACGGTGGATGAGAAAAGAGTGGAGAAGAAAACAGGTACCGCTGCATGCTTGTATGAGCAAGCCAGCTGCTTGATCAACCGGGCCAGCTGGATATGGGCGGGATGGTGGTAGGGGATCTGCTCGGAAATATCCCAGACTAAGCATCCAAACAAGCTGATTATCCCCGACGGTGGTAGTGTTCTGTCTTCGCGGGAAGCATCTCCTCCAGCATGTCGGTCGCAGACTGTAAGGTAAGTTGACTGCTAGGCTGAAGATATCGGTTGAGAACATATCGAACACCTTGCGACCTGAGTATTTTTCGGGAGGCTTTTCCTCGAAGGCGTCGTCTTCATCGAGTCGGAGCTTGAGGGCGTACATGTTGCAGGTTCCGAATGATAGAAATAAGACAAGTTTGTAGGCATTATCCTTGAGCGCCATGGTAGAGAATAAACCGCAAAAAGTGGGAGGTGAGAGGTGAAGGCTGATGTGAGAGTGATATGAGAGATGCCAGAAGCCCAAAGGGGGGTTGAGAGGCGTTGTACAACTTGTGGAAGTGAATATTGATCAGTAGCCAATGCAGAGACCCTCAGTCACTTTCAGTAATATTAGTACTGTCCTATTCACCCATAGATGCATCCATCGATCGTCTTCTGTGATTATATGCTAGTCCTTGATATGCCATCTCTTTGGAAGGTCGGCAACTTGAACCAGAACAAAACTGGTTTCAATTGTATAGTAATCATGTATAGTAGGCTGCAATCATATATAAATACTATTTGCACCATGCCCTCAGCTAATCGATCAACACATCTTTTTAGCCCATACTTATTTGCAGAGCATATCTCTCATAAACACCCCCTGTCTATAGAACAACCCTCCAATAAACAAGCCAATCCGCTGCAGCTACACGAAAAAAAAAAAAAAAAAAAGATATTCTACTGTCCCGTCAACCACCTCTCCACCCCCCTAGCAGCCCTCACACACCTCACATCCACCCACCTAGTCCACAGCCCAGCAACATAAAGTACCAACGCGCCGACAACCACGGCCGTACCAACCCAGCTCAGGACAAACGGCATCCCAGCCATCCGTGCCTCCTCCATCGACACCGGATACTCCGACCCCGCGAGCATCCACCATATCATATTCCTGACGGGATCCCTCGCCACATGATACACGGACTGATGCACGAGATACAACGAGAACGAGATGCGGCCGAGATACTGCGACAGACGAGCATTCAGCGGACGCTGCAACACGGGCGAGCAATCCACCGCGTAGACGAGCAGTACCGCGCCCAGCGACTTCCATGATTTGCTCAGAATCGCCCATTCGTCGTCCCATCGCGGCGACTGCACATACCCCAGAAACTGGTATCCGGGGGTTAGGGACCCGTCGTCGCCGAGACAGAGCAGATGCAGCCCGAATAGAAAACATAGGGCTATGAGGAGGGTGGCCCAGCGCCCTCTTCGTCCACTACCTGTTTGCCTGCAATTTTTCTCCACCTCAACCCCCAACAACCCCCTTCCCACCCCTCCTCCTCCTCCTCCTCCTCCTCCTCATTCCCATCCTCCCCCCGCGATATCTCCCAACCCCCATCTCCGCAACCCCCAATCCCGCCAAAAACCCAAAAAGATCCCAAAGCCCATACCAAAAACAATACGCGCCCAACACCGCCACCCCGGGCACCCTAACCCCCCTCCTCCAAAACGCCATCCCACAAACGACCAAATAAACCACACAACTCCCGCGATACTCCATCGGCATGGTCCACAACTGCCCATTCAAGCCGGGATTATGGTGGAACTGTACCACATTGACAATATCAAGCAGATAGCGCAGCAGGTACGTGAGATGGAACCCCGGGGCAGTGAGCGGTCTGCGCCCCCAGACGATGTCATCGGCGAAGGGCCAGTGGTAGAGGCCCAGGTAGTAGATGAGCTGGGAGAGTGTGGCGAGGAGGATGACGGGGAGGTAGATTCTTAGGCCGCGGCGGGTGAGGGATGAGGAGAGGGATTTGAGCAGGGTGTGGGGGTGGGTGTTGCGGGCGTGAAGGAGGTTGATGCTGATGGCATAGCCGGAGATGACGAAGAAGAGGGGGACCATGGCGTGGGCGGCGAAGAGGAGCCGGATTGGAGGGAGTTGGATCAGATGGCGGTTCGCGGAAGGGGGCGACGCCCAGTAGGACCGGAAGGCGTGGTCGAGGAGCCCGCCCATGAAGAAGTGGTTCGTTGTTACGATGGTGGCGGCTATGCCGCGGAGACCATCAAGATAGGTGGTTCGGGGGGGTGGAGGCATTGTTGGTGTGGTGCGTGTGGTGATGAGGAGGGTGAAGGATGAAGAGTGAAGGGTAGTAGATAATAGATGGTAGAGGTGAGGAGGGGAGGGTCAGGGTCTGGGACGCTAGTTTAGTGGGGTTATGTACTTCTTGACTAATGGATCTGATTGGGGGGGGGGAGGGTTGTTTTAGATTAAAATAGCCTTTGTCTCGGGGTTTAATTCTATTCTTTGTGGTGGGGATTGTGGATTGTCTGGTGGATGTGGGTATTGAGGCTATACACATTATCTACGGCAGCATCCACGAGGTATGTACAGCTATACTCTACTACAAATTTAGACATATCATACATCGGAATCACAGGCCCACTTTTCAATCCTCTCCTTCATCCACCCACTCGTCCACGGCAAGGATGTCTGCCGTCGGGAATCACCCTCTGGGATCCCGCTGCCCAGCAGCACCATGCTGTCCATCTTGCACCGGTCTTCGTAGAAACTCCACTGCACGCACTCACCCCAGGCCACACACGCCGCCTGACATGCATCCACAGACCGCCACCCCTTTTTCCAGGTCTCAGTTTCTTTGACCCCCTCCGGGATCTGCGCCCACTGGACATTATTCGAGCGGATCTCATACTTGGCCGCCCCGTTATCCCACCACTCGATTCTGGTCCGCAGATAGGGCTTCACCAGCGCATCGAACACATCGCGATACCTCAATTGACCCTATCACCACCATTAGCCCCAACCACTGCTGCCCACCAGACAAAAAGAAAAACAGCGCACACTCACCTTCGAAAAGTCCCACCCCGACTCCAACCCAAACAACCTCGCCACATCCCTACCATGGGTATGATGCCAGCTATAGACCGGTTTACACCAATTCTCACTCTCAAACCACGTCGACCAATGCGCCTCGGGGTTGAACCCATACGCGAACCGATTCTCCGCTGTCGGATCCTCCCCAAACCCCACCCCATAGTCCTTCAACACATGGCCCAGAATATGATCCCCGCAGCCATGCTCCGCCGTGAACCCCTCATACTTGGTCACGATATCAGGATCCGCCCCGAAACTCTTCTCCCACGCCCCCCGTGACAAAGCGAATCCAGACCCGCCATGCGCGAAAAAGTCCCCGTGGATCCAGGCCACGCTGCCCAGGTACCACGGCTCGCTGGGATCGAACCGGTCAAGGTGAGTCAGGAGGTTGGGGAGGAAGATATACGAATCGTCCTCCATGAAAATATACCACTTTGAGTCTGGGTGCGCGCGGCCCGCGTGCGCCACGATGGGCAGAAACTTGTATTTGTCCAGCTTCCAGCCGCCGACGGGGCCGGCCGCGTCGCCGGGCATGTTGGAGATTTCGGCGTAGTTTTGGCGGTTGTCGTAGTCGGCTTGTTGGATGTAGGGGAGGAAGTCTGGGGATTGTTGAACAGTGGAGGAGGTGTTGGCGAGAACGTCAAGGAAGTTCCACGAGCCGATGGTTTCGGGGGCGTCGGAGTAAAGGAGAACGTTGGTGGCGGGGATGCGTTGGGGGGAGAGGCTGGTGGTCAGGTGGATGGGGACGCGTTTCCAGAGGACGGAGGCGCCGGTTTTGAACATGAGGGTTATGTCGGTGATGGAGAGGGAGGAGCTGGAGCTGGAGCTGGAGATGGGGGAGGGAGCAGGATCATGGTTGTGGTTGTAGTAGGCCGATGAAGGCGCGTCTGCCTTGGGAGTTGATGCTGGGGAATGCACCTGTTCCTGTACAAACTGGGTGGACACCGTGTGGGGAGACGGAGACAACGGCGATGCCACCGGGGCTGGTCGATCCAGCTCGAAGTGGTAGAGGAAGATGATGAGAGTGGTCAGCATGATCCCCAAGGGGACCATGCGGTTGTCCTTGGAGAAGGCCTTGCGCATGCTGGTGGTGGTTGCTCGAGGGAAAATGCTCCGTGCCTGGCGGAACTATAAATACGAAGAACCATAACCACGAGCAGAATGCCCCAAATCTCGCGGAGGACGCCCGGTTGGGAATGTCTCAAAGATCGGAGCGGATCCGCGGCTACTGGAGATTGCGGCCAGGGGCAATGCGGCCCCGATTGGCGGGCTGTCAACGCCTCCCGCCGATCAGGGTCTGGTAGGGTCTGGCTGGCTGCAGACCCGCTGCGACCAAGTGCTACCAAGCAGTCTAGCGTGGCCTTGGTGAGTCAAAATTGTCAAATTTAGTCTCACGATTTAAAATTAGGACTTCCGGCCTCAAAGACGGGAACGTAGTGGACTTGAAGAAACTGAAGCGCTATGTATGGGCTAAGATAAATACATCCACTATATTCCGTAACTAGAGAGTTATCGCCATCGCCATCGCCATCACCACCCGCCGTGCCGCAAAGCAGCCCTAAAACATGGACTCATCCGTTTTCCACGCGCGCGGGCCGGAGGTGTCGCGACTCCGTCAGTTCCTTAATTTCCTGGGGTGCATTCTGATCCTCCCCGTCTACTACATCCTCACGGCCTACACGCGCCACCCATTGACCCTGGACGTCCTGGTCACCATCTTCGCGGCCGAATACAACCGCTACACCAACGAGTGTCGGCGCCGCAAGCTCTACGGCCAGGATAAAGCCTTGCAGGATGCCGAAAAGGCTATCCCACGACTGTCCCCCGCCGGTCCGGGGCCGGACTGCATGGCCGCTGTGGTTGGGTATCGCGAGGACCCGGCACTGTTCGCGCGCGCTCTCGAGAGCTACAACTCCGCCGAGGGATGTCGATTTGTCCTAGTGGGAATTGACGGCGACGAAGAAGCTGATATGGAGATGGTGCGCGTGTTCCAGAAGGTATCATTCATCCTCTCTCCCCATTCTCTTCACACCCTCTAACAGTCCCAGGTCTACTCCAACAACACCTCATCCGTAATCCGCCTCGACGAACCCTTCGGCGAACTGGCCGTGCGCACCTTCGACAAGATCTCCACCGCTGACCTACACTCCCAACCCACGGATAAATACATGCAAGAAAGCATCGCGCACTGCTGCAACCTCGCCCGCGAGATCCTCACCGACCACAAGATCACCTTCGACCGCGGCGCAGGCGGCATCACGCGTCTGTGTCTGTATCAGCCACACCTGCACAAGAAAGGCATCATGTTCACCTCCTTCATCTTCTCGATCGTGATCTCTGACCTCCTGGGCATCGAGTATCTCTGGTCGTCGGATTCCGATACCATCGTCTTCCCGCGCTCGCTGCGCAGTACGGTTGAGACGGTGGCGGGTGATCCGTCTGTCGGGGGCGGGAGTGCGGGTCTGATCGTGCATAATGAGCATGATTCGGCGATCTCGAAGCTGGGGAGTGTGGTTTACTGGTGCGAGCTGTATCTGACCCGGTCGACTGCCACGGCGGCTGGCACGAGTGATTGCCAGAGTGGTCCTAGTTCGGCGTTCCGTGTCGCGGCCTTGCCGGCCGTGTTGTATCCGTGGTATACCCAGTGTGTGCTGGGGCATCGCATGGTATGTCTCCTTCTTCTCCATATTCCTCCGTCCCTCTCCCTTAATCAACCACTTCATTCCCACCCCCATCCCATTCACAAGACATCAGAAGCAGAGCTAACGCTCTGACCAGATAATCAACGAAGACCGCCACCTAACAACCAACCTCCTCCTCCAAAACTGGACAATAACCTACGTGTCCGACACCCTCGCTTCAACCGACACCCCCACCACACTCTCGAAATGGCTCCTTCAACAAGTCCGCTGGAGCCGCGCGGGCCACATTGAATCCTTCCAAAACCCCCACATCTACACCCTCACCTCACCCCTGTTCTTCTGGGCCGCGATCAAGCGCGAACTTGGCCCTTTGCTGGGTCTGGCCTATATCCTGTACTATTATGTGACGGGAACGAGTATGGCGTATTTCTCGTGGACGGATCTGGCGTTTAGAGTGGTTTACACGATTGTTTATAATGTGGGGAGGAATCCGGATCGTGCGGGCGGGGGGAAGAGGGGCATCGCCTGGTGGGGGTGGGTGCTGCCTGCGATGGTGTTTTATAATGTGCCGTTGCCGGCGGTGCATGCTTGGAGTTTGGGGACGGTGTTTGAGGGGGGGTGGGGGACGGCTATGAGGGGGGTTTCCGGTTCTATTACTACTACCTCTGGCTTGAGGGGGATTGAGAAGGAGAAGGAGAAGGAGAAGGGTGGGAATATGGGTGTGAGTGTCAGTGTGAGTGCGAAAGAGAAAGAAGGCAGGATGTGGAAGAGGATACGGGAGTTAGGGTTCTTTGTCCTGTGGATGGGGGTGGTGGGAGGCGTGATGGGCCGGATTGCCGCGGGCTTTTTGGGGGCCAGTCCTGAGACAACAGTTAGGGCTTTGGGGTGGGGAACGACGGTGTTTTCGGGGGCTGCGTTTTATGGTCTGGTAGTGCGGGAGTAAAATGAGACTCATTATGGTCTTTGAATCTGGTACTATTTCTTGTATATAATAATAATTCGGGGTGGGCATGGTTCTGGAAGGCTCGGGAAAAGTACTTGGAAAGGGAAGGAGAGTTTTGGGGTAGCAGTTCGGTACTCCGTAGTAGCTAACTCTATTGCTTGGATAATTAATTAATCAATTAATTAATTAATTAATTACGTGCTAACAATCTGAAGGAAAGCAAGCCTAAACTTTTATCACCACCTTCCCCCTTCCCCGGAACCTCACACTACTAACTACCTCCGTGCACAATTGCATAGTCTAATACTAGTACCCCTCCTCGTCAACACTATACTCCCTGTACATGGTCAAACTGAACCGCGCAAACGCACTACGCGCTCTCATCCCCCGTCCAAAGCGCGAGAACAACGGCGGCACGATACAAAACACTGTCGCGATGGCAGCTAACACTGACACGGTGAAGTTTGCGCCGAGACGCTCCAGCATCGGGGCCGAGATAAGCGGCAGCGCGGCGGAAAGCAACGCCCGCACCAGGCTCAGGGCCGCTAGCCCGCTCGCCGCGTAGCTGAGATAGCTATCGGTGAGATAGCCGCCGAGCACGTAGTCGATCTCATTGAGACTGTACCCGGTTAACACGAGGGCGACGACAGAAACCATCCAGGGGAGATTGGTCACGGCCGGGGGGATGGTCCAGGCGAAGAGCCACAGTGCTCCTGCTAGGATGGGCGCGCCGATCCAGAACCCGGTCAATTTGTCTTCGGGGAGGAGGGGGCGACTGTGTTGGCGGTGTTGGGCGATGATGCGCAGGTCCAGACACCGGGTTAGTAGGCCCAGGCTGAGGCCGAGACCGATCGCGATGAAGGGGAGACAGGCCTGCTTTGGGGTGAAGCCGAAGGATTCGTAGATTGGGGGCAGTGCTTCGGTGAAGAGGTAGACGAGGGCGATGGCGATGGCGCTGTGTCGGGGTTGAGTCCCTCCAGAGTGTCGATTTTGGTGACCTTGCGCAGGGTGGCTACCTCGCGGGCGAGGAGGAGAGATGGACGGGACTCGTGCAGGGTGAGGAGGAGGAGAGTGAGGATGCCAGTTACAATTGCGGCGAGGTAGAAGAGCCATCTCCTGGTGCTGTTAGTTGGATGTGTGGATGGAGGAGTGGTGGCGGCATGTATAGTATATACCAGCTGGAATCGGCCACGACGAAGGTGCTCAGAATGGGCCCAACAACCAGTCCCAGGTTGGCGAACATCGTCCAGATGCATATCACCCAGACCCGCTCGCGCGAGTTGAAGATGTCCTCAATGCTCCCTACCACGACTGTCGTGGGAATCGCGGACAGAAATCCGCAGACGAGCCGTCCGAGAGCCACACCAGCGAGGGAAGGAACCGATGCTATCACAATGCAGGCAATGCTGTACAGAGCCGAGCTGGCCACGTACAGCTTCTTGCGTCCGAAGACCTCGGAGTACGGCGGGAAGATGATGCCCCCGATGGCTTGACCGATGAGATATCTATATCGTCAGTATACATCTATTCGAAAGTATTGGCACTAACATTGAGACGAAAAGAAAGATAGACAATTCTTTCTGTATGTGAAACTCATGGACTGCGTTGTTGGCAGCCGTGGACTATGCATCTTAGCAATATCACCTGAACAACTCATATCACCTACCCCGGCAGTGCTAATTGCTGTCCTAGGAGGTGTCAGTTCCCCACCGCATGACTGGGGGTAAGCACATACGTGAAGAACTCGAGAAACACAATCAGCGCAGTGTCATACACCTTCCTCCTCGGGCTCCAATTCCTCGGGTGGCGGCCATTTCCCACGGCCCATTGGATATGCAATCCATCCGGTGCCAGCTTCAGTCCATACTCCGGCAGTAGTGTCAGAAGTACGTCTTTCTCGGACTCCTCCGGAGACTTGACGACAATCGTCGCTGTGGTCTTCATCTCGACGAGGGAGAAGTAAGGGATAGTGAAGACTACTCATTGCCAAGCAGAAAGTGTAGCTATATAGGTAGTAGTGCAGTACCAGCACCGTATACTTGCTTCATGAAGCACAGGCTCGGATGTAGGGCCGCGGATTCAGCAGTAGGGCCTAGGCGATGGATCGGTATGTATCCACGTTGCACGGAGGCCGGTTCATTATATTATGGGGCTGGCCCTTCCGGGGTCCGTGGTTGAATATCTCATTCCAGATTCAATAGATATCCGTGATCCCCAGTGGCGATTCCTCTACTGTGAACAATTGATGCCACGAAGCTGGCCAAAAGTGGTAGTTCATACCCAGTGGCTCATCCTGTTCAGAGCTGGAGCAATCATAATGCTCGTCTGGTGCACTTCTCCGTGGTCATTCATCCCGCAACTAGGCCGGTACCACGTCGGAAGGTAAACGGGAGAGGCTTTAACATGTGCAGAATACTCATGCCCAGTCAATGCTTGTTTCGAAGGTGGGCCAGTCTGTAGGAAACCGAAGGCTGCGCCCGAGGCATCCCAGTTGCAATAGGCTCGGCATTAGACTTGGAGATCTACGGGCTGAAGTGCTGTCAAGCTCTTTGGCATCGCTTTCATTGACATCAAAAAACCTAGCTGTATATCACCGACTGCGACTTTTCTATCATCGTCTCGATGTCTTACGTGGTCTCCTCATGCAGTAATACCATCATCACCACCTCCCCCCGTACTATCCTGGCGACCATTTCCATTATAAGCCAGAAGGTTAGGGCTGCCGGATATGTTGGTGACAACATTCCGCGTGGCTAGCGCCTTCAGACGAGCGGTTGCAGCGCCTGGAGTGGACAGCTCATCCAAACACATCAGGTAGATGACCAATCCGGTCACATGAGGTGTCGACATAGATGTGCCAGAAATGGTGTTCGTGGCTGAGTTAGATCCGATCCAGGCAGATAGGATGCTCTCACCAGGCGCAAAGAGATCAACGACGGAGCCATAATTGGAAAAGGACGCTCGGGCGTTGCTTCTGTTAATGGCAGCAACAGTGACAGCATCCGGCGCAGAAGCTGGGCTTGTCCGCGCAGCATCTCTCTAATAGAGTGTCAGTCACAGACCATTCGAGTATAAAGCTGGACATGCTTACATTCTCATTCCCAGCTGCGACAACAGAGAGCACACCCTCTTCAAAGGCATTTTCAACCGCATTGTTGAAAGTACGGGAGTAGCTCCCACCTACGTTCATGTCAGCAGTCAGACTTCAACACGGGACATCTGTATGTACCGAGACTCATATTAACCGCAGACTTGCTGGTGCGGTTCTTGCTCACAATATCATTAACAGCCCAGTTGAATCCGTCAAGGATAACCGATGTCGAGCTGGATTCGCCTACAAAGACCTTCACCGACAAGAGATTGGCCTTCTTGGAAACACCATAGGTTCTGCCGCCGATAGTCCCAGCAACATGCGTTCCGTGTCCGACGCCATCGACATGCTGGCCACCTGCGGCATTGTAGGCGAGAACTGCACGTCCGCCAAATTCCTGGTGGGTGGCAAGGATGCCTGTATCTACGACATAGGCATAGCCACCATCGCCAGCGCTGTCATCGTAGATGTAGTCGGTGCTCGCGGTACCCTTGTGGGAAATACTCCCCAGGCCCCATGGAGCTCGTGTTTCGGTGACCAGTTCGCTGAGATACCAAACCTGATCTTCCTCCACATATGCTACCTACGGACATTCATGCATTAGATCGGATATCAGGAGCAGTAGTCAATGTACAAACATCTTGGCTCTTGCGAATCTCTTCGATGGTGGTCTCATCAAATGATCCTGCATACCCTGCGAAGTTGTTGATTTTGTAGCTTCTCTCGATTCCGACGGGGAGGCTCGGGTCGGTGGTGTCACGTCTTTCCAGGCTGCGCTTGTGAAGGATAGTTGCCCACTCTGTATGAGATTCAATCCTTGCCTCATCGACACCCGGCTTGAAGGTAACAATGTATTTTCCGGGGATGACATCAGTAGCCTGGCGAGACTTTTGCACTGGAGTGCCCAAGATTGCAGGCAAGAGGGCCGCGAGCAAGAGCAGACTATGTTTGAAGAAAGCCATGTGGAGAAGCGGAAGGACAGTGAGGGGTGTTTAAAAAGATAGAGTCTGGTCAAAACCTGCAATGGGACACACGTCCTTTATAATCTGTCAAAGAGCCTTATTTTTCTTGCTGAGCCCGCAGTTCAGTATTCACTGTGCCGGTTAACCTTCGTAGAGGAAGTGACAGGTCAGGAGGCACTGGAAGTTGTTTTAAACCCAGAGGGTGACATTGCATTTTCAGACGACCTGATTGTGACCCAGAAATAATAATATGCACCAACAGGACGCGGATAAAGATGCAAGGGTGATGGTGCCAAACTCAGTCTAAGAAGAAGAGCTTGATATCCCGTCATTGAATAATCTAGCCATTCGCGAATATCCCCCGATATTGAAGCTGCGACTCTCAAAGTACCCCGAAAAGTGAGTCCAATCTATGCTCATAAGACGGTGTGTTGACAGTTCCCTGAAGACCGCCTATTCCAGTACACACATCTCGGAGATATTGATGTCGCGCAACAAGCCCCGAGGAGGCGGAAACGCTCGACAACCCGTCTAAGACATCTAATGTGGCCCTCCAGGACTTGGCATCTTCATGCGATACTGTCTTCTGTGTAATCCCGTTATCTCTGAGGAAACCCCTTCCATGGTTGGTAAAGGATGAGACATTTGATCCCAACTCATCCTACTCTGGGAAGCACAGCATATGAGGAATAACTGGATCCTGTCGGTATCCAGGGTTGCACAATGGGACGAGTGCGGTAAAACAATATCGTCTTGTGCATACGCTTTGGACATGGAAGGCCTGCTATTTTCACCACAGCAGATATGTAAGGCGAGTTGAGTCCTTGTGATAAGCCCTCTAACCACACCTTAGGAGCGATGAAGTTTCGGTACCACCAAGAAGCTTGCATGTGCCTGGGCGGGCCTTCAGACCTTATCACGCCATGGTCTCTATCCTCGCTAGTGTGTGTATTTGGAGAATGACTAGCTGGGGTAATGGGGACGATCTGCCCGTAATCCATCACGTCTGGAAGGCTGTCCCGGATATCCAATAGTACCGCAGTTGAAGTGCCGATGTGTTGAATTAGCATCAACAGATGCTCGATTGTTTGCTGTCGGTGATCAGGAGGCTAGTTGTGGCAGTAGGGTTCGTCAGCGGAGCAGATGCCCTACATAGACAAAATGAGTCTGTCCGACACGACAAGATGAGCGTGAAGCTCCGAGTGATCATTGGTAGCGATTCCCGTGCCCTGCAGTAAGGCCAGTCAATGACACTTACCTGTCTTTCTCCCCTGCAGGACCTTACACTACCTTGGCGCGTCTGGTGACGGCGGGATGGAGGCTGTCTGACGGGCTGCAGGACCTTTCGAAAGACCACAGTTGCATTCTCGTGACAGGCAGAGCGGCAGTAACCGTAGGTGGTAGTGTATCTCAGACCATTCGGAGATTAAGAGGATTGGTGTACGGGAGGTCGAGGTTGCAAGCGCGTCTTGGCCGGTCTTTCTGTCACACCCGGTCCCGTGATCCCCACCGGGGTCTTCGTCATTCATGTGGACGCCAAACAGGGTTGTTGTGAAAAACGAAGGGGTGGTGTATTATCTGACATTGCTGCAGGTGCAGCTAGTCAAGCAGCTTCTATTTCCGTCAGACTCACTATGAACAGCAGACTAGCATACAGTATATCAACCTCGATTGACAAAACCATCAAACTCCATCCCCCATCCCATGTCCAATTTACAGACTCTTCTTCCCATGCTTTTTCGCAGCTTCCTTATTGGCAAACGGGAACCCGGCTGTCCTCTTATCTGCCCCGGTCTTCCGACTAATTTTCCCATTGCTGGTTGCGAAAAGCGCGCACCAGAGTCCCACAAAAGCAATAGCGCCCGAGACCACCATGCCAACCGCAAACGCCACCTGTCCCTTATCCACCCACCAAGCATATGCATAGCCTGCGGAGAGGCCGTGGAAGACGGTTGTAACGATCAGTGTCGGTACTGCGTAGGGTGCCTTTGGGTCGGAGTCGTCTGTGGTGACTGGTTCGGCAATGGAGGAGGTCAGAGGGATGGAGCCGGTCATCAGAACCGTCAGGATGGCGATTGTGAGGAGACTAAAGCCGAAGCAACGGGAGAAGTAGGTTTCAATGGCTGGATCTTATTAGCTGTGGTTCTCACGCGACGAGCCCAATAGAAAGTAGCCCAATAGAAAGAAAAGTTCTTACAAGAAGGCTGTCTGGATTCCTGTTCCAGCATTGTGGTCATCATCTCCGGGACTGTGATTAAGGCGAAGCTCTGGAGGGAAAGCCACCCCGCAGTGGTGTAAGTGTATGCATAAAAGACCTGCAGATGTATTAGCTACTGGTCTTGCAGCTTCTTCTGAGATGGAGTGCATGTTGCTGCAAGGGATTAGACTGACATCCATGGTGGAGGTCTGCTCAATTGTGTTTTGGATTTAGATGTGCGATAGCTGTAGGTATGTACTCGTAGGTATGTACTTGTTTCAATGAGTGAACTGAAAGAGCTCATGCCTGAGCAGAAGGCAGGTTATAAAGGAACAACTGGGATCCCCATGAGGTCATCCCTTGGCTGCCAATAGAATGATGTCATTCGACGCAAATGCATCTTGCTGACTCATTACTACATAACACGGAGCTGTGCACAATGACAGGGATCTTGTCTGCATTCCTGCTGAAATTATGCGATTATGCGCATATCCCAGTCAAGGTCATTATATCCCCACTCCACAGTTGATCGCTGTCAGCACAAAGTCGGCGAAAGAGGATGCGATGAAGCATTCCGGAGTAGCAATTTATTTATCCAACAGCCCCGATGAAACACCATATCCTGTCAAGCTGGAGACGATTAATCAAGATGGAAATAGACAGACACTGCCTGAGTGGTTCAAATGTTGTCTATTCATTTATTCATGAGTGAATCAATAAACCATATATTAACGCCCTCATAACACCAAGATGAAGCAAAAGGAAAAATGCAGATATCCCAGCCTCACTGGTTGATGTTGCTGGCGCGCAAGTATCTTGCAAAGCTGTTGTCCGCATCAGAAGGACCCGCGTGCTGGTCTGCAAGCGCATCCTGATACCGTTGCGAGAGCCCCTCAGTGTCACCAGCAGGAGCACCATACCCTTCCTCGTCGGAATCGTCATCGTCCTCCTCCTCGCCTCTCCGTGCAGCTGCAGCTGAGGCTTCCTCCTCCTCTTCGGCCTCGCTGACGGTCTCGGCCTCATTTTCCCCACGCTTGCTTCGACTAGTCCCCGAGACATTCATATCCTTCATCAGCTTGCCCAGCTCCAGTTCACGCTGTGCAGACTTGGTTTCTTCCCGCTCCTTCTTCTTGCGCTCCAGCTCGGGCTTGTAGTCGCGCTCGAATTCCTGACGCTTCTCCTCCACGGCGGCAAAGAACTCATCAATGCCATCACCTGTCATGGAGCTGACTCCGACGACGTTCAAGTGCCTGTAAAACTCCTCCAACATCAAACTCATGCTGTTCAGAAGCGAACCCATGTATCCACTTCCAGCGCCAAAGCCTCCAGCTCCACCCTCTGAGCCAAACGCGCCCGACTCCTCTTCCTCCCGAAGCGCCTTCTGGAACGCATCGAAATCGGCCATCCATTCCTTGGCAAACTCGGCATCCTGGACGTCGGTTTTGTTGAAGACAAGAATCATCGGCAGCTTCGTCTTGTACAGAATACTGCAGGCATAAAGCATGTTGCTCATAAAGGTGCTCGTGGAGCTGGTACGAGGGGTGTCAATGACGTAGGCGATAACAGTAGGGAACGAGGACGCCAGGGTTTCGAGAAGAATGCTTCCGGATGCACTCCATACGAAGACCTCAATCTGTCCTGGGGTGTCGACGAGGATGTGCTCGATGGGCTTGGCGGTTGGGTTGCTGGGGTTCGATGCGGTGCGCTTTTCCAGTAGGGAGATGATCTGGTCGACCTTGGTGGCGAAGAGATTCAAGGACGTGAGAATTCCGCCGTTGGGACCCAGGTTGTACTGCTTCATGACCTCTCGGTAATTGATCGAGTCACGGATGTCGATGTTGCTCTCGAAGGGGACCGTGTGGACGGCAGGGTCTAGGTTGAGCACATAGGGGACCGTTTTCTTCGAGTGGAGATGGGAGTTAATTCTCTGCATGAATGTCGTCTTTCCAGAGCCTAGCTCGAAGCAAGCCATTAGTTAGCAAAGGCAGACCGGGCTGAGGCAGCGGGACGGATTGTCGGCATACCTGCCATGCCGACGCAGACGACGGCGACGGGTGCTTGCGCCATGGTGAAATTCGGATGAGATCGAAAGCTCTCGAGGATGAGGATATTTGCGATCACAGCAGTTGCCCTGTTTTCGGATGAAAAGCTGGCCAGGAGGAGGGGAGGGGTGAGGTGGAAACGAGGCAGGCGGGGAGGTCCGAAGAAATTCTTCTGTCGCGGGGATGAGCAGATCGGCTGGTGGAGTCTGGCTGGACCGGAACCGCCCAGACGTCATTCCGTCCGCAGCGTTTTCCCTGCCTTCCTTAACCTCTCTCCCCTTTCTCGACACCTTCACCCATCACCATGACGCTGGAGGATTTCGAGAAATCATTAGCGGAGGAGCAGGAACGGAGACACGAGAAGAGCGACAAGCACAGGCACCGCCATCGGGAACATCGCGACCGCAGCGGAGAGCGCTCGAGGCACCACCGTCGTCACCGCTCGAGGGAGCGCGATCACGACAGGCACCGCGAGTCGCGACGCAGTGAGGATAATGAACACCGCCATAAACGATCTCGTCGCTCATCTGACCACCGGGAGGACCGCGATCATGCCCACAAGCGTCGACACCGCGACAGCAAAGAGGAAGTGAAGGACGCGCCCGGTCCGGTGGAGGAAGCCATACAGGAAGAGCCCACGCGTCTGAAGAGAGACGCCTGGATGGAGGGGCCATCTGGACTTGACATCGACTATGTTCAGCGACGCAATACAACACGCTTGGAAGAAGAGCCGAAGCCGAAAATGCTTCAGGCGGATTTCGACCTGAAGATCCACGGCAAAGAGCTCAACTCCCACCTACGCGACTTGAAGGAAGGTAAAGTGCTGGAGGAAGTTGAGGAGGAGTCTGCTCAACATGAGGTTGACTACACAATTGGCGATGCTGGCTCTCAGTGGAGGATGACCAAGCTGAGGGCTGTCTACCGAGAGGCAGAGGAAAGCGGAAAGTCGGTCGAAGAGGTTGCCATGAACCGTTTCGGGGATATCCGCTCATTTGACGATGCACGCGAAGAAGAATCAGAATTGGATAGACGTGAACGATACGGTGAAGGCTACGTGGGCAAGGAGAAGCCCACGGGAGAGCTTTTCCAGGAGAGGAAACTGAAGGAAAACGTCCACCGCGATTCGCATGAACATGTCCGCAGTCCGGGCAAGGAGCTCGAAGCTGAAGGGCAGGGAAAACCGATGGAGACTGTGCCCCCTCAGAATACCACTCAGCATCTCGATCTAACAGCTCTCAACCGGCTGAAGGCCCAGATGATGAAAGCCAAGCTCAAGCGTGCGCCGGATGCGGCTGATCTCGAGGAGCGCTACAATGCGGCGGCAGCCGCGATGGCCAACCGGAAAGAATCAGATGTCGTGGTGCTTGGTGTCATGGACAACCGGATGCTGGCTGGAAACAGGAACGAGGTGAAGGCAGTCGAGAACAGGCGGGGCCGTGAGCGTGGAAAGGTAGAGGAGAATGATGAGATGACCATCGAGGACATGGTCCAGGAAGAACGCCGAACTCGGGGACAATATGGAGGCGACGGACGACGAATGGCGGAGAGAATCGCCAAGGATGCCAAATTTGAGGTGAGTCTCGAGTCGAATTTCTTGAGAGCAGGCTAACGTGTATCTCAGAACGACCTGGAATATATGGATGACAATGCATCCAAGCTGGCGCGGCGGGTACATCGGTCAGAGATCGACATCAAGAATGTCACCATCAACGAGTTGCAGAAGATGAACCGGATTCTCGATAACTGCCCCCTTTGCCACCAGGAAGATACGAACACCCCCCCGATTGCCCCCGTGGTGTCGCTGGCGACTCGGGTCTACCTTAGTCTCCCCACAGAGCCCGAGTTGAACGAAGGGTGCTGTACCATCGTTCCCATCCAGCACCGCACAAACCTGCTGGAGTGTGATGATGATGAATGGGAGGAGATCCGGAACTTTATGAAGAGTCTGACGCGGATGTACCACGATCAGGGCCGCGATGTCATCTTCTACGAGAACGCGGCCCAGCCTCACCGGAAGAGGCATGCGGCGATGGAAGTGGTCCCGCTGCCCTACAGTCTTGGGGAGACATCCCCGGCCTTCTTCAAGGAGGCGATTCTCTCCTCGGACGCTGAATGGTCGCAGCACCGGAAGTTGATTGATTCGCTTGCGAAGGCCAAGCAGGGCATGGGACGCAGCGCCTTCCGACGCTTGATCGCCAAGGAGATGCCCTACTTCCATGTGTGGTTCGAACTCGACGGAGGCCTTGGGCATGTGGTTGAGGATGAGAACCGGTGGCCGCGGGGCGATCTCTTTGCTCGGGAGGTCATTGGGGGAATGTTGGATCTGGCTCCGGATGTGATCAAGCGGCAGGGACGCTGGCAACGGGGTGGTGATCGGCGTGTTCCTGGGTTCCAGAAGCGATGGAGGAAGTTTGACTGGACGCGGGTTCTTGTTGAGGGATGATGGAGTTCTCCGTACAGGCTTCTAGTAGTATTGTAATTTGCAGGTATGGCACATAAATCAGATGATGTGATGCAGTAACATGTGTTTGAAGTACCCTAGGCAGTAGACCTAGTAGTTGTTGACATGCGACGAGTATCCAATCCATCCCAGTTTACTCGGTCAGTGTAACCACTACGCCCTCAAAGACCCAACAACCAGGCACACGGCTCATCCAGCAATCCATTCCGATCACGGACACCAGATTATCCACCTGTAAAACACGCTCACCATCCCCTCCGCGCACCAACCGGAGATGAAGCCGAGGGCCCTCGTTCATGACGATAACGGGAGCGGGGCACGTGGGGGTCCATCGCGATCCGCGACGACATTCGGATCCGCCCCGATGCCGATTGCCTCTTCCCTATCTTTCCTACTGCGGTCTATCCTGTCGCAGCTTGTCCCCCCTCTGTCCAAATCGCGTATACACTTCCCGCTGCTCGACCGCTCTCTCTCTCGGCCGGAAACCCCGCGAGGAGTCGCGACATCCCCCCCCCCCCCCCCCACTCGGTATATAACTAAGCCAGTGCACATCTACCCCCACCCCCATCCACATCCATCCTGACTCACTATTTTCTTCTCCGACCTTTTGATCGCATCACTTAGACAACCCCTTCCAAACAGCATCCTAAAAGCAAGAAAAATGGGCTCCGACCCCAAACCCAAGGTCCTCCTACTGGGCGAAATCGTCCAGTACGTCACGTCCCGTCCCTCATTAATTCCCATACCTCATATATCTCATTCCCCCCACCACACAATCCCCTCCTCCAAACCGACCGAACCAACTAACCAGCCCCCTTTATCAGCGCCCACGAAACATGGTTCTCCCTCTCCGCGATCGCAGACCTCATCCGCCCAAAAGCCACCAACCGCACGGAATTCCTCGAGGAATGCCGTTCAGGGAACTTCGACGGCGTCGTGGCCGCCTACCGCACCTTCGATTCGGCCAAGATCACCGGTCTCGTGGATGAAGAGTTAGTCAACGCGCTGCCCAGCTCACTGATATACCTCGCCCATTGCGGTACGTAACCCCCTCCCTCTCTCCCCCCTCTCAACCCGCCAACCAACACATCATCCCCGCCACAGGAGCCGGCTACGACCAAGTCGACACGCACGCCTGCAGCGCCCGCAGCCCCGCGATCCGCATCTCCAACGTGCCTACGGCCGTCGATGACGCCACGGCAGACGTAAACATGTTCCTGATCATCGGGGCATTGCGAAACTTCAACGCGGGGATGCACGCCCTCCGGGAAGGCAAATGGCGGGGCCAGCCGGCGCCGCGTCTGGGACATGATCCGCAAGGCAAGGTGCTCGGGATCCTGGGTATGGGGGGCATTGGCCGCAACCTGAAGAAGAAGGCGGAGGCGTTTGGGATGAAGGTCGTTTATCATAATCGGCGGAAGCTGAGTGAGGAGTTGGCGGATGGCGCGACGTATGTCTCGTTTGACGAGTTGTTGGGGAAGAGTGATGTGATCAGTCTGAATTTGCCGTTGAATGTGGGTGGTTTATCTTTCTTTTGTTCTTTTGTGTTTTGTTTCTTTTGGATGGTTGTTTTGGAGAATTCATTCCATTTTGGGATGGGCTTTGTGTGGCATAGGCTGACGCATTGGGCAGAAACATACCCGGCATATCATCAGCACGGCGGAATTTGAGAAGATGAAGGATGGAGTGGTCGTGGTGAACACTGCTCGAGGTGCGGTTATGGATGAGGAGGCGCTGGTGCGGGCGGTCGAGTCCGGGAAGGTCTATTCGGCGGGCTTGGATGTCTTTGAGGACGAGCCGACGGTGCATCCCGGTCTTGTGCAGAACCCGAATGTGTTGCTGGTGCCGCATATGGGGACATGGACGGTTGAGGTGAGTTTGTGTCGCAGTGTAATGGATGGGAGACCAGGCTAATGAGTTCGTTCGATCGCAGACGCAAACCGCCATGGAGGAATGGGCAGTCGAGAACGTCCGGCTGGCGCTCGAGACGGGCAAGTTGAAGAGCCCGGTCCCGGAGCAGGCGGATCTGTGAGCTATGGTCGCTGATTATGGTTATCGATAGACGGGGGTGTATATACGTGGAAATTATGCAATAGAGAATGGGGCCATATCGAGTTCATGGATATGTACAAGTTCATTAATTCATTCGGCAAACGATACCATAGCAACATGTCTCGAGATTCCATTTTAGACGAGTTTGGATGACTCGTGGAATATAAATAAAAAGAAATAGAAGAAAAAAAAAGAAAGAAAAAAGCCAAAGCATTATCCACCCCCTTTTGAATGATGCAGCCGTAACGCCATGAGTTTGCCGTCCAGAAGCAGACAAAAACGGATAAACAACTCCTGAGTCGTGATGCGATGTCTTCCCCATCTCGCAGACTGGTAGCGATTGGAAGACCACCCCAAAGGATCACCAAGTTGGATCAGAGTCAGTGAAACTTTGAATGAAGAAAATTGAGGAAAAAGAAAGGGGGGAACAGGTCTAGTTAAACACCGCCAAAGGGTAATCGCCAATTCGCTTTTCATATTACAGGTCGCAAAGAAATATCATCGGAGCAGTGCAGGCAGTACCAGACCAGCTACTCCCGGGATACGATCCAGGACCGTACGACCATGCCGCACATGCGCTTGATCACCTGCGTGGTGCCCTTTCCCCCGGCTTCCTGCTCGAGAAATTTCTGCGCCACGTAGAGCTTGGCTCCCGAGTCCTTTTCATTCGTCGGGATGGGTTGGGGAAAGCTGCGCGGAAAGTCGGCCCATCGCTGTCCTAGATGGCGCGCGATCGCAATCGAGTATGTTACGTCGCGGTTCTCGAACGTGTCCAGCAAGGTGCGGCACCGAGCCAGGGTATCGTCAATCTCTTTGGCAGAGCTGGCTTCGTTGTCATGGAGCGTTAAAAAGTGCCCGATGGCGCTCCAGAAATCCAGGGATCGTTGCGTCAACTGGTCTGGGAGAGTGGGAGGGTTGGCCGCCGGCTCGCGGTTCGGGAACTGCGCCAGAGGATTTATTTCTAGATATTCCCCAGTGATCATCGCCTCGACAACATCCAGTCGCTTGGCAGCAACCACCAAGTCGTATTCCGGCTGTGTACCAGTGGACACATTCATCACGTGGCGGCACAAGGTCATGGAGCTCCAGACCACGGACGCCTCGAAGCTCTCCAGCCGGGCGAGCACATTGGGGTCGTTAAGGTTGGGATCGTTGAACGCATCGATCAACGCGGAATAGTCGGCCATCAGTTGCGCGTTTGCCAGCAGATGGGTCAAAGCCTTCTCCTGGAACCACCGGGTCTCAAAGAACTTGTCAATCGCGGGCGCATAAGTTGCCAGGAACACGGCCTGGATCTCTTCCAGGCGATTAGGCGGGAGGGACGTGATCGGATGAGGGGGTGGAGGATGAATGCCGCGGAGCGCAAGGAGATCGCTGATATGCACTTGTTTCACTATGAAGGCCGTTAGTATCCATCCACGGGGACATGACTTCATAGCAAGTACCTCGACTGTTGATTGGCTCTGGCGGAGTAGCACTGTTGTTCGTCATGACCGGGTTGACCGTTGGCTGCAACCCCCCCTCGACGGCATGTTGTATGCTAGCCATGTTCGACGAGTTGTTGACGTCTAGCGAGGGATCAATGGTGGTGTTGTAGTCGTACCGTTCACTGGGCGGGGCGGGCGATTCGGACGGGGCGAAGGGCTGAGAAGCTGCTGGCATGTAGCCCGGAGGGGCCGCGGGATAGGACGTAGACGGATCCTGGGGGTTGACCACCAGCGAGGGGTGCGGATTCGGGGCAGGCTGGATGGCCGACGGGGTGGGTTGCTGTTTAAACACCGGGTCGTACCCTAGGCACTCACGCTTGCTCTTGACGCAGTTGCGGCAGACAGGATGCCCTTCGTCACACTAGCGGAAAAGGGTCAGCTTGACAAGCTACCGGAGAAGCGATGCGATTGACCGGGAAGGAGAAATAATTGAGAAGGCAGGGACGGCCCAACTGAGCTGTCCACAAAAAAGTGGTAGCAATGGAGGGGCGGGGAGCAGCGATAGGCGAGTGGGCGACAACAACAAGAGGCGGCAGGCGGGGTTGGCCTGTACGCGAGCCGAGCAAAACGTTGTGCAAGCGAAGCACCGTAGCTTTTCGCGGCCCGCCCGCTTCACTACTCAACCACCACCGCCCCTCCCCCCCAATTTCCATCATACAAGGGCTCAAATTTTCACGTCATCTCCCGTCGCCAGGTACATACCTTAATTCGTCGCTTCCGACACGTCAAGCATCCCGTCTTCGTCCGCCGTTTGACTTCCTTCTTGTGCCGCCCCCCAGAAAGCATCTTGTTCGGATCCCCAGGAAGCTGGTAGCGCATCTGCGCGTTCGTGTTCATCCCCATTTGCGATACATTGGTGGGATAACCCGTCATATACTGGCCGACCGACGCCATCGGCGGCATGTTCGAGGGCATCGGCGAGCCGATCGGAGCTTGGGGGATTTGCGACGACTGGCCCTGGTGATCCATCGTCTGCATCGAGGACCCACTCATCGACGTAGAATGAGACTGATGATTGTGATATATATCCGGACTCTGTTGATGCTGCTGAGGCTGGTATTGCTGCTGCTGCTGGGGTTGCGGGGACGCATGGACCGACTGTGACTGCCCCTGCTGATGCTGGTGCATTGTGCCATGTTGCTGCATGGACGCAGAATGCTGTGATGGCGAATGCTGCTGTGGTTGCGCATACTGCTGATGATAAGGTGTCTGGGCTTGCGGTGACGACTGCTGCAGCTGTTGCAACGCTTGCGACTGGGACTGATCGGGCTGTTGCAGCTGCGTACCATTGGCAGGAGACTGATATGTAGGAGCCGGAGTCGACGATTGTCCTGAATGTTCGGTGAAGTCGTAGCTTGTCCCTGGCGCAGAATTCGCCTCCGACGCATGGCCTTCAAGGTGCGTGTCTGGGAACGAAAAGTCCGGATCCTCGTCGTCTAAATGACCATCCGTAGCCGGTAGCGTAGTGTCCAGTGGTGGGAGAGAGGTGTCAATCGGCGGCAAAGATGGTATCGTCGGATCTATTGGAGGCAGGGAGTGGTCCAGGCTGTGTAGCGGGTCATCCATTCCCGTAGAATCAATCGAAGGCAGAGACGTGTCGATGGGCGGAAGCGCATGGTCTTCAGTGGACTCAACAGTCTCGATTGGCGGTAATTCGGCCGGTTCAGGAGCCGGGTTGGGCGGTTCACCCGATGGGTTCGCCGGTTCTATCGTTTCCGCCATCTCGATCGTGGTCTGAGCTCACCTTCGGCGCCGCGGTGAGGAACTGCGTAGGACTCGAGGCGTGACTTTAGGCCGGTGAGTAACACTGTATCGGTGGTTTTCGACGGGATTCTGCGGTTGAGAAGAGCTTGCAGGGGTGCAACGACCGCGAAGTGCGATTTTCTGTAGACTGGAAGATAGGCGTGTTAGTGATCAGACCTCGGCCCAAGCAATCCGTACACGCTCAACATCACGAAGCATGCTGCAGTGGGGTTGATCCAGAGGTAAATGTAAGGGGAAGATGATGGTGACGGCCTCTTGGTCCACCCCTCGCGCATTTTCAGGACACGAGGGGATTGATTGCTGGTCCTCGAGGACTCGATCGCGCATCCGAGCCGGTGCAAACGCTTTTCGATCACAAATTGACAGCCAGGCCAGGGAACTAACAGTCCCCGAGAGCACCATTCGTGGACTCTGCGAATCCGATGGTCGTGCCTACCTCACAGCCGGGGGATGTTGAACGCGACCGTCTGGAGGGCCTCCTGCTCGCTGCCAAGCACGGCATCTGCATGGCGTCCTCAACGTTGTTTTCGCCATTCTGCGACGTCCAAGGGCCATCCAGCATCATTCTTCCGCGAGTGGCATCCTTCCATCCAACGAGGAGAGAGCCGGACAGGTGGAGGGAAGTGAGGTGGGCGGGCGCGTTTCGGGTGAAAGAGGATCGGGGCAGGCAAATGGGAAAGAGGCTCTCGTTTACTTACCATGCACAGGGCCAGATAAGCGAAAAGAAGCGAGCCGAATGACTATAGCACCAAAACACGTAATTCGGCACCAAACATTCTCCGCATCTGGGGGGTGGGGGTTGGAGAGGGGATTGCGACAAAAAATGTTGTTGCGCCTGCAAAAGAGAAGAGAAAGAAGAGAAGAGAGCTTCGGGCCCGCAGAGACAGCGACTCCCCGGACTTTGCCAACGCTGCGAGTTTTGCGCCAACAACGGGGGGAACGACTAGAGCGCAGAAAAAGCCTCCCCCGACCAGTGGCAACGCCGCTGCCACCAGCTTCACCACCACCACGCCAGCATTTATCTCCATCCCGGATCTCACGGTCGGACACTACATTCAGATTACATTCCGACCAAATTGGACATCTGGAGAACTGAAGCGATCGTGGAAACGGTCAACCGCCATCGCCATCGCCATCATCACCACCACCACATCACATTTAGCTGTACACTATCTGTCTGTCTGCCTATCTATCTCACTACACAGCGCTTGTATCTCGCCTCTCGTCTGGTATTCGTCCATTTCTTCGGATCGATCAGAGAGAGTTTTCTCGCGATGTAAGGCTGTCGGTACCGTCAATCGAGCCCCGGGAAGTACAAGTGTCCCTACCTAAGATGCTGGTAATAGCAACTCGCACCCCTTCGGCCATCCGGGGTTTATCGCTAGGTAAGATTCCACCTTCCCATATTTCCCATCATCCACGTCGATGAGATCTATCTCCAAGATGCCCATCCACATAATGTTTGCTTCCCAGACAACGACCCAGTCCTGCGTCAAAATCCCATCGCCATCTGCCCATTCTGAATGGAAGTTGGTGACTCCCACAGGTGTAAGATCGCGTTCAAACGGGTTTCAGCACTCGAATACGGGAACATCTTGTAGGCTAAATGGAGCACTGGCGCATAGTTGGCAAAATATCGATGTAACACAGCTCCGTGGTGCCCTCATAAGGCTGGCCGATATGAGTCTGTATCCTTCGACCCATCACTTCCTCATTATCTTAGGCTTGCGTTTTTTGAAAACGACCCCGGCCGCTGGCGCGTCCTCGGGTTCATGCGTAGCTGCAGGGACTGATAGGATAGACTCAGTCTCTTCCACCTTGACCTGCGCTGGTGCATCTGTCTCAGGCTCCTCTTTCTTTGGCGCATCTGGCTCAGAAGCTCCTGCATCGCCCTCTAGCTTAATCGGTATGAACTGGCCCTTGAGAGGTTCTGGCTCTTTCGTAAGCGCCGCATTCGCCGGTATGGAAGGTTTAGCCTTCTTGATGTCCTTCGTAGACTCCAGAAGCGCATCCAGATCGGTATCCTCCTGCGCGCCCGGATACTGCCGGGTCCTCGAGCCCCATCCTTTGCTCACGAATCTTTCAGCTTCCCGTTTCGCTTCCTCTTCCTCCTCATCGCGTTCTTCGTGTTTACGTTTGCGTACTCCTACCGAGATATCGGCTTTCGCATCGTCTTCAGATCGAACGACTTTCTCTGAGGTCGTTTGCCATTCTCCCGCCAAAGCCATTTCACCGCGGAATTCATCAGGGATAGCAATGCCCATCTCCGCAAGTTGCGCCATTTGCCGCTTTCTCTCTTCCAGCGAAACCGGGCGTTCCTGGGGTTTGGGAGCTGGCGCCGCACGTTTCCAGGGCGCTGCGTCGCCGTCCTTCCCTCCCGCAGCGGATCCGGCCACGGTCTGCCGTAGTCGCTCGACTTCATTCTTAGCTCTTTGTGTCTCCCGTTGCTGTTGTTCGTTGTTGCGATGGATGTCACGGAGAAATCGTTTCAGGTTACCCTGATGCTTGCCGGTGGCCTCATGTTGGGTCTTTTCGAAGGCGGTATCGCGGATAAAGATCTTGCATTGTTTGCACCAGACTTTGGGCTTGCTTGGTATTAGTGGAAGCTCGTAATTAACCGAAAGTGAGGGAAGCAATGTAAAAGAAGGGAGAAGACCCACCGCTGATTTCCAATACTCCGCCATGATTGTGAGTCGGCCTTTTGTGAGACGGATGAGTTGGAGAATTGCTTGGATGATATCAGACTGGTGCTACTGTCAGTGCACGCCGGGGTACGACGCTAGTCCCGAAGCGGCAACAGTGGGCCGCCGACGGCTGCTGCTCTTCCGGATAGCTCGATACACCAGTAAACACAACCAACTGACCGGAATTACCATTCACAGCCGAAAGTATCTTGCTTTGGGCCAAATCTCATGATGGCTCCTCATACGGAGTCTAAGTACGAGTTTGGCGGACCGTAAGTATGCTTTCTCCTCCCAGACTGAATCAAATGCTGAATTCCTGGCAGCTTAGGGGCCTCAGCTATCACCTTCGGCCTCCCTGTGCTCTTGTATTTCTTCGCTTTCGGTTGCAATGAGGTAGCCGGATGCCCAGTTCCTTCTCTAATTAGCCCCGGAACTGTTACCTGGGAGAAATGGACTTCAGAAGCCGGTTGGCCTGAAGGGGGAATATGGGGCCTCTTCAGTTGGAAAGTCAGCTGCATGGTGCTGGCTTACTACGTCTTGAGCCTAACTCTATGGAGAGTTCTTCCAGCGCGAGAGGTTCACGGCACTAAGCTCGTTCACCATGGCCGTCCTCTCATGTATCGCCAAAATGGTAAGTCGGTGATAAGCTTGTCTGTTGTCGATCTGTGCTGACGATCCGTAAGCATTCTCGGTCAGTCTGGTGCTGCTAGCTATCTGCGCTGTTGGTACATATATCCAGGGCGCAGACTTTTCTTTGTGGACATACATTGCGGATCATTATGTTCAGCTCTTGACTTCCAATGTCCTCATCTCATACGCCCTTTCTACCTATCTTTACATCCGCAGCTTCGGTGTGAACACCAAGTACCCCAACAATGATCTTCGAGAGCTAGCTGACGGTGGTAACACCGAAAACTTTATCTATGACTTCTTCATCGGCCGTGAACTGAACCCGCGTATCACCCTTCCCCTTTTTGGCGAGGTTGACATTAAGACCTGGTGTGAAGTCTACCCTGGCTTGACAGGCTGGATCCTGCTCGATCTTGCATTCATAGCCAAGCAATATCGGACCTATGGCTATGTTTCTGACAGTATCGTCTTTATTACATTCTTCCAAGCCTTCTATGTCCTCAACGGTCAGTATAACGAAGCCGGCGTGCTGACCATGATCGACATCACAACAGACGGCATGGGTTTCATGCTCTCGTTTGGTGATCTGGTCTGGGTACCCTTCCTGTATTCCACCCAGTGCCGATATCTTTCTGTATATCCTCTGCAGCTGGGATGGGTCAACATCGCTGTAGTGAGCGCTGTTTTTGCGCTGGGATTGTATATCTTCCGGGCCGCTAATAATCAGAAGCACGTCTTTCGCACGCAGCCCAGTGTTGCGGGTATGTCTTATATTCAGACAAAGCGAGGCACCAGGCTACTCACTGCGGGCTGGTGGGGCATGTCGCGTCATATTAACTACTTTGGCGATTGGATGCAGGCGTTGCCCTTTAGCCTACCTACGGGTCTGGCTGGGTATGTGATTCTACCGGCAGGAAACATACTTGCTGCTTCGCATAGCTTCACGATGCTCGATGGGCGAGAGGTTGTTCAAGGTGAAGCTAGAGGCTGGGGCATAGTTTTCACATACTTTTATGTGCTATACTTTGCTATTTTGTTGATCCATCGTGAGCGCAGAGACGACGTCATGTGTGCCGTCAAATATGGCGAGGATTGGGAGACATATAAGAGGACTGTCCGATGGAGGATCCTGCCTTGGATCTATTGAGTCCCGATATACTTTTTGCACACAGTATGGTGGGCTCCGTATTTGATATTTTCCATATATATCTTGGTCTATTGTTATCACCATTAATCAGTAATACCGACACCTATCTTGAGAACAAGAAAGCAAATATATAAAGTAGTAGAAGAAAATTTTGAATTCTAGCACAAAACCAATGCTTCAACATCATGATTATATCCGTCCCTGATGATGCATGCCAAAATAGCAAGGTAGAAAATCCTTGACTCGGTGCTAATATATATCAACCCAGACCCCGAACGCCAATGCTATTGTTGCTCCGTAACCATCCACCTTCCAAAGCATGACCCCGCATGCGAATATAGTAATATGATGTCTCTCAGACTGGGGGAGCTGGGGGTTCTTTCAGCCCGTTATCCCTTGCCAACCAATGCAGATCGCGCAATCGCAACTGCCGCATATACACTGCCTGCTCGTGGGGAATTTCATGACTCCGTTCGTCATCACGGAAGCCATTAGTGGCAAGAAAGTGGATTGAGTAACCGATAAGGGTGAATACAACGCAGCCGAGGATGACGAAGACGATAATGGCACTGCGACTGAGGTCTGCCATGGTGGTGTTTCTTCTGAATCTTTCGGGTATTAAAGATCTGGAGATGAAATCGGTTAGTCAGGGCAGAAGCAGAATGGATATGCCTTGACACTCACAATATAGAAGGGATGTATGTTGTCTGATGAAATTGTGGCCAAGTGAACCCCGCAAATCTTGAGAGCGAACGTGTATAGAAAGAGTATGTGTGATTAAAAGAAGGCCAACACAGAATGAGAGACAGAGAAAGGTTTGTAGAAAAGTGAGAGGAAAGTTTGCCTACTTCTCCCCTTCCATATCTCTGGAGATGCACCGCATTTTATATTCCATTGCCAGCGGAAAATCCTTCACCTGTCGCTTCTCACACCATGGGGGTTGTATCTATTCCTGTCGCTGTTTCTCTATAGCCGGAGATTAGATTACAGTCTAATCCCGATTGGAACATCACTAGTCCGGGAAGGTGCTAGCGCAAGATGCCTATGATGTCATTTGCGAGCCGGCCAATGAGATTGTCGGAATTCTCAGGCACAATGGGTTTAGCGCTGACTTTGGGGACGTGATTGTACACAGTAGCGCCTTTATTTTCGGCCTCATCCGCACCAACGCTGATGGATCGGCAGCTGAATGGTTCTCGACTCGTTGCCATATCCCCCAATCATCAAACTCGGATTGCTGGCATCTTGTGGTCACCCCGCTGTACATCAGGGGCTATGGTGTTATCTGTCCCTTTCACAATTTCGCATGTTTCACCTGGCGGATGAACAGTCGGTCCTGGCTGGGTGGGAAGCGCATAGGCTTGGCTGGACCTCGCTGCCACGCGTGCTCTCAGTGAATTGACTATACCATTGAGGATAGTGTGGTTCAAGTCGAATCTCATACCACCGAGGAGACTACTACTAAAAGATACACTTCACATGCGCAGTAATCTGCGCCCACACCCCCAATACAACCGGTTTCTTCACCCCCCCCACCCCCCCTCCCACGAGAAGAATTTCATTGTTGACGGTCTTCTGTAAATATGAGCTGAAGCTTTCCAGGACGACGCGCCCCCTTGCCACAATGACTCACAAAAACCATATGACATTGACTAGCAAGATCGATGAGCATTACATGAGAACCATCATGAAGCAATTCTACGAAAATTTCAGATTCTCTGCGTCCGCTAGCCTTCCATAAAAATCCAGCATCAGTATTGATAGCCAAAGCTATAGTCTATCAAAGCTGAATCAAGGGTTTCTGTTCCTAACAGCATGCTGGCAATCGAATCCCAAGAGAAAAAGGCATTGTCGTCATCTATAAATGGCGTAACTGGTGTAGTACCAGTGCATTCGCCATCCGTGGTAGATGATGACCTATCCCCTTTGGCGAAATTGTACTCTGTGCTATGTTGTACTCCCATTCCCATATAAGGTACCGGGAAATATCTCGTCTTGCTCGATGATCCGAGTTGAACAAAAGGAGTTGCTGCGTTTGAGTGTACGACACTGCCACCCTCATCATTCGAGGGTGCCTGTTGTAGTGAGCCTAGTCTTTCCTGGACCAACATGTTAAGGTCACATATTATCCCAACCCAACGACGCATGGTACCGGGCATCATCGGATTGCCTGAGTGACGAGATACCATCGCTGCGCAGTCATACAACAGGGAGAGCGATCCATTGTCTGAAGACTCCTCGCTCTCTTGTCGGGCTCGATCCCGCATAATGCTCAGAGTCAAGACCAATGTTGATGAGTATACGAAATAGACATCCAACCAAGTCACAGCATTGAAGTTTCCGGTTTGATCCAGTTGCAATAACAGCTCACAGCTTTTTCGACCAGACTCACAGCATATTTGGGCTGTCGACTCAATCTCCTTTTGTTTTGGATCACTGCTTGACTCTTCTGGCATGGTCGCGAGATGCTGCAGGAGTGGGTAGCGAGTCAGCAAAAATACATTATAGTGATACTGGATGTGCAGCAAGAGAACTGATCTTTGGAAAGCGGCAGGTATGGTATTGAACACCCTCATGGATAGATGCTGTGGCAACGATCCATACCACCGAGACAAGTCTCGAAGTAATCCGGCTACGGGTGAGAGTGGGCCAGTTGAATTAACCTGATTCGAGGCGGCTGGTAGTGTGCGGCATGCGAGGCCCAAGATGGAGACAAGCCGTGTCGACCAGAGGATGTATTCCGGGGGGTGGCTCGAGGACCCGACTCCGAGAATCCTCTGGATGGGAGGCTTTGTCGAGCACACTGCGCCTTCTAAGGCACTGGGCCGGTCGTGAGAAGAGACTTGAATCTGCTCAAAGCCGTAGAGGGTCCACCGCAGCGACTTTCTTAGCTCTTGGTTCACTTGTGGTCCTTCGCAAATGACTTCATCTCTGTCGAGCCCAATGGCGATGGCGATCCTCACTGCCGCTCCTGTCAGTGTCCAGCATGCATTTCGATGATTCGTATTATGAAGATGCAACGCAGTCAGCATCAAGGCCTGGATTGATTGGATACTGGATGTGAATATTATTGTTGGTAGGAGCGATTTGATGTGAGTCCACCATCTTTGCTGTTGAGTCTGCATAGTTCCCGCCGGGTTTATTCTTCGACCAAGGATCAAGACGCATAGCAGACCACATACCCACGCTGGGTCAACTGATTTTGCATCGGCCCGCCAATATTCAGAAGCCTCTAGGAAGGAAGCTTTATGAAGAACGGGAAAGTCGACGTTGACATGGTCGAAATACGACTGAATTAACCCCCCAATAACAGAGGTGTCTAGTAACAAGTGAGGATGTTGCGCAGCACCCGCAATGAAATCCGATTGCAAGGGCTGCGCCACTACTCGAACATCAACTTCTGAGACAATCGTGCTGGCGGAGGGTTTCAAAGTCTCTTCTGTGGGATTGCATCCGAACAGATACATCTGGCACGTTTGTCTTTGGGGTCGTCGTCCCAGGAGAGTCCGAAGTTTCAGCTGAAAGAAATAAGAGATTGCGGGGCCAATGTACTGTCCTTGGCCCTGTTGATCTTGGACGAGCCGCTGATTCTGCTCCACGAATACCGATGCGCCATCTCTCCCCTGCCGATTCTGTGTAGATTGGCTTTTGCCATCTCCCATCTCTGGGAGTGGGATGCCCAGGATCCGTGCAACCTCTTGCATGCTGTCAAGAGTGGACAGGTCGGCATTTGGGATAAGCCCCTTCACCAAAGCCTCTAGCACTGCAATCTGGGCACGAACATGATCGGCACTACCATAAAGCCTTTTTTTGCGAGGCTTTGTGAGCGTGCATTCATAATCAAAATGCTCACAGTGCCGACAGCGGTCTTCTTTTTTAGCTTTATCAATACATTGATTACACATTCATTCAGCAGGGATTGATGTGCATCTACAAGACAAACAGTTCATGTTTGGAATAATCTTCGACATGTTTAGACGTATTACGTTCAAATGCCCTGACTTGTTTATGTTGAAGCAGTAGCTTCCACCCGGATCCTTGCCTCAGCCAAATCCGCCTGGAACCAGAACCCGATATCCTTGGTAGTATCGACAAGCTCGACCTCTCGTTTCACGAACCCCGGTCCATCAGCCGGCGCTTCATCATGCCCCTGGACAGCATCATCGTCTTCACTATCCCAATCCTCGTCATCTTCCATCTTCTCCCGGCTCACGGGATCCAGCTCATCTGTCTCCCAGACCAACTTGAACGTATACGGCGGAAGCCCAAAGAGGCGAGAAACAATGGCCTTAACCTGGTATGTATCAAACGATCGGGGTATCTCTTTGGTCTTGACTGCACTCTGTTCAGCTGTAGAGGCGGGTTCTCCGTGTTGGGCAATATCCGCGCTGTTCGATGCTGCTGCTGTCCGACGAAGGTGAAATATCAACTTCACTAGCCGCGCGGCGATAGATCGTGGATTTACAGCGCCGGCGGACCCGGCCTCAACCCTCCTGATCACAGGCTGGCCGTATATCTCGCACAGTTCTTTGTATCGAGGGTGTGCGGCGAGGATGCTCTGCTCTGCTGTCTCAGGGGACGCAGATACCTCTTTCCCGATAAGTGAGAGATAGTATAGCTCCCCGTTGCTGCGATCCTTATCGGTGATTTTGCCGTAGTTAAGGACTTGTAGGGAGGCAACCCGGGCCAGCGTCAACATGTAGGACTCGTCAACGGTCATGGGCTTTTCTGGGACGCCGGTGATACTGGATGGTCCGATGGGCTGGTCGTAGAGCGGATTTCCGGATATCCGGAGGGTGTCGAGGCCAGGGAATATGGATGTGAGCAGGTTGACGAAACCCCAGGAGTTGATTTTGTTACGGGATAGGTCGATGGAGTGGGCGCTTTGCGGAAAGTGGAATGGTTCGTCTGAGGGGCTGTTGAATATCGAGGAGATGTTGTTTCCTCGTAGGGAGAGGTGCTCTAGATTTGGTAGAGCGGCGAGGGATTTGATGGAGGATAGAGATGCGAGGTCATTGTTTTCCAGAGTTAATCGTGTGATGGTGTTTGATATGGGTGTTGTTAGCACTGAGAATTGATTGGCTGATACGGAGAGAGATGTGAGCGCCGGAAACTGATACGTCAATGCTGATACCTCCTCCCAAGTGAGAAGCGTATCGTCCAGATGAAGTCCTGTGATACCCTCAAACTTTAGTCCTTCCTCGATGGGGCCGAGGCGGTTTCCACTGCATCGAGTCAGCTTGAGAAAGACTGTCAATATCACGATAACTTACATCAATCTCAGCGTTTTCAGCAGTTTCAACCTTCTGCAGATCTGAGCGATACCACTCCAAGACGTCAACAGGTTTCGACTCAAATCCAGCTCGGTAATCTGAGGACATGTCTGCTCGATCTCCGAGTACGCAGACTCAACATCTTCCGAGTTGGCCTCGTGGCCCAGAACACCGGAAACACGTAATCCATCGAGGAGCACGATCTTCAGATCTTGAAGTTGAGCAAGCTGCTTGCGGATCTTATCGAAGCCAACTTCTTCGGCGATCTTGCTGTTGAAACGAATAGGCTCGTGATGAACATCGCCAGCAGCATGCCCACCTTCCTTCTGTTCCAGGAACTCAGAAGCATACTTCTCGCGCAGGGCCTCGAGGAATCCTCGGGGTTTATCTGCTGGGCGAGACGGACGCACGAATGACCCTGCCGTGGGGTGTTTGTTCTTGCCTGGATTGATATAAGCATGGATCTGCAACCACCAAAAATCACTCCGTATGGAATCTACGTTCAAACCGTCAGAAGGAGCACCTACATGTAAAGTATCTCACCCCGCGATGCTCGCCGGAGTGCTTCCCCCGTGTCGGGTCATCCCATTCGACCCCTAACCATTCGCCGGAGGTGCCCTCGACTGTGCCCACGTAGCGAACGGTACATGAGTCCCCGGCATAGGATCGTCGCGTATTGATACTGGACTCCTCCATATTCAGGAAACCGACAATGATACCAACATGGCCGTGGATCAAGATCAACGAACTGGACGCAAGCATGTGACGGGTTTCCCACCTCCCCCGCCCCACCCAATCGCAGCCCGCCTGCATGCTTACATAAGTATACCCAGGCCTTCCACCGGCGGAGAACTCGTTGACATCGCGATCCAGACTCACCATCTCCCCCAATCCACAGCCACGAACCCAGTTTCCCGACACGATGGATTACCAGGTACGCAGCCCGTTCTCCCCATCACACTCCCCATACCCGCGAGTCCCACTAACCCAACGCCTCTCCAGAACCGCGCCGGATCGAAATTCGGCGGCGGCGGCGTCGCCTCGCACTCCGCCACGAACGCCGACCGACGCGAACGTCTACGCAAGCTCGCCCTCGAGACGATCGACCTCGACAAAGACCCCTACTTCTTCAAGAACCATGTGGGCAGCTTTGAATGCCGACTCTGTCTGACGGTACACCAAAACGACGGGTCCTACCTGGCACACACGCAGGGACGCAAGCACCAAACGAATCTTGCACGGCGCGCGGCGCGCGAACAGCGCGAGGGCAAGAACCAGGACCCGTCGTCGCTGCCCGGGGCGATGGGTGTGCAGGTGAAGAAGCAGACGATCAAGATCGGACGGCCGGGGTACAAGATCACGAAGATCCGGGACCCGTTGACGCGGCAGTTGGGGATGCTGTTCCAGTTGCAGTATCAGGAGATCACGCCGGGGGTGGTGCCCAAAGTGCGGTTCATGTCGGCGTTCGAGCAGAAGGTCGAGGAGCCCCCGGACAAGAGTTTTCAGTATCTGGTCGTCGCGGCGGAGCCGTATCAGACTTGTGGGTTTAAGTTGCAGGCCAGGGAGATTGATCGCCGCGAGGGCAGGTATTGGACTTGGTTCGATGAGGACAGTAAGGAGTTTTGGGTCCAGATTATGTTCAAGACTGAGCGTGAGGAGAGGTTCTCTGGTGTGCCCGGGTTGGCGCCTATGGAGTCGAAGGCTTAATTGGTTTGATGATGACATGGTGGCTGCAGCTTGGGGTGGGGGATGGTGGGGAGGAGTGAATATGCTTGGTTTTTAAAGGGCTTTGCTGGGCGTTTTTACGGTTTCTGTTCAGGCAAAATGATTGTTCATTTTTCTTCTTGATCATTGTGTTATCTCGGATTAGAGCGGCTTTCCATCAAATACCATGCCTCTTTGACTTACTGTATACGTGCATGCCATGTAGCCGGCAGTTATATGTGAGACTTGATGTGTAACCGCTATTCGGAATGCATTTGGCTAAGGGCCTTCTAACTAGGGAACATGGACAAACATAGGTCCTACATTCACGACCGTCTTCTAGGACTTGATGCTCTCCATATCTACTCGTATGTATCCTTCAGGCTAGGTACAGTCGGTAACTAGCAATCGTCGTCTCACGCCACGGATGCAAAAAAAAAAAAAAAAAAAAAAAAAAAAAAGGAAGGTGAATGAAGATAAACAATGCTAGGTCGTGACCAACAGGGGCGAAATGTCAAATGCGCTATATGCTGGATGAAACGGATGCACACGGTGATCCCGAGACCAGAACCTAAATGCGCCACTGAAAAGCCATCAATGCAAGCCCGCCCGCCGTCGGCCTCTTCAATGACATCTATCGTGGGTTCATAAGAACACTCCTATGCCGGCTGTATTTTCAATTTGCCTGGAAGGCGTTGAACGCTTTGTACGTGTATCCGATGAACGGGAGGCTCATCTCCGCCTCCTGCTCATCGGGCATGGCACGAGCCTGGGCGCGGTGAATGGCGCTCGTGTCCTCCTGGGGAATTTCGTCAATCGGGAAGTATGATACGTCGATGTTCGAGCTCAATCTCGGCTCGAAAGGAGCCCGGATACTGCGCAGCTGCTCCCAAACCACGCCGCGGAAGAAGGGGTGGTTCTTGATCTGCGTCGCCCCGCCGAACTGGCCGCCATCGCTTCCAATACGATGTTCTGTGTCACACAAGAAACTAGACAGAAAATTAGTACAAGGACACCACACATAGTATATCAAACTTACTTCCTAATCAGCGACTCGGAATCCCGCGAAAGGGTGAGCTCTTCCGGGAAATAGAGGCATTCTCTCCAGTTCACAATTTTGCGGTACGTGTCGGTCGTGTCTTCTGCGCAGAACGGAGGCCAACCCACCAGACACTCGAACATGATAGCACCCACGGACCACCAATCGCACAGGTAGGTGTATCCTTGGCCGTTGAAAATCTCGGGAGCAATGTAGTCGGGGGTACCGACAGTCGAGTAGGCCATGGCACGACGAGACTTTCTCCAAGTGTTGATCTGCCCACGGTTCGACACGGTCAGGTTGATGGCATCGTTAAAGTATCCCGAGTTGCGGTTCTTGTCCTTGGACGTGGAGTTCTTCAGTAGGTTTTGGTAGTAAGAGTTGTCGTGGGTCTTCTTCCCGCCTGTGGAGAGACCAAAGTCGGTCAATTTGACGTGGCCGCCGCGATCCAAAAGGATGTTGTCGGGCTTGATATCACTGGAAAGCGCATCAGTCAGCACAATCAATCACGGAGGACCCGGGACAAGGGAGTTCTTTGACAAACCCAAGGCGGGAAATATGCACATACCGGTGAAGGAACCCAAGTTTGTGGACTGCCTCAATCGCCATGACGATCTCCGCCATATAGAACCGAGTGATGTCCTCGGAGAAAATTTCATACTTGATCAGCATGGTCATCAAGTCACCACCGGGCAAGAATTCCATCAGCAGATACAGATACGCGGAGTCCTGGAAAGAAGCGTGCAGCTTGACCAACCACGGGTTGTCCTTGGAGTCAGCCAGGATGTCACGTTCCGCACGCACGTGGGCCAGCTGGTCCTTCTTGAACATCTCCGTCTTGATCAATGACTTCAACGCATAGATCTTGCCATCGGTCTTCCGTTGTACCAGCTTCACCTCACCGAACGCGCCCTTTCCAATGATCTTGATGGTCTGAAAGTTCTGCGGGCTCTCCTTGGTACGAAGGAATCGAAGGAAGTTCGACTCTTTCCTCGAGACCACTTCGGCCTCCTTGCGCTTGGTCTCTTTGGGGATACTGGATTCGCGGATCATCTTGTCCAGCTCAGCGGATCTTTTGAGATCATCCAAGTCAGTGACGCTCTTCACGCATAATCGATGACAGGGAACCCAGGTTACTCACCGCATGTTGCGGTCGCGTGCGCGTTCGATGTTCTCATTGAAGAAGACGCTGACCAGCTCCTTGGCAGCCTTGCCACGCTTGTGAACATTCTCCGAGTACCGCTCAGGATAGCGCTGCAGCTCCTCGTTCTCAGCGGGGGTTCGAGGGCTACGGGGCATAGGAGGGGCCAGATGGCCCGGCTGTTGCTGTCCGGGGGCGGGGGAGCCGGCGGTTCGGGGTCGCTGAGCCGGAGAGGCAGCACGGCCGAAGAAACCTGAGCGAGGGGAGTTCAAGTCCTGGTTGGAAAACTGCTGGATCAGGCCGTTGGTCCCATCGTTGGCACTGTACCCCATGCGGGACTGGTAGGCGGGCTGGGGGGACTGCAGGTTCTGGCCGTAATGCGGCTGCGGCTGGCCGTATGCCGGCTGGGCTGGGTACGGATTGGCCATGAAATAACCTTGACCGTAGGCACCGTTTTGAGCGTCCATATAGTCCTGGGGACCCTGGTTCTGGTAGATCGGCTGGGGGAACGCGGAGGGGGTGGTGGGATAGGCGCGGTTGTTGGCGGCGGCCGCATTATTCAAGGCACGATCATTGTACCCGAAATTCATGTGGAGACGGTTGTTGTTGGGGTCCATGGTGAAAACTTCCTCCCCGACTACCGAGCGGACGATAGAGAATGTGGGGGTGTGAAGGAAGAAGAGATGGAAGAGGAGTCGATAAGCTGGAGAATTGGTGGGAAGAGCCCAGGGGGAGGGGGGAAGAGGGGGGGGAGAGTGTCAGAAGAGGCCGAAGGAGCGGTGGCCTCAGGAGGCGAAGGGGGCTCGACAGGCACTTTCAGGAGCGCTTCTCCGTGTCCCTTGTTGGTTAGAGAGGGGGGGAGGCAGTGGAGAGAGTCTCTGGCTCGGGAGGTGTGGGCTCGCGCTGGCTGTGGCTCTGGCTCAGGAGAGGGAGAGAAGTCCGACAGAATAATAACAATAATAATAACAATAATAATAAGAACAACTAGACAATCGTACGTCCGAGATAGATGCACAGATGGCACAATGCCAATCAAACGAACGTAGCCAGGTTGTTGTCCCAAACGACACCAACGAATGACTCGATCCGCACGGGGGAGGGAGGGGAGGGGGAACCGATCAATCAGCCCTTCTGAAGCAGTTTGATGTTCCAGACTCGTACGGCACCCCGTTGGGGCCACCAGCGCGTCACCGGTCTCCCTCAAAGCACCACCGCGACACCATGGCTTGGATGATATTGCCTTCAGTCACACACGTATCGGATTCTATGTCTGTCTATGGAGAAGATATCTACAGATTGATTTCTCACTCCTGCTGCGAATGGTGGCAGGAATTCCCGTCTCCCACCAGTTCAGAAACCCCCTTCGGAATACGGAGTCAAGTTACGCAAGATTGTCGAGAGGGAAAAAAAAGATCCATATTCAGCAAAACCTAAGTATACAAGGGCCAAAAGCATGCCCAGCGCTCATGAGTGATATCGCGATCTGTGGCGAACAATGCCAGCCTTCTCAACTTTCCGATCTATACCCGGGGACCTCGCCCCGGATAAACCTCGCCCCGACGGAGCTGAGCAGCGCATCCCGAACTTTTTCGGCGGTCATACATTTCCCTTCATAGGCATGCCATGAGGGAGGTGCTTTTCCTCCCTGTTATTCCTCTTCATTACTATACATCTACCTCCTAATTATACATACGTCCGCTCCTTCATCCTCACCCTCCTCTCTCACAGCCCAACCATGGCGGAGCCCTCCAATTCCGCCGCGGCGTCAGGCCCAACCCCATCCGCGGCCCCGGCCAGCGCTCCCAAACCCCCAAACCCGGCCTTCAAGATGCTCGGTATATCCTCCCAGTCCCTCTCGGCCTCCTCCCAATGTCTCTAATAAGTCCCCGAAAGGAATGCCCAACCTCCGCTTCAAACTCCCTTCCCGGAACTGGATGATCTTCTTCACCATCACCGGCTCCTTCACTGCGGCTCTCATGTACGACCGCAAAGAGAAACGCCGCGCGCAGCAGAAATGGTGCGATCTCGTCGCCCACCTCTCGAAAGAGTCGCTGCCCGTCGAACAAATGCGCCGCAAGATCACCGTCTTTCTGTCCGCGCCCCCAGGCGACGGCCTGCGCAGCGCCCGCGAGCACTTCAAGGAATACGTGAAGCCGATCCTCGTCGCCGCAGCACTAGACTACCAGGTCATCGAAGGTAGAAGGGAAGGTGACATTCGGGCTGCATTTGCGGAGCGTATCCGCAAATCCCGGCGGAAGGCGGGAGAGCCCAGCACGGTGGTGGAAGAGACCAGCACCGAGGATGTTGTCACCAACGCGAGGATACAGATCGGAGTCACGGACGAGCCCGGCCCCAAGGGAGATCTCGTCATTGGCCGTCACACCTGGAAGGAGTATATCCGTGGTCTGCATGAGGGATGGCTAGGCCCCCTCGATCCTCCGCCACCGCCTCCTCCCGCAGAGGAATTCTCCTCCCCCGACACAGGCATTTCCGCCGACGGCAGCCCCATCACCGAGGAGCCCAAGACGGAAGACACCAAGACGGAAGACACCGCGTCTGAAGAGAAGAAGAAGGAAGAAGAGGAGAAAAAGAAGCCCGCCAAGCCCGTCGGACCAACCCCCGCCTACCTGTCTACGACCGACTACTCCTCGCAACCCCTCCCCCCGACCTTCCCTCAAACGCTCGACGGCTCCGTCCCCATCCCCCTCCCCCACCTCCTGGGCTTCCTGAACACCCCCATCCGACTCTACCGGTACCTCAACCAGCGGCACGTAGCCGAGAACGTCGGCCGCGACGTCGCCGGCATGGTCCTCGCCTCCTACAGCCGTCCTTACCACGAGGGGTCCATTTCCGAATTCACCGCCGACGACTCCTCCCCCACCTCTACCTCCCCCTCCGACGACCAGACACCAAGCAGCGCCACATATGAACAACAAACCGTCCTCGAAGCCGAAGAACCCGAATGGCACAAGTCCGTCCACAAGAAGGACGAATCCAACCCCGACAGGGAGCGCGAATGGCTGAACGACATCGTCCTCGACCCCCGCTTCGCCTCGCGTATGCACCGCTACGCTCTTTCCCCGGAGGAAGAGGCGCGTGCGCAGCGCATCACCGAAGGCCAGGAGTACATCCTGGGCGAGGAGCGGCCCGCCCCCGTCCCGTTCTGGCAACATATGTGGATTAAGTACGGTTACGGCGAGGACGCGGAGACCTTGAAGAGGAAGCCCATCCTCGGTAACATTGACGGTGAGGATGATGTGTGAGGATGAGAAAGAAAAGTTATAGCATAGATAGATTCGCCCTTTAGATATTTCCAAGTCATCGTTGGGAAGAGGGGGGTATATAGACATTGATTGTTCGATGGATTGTTCGGTCTTTGTGCATCTTGTCTTGTTTGTTGTCGGGGTTTGATATGACTGACTGACTATTTATTGCATGGGAAATGTCTCTGCCTATCTATTCTCTGTCTATCTGTATTGTACTAACTACCTACCATCTCCTGTTCATTGTATATTAGTCAAATCCAGGTTACTTACCTACTCTTGGGTTGATGCCTCATCCTTATCTTTATGGATTGAAACTTGGCGCTCGTTAAAGAAGTCTTCCTTTTCTGGCGGTACAGGAACCAGCACAACGTAGGTCAGAAACAATTCGCTACTTTATACTTCTCCCATGGGCCAGGGAACAAAACCTTGCTATACACAGTACCTCCACTAGGCATCTAGGACAGAGAAAGCATCCATCACACACCAAAAATAAGCCAAGCTAGGTGCCTAGCAGGTATGCATATGTTAATACAGTATTCAATTTGTTTATTTTCGGTCTAGTAGTACGTTCGCCGAGCTGTCGAGGGGTTTTCGTGTGTATAAATCCGAGCCTCACCACCACTCCCACCTGGGTCAAGTACCTGACAATAGTATGTACAACCAGGTATGCAGCGACCAGTGATAGACGTTGTTGGGGTCTAAAGCTAAGCTAAGCTCAAGAAAGACAAAATGCGCTTTTCGCCAAGTGATGTTGTTGCAGTTCAAAGCGGTTCAAGTCCAAGAAGCTAGGTAGGTATCACTATGTCTCTATTCGAGGCGGAACACCGTAGCCTCGGGCCACTTGCTGCTGGCCTTCTGAGCATAAGCTGTCTGGGCGGCTTGGCTGCTTCCCCATTCGTTCAGCAGCTCCAAGCCTGCAAGGGCGGTTTCGATGGTGATATCCGTTGAGTCGAGAGTAGAAGCGAGGTCCTGTTCACACTGAGGCTTCGAGTCGGGGTTCAAGAGCTGCCGGGAGGTGAGACCGGCTTGCTGGTGCGGAACGCTGTCCTTGTGTGTCGAGACGAAGGTGTTGTTCCATTCATCCAGGTTCTGGGCCTTGGGGAGTAGAGTCTCGAACTCCGCGTTCACGACCTCGGCTACTTGAGGCGCAAGGGGCTCGGGAAGAGTGTCCAGCGCTTTCCGGAACCGGAGGAGTTGGACGTGGAGAGTCGGGTTGGATGCATCAATCGCATGCGCGGCGGAGAGACACTTGAGGGCAAGCGCGTGTTTGCCTAGAGATGGCCGTTAGTTCGTACATGGTTTGCGCTTCGGTGCCAACATACCTCTTCTGAGATAAACCTCGAAGCCAAGGCACTGGGCCTCAATGCTCTTAGGGCTCAGCTCCAGCAGGGGAGTCAGGAACTTGGTCGCATCCTTGAGCGGATCTTGGGTCTGAGCGAGCTTGGTGCCGAGAGGATCCTCATCCTCCTTCTTCACCTCTCCATCAACACCCTTGGTGCTTGCTGCCTTTCTCGCCTCACGCTTTTCCGCCTCAAGCTTCTCTAGACGCTGCTGTTCCTTCTTGGCCTTCTTGAGAGCCTTCTTACGTTCGCTGTCGTCCTCCCCAGAACCGTTGGGTAGCGGTCCGTGAGCTAGATCCGGGTCGTCATGGAGAATGAGGTATGCCTTGATGGCAGAAACAGCCACCCGAGTGTAGAAAGGATGATCACGCAAGCGATCTTCCCAACGAACCATGTCGACGTACGCGCGAATCATGCCCTTCCGGAGGGAGAAGCTGTGGAAATCAAACTGGTCTTCTTGCCAGGTGTCGAAAATGTTGTAGACGGCATGGAAGCGCTTCAGGGCAAGGCCAAGCTTCTTCTGGCGCAGATAGGCCTCACCGTCCTCGGTCAAATACCAGGTACATTGCATGTCGTGGAGATCGCCCAAGGCACCGCCAACGGCCTCGTTCCGGGTGAACTTGCTCATGTTGTCAAGACCCTTGTCGTTGTCGTTGTTGCGGAGTTGGTACTTTGCGGCCTTGGAGTTGATATAACGATCCTTTTCATCCAACTGGCGCGCCTTCTCCATCTCCTCTGCTGCCTTCTCCATGTTACCATAGTGCTTCCATACCCTGGCCTTGGTCAGCTGATACTCAACGGCCTTAGGCGAGAGCTCGATAGCCTTGTCAACGTTCTCCATGGCCTTGGTCAAGTTCCGGCTGAGGCGGTAGTTATAATGCTGAGCAAGGAAGTAGTAGGAGGAAGAGAGAAACTCGGTGTTGTCGGTGCCTTCGGAGGAACCGTTCGACTGGGGAGCTGTCGAGACGTAGCCTTCAACCAGCTCCTGCACCGTGTCGCGTTTCACCGGGTTGGTGTATAGCGACTTAAGGTTAGCGAAGAGAGAAGGGACGCCCTTCTTAAGCATACGCTGCAGGTACGCATCGGCGGCCTGTTTGAAGTCATCGCCCTCCAGGAATTCCAGGGGTATTCTGCGGGCAGCATCACCACGAGGATTCTTCTCTACCCAGGTATCATATACAGCCTTGAGGGCAGTATGGTCATCGCTAGAGATGCCCTTTGCCCTAATCAAGGCGTCGTAGTAGAGCGAGTTGTCCGGATTCCGGTCCAGAAGAGCGGTATAGGCTGCCTCCGCTTCGGCCTTCCTGCCCAGTCGCAAAAGGTAGTCGGCCTTCATCTCCATCACGGCAAGGACATCCGCAATTCTGTAGCCCACCTGCTCAAGATGTTCCAACGCCTTGTCAACCTTGCCAGACTCAGCCATGATCATGTTCTTGTAAAGCACAGCTTCCGAATGCTCCATGTCGGAGGTGGGCGGTGGGATCTTCAGCGTCTCCTCGTAAGTCGTCAACACCTTCTCGGCCTCCTCCAGGTCTCCCGAAAGATGGTGCGCAATGGCGAGAGCCGTCCAATTCTGTCTGAACCCGGGGCGAGCCTGCAGCATGGTTTTCCTGCTCTGTATGTAGCCCTGGTAATCCCGCATTTGCATCTGGAGTAGGGCCAGATCCCGCTGGATCGGCTGCGACTCGGGCTCGATCCTCAGCGCAAACCGGTATGCCTTGATTGCCTCTTCGTAGTTTTTTTCCGCCCGGTACAACAACCCGTAGACGTGCCAGCAGATGTGCGACTTCATGTCATTCTTCAGAGCTTCCTTGGCCAGCACAAAAGCCTCCTCTTGCTGTCCCATGTTGCTCATGATCAGGGCCTTCATCGCTAGTGTGTCGCCATGGTTGGGGTTCTTCTTCAGAATCTGTTCGGCGGTCTTGATACCTGTTCGGCGCATGGCACAGTTAGCTTTCTAGCAGCCTCGCATCCCACCTGCGGAGACTTCCAGCGTGTTCAATTTAAAATGGGGAACCTACCCTTCTTGTGTTGCTTGTTCTCGTAGTGGCGCACCACTTGGCGGAACAAGGACGCATCCTTGGAGCTCAATGGTTGCGGCATGGTGCTCGTGGTGGCAGGTGGTGGTCGGTGATGGACGGACTTGCCAAGTGACTGTGCGAAGACGGGAGCTGCGATGTGCGCGGGGGAGGGAATGACGCCGTTAGTGTCAGTAGTAGTCAGGCAGCGATAAGCTAGGACCAACTCTCCTACAACATGCACGTCCCGGAGGGGTCGAAGTAGGAATAATAATAGAATGTAAGGAAACTCCTTCCCGATTTTAGGATTCACCGGCTCGGGCGGCTTGAAAGGTATGCAGCAGCGATCAATCGACTCGAAGGTTCTTACCGATCGATTCGGAGGGCATCCCGGCACCAGACGAAATTATTATCCGAGGCGGCACCTGCAAGTCCGCAGCACTGCAGCATTGCAACAAACACGGCGACCCGGTCACTCTCCCTTCCCCCCCCCCCCCAGCCCTGCCATCCTGGATGTACATTCAATGCCGAAATCTGTGTCTGTGTTCATCGGTAGAGGAAAAAATCATGATGTTATATCGCTACATCGGGTTGTCACGTCATGCGCGATACTTCATCGATACCGAACGCCAACTCCAGCTATCGGCGCCTCTGTTATACAGATATCCTACGTATTCATTATATACACGTGGTAAGCCCAGGCAGTCACAGGTCGCTGATCAACAATCATGAACTCCGGCGAACGACTCCCTTGAGTAGAAAATTGTCAATCATAACCCACCCCAACCACAATCAGGTCCCGCAGGCCATCATGTCGACGTTGGCGGCAACTGTCTACTCTCACGCCATCGGTTTAGCGATTCCTCCCATCCTTGTGACGAACCCCCGCATCTCTCGGATACCATGCCCCATGTTCGGGCGCGTATGATCTCCTCGACGCCCCGTTGAGTCCGTACAAGACTTGCCAATGACTCGGTTCGTGCTTCTCTAGGCTGGACTCGCGCGGAGTACGGATCCAGTCGTTCATCGACAATTCGCTCACGTTCCTTGGCAGAGTCTGTCTGTCGAAGTATGTGAACCGGATCTTCCGGGTCCGGACTCGTGGCCACCCCTGCGCAATAATTGAGCACGTCGGATCGAACCTGCCACGAAGGGAACAAAACGTTCTCCTTGAAACCCTGGCATGCGGCCGGTTCTATCTGTTTCCCAGCCGCGGAGTCTGTCTGTCGGATCGCCGTAGAAGAGGGATCGAACCCTGCGCGGGCGGGGGTATACAACGCATTGAGGTTTTGCGTGATCGAGTCATCTATCGTTGATCTGGAGATCCGTAGGAAATCTATCCAGTGGCGCAAACACAGATTAGTCCCGGGCTTTGCCGTCATGCAGCCGAACAAGGTCAAGGCCTTGGCCGAACATACCTCTGAGCAACGTTTCGTTGAAGCAGAACTGGGGAGTTAGCTCAGGAGCAGACGTTGTCCGTGATTGAGACATCTTCCGACCCTCGACCTTTCCAGTGTCCCTTGATGACCTGGAAGCTCTGACCCAAAACCACTCCACTTTGTAAGGATATCGAGATGCGAGCAGCGAGTTGGTGGCACAGTAGAAAGGCTCCCAATGGCAAGCGGCACCGTGTTGGTTGATGCAGCGTAGCAAACAGGAGTGACGCCAGGGCAACAATGTGTGAAAGCGTCAGATCCGCGATCAATTGGTGTCTAGACCGTGATGTCGTTAGCAAGCACTTGAACGGTGCCGGGAAGTGGGAGTTCCTACGAGGGTCGGCCCGCGTGCCTAGTAGTACATACGGCTAGCAGCCACCGATCACGGGACTACGTGATTCATTGACGCGTGCCACCACCTTCAGTCTCGCTACCAGCTCCTCTTGAGCTCCAGGTTTTGGGATTGAAATACATCTGCATTGTCCAAGCTACCTAGTGGGATAGGACCTTGCTACAAGCGTGTTGGACTTACTGTCATTCTCTGTCTCCTCCGTACTATCAAGCCTTACTTATCCGCCATGCCCGAGTTAGCGGAGGTCTCGCGCATAGTGCATTTCCTTCGCCAACACCTCGTGGGCAAGGTCCTTTCCAAGGTCTCTGTCCAAAATGACGATATTGTCTACGGAAAGGCGGGAACCACCGCTGCGGAGTTTCAAAAGGCAGTGGAGGGAAAGAAAGTTGCTGGTGCCGGGCAACAGGGCAAGTACTTTTGGATTACTATGGCATCGCCGCCTCACGTTGTAATGCATTTTGGTATGGCGGGTTGGCTGAAGATCCGAGACGCCGATACATACTACTACCGGACAGACAAACCAGAGGATAAAGAGTGGCCACCTAAGTATTGGAAGTTCTTACTCGAGACCGATGGTGAACCGAAGACAGAGGCCGCTTTTGTGGATTTTCGCCGACTGGCCCGGATACGACTGGTGGACTGCCCGGCAGACGAAATCCGCAAGTATAGTCCTCTCAAGGAGAATGGCCCGGATCCGGTTGCCGATAAAGAAGTTGTGACGGTGGAATGGCTTGCGAAGAAGGTGGGCAGCAAGAAGGTTCCCATCAAAGTCCTTCTTCTGGACCAAGCGAATATAAGCGGAATTGGTAACTGGATGGGGTATGTATTTGAATTATGTGATACAAAGATTTTGATTGCGAAGCTGACCGCTACCCAGGGACGAGATTCTCTATCATGCCAAGATACATCCAGAGCAATACAGCAACACCTTGAATGGCGACCAAATAAAAGACCTCCACTCGGCTATGCATTACGTCTGCTCGACCTCAGTTGATCTGCTGGCAGATTCTGAAAAGTTTCCCGCGGACTGGTTGTTCAAACATCGGTGGAGCAAGGGCAAGAAGAATACACCCTCCGTGCTACCTAATGGAGACAAGATCACCTTCGTTACAGTTGGTGGCAGAACCAGTGCAGTGGTCCCAAGTGTGCAGAAGAAGACGGGGCCAGTAGCCAAAGACATCGACAGCACCGATTCCCACAGTCCGCCAGCTAAAACTAAACGGAAACGGGCGCCGGCGGTAAAGGAAGAGGGTGAGCCGGAAGGCAGCGACAATACCAAACCGAAGAAGGCGGGACCTAAGAGACAAAACAAGACGTCCATCAAGAAGGAAGATGAACCCGAGACCAAAATGCCAGAAGAAACGCCATCCACACGAAGGCGCTCGAGCCGGCTTAAGAAATAAGGCATTCTGTCTGTTCCAATTTCTATCCTATGATATGGACACCCCTGTTATAGACTTGTGTTACATACAATAGTTTAATAGAGGACAATGTTTGCCAAGATTCATTGCAGTGGACATTATCCTTGCGGTTTGGTATCATCCCGCCATGTCCATCTATCAAATTCTCAAGCCATGCAGTCTCTCCCGAAAAACATCAAAATTACTGCCCCCTTGGGTACCTTTCGCAGCATCATCCAAGACCGCAAAAAAGACCCTTTCCCACCATCCGTTAAATTCGCCTTCTCGCGGAACTTCACCCCAGCATTCTGCAACGGCAGCACTCGGGTTTGCAAAAGCGCCACACCCCAGTGCACCGAGAATAACCTTCCGATGCTTCTTATACCCTGCTATGCGGAGAATAGATCACATCTTATCCTTCATCAACTTTCGATCAGAGTGATGCTTACAGATTGGTGGAAACGTCGTGTCATCCACCTCGGGTCCTTCCAGCGCAGCCACGCTGATAACGCTCACCACGGGCAGAAGCTCGGGCTTCTGCAGGTTCATAAGCGCGTGGCCTGGAGTGAAATTTTCATAGAACACAGCCACGGTGGGCGAGTAGATGGCGTTGCGTCCTCCTATTTGATAGTATCGCCGTTTGAGTGTTAAGCTGAGGCTGCTCCGGTAGCACAAGGCTTCTTCCTGGGCCATAGCTCCGTTGAGCGGCTATAGCTATTAAAGATATCTTAGGCTGCTAGGCATAAAGTCCTAGCTCTGTCTCCAAAAATGAGAAACCCTGCGGCTAGTACATGAGTAAGGACCATCAAGATCAGTACTTGGTAGAGTATGCCGAGAGGGGCAATCTTAGTGGCATTAGTCCGTCATGACCCACCACCGATATCATCCCCATTAGTGAAGAATAATTATATAGTACGTGTTCTTGCTGGCATGTAGCTATGAAGCAGTCTGCCACGGTATCGTTTTGTCTTACTAGGAATTATGGGATTTGAGACCTGTCTGGCTTATACTTTTCAAGAATACATTGCATTTTGATTGAAGCAAAATTATATAGGAAGGGACGAAAAATATTTCTAATTTTGGTCCCAATGAGGTAGCTATCATACAAGATTCAGCGCGGATTCGCGCGCAAGGTAACGCTGTAAACATACTACTAGCAACGGCACTCAACATACCGCCTAATAGTGCTGGGATTATCAGGGGTCATATTCGAGAAGTACCAAGTTTCGTGTCACTCAGGCGAATGTCAAACATGCTAGTCATTCAAAAGATCTGACAATTAGGAAGACACAGCGGACACATCAAGTCTCAGCATGGATTCATGGTTTTGATCCCCAGGTCGGCGGTCTTTAATTCCAGGATTGGGTAACGAGACTTAATATGATATAGTATCAAGGTTTTTCATATTATCTACCTGGTGAAGGTCTAGAGGAAGCCTTTTACCTCTCCTTGTGCTTTAAGGAATATATACAGCTTGTTGCCATTTAATAGCCCGAATCCTATATAAGATAAAAGACGGCACAGTATCATTGTAAGGCAAACTTGAATCCCAAAACATTTTATATAGATTTTATGGCAGTAGCAATATTGCGAAAAGGGCCAGGCAAAGATAAAGGGGTACACAGGCAGCTGATAGACAGGATATTTAGTGCCCACGGATCTCAAAAGAAAGCTTAGCTTGGGACTGTTGAGGGTGGTTGTTTTGTTTGTTGAACCTCCGTTGCCTCTGTCGAGCTTTTTTATAAGCTTTCTTCCCCTGCCCTGCAGGAGCCTGGTAATTACCCCGTTTACCATGATTATCTGCACCATGTTGCCATGCCGCCGGGGTAGTTGGGGCCTGTTGCCATTCCGCCGGCGCAGCCGGGGCGGCCTGTTGCCATACAACTGGGGCAGTCGGTGTATGTTGCCATGCCGCTGGGGCAGCCGGGGCCTGTTGCCATGACCCAGAGTTTGCATGTTGTGGTGGCCGTGAAGCAGGCTGTTGCCAACTTGGAGTTGGACCCGACGGTTGCTGCGATCGTTGCTGGTTTGGCTGCGGTCGCCATGAGCTTGAGCCAGGCTGGGCTGCTTGACTAGAAGCAGCTGGTGCAGCATTGTGCCGTCCGTTATGCTGCGGCGGGCGGTTGTTCGTCTGAGAATTCTGGGTGGCAGACGGGCTTTGATGGCTTTGACACCGCCTGAGGTTGTAACTGGGCGATGAATCCGCCTCTGGGGTCGGGTAACCCGCTGGTTCGTTTTCGTCGACTTCATCATCTTCAGCGACATCAGAATCTTCCCAATCACTGTCACTCGAATCCGGTTCCGAATCTGATTCCGACTCCGAACATATTACATGGGCAGGACTATGGCGTTCTTTGATAACGGCATCGTAAATCTTTCTGATTGTTTTGAGTCGGTATCTAGGCATTAACCAAAGTTTAGAAAGGAGCAACATTTAGTTTTAAGGAGGGTTGAGAGCTCACTTTAACATGCTGACCGAATAACGATCCTTTCCCAAGATTTTGAGGACTTCGTCGAAGTCAACCCATTCAAATCCTATCTGTCGGAGAGCAGCGTATAGCAACAATCCGTAGTGTGAATCGTCCCAGTCGTTCAAGGGGCGTTTTTTTATAGAGCGAGGGGTTTGGAGTGGCTGTCTCGCAGGTTTGATTTGCCTCTTGGAACGACTTTTGGGCATTGTGGTATGCAAAGCAGAAGCAGATTGGATGAGAAAGAGACGAGAAATGCAGACTGAGAGAAGAGAGAGGTGTACAGACAGAAGGGATGAAAAAGGATGAGAAGAACTGTTGTGTAGAAGCTGGAGTTCATCAGGAATCAAGCAGTTCTTATATTAGCCAGTGGAGAGCATCGCTCCTCAGAAACGCACGCTTTGGTCGGCATATAGGAATAGAAATTTCCGGTCCCTGGTGGATTCGTATTCAGAAATTTCACCACAATGGGTGGCTGGTAAAGAAAGGCGCGTTGTATCCGATAAGCTGCGTCGTGTCGCGCGTCTCGTGTCGAAGGTCTGCTTAATTTTACGCTCTGGTCGACTGTCAATATGCGGAAGTTGAGCGAGTCTTGTCTGATATATCGGATGCACAACGCCCGGCATAAAATCCACCGATTGTTTTGACGGACGACATATTACTGGAAATACCAAGGTACCAGTGGGGATGGTTGGTTGAAGCTGAAACTTCGAAGCACCAGGCCAATTGATATGTCAACTTGTCAAGCCTGCTAGATAGATAGCATTGACGGCGTGGATCGATCGGGCCGGGACGCAAATGGCCGACCCGCATGAAGACAAGCACCTGGATTTGGTGCGACAGAATTATGAAAATATTCAAACCTTCGAGAAACTTCCAAAATGGTTGGGCTCAGATCTATCTATGGAAAGCCTTGTAACTTTTTATTCTTCGAAGAGAAAAGCTTGTATATCGTTATGTATATAAATAGTGGTAGTAGTTGTACGGAGTAGGTGTCAGATAATCGTTGATGCAGGAGGCCGACTTCGACCTGGGTGCTAAGCTTTTTTGGGCTAAACCTTGGGTTCAAGGCCATGTATCTGGCGTGTGAACAATACTGGCCTGTCGGAGGTGCCCGAGGCACTGCCATCAGTACGCCAGGAAGGTTATTCTGCGTCACTTTTGCGGTCGACCTGAGCAATGCTCTTCGATCAGTGCCGACGATGGCCCGGGATTCTGCCTTCATTGGGCGAAATAATCTGGCAACAACTTCGAAGCCATCCTAGATTTCCAGCCCACCCAGTATCCCCGGTATAGACGTGTCTCGCTTCAAGATTAGATTAATATACCCATGGACCTTCAAAGGTTAGCTTGATTCGGCGTCACATGACTCGGTATTGGAGACTGGCCTAATTAGGCAAGCAGGGGAAAGCCTGAGATCCGGGCTTTGCCAAGATGAGGCTAACTCGTAAGGTAGAAAATAACAGCAGCAAAATATCAGCAGAAAGCGAGGCGGTGAGGTCAGGCGGTGACCTTATCGAGGCCGATCGCGGGGCAGCCGATAAGCGGTGCTGGGAACGAACTGCAGGGTTCGTCGCCACTGCAGATGACAAACCCTCATAGTTGCAATTGGATTTCGCTTTCCTTCCTACGCTCCTCCCACCTACAAACATTCCCACATTTACTCCAGTTTTCTACTCGCATCGAAACCCCATCGGCATCCGCCAGCAAACCCGAGTCCCTGCACCAGTCACAAGCTGTTGAGCCCGCGGGGGAGTGGTGTTTCTGCTATACCTGCTCATTCGGTTTGCAGCCTCGGGCTTCCGCCACAATGAGTGCGATTCTGTCGGCGGACGACTTGAATGATTTTATTTCCCCCGGTGTCGCTTGCATCAAGCCCGTCGAAACACTTCCGGCAAAGAATGCCACGGAATCAGACGTACGTACAGGGGCCCTTCGCCCACCCGTCTCCGCTTTCGTCCAATGAATGGCCGCTAATTTGTAATCTATCAGAATCCCTACGAAGTCACCACAGAGGACAAGGTTCAACCTGAGAACCTTCCTCCTGCCCAGATCTCATTAACTGATTGCCTTGCGTGCTCTGGCTGCGTCACTTCTGCCGAGGCAGTGCTCATCTCGTTGCAATCGCACGCGGAAGTTCTCAATACACTTGATGCGCATCCCGAGATATCGTTGAACCCCGGACATGAAATATCCTCGCAGAACATCAACGCACTTGATGGTGAAGCTCGCATCTTTGTTGCAAGTGTCAGTCCACAAGTGAGAGCTAGTTTGGCAGCTACATATGGAATCTCCGAGAAAGAAGCAAACTACATGATCCATCAGCTTCTCAGTGGTCCCCAAGGGTTGAGAGCGGGAGGTAAGAATGGCAGCGGGTTCACATGGGTTGTTGACACAAATATCATGCGTGATGCTGTTTTGGCTCTTTCAGCGGATGAAGTCAGCGATTCTTTGGCGTCGAGCCTGGACCCAGCTGACCCGACAAACTCTCTTCCAAAGCGGCCTATACTTTCGTCCGCATGTCCAGGCTGGATATGCTATGCTGAAAAGACACACCCATTCATTCTTCCTCATCTGTCTCGACTCAAGTCCCCGCAAGCATTGACGGGCACGTTTTTCAAAACTGTCCTAAGTAAATCCCTCGGCATTCCAGCATCCCGTATCTGGCACCTGGCTGTTATGCCGTGTTTTGACAAGAAGCTTGAAGCCAGTCGCGAAGAGCTGACAGATGCTTCGTGGCTGCCAACTAAGCCTGAAGGTCATACAGCTGTCCGTGACGTTGACTGCGTGATCACTACGCGCGAGCTTCTCAGTTTGGCCTCATCCAGAGGCATCTCCCTTCCAAACCTACCCTTGAAGGCCCTGCCTCGATCTTTCTCCCCGCCATTCCCCGACAAGACTTTGGACGAATTTTTGTTTTCCAAAGTTTTCTCAGAACAAACCGCTGCCGCGGGAACATCCGGAGGCTACCTCCAGCATGTTCTTCTAACTTTCCAGGCAAGAAATCCCGGCAGTGAGATTTCTATTCAACGAGGGAGAAACGCCGATGTCGTTGAATATATCCTTATGTCACCTGAGCGTACGCCCATCCTGAAGGCTGCTCGCTACTATGGTTTCAGAAACATCCAGAACCTTGTCAGAAAGCTCAAACCGGCACGGGCATCGCGACTTCCTGGCGGCAATCGGCGGCAGCCGGTCTCGCGAAGCGCAGCGTCCGCTGGATCCGGTACGGATTACGCCTATGTGGAGGTTATGGCATGTCCTGGAGGTTGTACAAACGGAGGAGGTCAGATACGCATTGAAGATGCTCGTGAAGCCAACTCAAACATACAGCCCGCAGCCTCAGGGGAAACAGCCTCAAAGCCAACACCGCACGAGCAACGCACATGGCTCGCGCGTGTGGATGAAGCATATTACTCTGCGGATTCAGATTCGGAGCCTGAAATTGAAGGCCGGTCCCAGCCGTTGTCTATTTCCGAGAAACAAGACAAAATCCACAACACCTTACGCCATTGGTCCGATTTCATGGGTGTACCCCTTTCGAAGCTGGCCTACACCACCTATCGCGAAGTTGAGAGCGATGTCGGCAAATCCCAGAGCGCACCAAATGATACCACACGCGTGGTGGAACTTGCGGGGAAGATCGGTGGCGGTTGGTAAATATGGCTGACTCGATGCTGTAATACTTTGATGACATAATTTATACCCTGTGGTGTTTTTCTATGACGGAACACATGATTGCATTTCTCTTCATCTGGACAAAAGTCTTTGCATTTGTACTGCATAAATCGGACATAGAGAGATACCAGATTCTGCTATTCTTGCTTTGTGACCGGGTTTGGTTCCTGTGATGACGTGTTGGTTGTAGGCTTGGGTTTGTATAGAGTATTGTTTAAAACAGTTTAATGAATGAGATGGATATAAACCTTTTACTATGAAAGCGACATAATGCCCTCCAGACTGTAAATTTGCATCCTGTGTCTAGAAAATGAATCATTTCAGTATCTCAGATAACGAAAGGACAGCTCATCAAGCTCATCAGAATCCCCCACTCGATCAGATTAGTACAATCAACATCATACTTCGAAGCATTGATCAATTGACCCTATCCCACAGACGGCTAGTGTAGTCTGGTCCTTCAGTGGGTCCAACATAACTATGCATGCTTATGATTACTAATTGTGCGATTTTACGCTAAGCACAAAACCCACATGCAATTGCAACGCTGACTCACCCCATCCCCCATCGAGTAACGCTCCAGCAAAAAAGTTCCAGAACAAACCAAGCCATCTGCACCACCAGCTCCCGACCCCATCTCGTGCGCCTCGAAGCAGCTCAACACCGGCGACCACCTACCAACACAACACCACCTATCTACCTACCTACACAACCAACCCACCATGTCCCGCGAAGCCTACCAAGTTCCCACCAACGTGGGGGGCACGCAGAACGCCTTTGGCGCCGACTCAATGGGCGGCGGCTCCCTGGACGGCCCTGTGGTTGCCTACCTGTGCGGCGAGTGCAACTCCCGCGTTTCGCTGAAGCGAGGAGACCAGATTCGGTGCAAGGAGTGCGGACACCGTGTTTTGTACAAGGAGCGGACGAAAAGGTAGGATTTACCCCATCTAGACTCTGACTCTTTTATCACCGGATCAGGCGTGTGATGCTAACTAGTCTGACTGGTGTTTTAGGATGGTTCAATTCGAGGCTCGGTGATTTGGTCGAACGGTATGAAGAAAACGCCGGGGAAGGGTTGGTGCGATGATGGTGATGTTTTATCACCGTGTTTCGGGGAAGTTGGGGCTTGGCTTGCGTGTCGGCCTTTGTTTACGATGATGTGCATGGTGGCGCTTTGGAGTTTTATTTATGTACGCTTCTCGCTGGCTTTGGGTGGGATTTGAATTTGGGATGTGAGGTGTGAGGGGATGCAGGGGGGAGGGGGGAGGAATTGAGGGAGGGTTTTGGATGGATGCGTGTATGTGTTGGATCGGGTTTATTACCGACTGGGGATGAGATGCTCGTTTATTGGACTGCTTCGGGGCGACTTCCGTGTTGCAGATGATGGTCTCACTATTGCTGTTGGATTATACCACGACTTCATCATATCCATACACAGTGCTCGGTTGGCTGGACATACTATCCACACGATATGTTATCCGAGATACCCGAAATATATTAGACCGCAAACCATGAGTTTTGACCTATTTAAGCGGTTGGTATCCAACATAAGAGGAAGCATCATAGTGTAAAAAGCTTGGCAAATTCATGTCAACAAGCCAATCGACTAGAGTCTGTTTGTAACTTCGATGAAGTGCTCGAAGGACTGAAGCGCGGCACCGCTCTCGACGGCCCACCGGGCGCGCCGAATGCCCTCCTTCCAGCGTCCACCACCCGGGCCACGCTCCGTGATGACCTTGCCGTCATCGCCAGGACCCATGTTGCTGGATTCCGCCTCGCAGATGCCGGAAACCGTTAGGAGAGCGGCCACATTCATGAGCACGAAGCTTAGGATGGGGTCATCGCGAGGCAGCTCGTTCCGCAGAATGCTCATGAGCTTAGCTGCGTTGTCCTTGGGCATCTTCCTTCCGTATACAGCAGAGAGAGGGTGGCTTGGTAGTCCGAAATCGGACGGCTGCAGTTGGAAAGTTTCTATCTTGACCAGAGTACGGGGGACCTCCTCGTCATCGCTGGAGTCACCACCCGTCTTGGAGGCGTCATAGGCGGGGTTAGGGTATTCCGACAATTGCCAGCAGTTTGTTTTTCCTGCGCAGCTGATCTCATCCAGATCCTCTTCACCGCAAACAACCATCGCCTTCTTGCACCCATTCTGACGCAAAGCCTCCACAAACACGGGACCTAGGCTTTGGTAAGCCACACCAACAACTCGTGCCTCAATGGCCCAATCGACAGGGTTGGCGAGGGGTCCCATCAGGTTGAAAATTGTCCGAAGTCCGAGCCCACGGCGCACAGGGTCGGCGTACATCATGCCGAAGTGGAAGTTGGGCGCAAACAGAAAGGCGTAATTGGTCTCAGCATAGACCTGGCTGAGGTTCTCGGCAGTGATTGCACCGATCTTCGGAGGAACTGGGGATATGGCGTTCAGGACATCGGCAGACCCGGAAAATGAGGTTTGTGCTCGGTTGCCATGTTTAGCCGTCATGAGAAGGGGGGAAGCGATGATCGAGGAGGTGGTGGAAATGTTGAAGGTGGAATGCGAATCTCCTCCGGTTCCAACAATATCGCACTAGAAGAAACACAAACGGTCAGGTCCAAAGTCCAGCTGAGAACCGGGTATCACAGCTGCCACCTACCAGGCCACCCCTGTAGTTGCCCTCCTTCTTTCCTCGAGACTTGATGGCGGCCTTCAAAGTAGCTTTGTTTACCTGGCGAGCGGCCTCGCGCATGCGGTAGGAGCATTTGGCAATGACCTCTGCATCCCGGTCCAGTCCAGTGGAGTGTAAAAGTGTTAGGAGAGCTGCCGTCTGAATATGGGAAATGGCGTCCTCGAAGATCAAAGCGAATGCTGAAGCGATCTCGGAAGCTTCAACCTGAACTTCCGTAGCGGGGTAGGCGAGTCTCTTGAGGAGGGGTGAAATAGAGACATGCTCTGGCTTCTTGTCGTGGGCTGGGGCAGACATCGTGGTTTGAAAAGGAATGGATAGTGAGCAAAGCTCTGAGAATCTGCAAAGGGATCAACTGAGTCAACAAAGTCCCAGTTCCTTGGTCATGGAGTATGAGTCGCGCCGCTGACCGCTGAGCAGAGTCATCCCTTCGCTCGCGGCAGAACTCCACCGCCTGCGCCTGCAGCTAACCCGCTTTGGGAACCCAAGATTTCGTGCCATATTTTCGCCAGCCGGCATCACTCAGACGCTGCTCTTGTCGCCGGCATCGCCAATTCCACGGGCTTGGACGCTTCTCGTCCGGTTTCGATCTTCCTGCTGCTATCTTGAACGCTCAATTGATATTTCCCCGCAGACCGCACCTCCCACATTCACAATGCCGCCTCGCGTACGCATCTCGAGCGGCCGCATCTCTCAGCCGGTCCGCCGCCAAAGGCTCTATCGCCATGAACTCCCTATTGCTGCCAGATATGCCAGCACCGCGACGACTCCTGCCCCGTCAATTGAGCAGATGACACACTCTCCCGTCCCGATTGCCCACTACCCTCCCTCGCAGCCTCCCTCGCACCGCAATCCCGAGTACCGCAGGTCACAGCTCCTCCGGCAATACACCTCCATTATCCGCACCAGCCCTCTCATCGTCTTCTTCCAGCACGATAACCTCCAATCGGTCGAGTGGTCGGCTATTCGCCGAGAGCTGAGCAAGGCCATGCAGAAGGTGGACGAGAAGATTGCCGCCGAAGGCCGGACCGCTCCCGCCGTAGCTCCGCACGTCAAGGTCCAGATCGTCCAGACGCGCATCTTCGAGGTCGCCCTCCGTATCGTGGAATACTTCCGACCCAGCCAGGCGACATTGGAAAGTGGTCTCCCGGTCAGCGCCGTCAACCCGGGGACGCAAACATCCGCCGAAATCCCTCTCACGGGATCGCGGGACGACCCATCTCTCTCCCACGACCTTTCCCGTACTGCCTACGAAGCCGTGTCGAACATGAAGGGCAAGCACGAACTTTCTTCGCTCCTCGTCGGTCCCCTGGCCGTGCTCACCATCCCCCACGTTTCCCCGGAACATTTGAAGGCTGCATTGACGGTTCTGGCCCCTAAGGCGGTTGGTCTCCCTGCGCCGCCGCGCAAGGCCAACCCGGGCTGGCATGAAATCCCCGTTCAGAACGGGTTGAGCAAGCTTTCTTTGACTGCTGCTCGTATTGATGGCCAGCTCTTCGACGCTGAGCAGTCCAAGTGGGTCAGCAGCATCGAGGGTGGTATTGATGGCTTGCGTTCGCAGGTTGTCATGGCCCTGCAGACCATGGGATCTAGCATTACGAATGCTCTGGAGGGCGCTGGAAAGAGCCTTTACGTCACGCTTGAGAGCAGGAAGCAAGATATGGAGGAGAAGGAGAAAGGCCCGGACGACAAGAACAAGGGTGATTCTGCGTGAACAGTCTAAGCCTGTTTCATTTGTCTGTCCGGCTTTCTATGTATAATAAAATCTCTTGTACTTCTCCCCTTGTGTTGTTTTCTTTTTCTTTTCTTTACCCTTCAAGACCATGATTGTTTTAGCACATGACGTTTCTTTAGAACAGGAGTCCAAGTTCTAGGTACAATTACATACTCAGTTTCACGCCTATCTTTGTCTGAGCAATACTGAAGGTAAGCGTACTAGTATGTAGATAGGTACTTCCCAAACTAATGTAATTGGATGAATGAATTTTGACTTATTATACTTGGAAGATTCGTAACATCCCACAAGCGTATTAGACACTAAATCCTACGGTCCCCACTAATTACTGCCCTCATGTAGTTTATACTGCAACTGCCTTTGCGACAGTCGGGCATTCATACCTACAATGCACCGTACAAGATCCCAATCTCCATCCAAGCCAACCCAGTCAGTGACAAGAATACCAGTGGACCAATCACCATCACCATCCGCATGCTTTCTGCAAAGATACTCAACAATGGCGGGGTTCAGCCTGGAAGCGATCTTCTCAGGCCAAGTTCCGGTTTTCCAGAAATTGCTTCCACTCAAGAAGTTGATGTATAACGGATACACCTGCATAGCTGGGAGACCCGAAGGTACACCAAATGGGTACTGGGTATTGCCAGCGCGTTCACAGTGCTCCCTCACATACTCGAGCTTCTGGTCAATGATTTGTGTCTTCAAGATCTCGTAGAAATCTTGAATACAAAGCAGCCCGCTGGGACATGTAGCATTGGAGCAGTTGTCCGCCCAGCCGCTAGCATCAATGCCCCAGCCTTTTCCTTCATGCATCTCCTTGAGGTTCTCCAAGATGTTAAAGCGGCGGACAAGCACGACTTTCCCACGCACTTCGCCTAGAGTGGGGATTTCGGGTTTCGTGTACCACCTACTGCCCGGACATGCGTAGTGGTCGTTGATGATCCGACTCAGCTGCTCATCAGTGTGGTTTCCTGGTCCCTCCCGTTTGAGGGACATTATAAGCGTTTCTGATGGGTTGTGCTCGAGAAATTCATTGACTTCGCTCATCAAGTCACGGAGGTATTTATTCCCCGTCAGGGAGACGGGGAAAACGCCGTGAACCAGGATTAATCCATCTTTCGACGGTTCTGTTGGATGTTGAGGCTGCACCCGGATATCGAAGAATCTGACGCCGTTCCTGAGCTGTTCTCGCGGGCTGACTGCTTGACAACGAACGGACGGCGCGGCAGTGTGGTACGTTGGGGAATTATGTGTGCCTGGGATTGAGATAGATGAGAGTACCGTGTCGTCGTTCAACTCGCGCATCCAGGCATTGAGATTAGCGGAGGAGTAGATAGTGAGGTGGCAGGCCGCTGTGACGTAGATCCCTGTGAGATTGAACTTGGGATTGTTGCAAAGCGCTTTCATAGTGGCAGATTCCGTGGTAGGGACTGGGGTCTGAATTTGATGCTCTTCCCCCTCTACCTCAAAAGTCCAGCGGATCCGTTCCTTCTCCGAATCAATGAAGGGTCTAAGCTCTGTCTCGATTGTCTCGAAGGATGTAACACCAATATCAACATCTTGCTCGGCAAACGGCTGGGTATCCTCGTCTATTGCAGCGACAGGCGTGGTGGCACGGGTTACATTCGTAAAAACCCGCCCAAAGTTCTTGACAAATGTATATACGCAATCGAAGGACCTCCCGGGCGCGTGGAAGCGCTCAATTCGCTTCAGGGTGATAGGAGTGGAAGTGAGGTTGCGAATCGTAAGGTGTCCGGTTGTCATCTTTCTTATGTGGTCACTTGTTATCGCCCCTTTGTCGCGCGGTTTGGGTACAACAACAGGCATTTAGACAGCGGCCAGCAGAGGATCGGATAGCTTTAACTTTATATATATCGGGGGCAAATTAAGGCCTGTCATTGGCCTGGACAAGCTGAGACGTCTGGCGGTTCCGGGGATGGTGTGAAGCACTAAGGGAGCAAGCCCCCTGAAGGCTGAGGGAGATTACGCCAATAAAAAGCAACGACCACCGGTCCAGGATCTCCGCCGAGACGCGATAGTAATAGTATCGCCGGGGTCTGGAAACTCTCCGAGAGGTAGAACTGCGGACCAGATCGAAAGTTCGCTGAAACGAATAAATTGGATTTCCCGGAGCCGGAAGTCAGAAAGTCAATGTTTGCTGGATAATGGTGATTTAGATAGTCCTGTATCGCAATGCTCTCCTTTATCCGGGTGCACGACCTGTAGACCCAGGCGGTGGAGGATCCGAGACTAGGCATTAATCTCTTGGCTAAATCTGAGGATCAAGTAGGCAGCGGCCACTGTCGAACCTCCATTGTCATGCCTGGAAGGTTGGCATTATGGTTGTTGGAGGTATGGCATTCTTTCCAAGTCTTGAAAGCCGTGGTGACTCGTGGTGCAATGCCACCTATTATAAACCGGGAGGACGGTACATTGACACCTATTGATCAACTGAATCCAGGAATGCATTTTTTGCTATTTACGGAGTACTACTTTGCAGATAGAGAGTACTCCATACACAGGAATAATAAACAGATCGAACGAGCACCAGCACGTGCCCGCGCTTGTCGGAACAACGTGCGGTCCGAACGCGGGCGGAGGTGGAAATGCGGAGTTTTGTCACGTGTCATGACGCCGGACATCGGTTATCGTCGGCCATCGGCCACCACTGGATAACGGAGTAAGTATACTTAGTAGTACTACCTCCCCCCCCCCCCCATCACCCATCATGCAGCCGGACTGCAGCCTCTGTGTCTCTTCCTCCTCATCCTTCCACCCCTCGAGAACCTCGGGCTGACACTGGATTGATCATGAATGTTTTGCGCTCCAGCGGGAGCTTTTCCTCGGCTCTCCGGACCTGCCAACGGTCACGGGCCTTGCCAATAGCACGGTGCCAGGCTATACCTCTGCCCCGTCGCCAATTTCACGCCTCCTCGTCTCTGTGGGGAATCAAGTCCCAGGTATTGAAGGATGTCGGAGAGGGTAGGGCAACATTTTTCATTGCTTCTTCTCTTGTTCCCGACCATATGACCGTATATTGTCAGTTGTTTACTTAGCTTTCGCTCCGCAGGGATAACGGAGGTTCAGATCATCCAGTGGTACGTTGAGGAGGGCGCATACATTGAGGAGTGGAAGCCTCTCTGTCAATACCAGTCAGACAAAGCAGTTGATGATGTTAGTCACTACCTTATCAGGCCGGGTAGCTGGATATAAATTAATGGCTCTAGATCACATCGAGATACGAAGGCGTGGTCAAGAAGCTTCACTTTCAGGCCGACGATACTGCCCCCACGGGGAAGGTAGGAGGCTCCCTTACTACGGCCAGCTTCCAAGATTGTATGGCTAAATTTTTATTTACCAGGAACTTTGCGATATCGAAGTTGAAGATGGGAAATATCCTGACGATAGCCCGCCACCTGAGATCAAGTCGGAGCCGACACCACCAACCCCTACCCCCGAAGCTCCCAAGATATCACAACCCGTGGAGGCGCCCCGATTCTCTCCTGCTCCTGTCAAACAAAGCATTACCAGTACTCCGGGCAAGTCGCTGCATGCAACCTTGGCTACTCCCGCGGTTCGTGGGCTGCTGAAGATGCACGATGTAAACATTGAAGATGTGCGAGGGACCGGCAAGGACGGGCGTGTCCTTAAAGAAGATGTGCAGCGATTTATTATAACGCGCGACTCGGTAGATACAGTACAGCCTCAGCCTGCGAAACAACAAACACAGCAGGATGAGACGGTGGTCAAGTTGACACCAGTTCAATCCCAGATGTTCAAAACAATGACCCGGTCCCTAAACATTCCCCACTTTCTCTACGCAGATGAGCTCAATATCAACAACCTCAACGCCATCAGGAAGAAATTGGCGGCTGATCCGAAAGACCCCAAGAAGATTACGTTACTCGCCTTTGCCATCAAGGCCATGTCTCTCGCCCTGAATGAATACCCGCTCCTCAACGCAAAGATCGATACAAGTGACCCGGACAAACCGCGACTGATCATGCGGGCAAAACATAACATTGGTGTCGCGATGGATACCCCTCAAGGACTGTTAGTCCCCAACATCAAGGATGTAGCCAGTCGTTCTGTTCTAGATGTGGCTTCGGAAATATCACGCCTGAACGCGCTCGCTAAGGCTGGAAAACTTACTCCCGCGGATCTCAGCGGCGGCACGATCACTATCTCCAACATCGGGAACATTGGAGGCACATACGTTTCACCCGTAATAGTGTCGACTGAAGTGGCAATCTTGGGTGTTGGCAAGGCCAAAACCGTTCCTATATTTGATGATGAGGGTCAGGTGATAAAAGGCGAGCATGTGAACTTCAGCTGGAGTGCCGACCATCGAGTAGTAGACGGAGCGACCATGGCTCGAATGGGCAATAGGATCCGAGAACTCCTTGAGTCGCCTGAGCTAATGCTGTTGAACTTGCGATAGTCTACGCATAGAAATCCCCTGGTGCTGGTATTAGCAATGATTTTTGACTCTGATCATAGATCACTGTGAATGAAGAAGCACATTTAGCGCTATTACTCCATGGATATTATTTACCTAGTACTACTAGTAGTTCCTCAAGTTGTTATCAACCAGTCACCCACCCCCTCTCCCGCTTTCATTCGTGGGTTTTTCATGTACGCGCGCGCGAGCGTTTGCTGCATTCACTCTCGCTCCTGGCCTTCCTCTTCCCCTCATCCCGCGACAACTCTTCCTTTCCCTGCCTCTCGGACCGACTTTTGGTTTTCTCGCCCAATATCGTCCCCCTCATCCCCACCCCCTGGATGACCATACCAAAGCCTACCTAGCTCACCATGGGGACCAAAGGTCTTTACTTTGTCCGCTGTCATGGCAGATACTTCGTCTATTATAATCAGTATGACAGCTATCCCGAGGGCCTCGGTGACGCTATCGTGAGCAAGATACCCGAAGACCCCGCTAAATATCAAGGCAGGCTGGATTCTATGCCACGAGAACTCACGCGTCTTTGAGCTAACTTGTGGCTAGAATGGCTCCAGTTCAATCGAGACGTTTACGCACGTCTGGTGAAGCAGCTTGAAACCCAGGTTTTCCCCATCACTGCCCAGACCAGTGAGGAAGAAGACTCTCCCGTCGCGCTGAGAGAACGGTTTGAGGGCAGTTTCCTCGCTGTTGACGACCAGCTTGAGCTCCCCCCTCTTCAAACAATCCTACCCGAGTTGAATTCGTGGCTTATTGAATGGACCTACACCCTCGACTTTGACCGTGAGGTCCTAACTGTGGATCACTCTTTGCACTTCAATCTTTCCAAAATCTCGCGTGACAAAGAATGGATCAAGTATTTGAAGGTAGACCGTCGGCATCGTCGCGCTGCTAGTGATTCTACACCTGCTGGGCTGGTTGCCAAGCTCGCCTGGAAGCCAGAAGCTCACAGCAACCCTAGTGACACGGCTTGTCAGCTCGATATTCAGGTGGTCTCTCCAGAGGCCTTCTATGACCGGCAAGAAGTGACGTCTCCGCGCGAACTCTTGCTGGGCTCCATCTTTACGGCCATGCACAATACATACCGGGAAACCCTAGATGGCTCTGTTTTGGAGTGGGATCCAAGTTGCTTTTCCTTTAGAGAGATGGCGTTTGCTGTACTTTCTATTGCCTCGGGTGCACTATCCTTTGAGTTCTATGGTACTCTTGACTCAAATCACAAAGAAGACGGCTACTTCTTGAAGCATGACAGTGACTCCACTGGATTATATGCGTCAGATGCTCCGCCAACCGTCATTCCACGGCTCCTGTATGAGTCTCATCTACCAGGAGTCGAGCCCGGATCAGCACCCAAAGGCAGAACTTACTGGTTCAGAGACGTCCTCGTATATCTGACTTCCAGGCTTGACTTAATCGAGGTTGAAGAGTCAGCGGTTGCTGAAGCTGTGAGGACTGGTTTTGAACAGGGCCTCAAGCACTTCTACGCCATAGTCTTCTCAATTTTAGACGTGGTGCTGCTTCGTGTTCAAGAGGACGCATGCGGTCGTGCTCACGTGTATAGATCCGGTCTGATGACATTGTTCCAATTTGACGACAAGAACTCGCGATTTGTGAACGGTCCTCGCACAAGAGCACGTTCCACTCATAAGAAAGAAGAGTCTTCTAGCTCGGCAGAGGGCCTTCCTAGTCTTCAAATCCCAGAGGGTACTGATATTGAGCCTGAGAACATTTCTAGCGCCCTGCAAGAAGAGGTTGACAATATTGAGCCCGAAGGAGCTGCTGTCAATGACACACAAGAAGAATCCCAGCTTGAACACTCGGTCAGCGGCTTGAACTCGTCGAATGACATGACAATTCACGAGGACGCTACTTTTGACCCTCCACATCCGATCATGAAGACAACCTCTGCTTTTAGTATAGTTTCACGCTTCTTCAGTGCAGCAACCTCCCGAAATTCCGCCGGTGCAAGCTCGGGCATCTTTCCTAATGAGGTTCTGGAGAACATCATGCAATACACCGATGCACAAACCTACCACAGACTCGCTGCAGTGTCGGCTTACTGTCATAAAATAAGTACCCGCGAATTTCGTTTGGATGATGAGTATACGGTGGTCGGTTTCGACTCTCATAAAGGGAAGTTTGCCTTGAAAAACTTGCATTCTGGGGAGACTGTTCTCTCGAGAATTGATACACATAGCCAAAGAAGCGAAGATTCAAGCTTATGTCCGGTGATTGGGATGGTAGGTTCCACCAGACGGAGCATGCTAGACTCTGTGGGCCTGTACTTTCGTGAAGAAATTCCGGAGCATCCCCGCTACACGAAGAAGATAGCTATGCCCAGGCAGTGAGTTTCGGTTGCTTTACACTATTGACATTTGACTAACACTGTGCAGGAAGGGTTATTACTTCAGCCACAACCGGCATTGCCCAGGGCCTAACCACTTAATCAATATTCCCGATCATATGTACGTCGGGTCTATCGAAGATGGCTGGGGCAGGTACATCACGGGCTTAATACAAGGCAGTAACGGCAGTGAGCCTTATCAATTCATCAACTACGCCTACTTACAGAGGGCAAAGTTTCCTTGCCTTTTCCCCCCCAGGCTCCGCGAACTGAACATGGAACAGTTCAATTGCTATGGTCTTCACTGTTATATTCGTCATGTGCGTGATGAGACCCCTGGAGAATGGGACATAACAATGAAGCATGCTGTGCGCCAGCTTCACATCCACGAAATGTCGAGTTCAGCGGATAATGCTAGAGTTCGAGGGCGTCCCGTGATTGTGGCCTTTTCCACCAAACTCAGGTTCTTCTTTTACGTCCATCATTCCATGAAGATTCATATACTTGCCCAGAATGCTCGTGCGCGCTGCGTGGAGATCGCCTCGCGGTGCACAGAGCCCGAGCCCGAGCGTCGTCTTGTCCCTCTTATTGCCCAGGGTGAAACTTTTGATCTGGCTGACAAGGAATTGAGAAATGAGCTTGAGGACTGGGTTACGTTCTTCTGCGGTCGAGAAGGCCTGATCTCTGATTGCGATCCCTTCCCCGAAGAACAGCAGCCCCCTATCACGGACCCGGACTTGCAAGTCTGAGCGCATTGTGCAGGCCCCTCTTGGCTTCCTCTATGAGCACGACTGCAACGCCTGGATTTTGTGTGAGCACTTGCTAAGATCTGGATCTAATACAATGATGAAAGGTCAGGAAATGAAACTTGGTCGCTTTCTTCCTTGTCTGGGTACTTTCTATTCATTTGCTGCTTTCAATTTCTTTCTGTCTTGTTTCTTCTCCCGATGACCTGATCTCAAGTTGGGATTAGAATTTCGTGGAGGTAGACGACAGCTGGATTTCTGTAAGCAAAGCGCATACTTCGTCTATCTGTTGGTTGTAGTAAAATGTGCATCTCACCACTGCCCAGCCAATCAATACACCAGTTTCCCAATACCATGGTCCCTGTAATTTCTCCCAGATAACATGAGATAGGAAGAAACATCACGCAACGGGATCCCATGCGCAAAGAATCAAACCTTGTTTCCGAAAAGAATAAGTAGAACAATTGCCGCAGTGATAACCACCAGGCAGGTAAATTACCTCAAGCCCTAGCAAAGAGTCAATCCAGCCGGAACCCATAATTTTTAAACCAAATATATTCATTCCGTAGTGTATACCACCGTGACAAGTGTGCAATCATAAGCATAGATAAGTAAGTAGGTATCAGTGAAAGTAAACCACCCAAACTCCCAACTGCCTAGCCCGAATGGACCCCAAGCCAGGATCAAGGTTAAGATCAGCAAGCCCTTTATAAACCCAACAAACACCACGAGACACCAAAGCTAAGCGCAATACGCGCGGAGCATTTTCGCCAAAGTCCCCCAAAGAAAGAACAAAAACATCCCAACCAATCTCCCGCCCAAAAAATCAATGATACTCCGCCAACGTCACCTTCACCAACCTTAACACCTCCTCCTGGACCTCCCCGGGCTGCTTCCCCGCATCAACCGTAAGAGCATCCCACTCGCCCTTCGGCTCCTCCAGATCCTGCAACTGCGACTGCACCATGCTACTCTTCATGTAGTGGGCCTGGCGATTCCGGACGCGCTGCAACAGCATCGTCTCGTCGAGTTTCAGGTAGACGAAGTGGATCTGCACGGAGGGGGAGCCGTAGGCGGCGACGCGCATCACGTCGCGGTATTTCTGCTTCAGGGCCGAGCAGGCGACCACGACGCCGGAGGGCGGATGGAAGTTGTTTGTCTCGGAGGGGGAGAGCGCGTCGATGGCCGCTTTGCGGAGCGAGATTAGCCAGTCCCACCGGTCAGCGTCGGTGAGGGGGATGCCGGAGCCCATTTTGTCTTTGTTGTTAGTGGGGTGGAACTGGTTTCGTGGGTTGGGGGGTTAGTTTGATGGGTTATGTTTGGTATTGGGGGGAGGTAGAGGGTGAGTATGAAGGTGGTGTCGTGGATAGATGGATGAAGTACGTACGTCGTCACCCTCCAGGAAGGGGATTCCCAGTGCGAGCTGGATCGCCTTTCCGATTGTACTTTTGCCGCACCCGGCCGGGCCCGTTACCACCCAGATGTGTTGGATTTGATCGGGTTTGGAGCTGGAGGACCACATGGAGTTGGCCGAGGTGCTGGTCAATGAGCTTTTGCTGATGGGACCGCGGGAAGCGTCTACTACTGCGACGGTGTTGCTCATGGCGGGTTGAGGTCGTTCTCCGGTGGAGAGCATTGTGAAGAAAAAAAAAAGAATTTGGTTTTTGGACCGGGTGAATGTTGTAGGAGCGACAGTGGATGACGTCCTAGTGAACCGTGGATGGGATTGGGGGTATTTAACCGTTGCAGGTGGGAAGTATGTAGGTAAGTATATAGGGCGGATGCGGAGGAATGAAGAGCTAGTAGCACTAGCTGCTACCTGGTACTTAGTGGCTAGCAGGTCACCCGACAAGATGGTAAGGTAGGGATACAGGAGGAGATGGGGGGGGGGGGTGTAGGGGCGAGGGTCCAATTTAATATAATGATGGGGTGACAGGTACGAAGGGGAGCGAGAAGAAGATTGAATGGATGGTTGATTGATCGGTTCCAGGGCGGCAGTCTATCATAATATAATGGTGATAAATCTTCCTCAAACAGTATCCAGTTCCATGTGGGTCAGCCCGGGAACAGAACTCATCTTGGAATTTTCCATTATTTCTTTTCCGTTTGGGGGGAGGGGGTTTCGCAGCTCAAAGATCAGACTCAGACAGGCTCGTGAGTAACGGATGGATTGGGCTGGAAGGCGGGCCGGAAATTGCCAGAACAGTTCCATCGTCATGGCCGTAAGGATCGGGAGCGATTCAGAGCCGCCGCGGTCAAATCAGACGCGGCAGCAGCCCTTCCAGTGGGGGAGGGCGAAACGGCGAGTGGCCCAGTGGGGGACAAACCGGGCATGAAGGTTGAAGGATGGATCATGGATGGACTCAGGAGACTCCGGCGGTCTGGTCGTTAGCGGGAGATCCGATCTGTCGCACCCCGTATTGTCGCATACACCTTTCCATACACACCTCCATACCACCAAAGTACCCAAAGTACCCAATCTTCCTGTTTGCGCAATGCAAGCCTACTAGTAAGTAGATGACGACGACCCCTTTTCCCTCCTCCTCCTCCTCCTCCTCCTCCGGCATCATTCCGTGCTTCCTTCAGAGCCGACATATCAGATCACATCCATCCTGTATCACCCTCCATCGGCCCTGGTTATCCAAGCGCCCCGCCAATTAAAGCTGCCTGCGCGAAGTTAGTCGTCCATCCGCCATGATGTCACTCGGTCTCTTGCACCCGGGGATCCGGAACTGTAATCGCGTACATTTGAGCCCAGCCCTGATCAGAGCGGTTACTTACCGTACCGGGACGGATATTGCTTGGAACCCCCACACTAGTCCCTTTTAGGTATTGGGTCAGCGCTCTCGAAAAGGCGCTCTGGTTTTCCACGGCCTTTCCATTTCTAGTAGGTACATATGTAGGTAGATACCTGGTACGGAGTACTAGATAGTTACTACAGTCATTGCCCACCGCTGGACAGAGCAGCAGGGACGGACGGATGACTGCATTTCTGGCCGTAGCCCATGCAGATTAAGATGAAGAGCAATGCCCGGTTGGTGGTCGAGCCCTCGGAAAGCAGGGTCATCTCCGCGCCGCGCCAAGCCCATTCTTTCGTCCAACAAAAGACTGGCTGCTCCGGAGTTAGTAGTGCCAGCCAGACTTAGCCACGCGACAGGTCAGATTGAAGAAGCCATTCGATGAACAGGCATCACCTTCCCTTTTGTTGGACCCGGGAAGTAGATATACTTGTGGCCCGATAGAACGACAGACTGGAGAAATCTGTTGCTCACCGCTGGAAGTGTGGCGCGCAGGTGGGTAGCCGGCCGTGGCTGAGTCCGGGGAAACTTTGATTGCTGGCTTGCAGTGTTGAAATGCAGGTGGAATTCGCCGGGTCAGGCAGCCTTGCGGCCAGTGCCATGTACAACCACAACAACAACCAACAACGGAAACATGTTTCCAACCAGGTCAAGTGTCAGCGGCTCTTTGCATGTTCCTGCCAATCACAGGGGCCCTTCTCGGATACCTGCCCGATCGTTGCCTTTGCCTACCCGGAAGTAGTAGCAGAGCATGAGAGACGCAATCATTGTCAAGAAGCACGGAGGTGCGACAGAGCCCGCAGGATGCGGCTGCCCCTCCTGATCTACAGAAGTTGGATGAATATGTATTGATCAATCACGCCAACCGATCTGGGATACATTGCCGACCGTATCATTTTCGTACGTGTAGTGTTTCATCGAGCTAGCTAGTTGGTAAGAAAGAGACATAGAGTAACTACAGCCATGCTGCACGACTATCAGTATCAACGGCAGATGAAGCGACCCCCCTCTCCGATACTCGTCACCTCCAGAGTTGCTTTAATATTGTCACATGCCAGGTAATGTATGATGTCTCCGACAAGCATTGTCATATAGGCATTGACAACTGGACATGCCACCCTCCCCCGCAAGTTTGCGTCATTCTTGTTGGTGGTGGTTGTTGTTTGATGGTGGTGGTGAATGGCAGATGACGCCGAGCGGCTTACCTAATCCGCGATATGCCCACCGCCAGGCAGACAGTCGGGATGCCGCCTAACCAGATGAAGCTGAGCGCGACATGGTCTTTATGTGATATCGCATTCAATAGGCCGACTCACCTAGCCCATTACCTTCTCTCGATCCCATTGACCCTCTTATATCTCTCTTGCCCGCTCGGAGCCCCCTCCCACAATGACCTCCCTCTTCTTCTCCACACCCGTCGACATCGATGTCGTCCTCGAAGACAGCGATGAGCGCCAGACAGTCGACGTCAAGCTCGACAAGGGCCGTCGCGAGAGGGTACCTCTCTACATGGACGGCGAGTCCGTGAAGGGTGCCGTGACTGTCAGGCCCAAGGATGGAAAGCGATTGGAACACACGGGCATCAAGGTGCAGTTCATTGGTACAATCGGTAAGGAGCATGCCCCCTCATGGGGGGCCTACACCATCTCACCATCACGGTTCCTGTCATCTGCACAACTGTGATACCGTATACTGACGCAAAGTCTTACTGGTAGAGATGTTCTTCGACCGCGGTAATCATTACGAGTTCCTCTCGCTGGTGCAGGAGCTCGCAGCTCCCGGAGAACTGCAACACCCTCAAACCTTCCCCTTCAACTTCAAGAACATCGAGAAACAATACGAGTCCTACAACGGTATCAATGTGAAGCTACGTTACTTCGTTCGTGTGACGGTGTCGAGACGCATGGCCGATGTGATTCGGGAGAAGGACCTATGGGTTTACTCCTATCGCATGCCCCCGGAGACAAACAGCCCCATCAAGATGGACGTCGGTATCGAGGACTGCTTGCACATTGAGTTCGAATACTCCAAGTCCAAGTACCACCTCAAGGACGTCATCGTTGGACGCATCTACTTCCTCCTCGTACGGTTGAAGATCAAGCATATGGAACTCTCAATTATTCGCCGTGAGACGACCGGTTCTCCTCCCAACCAATATAACGAGAGTGAGACATTGGTGCGGTTCGAGGTAAGTCGGTCTTCGCCCGAATTCTCCGAATGATGTACAAGAGACTAAACATCTGCATGCAGATCATGGATGGATCCCCTTCGCGAGGTGAGTTGGCTGTGTGCCCATTGCACCTGGCGCCCTGAAGTGCCAGCACGTGACACTGCGGGATTATCGCGACTGGGTGACTTCCCCGACTGACTCTTTCTAGGTGAAACCATTCCCATCCGTCTCTTCCTCGGTGGTTTTGACCTGACACCGACTTTCCGGGACGTCAACAAGAAATACTCGACGCGGTATTACCTCAGTCTGGTCCTCATTGACGAAGGTATGTTGATGCATGTAACTGTATTCCATTTTATCTTCATCTTGGCCGTGTTTGCTTTTGCCGTCCTTGATTGCCGTCTGGCTTTTGCATGGGAGGCCCATTCGTCATCCCACGCACGTGAAACCAGGCTTTGGCTGCAACCCCCCCCCACACCCTGGCCTAGCCATCACGGCACCACATCCCACGGCATCCCACCGCCCGTTCAATAACCGACCGGCTATTGAAACCCTTGATCGGGCCCGCCAGCTGCAATGTGGCCATGGGGCGGTCACCCCCACGCTAAACCGCAACCGACAATGGTCTCGCGTGGGGGCTCCACCGGCCCCAGTCCCCTCCCTCCCTTTGCTGCCAATCCCAGCTTGCCATTCCGCAAGTTTCGATCGTCATATTTTTGGTTTTGCCGTATGGATTGCTTGCTAACCTGTCCCCCAACCTCTCTGTTAGATGCCCGTCGGTACTTCAAGCAATCCGAAATCGTCCTCTATCGCCAAGCTCCTGAGATCGCCACCACCCCTCAGGTCGCTCAGCAGCAGCTCATTCAGCAGCAGCAGCTCCTCCAACAGCAACAGCAGCAGCAACCGCTGCCTGCCGGTTCTGCCACCGCCGGGCCCGGACGAGAGTCTCATTACAACCAGACCGTGACAGCTCCTGCGGCGTAAACCATGGAGTCCCTCCCCATCTCAGGTGCAGGCCATCGTCCATTTTGTAGCAAATAGACCGTCGTGGCCGCTGACTCGGGCTTCATTTGCTGTTCCCCATATACCCTTCTGTCGCTGTACTTTGTACCCCCCCCCCCCTTTCTCTTCCTCCTCTCCACCGAATCACTATTTTCCTGTCATGAAATCCGAGCCAGCATGAACTCCATTATGAATCAGTCAGAACCTACGTACCTTAACTATCCGATAATTCAATCTTGTACTTGAAGCGACTACCCAAGCAAAAGACAGCAAATTTGTATGTATATCATGACTTGGTTTGGGGAGTGTACGATCTAGACTCAAGATATCTATTCAACTCAACCGGGAAACCGGCATTCAGAGATTCAAATTGTAAGTACTTGATGAGATGAAGTACATACAATAGGGCTAAACAGACATGACAAAGGACGCTCGCTCGCTAGCTAGCTAAATGATTGATTGATTGATGGATTGATTGTCTATCTATAATATGTTTTCAACAGTTCCCCGGTCAAGCGAGCAGAGGAACAAAAAACAAACAACAGACTATACGAAAGTAAGAAATAACTATTGGCAATCGTATGAATTACATATACCCACCAACCTCCTGCAGAACCTTGCCTAAGGCATGAAGAACCTCACCGTCATCCTGTTCCTTCCCGGCAACCTGCACGGCCCGCACCACGAGCGGGTAGATCCATGCAAGGTGCTTTTTGTGCTCCTTTGCGGTAAGCGGAGTTGACGAACTGATGGCGGCTGCTGGGTTTACTGGGTCTGCTGACCCTGCGGCGGGTGGCGGGGGGATTGCCGAAGGTTCGGAGCATAAGTCCACCATGCCGCGAAGGAGATGTAATAGGGATTTCCGTGCCGGGGTGGGCTGCGGCATCAGGCCGCGTAGGGGCTGATCCGCGATATAGCCTTTCAGGGATACTGCGCACCGGAGGATGAGGTATGGGGATGTGGAGCGTGCGAGCAAGATGCGGGAGGCTGTGGGTTCCTGGTGATTTGCGATCTGTGAAGGAGCTGATGCAAGCTCAAAGAGGGTGTCGATCACCGTGTATGCGATCTTGGTTCGTAATGTCGGGGGAGGCTCGAAGGTTCGTCCAGGCCGAACATCGTATATAGCCTTCAGAGGCTCGTTTTCGAGGGACTGGGACGGGATGTCGAATCTCTGGGGGATGTAGATGAAGGAAGAGTGCAACAAGGCACAGGCAAAATCCCGGCGAATTCTGTCCGGGATTGTTGATGCCCCTAGGGCTGGGATTATTAGCGCTTTTAGCCGGTCGAAAGCAGCCACGTCGAAGGATTCATCGGCTAGGATGGTGGCGCGCGGGATGGATGGAGTTCGGTATCCCCGGGCAGTGACTATGCCGCTTGCAATGTCGATTACGCGTTGCCAGAAGCGAGAAATTTCCGCTTGCTTGGAGCTATCATACTGTGTCTCCACGTAAGGGATCGCAACTTGGAGAACGTCCAGAGCTGCGGTCGTTGACTTTCGCCAAAGGCTGGGCTCGCGGTCCTTTCCTGGCCATTCGTATCGTTGGACGATTGGGTTCGCGAGACGTTCCAGAGCTATCGCTAAGGATCCGGTCGCGAATATATCCTTTTTGATGCCGTGATCGGTGATATACCAACTGAGAAGATCGATCGCGTTTTTCGAGAATGCGACGTAGGTCGGTTTCTTCGAGTCGCTATCAGGGGACCATTTAGATAACGGCGAGTCAGTGAGATCGGCGATGCATGAGATAATTTCGGGCTGTGAATTGTTCTTCTCTAGACAGAGCGTTTTCAAGCAATCGAGGATCAACGCCTGTAAGCTAGATGTGCGGTCAATATCTGGTGAGTATGGGGGAGATATTGAGTTCCATGCAAGAAGTCGCAAATGTTGGAGAATGATTTCGACCTGTTCCCCTTCGAGGTCATCCTTGTATAACCGGTATATCTGTTGGAAGGCCTGCAGGTATGCTATTGAGGCAGCTTGATTCGGACGTTCCAAGTCCAGTAGATCTTCCTTGTCGGCCGGGTGGCCGCCTACCCACAGCGACCAAGTGACAGAGAGAGCATGTTTGCTTAGCCCTTTCGATTTCTGAACCCGAACAAGTATGCTCGAAAAACTGGAGTATACAGCTTCTCCGAATTCTAAGAGACGCAAGCCAATGATCTTCTGGAAATAGCCGAGTAGTCGTTCCCAAGACTGGTCGAACTTGTCGTCTTCAACAATCGGTTCGAAAAAGGTAGTCACGAGATCAGAAGCCCCTTTAATCATGACCACAGTTGTTTCAACCCAGGCCTTGAACTCATCAGGGCCACGGCCACTCCCCTGCCCGCGTGTAAGCACCAATTCAGCCTCGATATCCTCAACCATCCGGAACAGAACCCGATTCAGACACAAATGCCAGGCCTTCGGCGATAGTTGCTGGCCGTACGCATCGAATATCCTGAGTAGAGTATGGACCGCGCAGTTTCTGATTTCTGACCTGCTGTCGGTGGTGAGGTCCACTATCCGCAGGAGCAGCAACAGCCACAGAGCATTGCGGGAGACGGAAGGCTCATCCCCCTTTGCTAGTGCTGCGAGCGTATCTTCTGTCACGAAAGAGTCAACATGGGTCTCGATGCAAAATCGTTCGATCTGTCCTTGGAGGAAATCGGACACGTTCCAGAAAGAAGACGTGGTTGTCAATGAAATATTGAAATCTTGTTGCTGCAAGGCAAACTTCGAGAACGCGTCTACAAGATTCAGTCGACAGGGCAAGGGAAGCAAAGAGATGAAGTCGGAGGCTATGAGCTGCAGAGACTTATAAGCCACCCGAATAAGCCGGGGTGAGTTGGCTATCAACGACGATTTACACCCTTTGCTGGATGCCTCGGCATCGCCGGTATCGCCAAAGACACTTGATATAAGGTCGAAGACGATAGACCATCCTCCAAGGAAAGTTTCAGCATACTGCTCGAGAATACTCTTTAGGGTCTCCAGGCTTTGCTCATGTATCTCCGCAACGGGCGCTGATGGCGACCCTGGTGAGCAAGCGCTTGCTTTGTAGAGCAATTGAATCTGAAGCCTTAGAGTTTCAAGATTTCTTATTTGCCGTGCGTTGCGTTCCGAGTCATCCTCGCTATCCTTCTGCGTTAGGGTCTGGAAGATAACGCTATTGAGCACTTCGTTGGCTCTTAGTCGAAGCTTCTGGTTAATTGCTCTGTCAGCTGCGCTTGACATCAGCCTGCCTGTAAGAAGCTGCCAAGCACCCTGGTCATCATCAAGTAATGACGAGAACCGTCCGAGGTTCGCCTTGGCTAGCTCATTTGCTTTCTCGAGCACGAACTTCAACAGCTCATCCTGTGTTCTAGACTTCCCCATAGAAAACGATACACGATGGGTATTCTTGCGCAATAAGCTAGAGCGTGATTGTGGTGAAAGCGTAGTTTTCGACAATTTCTCCGGCAAATCTTGTGTCGTTTCTTCGGTGGTACCAAAAAGATCCAGAAGTGCAGTAAGGATCTCTTGGAATGAGCTACCGGGATAGTCGCTGGTACTTTCCAGCATTTTAGCAGAAGCTGCCTGTACAGCCAATATCTCCGTACCGATATTGGCTTTGGGTACGTCAGCACCCAGAACAGATGAAGCATCACCGGAGCTACTGGCTAGAGCCTGCGACTTGGTAGATGCCATCCCAATCAGTAAATCGGTGTCTTGCAGTGTCCCCAAGATTATCGACCAGGCCGGCTGGTCTAAGGTAGGACCTAGAGCAATGCCTAAATTAAGCAAAGCTCGCAAGCACAGGAGGTTCCGGGTGCTTAGAGACACAGATGCAATATCGGTAGGTGCATTGGGGTTCTCGACTGGTAATGGTGAACCAGCAAGAGGCACCGCTGAGCCTTTCGATTTTTCATCGACAGTCTGGCTAGACTGCGAAGCACTCGTCGACGTTACCGTTGCGCTCGCGGACTTTGTACCAGTTGTGTCCGCCGGCATGGCTGCCTTGCCAAGTGTTGTCAGAAATGCATCACGGGGAGTAGACAATCTGAGCAGGCCAGCAACATGAGCCAGCTTCTGAAATGACCGGACCAAATTATGGTAAAACTCGTCATCCAGTGACGCATACAAAAATATTGAGCAAGCCGCAAGTATTGCCGGCCAACAATTCTCGATGATGCCGGCACAGCTTTGGATTGCGGGAAGCTGAGGGTGCGATTCCAGCCGAAGAGGGTTGATTGGTACAGGTGGCTTTTTCGATCCCAATGTCGGAACTTCTTTTGAGGAATTGGTTCTCTGGAGTTCTTGTGAAAGCCTCGAAGAGCCACTGTCTGGATGAGGGCTCATGATACGGCTTCTCCTCTTTTGCTTCAGATCAGGTACCGTCAAAGGAAGTATGAATTTTGCAAGTCCTTCAGCAAAGCTACCGATACAATTCAGTACAAGGCTGTAAATATAGGTATCGGGAGGTGAAGGAGGGTCGGTCTTGTCAAGTAATTCCATGTAGGGCGTGCGAACCACGCTCCATTGACTGCTGATTCCCGGTACGTCAGTGTCGGTTGAGGGAACCGATGTTCCAATAACGCCGGCAACTCCTCCTGCCTCAAGCGTGATCTGCTCTTCGGTAAAAGACCTGGATTGGTCGACACGAAAAGGCACGGTTGACCGGCTACTGACCCCAATCAAGGAAGGCTTTTCCGACGCCAGGCGGACAAGCGAAGCCATGTGTTCTTTGAGAATGTTCTTCCTGCTATCTTCTCGGTCGTAGAGTGAATACATCAGTCTTATCAGGCCTGGTTCGGCATACAAGCCTCGAAATACTTCCATACAAAGGACCCGTTTCCAAGGTGAGGTGCCATCGGGCTCGAGTAGATGAGTTAAGAGTCCAAGAGCCATCTCACACTCGGCAGGAAGAAGAGACATGTGGCGCTTGAGGAGCACTAGGAGGATTCGACAAACACGGACAGTCTGGGAGAAGCTATGTCGTTCCGACAAATACCTCACGATCATTGGCATGAGTCGAGTTCGCAAGACCTGTGTCAATTCAGCATGGATGACAAATAGCTTGCCACTGTTGACCAAAATGCTTTCGATGAGTTCCAGGGTGAAAGTCGAAGAAAGAGACTTGATTCGAAGAAAATATAAGGCTTCGCCATCAATCAAACGGCAGAGATCGTCCAAAACCTTTATCACGTGTTAGCTATCAAGTCATGCATGTTCCCAGTTGTTGAGGCCTACCCGTAAAGCATCGTAAGCAAAGCGCCCTACGCTCACAGGATTCCCGTCAACTTTAACGGTTGTCGTTGGCGTCGACTGATCGAAGTTTTCTAACAATAAATTAGAAGTGAGCGTAATATGGAAGATACGGGTACTGACTGTCTTCGATGGATACCCGTTCAAATGTCGATACGACCAGTTGCTGCAGCGTGGCTGCGGCGGTGCTGGAAACCGCAAGCATCTTGTTCCCTTGAAGCGTAGCACATATCTCCAAGGTGCTGACAAGAAGGTCGCCGCCCAGATCATTTGAATAGTGCTGTAGCAAAGCAGGCAATGACTGCAGGATCTTGAGCTGGATATCCAGACCTCAGCAGCGTCAGTAGGACGATCAATGCTAACGTGCAGTGACTTACTCATATTCGTCGTCTCCTTCAATCCAGCGAGAACATCTTTCAGTCGCTCAGACGGCAGCGATCTCGAAGCCACCAGCCTTTGTAGGCAGATGACCCCGATGCCTGCGAGCTTCGCATGGCGACTGTGACAGGCAAGAATGAATGGATTCGCAAACTTCGGTTTGCGCACCAGATCTTTTGGGTCATTAGTAACTATAATCGCCGAAGTGGATGCGCATAAGAATCGCGATGTGGCCCACCTGCTGATATTTGCGCTTCGGAAGTTGAAGGCAAGGCTTTCAGTTCGTTAAGGGACTCCTCGGCTGCCTACGATTTACTCAGCATGGGCATTCGAGCACCCCTCTAAGTCGGGCAGGCAAACATACATTTCGCAGGTCGGAATTTCTCCTCTTGGATTCCTGGATCAGATTCAGGAGTTCCGCCTGCAAAAATTGGGAGGACATTTCAAACGGCGTGTTGGATCAGAACATGGCCGATGCCACCCGCTATTGATCAGATTGTAGCACTAGGCAGATGTGGCTTCATGTGGTTGTCACCGATGGGAGCGAAGGGATACGAGTCTAGGAACCTGGGGCACGGTAGATTCAGACACATAGATATCCCTGGGCAGTCTGCATCTGCTCAAATGCGCGCTCGTCGCAATGACCACGATGACTTGGTCAAAATAAACAACTCTCCAGCATAACATCAGGAGGGACATCCCCAACGGCGCGCCAAGGCACCCGCGGAGATAGTAGAGATCCCACGTGATGCTGCCGGGTGTTATCATCACGTGTCGTGGCTCTGCAGGAATCCGGCGGGCCAGATGCGCAAGGCTGGCAGGACTACTAGTGCCTGTAGTATTGCCCGGCGGTGGGATAAGGTCGCAATGCCCCTCCTCCGCCTCGGTGGTCGAATCCTCTTCCCCACCACCTTCTCCCGGCGTCATTAGAACCTTGTTGATTTTTGATCTACCCGACATTTCCTTGCTCACAAGATGGGAGCCAAAGTTCCCAGAAACTTCCGGCTGCTCGAAGAGCTAGAGAAGGGTGAAAAGGGCTTGGGAGCAGGTAAGGGCGCCATCCCGATTGCGGACACTCAGTGCCATCTCTAACGGTCTTCTTTTCTTATCCTAGAGTCATGCTCCTACGGCCTCGCTGATGGGGATGACATGATGATGAGCAACTGGAACGGCACCATCCTGGGCCCCCCTCATGTCCGTCACCCCTCCCACCGTCTCACCCGACTCGACGCATATGCGATAATACAAGAACATATCTAACCCGGTATTGAACGATGACAGAGCGTCCACGAGAATAGAATATACAGTGTCAATATCCATTGTGGCCCGGATTACCCCGATAACCCACCGACCATTCAATTCGTCTCTCGAGTCAACCTGCCATGCGTTGATACCCGGACCGGAAAGGTATGGATTCCGTCATGCCTCGATACTATCGAGTGAGAGTAGTCCTAATCTCTATATGGTCATCAGGTCGATCCCAGCAAGCTGCCCTGTCTGGTTCAGTGGAAGCGCGAGCATACCATGGAAACTATCTTGGTCGAGATCAGGAGGTAAGCGGTCTTGTATATTCACACAGGCCAAGTTGAGACGCTTACTTTTCCAGATACATGGCTCTACCCCAACATAAGAAGCTCCCGCAGCCCCCGGAAGGCTCGAACTTCTAAAGCTGCAACGTTGTGAATGGTTCAGGGTTCGAAAGCGGAGTATTATGGTTGGTTTCTTGAGTCAGGTTCATCTGTGTTTCCCTTCATTGGCTTATTAGAGCATGTACAGTCTATGCATAACGGCGGGCATTGGCGCGGTTTCCTTTGAAGCCTAGTTGCAATTTATCGTTAGAACGTTGATCAGTATGATCTCTCGTGCCGTTCTCGTCGCATGTTATATTGGCTGGGTCCGAACACACGATTTTGGTGAGCTACCAATCGTCTTTCCTCGAGTGTTCTTCAAAGGCGCTATGACCGACAGAGGGAGATAGATCACGATCGACCAAATAGAAGTATTCCCGAATACCTGTTCTCTGCCTCTTGTAGACTGGGTTGTACAGACTCATTAAGCCTACCGCGCAGCCGGCATGGCATTCATGTCATTTAATGCTGCAATGCCGTTCCTTCATTAATACCAACCCTTTTGACAAGGCCTTGACGGTCCTTGCCGCGACTACCAGTTTTGCGGCAGTATCAGGATTGAAGTTGTATGCCGTTCGGATTTCACGTGACATCACCGATCGATGTAGTCACATGCCTGAGAATATCCGGAACATCAATCCCAGAATTATGTTTTCTTCCGAATAATGCATAAACTAGTCGTTCCCCGGAAGTCATTAGCCCACCGTTTTGCCAGTAAGCTCACATTAGACTGCGATTTGTCTTTCGGTATGAGAAGCAATGACTGACAAACCCTTCTTCCGACAGCTTTAGCGCTATACCGAGGACTTCTCCGACAATGCGCGAAACTACCAGACACCCCATCAGACCTGAGCGCATGCAGGCCTTATATACAGCAAAGATTTCACAAGTACAAAGGACTCCAGAGTCCGTCTCAAACAATTCATTCTTTAAAAGCGGGCTATGAGGTACGTGGATTTCCAGCGCTCGACATGAAACGGTCAATGTTTAATTGTCTGCGGCGTCGCTCGCAAGAACAGGCTCTCGACCTCCTATACTCAGCATCGCAAGGAAACCAACATGATGTTGGCCGGATCACAAAACTCATAGCCGAGAGTCGGCGAGCAAAACAACAAGCGAGCGAATGGCAAAGAGAGCGAGCTAAGTTGCAGCCGGTGCAGCCTCTGAATCGGAAGAAGCAGAAAAAGAACGCAAACCGCGATTTCCAAAAATCGACCGCTCTGCGGCATCCAGATGCTGAGCCTATTCTTTCACGGCCTCGGCCAGTTGTCAAGGGAAAGCGTCATATTCCTGTGCTTGTGAACGCGCGTGGACTTCCGTTTCTGCGCATCAAGAAGCCCCAGCCCAAGTTCCTCAGCGCGGTGTTGAATTCTAAGGCCGAGATGCGTTGGAAATGGATAGAGCGTGCGCAGAGGTTGGAACATGAGCTAGTGATGGCTCAGGACGAAGATGAATGGGATGTTTTGACTGGACACGGGGAAGACGAAACATGGGCCCAGTCGGTCCAACTCAGCTACAGGAATGTGTGTCTTACGATAAAAAGGGCGGATCAAAGGTCTCAGGAACTCGCCGAGTCCATGTGGAAGGTTGTCCTTGCGGAGCGCAAGTTGGCTGAGGAAGAAAAACAACGATCACTTGATAATGATCCGACTGGCAAAGAAAAGACATGACACTGGCCAATAACCTGCCGGCTCATGGGCGAAATCAGTGTCTACTCATCTATTCTATCGTGTTCCCGTTACTATACGGTTCATCATGGCCAATGGCAATGAGGGTATCTGGGAGCATCCTGCTGTTAGGCAGAGACTGAATCTTGAGGTGGAAGAGTGAACATTCTGCAATGATCCGAGTCTTTCCAATAGACCGCATTTGGCTGTATCGAGTTCAGCAGACTGACTTGTATGATATGGTGGCGGTCAGGACATGTATATTAACAACACCCAGGCGCATATGATCTTATCGCTTTTGATGCATCAAGAGGCCTTGGAATGGGTCTTCTATTCCCTTTCATAACAGTCACCTCCGCATAGGGGTTTCAGCGAATGCAGGTTAAACTGCCAGAGTGATTCATCTCATTATCCCCGGGCGTTTCCGGCCGATGTACATACTACTAGTAATTTCTACTCTTTGAGCGAAATATTTGCGAAGTGAACAATATATACAAGTTATAGAGACTGGTCTCTTAAGACTTATTCGTATCAAGAGATTAATGAGTTCCGTGATAGAAATACCATATAGACCAAGCTTTTAAGCCGCTATCTTCATCTTTTCTACAGCAGCTGGCATAGCGTCCTCTTCCTCCTCATCAAAGTCTGCTCTTCCAGCAAGACCTCTCTCCCATAGCTGTTTGCCCGTGAGCTTCTTCTCTTCTTTGCCTGGGGTCTTCTTGGTGGATTTCTTGTCCTCTGCCTCCTTCTCTTCGCGCTTCCGTTTTTCTTCCTCCTCCATCTCCTTTAAGAATTTGTCCCTCCATTCCAAGAACGTCTCCCGGTTTACAACAGTGCCCTGGAATTTCCGGTTCTCCTCCTCCTCTGCCTTGGCAGCTTCCATCTCTTTTTGAGCGTGCACAGCATCTACACGCTCGGCCATGAGAAGTTCCGCGCTCTCTTTTAGGGCACTGACTAGAGTGAACACCATCGCCATCCCCATGTTCTCTTCAATTGTAGGTTGCAGAGCCTCGAGGAGCCGATCGCGGTCCTCCGAGATATCTAGTCGGGGGTGTTTCGGTGCGTTCGGGGGCGCGCTTAATTGTAATTCGGGGGCAACATCGGGATAGTCTTCTGGGTAAGAGACCTGCAGAATCAAGACGGCTTCCTCTGCTTCTTCGATATCATTCTCGGGTGCTTCCAGAGCGATTGATATCCGGTATGAGGTGTCAGAGAGGTCTATAATCTTTCTGTCAGCGGTCGATTCTTCACAGGATCCTATGAATTGGGGTCGAGGCAGAAATATCGATGGGCTTTACCTGTGATTTCTTCAGGGAAAATAGAATCGAGCACTTCGCGCTCTTCGATCTGGTCTTCGCGGCCCATGCTGTTTCAATTCTGCCGCCGGCGGGGTTGGAGGGGTATTGTTGCTTCTGAAAGTAGAAAGGCCGTAAATCAGGCGAAAGGCTAAAATTTGCAAAATTTAAGACTATGACACGAGCCTAATATCTGAAGAAGTACCAGCAGAGCGGATTTAAGCCGTGTGGTCTATAGGATGAAGGGCTCAAGCATGTAGGACCCATTTCCTCGGTTTGGACGTGCGCAAGCACAATACCTGCACTGCACCGCATCCCACGTGCAAACAGGGCAAACAGATAAGGAAATGCCCAAATTTGTCCCGCCCGAAAAAGGGAATTTCAATGCTCCGCCTTCTCGAGTGCAAAGCTCCCAGTGCTTGTTCTTGTACTCGGGATCATTACTGACGATAAAATACTGTTCTTGTTCTATTCCTCTTCTTTGTTTGCACCCATAAATTACACTGCATTTCGATTTATTGCGGCCGATAGACCATGGGCAAACCCAGACCTCCTCAAAAAAAGAAGTCCTCCAAATCTCGCGCAAAGTCCGTTCTGAGCGCGGGCGGCTCAGTCTCAAAACAGAAAATGAACGAAGACCCTTCCAAGCTTCTCGAGCAGGCGACGACAGAGCTTCAGACCGGTCAACCAGATGTTGCGCTTTCACTGGCTCAGCAAGCCCTCAACAGCGCCCCAGCCAACTCCCCAGCTCAATTATCGGCCTTGATTACCGTTGGAGAAATCTACGTCGAACTTGGCGATATTGACACTGGTAGGCAACATTTCATGCGCGCTGTCGAACTTGATCCAAATGGCACGATACCCGAGTCCCAGGGAGGAGGAGCTGGAAAGTTCCTGTGGCTAGCTCAACTGAGCGAGCTCGGTGGGAGGGACAGTGTTCAGTGGTTTGAGAAGGGTGTGTCGTCTCTCAGGCATACTATTCAGCAGCTGGAGCAAAACCCCGGGCCGGAAGAGGCACTTGAACTTGTTGAGAAAAAACACAAGATGGCAAATGCTCTGTGTGGAGTTGCCGAAATCTACATGACCGACCTTTCGTAAGTCACGAACGAACTCATGCACTCCGTCTATCATGTTGGTCAGACTTCAGCTAATAAATAAAAGGTGGGAAGAAGATGCAGAAACTCGATGCGAGACCCTCATCACCGAAGCGATTCTCGTTGCACCAAATGCGCCTGAAGTACTACAAACCCTTGCATCCATTAGAATCTCACAGCTGCGGACGGAGGAGGCCCAGGCCGCACTCACGAAGAGTCTCGCACTGTGGAAGGATCTGCCGCCCGAGGACCCGACTGTCCCAGACTTCGCGACGAGAATCAGTCTTTCCCGTCTTCTCATGGAGGTTGGCAAGGAACTCGAGGCCTTGGAGGTTCTGGAACGCCTGATCCTGGAAGATGACCAGAGTGTGGAGGCATGGTATCTCGGAGGGTGGTGCTTGCAGCTGCTGGCTGGAAAGCAACAAGCCCCCACAGATGGCGAAGAAGCCGATGAAAGCCCAGAGGTCAAGCGACATGCATCGCTTGATGCTAGCCGTGAATGGCTCAAGCAAAGCTTGGCGCTATACGAGGTTCTTCAATATGAAGACGAGAGACTTAAGGACCATGCACTGGAATTGGTCTCGGAAATGAACAAAGAGCTGGGTGAGGAGATGGACGACGACGAGGCCGGGGAGGATGAGGACAACGAGGAAGGCTGGGAGGACGAGGAGATCGAGGTGGAATCTGACGGCGATCACGAAATGGCTGACTCATAAAAAGTTGCATGTTTGTTACGAAACTTCTTTGTCATGATACCAATATAAGAGGACATGCTCCGTACTATCTTCCAATCTCTCCGCAATAGACGAATCCTACACTAGGTAGTTTGCCAGAGCATTGATCAGCGCGCGCCGGCGCCGGATAAAGTACCATCCGACCGCTTTCCCCCCGGAGATAACCAGAGCCAAATTTATTCCGGCGGTTCGACTTCGAGTGGCAAACAGCTCAATGTGAGTGAGGAGTCGATATCGCGGTTGCTGGAAGTGTCCCATCTTCCATTACAGGATGGACTTCGTTTCAGCGCCCAGCGGGGAGAGCTCCTCGCTGAAGAATCCGGTGCTCGAAGTGGAGGCCGTTGATATGACCTCCGCGGGTGTAAAGGGCGGCACCGCAACGGAGAACATAACCGCTGCGACGGAAGAAGCGGCGCAGTCAGAGGACGAGACTGACAGTGATGGCTCAGGCGATGACTGGGAGTCTCAGTCCCTGTACGAAGATGCCATTCAAGTCGTTCGCGACGAGCAGCTTCGTGATGGGGGTAAGCACTCTCTATACACTGCCCTGTCTATGCGCTCGTACTAACCCTCCCCCCCTTCTCCCCTTTTAGTGCCTGATGCCTGCACTTTGGAAGAAGCCATCGCTTATCGGAGACGTCTTCACGATATTGGCAAGGCCGCATTTGTCGAAGAAACGATTGGACGGGATACAGTGACCGCGAAGAAGTTGTGTACTGCGTTCGGGATCCTCCCTCCTGCCTTCCTAGACGATGCGCCGGATGAGGCCTTCCACCCTTTACTGGCTATTGCCATCTCGCGCGAATTCCAGAAACGTCCAAAACTCCCACAGTACAATACGATCGATGATGCGGTCAAGCTGCTCCAGGAGTCCAAGAATATCGTCGTTTTGACGGGCGCTGGCGTACGTTTTGATCCATACCTCCTTTTGTGGAAGCACCCGTTTGCTGACAAGCGTTGTTAGATATCTACGAGCCTGGGAATTCCCGACTTCCGGTCCAAGGACACTGGTCTCTACTCGCAACTGGCGCATTTGGGTCTCAGTGATCCCCAAGAGGTCTTTGACATCCATGTGTTCCGCGAAGATCCAAGTATTTTCTTCTCGATCGCAAAGGACATATTACCCACGGAGAAGAAGTTCTCGCCAACACACGCCTTCATTCGTCTGCTTCAGGACAAGGGCAAGCTACTGACCAACTACACCCAAAACATCGACAACATCGAGGCTAATGCCGGTGTCCTTCCGGAAAACATCGTACAATGCCACGGCTCCTTCGCCACAGCCACGTGTGTTAAGTGTGATTACAAAGTTTCGGGCGACGACATATTCGATGAGATCAAAAAGGGGGCCATTCCTGTATGCGCCTCTTGCCGCAAAAGCATCGCGGAAGATTCGGGTGTCAAACGAAAGCGCAGCAGTAATGGGGCCCACAAGAATCGCAAAGACAACGATGGGGACAGCTCCGATGAAGACTACGAAATACCCACCCCTGGAGTTATGAAGGTATTTGCATGCCGATGTGTCTCTTTGCTACTCTTCATTTGCTGATACCAGTCATCACTAGCCCGACATCACCTTCTTTGGAGAGGATCTCCCTGATGAGTTCGGTCACCGTCTGCTGCACCACGACCGCGATCGAGTAGATCTGGTCATTGTCATTGGGACATCACTGAAAGTCGCACCTGTGGCGGAGGTGCCCGGCGTGCTGCCTCGCACTGTTCCTCAGATTTACATATCCCGTACTGTAAGTTCTGGGTTTGGCCTATATGGCACTTCGAAATGCGCAACTGACGAGTGTCCAGCCTGTATCTCACACGGAGTTTGATATCGACCTGCTTGGCGACTGTGATGTGGTGGTGTCTGAGCTCTGCCGGCGGGCGGGGTGGGAGTTGAAACACGAGATGATCCCAGCGGACGAGAAGGTGGAGGTGCTTCCAGTGGAAGATTATGAATCACGACATGTGTTTAAGGTTGTCGGCGCATAGCGGCGGCGTTCGGTCCTGCTTGATTCAGAGACGGCGTAACTTCGGGTTTGTTTTGGCTGGTTTGTCTGCATTATTTGTATTGGAGGTCCAGGATGTAAGACTGTTGCTTTTATCAAATAGACGGATGCCTCGCTACCTAAGTACTACCTCAGGAAGTACGTGGTGAAGCCTGTGCTGTTGCTGTTTCGATGTATTTATGTTCTGCAACCTGGCTATGGCCAGTTAGTTATTCCATAATTTCTTCACGCCATGATGGTTGCTGCTTTTCGACGTATAAAATAAATACCCCATGCGGTTGAATCTATGGGACCTGAGGTTGTCACACTTCAACGGGGATGGATGAATGGATGGATGAGTCCCGGCAGCGACGGCGGGTTCCCGTTGAAATCCATCCAATCCACCGGCTCAAGGAAAATTCATTCCCCTTCCTGTCAACGGCCATTGAATGACAGGTGCACCCAGCCTTTCGGACCAGCAGGAGAGCAGCATCTTGGGTCTCATTCAACCTTGCGCCATTGATTTTGTCGGTTTTCATTCGCCTCTAAGGACTGGTACGCAGCCAACGATGGAGTATTTGATTCGCTTCGCCCAGGTCCACGAGTCTTTTCGACAGCCCGAAATCCAGGCGCTGGCTGACTTGGCGGGGGTGGATCTTGAGTTCCTATACTACGATAAAAATGTATGTTTTTTTTGTTTCATACCTTCCTGCTTTGTTTTTTGTCCCTTGATCGATGGGCCTGGGTGCAGCACAAGCGACAGAAAATGATCCGTTGGACAACAATTTCCCCGCACCAATGAATGCCGCCGTCTCTCTCTCTCTCTCTCTCTCTATATACATGCCGCTAACAACCACTTCCAGTCCCCATTCTGCATCATCAAAGTACAAGATGAAGCTACCGCGCGTGCTGTCATCGCTCGCAGCATCATAGCCAAGGACATATTTGAGCTTTGGGGCCAAGGCGCCAACTTTGACGACGTCCACGTCGACGTCCGCAGGCGGACAGAGGATCGCTGGGCCAGGTTCAAGGATGATTCATTCCGCTTTACCATAGACAGCTTCGCGGGGAAGCGCAACGAGAAAAAGAAGCGCGAAATTATCCAATCTTTCTCGTTTCTTGGATTCAAAGGTCCCATCCGGATGAAGAACCCCGACCAGGATTTCTGGGTGTTCGAAGACTACGGGTGGGACCTTTCTTCCCCTGATATTCTTCGCCCTCGCCCCGAGGGACAGGAACCAAGGACTATTTACTTTGGACGGTGGATCGCGAATAGCAGCCGAGATGTCATTAACAAGTATGATTTGAAGAAGCGCCGCTATATCAGCACCACCTCGATGGATGCGGAGCTGACCCTCATCACGGCCAATATGGCGCATGCGGGCCCCGGGAAGATTTTCTATGATCCTTTTGTGGGAACGGGGAGCTTCCTGGTGGCGATGTCTCATTTTGGGTCCCAGACGTTTGGTTCTGATATCGACGGGCGCAGTTTCCGGGGGAAGGAGATGGAGAAGGGCGGTACGATGGGAGTTTTGTCGAATTTCCAGCAATATGACAACGTGGGAAAGTTTATGGATGTGTTTACGTCCGATCTCACCAATACACCTTTGCGGTCCTACCAGTTTCTGGACGGCATTGTCTGTGATCCACCTTACGGTGTTCGGGAGGGTCTCAGAGTTCTGGGAAGGCGTGAGGGTCTCAAAAACGAAGAGGTCATTATCGACGGAATCCCGGCTCACTAGTATGTCTTTCTTCATCGAAATTATACCCATGCGTGCCCATAAACCCCGACTAACATATCCTAGTCGGCCCGGCTATATTGCGCCCAAAAAGCCATATGGCTTTGAAGCCATGCTCAACGATATCCTCAGCTTTGCCTCCAGAACGCTCGTGACCGGTGGCCGTCTGGCCATGTGGATGCCAACTTCCAATGACGAAGAGGGTGTGGTATTCCCGGTCCCGATGCACCCGAACCTGGAGGTTCTGAACGTATCTGTCCAGCCATTCTACAGCTGTAAGTATCTTCAATACCCTTCGTACCGCAGAGTATCCGATTGTATTAACTGTCGACCAGGGTCCCGCCGACTCATCACATATCGGAGACTCCCGGAAGGACAGGTCTCGGATGTCTCACAGGGACGCCAAGTACTCGACTCTGAAGGAGTATACGCAGATCAATTAAACGCTTTCAGGAGGAAGGTACGGATACCACCCTGCTGCTAAATAGCTTCTACCCCATGGACCACTGAATCTGATCTAACATGATATAGTATTTCACGAAAAACCAGCACGACACGGTCTCAAAGTCAAGGAAGGAAAGCCCCGCATCATAACACAGATATATGTCTGTCCTGCATCATATCATGTCCCGAATCACACGACGATACTAAAATCAAAAACAATAAATGAATTCAAAGTCTCCATTGAGAAATACCACGATGCAGACCAGTGTATCTTATAGTAACAAAGCCAACCCTATTTATTACTGTATTCAGAGCTTCCCGGTCACCTTCCACTTTCTATCCACGGAGTCAAACCCCCTCTCCAGATCTATATCCTCCTCCCTCCTCACCCGTATTATCTCCCTCGCCAGCTCCTCCCTCAATAACCGGGCCAGGCTTTCCCCCTCTTCATCATCTAATTCATCCCTCTGGCCTCGTCCAAACATGACATAGCTCTTGCTCGATTGACCGGGGCCAGACGCGGGCCTATCCGGTGGCCGGGGGATAATGTGAAAATGCACATGAGGCACTTGCTGCGCTGCTCTGGCACCTGCCCAACATGAAAAGGAATATAAGTGGTCAAAATCGAAGAAAGGTGGAACATGACAGTGTCGTAACTTAAGAAAGTACTACTACGTAGAATGCATAGGTGGGTCGGCAAATATATAGATATCACCACTACCATTTCCCTTCCGAATACAACAACACAAAATGAAACTAACAAGAGAAAAAAAAAAAAAAAAGAAGAAAAAAAGAAGAAAACCAATGAACATACCATTATTCTGCACGACATTCCAATTCCAATCGGAATTAAATTCCTTGGACTCTTCACCGAAGAGCGTACGCATAACAACTCGGGAGATGATAGGGAGCCATTGGCCGATCTACATATATACTACGGGGTTAGTATGGATCAAACATACTAGTACATACAGGAGACACAAAAACCGGTGTATTGTATGTAGCGTCGTCTCCCAGTCACCTCACGATGAATTAGAAAATAAAAGGAAAGGGGATGGAGGAAAAAAGCAGAAACCAAACAAGCACAGCACAATACAATATACTAGTACATACCTCTCTCCCGCTTACCACCCCAACATCCCCCAACTTCTCAAAATGCCCCCTGGGCGCAACCAATACGTGACCCCTGGTCAAGGGCATGATATCCAAAAAGGCCAAGACATCCCTGGTCGAAAGGATGAGGTGGGCCCGGGCCCGGGCCTGTGGTGTCGGTGTCGGTGTCGGTGTCGGTGTCGGTGAGGCATCTTGTTCTTCCCCGATGAAGGAATCTGGGGAGAGGGGCTGCCGCGGCGCAACTATATTTAGATGGTGAGGATGGGGATGGGCATTCTTGCTCTGGTCTTGTTGGCGGAGGAACGTGGTGGGGGGTATCGGGGGGTATGTGGTAGCGATGTTGCAGAAGGGACAGGAGGAGGGTGGTAGGGGGCCCATCTTGGGTAGTAGTCTTTCTGTGGTCGAGAGTTCAGTTCGGTGGTGTAGGTAGATTTAGGTTGTCGTTGGCCTTTCTGTAGCTGTTCCCGCAGGCAGTGAGTGAGTGGGTGACTCGGGTATTGTATCCCGCGGCAATAGCCGGGCTCTCACACGTTTGAATTGGAATGCTGGGCTCGGTTGCTGTGCGATGCGATGTCACTACCGGTATCGTTTGGTCGCGGTAGACCGACTCCCGGCTCAAGTTGCTGGCTATACAATAGATACTAGTTGCCAGAGGCAGCAGAAAGCCAACCGTATGCACTACACAATGCCGAATTCGTATTGACAATTAATACGACGCAATAAAAATGAACGTATTGAAAGAAATTTCCTGGCAGTTTGAGGCTATATTAACCATCCTAAACGCACATTACTTGAAGCACCCCCGTCCCTCTATCCGTGGTATCCCGCCGCTATTTAACGTGAAAGAGACAATAATGCCAAAAAGCCATTTCCCTCATCCTTCCTCTCCTTCCGTTTTTCCTCCGATTCGTTGGTTGCCAGAGATTGGTGTGCGGCATTATTTACCCCCGTGCGCCTTGACGACCGTAATGCTGTAGTAGATAGATCGTTCCGGTCCTTGGGGAGCTGCGTAAAGAGACCGATGTGTAGCAGACGCTGGGAAACAAGAAACTTCGATCCAAAAGTGAAATGAAAGCAAGTAAATTTCCGACCCTGGAGTGTCCGGCACCTGCAACACACAGGGCATCGTGGGAGAAGGTTAAGTAAGGTATCAATGCAAGTGCGAAGCAACCCAGACACTACCAAAAGCCGAAGAGAATCAAAACAAAGCTGAAACACATGTGCGCCTGACACCCCTCAAAGAAGCGAAGATGCAAACGTCCGCAACCGAAAACAGAAAAATGCCGTTCGTAAACATATGCAAGAGTTGCCTAATACCATCACGAATGAAATACCACCATATGGAATCAACCAACTCCTATCCCCGGTCGTTCTACCAGACGCCGATATTAAGTCACCGGGAGGCCATGTGTTGTTTATTCGCTGTCTTTGATGAAGGTGTATGGCTCTGACAGCGAGCTGCTGATGTAAAGGTGATGATATTTCTTTGCCCATTGCCGGGTGAGAATAGATGCTAAAAAGAATGTCAGCGCCGCGAATACCAGTATCGTCAGAGTGAAAACATACCCTTTAGAAATTTCTTGCTAGCGTATTTCTTGAAGAATGCTTCGTGGCACACAGGGCGGTGCAGGTAGTCAATCATGAGGCGGAAGACGGGGTCGATCTCCTCCTCTTCGTATCCAGCGTAGTGGGCCAAGGTTGCATCCTGCGCCATCTGTTAGAAAATTATAGATATTTAGGCAATTCAAAACTTACCCAGTCACCGCGATCAAGGATGAGGCGAGCCAGATACATAGAAGCAGCGGCCACATGACTCTGACGGAAACCCATGAACCTGTGATCAAGAAGACTGATTTCCATGAGGTACTTTCCGAGGGTACGGGTCTGAATATCGTAGTTGTCCGCTTTGGAGATCCGACGCAGGAAGTTCATAGGGTTAGGATAACTCATGTTGTACTCCAGGGTAGCAAGGATGTGACGCTCGGCATCCAAGATCTCCTTATCCGAGAAAGTCTCGTCTGCGACATGGCTGAAGTTGGCGACATGGGGTGAGAGAACTTCCTCATATTTGGATGCGATGAACATGGCGGCGACACCAACTAACTGAAGACGGTCCAAGGCCACCACTTCAGCAGACAGGAAACGGTCGATGAGGTTGACGGCAAGGAAGAGAGTCTCGGGGAGAAGGCGAAAGCGAGTGTGAACCTCGATGAGCCAGTCCACAAGGATACCCCGCATCTTCCATTCCAAGTCAGGCTGGTGCTCGATGTAATCCGGATTGGGCAACGTCTCCAATTCAAGGTCCTTCAGGTACTCAAAGATATCCACGACATATTCTGCTGCCATCAAGGGATCATCGAGATCTTCGGCATCCAAGTCGTCCACAAATTCCTCAGCCGGCTTCTGCAGGACTTTCGGGTCGACAGGGACCGAAGATTCACCCTTCACTTTCGAACCCTTCTTCTCGGCAGCCTTCTTCTCAATGTCGACCTTCTTGCGGGGTGGTTCGTCTGCTAGCGTCTTCTCGAGTACCGACTTGCTGGATGTTCTTTTCATGGAGCTGCCAGGCTTGGCTTCCGGAGCAGGCTTCTTGCCATTGTTATCCTTGGCTCCCAGGATGGTGCGTGATGAGTTGTTGCGAGTGAGCTTCTGAACTCCACCAGACTGCAACGTAGCCTTTGATGTCAAGCCAACCTTAGTTGCAGCTGGTTTTTTGGCTTCCTTCGTCTCCCCACTTTCAGTCTTGGAAACATTGCTCACATCACCAAGCGCGGCGCGTCTCTTCTGGGTTCCAGCGGTAGTGGTTGTAGCGGCCTTTTTCGTTTGAAGCGGCTTCTTGGCGGCAGGAGCTGTAGCGTGGGCATCACCCGCTGACAGGGCGGCAGCCTTGGCCCGTGTCAGACGCGTCGACTGCACATTTTCATCGTTCTCGTTCATGGCGCCTCGTGTGCGAAGACTGCGAGCCTGTTGAACAAATAGTTAGCAAGCTGTCGCGCACATAAGATGAACTTCGTGGTTCATGCATGCAATGCGCGACCGGGTTGAACAAAACGCGTCACCTAAACAAGAAAGACTCACGGGCGGCATTATGGCAAAAGAAAGGGGGGAGAGAAAAGAAGATGTTCAGAGGGGTCGCGGAGAAAATAAAAGTCGAATACAATGCTATGGTTCTACAGTTAGTTCAGGTCTAGTCAGCATTCCAGGAGAGATTACCCCAGTGGAGCCCAAATACCAGAGGACGGGGAGGCTGAGTAGCACGTACCACGAGTGAATATTTCTCCAGCCCCAATCTTAGGTGTAATGCAAGGTTCCTGAAGCTATATAGCCAGGTATTTGGAAGGAATTTGGCGGGTGTAGGCTCAGAGTCGTGGCATATATGACTTTGTTGACGCTGTTGACAGGACGTCCCAAGACTCGGATCACGTAACTTTCAGCGTGTTGTTGGTGAAAGGTTATGCGGAGAAGAGGGCTGGATCGGTTAGAAAGGTTGATTGTCGACAATGACGCGAGAATCGAGTGGCGGAATGGTTGGCGTGTATGGTTGGCGGTGGTCTCCCTTGGAGATGATGATGGGGTGGTAGTAGGGAAAAGGTGGTAAAGTTGACAGGGCACAGGTAATGTTTGGCCCTACTCTTAGCGTGGAAATGGGCCAAGCTGGGAAAGATGCCCCACAGCACAACCCAGTTGGATCGCGTGGATTGTGGATTATTAACTGTTGTACAACGTAGTGTATATGCAAAACCTAGGACAATAGTCACTGTCCCAGGTATTATGGTTATGTACGGTGAAGGAAAATCAAGGGAATAGGTACTAGGTGTAGGAGGAGTGGAGGGAAGGAAGAGGGAGCTGGATGGAGCCAGACGGAAAAGAAGGGGGGAAGAGACGATTAAAAGAGCAACCTTACGGCCTTGTATGGGTCGATGTATGTATGCATGGTATGCGTATGTATGACGGACGTGACTACCCTGCCGGGGCTCTACGTGAAGGGGCTGTATGGCGGCGGAAAGGGTGAAGGCAGGGCGGTACTAGTACAGTCACGGCGAGAGGGAATAATTTGCGGTGGTGGAGAGGGAGGGGGGGCGGATCATCATCCATGGTCGATGCCTGACTTGGTCCAGGCAGGACCGAAGGCAGGAAGCCACCTCGAAACGCCCGTCGCGAGCAAAACGTGATGCTGCGCGGCCACGATCGCCAAAACAGAGGCCCGTTGCGCGGCAACGGCTCGGGGCTTTTACGCTTTCTCGTATCGTCCTGGACGTGTTGCCGTGTCGCGCCGTCCCGTGACCTTGGTTACTGCGCCGCAGTTAGTCATCCGCTGCAAGTGGCGGTGCATAGCAGTCATGTGTTATCCGGTCAAGCCACACATCCCAGACATTTTCGCTCCGGAGGATCGAGTCGAAGTGCCGCTATCGTCACCGGTGTCTCGACATCACTCCAATTGAGCAGGGTGTTGCGGTCAGCGGTGTCAGGGACGCTGATTTCTCCAATTGCTTGCTTTATATCTCTCGTCCTTAAGCATGTTTGAGCAGTAGCTTGCTACGTTTTCCTCTCACAACCTGTCATCCCATTCCGCGGCACAGGTTTGACAACTCCGATCACGATTGATTGTCCCTCGATCCCCCTTCCAATATCCTACTCTATACTCTCGTCAATATGCTTCAACCTCGGTTGGCCCTGACGGGTCTTCGGCTCCCTTTCAGATGCCTCTCTTCGGTCATCCCGCCCCGGGCATACTCGACTGTCGTCCGCGAACAAGAGAAGCCGGCCGCCAACGAGACTTCGAGTTCAGCATACGACACGAGTATCTCCTTCGCACCTCCACCCACCCGTGATGCTAGTGCTGTCATGCGCACATATAAACCACGTACCCCCGGTATCCGACATTTGCGCAGACCCGTCAATGACCACCTGTGGAAAGGTCGCCCGGTGCAGAAGTTGACGTTCCCCAAGCGCGGTCACGGTAAGGGTGGTCGAAACAATTCAGGTCGAGTGACTGTCCGGCATCGTGGTGGTGGTCACAAGCGCCGCATACGAACGGTCGATTTTGAGCGTGCTGCTCCAGGGCCACATGTGGTGGAGCGCATTGAACATGACCCTGGCCGGAGCGCTCACATTGCCCTTGTCCGTAGCCAGGAGACTCAGAAATTGAGCTATATCCTGGCTGCAGAGGGTATGAGAGCGGGCGATGTTGTTCATAGTTTCATGCCTGGCATCCCGGAGGATCTGTTGCAGAGCATGGGAGGAAGTGTAGACCCTGGTGTGCTTGCTGCCAGAACTGCATGGAGAGGAAACTGCATGCCTTTGCACATGATGCCTGTCGGTACCCTGGTCTTCAATGTTGGTCTACGTCCGGGTAAGGGAGGCCAGCTCTGCCGCAGTGCTGGTACTTTTGCCACGGTCCTCTCCAAGGGTGTCGACGCACAGGTGAACCCCGATGAAACCGAGATGGTCTACAAAGACAAGGATGGAAACGAAACCACAAAGCCTCTATCCCAGCGTGAAAAGCAAAGGCGGCAGCGCGTCGTTGAGCATATTACCATTCGTCTCCAGAGTGGTGAAGTTCGACTTATTCACAAGGACTGCTGTGCAACTGTTGGTGTCGCCAGTAACCCCATGTATCAGTACCGCCAGCTTGGAAAGGCTGGACGGTCACGGTGGCTGAACATTCGCCCTACGGTTCGTGGTCTTGCCATGAACGCCCAGGACCACCCCCACGGTGGTGGTCGAGGCAAGTCGAAGGGTAATGTTGATCCAAAGAGTCCTTGGGGTCTGCCGGTATGTTCCAACCACCTTCCCTCGTCCTACTCCCGGGCTTTTGACATGCTAATCTGCTTCGCTTATAGGCCAAGTCCGGATACAAGACTCGCCCTAAGTGGAAGGTCAACAAGGCAGTGGTTCTGCCCAGAGTCCGTAACCAGGGCAAGCGTCGTCGCGGATACCACTGAGCATGCCAGCGACTATGTATACATTTCTCCCTTGTCCCTTCATCCTCTTTATGGCAATATGACGTTCTACTGAAGTGTGGTGATATCACTGTACAGGGAATGAGTTGAGTAGGGTAGAGTATGATTACTCTGAAATTCGCATTTACCCAAGGTCCTTTTTGTCAGTACTTGGTTTTAGACTGCCGAACGCTTAATTGCCTGTTCATCTTGTTGTAACATATCGGTTCCCTTCACGTGTCCGTTTCTTTATACTCTGGCGTTTCTCCTGTATACTACATGGGGGTTGAATACAACCCTGTTGCCTCGAGAGAGCGGATGCGAAGTGTTTTCGTAATGAAACTGGTTCTTTGTAACGGCCTTGTTCCTGGGCGCTTCGTGTCCCCGCCTCTAATCAAGAGACCGATGTTGATGCGCTCCATATTTCCATGATACGATGCCTGCATGTGGCGTGCTTAGAGCCTCACCAGGCGGGTAAGTTCCCGGCCTAGGAGTGGCTGTGGAAGTAGCTGGAGGAGACCTGGAGGTCGGAAGCATTGGCCACACATCCCGCCTTCGATTCAATTCCCTGGTTCGCAGAGAAGGGCTCTCTTTGAGCGTGTGGGTGAAGACCGACTAACAGTAAGCCTCACTCCTTTGCTCCCCGCAACGAACGCTTCAACATGATTCATCCGTGACTAACCTGTCAGGGGGTCTTTGTACGGAGTAGCGCCCCCAGCCTAGCCGATACAAGTTCCTCAAATGCGCTCAGGTCCTCGTAACTCATCGTTCTCGTCCATTCAGACGCAAGCCCCGTTTCTCGTCGTCGTTTCGATGCTCTATGAATGCCCATGATCGGGGTCCAGCACTTCCAGCCCCCTTACGCCGCAGAACCCAAACCCACCTGCTCCGCATTTCCACCTCCGAATCACATGCACGGCCATGGCAGATACTTTCAACGCTCTTACACAGCACTTTGAACCTCAAGCCTTTTCGTCTCAGCCACAGCAAAGTACAGCACATGAAAATACAGCGCCAGTCAATACAGCACACAGCGACGCAGACAGTCATTACATTCCTCGCCCCAAGCGCATCGCATGTGTCCTCTGCCGGAAGAGGAAGTTGAGATGCGACGGCAAGAGACCTAGCTGCGGGACTTGCTCTCGGTTAGGCCATGAATGCATCTACGATGAAGTACGAAAGAAGAGTGGACCCAAGCGGGGTTATGTGAAGCAACTGGAAGCACGTCTGGGTATGTCGGCGTCTCGATGATCTCCATGCACACCATGATGTCGTGCCGAGAAGCCACTTTTGCCGTATTCGTTGCTGACATTCCTGTACCTCTGCAGCCCAGGTAGAAACCCTGCTCAAAAGTCAGGAGGCTAATGCGCACCCAAGCCTGGAGAATGGCGCAAGCTTCGCAGCAACGAACTCGTTGACTGGCGTACTCCAAGCACCTCCCGGGGATGACGTCGACCCCTCCATGTCGCTCTTAGACGGAGCAAATGCCCCTGCGCTTTCGGTCCAAGCATTTTCAGAGGCAGAAGGAACCCGCTCAAGCACATCGGGAGGTGAGTTGATATCGCTAGGGCTGGAGGAACCCCTCCCGGCACAGGAGGTCATTGATGAATTGTATGCCCTTCCCTGTATCGTGCCTTCGATCTATTTCCTCATTCTTATAGGAATGCTATCTATTTCGAGAAAGTTCATCCCGGGCTACCCATGATACATCGCCCAAAGTATCTAGCATCTTTGGCTTTCGCTCCTAGTTCACGGCCCCCGGTGTGTCTACAGTACATGATATGGTGCCTTGCCGCGTCTGTTAGCGACAAGTATTCCAGTCTACATGAAACCTTCTATCAGCAATCTCGCAAGTATGCTGAATTAGATGAGCTGAAAGGGCTCGGGGGGCGGGTGGTTTCTCTGGCACACTGTCAAGCTTGGTTGCTTATCAGCACGTACGAATTCAAAATGATGTTTTTCCCTCGGGCGTGGTTGAGCTCTGGAAAGGCTTCTCGACTGGCAATCATGATGGGCTTGAATCGATTAGATGGACAGGGTCTCGATGTCAAACAGACACTGCCACCTGCTAATGATTGGACCGAAAAAGAAGAGCGGAGGAGGGTATTCTGGGCGGCATTTTGTATTGATCGATACGCGAGCATTGGCACTGGATGGCCTTTCACGATCGACGAAAGAGATGTCAGTAGCTACCTTGGGTACATATCTCCTTTCAAAAATAGCCTTTGCTGACAGAGCTGCACAGATATCCTCAAAGCTTCCTGCGTCAGATGAATCCTTCATCGAGAATACACCCCAAGAGACACCACTTCTTCCCGATGTTCTGGAGGGCGAGGATATAACAATGCTGTCTCCATATGGAGGCGTCGTGGTCTTAGGGTGCATGTTCGGCAGGAATATAACTCATCTTCATCGGCCTGAGCCGCAAGATAATGACCATGACCTCAACGGCGTATACTGGCAGCGACACAGGTCCCTCGACAATATATTGCTCCACATATCCCTGGCCATGCCGTGCCATCTTCGTCTGTCAGTTGGAACAACCGATCCAAACGTTATATTCTGCAACATGGCTATCCACACGGCAACAATATGCCTACACCAGGCGGCTATATTCAAATCGGAGAAGAATAAAATGCCAGAACAGATTGCTACGGAAAGCAAGCGAAGGTGTATTGTAGCTGCGGATCAAATCTCTAACATAATGAAAATGATCAGCCATCTAGATTTGAGTGTCGTAAGTTTACAACGGACATTGCTAGTCGCGAGATTGTGCTAACCCGATATAGATGAATCCTTTCATGTCGTTCTGTGTCTATCTGGCCGCGCGTGTCTTCATACAATACTTGAAGTTTCGTCCCAGCGACTCAGCAGCTCGTTCATCTTTGCAATTTGCCTTCTCTGCTCTGCATAAGCTGAAAACCAAGAACCCGTTGACAGGATCATTCATACTCCAACTGAATCTCGACATTGAAGGCTCGGCCTTTGGTGACGCACTGCAATCGAAAAGTGCATGCTTCACGGGTGGCCAACAACAAGACGCGGTAAGAAAACCACACTTCTGGAAAAGCAAACAGCGGCTGACCCTTACTTATCCTTTAGACCTCCGCTGGCAAAGTCACCACAAACACCTCTTCTCAGGTAAAGAAAAACCCACATGAAGCACACGCCGACGGAGTTTCTCCAGATTCCTCGCAAGGCACATCTGGGAATACCATACCCACGCCGCCCTCACATTCAAGTCGACAAAATCCCAGAGAACTGCAACCGGATGCTGGCAGCACAACAACCGATCACGTCCAAAAGAGGAGACGCGGCTCTACTTCAGACTGCATATCAAGGGCCGAAGGTAGAAGACCAGGGGCAAATCCAAATATGGCCATATCACCAGACTCTGACGACAACCCCGACAATATACCGGATAACCCACTATCTTCACACCTGAACTCGTCTTTCAATCTACCCTACGTGGGGTCAGATTACGCCCCGACGCCGCAGCCATCCCAACAAGCTCCCCGCCATCACCCCCTCCAGCCATACTTCTACTCGTTCGGTGCATTAACCCCAGTCCAATACACAGACGTATCCTTTCCCACACAGCCAGTTCCACTTGGCTCTACGGGAACAGGTCCCGAGACCTCACCCTCAAATCATCCTGTGTGGGACACATCTAACATCGCAGCCTCTGATCTCGGTAACGACAATTTGGGGAGCGTGCCTAATGGACTCGAAGCTTTAAGCGATGCCCAGTGGGGACAGTTCCTTTCAGCGGCGGACTGGGAAACTTGGCAGTGATTGAGCTCAATGCCCTGAACTTATTTGATGGGTGTATCTGTTATTTGCCTAGCTGGTTTAGTCAGTCCCTACTCAGTAGTTACGTGAAGAATGTGTTTACGACGCAATGGATGTGTATATTGACGAATGATATACGGGATTTGGAATGATCATCCTGGGTCTTGCACCGTATGCTGTGCAATTTTCTTACAGACTCTTTTTTTTTTTTTGGAAAGGGAGCGAATGGCTGAGATCTAACTTGGTACTACTATGTTCACGGTAAATACTGATTGCATATTGGTGGCAAGAATACTTATTTTGTAACTGTTCATAGAATTCCAGCCCCACAGTACTGTTTGAACGAGTTGATATTCAAGACATATGTACAACCCATGACGCTCAAATCCTGCCGTAAATGTCATAAAATAATAACCCCCCAGCATACCAAACGCCAAGAAAGGGAAGAAAACCACTATGGTGAACTACAAGCTCCCACCTGCAGCTCCCACGATCTTCAACCCGCCCGGCCCAGACCCATCGGCAGTGGTAGAGTACGCCAGCCAGTACCGCGACGGATGCCACGCGACAGCAGGTATACCGGAGTTGGCGTTTCCGCCCGTGGGGACAGTGTACACACTTTCACCGGTTTCGGCATGGAAGATCTCCAGGCCATTTCCACCGCAGCCTACCTCGTCGCAGGCACCAACGATGAATCTGCCGTCAAAACTCCAGCTCACGCCGCGGACGGCACCACCGTTATTGCTCGAGACGGTGCGTTTGCAGATCCAGTCTGTCGTATCCCATAGAGATATAAGTGCGTCGCTGCCTCCGATGGCGAGGTAGCGGCCCGTAGGCGCCAACGCGATAGATAGACAGGCAGATGTATGGGCGTGAAGGGTGTGGAGGACGTTGAAGGAGGGGTAGGAGATGATTTTGACGGTGCCCTCGCCGGTGGTCGCGAAGAGGTGAAAGCTGGGTGTGTCGGATTTGGAAATGTGATGGGAGAAGGTTGTTGCATTGGTCTGGATAGGTTGGGGGTGCGGCTCTAGCGCTCTATAGATCGATGGTGCTAGGTTGGGCTTTTGGGGGGGTCCGGGTGCGTTAGATGTTGTTCCATCGGCGAGGATGCTCGGACTGGAGGGAGACTCGATAGAGATGGGGATGAGGGTATCGTCCTGTAGATAGAGGGCGTGTTGGTTAGATGTTTTGGGCAGAAAGCCGGAGCGCATTGGATCATGGGCTGGTATGTTGTACTGACCTTCCTGCCAACAACCATGACACTGCCATCCGCCGACCAAGACAAGGTAAATGCCTCGCCTCCCACATCTAGACGGCTGACGCAAGTCTTAGTGCGGACATCCCAAACGCGAACGGTTCCATCCGTAGAGCAACTGGCTAGCTCTGAGTCTCGAACGGGGTTGAAAACGACCTTCTCGATGCCGGCGGTATGGCCGCGCAACTCGGTTGAGTATTTCACCTGGGAGCGCTCGGGGTTCCAGATTCGAAGAGTACGGTCTGCAGAGCCCGTAGCGACAAGCTGACCGGTGGGGTTCCAGGCTATTGTGCGAATCCTAAAGTGCGCGACAGCTTGTATTAGCATTCAGTGTGTCGATCCAAATGTTGGCGCGTGTTGAGGGGGGTTTCTTCAGAAGGCCACGCACGTATGAGATCCGTTCCCACGTGCAACGGGATCATGGTAATTTTGTGTCTTTAGGCTTCCAAATGAGAAGGCAAAGCGGTCTTTGGGGAGAAGATTCCGTCGAGGGGGAGCCATTGCGCAGGTAGCGGTTGGGTGGTTAATGCTGCTGCTGGCGGATTTGCGATTGCGGCAGCAGCAGCCCGGATGGACGGACGCCCCGAGGGGCAGAAGTTGGCGGTGTAGAGGGACTGTCTCACAAGGAGAGTATGCGGGATCACCGGTTAATTTGACAGTAATAGTATCTAGTCACAAAGAACAATTGCGAGGAGGTGTTGTTTGACTGCGGGGGAGGCTTGCGAGAGCCACTGCGCGCGGTGATCGATCAATCGATGCCCGCACTCGCAGAGGCCGGCCGGTGCCCGGTGATTGGCTGGAGCTCGCCATTGTAAATTTTGGTATCGAGATGACATAATGCAGCGACTCGCCAGTTGCTGAGGGCTGGAGCTGGCATTCTATTCAGGAACATCGTCTCCCTGATTGTTTCTTTTGTAGACAATCTTGTCTACTAGGACACATTCTAGGTCAAATGTACGGGTGTTCTCCGTCTTGGATATATTGAGGCACCCAGACTACCGACGGGAATCCAGCAGCTATCGTATAGGGCTGAAAAACTCTCCGGGCGTAACCACCACCGACTTCATTTGTCTGCGTCAAACATTGAGCCGAACAGCCTGACGAGATAATTCACCCTCCTGCTGCCCCCCCCCCCCCCCCCCCCCCCCAAAGCTATGCTTGACTTCGAGGATGACACGTCTCGGCGTGAGAAGTGCTACACGACTATAGCGCAACTTCCTGCCTTTATCAATCCCGAGCATCCGCCCACCAAGCGGTCACCCTTCTCGACCATTCTCAGTCGCCCTTTCGTCCACACGGTAAGATATACCCCAGTCTCTTCGATTGAGTAGCTTTGAATATTTCATCCTTTTTTTTCTTGTGGATCTTGAAGGAGATCAGAGCTAATCAGTTCACAGGTTGGAATCATTTTACCGAAAGAGGTGTACTCGAACGTCCAAAATTCTCTAGAGAGCAAAATACAAAAGCTACGATATGCTAGAGTGTTCATGTCACTTTCATCTCTACTTGAGACCGAATTTTTCAGCACATATATCAAAACTGGTATTGAATTCTTGTCTCCTACGCTCTATTCTTGATCTCTTTTTCTCTTGGCTCCATCTAAAGCATGAAACAACTGAGGTTAACGAATTTCATAGGAGATGTTCTCATGATTTCGGAAGGCCGTTCAGGCTCAGACAGTGTCTTTACTCTCCACGATGGTCTGTTTATCTCGGCACGATGGTGTACAGGAAACCATCTGGCTGACGGATTTACAGGTATTTTGAAGCTAGAGCTTAGCAAAGAACTCTTCGAGAGAACTGGACTCACGGGTAAACCGATCCGCAGCGGGGCAAGAAAGCATGCAAAGGAAAGATACGGTACGTGCTTCTAGTTGAGACCCAAAATTATCTAAATCAACCCATCCATGCTAATGAACGAACCTCGATAGCCGTGGAGATCAACCTGCGACTTCCCTCCATGATGCATGGAAAGAAAGGCTTCGAGAGAATAGTATGGGCCTTCAAAAACGTCCTTACCCAGTCCGTTACGTGGCTCTTCTTTGACCTCGCTTCGGAATCAAACGGCATTGCCGAAGGTAGGCACCTGATACTATTCCAAACGATTCGAGGAGAACAACTCGTCTTTCCGGCAACTAATACAAAGATAGATGATCTCTCACTCAAGGGAAACCACCCCCAAATCCTAAACTGTGAAGTCTCTTCCACAGAACTTGGCAGCACCCTCGTCCCACCCCTCCACAAGATATATATCCCAGGAGAAGCCCGTGAGGAGGAATTGCAAGACCAATGTTATGAGCTTTCCGAATGGCTTGCGATGGTCTCACTCGGATCGCCTCGAGTCGCTCCCAATGACGAGGTAGATCCGTTCCTTTGTCGCTACAGCGTACCAGACGCGGACGAGGCGCAGGCCTCCGAGCTTGTCAGTCTCAAGTGGCGTGGGCTTATTCCGCCCCGGTGGATTCTCGAGTTATTTGTGACGGTGTTGTATGTTATTATTATTGCCTTTCCGTTGCAACGTCCAGACATGGCTAATCTACTCTTTAGGAGAGAAACCTCGAAGGATTCCAATGCCTCTACCTGGTTTTCTCTTTCTTCAAGCGCACTGGGAAGAGAGGCTGTGGAGGCAAAAGATGGGTATACAGTTATGGTGCTTCCGACAATGGGCATGGAGAAAGGGCAGAAGGTGAAAGGACATGATGACAGCTCTTCTCAACAGGGTGGTCCACATTTTGTCTGTTGGGAGTTTGTCGGCGCTTCAGTTGTATAGATAGTGTTGGGATAGATCTTTTATAACCTGCTCTTCAAAATACCCAAATTCTAAAGTTGCGTTTGTTGATTAAATGAAACATCCTCTTGCATCGTCCACATGAATACGGATCCGAAAAAGGGATGCTGGTATCATTCATTATTGACAGAAGCGACTTCAACTACGCATGTACCAAGCACCATAATATCTCATGAAGCAACAAGCATGGCATATCAAAAACCGTATTTAATAGATAGGTATCATATGTATTAAACCATTCAACCTGTCCCGGATGTCCAGTGGTATCCAAAAAATCGCCTCCAAGCCTTGACCTTAAGCCTCACCCCCAAACCATCATGCGCCCAAAATAAACAGCGGGACAAATAGCCAAGGTAACTGATAATCAAAATAGAGATAACAGTTATCCGACAAGATCATTAACCATATCCTGCAGTACTGGTCGATTTCCAAGAACCTTATTACCACTAAGCAACTTCGAGCCCTTTTTGGCCGGCTGCCTAAAGCCCTTCGGTGATACTCGGGCCTGAATGGGGCTGAGGGGGTTGCGGGAGGTCTTGTTGAATGACAGATGGTTTTTCTTCGGACTAGGCGTAGACCCGCCTCGGTGAGATTGGGTCAAAAGGAAGTCAGATTCGAAGATGTGGTCCTCCAACGCATCCCTGGGCAGGTCGTAGATCCACCCACGTTCTTGGACCAGCTTCACGTACTTCCCTAAGAGCTCGTTGCCATCACGAAGAGTGCTCTTGCTCCCGATAACGAGAAGCTTGGTCCGTGCTCGGGTGAAAGCAACATTGACACGTCTCCAATCACGGAGTAGGTCACCGACATTGTTATCCGCATTGCTCCGCACGCAACTGAGAATAACAACTTCCTTGTCGCGTCCTTGAAATTTATCCGCGGTGTGCATTTCAAGGTCGGGTAAGTATCGGTTGAGGTTCTGCTTTAGAAGTGAGAGCTGACTCCGGTAAAGCGTGATAACTCCTATACTACGCGCTGGAATACCACATGAGATGAAAGCTTCCACAAGCCGGCTGCAAAGTGTTGCTTCGGTGGGATTTACAATTCGCGAACCGTTTGCCACGTCCCGTGCGGGTTTGGACAGCGTATCGGTATTAACAAGGCGAGTTTTGGCAGACGGTTCTATGAGGTCTCTGAGCCAACAGCGGCCCTGACTTGTGCCCAAGCAGAGTTGTCGCTGACTTGGTGACAGAGGCAATGTGTCGGCATGATGTTGCTTTAAACCCCCGATATGAGGAACGACAAGAGAACGTGTTGCTACCTCCGATGTTCCGCATTTCAGACGACCAGAGTAGATGAGAGTATTAGAAAGAAGCATGATATCCTCAGACATTCGATACTGGTGTTCGAGGTTGACAACAGATTCAGGGTGTGAGTCGGAGAGTAACTTAAACAGGCTAACATCCAAGCCACCTTCTTGGGCCTCTTTGTTTTGCACCAGGGGCGGCAGCTGGTAGTGGTCCCCGACGAGGATGAATGTCCTCGCCATTCGGATGGGACCTAAGCACACAGGAAGCGTGATCTGGGAGGCCTCATCGACAATACAATAGTCGAACACGCGTTGAGAAAATATGCCATGGCTAACTCCGAGACACGTTGTTGCCACTATTTGCGAATCTTCGTAGGATGCTTTGAGCTCTTCCATGGTATGTTTAGGGATTGCTGCTAGATCAGCAAACTCTTGAACGTCCGGATGCACTTTTGCGGGAGCTCCAATCCGCAAGATGCGAAAATTATCGTCCTTAATTTTCAAGAGGATATTATCAACCGCTGTATGAGTGTACGAGGTCAAGAGGACGCTCTTTCCTTGCGCCACCAAAGCACGAATGATATGAGAAATAGTCGTCGTCTTTCCAGTGCCCGGCATTCCAAGAACTAAGGCATAGTCACTGGCGCTCATGACCTTATCAATTGCTCGTCTTTGGTCGACGTTCAAGGCTGCTTTTTCAAGGCCAGACAGATAAGATCCAGACATCGTGGTTTTGAACGTGGGTGCTTCTTTTTCAATAACCAATCTTCTCAACTGTTTGGCCTGGAAAAGGTCCCGTTCCATCATAGAAACAAGATTGGTGCGGACAATCGCCATGCCGTTACTAAATTCGTCTTTGTCCAGACGATAAACTGGCTCTTCTACTTCAGCCGGTAAAGAAGAGGCACCATCGGGAATTTCCATGATCCCTTTGAACGATTGGTTTGTTTTGGCATTGAAGCCTTCAGTCCGAGTTCTGGCATTGTGTAGTCGCCTGTCGACGGCGACAGTAATGTGTTTCCGGCTAACTTGCACGACATATCCGTTCGCAAGCGCAAAGTGACCCTTTTCGTCAGAAACCACAATCGGCTCCCCAAGTGTAAGCTGAGATTCAGTAAATGAGAATGAAGGCTGCGCATCCTTCTTGACGAAGGTGTAGCGAAAGCGATTAATCTTAGGCCCCTCACTGTCCTCGTAAGATGACCCAGAGTCTATCACAACATTGCCGAAACATCGGCCCAGAGCTTCACGCTCGCTGCTAAGCAGAGTCCATAGTTCACGCTTGAATCTGATCATGCTGCGTTCCTCCTTGGTCAGTAAATCATCCCATTTCTTGAAGAAATCGCTGTCTTTGGGTGTCAAATGATCCATGGCTTTGATGAAGTCGTCGCCGAGACCACTTGTTTCACCGTCTCCATCATCCGCAAGCTTGTGATAAATGAAACAGGGCGTTTTTGAGTAGCACTTGTTGCAAAACGAGGACTTTTTGGCCATCGGTGGAAGTTGTTTTCTCTCGCGCATATAACCAACTATGCGGTTTCGTTGTTGAATCATCTGAAGAAGTTCAAATCTGACCCCACGAATTCGGAAGATTTTTGTTAATTCCAGATAGTATAGCAGCCCAAATGTGCACTCCACATCTGCAGTACAAAAGAGTAGACTATTAGTGATATTCGAATTGGATGGCTAGATAGGGATGGCTCCTACCATAGCGATCGGAAAGCAACAAAGTGTAGAGTGCTGTCTGAGCTCTGTGCGCATGGTTTGTATCTCTACTGCCCGTTTTCAGTTCAAGGGGGATGACCAGGTTCTTGTCGCTTTCTCCATCGTGACAGGTAACTTGCACAGTTGCATCAACGTTGCCTTTCAGTCCATACATTGGGGACCAAATGTGCTCTTCGACCTCGAGGAGTTTATTGATGCTTAGGCTAAGCTTGGAGTTGCCACGATCTTCAACAAGAGACTCGGCCTGAGTTGAGAACCAATTAGTATGGATATTTTGCAAGACTGCCAAGTTTAACTCACGGTTGGCTTTGCCCTGAGAAACCGCTCTGCCCAATCCTGCACACCTGGTATTCTGCTCATGACATACTCGACTGCCTCGGAGATACTCATGCGGATCAAGTATAGGTCTTCCATGCGTTTGGCAGTTACAGCCTCCACCAAGAACTTAAGCGACACGTTATCCCACTTATTGATCTTGATTGCTTCCTGGAAGACCTCATGGAAAATATTTCCAAATACTTGCGCCTTCCCTATATCGGATGTGTATTTTATCCGATCTTGAAGGACTGCGCGGCGCTGGCAACTGATAGAGTCGGCAACAACAGTCGCAGACACCAGGTGATCAGGGTGGAGTATCACCATATTGTTGGAGTCATCCACGATGCAATGGCCTTTTGAGTCGAATTCGCCGATCAAGTGAATATACGATTCCTTGATACATGGGCTATCGAACCATGAATCTCGAAGGATGACCACTTTCCTTTCTTTGGTCCTCTCATCGTGTACTGAAAGTACCTTTGAACAGCGTTAGTGAGTAAATAAGTAATGTGAGGCAGGCTATGCGAAGACATACCAGTTCTGGTTGGACGCGTCCTCTAGGGGTTGTATACGCGTACTCAGCAATATCAAGAACCAAGTAACGTTTGATAGCTTGTCGATTTCGTAGGTTCTATATATAGAGACTTAGCAAATATTTGGCAAGTGTGCTCACTAAGGATGACAAACGTCATCTGATCCATCGACTCCTGAGTGCACCATGGATTGTTCGATAGCCTCTATGTCCAGGCCATCATCGTCAAACTCGTCACCAGATAGTCCTGGACTTCGTCTCGTCTCATTGTATGCGCCATGTCTCGCCGTGGAAAGGCTTCCAAATCCACTTCCGGATACAAGTTGCTCGCCAGTCGACTGCTCCTTGGGAATGGTCCTTGCCGTTTTCATGGTCGGAGTGGCCTGGCAATCAACAAGAAGGTCATCGATGTTATCCGAAATTCCATCAAAATCATCGTCAAACTCGTCAGCGTCGAACTCGTCAGCGTCAAAGCCATGTTCATTACTATTTGGTAAGTTCGCATTCGGTTTCGATTTCATCGAACTAGGATTAGAATCTTTCACCTGACTTATCGGAAGGTAAACTTCTTTCGAAGCCACGTTGTCCACGCATTCTTCGCTCGGGTCTGCCTTATGAGTATTAGAGGAGCCATCGTCCACGAACGGATCTATAGATGCCTCGGCAAGATCGATAAAATCTTGGTCAAAATCATCGTCTCCGTAATCAGACGACGATTCTTCCAGCTGTTTTACGTCATGAGAAACAGCCTGTATAACTCTGGGTTCCTTGGTCTGACTAGACTGTTCCAACGGCCGACTTTGGACTCCATCATTCACCGGAGACGCTGGTCGATCATGGCGAACATGGTGGCGCGTAGGCACAGGTGACGAGTCAGATACCCCTGGGTCTGGTCCTGGCGTCGGTTGTAAAGTCTTCTCGATCCGTTTCACGAGAGAGCTGATGTTTGGGGATTTGTAGCTCCCCGAGTCGACAACGCTACTCCTTGTTCTGGTGAATATGCTGCGTCCCGTGCTGGAATCTTCCTTATCAATCCTCCTTCGCTTTGCCTTCGAGCTAGGCCATTCAGCTATGCAGCTATTCGACCTTCTTAGCCCAGAAGAGTCCCGTCCCGTGCGCACAGAAACTGGAGTCTGTGGTGATGATGACAGCAGATTCGCAAGGCGTGGTTGAGCTAGTTCTCCTTTGCCATTCGCCAGGGTTTTACCCGCGTAGTTATTCCATAGATCGCTAGCAAGATCGGTTTGTGGGGTTTTCATCAGTGTCTGATAGTTCTGTTGATCCAAAGATCCTTTCCTCCTGACTTTTGATGGCCCGGCCAGGGGAGAGCTAGTGGGAGACGAGCTGTGACGACGCTTTTTGTTATGCGTTGCAGGAGTCCGGGACGTTCCATCAGCGTTGGAGCTTGCAGGCACATGATGCCAGACAACATGATCTTCTGGGGTATAGTTTTGCGTTGGAGCTCGACTAAAGATGTCTTCTGCATTACCGATAAGGTCCGACAGAGGAATCCTGTTTCCGGGGGTATGGGGGCATTCTCTCCATAGCTTAGGTTCTGTAGTCTCAGTTGTAATGCACTGGTTGTGTAATTCCAACTTTCCTTTTTCCACCACACCATTCAACCATGACGATTGATTTTCCTTGTCCGCATGGCCAGTGCTGACCCCAGTCTTCTGAGGGGACTTGTCCGGACTTAATGCCTCTTTGTTGTACCGAAAAGCGTTCAGTTTCGATCGGGATTGTGAAGAAACATTAGAAGGGCCAGGGCCTTTATTCATCGTGCTTGTAGTTGGCGTTCCTCGAGGCTTGGGGGGTAAAAGGGCATTTCGAGATAAAAGGCCTAGATGAGTCTGTCAGCAACAGCAAACAAGATTGGCCTTTCACGGTTCAAGGGACTGCTACAGTAAGTACCAGTACTTAATGGGAAAGTATCAGACTTCCCAGTGAGACTAGTCACGAATGATAGTCAGAAAAGACAAGTACAGATGAAACCATACCTAGGGGCTGAACGCATGCAACGATGTTTCCGATGCACGATGCAATAGGTCGATCTAATTGGTCTTAAACACGCGACGCGTCGGGAGTCGCTCCTGCCTCAGGTGCAAAACCATCTAATGCCTTGGATACCAGGCAGAAAGGCGGCATGGATATTTTGCCTGATCGGGACTAGCGGCAGAATCCCAGCAGTCATCGGCCTTTTGCGGCTTCAGAACATCATCCGCTTGACCGTCACATCACCCCTCCACCTGCCACCCCTGCCGTTCCAACGAAAGCAGTGGTATTGAAAATCACTCAATTGGCCTGACCACCATAGTCGCTGGTCGAACGGTTCTTTTTCTCTCTCACCCGTTGTTGCCTTACCGTATCCGAAAGGGATTCTCACCCGCCACCGTCGGTCCCTTACCATCCAGCCTGAAAACTAGGGACTCCTCGATTGCATCAGACCCTCCACATATTCACCATGTCTGCTCGTCCATTGTCGCATTGCCTCCGCGCTCGCTGCCTTCCCCCCCGGGCCCAGAACATCCAGGCTTTCTCGACCCGGAGCAACCTCCGCGGTGATCACTATGACCCTCCCACCGGGTATCTCTTTGGCCTCAAGCCGGGCCAGAAGTACGTGAAGGAAGGCTGGGAGAACCTGTGGTACTACGGATTCATCGGCAGTCTTCTTGTCGGTGGTGTCGCATACGTTTTTAAGCCCGATACTTCGTATGTTCAACCCTGTCTCTTATGTGGCCGTTGAGTTGGCAGTCTTTTTTCATCGTGCCATTATGATGATTTCGTCGCTTCAAAAGCTTTGAACTCCGTAGACTGACATGATTGCAGGATACAAACATGGGCTCTGGAGGAGGCTCGCCGGCGGTTGGAGGCTGAGGGCATTCTAGAAGACCCTGATAAGGCCCAGCGCAAGTAAGGCGTTTTGGTCTGGAGGTTTCTTGTACTCTGTACATAGAGTGGTCGGGCGTGGAAGTCAGATTTTGTTGAGTGATTGCACAGGTGCCAGTAGGCATCTGATGTCCGATCCTAGACAGGGCTTCTATTTCATTTCATTGTTCGCTTCCTTTTCCCTGCGTGTGTATCTGTCATGCTATATCCCGGTTTCTTCCATTGACTTGTTGAACGATTATCAAAAGGGAGGGAAGTAAAGCCTCTTGCCTTAGATGGATATATATGGCGATTATCTCAGTCACCAATAGTATCGGCACTGGGTATATGATACCCACCGTCAATTAAACAGAAACCCTTGTCCTCCCTACTGGGGCATTATTTACACGACTTGTTGAACTGCACTGGATCAACTCTGACAGTTATACTTCGGGGTATATATCCGTTCTCCTGAGTAGCGGCATTTCCTTTCTAACCTTGGCAAGGAGATCCAAATCGATGTCTGCGACAGCAATCTGTGGTTCCTGGTATTCATCTTCAAGACTGGCCACAATCTCCCCCCAAGGGTTGACAATCAAGGAGTGGCCGTAACTTCTTCTTTTCTCATTGTGAGGACCAGACTGCGCTGCAGCTATCACATAGGACTGCGTCTCGATGGCTCTAGCTCGTAGCAGAGTTTCCCAATGCGCCTTTCCGGTAGGAACTGTGAACGCTGATGGATATGTGACGATCTGGGCATTCTGTCGTCTTAGCGCCAGACTGATCTCGGGAAACCGTAACTGTTTAGGGATACATGTCAGTCATTGTGCATAGACAGGTATAGAGTCCGCTTTTAACCTACATCGAAGCAAATCGATAAACCGACACGCCCTATGGGAGTCTCAAATGGGGGTAGTATCTCAGTGCCTTTCTCGACGCTCCTTCGTATATGAGTTAGCTGCGGAACAAATCATATTTCAAGCTCGAAAGTACCAACTCACGCGCTTTCCTTCAGTACCGGGCCCCCTTTAATATCCACGTCAAATAGATGGACTTTCTGGTAGCGTTGTGTAATATCACCCTTCTCGTTGATCCAGACAAGGGTGTTCTTGATTTTTCCGTTAGATGCTGGCTCATGAATGCCCACATTGATATGGATATTGGCCATTTGAGCCTCTTTTTGAAGGCCCAATACGAACTCGCTGTCTTGAACGGATCGTGCCAGTGAAACGGTCTCCGCGGGCGAGGAAGCGATATAGTCCGATGCCTCGGGAAGAAACAATGCCTACTGAAACATTAGTTGGATACCGATTGTAATCGAAGTAATTATGAGGAAAGAAAAATCTAAGCCCAGAAGCACACCTTAGCACCAGCTGCAGCTGCTTTGCGAACCAGTGTTTGACACTGGGCCAAATTCGTTGCGATATTCGCAGTCGAGCATATCTGCCCCACGGCCTATGGGACAGGCAGTACATATTAGTGAGTGTTCTGTACGTATGGAAAAGCTAGGGAAGGGATTCCAATCTCTTACTGCGAGAACCATGTCTACCGTTTGTTATTATTTAGTAATCTGGGTGTAATCCAAGGCAAAGGTGTTTACTGAAGACAACCCGCTGTTGATGATGGAATATGGCCTGCTTATCACGAGGGAACCCAATCCGTCGGCTATCGGTAGACTTTCCTGATCCGGATCAACGTCTTGATTCCGCTCTCCAGCACGCGGGTCCCGATCAGAACCAAACGTCACGGTGTGCACCAACGCCCTGGAAGCCCCTCCTCCCATCGCAAGAAAATTCAACTGACCCGCCAAAAGCGCGGTCGCTTTTCGACAAGATGAAAAGCCTACGGAGAGATCTCTCTTCGAACCCGCAGGCTGCAAATGTCACCAGCAAAATCTTCGTCCGGTCCACGAAAAGTGGAAAAGTGCAAAAGATTGTCCGCGAGCTCTACTTGAGACAAGACATTCCTTGCTCGTCGAAGCTCTGCTCGCTATGCCCCACGACTGCACCAGCGGATGCGAATGGAAACAGTAATGTGGACTGCATACAGGTTGATGTCAGTGGCTAATGCGACTTAGTTTCGCCTTTTGTACTTTCGGAACATCCTGCGGGCACCAGCGCTTTCCCTCGCGGCCACTACCTCGTCCCCGATACAAATGCGCTGTTGAATGGAATGGACCTTTTCGAACACACCGGAGCGTTCTACGATGTCATTATCCTTCAAACCGTCCTCGAGGAACTCAAGAACCAGTCCCTACCCCTCTACAACCGTTTGCTTTCGCTGATCAAGACCGACGATAAACGATTTTACCTTTTCTTCAACGAGTTCCGACTAGAAACCCATGTCAGGAGAGGTCCGGATGAGTCAATCAACGACAGAAACGACCGAGCTGTGCGCACGGTGGCAAAGTGGTATACGGAACATCTCAAAACGACGGCGAAGGGAAAGAAAGAGAAAAACATCCCCACTATTGTCGTCATCACGGATGACAAAGAAAATCTGCGCAAAGCAAAGGAGGAAGATGTTAGCGCATTATCGTTGTCTGACTATGTTAAAGGTCTGGAGGACTCTGATAGATTGCTTGATATGATCAACGAGTCGAGGGAAGCGCGGGAAGCAAAGGGCGCACGTGGCGAGCTTTTCTACCCCGAGTACTACTCAAAGTCGAAACTTATGACAAGCATAAGAGCTGGAACCCTGCATCAGGGTGTCTTCAATGTTTCGCCGTACAACTATCTGGAGGGCTCGGTCAACGTCCCAGCATTCGACAAGCCCCTCCTCATCCTGGGGCGCGATAACAGCAACCGGGCTATCTCCGGGGACGTTGTGGTGATTGAAGTTCTACCCAAGGACCAGTGGAAAACGCCGTCTACTAAACTCGTCGATGAGGAGGCAGTAACGAAAAACGACAACCCCGACGGCGAGGATTCCGAGGCAGTGGTGACGGAAAGGGAACGGAAGGCTTTGCAAGAAGAGGTCAAGAAGGCGCACGGCACAAGCTCCGAGGGAAGACCGCAACCGACAGCTAAGGTGGTTGGAGTGATGGAACGCAGGTGGCGCCAATATGTCGGAACTGTTGATTCGGGGTCAACAGGTGCCCAAGCCAGCTCTGGCCGCCGACAGCAAACTGTCTTCGTCTTGCCTATGGACAAGAAAGTGCCAAAGATCAGGGTCCGCACCAGACAGGCTGCTGATCTGTTGGGTCAACGCATCCTGGTCACAATCGATGCCTGGGATCGTGATTCGCGCTATCCTACTGGTCACTTCATCCGGTCTCTGGGAGAGCTGGAAACCAAGGGTGCTGAGACAGAAGCCTTGCTCCTCGAGTACGATGTGCAGTACAAGCCCTTCCCGAAGGCTGTTCTGGACTGTCTTCCTGCGGAAGGACATGATTGGAGAGTGCCTATTAGCAAGGAAGATATAGGCTGGAAGGGCCGGAGAGATCTCAGAGATCTTCTGATCTGCAGTATCGATCCTCCAGGCTGTCAAGATATTGATGATGCTCTTCACGCACGGCCATTGCCGAACGGAAACTTCGAAGTTGGCGTCCATATCGCAGATGTGTCACACTTCGTCAAACCGAACAATGCAATGGACCTCGAGGCTAGTGTCCGTGGAACAACAGTCTACCTGGTCGACAAACGTATTGACATGCTGCCACACCTTCTCGGTACCGATCTTTGTTCCCTGAAGCCCTATGTAGAACGGTACGCCTTCTCCGTCCTGTGGGAAATGACACCCAACGCAGAGGTCGTATCCGCAGACTTCACCAAATCCGTCATTCGCTCCCGCGAAGCCTTCAGCTACGAGAAGGCCCAGAAGCGCATCGACGACCCTTCCGCGCAGGACGAACTCACCGAAAGCATGCGCACCCTGCTCCGATTCTCCAAGATCCTCCGCCAGAAGCGTATGGACGCCGGAGCATTGAATCTCGCCTCGCCCGAAGTCCGGATCGAAGCAGACAACGACGAAGTGGGCGACCCTCTCGCAGACGTGAAAACAAAGTCTATGCTGGAGACAAACAGTCTTGTCGAGGAGTTCATGCTTCACGCCAACATCACTGTTGCCTCGAAGATCTACAGCACATTCTCCCAAACCGCCATGCTCCGTCGCCACGCCACCCCTCCTCCGCAGAACTTCGAGGAGCTTATCGGCCAACTCTCCAAGAAGCGCGATCTGAGACTCGACGTGTCCAGTTCTCGTGCCCTTGCCGACTCGCTTGACCGCTGCGTCGACGAGAAGAACCCCTTCTTCAACACCCTCGTCCGCATCCTCGCCACCCGCTGCATGACTTCCGCCGAGTACTTCTGCGCCGGAGCCCACGCGGAGTCCGAATTCCGTCACTACGGTCTCGCCTCGCCCATCTACACACACTTCACGTCCCCGATCCGTCGGTACGCCGATCTTCTGGTTCATCGCCAACTCGCCTCCGCGATCAACTACGAAGGCGAAGACGGCCGCGCCGTCGTCGAGGGCGTCATGACCCGAAACCGGCTGGAGGACATTTGCCGAAACATCAACTACCGACACCGCAACGCGCAATTTGCCGGCCGAGCCAGCATCGAATACTACGTCGGACAGGCGCTCAAGGCGCGCGGCGAGAAGATGGCGTCCAATAAGGTGGATGGTGGCATCGAGGAGGAGGGCTACGTCATGCGTGTCTTCGAGAACGGCGTGGTTGTCTTCGTTCCGCGATTCGGAATTGAGGGTGTCGTCCGTCTGGAAGATTTCGTGCTTTCCGATGACGCCGGTCTCCGGACCGTTGCGGAACGGCGCGAGCTGGTGATGCGGCGACAGAGCGACTTTGACAATGAAGAGTACACTCTCCACGTGTCCAACAAGGGACAGTCCGAAACGGACCGCGGTGTGAAGGTCGAACTTTTCCAGAAGGTCAATGTGAACGTCAGCTCCGTGAAGGAAGAAGGTGGTCGGGGCGCAGGAAAGAGAAGAGTCAGAATACTGATTCTGGGCAGCAGTGCCTAGATTAAAAGTTATAAGTAATGAATATTGGAACTGCATTCTGATTGAATGCCAGCGGCCTCTAGTGGGACCACGTGCGTGTGTGTATGTATGTATGGAAGTATGTAGGTATGAAGGTAAGTATGTATGTATGTATATGCGCTATACTTGATCAACATCAGCGCGAATTTTTGTCTAGGATGCCGATCTAGCCAATTTGAAAATGTCGAACATCTAAACCTTCTTCGAAGCCACCATGCTACGCAGTAGATGGGTCGGAGACCACAGCTCAAATTTCTTCGCCTCCCGGGTTCCTGGGGGGGTTGTTCCATTCGGGGCATGATATTTCTCACCCAGCTGTTCAGGACTCTCATCTTCCTTGTTATTAGGGGGCATCACAGCAGATAGCTCCTGTCTTCTCGCAAGATCACCTATCTTCCATCCTCTCACGAGCCACAGACACACCGCCCCGCCGATGTACATAAACCCTGTGAAGATCTGGACCTTCAAATAGACCAAATTCTTAGAGCCGTTGTCCCTCAAGACAAGAGCAATGGCCTCGGACACCGTCGTGGGCGGAACCAGAACAAGCCAGGTAACGCTAAGACCACTGGGGAGGTCTCGCAGACCGATGATCTCCGCCAGCACGGGGGTTACCGTGGCCCAGTACGTACCAGCCACGGTGCCCACGAGGATAGCGAAAAACAAAACCACACCCAGGCTGCGAGCGAACGTCCATATGACCAAGCAGAATAATCCACAAAGAAAAGTCAAGAATGTGGCGATGTTGATCCGCCCCAGCTTATCACTAAACATACCCACGATAGGACGTCCTAGACCCTGACCAAGGTTGAGCAAGGCACTGACAATACTACCCTGGTGGGAGGTAAGACCGACGGACAGCGAGAAATTGGCAACGCTGAATAGGAGGGCCACGTAGCCGAGCATGCTGAAGACGCCCCAGCCGAGGAAGAGGAGGAACTCGGGACGTTTGAATAGAGGAAAGGCAAAGGCGTGGTATTTGCTTCCGATATCATGGTTCCGGTCTCTCATTAGGTTGGCACACACCAAATTTACGACGAAAGAGATGATACCCAGGATTCGGAAGGCCCAGCTCAGGCCGAGTCTCGGGATCATGGCCCCGACGGCAAGGGAGTAGATAAGTCCCCCAATGCCGGATCCGGCTGCATTGATGCCCATTGCGAGGCTGCGACATCGATGGAACCATTGAGGAGTTATACCCACGCTTCCAACAAAGAGAAAGCCCATTCCCCATCCAAAGCAGACTCCCTGGCTGAGGAAGATGTGCCATCGTTGCGTGGCGAAAGAAGAGCCGATTAAGGACAGTGTCTCGAAGAAGACTCCGAGGTTGAGGACCGTACGGGTACCGCAGAGGTGGATGAGGTGCGTTGCTAAAGGGGCTACCAGGAGGGCGCAGGAGATGCTCAAGCCGCCGGTGAAGGCGTAAGATAGCGCGGAAGTGTTGGGGAACACGTTGCTTGAGAGGTAGTAAGACAGGAAGACACCATAGCTCTATTCCTCGGAAGGGAGTGTGTGGTTAGCCTGACCTCTGGGGGACTGAAGCGCGAAGAAAGAGTTCAGAAAAACTTGCACTGTTGATTCCCCACGTATGCGCATTGATCCAGAAGACGCACGCAACGCAAACCCAGCCATAACCACCATCCGGGAGGACGTCGTGCCCGTGCTTGATTTCTGTATCCTTGGGAGCCGGCTCCTGTTGGTCGTCTATCTGATACAACGGATCTAGATCGGGGGTCTCGTCAAATTCTCGCGAGTGAATGATGTCTATTGGGGTGTTATCAGCCATTTCCGGCCGCTATGTTGATACCGCGCAATGCTCCAGACCACCGCCGTTGATTTCCGGCCGCAGCATCGACGACAGACTCGAGCATTCACATGAAACGGTCAAGGGCAGCCAAGATAGTCGAGGATGCATATATGCCCAAGCCAGCATCCACGATTTAAGGAAGCAACCCGGGAAAGGGGAAGTTAAAAGGACGCCGATGTGTCATAGATACCGCGAAAGCAAGCAAGATCGCCGCCATGCTAAACCAGTCAACGAGGCCGAGGCCACATTCAGGGCGGCGATTAGTCCGACCATCTCCTCGACCTTCCTGGGTGCTTGATTGGACTGACATTCACACGCACAAGGGGAGATAGTAGCGCCCCCATGGCCCCGTCTAGCGTAACCGTTGAGCCGATTGAACCCGGCGCGAAGTCCGGGGGAACACGAGGCGTTCTCCATCCATGGACGCGTGAAGTGAATCCACTGAAAAGTCTCTGGTTTAGGCTTCGAGGATCCGGTCAAACTCCAAAGTACGCTGTTCGCTAAGAGAAACTACAGTACTAAGTACTAATTACCCGAAGAGAAGCGATGGTTACACCAGACGCTTTGGGGCTTGATGCAGTGACATTGTACTTTCCCGGACTGGGACTCCCGCTTAGCAGGGAGTGCCAGGGACGGTGTCCTTGGGGGCACGTGGTGCCTTTGACTAACAGGGGGACGCCTTTGCCATTGAAATGTTGGCCAGAAACCCGGATCCATCAAACTTTCCTCTAGAAGGTCCAAAAACTCGGGTTTTCCCAGTCACGAGCAGATCGGTTATGATCTTGTTATGCAAATGACCGGCAACTGCTATCTATCACATGAAAGTCTTACCCTTACCAGTCATCATATAATTTTGCAGCTGTGCTTCATTCCAGACCTTACATCGGTCTTGATTCACTGGGTATCGACTACTAAGAAGCGTCGGATTAGAGACATGATTGAAAGTGAAAGGATCTCCCGTTAACTATATTCCGCTATCAATAATCGTTCCATTAAGCATAGGGACTGACAGCCTCCAAAAGTTTGAGATGAACCTGAGGGTCACCACTTCTTTTTAACAGCTCGTCAAAAAAGTCAGGGCCCATGCGTTTCTGGAAAAGAAGTATGCTAGTCCACACAAGATCTGCATAGCTGATAACTTCACCCATAAAAAAGGGTCCCTGGTTCTCCTTCAGCAACGCTGTGGCTTCCCGAATCTTCGGCTCAGCTTTATCCCAAGCCTTGTCTCCCCCTTGTTCCTTTTCCAACTGGTCTAAGCTCATCCCGAACATTTCCTCGCGAGTGGTGTACCAATAGTCGAGACTTCTCTCGTTGAGGAGGCGTTTCGGAACCTGGGGAATAAAGAGGGGGCGGATAGAATCCATAAGGCGGAGCCAGACGCTCTCAACCTTAGGCAGGTATTCAGAGTTCAAGTGAAGAGGAGGCTCGGGATATCGCTCCTCGATGGAGTTCGCGATTTGACGCGAATCCATCATGTATGTGCCATCAGGGAGATGGATGGCGGGGATGGAGTATGGAAATCCAGCAGAGTTGGGCAAAACGCTGCAGGCTGATTAGCCATATATAAAAATCATGAACAGAAGTAGATTACTGCTTCTCTAGCACTGGCTTGACGTCTGGATATTCAACCTGATATCATTGATAAGCAAGAACCGAACGGTCACAAGTAGGTGGACGAGAGATGGCCCATGATGGGCTCAACCACATACCCATTGAGTGCGATAATCAATGCCCTTGAAATTTAGGAGAAGCCGGGCTAAGATGGTGTTACTTGAGACGCAATTTACGATCAAAGGCGAATGACGCTGGTAAGGGTTTCAATGCTTTCTTACTCTTCCAAGGATTGGGTGACCATGTGATACAGGGCTCTTTGGTGGGAAGGTCAAAAAGCACAATCTGCTTCGACGCCATGATGCTGGTTCGGAGAAATCTTGCAGACATATTAGTTTTAATTGATATAATTCCTGGTGGATCTCAGGGGTGGGGTGAATACTATATAAGCCCGTTACTTTTCTGAGTCATACAGCAAGTTTTCAATGGGACGATAAGAACCTAAAAGTTTAGTAAATTTAATGATAATAACTATTGTCTGAGTTCGAGTTTAAGACCCCCTAAATAGATCTTCTGGTTTCCAATTGTTTCACTTCTGAGAAGACAATTAGTAATTTGTTTTTTGGAGATGCTTTAGGTAGATTTATAAGCACGGAAACTAACTAGTTAACTAACTAGGGGGTTAGTTACTGTGTAACTATGTACTATCTATCCGACCCGGATCGCAGCATTAGGTGCGACCTCGGAGCGGTAGATAAATAATAAAGTAGTACTGGAAATTAATGACATTTCATTTCCGCTTAAGACCCGACTTAGCGCTGCTTTTTGACTGGGCGACCCGTGGTGTGGGGCGAGCACAAAAGTGCCTGTCTGTCTCGGTGTTCACCATTTCCGGGACTCGAGGATAGTATATATGGTCGCGGAATATCGATAAATACCTAGGTAGCGGCGATGACTCGCATTTATTCACTCTAGCCGTTCTGCCTGCCCTGCAACCTGGATACTTTTAATTACATATTTCTCCCCTTACATGGCAAATACCTTGGAATGCCTATCTAGCCTGTGATTGCAGTTTTAATCTTCTCCTTCAAATCCGGGGTCGGCTTGTCGATGTCCACCTTCAGACCATTAATCACCCGGGCCAGCAGCGCATAGATGCCGATTATCATCAACGCCTCCACCAAATCCTCGACCGTGAGCAGATTCAGAGCATCTTTGACCGTGTCGGGATTATTATCATAAGTTGCCAGCTGTTCCTCTATGACGCGAAGAATCACCCGATCTCGATCAGTCCATGGGCCTTTTCCTTCCAAAACATCTTGAATGGAGCATCCAATCGCATCGATCTTTTCCTGAGGAAAACCAAACACCTCGGCCACAGGTAGATTGACATCGTACTCGTACTGAGCCTTGAGAACAGTGCCGATCCTCAGTACGATCAACTGCCAATCGAATACCGGAATCTTGCGTTGTTTCCCGTCGAAGCAAGCACCAAGAAGACCGCTGAAGTGTGGGAAAAGGCCGTGGGAGTGTGCTAGTGTCAGGAGGATGTTGCGCCGGAAAGGGAGTACTTTCAGCTTTTCATTGATAACGGAAGGGGCCGACTCGAGGTCGATGTAAGGGACCAAGCAGGTGCTCCGGAAGGGATCTTCTTTGGTCTCGTTGATATCTATGTTGGGCATACTGGAGGGGTAAGTCCTACTCGTCTTTTAGTATAGTGTGGCTGTTGATACTCGGGGAAGAATGTACCTTGTTAACAACAACGAATAACCTATTGGGAGAATATTCTGGAAGATAGAAAGGAAAGGATAACGAGGCAAATTAAATGTAGATCGAGATTCTTCAGCTTGCGCGGAAAGCCTCCCAGCTGAGGCAAACGCTAATCATGGCAGCAACAGACTCCTATATACTACAACTAGTTGCCCCACGGTGGCCGTAAAGCTACTGTATAGAACTCTAGGGAGCTCTTTTGATGTAAAGGCAATGTGGATCTTATTGTTCTAGCCCAGACGACAACGGCAAGTAAGTATGAGAAACGAAAGAGGAATCAACCTACGTTACGATGATCGCACCAAGGCAACATCTAGAGCTTTTCCATGGTAGTTCCAAGGCAATCTGAAGGGATGGCTAGGGGCCAGCATGTTTCTGCGTATGCATCCGTAAAGTCTGTATACAATGCCATTACCCCTAAACAAGCTAGATCTGGTTTGGATATAGATCTACTGCCAGGGTCGGTAAAAGCCTCATACAATCCCATATGCAGGAACAAGGTATGATTCAATGCTATGCAGTCGTGGCAAATATGTAGCAGGCTGATTGGGATGTACCATACCAGTCAGATCGGTTGACCTGGTCAATATAGTTTGCTCGTCGCGTCATAGCACACTAGAAGTATAACTCGGGTGTGTGTTATCTTGGAAAGCAGAGGTTTCTGACTGCATACGCTCAGGATGTGTACAGGAGCACCTTGAGATCTTGTTCTTCCTTGATTCATTCCCGTGGAGGTGTAAGGAATGATATCCGCGGGATACTATGCATACTTCAGTAGTACAAGGGTGAAGCCCGCCTCCTCCCGGGTGTACCTGAGTATACTATATATGGGATTCTAGGGGTCCGCAGGTAACTGCGGGTAATGTTAGTCTTTTGGCTCAGTGGCAACAATTCTCCTAGGTTGCGGTCTTACACACGGGGTATTGGGGCTTGAGCTGGGTCAGTGGCTGAGTAATGTCAGCCAGGTAGTTAAGTAATTGAGCTCGTGGAAACCACGATGCTTTAGATAGCAAAAAGTGGTACCGCAGAACTATGTCTCCGCAATCCGCACGGACAGCTGCGTTACTGGACCATGTGGCATCCCGTATTTTGTTCCTGTTACACGAGTGCAGCTGAGTCAGCGCTTGCCCCGCGTTGCCTCGCGAACCGGTGGCCGAGGTTTGCAGTGTTTGGTCGGGCTTGTTGTTGTCCCTCCGGCGGGCACATGGCCATAGCTTCTTCCTTCATCCGTAACCCATGCCAGTCACTATGGCAATCTCTACCATCCATGAGATCATCACTGGGCTAATCACTCACTAATTGCTGCCCTCTGCACACTAACTCACTAACGCCTTAAGCACAACCCTTGATCTATCTATCCATTATGTTTAATCAAAGATAGCAGATCTGGTTGGGCTGATCCGATCTCTCTAGCTCGTTCCATTCCTGGTCCACTCCCCAGCCACCCTTCCGAATCTCATTGGCCCTGTTCCGTTATATTAGACACTTACTTCATAGCTCTGCTTCTTGGAGCCAACTCATCATTCTGCCCCTTCCCCAGACCTCCTTCCACCCCCCGTGGTATGACTCCTTGAGAACAGTTTACATGGCCAGTATGATGCACCGGCCTCACTTTCACAAGCCTAAGGAAGGCGAGCGGAAAGCCTCCCCTCCTGGCCCAACCTACATGTCTAACGACCAGATCGGTATGTCTTACGTTATGAGGCAGAGCTGCCGCATTCCCCGCCTTCGCTGAAGTGCTGACGGAGTGCCCGTTTCTGCTTAACGGATCAATATTAATATGTGAATTGACAGCAACCTATCTAAAAGATCTACGGTCAAATCGCCCTGCCCGTCCCGGGGGATCCAGGCCGCTCCTTGCAAAATCAACCGGATCATCATCTGGTGCTCAAGAGGACCTACCTCCGCGGGCGGCATCTGCGATGTCGTCGTATGGACATTCGGAGGAGCACTCGAGCATGCCAGGAACCGAGGTCGAACATCCTCGAGCTACCAGCTCCCTTTCCAACCATAGACCAGCTTCGTCTCGAGGCGTCTTGGGTAGCCCAGTCGGGCGCCCGTTGGTCCATGAACCGAGAACAGTCCCCGTACGGCAAAATATCTCACCTGCTCGAGCTTTCAGCCGTGCTGGTCCTACCTCCCCAGGTTCCGCTTATCGTGAGAGTCACCAACGGCGAATAGAGAAGGAGGAAGCAAGATCTTTACGTGATGCACTGCAAGAGATGGACCTGGAGGGTGATATCGAGCTCCATCAAGCTGCTCAAGACGAGGCTACAGAGCTGGTGTGGATGCATCAGAACCCTGGCTTGCCTTACAAGAATCCATATGCGCCATATCATAATCCCGATTTGAGCTCGCCTGAGAAAAGCCCAGATAGGAGTAGTTACTATCCACGGGGGCAAGAGCTCGGCTCCCCGACTCCGCGAAGGGGCAGTCGGCGCCTTGCATACCAGGGATCGACCGTCAGCTACAGCGGTCCCAAATCGGATTATGAAAAGTCTACAGGCTATGAAAACTCACAACCCATTTTCGGGGAAGAGCTTCCGAGCCCGAGGAAAGACGGAACCCTGCGGAAAAACCTCAAAGTCAACTTTGCTTTACCCCAAGAAGAAGTATCGCCTAAGCACTCGAGCAACAGCCATGGGCTGGGCTTGGTGAACACCGGCAAAGACTCATCGAAGGGAATATTCAGGAACCCCCATGATCGGATATACGAAGAACCTCGGCTCGCTTCCCGCAAAGATGAGGAAACTCGTCCCAACTTTTCGAGATCAGATTCATCGGCATTGAAAAATACGCCACGGAATGCTCTTCCTCGCGGATCACGGCCACTTCCTAGTCGGTTCAGTAGCTTACCGTTTGTTGACAAGCTGTCCCGTTTTGAGATCCACAAGAACCCCCCAACCCAATCAAGAAACCCTGAGTATAAAATGAATAGCTCGCATTCACAGCCATTCATGGGTCCTTCAGTGGTGGAGGAGCAGGTTCCCATGAAAGATGGTGTCGAGATTCGTGGCGATGATATTCGTGCAGCCACAAGCAAGAGATTGAAAGACCGGAGCACTTGGTTACCCATGCCAACTGCCGTAAGTGACCGTGCTGGCCGGCCGATCGTGAGTTTCGATCCGTCTTGGAGGCCCACCGAGGCGCAAAGTCCCGGCAAGCGAGATAGCCCGAAGGGATGGGACGCGACCCCAATCGCTCCTTCTCCAGAACCTTCTGCCCCGACAATTCAAATATCTGAGGCGCTATCGATTCCGGTCATTAACTTGCCAGATGACAAGGAACCAACTATCTCCGAAATGGCTGGCCCATCCCAGAGCCGTGCAACCAACGAGAGGTCATCTTCAATCCCGGTAAAGAGCAGCGAACTCCCCAACCAGTCTCCTAAGAAACCTACGGCAGGGCTAAAGGATCGCTGGCTATCTACCTACACGCGCTCTGGTGTACCTACTGCGGCATGTGAGGCCTGTACTCTCCCAATTGCGGGAAAGATCGTGACTGCTGCTGGGACTCGGTTCCATCCAGAGTGTTTCGTGTGTCATCATTGCCAAACTCCCTTGGAATGTGTTGCATTCTATGAGGAACCAGCGGCAAAACGCAATGAACGACTTGCAGAAGCCCATCATGATGACGAGGAAGCTTTCGCACCGAGGTTTTACTGTCACCTTGACTTCCATGAGCACTTTAGTCCAAGATGCAAGAGTTGCAAGACTCCAATAGAAGGAGAAGTGGTCGTTGCCTGCGGATCTGAGTGGCACGTTGGTCACTTTTTCTGTGCCGAATGCGGCGATGTAAGACCTGTCCTTCGATGCCAAATTTGTTGAATTTTAGCTGACTTCCCCTAGCCTTTCAACGCGGAGACGCCGTTCGTAGAAAAGGACGGTTTTGCATGGTGTTTACAATGCCACTCCCGCCGCACAGCGCCTCGGTGTCTTGGCTGCAAGAAGCCTGTGTTGGACGATGTTGTGATTAGCGCAATTGGCGGACAGTGGCATGACCAGTGCTTTGTTTGCCACGAGTGCGGCGATGGATTCGGTGCCGATGGTCGATACTTCGTTCGCGAAGGTGGACCACGAAGAACAGCCAAGGGACGCATTATCGGTGGGCCAGTTCAGCTGGCCGTCTGTGAAAGATGTGAAGGCATCCGATTGAAGGCCTCGCCTTGACATAGAAGATCATTTTGAGTCTTCAGGAACCATTCAACTAGCCTGGAAGATACTGGCTTGGAAATTGATCGATGTGATGATTACCTTGACGATCTACATGTGATTGGGTGCAGTACGCCCAGCAGCATTTCCCCACTGTCTGATTGTATTTTTTTCGATGAAACATGTCAATTGCATAGCACCCAGCGGGAGTTTTCCAAGAATGTGCATATGCTTAGGGGTATTATGATGGTACTCATTCATTTTTCTGATTTTTGCACGGGTCATTTGTCCTCGGGGTTTCCGTCAGAATATTATGTGTTTAAGTTACTTCCATTCAGAGCGTTCATTAGGATACCTCTGACATTAGTAGACTTTTCGGGGGGGGGGGGGGGAAACTGATCAGATGTTAAGTTGATATACCAGTTCATTTAAAGCCAGTCAGGAAAGACGCATGACTACTATAGATAAGCACAAGCACGCATCGCAGAGAGAACACCCAAGCACCGTATATATGCAAATCTAACTTTTATCTCAAGAAAGACTACCACGTTATAGACTCCAACCCCAAATGTAACAGGAGGATATCAAGCCCACTCAGGGTCCTGCTTCCTCCTAAACACAGCCACATACTTGTTCCCCTTGTTTCTCGTCACCTTCTTTCCCTCCTCCGTGGCCTCCATCATGACCTTGACACAGTCATCCTTCTCCAACTCCTCCTCAGACACCCGCTCAAACAACTCCTTCACAGTCCCGGCCCCATTCGCTTCATCCTCCACCGTAGACTCGTCGCGGAAATGCCTCAAGATCCAATGATGATACTCCTCCACATCGGTAATGGTATACAGCAAGCCGCCGGGCCGCAGCGCATACGCATACTCGGCATTCAAAGTCTCCGAGATAATGCGCGCCTTGTGCTTCCTCGCCTTGAAATGCGGATCCGGGAAACAGATAAAGATCTTCGACAGCTGCTGCTTCTTGAAGAAATTCGGGAAGAACTTCATCGTGTTGCTGCGGATGGCGGTGATATTTTGGTAGCCTCCCGGGACGAGAGCGGTGTTGGCGGTCGGGTCGGGGATGGCCGGGGCTGCTTCGGAGGGAGTATCGGCATCGGCATCGGCATCAGTGGTGGGAGCTGGGGTGGAGGTGGAGGAGGCGGGTTGTGATTGCGACTGCGACTGCGCCTTTTGTTGTTGCTGGGTGCGGAGAGCTTGGATCCGCGTGGTTAGGTAGTCGAGGACGGAGACACGGATTTCCATGCCTAGATGCGAGTCTTCGTTAGATCATTGTCGCGAGTTTTTTTTAAAAAACCCCAGTGTCTGATGTCTCCTTGGGAAGTCACAAGTAATACATAATACATACCAACCATCAAAGTCTCCGGCAACAACCCCGCAAGCCCAACAAGCAACCCCCCAAACCCACATCCAATATCCACAACCTCAACATCCTTCAACAACTTCCTCGTTCCGATCAGGTTCGTTTGCGCGGGGTCCGGGTTCACAAAAGCCGGGAAGTGCGACGCCCAGTCCATATGCGCCGGTGTGACAGGACTAGAAGAAGAAGAAAGGGGGGGGGAAATGTCAGCACCATTTCCCCCTCCGGCATTGCCAGCAATTCCAGCCCCAACACCAAGGTGCAAGACAACATACTAATTCAACTGATGATCCGAGAACGGATTCGCATGCGCCCGTTGCCGGTAGAACTTCTTCTTGGGGAGTTTGACATGGGCGATGGCGGTGGTCTCTCCGTCCGGTTTCGCGGAGGCGGCTTCGGCGGCGTGTTTGCGGTACTCGTCGCGCTTTTGGCGTTTGGGAGGGGGAGGGGTCATTGTTGCAGGTGTGTTTGTAGAGGAGGAGGAGGTTGGAGTCGAGTTGGTGGGATTGGAGGGGTGGGATGGAAGATCAGGCATTGGTGATCTCGAACGAGGACTGGAGAGGGAGGTTGATGTTGCGGAGGTGCGGAAGGAAATTTCACGCTTTCTGGAAGCGGAGAAAGAAGTTCAGTTAAGGTTGGCGGAGATTTGACTGACGTCCGCACCGCGCTGGGCTCTTATCAGCTACCACTTCACTTCTCGTCGCGATATATACCCATATTTCAAGCATCATAATATTTGTTAAAAATTTTGCACTTTTTTTTTGATCTAATACCTTCCTTACCTTGGAAAATGCCAGCCACCATCCAACCGCCGTTCCAATTCCCCTCGACCTACTCGTTCCCGCCCTTCTTCACCCCGCAGCCCAACAGCGCAACCCGCACCTCCCAGCTCCAGAAATGGTCCTCCCTGATCCAATCCTGGTGTCGCCATCACCGCACCTACCGTCTCTCGCTGATCGAGGCGATCGATTCCCCCTTGTTCCATAACACCACGATCCGGAAGCGGTTATCGCTGAGCGATGCGCGGGATATCCTAGATTGGATGGCGGGGCCCGAGGAAGACGCCGGTGGCGGTAGAAGGGCCGAGTGGATCGACGGTGGGAAAAAGACGGTCGCGTGGATCTGGTGGAAGAGGCCGGAGGAATGGGCAGGTGTTGTCGCGGACTGGGTATGTCAGACTTTGGTTCTGGGATTGCATGCGGCTTGCTTACTGTGTTGCAGGTGGAGAATACTGGCCAAAAGAATGTGGTGCTCACTGTATATGAGCTGTTGGAGGGGGAGGCGACGATGTCCCAAGGTAGGTAGAGTCGTTCTTTCTCCTGCTCGGCGCTGTTGAACGATGAACTGACCTTGGTAGAATGGCATGGGATGGATCCAGATGTGATGCTCAGGTCCCTCAATGTCCTCGTTAAGCGTGGCAAGGCACAGGTCTTTGGTAGCGAAGGCCAGGAAGGCGTCAAGTTCTTCTAGGAGATTTGATCTTTTCATCTCACTATTGATGTGTTGGTCTTAAAACATAACATAACCATCCGTTGGCAACGCTGTGAATATGGTAACTATCTTCATATGAGGGAAAGTAAGAGATATACAAGATCCAGGCAAGTGACCCGAAATAGCTATGCAAGCTTCCGCCATCCTGAGCAGCAACTGTTCCAACGCAGCACTCCTGACACCAAATAGATCCCAATTACTACTCCGACTTCTCCGCCATCTCTTCTGTCAGCTCATATGCCTCTGCCGCATGTATCGTTTGGGACATGGCGATATCAAGGAGCCAATCCACGCGCACGATTCGTGGCGTTTTGTCTGTACTCTGGACCATTTGGCGGAATCGCCCCCATAGCTTGACTTGTTCTGGCACATTGCTGCTCAGTAGATACACCTCTTTTCGGCTGTGGTCGTCATCTCCCGAGCTCTCGTCACTCTCTTCCCTCTGCGATCGGTATGAAACGCGACCTCGGAATAGTGAGCATTCTCCTCCATTGGCATCCACGATGGACTTGAACGCATCGAAACCTCCGCGAATAGTCTCCACGCAATAGATCTGGTATCCTCGAAGGAGCTTGTTCTTGTTCTGTTTGGCATTCATCTTTGCTTCTTCTAGTGAGAAGCCATATTTCTTTTCTGAGGCCTCGTCTTTCAAAGGGAAGTCGGCAGGATCCAAGAGTTCATCCTTTTTAAGGCACTGCGTGATGAAATCGACGCTCACAATTGCTGGGCCGTATGCTATAGCATTGACGAATTTGGGAGTCCGCAGGATGGACGGAGCAGCAAGATGGGAGCATCTTCGGGCATCTTGGACTACTAAAATCCCGAGATCGCGAAGTTGTCGCTATTCAAGGTTAGATATGTGTTTTGTTCGCGATGTGTATATACAAGTAAACAAACCTTATCCGAGTCCTCCTTCTTCTGGTTCTTCACCCATTTCTGGTAGCCTGTGATCAAAAGGTGTATCGTAACAGCCGGTTTTGATTTCTTCTGCCTCTTTGCTTCTGTCGTGTCCTCTTCACTTTCTTCCTCTGCTTCTATTGATCGTCGCTTCTTGCTATTACTGAGCATGATTCGGTCTTCATCGGATTTGCGTCGACCGCCATAGATCACACCACCAACTCGCTTCATTTCTTTCTCATACAGCGCGATATCCGGTGCGATTTCATGCAGTCGAGCGGTCGCGGCATCCTTGGATTTGCGACTGCTCGTCGAGGAAGGGGTGTCATTTTCCTTTCCTTCAGATGTAAGTCGTGAACGCACAGGGGTCTGCAATTTCTGGCCATCAATTGACTTTCGCGATTTGCCGATTGCTCGAGGTGTTGCACCCTGCGGGTGGGGGATTTCACTTTCGGATTCAGTCACTTTGGTTGATGGTGGTTGCATAGAAGTCGATGCCTTTGCAGTCACAGTATTCTGTTCCTTGGTCTGCATAGCTCGTCGCGGGCTTGCAGGGGTCTGGGCTGTGCTCTCTGATGGGAAGAACATGCTCTCAAGTACCGATTTATCCAGCCTCGTGTGGCCAACGACTTCACCCAGGTTCGTTCTCTTGGGAAAGTGCGTGTAGCGAGGGTCGGAAACGGACTGCAGCTTCCACTTTGCGTAGCTCTCCTCCAACCATAGGTGGTTGACTACGTGCAACCCCCACTCCTTTGCCGCGGTACATTTTTCACTATTCCCATGGGCAGTCACTAGGTGGGTATTTTCTTGCTTGAGAGTCTTTGTGCACTCTGCGCCAGTCGCTGTGATCAAGTTCTCCAGGTAGGCTCTAGCTTCTCCAACATAATTGGACAAACTGATCTTGAGGCCCTTGAACCCCGGAATCTCCGAACGCGAAACAGGGTAGTGGAGCAATCGTCGTAGAGGCGATGTCCAGGTGTTGTAGGTCATGAGGTGGTAGAGCCACGATATGTTTCCTACATCCTTGTTCAACCTCGACGCTATGCGGTATGGAAACCCATCTCTGTAGCGACAGATCAAAATATCCGCCTTTGAAACATCAGATGTAACTGAGCCGCCACCATTGTTGATGATTTCCTCGATTGATCCGGATAAACGTGCCCCAATTCCGAGATCCGCGCATAGCATTACACTTTTATCTTGGAACACGGTAAGCTTCGGTTGTGTGTCGGACGATTTGACGGACGATGGAAGGGCAGCGGGATCTGTTGTTGATGCGCCGATGATATCTCGATTTTCTGAAGAACGTATCGGCGCATCCGGCGCTGCACGTAGGATTTCCGGGTCTGGGAGAGTATAAGGGCGCTCGTCAATCCGTCTTCCAAGTTTCAGACAGTCATCAAACCTATACGCGCACACGTTAGACCTTCCCAATGTCCGGGACGATTCATCTTACCAGTGTGGAAGCACTATCTTAATATTTAACTTCTTGCCGGCGATCAGGCGAGCCTTATCAGAGTCCGCGGTCAAATCAACAAGATGTGTAACCTGCTGAGAGATCTTGGCGCTATAGATCCCGCCTTTCGCCAAAACACCTCCAATTATTGCCTCCTTATCGCCTCCTGGAATATCGCCACAAGTGATAACCACGTCGTTCAGGAACAGTCTCGGATCGGGGCTGTATTGTCGCGGATTGGCTAGCTTCCTCTTCTGTAAGCACGCTTGCAGCCAGTAAGGTTTGACAACTGGTATCAGAGCCTCGCTTGCTGCTTCAAATGTCGGAAAGTCGATGGTGCATGACATCAGGTGGGTGAATTCGGTGAGGGGTGGGAAGGTGGCTGGCGGTTCGTATATTACAGTGTCAGCGCCATTTTCTTCCAACATGGATGCAAGCTTGATGTTTGTCAGTACCAAAGTAGTTTCAAATAGCGTGTTGGTGGTATATTGATGCAGGACGTACCTGATGCGCCGTATCAGCACTGAGATCTTTGGAGCATATGATACAGACTTTGCACTGGCTGAACAGTTGAAGCCTCCCCTCCTGGTCGGCCATGGTGAATTTTATGCCTCCAGATTCAATTCTATGGTCGTTGAATAATTTGTTCGAGGATGGGATGGTGGGACTTGCTCGCGGGTGGTCTGTTGCTGAAGGAGAAGCCACCGAGTGTTATCCGAGTTCAAGTGGTTTTGCGATGCGACGCGCGCACGCGCGCCTACACGACACCACGTCACGTGTAGATAAGATATGTCCCAGACCATCGTCAATAAACCGCTTCATGAAATGTCATGGCATCTACTTAGTAGACGACATGACTCATTGAAGACACTACTCTTGGGGGGGGTACATACTTTTTAGGGGACGTCTACATTTACCGAATACGGTCACTGATAACTCTATAGGTTGGGTTTAATTTTCTAGTAAAGAGGGTCTACCCGAATTGCGGAGTTATACGGAGTGCCTTGCTTTCTTCAGGCCTCGGGGAAATACCACCTGTAGTCTCAACTGCTACTCCGTACTGGTAGCATGGATTGTCCACGCAGCTTGTTGTTGCAGAAGGAATCAACCTCCTTTTTGTTCGGGCAAGATTCTTGGGTACATATATGGTTCTCTTGCGTAGCCTACTTGGAGACTGTACAGGAAGAAGGGGGACAGAAAAAATAGACATATCATTTCTCTCCCGCACCACAAAACAAAACAAAAAAGGAATGACAAGAGTGGGATTCGAACCCACGCCATGAAACCATGATCAGGAAGCTTGGAAGCTGAATTATTAAGGTGAACCTTAACCTGACGCCTTAGACCAACTCGGCCATCTTGCCTTGTGATGTGGAAAACTTTCCAATTTTTAACAATATAAGCCTAAAGCAACCTTCCTAATGGTTCCAAATCCGCAATATTTACTCCGTACTCCGTAGATCAATCCGCTTGATAAGTGATAGATAACAAAGCGGATACGGAGGAGTACGGAGCTCAGCGACATCCAAGAATATCTAGGTACTAGGTAGTACTCTCTAAGAGCACTTAGTACATGATGACATGATTGGGGCAATCAAACCATTGACCGTACTCGACACGCTGCTATAAATTGCGTGCCTTGGCATGGCGACTCTATGGATCTTGGCTCGACTGGAACCGAGGAAATGCTAAGGGTATATATACTGCCATGATGGTTGGCTAATGGGTTGTGCTGCATGAAGAATAGGCGCGCATCATAAAGATAGTGCGTGACTTGGTGGACGTTTACATGACAGCACCTCTAACCGAGGCCTACGAATATCCCCTCAAGTCTATACCAAGTATGGAGTACGTAGGCAAAACCAACACAAACGATTCCTTGCGCCGGACCAGTCGGGACTCGGAAGACGCACGGAAAAGACGCGGGCGAGTGGGAAATCCTGGCTGGGGATCTGCAGCCAATGGAGATGCTTCCCGCCCGGGGTTTGATGACTTCACCAGAAGCCATCCGCTTCGGGAAAATACTACATCACCTCGTACCTTTACACCGTCTCTTCTGGATTTTCATTTTTCTTCTGATTATAGCGTGACGAACTTGCTTACTCCTTTGAACAGTGGACTTATACCCTCCTCATTAGCCTGCAATGACCCAGTGCCTACCTTAAATGTGACTGCCACCACTTACATGCAGTCCATCTCAAATCAAACTCTTCCCAAGTCATATTACGCAACGTCTTAAACGAACCGAATGAATTGGCTTTCCGCTGTATCCCATCGCAAATAACCTCTCGCACTCCCCATACTAGCTCCCAGCACTAGCTGCGGGGCTCCAAACAATGTCAAACAATGCAGCCTACGCCGTGCCGCAGGTGAAAACAACCTCAACATGTATGCCTTGCTTCCAATCCTCTCATCACATCCACATCCAGTAAACAAATCCTAACCATCCTCCTCCCCGGAACAGCCTCCAAAACAGGCTTCCACTTCGCCGCAGGTCTCTGCTCCGGCCTCACCTCCTCTATCCTCCTCCAACCCGCCGACCTCCTCAAAACCCGAGTGCAACAATCCCAAAACGCCTCTCTCCTCCCAACCATCAAGACCATCCTCTCCTCCCCCAACCCAATCCGCAACCTATGGCGCGGCACTCTCCCCTCCGCCCTTCGCACCGGCTTCGGCTCAGCCCTCTACTTCACAAGTCTCAATGCCCTCCGCACAGGCATAGCCCAATCCAGCACCCCAATCCCTAACAATGGAACCGCCACCTCCTCATCATCCGCCCTCCCCAAACTCTCCAACACCGCAAACCTCACCACCGGCGCCGCCGCCCGCGTTGCCGCCGGCTTCGTCATGATGCCCGTCACCGTGCTGAAAGTCCGGTACGAGTCGGACTACTACGCCTATCGGAGTCTGGTCGGCGCGGGACGGGATATTGTCCGGACAGAGGGGATCCGCGGTCTATTTTCTGGGTTCGGAGCGACAGCCGCGCGAGATGCGCCGTATGCAGGGCTGTATGTTCTTTTCTACGAACAGCTGAAACGGCATCTGGCGGGTTTGGCGAACAGCTCTCCCTCGTCGGATCAGCAGCCGTTGAAATCGTCAACCATCAACTTCGTCTCTGGGGGTTTGGCTGCTGGATTGGCCACGGCGATTACGAATCCGTTTGATGCGGTGAAGACGCGGTTGCAGCTCATGCCTGGAAAATACGGAAACATGATGCGGGCGGTGAATTTGATGGTCCGGGAGGATGGGATGAGAAGCTTGTTTGGGGGGTTGGGGTTGCGGATTACGAGAAAGGCGCTCAGCTCTGCGCTTGCTTGGACGGTTTATGAGGAATTGATTCTGAGGGCAGATGTGCAGTGGGGGGCCAAGGGGGCGTAAATGGTAGGGTAGCCTTTTCCTTATGGGTCGGAGTTTTTGTTACGGGGATAGAAATGGGTTCGGATACAGGTTGCATATCATTATCATCACCATCATCATCATTGTATCATATAGTATATAACTGTTACCCAATCATCAAATCCCAACTCATGAGAAGGAAAATTCCATCAGAAAATCAAAGCATATCGCATATCAATATGTTGCACGAGACAGTTTCAGTCTTCGAAAAACCGCAAAAATAACAGAATCGCGATTGAAACAAAATCGAGCATATGTTGGTATCACACTTCGTCCCGCATAATCAAACCGCTAGATCAGGTGAAGATCCAGGCGCGTGAGCTGGGGCTCTTCTTCCGGACAAGATACATCTTGTCTTTCTTTCGGTCGTTCACCTTAAGCTCGGTCAGGGTGCTCGAATGTTGGGTGACGAGCTTTCCCTCGCGTAAACGCCGCGTATGTGCGAAGAGCTCTTCCTGGAAATCCTCCGTGATCCATTGTTTAATAATGATATAGCTACTGTCGACCTGTTGATAAAACATTTAGTACCGAGGCATCTGTCACTGGGGAACCGTATCCACTTACCTCATCCCACTCCCAGGGCAGACGGTAGGCGATCAAGGTGTCGGGAAGGAGATGCTTGCGATGGACCTAAGCCAGTGGGTTAGAGGAATGAGAGAGACTTCCTAGATGCTAGAGGAACATACCTTGATCCAGGTGGTCCGCGGAGGCTCAGGTTCCTTCTCCTTCTCCTTCTCCTTTTCTTTCTCTTTCTCTTTCTCGGGCTCCTTCTCTTTTTCCTTCTCTTTCTCGGGCTCCTTTGGCTTCTCCTCCTTTGGCTTTTCAGGCTCCTTCTTCGTTTCAAGATCTTTTTTTTCCTTCTTGATGATCTTGTCAAGTTCTTCTTCAGTATAGCCGAATTCAAGCCGTAGCCGTTCCTTGAAATCGTGGTCGCGTCTCTTCCTTTCCTCCCGTTCAGCAATCATCCGCCGCTCCTCGTTCAGCTTCCACTCTTCGATAGCAGCCTGTTTCATATGAGCCTCCTTGCGCGCCCGCTCTTGCTCGGCGAGTGTCCTTCTCATATCCTCGTCGCGAATTTCCTGTCTGATGCGCTCGCGTTCCTCATCTTCCTCGATCTTACGCTGGAGATCTTCAAGCTTTTTCTGACGCATTTTGTGCTTGAGTTCCTCTTGCTCCGCAGCCTGACGCTGGGCTTCTTCGAACTTGATCAGCTTGTAGCGATGCTCGGCCTCACGTTGCTCATCGTCCATACGCTGTTTCTTCTCAAAGCGCTCTAGCCGACGCAGCCGATCACTGATCTCATCCTCATACCAGTCCTCCTCCTCCTTCAGTACTCGACCCTCATGGTGAGGCCGATATTCATGCTGCTGCAGTTGCTGCTGCGAGTACTCGCGATGGCGAGCCAACTCGCGCTCCAAACGCTCAATCTCCTGCTGTTGACGCAGAAGCTCAAGGTCCTGCCGTGCATCATTTTTCTCAAGTACCCGTTGATCGATCATGAGCTCATAATCGCGGGCTTGTGGCCGTGGCGACGCCTCCCGGGAGACATTGTTGCTGGCCCGTGGGCGACGATGGCTCCGCAGCATGGTCTCATCCTCAGACTCGTAAGGATCGATGAAGTTCTGCTGCTGCTTGTGTTCCTGCTTACGATTCTTGGTGGAACTTTTGGTGCGGGCATCGTTCTTTGAATCGTTCTTCGAATCGTTCCTAGAATCTGTCTTGGCGTCGGTTTTGGCATCCGCTTTAGCGTCGTAGGTGTTGTTGACATCGACAATGACGGCGACAGGTTGGTTGCGATCGCGACTGCGATCGGGGCGACGACGGGCGCCCGTGGATGCAGAGCGATGAAGATGGTGTTCGTGTAGCACCGGACTAAGATAGGCGTTGCTACTGTGCTCAGGGCTGAACCGCTGGCGGGAGATGGAGCGTCGTCGGGTCGTGACTCTCCGACGAGGAGAGGTTTCTACCATCGAGTAATCGGTCTCAGAATAGTCCGACTCCGACTCGGAGTCGGTAAGGATATGGCGCCTGCGGTACATGGCGAATTTTCTTGATTTTGCCCGTCGCCTTTGGTGTTTTCTCTGCTATGTGGGCGTGGGCGTGGGTGGGTGGGTGGTATAGAACCGGGATGCAGGATAAGCGGGGGTGTCTCGATGACAGCCAGCAGTGACGTCGATGGTCGACAGCGAATCAGCCGGGAAGGGGAGGCTGGGCGATGACAGAACAAGAATACGGTCGGGGGGAGTCACGCCGTTGAAAGTCAAAACCATCCGACGATGGAAGCTAAGGCAGAAGCAAGCAAGAAAAAAGAGAAAGGAAGAGAAAGGAAGAAAGAAGGAAGGAGGGCCCGCGATCAAATAGGAGGGGAAACAAGAAACGGCAAGCAGCCCCTCGTGCCTCGTAAACGCGGGCGCTTCGCTCAGCTGAAGTGGGGGATTGGCATCATTGGGCCGACCTGATCAGCTGCGGGCGGCGCTTGTGCAGGATTCAGGTACTCACGACGACTGGACCTCAGATCACAGGCAAAGAGGCAGGATGCGCTGAGGGTATTATCAACGTCTGGCTATACATAATCCAGAAACCGTTGACATTAGAAGCTGTTCAACCTGGACTGATGTTGTCGACCTACCTATGCACCATCCTCTCCAACGCAGCGCTCTGTATCTACCCTGTGCGACAGCCTCTTCTAGTACTTCTCCTGGGGAGGTTAGGTTGGGTGTCTACTGTCTAGGGCGCGACCCACACAGTCCATTGCTTTCCGTGTCTAGAAGTCTAGGAACGGCCAGGCAAAGGCGATAAGGTCCTCACTCCTACCAGGCTACCCAAGGAAATCTACGGGACTAACCGCCACCGCATCCATGAACCCTGGACAACGTACTTAATCCTTTCCCACCTGACGACCGGAGAGTGCCTACTTACTACTGCCCTACTGCCCTACTGGACACATCTACTGGCCGGGGTAAACTCTGAATGAACCCGAGATGACTAGACTGTCATCGATATACTCATCACTGGATTCGAGTAATGCACACATGACCTTGGAGGCAGATGATAGAGGCATTACTACGGGGATAATTTTCTGGACCCTATAGGCCAGACGACTACTATCTACAACCATGGTCGAATCCCGCCCCCACCCCACTACTTAATCAACCAACACAGCACAGCCTTGTCGGCCGAGGCTGTACAACTCGCCAACGTCTTTGGCATTTTACTGCGTACGTGGGTAAAGTGGAATGCATGCCCGAGGTAGCCTCTACCTGTGAATTTAACTCTATTGTCACATTAACAACCTGGGTCTAGAAAGCATGTATCGACAAGCTTTGACTAGGTAGGAGCTCTAGTGTTCTCGCGTTCATGGGAATGTGTCTCATCTAAGAAGATACATAGCTCTCTACTCTATCGTCTGCTCGCTATTCATCCGGCGCTCTCAATAATATTCAAACCAAAAAACAACAACAACAACAACAACAAATATTTGCCATCATTCTCGGAGAGACTTGCATTCTATGGTAGCTATAATACCAAACACATATACATATGTGTAAAGCCCTGAAAGCGACACCAACACCGAGGTGGCCAGCCACCGACGTCAGACTTGATTTCGGACCTACAACAGTCTAGAGGGATTCTTTCTCTATAGCCAGCACATATGTTTGATAGACAACAAGACTACATAACATGATGAAGTTCCTCGTTTCTGTGAAAAGCCACCCAAAACCCCCATCATCCATGTTTTCTAAACATTCGCAAGATAACTCGTCACCCACGACCACCTTACCTGCAGTTGATGCAAGCAGCAAAGCCCAAGTAGGGGCCCACAAGATCTGACATTCTACCATCGCTAGGGGAGTAAGTCAGAATATCAAGTTACAGATGAGAAATGGCCGACCCATCAATCAAAACCGAGATTACTCACAGCCCAGCAAGCAACAGGATGACCATCCTGGCCACAGTGGACATTGCTGTTGACCTGTACACCGTGCTGCAGGGTATCCTTAGCTTAGAATGAATAGTTCAAGTCCAATATGGCCTACTCACTCCAATAGCCATCTGCACGCAATCTGATTCTCCCTGGCAATCGTCATCAGAGTGGCACTAGAAGTCAAACGAGTAAGCTTATGCATCGTTGTTTTTGAAAGGGGAGCTGGCCTATACTAGACATACCTCAATGCCCTGGGCACATCCATGCCACGATTCATCTCGAGCTTTAAGGCTATTAGGAACAAGCGCAGGAGAAGCAAGAACGCCGGCACCTAGGCCTAGGGCTGCAGTAAGGAAGATAATAAAGTGCATTTTGGAGGAGTGTTAATGTGCTATAGATGTGGAAGCAAATGAGCTGGATGATAGAAGCTGATGATTGTGCTGGTAGAGGCTTGAGTTTGCCCTTTCCTCAGGACTCGAATCGACATCACGGTATTTATATCTTCAATGTCGAGTTAGGCGCTCAGCTTTCTGCATTGTCGAGTCCGCAGATCTCCTGTCTGAGCCATATCCATGAGAAACTTGACGAATGAACGGGTTTGCTGATCCTCACAGTACGAAGAACAGGAAGAGATATGTCATTGTTCGAGGGATGGTGCCATTGTAGTACTCTGGTTATACGGAATGCAAGGGACCCTGGGCGAGAGGGCCTGCCAGTCTTCGATTCGTATTGATGAGCCTAGATAATAAAAATTTCCCAATTGGGATTTGCTATGTCCATGTGTGTCAATGCATCTAACAGATCTAGACTGGCACTCTATCCTCACCTCGAAGCAGCTGCTTTGACGAGGGCTCTCGAATTCTGTGTGTCGATCAAGATTGCGTTCCCGAAGCCAAAGCCGCGTTAGAGGCGGCTACCTCGTTGAAAGCCTTATTGCAAATATGACTATTATTAGAGAGCGACCGTACGTCGCACAGTACCAGCATCAGCACGATCTGAGCCTTTGTTGGCTTACCCCAGCCCCTGGCCGCGATTGTGGAGACGGAGAAGCAAATCCCTGAAGCTGTCTCAGATCGTTCTGCATTGTGTAGTTGTGCAGACTGCAGTCTAGGCAGTTATCTATACTACCCTCGAGGAACAGCTTTGCAACAAACGTCATTCGTGCTCAGTACGTTCCAAATAGTTGACCCAGTCACTGTGACACATCATGTATCTTATCAATGGCATCATGCAATCCCCCGAAAGCAAGCATCCTCGACATTGGTATTTTGGTGTGTCATATAAAGTGCATTTTGGATGACCAGAGCATGGCGATACACAACTTTGCCCTGACACTTGTATCACGACGGGATAACATAGCCGCATGGCGTGTGCGTACGACTTGGCAGCTGGGGTGATTTGAACTCGAGCTGTTGAGGGGTAAGATGCGATGGAGTCCAGAGCGTAGAGCAGCCTGGGTCGAGTAACAGCGGAAGGGTCTGATGGTTGCACACTTGGTAATGCTAGTAGGATGTTTGAGTTTCGCGCTTCAAAGTACCTACCTAGGCAGGAAAAGAGCGCGTCTTTCTGAGGTATCCTTATTCATTAGAGGTAATGCGCTACTGTATTTATTGGGAGCGACATTTTTGATACTGTAAGGTGATCACACTGTGAACGTTAGCCTTACGCCACCGAGATAGCAACGAGAGCCTTGGGTTAATGAAGTGCATGAACAAAAGAAGGATTAAGTAGCAACAGAAGAAGAAAGCAGTCTTGCGACTTCTACTCGTTTTACATCTGCCACTGATTTCTTGGGAGGTGATGCGAGGGATGCGGAGACTGGGGTCGTTGCGGGCGAGGCACGTTATTGCCCTGCAGAATCGGTACAGGTGAGTGAGAGCCGGCGGGGTCTGGGTACAGTGGACGGCGGACAAGCAACCCAAACCCGCCCTTCTGAGTGCGACGCATCATTCATTGTCATGACATCTGTACTAAACCTCTATATGCCGCAGCGATGTATGAACGTTGGCCGACAGAGCTGGACGGCGCTGCTCGTAGGATTTAAAGAAGCGAATGGAAGTATATGCTCGAGCCACAAGGACAATATGCCCCAGCGATGTCTTTCGGGAGCTTCAACCCAACTCATCTCGCACCGGCGGTGCTGTGGTGTTGGCCGTCTCCAGCGCTTTGCCCGCGAGTATAAACCCCCCCCCCTCTCTCTCTCTCCGCGGTACCTTCTCCTCCTCCTCCTCCCCCGCTCCCCCTTGTCCCCCGCTCTTCTCTCCTCTTCCTTCCGCCGCATCCTCGGCGCCTATTTCCCAGTGTTGCATCAAGGATCCTTTCTTCCAAGGGTTCAATCAATCAACCTCAAGCTGCCCCTGAAGCTCAAGCATGTCCTTGTCATCCTTTGCCTTTGGGGTTTGGAAAGTTCCGATAACTGTTGCCCCCTGCTAACTATCCCACCGCGGATAAGGCTGTGCCAAAGGTAGCATGCGTGGGAAGAGATCGAGACTGTGACCTTGATTGCGACTCATTAAACTCCAAGTAAATCGTCAATTCATGCGAAGTAGACCAAAGTCCCCCCAGGAACGAGATTACCTGACACAGGCAGTCAGAGTAAATGATAGATACTAGGTAGAGTGGTGCGACGCGTATATACCGAACCGTAATATTAAGTACTATTTAGTAGCTGGCCGACTCTGTCGTACTACGATGCGATCCCAACCTGCATCTGCCGCAAGGAACCAGGGAAGAAAGCATCACTCGAACAGACAACCACGCTGCACAATCATAGCAGTCGGGACACCAGGGTCAGAAAATACGTCGTAGCGACTGGGCTCAGACGTACTGTAAGTATATGCCGTGCTACGATAATCCTCAGGGGGTTCGAAAGGCCGCCTGTTGTCGAAGGCAACAACCATCATCATTGTGTAAGCTGAGTAGCCTGACCCATCTATGAATATTATAAGTGAATCGTGGCCTGATAGCGAGGCAAGAAGCTGACATTTGCCTCCTTCCTTTTACGAGAAAAAAGTAGCGAGATGTGAGACACCTGGGCCATTTGGTGATAACGAAGCATGGGTATTTGCATCCAGGCCTTGGACTCGAGCTCGAGATGCATGGAAGTTCCAGCTTGTATCACATTACATCATGGCGCCACTCCGTGCCACGCTACCTTACTCACGAAGTCGCCTCGGAGACCTAAGATAAGGGATTTCAAAGCGCATCCAAAAAGTAATTCGTCAGCGGAGTCGGTAGTATGTGGCATATTTTAGTATTGTGGCGTTGTAGGTGCATGTTGGGCTTCGGAGCTGAATGTCTCTCTCATATCTAGATGGGGAGGATATGGCCGTTAGCAATAGTTGCACGGCAGATTAGAGTCCTCCTTGGCTAGTCGGTGCTTCGAGAACGAAGCATGCATATTCTTGATATATTTAGGCATCGTTTAATGACAAAAAAAAGGAATAAAAGCCAATATGGCACCATCTTGAATTGAACATGTAATAGCCCCGGATGCTGTACCATATCGCTAGACTCCGGTGCTGAGCGCTCTGCGCATTGAGAAGAAAAATAATATCACCACACATCGGTATAGTTGCAGTTGATCCACCGTCACACCACGCTGGGGAGAAGGGCTAGAGCGCCACATAGCGCCCGACGTCCGCCGTCTAGAACTTCCATCCAGACTGTAACGTCTTCGGCAGCTGCATCCTGTTCTCCGACCGGAGAAGGGAAAGGTAGGTAGGCATGCAAAATCAGAAGCACCTTGTTGTCGTTGCCCAACTCAACTCAAAGAGACTGCCTAGACAACCCTTTCACGCCTTCCCTCCCGACTTGAGAATCTGTTCTAGATTCTCCCGGCTATTCTTATTCGTCATCTCGAGGTAGTGTAGTTTTTTTTCCAAGCCCGTGATATCCGATTTCAGTTCTCCGCTCTCGGTCGATAGGCGCTTATCGATTGTGTTCATAGGGACACCCACGAACCTGTAGCAATAATGTTGATTAGTACAGTTGGAACGGTTTATCCCCTTTTCCTAAGTATATCTGTGGATGGGATGGCAAACGGATTGGCCAAATCGAGAATGAACTCACATCTTGCCTACACCCTCATATACCCTTGTATCCTTAGGAAGTGTTCCGATCTCCTTGGATGTTAATTCTAGCATTCGGATATCTCTCTGCTTGGTTGTGATCTGGGCCTTGGTGATGCCGATTTGTTGCTGCGAGCTGATAGCCTGGGCTTCGATTTCTTGCAGGAGCTGTATCAATACGCGTTAGTGATTTGGCTTTGTCGGAAAGGTGAGAGAGGATGAGGGTCACCTTCTGCAGAGCTTCGTTCGGGATGGACATTTTGACGGAGTTGGAGTGAGGGGTCTCGCTTTGGCGTAGAGGGGTAATCCGGGATCGCAGATTTCGTGGTCCCAAGATATGAGGTGAGCGTGTATAGAGCAGATCAAGGCAGATTTCGCTCGGCAATCAATTAAGATGCTGAGTAGATTGGGTATTAGGGTGATGAAAGACTGTTTGTTGGTTATGGTGCTACTGATTGAGCTCGACGATGAACTCATCGGCAGGCCCCCGTTGTCATTGGCTCCGGGGCCTGGGCGGTAGGAGCTGCCGGATTTGGATATCAATTTAGGGTTTAGGGCTACGGTCCAGAACAACTACTCAGGTACCAAGTAACTACACTGTTCACATTATGAGTTGAATAGATTTCGATGATAATCGGCCAATCTGGAGTAGATAATAGCAAGGTTGCTAGTACATCATGGAGGCGCGCATCTTGTTGTATTCAGCCTGAGTAGTTGGTGGATATTTGGCCGGATTTTCCTCACTCATACACGAAGGGATGCATTCAATGATAGAGTCGGGATCTGGGCCCATAAAGTAAGGAATAGAGAAACGCTCACGCGTCATCCGATTTGAACCCTGGAATCGATCAGAGAGTTGCGGCAGTCCGACACGGTGGTTGGTTGAGCGGAGGCGATCTGGATAGGTCAGCACAACCCGAATCCCTAGTCTGGCCATTGCGGCTATCCAATCTTTCGCAGAGGAAACATCTAGACCAACCATTACTCCACATCTGTAGCAAATCACCAATGTTCATAACGATGGCGTTCTTCAAAGGCGTAGCGGGTACGAAGGTGCCAGGCCGAGATATGTCCTCTACCTCGAGGCCACCACAGTCATCCTGGAAAAGCATTGTCATTGAACTCCAATCTGTATGTGCCGGGCACCGGGCTGTTCGCTCTTGTTCCAGCTCCTCAGCAGGGACGGGAAGATAGTGCAACAACCGTAGCTGATTGTTATAGCCGGAATGTTTTTCTGTAAGGTAGAGCTCGTCCTGTAGATTCAGGCCAACGGCTAGAGCACGCAAAATCTCATTGCCAAGTTTATGACACTCAGAGTAGAACTGAACCATAAAGTCCCGGAACCCTGGCAGTGTTTCGTCGGGTATCCATTGGTTTGGCTGGTCGGTGTTTTGCTCACTGCCAATGTCGTAGATCTCCTGTAGTTACCATCAATTCGAATCCAAAAGATTAGAAGACAATACCTCCAAGCGAATCTTCCTGAGTGAGGTCATTGACATAACAATACAGAATCAAACAAACCTTGACATCCGGGACCTCTCTCAGCTTCATTCGGATCTCTTCATCGTCCCCAGTGCTCATAACTTGAGAGACCTTTTCCAAACCAGGCCATGAGTAGCCTCGATGCACAGCCCAGCCCTCAGGATGGGGGGCCCGCATCTTCTCTTCATCGGAGAGGTCGAAAAGGCATCTCATCCAGTCAAATGTTTTATCAAGAAGCAACTCGGAGAGAGAATGGTTCACGATATAGACAAAACCAACTTTCTGGCAAGCCTCCACAAGTTCGCGCGCGACTCGTCGACGAGAGGAATCATCCTGGGTATTGTACCACGGTGAAAAGTCGACGACGGGTATTTTCATCCCAGTAGGCCCGCTGGCAGAAGACATGTTTTGCTTGAGACCAAGATGGTTAGTAAACTGGAAGAGGAGATGAAGTGCTGTAGGACGGTAGGATGATTCAGAGCACCATCCGAATCGGCAGGTGCGTCCCAGTGCCCGAAGGTTCCAGTCACATGCTCTACGACCTGCGAGGTGCACGCATGAGTTCGACTGTAGTAAGCAGAAGCACACCCAGCGGATCAGACAGGATCAGATGTGTTATGTATCTCGATCATAGAAAATCTGGAGGTGAGACCTGAGTGCATTCAAATTCACCCATGTGGGATAGCTCCAATGTTGCCAAGCGTGACATCACCATGTTAGTTGGCAGCCTAGCAGACAGACCCTGACCAGAACTGGAGCAGAATTTACCCACTCCAGGGACACCGGCGGAGTCCCGGGGGGGATTTCCAGACCCCAAATGGCCAGTGCAGGCTTTTCGGGAAAGGCGGGCCAAAAATAGGTGAATGAAGATCCATTTTCGGCCGGGCGGCTGGTCATGTTGAGGGGCCACGGGCGACGCTCCGTTGCTGTGGCAGGGGTCGCGGTGGACCCGGCGCTGCCTGAACAATCTAAAGATGCAGTGTCCATCACCCACCTCGCCCGGTGTCCGATCCGGCTTGCTCCAGGAAAGCAGACTCGAAAAGGATTGATCCCGAGAAGAGAGGAATTTAAGCGACACGTATGTGAGCTCTTACCCGCCCAGTGCCAGTTCATGGTGCTTCTTCTTACAACTACTCCGATCGGCGTTTACTAACATCTATATCTCTACCGCTTTCAGTAATCTGTTGATCGCTGCCCTCGCCGTCGCAGAACTGGACACCCAAATTCGTACAAATACACTGTCAACACATTAACGGGTTCTTCGAGGAGGTCCTCCGCGCATATTCCCCGCTACTCTGTCCCATCCTGTCCAGTGGGCGTACTATAGCCCTAGTTTTGAGCATGAAGCTTTCCGGGTGGATCTCGGCCACATTTCTCGCCTCGACTGCATTATCTACCACGACGACAGCTGCCCCATCGATTGATACTATACCGTTCAACTCTCCCCACAGCGCAGACGCAAGCTGGAGGGCCTTCGAAGTGCTACAATTGCTGAGGAAGCGGAGTGACAATTGTCCTTCCGGCTACGACCCTTGTTCCAACCTGGGTCGCTCGAACCTTTGCTGCCAGGACGGAACAAGATGCACTCGCGATGCTGCGGACAACGTTGCTTGCTGTCCGACCGGAGCAAGCTGCACGGGCACACTCTCTGAGACTGGGAGCGGAGGATCAACCAGCAGCTTCCGATTCCCTCAGACGGCTACAGCTACGCAAACTGCAGGCGGGGGTGGTGTCACGCTCACAGGCTCTACCCTTGCTGGCGCCTATCCCTTCGTCGTCATCCCGACGACATTCTCCAACGCCGGCGTCTGCTCATCGTACTATTCTCTGTGCCAGAGCGAGTACACCGGCTGTATCTCGCAGCTTGGAGGAGGCTACGCGGTGACTGTGGCTGCAGAAGGTGGAGGAGTTACCCGGGCTGGGGCGGCTTCTGCTGCCATTTCAACGTGCTCGAGCTTGAGTGTGGAGGCCTGCCACGGCCTCAACATAGGGTACTGTGGCGGCTACAGTACTGATGTATACGAGAATCGAGGCGCTACCCCAGGACGAAGTTCCAGCCTCGAGGACCTCTTCTTTGGCATGCTCATTGGACTGGCCGGGATGCTTGTGTGAAGTTATGACTGATTCGACGTTTATGTGAATATGTATGAGTTACGGACATACGCCCCATGATACATGATTTGGGTTACCGTGGCTCTCTCGGGTGACCTACCCCTCCAGATCGATATGTTGACGCCCCGATTCCCCTGATGGATTTGACGCACTTATGAAATGATTCAACGAATGAAACGCTATGGTTGAGAGACTATGGATGTTATGTCATGTGATGGATACTCTTCTGGCGTTCTGTATATAACAATAGCAATGGCAGTCAGGGAAGCAACCGACGGTGGATTTTGAATTAAGCCGTAGGTAGAGTCATAGAAAAAGCAATCTGTGGCGCATTGATCGTCTGGGTAGGTACGGAGTACAGATAGTAGATAGCCATGTGCAGTGTACAGTCCTGATGTGCTGGGGCCACACCGCTTCACCACCGCATCGTTTCTAGGGCTTACGGAATAGAAAGAGCATCCGAGGTATCTATCTAGTAGGCGTGTTCCTACAGCTGCATACGAGTAATGCATGCCAAATCACTGCCCAAGTATGGTGTCATTCCATCGGGCGACACGTAGGAGGCGTGAAGTTACTCTGACAGTCGGACTAGATACCTGATTCGTGTTGACCAGGTAGGCAGATGCAACCAGTACCTGACGGACGAAACTCCGTCGAATCAGGGAAGGGACTGCTAGACCGACTCATCACGGGCAATATTCTGTCGCGATGGAGCCAACAGCGCTTTGGGCCGGTCTGCCCGTGTGCCGTACTTTCTCCACCGCGGGCAGAAGATGACGCTGCCAGCCTGCCAGGAACGGAGGAGCAGGAAGAGGGCGAAGGGAGCGGGGAGACAAGGTGACAGAGGGAGGGGCAACAACAACATTGTCGGCCACATCCCTGCGATTGGCTCACGCGTGGGGCAGCCAAAAAAAAAGCACCAGAAAAGTGGATATCCCAGCCTCCGGAATTTCCTTATTTAATTTATGATCTATGTTTATCTTCGTCGCCGATTTACCGGGTGTTGCGGTGATTGGTGGCGGATGTCGCAGGAAATGCGGTGGTTGGGAAGGCGACGGGGGAGGCTGGGATCAAGAAGAACGGACGGCCTGCGCTCTCTTGGTCGGGGGACTGCATCTCCATCTCCATCTCCATCTCGCCCTCGCTCTCGCTCACCTCTTCTCCCAGACCCCCCCATTCTTTTTCCTCCTTGGGGATTTTCTCTCTTCGCTTGTCTGCAAGCTCCCGGTGCTACTCTCACATTCCATCGATCTATTGCTTGGCTCTCTCTATCTCTCGTGGCCTGCTGTTTATCGCTGCATATCTCGCTTTTCATACCACACTTTACATCCGAGTCGGACGCCGAGACAAGACGTCGTTACGGGTAGCGATCGGAATCCAAGGACAATTCCGATCGCATCGTGGACTGACCTCGTGGTTGTCATTTATCCCAACATCCCTCCTTCGCCATGCATGCGTCCCGCATACTGCAGTCCGCCATATCGATACTGACCTTACTGGGTCAGCTCCAACCCTCGATAGCATCGCCATTGGAATCCGAGGAGAGCATCGACGAAGCCACTCTAGAGAAGCGCTGCTCCAACCCTTGCGGCTACTATAGCCAGCTTTGTTGCAGTTCGAGCGAGACATGCACCACCAACAGTGACGGCGAAGCAGAGTGTGTCAGCGGCGGAAGTTGGGAGTACTTCACCACTACCTATGTTCTGACGGAGACCGAGACCGCCACATTCACTTCGACGTGGAGCTCCTATCTTTCAGCGACGTCAAGCGCCGGAAGCTGTAATGCTGAATATGGCGAGACAGTCTGTGGCAACAACTGTTGCGGTCCCGCCTATATCTGCTCCGACAATCAGTGTATCATAGGAAGCACATCAATCTGGGCGACTGCCACTGCGACGCCCCCCGTGCGTGGAACCACCCTGTCGACTGTCACCCAAACAGCCCCCGTGACAACCACCGAGGGTTTCATCGCCCCTGTGAGTACGGGAGGAACGCCGGCGGTTGGAGTCAAGGCCAGGAGCGGCGGACTCAGCGGCGGCGCAATTGCGGGTATTGTTATCGGAACAATCGCTGGCGCATTCCTATTGCTGCTTATTTGCGCTTGTATGTGCTGCCGTGGAGCACTTGATTCCATCCTCGCTTGCCTGGGTCTCGGTGGTGGCAGGAAGCGGAGAGAAACGACCTACGTCGAAGAGCGTCGCCATCGCCATTCACACGGGACTACCACCAGGCCTGAGCAACGTACTTGGTTCGGTACCCGTCCTACAGCATCCTCTGCAGGTGGTGGTAGGAAGAAGAAGGACTCTGGAATGGGTGCTTTGGCGACAATCGGAATCATCCTGGGTGCAATTGCGCTGTGCCTGGGACTGAAGAGACGCAACAGAGACCGTCGGGACGAAGACGAGAAGACCGATTACTCCTATCCGAGCAGCTATTACTACTCCTCCGATTATTACACCAATGATGGTAGGTTTTGTCTTCTTCCTATGATCATTCTCAGCATGCATGCTAACAACATTGTAGGAAGCGTGGTGACAGAAGATCGACGCACAAGAGATACTAGACGTACTAGACGATCTCGCACCCGCTCACGAAGATGACGAGATGACGAGATGACGATATGACGAAAGCCAGCTCACGACCCCCTTCTTACCTTTCTTTTCCAAGTTTATCGACCAGACCGTGCATGAACAGGCGCTAATTTGGGTTTATGATTTGATGTATTATGATTTTTCCTCCCACCCCCCCCCCCCGCAATGTCCGCAATGTGTGATTTTCTGGAAAATTCATTGCCTGTACGATGATGAGAAATGTTTTCATGTTCTAATGACTTTGGCACGATTTGCCCCCCCCCCTGGATCTTCCGCATGAAAGCATCGGAAGAAGCGACAGGGAAATCAGATGTAAATAGGAATTTAAAAAAAGATAAATAAATTGATAGCCCAATAGATGGTATTGCACATACTAAAAGCTCCTGATCGAAGGAAAATGGACTCGGGTTTTCCGGCAGTCGTCACTAGATAGCCACGAGCATATCGGATCTGAAAGACGTGGAGATCCGAGAATAGGGACCATCGGGCTACACGGCCAGAACTGCAGGTACAACATCCGAGCACCTCGAGGGTGAATCCCATGCACCATATGCATCGAGCCGGAGTTGTTGGCCTCCGACTTTGCCATACTGCACATATCTTGATCCAGCGGTCATTCTTGATAATCATGCACCTGCCGGAGTAACTCGTGCGCCTGAGAGATAATGTAAGCGCAGCTGCAAGGCGGTCATCGGCGGCCAGCAGACCGGGCCTGTCTGGGAAAGTGTTCCATTGTCGAGATGCTGGATTCACTCGAAGTAGCAGCAAGGGAAGAGTGATGGCGAATCAATCGACGGTGACTCGATCCATGCCACTTGATCAGGCAGATAAGAGCAGGTCGCGCCCGACAGGGTCCAGAAGCAGCGCGGCACCTCCCACTGCCCAGACGGCACAAACTGCCCGGGCGGAACCTGCGACTCCCCGCCTCCCGTAGTCCAAGCCGTCCAAGCCATTCATCCACCATTTCACGCTTCCTCCGTCCTTCGATCCCGCCGACAACCCCCTTCCCTCGCTGCTATTGTATAGAAAACCACATTATCCATGCGTTTGTTGTCGAGTATTACCTCCTGACAACACCCACGCAGCGTCACAGTCTACCCTGTCCCTGTCCGGTTGCCCCCCCTCCCGCCGCCCCCCGATCGCCCAAGGCTGTCGAGTCTTCCCTCCTGAGGATTACGAGTCCCGAGTCCCCTTGTGCTCCGATTCTTTGCCGGCTCGCCATGCTTCAAACACAGACTCAACACGTCTTTTCCCACCAGCACCAGTATCCGCAGGCTGATCCCTCCTGGTTGCAGCAACAGCAGCACCACCAAACCCACCCGCACCAGGCTCAGCAACAGCATTCTTCGTTGGTCGCCCAACAGCATGCCCAAGTCCAGGCGGCTGCAGCCGCAGCCGCAGCCGCTCAACAACAACATTATACCCGCATCGCCATGGCTGGAAACGCTGGTACCGGTAATCCCGCCCAGGGAGCCGGTGCAGGAGGCATGGGCGGAGATGGCGCTTTGCCCGGTGCGGTGTCTGTGATGGATGGTGGCATCAGTGATGAGAATCGCAAGGTTTTCATTTGGGTCGCGGAGCTCCTCGATCCGAGTCGCAGAGAGGCAGCTCTCATGGAGCTCAGCAAAAAGAGAGAGCAAGTCCCCGAACTTGCGCTGGTTATTTGGCACTCCTTCGGTATGGGTTTCCTCAGATCGGTCTTTTCGCGGGTGGCAACTAACCGTCGGGACCACAAGGCGTCATGACCGCTTTACTCCAGGAAATCATCTCTGTATACCCTCTGTTGAATCCTTCCCAATTGACTGCCGCGGCATCAAATCGGGTTTGCAACGCGTTAGCTCTGCTGCAGTGCGTTGCTTCCCACAATGAAACCCGCACGTTGTTTTTGAACGGTAAGCGGCAATCACCACGCCCCCTTCCCCCGCTATTCTCCAAGATATGGCCGCCCGAGTTCTGGCTAACAAAGGATATCATTCATCGAACAGCTCATATCCCTCTCTTCCTTTACCCCTTTCTTAATACGACGTCAAAGTCGCGCCCCTTCGAATATCTCCGTCTCACTTCGCTCGGTGTGATCGGAGCGTTGGTCAAGAACGACTCCTCCGACGTCATCAACTTCCTCCTTACCACAGAGATTATTCCCCTCTGCCTTCGCATCATGGAGACGGGCTCGGAATTGAGCAAGACGGTCGCAATCTTTATTGTACAGAAGATTCTCCTTGATGATATTGGTCTCGCTTACATCTGCGCGACCTACGAGAGATTCTATGCCGTTGGGACAGTCCTTAGTAATATGGTCACCCAGCTGGTGGAGCAACAGACCGTGCGACTCCTCAAGCATGTTGTGCGCTGCTTCCTTCGGTAAGTCCTTTCTCGTCAACATCCTTCTGTCGCGCAGCAGCAGCAGCAGCAGCAGCAGAATCATCATCATGCCGGCCATTCAATGCTGACTTTTGTAGTTTGAGCGATAACAGTAGGGCGCGAGAGGCCTTGCGGCAGTGCCTCCCCGAACCACTACGCGATGCGACATTCTCCTCAGTACTCCGCGACGATGCTGCTACCAAGCGCTGCCTTGCACAACTTCTCATCAATCTTTCGGACAACGTCTCCGACGGCGCACCCGGTGTTGCGATGTAAAAAGTTCAAAAGCATTTGTTTCCGTTTTGGTTTACTTGGTATATTTGACAACCTTACGACATGCATGGGGCGGGCTCTCGGCGAAAAACGGATCACAAGGCGCAAATTGTGTGGGATGGCGACGCAATGATGAGATATAAGAAAAGTCGCAAAAACATTCAAAAAGAAAGAGAAGGTATCCGGGGTATGGGAGCACTGGGCTTGGGGGTTTCTGTGTCTATTATATTCCACAAGGTTCTGTCTGCTGTTTCTTCTCATCATCTGCCCTTCCTTGTCCCGGGCTTACTGTGACTTTCTCTCCCTGCTTTTGATTTCCCCATTTTTCTGTTTCTATGTTGAACACTTCGTTTCCATTTCGGTCATAATGGGATGGCTGTGCGGTGGCGCGGATACGGATGGCGCTATCTGACTATATGCATTTTGCTTGTCCTCTATGTTCCCCATTCCCCATCCTCCATTTGAGTGAGATAGACCCTCTTTGAGCGAGATACCAAGATCTAGTTTTATGTTTCCATCTGTTGGTGCTGGTTCTGCTTGCTGCTTGATTGTTATATTTTCTTAGGACCTACTGGTCCATATATGGATGTGGATTATTCTTATGACAATTTAACTATTCCTGAACCATCCGATTCAGCCCATCATCATGCACAATGACACTCATGCTGCAGTTGGCGGCAGGCTACGGGGACGTACAAAGTAGTTGCGTGGACGGCTTATCGGCGCGCGATCGACCAACCGGCGGGCGTGGATCACCTGACCGGGGTCTCGACGCGCCGCCGGCGATTCTGTGAGCTCATCTCTTCTGCCCAGCCCGACACGCCCGCCCTGGCGAACGATTTCCTGTCTTCACGCCGTCGATCACGCCCATACTTACACTCTCCCCGCCCCTCCATTCGGACCTTTACACGTGTAGTCCCCTTTTCTGAATACTTCAACCTTTCAAATCAACAGCAGAGCCGCCGCTCCGTCAAGACCTTGTCCGGCGCTGCGGCGCCTTTAATGGTCTCGATCCGCCGCCATGGTATCGCGAAAGCGCGCCCGCTCCGAGGTGGACGCTACCCCGGAGCAGCCACCTGAGGAGCCGGGCTTGCTTCACCAGCTTCAGAACAGCTGGGAGTTTGCGAACCTGATGCAATACATTGCCATGTTTGGGAAACTCATGAAGATCGACGAGGATTTTGGAATCGAGGTGCGTATGAGCGGGCCGACACTTTTCTTCCCTTCGATCCCTTGATGGGTCTGAGTGCGTCTAGTGAATGCTAATGCGTTATTGCTGTTGGGTGGACTGTAGGATCTGGAGAATGAATGTCTTAAGCCCACTGCTTCAGAGAAACTACTGGAGATTGGACTCTGTCTTTTGAAATGGGTCTCGTCGCATCGGGGTCTTACGTATGTGCTTCGCTTTTGTGGTCGATATAACTGTCACCCTGCTAATAAGCTGCGTTGGATCTTAGGTTCGATAATTTTGATGAGTATACGCGACGCCAGTACAATGCCAAAGCACCGCATATCACCAACCCCTTTGGACATGAGGAGGTCCCTAATAAGTTTATGGATTTTGATGTCTTCCTGAAGCTTCGCGTTTTGCACCAGTTGACTATCTGGACTTTCTGGAACCCCGACCGCATTCGCGACAAGATGCCGGAGCAAAGGGAGAATGACCAGACGCAGTGGGTGGGTGTTCTATACCACGTTCGGCCCCTGTTATCCCTGCTGACATGGTTTTAGCGCATCGAGGAGGTTGGCTACGATCGCGAAGGCCGCTACTACTACATTCTTGATGATAACCGGCTCTATCGTCGCACCGATCCCCCGATCCCACCACCCAAACCGGTCAAGCCGAAATCGAGAAGAAAAAGTGCTCGCGCCATGAGGGCTTCAAAAAGAAGAAAGGTCACCGGGGCGGATCCTATAGAAGAGTCTGATGAAGAGAACAATGCTGTGAACGGTGACGCCACTGATGACCCCTTCGAAAAGATCACCTGGGAGTGCATTGCTATCACGCTCTCGGATTACCAGCAGTTCCTGGAGTCAATCCGGAAGACGAGGGACCCGGATGAGAAAATCCTAAGAGACAGGATTGAAGAACAAGTCTTGCCGGTGATCGAGAAGGAGGAAGAGTCACAACAGCGTCAAAAGCAAAAGCGCGAGAAGGAACTCTTCAACATGCAGTTGCTCGCTGGTGCCAAGCGATCCAGCCGCATTGCTGGAAAGGCCGAGAAGGAACGACATGAACGCGAGGCCGCTGAAGCAGCATACAAGCGAGAGGCGGAGCTTTCCGCAGCCCGCTTAGAGGAAGAAAGAGTGAAGAAAATCGAACAGGAGAGGCACTCACGCATCATGACCCGCGAGCAACGTATCAAGGATCGGGAGAGGAAGCGCATCTTGCATGAGAGTGAACTACGGCGAATAGAGGAGGAGCATGAGAAGGTTGCGAGAGGTGAAAGCAGAGCTTCTGAGAGACATCTAAAAGCTGAGATGGAGAGGTATCGGAAGAACTTGGAAGACCTTTCACAAGAGGACCAATGGGTTTTCGACTGCTCGGGCTGCGGTGTGCATGGCCAAAACCTGGTAAGTCTTGACAAGTACGAAGACATACGTCGAATGTGCTAACCCTGGATAGGATGACGGTTCCCATAGCGTTGCATGCGAAAACTGCAATGTGTGGCAGCACAGCAAATGTCTCGGTATTCCAAAGAACGAAGCAGAACGGGATGACTTCCACTTTGTTTGCAAAGACTGCAAACGACGCGAGGAGGAATCAAGGATGCCCAAAATCCCGCCGTTGAAGTTCCGTGTCGGCTCATCCACCTCGCCGTCCTCAGCAGCTGTCGAGGGAGACACAAAAATCAAGGCCCCAGACGTGGAACAGTCTCCTACGCCGCCCACAAAAGAAGCCCAGCATATCTTCCAGCTGCCTTTGACTTTATCTCCTACCAAACAACCCCCTCCATTTCCCTCTATACCTCCTCAGAACCCAGCTCAGGCCACCCCTCTTCCTCCGCCATCACCTGAGCGCCGACCTCAGTCCGCACACACCACCTCATTCAGCCCCCCTCGAGCTCCGTTCTCTCCGTCAAAGGGCATCAATGGATTTACTCCGTCGTCCAAGGAGCAACTTCCGAAGTTGCCTTCTGTTCATCAGACTATGCATCTGCCTCCCCATAACCCCGATTCTCTTAATGGCGGCACCTTCCCAGCGCGACGACCATCGTCATCTCACTCTGTGCGGAGTCCCACTTTGCCCTCTCCCATCCAAAACCGCCCATCCATGTCTCCCACCCAGGGAAATCGAGACGTTGGCCCTCTTGCAGGGTTTCCACCTGTAGCGCCGTCAGATCACTCTAACCAGTGGACGCCATACGGTCAACAACAAACACCACGCCCGAACACAGGCAACCACGCTTCAATTTCTTCGATACACGGCGGACGTCCGTCGTTCACGGCTACCCCTACTGGCAGTCGGTCCTCTCCTCCACAAAGTTCCCATGGCGTGCCGTTTTCGGGAATCAGTCCGACCAAGCAATCACCACGACCTATGACGTCTGGAAGTGTCACAGGCGCCACTGTTCTACCTCCGATTCAGAGGCTTGAGCCTAGTCCGAAGTTGATGGGTCGAAGCTCACCAGACGCACCGATCCCGCCCCCAGTCAAGTGCATGACACCGGAGCAGGAGGAACGCAGGCAGAGAGAGAATGCTTTGCTGCAGGCCCAGTTGCATGGAACTAACGGTCAGCATTCGGTCATGTCCTCGCCTTCACTAAACCGCATACCGCCTCTCGGGCCGCCTGCAGTCTCACAGCAGCCTGGTCCATCCCCTCATCCCGCCCCGAAATGAAGATAGTTTGAGTGACAGCTCCCAAGGATAGATTTTAGCTGTGGGACTATTCGAATCAGATTTCTTTATCCCTTCTACGCTCGATCTTGAATCGGATATCCAGTTTTTTTTTTTTTTTTTTTTTTTTTTTTGAATACCTTGGGTTCATTGAACATCTCCCGTCACTCTTACTGCAACAGACCGTCATGTCTCGATCTTGGTTTCGAATCTACGAATACGTTGAGTGCAGTATCTCTGTGGAGACATCAGGGTGCTTGATCTGGTCCAATAATTCTCTCCTTTCCCCATTTCCAATTCCCACGGTCTTCAGGGTTGAACAAAATAGCTGGCGATTACTGGGCTGATTTCGTTATTCGAGGATCTCACAAACTTGAGCTTTCCCGCAAGATAATCATTCGATGTATACTTGGTCTTGACATCGTGCTCTTGATAATATCACGCGTGGAACACTTCATCCTTACCCACATTGTGTCACCTTTTCTGCATGGTTGTTTGGGCTGGTCCAGGTTTTTTTGAGTCATTTGATATACAGAGGGGTTGGCGTTTGCAGGATATCAAGCTATAGAGGGCTGGACGTGGCTGAGATTATCGGTGCGAAGTAAACGTGGACTAGATGTAATAAAAGTGGTCTGAATTTGATAAGTTCCAATAGTTGAAAGAGCAAGATCAAATCCACGACAGATGTATTTTGCAGCCCAAATGAACATGGGAATGCCATTGTTGTTCTTTGAGGCATAGGTCATCTAGCTCTACGGAGTACGGTCATCATCACCATCGCTCTATCTGACACATCGCCAAATATAGAATCAAAGAGCCGAGGCACCACAACAGCAAGTAAGAGATCCTTAGTAGTTGGTAGATCTTTCGGTCCCTCTACCGTAGTGCCGCAGCAAACAGTATCTTCCCCGCTTGATCGAGAGCAAACCTCTTACAGTCAACTACTAGGTTGCGTGCATAAGAAGTACTTATAAGCAAACAAGCGATAACAATTTCACCATGTACATATATATGTATGGCCACACACAACAATAGACCATGCATATATAGGCCATTGTTCAGATCCTTGTAGGTGTATACATACAGCGAAAGCTAAGACCGGGAAAAGAACACAATCCCAGTCCCGGTCCAGGTAAGCCTTCCCAAACTAAATAAAGATGTATATAAGTGAAACACCTACCTAGTATCTAGCCTGTAGATCTGTCACCTGTCAGATCAAGTGACAGGCGGCCCAAGCAATCAATTTCGATCTGGACGGATGTGCTTCCGGCGTCACACTGCATGCAAAGGTTACTCTTTGAGAAAACGCGTGCATGATTACCGGTCCAGAGATTGGATATTGAATTTAAGCGAAAAAGGACCCTGGACACCGAACTGGTTGGGTTCAACCCAATCGGATCTACTGACAGAGCAGTTGGGGTCTAAGCGGGGTGATAACAAAGTACTACTACTACTACTACTACTACTACTACTACTACTACTACTACTACTACTACTACTACTACTACTACTACTACTTGTTTGTATCCAGATCTTACCCATGTACAATTATTCGCTTTTACAGAGTACATAGATGCAGATATTTGATCCGAATGCATATGGAACAATACGCGTGTAGAGCACAATCGCCCACCCTGCAGGAAAACGAAAATTGGACATAGTAATAATATGTAAGGCCTCCCACACAAGGATATTGTTGGAAGTCTATGTACTCCGAAAGGAAGGACAATGGGTAGGTAAGCTAAGTACTTTGTCTGTCTTGCTGGGTACCCAACCCGCTCCCTCCGCTCCCTCCCCTCTCACTGAACCGCTCAGGAACTCAACTCAACTCAAACCCCCCCTTGGGACTGCAGCACTAAAGATGCTCACCCTAGTCATTGCGGCGCGACTGGACTCCGCAATTAATCAAACCAACCAACCATAGCTCCATAATAATATGATTTATCCAGAGTGAGACACGGCCGTGGGCGGAATGGACCGAATCAACTAAACTACGTTCATCACTTTGCGAAATTAATTAGATCATTGGAGAGACACTGAGAGCCGAGAGCCTGTCGCTTGTCGGCTAGATACCTTCAGCCGGAGATGGCCAGTTCCGTACGGTGTAAGTGTACTAAACAGTAGGTACTATACTTACTAGGTAGAGGGGCACATGCACTATAGGGTTGATACTAGTAAGCAATCCTATTTACTATTCCCCCTCCCTTTCCCCCCACTAACCACCACACAGTAACTAAATTTCTCTGTATCCCACCAGCAAACTATCCATCTACTCCATAGCCCATACTAGATACTAACTACTCACCATGAAGTCTGGGTAAGGTGGGTAGCATCTAGATTCTCCATTGCCCAGGTCGGAGTCCGTGTCCGGACCGGAGTCCGCCTCCGATCGTCCGATGGTCCGACTGTCCGACACATGCCTATTCCACCGTTCCACGCTTACCCAAGGTAAAGTGAGAGCCTCACGCACAATCATACCATAGTACTGCGACTATCTATTTCCCATCTATAGAGTTGTGGATAAATAAAGTTACCAGACACAAGATCTACCTCAATTACACCCGAAAGGCAGAGCCACAAAACTCCATATCAGAAACCGCTATCGACGGGATTCACTACGGAAAGGGGCCGGGTTGAAAAGCCTCAAAAATGAAGATGATGAGAACGGCCGGCTGGCCGGCAACTCCCACACTCATCCGCGCACTAGATAGTAACAATCACACTATCCATCTAGATACCTAGCCTAACTAGATACTATCTAACTATCTACTGCCTACTTTCATTAACTGATCAAAGCTAGCGCTGCATCGAAGGATTTTGACACCTTCTCTCCAACATTGGAACCCGATTTTTCCCGTCCACTCAAGGCCCGTTGTCGGATGCAAGCGAAAGTATAATATTTTGCTTTTCCTCCCGCACGCGCCTGGATGATTGCATCAGCTGGCGGGCAATTACATACATTCTGATCATTGCTGGATTGCTGGATTGCTGGATTGATTGCTTGGAGGTGACTGTCTAGTGGTGACTGGTGAGTGGTAACTGATGATGACTGGTGGCAGCTGGCGGCCGGCCGGCCGGACCTCCACTGAAACCGTTCCGGTCGATCTCCTGGGTCGGAGATGGCAGTGGCTTCATCTAGTTCGTTACTTGGTTCGTAAACCGTACCAGGCGGGTATCTGCTGAGTCTGTGTGTGTGTGTCTGTGTGTCTGTGCGCGTCTGTGTGCGCTGTACTGTGCGTGTGGGTGGTCAGTGGTTTGGTGCCTTGTGGAGTAGACGGGTGGTGACCTGTCTACCAACCTGACTATCTGTCTGGTATCTAGGCAGAACGATCAACCTTGGGAGGGTTCCGAAGTTCGGTCCTACCGACGACCGTTTGTTGTATGTTGTTGGCCGCTTCAGCCCCGTACCCCGTACCTAACTAAGGTTGGCGGTCGGTCGGTCGGTCGGTCGGTCGGCCGGTATCTAGCTATGGCTATGGGAGCTGACAGACGGGAGCGTGTTAGTTAGTTAGTTAGTTAGTTATAAAGCGGAAGATTGGTAAGCGGCCGGCACACTTGTACTTTCACACAAACAGTAGGTAGCCATCTATACAAGAGTACACACCACCACACCACCACGACCTCGACCTCGTACACAGTGGGGAGTGATGGACAGGCGGCACGGACACGGCACCTTCCCCCCCCTCACTCACCCCTCGCCCCTCGCCCCTCGCCCCTCATATCGTATCGGATGGAGCTGGCATGCCCGGATTGAGCCATTGTACTGACATTCTTCATTGGAGTGCATAAGTACCTAGGTAAGGTGTGGTGGGCACTGGGCTGGCTCTCGGGCAACGTCAATTCTTCAGTGGCTGTTGAAAACTCCTTCAACATTTCCCTTTTGCGGCTACGAGAAGCGAATGATAGACATTACTGAGGAACGGGGTCGTTCGGGAGTAATAATAATTCCTTGGCTTGCCTATATTACCTGATGCTGATTAAATGGTAATGCAGTTTGGATGTGAAGGTCTGGGGGTGCCAAGAAAGTTAGTTAACTACCCAGCAATGGGTTAGTCATGATAATCATGAGTGTAAGTAGGTAAGGTAAGGTAGATTCTGGGCACGGAGTACTCCGTAGAAGGAAGAACATTATTGGAGGCATGCTTACGGTTTCTGATTATCAAGCAGCCTTGTCAAATCTCCCTGTTTACCTACAATTGCATAGATTGCCGGTCTTGTCCGGTGTTTATGATTGGGTTCCCAAATATATCTCTCCTGCATCACTAGTGCTTGCGCTGCAGTAGTTAGTAACTTACGCCTATCAAAAGAGGCAGGTTGGGGAGGGAGAGTTAAGTACTTACTTACCTAACTCAGTATGTATTCCTACGTATAGATCTAAGTAAGTTCCTACGACAATAGTACTCTGGTCGCATGCCATGAGATAACATTGGACATAATTGTGCATTTTCCCTGGCATGGTAATCTAGTAGCCTCATATAGTATATTCATAGCATAAATATGCAAGCCTTACGTGCTTGCCACCACTGATGAGACTGGCCGGGCAAATAGTTAGGTACCACTTATTTTACCTACCTTGGCCGGGAGGGAAGTCACCACGAAAGTCCCCGTACTAAGTACTTAGCCTGCCGGCCAACAAAAGGCCTAGTCTTGTGTACCAGCTACTTACAAGTTACAAGATCGCAATACCTCGGTTGGCGCGAACGGAAGAGACCTGAGGCGGCGGGCGTAATGCGGAGATACGTACATAGTAGGACGGTACCTACTACAGTCATAGGTCAAGGGAAGTTAGTCGCGCATAAATGGCAGTGGCCAATGAAGGGTCGTCATTGTGTGATTTAATATCTATCGCGACAGGACTTATTTCCTCCTAACCGACTAAGCCTTGGTCTTTCCTAGATAGGCACATGGTCCATGATTTCTGGCCCCACAACCAGCCAATGGCTTCCCTGTCGTACGGCAGATCTGTCTTGGGAGTCGTCGGACAATCAGGGGCTTGTCTAGTTGGTCCCTCCCCGGCCGTCGGCCGCGGAGGCTAAGCTGCCGTCATTCAGCGGGGGCCTTGTGGGCCCGTGGCACGCGCGATGGACGTTGCTAGCAGCTAACT